AATCACCGTATCCACTCCAGTGGCCATTTTTCAAAAGCTACACATCGACATCATGCTAATGCCTCAGGCCAGAAAATTCACCAAGATCGTTGCCGCTCGCAATGACCTCACCGGTATGGTGGAAGCAATGGCGATTGAGGACGCCACAGCTGCTACACTGGCCAAGTTCTTTTGGACCCATATCTACTGTCGCTATGGCTGCCCCTGGAGAGTGATTACGGACAACGGATCAGAAGTCAAGGCTGGATTTGCCGAACTGATGCAGCGGCTCCGAGTTCCTCACGTGCGCATATCTGGATACAACAAGCATGCCAATGGTGTAGTGGAACGGGGACACTTCACGCTTCGCGAGGCACTTGTAAAGGCATGTGGAAGCAGAATTGACACGTGGCCAGAGAAGTTACCTTTGGCACTCCTTGCAGACCGCATTACCGTGAAGCATAGCACAGGTTTTTCCCCTTATCAGCTGCTTCACGGAAGTGATCCTATCCTCCCATTTGATTTGACAGAGGCTACGTTCCTGGTCACTGGCTTCCGCACCAACATGGACACTACTGAGCTTCTTGCGCTTCGAATACGTCAACTCAGCAAGCTTAACAGTGATGTGCAACGTGCTGCCTCAGCTCTCAAAGCCGCTCGTTTCCATTCTAAAGCACAATTCGAGTGAAAGTTCAAGCATCGTCTTCAGAAGGACAACTATGCTCCTGGTGAACTAGTCTTAATCCGCAACATCGGAATTGAGAATCAAGTTGGCCTGAAGCGAAAAACTGAGGACCGGTACTTGGGACCATATGAGGTTATCAGGCAGAATGCTGGGGGAGCTTATATCCTCAGCGAACTTGATGGAGCCGTATTTGCCATGAACCCCGTGGCAGCCTTCCGACTACTCCCTTACATAACCCGGCGCCACAGCTTTATGAAATACGGTGCTGACACTGACAGCAGTAGTTCCCTCGAGGAAGACTTGACAGGCGGATCAAGTTCTGACGAGTCTGCGTAATTGGAAGCTATTGGTTCTTCTAGTTTCGTAATTGTTCCTTTTGAAGCCTTGCGGCACCACATCCGAAGCACTCAAGTACCAAGTACCATGCGTTCAGAACGACCTTCACACCGCTCTCACTCCCTACACCACCACCACCACCCCCATTCAATGTCCAGCCCTGCTCCAAAGTCTGGTCGTCTTTCAGAACACAAGATGTACCCTCTGTTGGAGCCCTTTGTGAATGAGTGGGAGGAGGAGCAGGAGAGGTGGACACAGTGGATGGCCAAAGCAGTGCGTCACGAAACCCGCTCAAGATAGTGGGGCACTAATTTGCCAGCTAGTGTCGCAGGTGGCTGTCGCGCGTTAACCCATTACATCGCTTCCGGCAACGAAATACCATTCCCCTTCCCACATTCGACTTCATCATTCCTCCCTTACCCCCACCCATTGCCATTCACGTCTCTACAACTACTACCCACCGTTCCGCCTTGCCTGAACCCTCGTTGAGCACATTCAGTGCACATTGCTATGCAGGGTCACTAGAAGAGGAGATGTGTCGGCTACCGTAATGAGCACGGCAAGCAGGGCAATGGGTTTCTTGATGTAAATAACCATCCCCTCCCTCTGAACATTATTTCTTGGCCGATTTGGATGTGAATTGCTCCTGGAACGAGAAGTCTCAGGTGGTTTCTGTATTCCCAACTGGGGACAGTTGGATATTCTGTTCGCCGCGGATGTCATGCCTGAAAATTGTTAGGCATGAATACAGAAACACACATGAGATTCACTTTCCAGGGAAAATTCACACCAGCTGAGAATATGCACCATGGACATGAAGATGTGCCTGATTTCAGTTGCAGAGCTTAGTCATCACACTTGGAATACAGCAATATGACACTCTGTCAGCTGTCTGCCAACTCTGACATATGACCTGACATATGAAACATGCACAGCTCTCCTGACTTGCGTCTTCTCATTATGCACTGCCCTCACAAGTCCAAACTAAAAATTAGTTTGAAACCATGTGCTGTCTCTGCACTGCAATTTTGACATGATTGACACTAGGCTACAGCTTTTAGCTATAATAGCCTGAAACACTACTTACTCCTTACTATTTTAGACTCAAGAAGCATTCTAATCTGTGCTATGTACATACACAGGATTGCACAGCCACATTCAAATGTGTATATAAAGTAGCCAGTAGCACTTCATTCTGTATCTACAAACTTGCTATCTGACTTTACCCCCAAACCCCCCCCTGGTGTAATTGAGTGTTCTCACTTAGTTGCCCTCTCTAGGTTCAATTGGCTTGAACCTAATACTGTTACGTTAACAGTCTACACTTGGAAAACGTTCCTTGTTTAGACACCCCTTTACGATTGAAGTGTTTCTTGTCTACTGTAACGACAGTAGACCCTGAGCACTTTCTCCCCCCCCACGACACATTCCCGAGTTACGCTCCGCCACCCGCGTGAGGTTGTTGCTCAACCCCCTTCCCCCACACCCCCTTCCTACTTCCTTTTCAGGAGAAACCTTGTCACCAGGATCCCACGAACATACGTGGATATTCCCGAACAAAGTCGCTTCCGGATATCTACGTAGGAAAACAATTTTTCCACTTGACACCGGAATCGGCTGATTGAGGGTGTGGACCGGAATGCCATTCCGGGCAACATAGTTTGTGTCAATGAAGTCGGAGGTGGCACCGCAGTCGACAAGCCCAGAGAGCGAGAGCTTCAGTGCGCTGGTGGTGGACTCTAGCTCCAACGGGAGGTGGAGGGAGTTCGCCCCAGGGGCAGCGGCAACAGTGTACTGCTTGGGCAGTTTCTTTTCCCAGGCAGTGAGGCGGCGAAGGACGATGACCGGAGTCGCGGGCGGAGTCGGAGACGGAGTCGAGGCGGGGCAGGAGAGGGTGTGTCTTTTGTTTCGGGCTCATTGAAGGGCAAGGAACTGCATTCATCATACAAAGAGGCAAAACAATTTATAGACGCAAATGAGGGCACACCAGTCACTCGTCGCAGGGGACAAAATCCTCTTCGGCCATCGACTCCGCTGCCGTCTCTGGCAGGGCAGCTGTGTCCGTGTAGCGGGCGATCAACTCCGCTAGCATCTCGTCACCGAGTTGTTGGATCACCTCGTCGAGGATGTCCATCGAGCGGACATCGGCGGGGAGGGGGCAATCCCGGGCGAGATGGTTTGGGTCGCCGCACCTGAAGCAGGCGCGACGAGGGGCACCCCGAGCCCTGGTGCGATCCAACTCCATAGGGACGGGAGCTGGAGGCGCCGGAGTGGGGGCGCGGGCCGCGGGTGGCACGACCGGAGCCACCGGGCGGAAGGGGCCGGAGCCGGGATGCGGTTGACCGGGAACGGAGTCCGAATCAAACCGCCAGGCGTCTTGGGGGCGGCTGACTTGATCAGCTTGGCCCGGACCAGGGCCTCGTATTGACGGAAGGCCGGGTGCGCCAACTAAGGTAATCCCGGAGGTCCGGGGTCGTTCGAGGACGTGATTCCGTTGTTGATCAAGGGATCAAGTCCATGGCGGAACTTGGTCACTTTGACCAACCAGCGTCTTCAAATCGGCGAGGTCCATCAGGTCCTCGAAGTCGTCAGTGTACTGGTAGACATCCTTTGTGCCCATGTGATAGGCGGAAGTCTCCAGCTTGGAGAGAGCGTGATCTTGCTTGTTCTCCTCGACGAACCGGAGTCGAAACTCGGAAACGAACGAGCCCCAGAACGGAAACGGAAACGGGGCTTTGCTTCCGTGGCGCTCCGCCCATTGCTGAGCGGGTCCTTCTGCCATGAACAACCATGGCATAGCAGACGGCCTTTTCCTCGCTCGCCTCTCCGTTGACCACGAAGGCCTCAGGGGCAAGGCGGGCGTAGTGCGGACCGCGAGAGGAAACGCGGCCGCATTTCCGGTCGCCGTTGAAGGTGAATGGGGGGTTTGGTCGCAAGACCAATTTTGAGGCAAGGTTGATGTCGCCAAAAAGGGCTTCGGAGTCGCCCTGGACCGGAGTCGGAGTCGGAATCGACATCTCCGGCGATGGTGTTTGGGGTCCGCCAGCATTATTAGCGGCGGCAGCGGCAGCGGAAGCCTGGTTGGTGAGTAAAGCAAGGGCCTCGGTTAGGCTATCGATTTTCGCCTCGAGTGAGTCCAGCCGGGCATCTGCGGTAGGAGTGACTCCGGACGGCATGACGGGTGCGGGGACCACAGGAGTAGAGGAGGAGGGGACAAGTGGCAGGGGCGGTGACGAGGGCAGAACAGACTCGTACTCCGAGCCTGAGTCAGCGCCGAACCTGGCAATCTTGTCCGGTTGATCCCATAGAGAGTTTCTTCTTCTGCTGTAAGGGCAACCCCGGAGGCCTGAGATCAAGGTCCTAGCAGGGGAGGATCCAAAGCGTGAACATTGGTAAGCGAATACAAATGAAGCTGACCTAGCAGGGGAGGATCCAAAGAGAAGAAACTCTGAGGGTCCGCCTGCTAGGTAGCTGACTATATACTGCTTGTCCGTAGCTGCCGCTGTCGGGCACAGAAGGCTTGGGCGGCGTCGCAGGCGAGGTCCCAGGGCGACCGTCGGGAGGGCGTTGACGGATCGGTGATTGTGCGGGCAAGATGGAGGGCCGGACCGGAGTCGGAACCGGAATCGGACCAGAGTCGGGCGCGTCTCCGGGCCAAAAGGGAGGTTCCCCTGACAGCATATCACAGTCTCTTCAACAAAATTGCTGCAGTACAGTGTGGCACTGGCTGGCCATTTGATGCTGCTGAGTTGGTAGGCCAATTTCAAAGAACAATTAATTGCCCAAAGTATGGACTGGGATGCATAGTATACTAATAACTAACTCTAACAATGCAAGTTGGAATACATACATCGAAACATGTGACTTTGACTTAGAGAATCAATATTTCATTACATTACCTAAATTGAAAACAGATCACCAGAGCAACTCAGATAAGTTTGAAAACATAAGGTCTCAGACTCAGGCAAAAGGCCCTTGTATAAAAGATATTCATTATTATCTAGATTAGTTTACTTGAGGCAGCAGGAGCAATCCTTCGCCTTATAAGCTTGATAATATACAATGGTAATGCACTCAATCCAACAATGACTGTGACCTTCCAGGCAAACCCTACTGTTACTACAAAGGACAAATCTATCAAAAATCAGCTTTTGAAGGCAAACCACAGTAGAATAAACCTACCAAAATACTCAGGAAGGAATGCAATACTGATCACATAGAAGGAAAGAGTAACCACTTCTGATATTATCATATATGCATGCCTGCATAAGAAATTAATACAATAATCTCCGTCCAAAGCTTTGGAAATATACCAAGTTGTGATCTCCAGAGCAACCATTATGAGCTCATTGAGAATCAATGCAGTAAAAGATATTGACACAATGTGCAAGAACTCTGTCTCAAACAGCACAAGCGACATGATCATGATTGCAGCACCTTGATAGACACTGATCATAAGCCACTGAAAAAAGGTCTTGTAGGATAGCGCCCGCCCCTGCAGGGTATGAAGGAACAGTAATATACCGAATGCCAGACGGACCTTGGTAGTTTCCTTGTAGAGCTCCGGATATATGATTGCTATGTCTTCATTGACATCCTGGTCAAGGACAAGGGAAAACACGGGTGCCATGGTGTATATCGTGGCATAGCCAACCATGAGCCAGCCTTGATAAAGCGCAATAGGAGCGAAAAAAAATATGGCCGAGAAGACGGCTTGCATGACCGAGATGATCAGTCCACGGTGGATGACAAACTGAGCAAGTTTGGCAGAGCGTCGGTACGAATTGCGGCCATGCCATAGAAGTAGTTTGGCGAGAAAGCTGAATTGGTTGACAGAGAAGTCGGCAGCCAATGATGCTTGCTTGCCCTCTTTGCCAACAATACCGACTCCGACGTCTGCTGCTTGTATCATGCTAACGTCGTTGCCTCCATCACCGATGCAACACACCCTCTTTCTGGTATGGCGACGGATCAACCTTGCCACATCAGCTTTTTGTGTCGGGGAGCAGCGGCAGGCAACGACCGCTGAGAGCTTTGTGGCAATTTCCACGAATTCATTCTTGAAAAGATCCAAACAAAGCTATGGGATTAAGATTAGTGGCGGGAGGCTAGTCGCTGGACGACACGCACCTGGAGGGACTCCCCATCGATGACCAGACAGCAATCTAGTTTGGATTGGAGAAATTCAAGTTGAGTGCGCACTTCATCCGCGGTTTTGACTGACGGACTAGTTAGATGCGATGGGAAAAAAAGAAGATTACCAACGTTTGGCTACCTCATGAATATATTGATTCCTTGCTACCAGCTTCGTGGAAATTGCGATGCACCGTGCTGTCTCGATCTTGTCGCCAGTCAACATCCAAATCTTGACCCCAGCATTCCTTAACAATTCCAAGGTCGATTTTACCTCGTCTTGGAGTTTATCCTCTACGCCCGTCAGCCCGAGCAGTTCCAAATCGTGTTCCAAACATTCCGCTACCACACTGGCCATCGCCTCGTTCCGCCCCTCCAGCCGTATGCTGGCGGCGCGGTATTTAGTTTGGAACTCTGAGTAAAGCTGCGCAGAAAGCCGTTTCTTCGCCATGACGAGCGTTCGGAGACCCTCACGAGCCATATTGGCAGTCTCTTCGTCTAACCAGTCATTGCGTTGAACGATGCGGCTCATGACCACGTCGGCGCCTTTTTGAAGGAAAGTGATCTCCCCAGTAGCGGAGTCCCGTACTATAATTCCCATTCTTTTCGATTCCGAGGTGAAAGGGAATAGCTCAAGTACATCGAAAGATATCTGGGCTCCTGAAGGCGTCTGAAGCTCGATGCGCGTACGATCTCGGAAGGTGAGTGTAAGTCCAATGGACTGCGTCCACGTAACAATAGCAACTTCGTCGGGCGAAGAAGCTTGGTAAGTCACAGAACCGTCATCGTTGGTGACCGGAGTTACCTGCAAGTAAACGTCATGGATCCATCATGAAAGGAGGGCAAACACAAACATTGTGGCAAAGGGCAAGACTGAGAACAACATCTCGAACACGTGATGACATGTCTCGTCGACCGCGACTTGCAAGTTGAGCACCCGTCGCAAGAGAGCTGGTTTTTCGATGTGCTGATCCCAACAAACTTTAGATGATGGTACCGTGACAAGCCGAAAAACGCACACTGGTCTGCCCCGAATGAAATTGCCAATTGATGAGCAACCTCGTCCATGGAATCGAAACCGTAGGACATGGTGCCCATGTGCAATTTTTTCATTTCCATCTCTACATTGGTTTAGCCTCAAAATGACGACCCAAGACTGACTGATGGAGTACTCACCGTTCTGGGTCAATGTGCCAGTCTTGTCACTCAGAAGATATTCGATCCGTCCAAGCTCTTCAGGCAAAGTGCTGGTACGGACGATGGTTCCAGCTATTTCATCGTCCGTCATGATCTGTTGCGCATATACTGTCTTGCCCATGTCCAGATTGACTCGCAAGCTAATGGGAATGATGGACGAAAAGAGAATCAAAAAGCGAACGATATAGATGTAGGCGGGGCCACGAAAACCATTGAGAGCAACAAGAACCACAGACAACACAAGCGTCACGGTGCATAGTATCTGGAGAGTGTGTGGTAAGCAGACAAGTTTGCGACGACTAGATTCAGATGACCTTGGCCAGATTGTTGATTTCCAGATCCAGCAGACCAGTTTTGGTTTCAGGGTGACTGGTGTTCATCACAGCGCGCGTGTCTGAGCCAGTATATAGTACAAGGCCAATGGCTGAGCCGGCCGCGAGAACGGTATTGGCCCATAGCATGTTTTCCGCCGTGAGCGGTGTTACCGAGGGAATATGGTTTAATGGGACCGAATCCATGCTGCCTTGACCGGCTTGGGACGAGATAGGTGTATTGAGGGTAAAAGTACCGACAAAAGTATGAATGTCCTTGATGGGGGCATCCGCTACGAGGGGATTATTAAATGATACCCACAACAACGCATAGAACGAACCATAGATTTCTGCATCAAGATTCCATAGTTGTCCCTCTTCAAGTTTCTGTGACTCCGCAACAGCAACACGTAGCTTCCAGTCAGTTTCGCCGTCCAGCTGGTCGGTACGAATAAAGCAAGTGCCTGAGGCATCTGAAGTGTGTAGCAAGAGTAGATCGGCAGGTACACGTTGGTTCTTCTCCAAACGAACCAAATCGCCAACACGAAGCGAGGAAGACGGTACAGCACGAGTGTTGGCATGGGCATCGATATAGGCGTTGTCAAGAGAGGACGTGGATGGTGGTTCAAGAACAAGATATTTTTGTGAATTGGCCTCTCTGTCCCGCAGATTCCGTTGGTAATCGTCGTAGGCCTCCTTGCCCATAGTCACAGAAAGGACGAACACCAGAGGCGCAATGGAGGTGATAATAAAGCCGATCCGTAGTGCGGGGATGAACTGGGAGATGGCGACGAGAAGAAAGTAGAGGTTGAAGAAGAATTTGAACTGCTCGTAGAATACCAGCGGGAGAAACGTCAGAACATTATATTTCTGGTTTCTGACGATATTGGGGGGAAACCGGGCTTGGAGTTTATCTGCAGCAAATGTTCGATGGCGATGCGAAGTCGTAAACTGGACACTCACCTGGTGGCCGAAATGGTATGACTCTCGTCGCGTCTCTCGTGGCCTTCCGTCTGAACAGAGCAGAGTCTCTTACTTCCGCCCTGACCTCTTCTACGTCGAATGAACGGTCTTCTTCACCCAGCAACCCAATTCGTTCGTCCGGGTCATCAGTGTAACGTTCCTGCCTTCTCATTGTTGCAGCTGGCACTGAGGCACGCATTGAAGTTGCTGATTCTTCGTGGTCCGTCAATCGAGTGTACTTGAAGGACCTGAGCGCGATGTCGGGCATACAGCCCCAATGAGTCGGTCAAAGGTAAAGGCAACTGTGAGAACTCGTGCATATGTGGCATATTTTACGTCATACTACATACGACAAAGATTTCGTAATCAAAAGGTTGTAGGACGGCGAGCTGCGAAGGTCGAACGCGCTTTAGACACACGATGCGGGAGGGGGAACTTGAGTTTAGGCTCAAGCAATTGTTTGATATACGGACGACGGATGTCGGCCGTCTTCTGGATCTCAACAACGCGCAAAATCTAGAAAAGGTATCACTATGGGGGAAAGCTAGTTATCGAGGTGACACATACGTGAATGGACCGGAAACGGGCACGATGACGAGCAGCCATATCCTGATAGAGACTTTTGACAGCATCGGCTCTCGAGAGTTCACGGAACTCCTTATACATGTTGTGCGTGCCAGAACGCGAATCGTAGCGAAGCCAGATGCCAAAGTTCTTCACCTTGAGAGGCTTCTTCTCGTGAATCTAAAAGAAAATCCATTAATCCCACCGCCTGCCTCTTGAGGGCTGCAAGGGAATCTACACACAACATTGACGCCGATGATTTCACCAGACGCCTTTTTGACCTTGTTCAGCTGGCTATTTGGCATGAGTAGGGTACTAAACGGTGTCGCGTGACGCACCGAAGGAAATACCAGAAGCGCGATTTCGCAACAACTTCATTGGGAGCAAAAATACGCATGCGATAAATTTTTGGTGTCGGCTCCGCCTCTGTGGGAAGGTGACGACCGATGACTTGGAATTCCTGGAGGCCCATCTATGAAGGGGATTAAATTCGTGATTTATCTCTGCTGGGTAGATAAATACCTTGCGGCACAGATGAAGGGAGAGAGGAAAAAACAGAAGAGTGTCACAGAGTTACCAAGGTGTGACAAGTAACGGTAACGCTAGTGACGCGTCTGAGTCACCGATTATGTCTGGAGTCGCGCTCAAGACCTTTTCGCTTGCCAACGATGTCCTAGAGATTAGTCCTGAAGATGAGATATTCAAGTTTGACGTCGAAGCCAACAGACGTGTCAACCGAGAGGCACCATGGTCAAAAGACCCTCACTACTTCAAGACGTGCAAGATCTCGGCAGTGGCCCTTATAAAGATGGTGGGCATTCTGCTTTCATAGCATGCTAACTCTCAATGTCTTCAGGTTATCCATGCTCGGTCTGGGGTACCACACGAGATCATGGGTTTGATGCAGGGCAAAGTAGTCGGAAACTCGCTCGTCATCATGGACTCTTTCGCATTACCGGTTCAAGGCACCGAGACACGTGTGAACGCGGCGAACGAGGCCAACGAATACATGGTTGAGTATATTGACAAATCCGAGAAGGTGACTTGCCTCATTTCATGCTCCTCGGTGAATTACTGATATGACTCGAGGCTGGCCGTCTAGAAAATGCGATCGGCTGGTATCACTCTCATCCAGGCTATGGCTGTTGGTTATCTGGAATCGACGTCAATACCCAGCTCAATAATCAGAAATTCCAAGACCCCTTTGTCGCTGTAGTCGTCGATCCCAACAGGACAGTTTCCGCGGGCAAAGTTGACATCGGGGCTTTCAGAACATATCCCGAGAACTACACGCCGCCAGGCGGAACCGCAGGCAATGACTACCAAAGTATTCCCCTTAGCAAAATAGAGGATTTTGGTGTGCATGCAGGGCAATACTACCAACTGGAGATCGAAATCTTCAAGAGCTCACTAGACAACGAACTGCTGGGCATGCTATGGAACAAGTATTGGGTTAGCACTTTGAGTCAAAGTCCCCTTATTTCCGTACGTCTCGCCTCGCTCACGGATTTGTTGTGGGCTAATAGCATTAGAATCGGGCATATGCTGTCTCTCAGTTGGCAGACTTGCACCAGAAGCTTTCCAAGGCTCAGACCTCCGTCTCTTCCACACGCGCCGCTGTCCCTGTTCTCCCCGAAAATGCAGCAAAGAAAGAAAAGGAGGAAAAGAAGAAAGAAGATAACCAACTGGCCAAGAGCGTTCGCGACAGGTATGCTATAAACTCTCCGTTGATGTCAAATTAACAACCTGGGAAATAGTACCAAAATTGCTGTAGAAGCACAGCATGGGCTGATCGCTCAGACCATAAAGGACGTTGTCTTTTCGTTGCGACTGCGAGACGTGGGTACAAGTATTGATACTGCCATGGTGGATGTGTGAATTTCTGTATCGATTGCTTGTTAGACATCTTCTTGTACAATTATTGTATCGCTTAGTGAGGTATCGTTCCAACTCCAAATAATAATTAAAAGACGTCAAGGGAGTGGGGGCAATCTGATTTGATCGTGTCAAAAAAAAAATCTGGATGATAAGTAAGATATTATTGACCTTGTGCCACGTGACCCTTGCTTTCACAATCAGTGCAAAATAAGTCGGACTCCGGCACCCCTCCATCCTCAGTAACATCCGTCAATACATATCCGAAATTAAAGGTGACAACAATTACCTTTGAGGATCCTATCAGCAGCGTACAACTGAACACATCGTGTCCCGGCTTTAGATGCGTTGAATCAACGTTTATATGTGGTATGAGAGCTTTCGTACCTGATCACAGATCTCGCAAACAGGCTGCTGACTGTCTGAAGTCTCTGATGCGCTAATACTTCCCGCCCTTGCACGGGCAATCGGCACGTCATCAATACCTTTGGAGGACTTTCGTTGTCGCGCTAGTTTTTCCTTGCTCTTTTCGAGTTCGCGCTCCAATTCATCCTCGCGATAGATCTACCACTGCTTTAACTTGTATTCTATTTGGTCAACGATGGCCTACCTTGGATTCGATCAGTGCCTCCAGTTCGCTAATTTCCTTGTTGAGCTAGACCGAATTAGAAGCAAGAAAGAATAATAAGATGGTCTTACATCATGCACAACGCGCGCATTCTTCATATCAGAGTCGGCTAATCGCTTACGCAGCTGCTCAATCTCCATCTAGCAATATCAATGAGTTTTCTTCTTCTTTTGGACGAAGACAAAGATGACCAACATCAGCCTTCAGTTTTTGGTCCCTTAAGGCTCGTTGTAGGTCTGCCGTATCGCCGATAGGCAGATCGGCGTGAGCATCCTCTTCTCGAGTGAGGCTATTATCTAGATTCTCTTCGAGGATCTGGACCTCCCTACGCAGCCTTCAGCGATCTATAACCCAACAAATTCATCCACTCACCTTGCGCAGTTGCTCAGTCTCAGAAAGGAGCAGTTGATTCTCTGATTCCAGTACTTTCATTCGTTGCGTCGTCGCTAGATTCTCTTTCTGAAGTTCTTGGACAATATGCCTTCATAGGTCAGGAACATCTCAGACCAGGAGCTGACAGGCTTACTTCAGGCCTCTGATTTCTTCTTTAGCTGCAGAGGGTATAGAAGGTGATTGAGGGGGTCCATTGGGTGTCGTGTCGCGATTGGATTTCTGCTTGATCAACTCCAATTCGGTTGCTTGACCTGCCATTGTTTCACGCAGTCTTCGGGTTTCCACTGCCGCTTCATCTCGCTGTTGGCACATATCTTCTAGTGTTTCCTTAAGTCTCGTGATCTCGTCAACAAAGCGTTGCTTGTCTGCAGCCGCTCGGTCAGCGATTTGTGCTATGCGCGAATGAAGATCCCCTTCATCGTCGATTCCGGATACCAATCCTTCGAGATTCTGCAGACGTGAGTGGGCAAATAAAATGTGCATCGGGTGGCTTACGTGTAACTCGGTGCGTAGTCCTTCTACCTCAGCCCTAGCATCCTCCAAAGCAGTGGTGCTTTCTTGGAGAGCCGCCTCAACTTCCTCCACACGTCTCCGCGCATCACCTTCAGATTTTATCATCCTCTCCACATCCTTTCTTCCTTCGTTCAGCTCCTTTTTCATGGCGTCCTCTTTGTCTTTAAGACGACGCATCCGTTCTCCGAAGGCAGCTTCCTCCCGTTCGGAAGCTGCCTGTGCATCTTCCAATGCATCCTCCAGTTTGGTGACCTTTTTCTGTAGATGACCAACCTGCTCTCGCAGCGCCTCATTGTCTATTTCCGTCGCTGACGATACCACTCGAGGGGACGTTGTAGGAGAAGGAGATCGTGGTGTCGTACTATAGCGCATTTCAAGAGAAGATAGTCTCGTTTCAAGCTCGTATTTTTCTTTTTCTGCTTCATTGAGACGCTCCTCGTAAAGGGCAATAGTTTCCTTCCAAAGATTAGCAAGATGAATGGCCCATAAAAAAGTCTAGTCACTTGACCGGCTTGCCTTAACTCGTCCACCTGAGCACGGAGGTCTGCTCGCTCCTCCTCCAGCTCCATCTGCGTATGTTTCAACCGGAGTTCGAGCGTCGCAAACTCCGCTTGTTTCGCCATCAGTTTTTCCGCAGTTTCGCGTTCGGATGCCTCTCTTGAGGAGATTGTGTCTTTCAAGGATAGCTCCAGGGAAGTGCTTTCAGCCAAGTGCTGTTCGAGTTGCGCAGCTTGGAGATTTGAGTTGGTCTGCTCTTCTTGGAGCTGGGTCTCAAGAACTGCAATGCGCGTCTGGAGTCCTTCTTCCACCTGAGTAAGACGTTCAACTGCCTGCGTCTTTGTTTCGTCCAGTTCATTTTCCAGAGAGACAATACGGGATTGCAGTTGAAGGCGGTCATCAAATGTGGTTGATCGATTCGAGGATGCTGACTCCGGTCGGGGAGATATGGGCTCTCGGAGGGCAGGAGAAGCAGGCGGTGGCATTGCCACAGCGCTGGGAATACGTGGGCGAGGAGTACCAATGGACGGCCTCCCGCCAATACTTGGTTTTGGTGTAGTGAAGGGAGATGCTGGGGGTCGGGTTGGAGATGATGTGGACCGAGTTGAGAGTGAAGGAGACGGTGCGGTTCTTGCTGGCGGCTCCAAGGCAGAATCGCGCGTGCTGAGTTGCTGAGCGGTCATAGAAGCATATTTAGATGCTCGAGACCCGGCAGTGAGCTTGCCCGTCAGCGGAGTAGCTACAACATTCGGTGTTTTGGTAAGTCCTTTGGGTCTTGCTCGAGCGGCTGGTGTTGCAATGCCTGGAGTGGTACGACCAGAGGGAGTTATTCTACCTCCTGAAGGTATGCGAGAGGTTGTGCTGAATGAGAATGAAGATGGTGTTGTTCGCCCAGAAACCGAAGGAGTTGTTCGACCACCACGAGAGGAAGCAACAGAGGAAGGTCGAATTATCGCCCCGGGACCAGCTGTAGCTGGCGATAGCTTAGCGGTGGCCACAAATACACCGCAGTTAGCAGGGCACGAGAAGTACTGTTTCCTGCACTCAAGGAATAAATGAATGGCATTTCATTCCAGAGCAGAAGGCAACAGACCCATTTACGCTACCATCGTTTTTCCCTTTCCCATAGAATCCGCCAGAGAGCTCAACTCCTACAACACATCCCGGGGTCATACGCATACGCCGAACAAATGAGTGAAAGACATACCTGCCCAAAGACCCGGCTTACCGTCTATACCTCCCAGATAACGAAGTAAGCCCTCAAAGCCCAAAGACTCGATGCGGACATTATCTCCGACCTGAAACGGTCTAGGAGTCGTTGATTTCATAAAAACATCGGACTGGCGGCTGGGAGGACGAGAGGTTCGATGTTGGGAGGGATCGTTGGCTTTGATGGCTTCTGTGAAAGCGCGAGACAGTTCTGCAACATCAGGGACCGGAACTGCCTGAGTTGCGCTTGATGAAGAGCGCGACCGTCCTGGAGTAGGAATAGCACTCTTCCGGGGAGCAGCTTTCATAATAAGAGACGCGAATGAACGCGGGGTCACACTTGCTGTCACGAAATAGCACTCGACGCGTCATGCCTGCAACTACCACAGAGCAACTCGCAACACTTCAGAATACGACAGTAGTCGTCCATCCTCTGGTTCTCCTCAGTGTCGCTGATCATCATGCTCGCTCTGTCTCTCGTACATCCCATAAACGCGTCATTGGTGCTCTTCTTGGCCAAGATAATGGCAAAACGATAAACGTTGCCAACTCGTTTGGAATTCCCTTTGAGGAGGACGACAAAGACAGCAAAAGCTGGTTCTTGGATCACAATTATGTGCAAGAGATGTACGACATGTTTCGAAAGGTCAATGGTGAGTGGGGGCAACATTTGGTACAACTTTATCTTGAACTCCACCAGCCAAGGAACGTCTCATCGGCTGGTATCACACTGGGCCAAAATTGCGTGCCTCAGACCAGGAAATCAACGATCTCTTCAAGCGGTTTGTGGCTCGACCGCTGATGGTCATTGTCGATGTCCGACCACACACTGTTGGAATTCCGACCGACGCGTATTTTGCGGTGGATGAGATTAAAGACGATGGGACGGAAACCTTGAAAACATTTGTTCACGTGCCGTCCGCTATCGAAGGGGAGGAAGCGGAGGAAATCGGTGTCGAGCACTTGCTACGCGATATCAAAGACAGCACTACGACCACCCTTGCCACCCGCGTAGCTGAACAGCTCGCTTCACTCAGAGGACTACAGTCTCGCCTATCCGACATTCAAAAGTATCTCGTCGATGTTTCCCAAGGCACGATGCCAGTCGATCACAAAATTGTCTACCACCTCCAAGACGCGTTCAATCTACTGCCAGACCTGGCCGACCGCACTTTACGCGACAGTTTCTCGTCCAATACTAATGACGCGCTTCTGGTTGTCTATCTTAGCAGTTTACTTCGTGCGGTCATAGCTTTGCATGCACTGGTAGACAACAAGGCAACCGTAGGACGCGCAGAACTAGAGGATGGATCCAATGAAGGGAAGCAGAAGTCTGTCGTGAAGGAGGAAAAAGCTTCAGAACATACATAAAATACTAATGAACGTATTCTTTGGTTGTTGTGACGTTGTGATTAGACTTTTCATGCTCCTTCGCCATTTTCGGTGGTGCCGACTTACTCCCAACTCATGGCGACCGAATGGTCGTCGCACTGCTTCCGCTGCTGCTGCTGCGTTAGCTCATGATCCTGCTGCGCCAGCCCAATATCCATTGACGGAGAAAGACCTTCAACGCCTCACGTCTCAGCGCAACATTGGGGTGTCAGCTCATATAGACTCTGGCAAGACAACCCTCACAGAGCGCATCTTATTTTATACCGGGCGTATTCGCGAAATCCATGAGGTGCGTCCTCTACCTTGTTTTTTTTCAAACTGCTGTTCACAAGTTAAAAGGTCCGCGGTCGTGATTCTGTTGGGGCAAAAATGGATAGTATGGACCTTGAACGAGAAAAGGGTATCACAATCCAGAGCGCGGCTACATTTTGCGACTGGGAGACGACGGATCCAGCTAACGGCTCAAAACAAAAGTATGCCGTCAATATCATAGATACTCCAGGCAAGTTCCCCCCCCATTACGGAGCCAGCTGGATGCCTTAACTCGAGCTAGGTCACGTCGACTTCACAATTGAAGTGGAGCGAGCTCTACGAGTGCTTGATGGTGCTATTCTCGTTCTCTGTGCGGTTGCCGGTGTGCAGGTATGTGCAGCAAACCGTGTTGTTTCTTTGGTTTTTGACTTGTCAGAGTCAAACAACGACAGTGGACAGGCAAATGAGGCGTTATGGTGTCCCTCGCATTTCCTTCGTCAACAAAATGGATCGGTACTCATATACTTGACGAGGCCCGACTGATACTAACAATTTGCCCAGACCTGGCGCTAATCCTTGGCGAATAGTCAGTCAAATACGCTCGAAGCTCCGAATACCTGCAGCAGCAGTTCAAGTTCCCATTGGAGTAGAAGATGGATTCAATGGTGTGGTTGATTTGGTACACTGGAGAGCAATATACAATCAGGGCCCGAAGGGGTGCGTGTCTTCCCTTTCTTCGTGTCATTCTGCTTCATTTTAGTCAGCATCGACGTCGTCGTAAAAGACATTCCGGAGTCAGTCCTTGAGCTTGCTAAGGAAAAACGCGTCGAATTAATCGAGCAACTGGCGGAAGTCGATGAGGAGATAGGCGAACTCTTTCTAAATGACGAACAGCCTACAAATGACCAAATCGCGGCTGCTATCCGGCGGGCCACCATCGGTCTCAAATTCTCTCCTGTTTTCCTCGGTTCAGCCATTAAGAACACCGCCGTTCAACCCCTTCTTGACGGGGTTTGCGCATACCTCCCTAATCCGGCAGAATTGGAAGTCGTTGCCCATGATACTGAACTTCCCATATCGGCTCCACCTGTACCACTGTCGCCCGCCGCAGATGCTCCCTTGGTTGGCCTCGCGTTCAAGCTGGAAGAAGGGCGTTTTGGCCAACTCACCTATATGCGTGTGTACCAGGGTAGCCTGAAGAAATCCAACATGATCTACAACGCTCGGACGGGGAAAAAAGTCAAAGTCCCTCGCCTGGTTCGCATGCACAGTAATGAAATGGAGGTTTGTCAGCTCCTCCAACACTGAATCAGCAATATACTAATCATGACCCAGGATATTGAGTCCATTGGGCCGGGTGAAATATGCGCCATCTTCGGGGTCGAATGCTCATCTGGAGACACTTTTACGGATGGGTCGACTAGCTATTCAATGGTCTCGCCATCTACCTGTTCAAAGGCTAAAAGTTGACTTTTGTAGACCTCTATGTTTGTGCCGGAACCCGTCATCTCCCTTGCGATCAAGTCCACTGGCATCGAAACGCCCAACTTTTCTCGTGCTCTCAATCGTTTCCAGAAGGAGGACCCCACCTTCCGCGTTCACCTCGATCAGGAGAGTAAAGAGGTGAGAAAACCAGGTGCTACCTCCTCAATGATTTCTTGATGCTTGACTAGACAATCATTTCTGGGATGGGCGAACTCCATCTGGAAATCTATGTTGAACGGATGCGACGAGAGTACAATGTCGAATGCGTGACGGGTAAACCTCGCGTCGCCTTCCGCGAGGCAATTTCCAAGCGGTCTGATTTCATCTATGTCCACAAGAAGCAAACCGGGGGTGCTGGACAATATGCCAAAGTTGCAGGTTACATAGAGCCAATGGAGAAAGACCCAGAGACCGGCAAAGACTCTGCCTTTGAAAGCATGATTATGGGTGGTACGATTCCCTCCAACTATATCCCAGCCATCGAAAAGGTGTTTCTGGTTTCTTTGTGTGCCTCTTCCACCAAACTGACAATTGTAGGGATTCTTTGAAGCCCTCGAGAAAGGCACATTGACTGGTAACCCAATCACGGGTGTTCGATTTGTTTTAACCGATGGCGGTTTCCATATCGTCGACTCTTCTGAGCTTGCATTCCGTAATGCAACCATAGGTGCTTTTCGTGAAGCTTTCCGAGCAGCCGCACCCATTGTGCTCGAGCCAATCATGAAGGTCGAGGTCGTGGCCCCTTCGGAATTCCAGAGTAAGCTTTGTCTCTCATGTGTAAAGGGAAGGGGGGCGTTGACAACTTTGTCGCAGACAGCGTTATCGGAGGACTGAACACTCGTCGGGGTACCATCGTCGACAGCGAAGTGCGCGACGACGAGTTTACGGCGATAGCTGATGTAGCGCTCAACGATATGTTTGGCTACTCAAATCAACTGCGCGGTTCAACTCAAGGCAAAGGTGCGTTGTACTAGTTGTGGTCCCTCTTCCCAGAGATAACTCGTGTTCAGGTGAATTCAGCATGGAGTATAAGGTAATGCGTGCTTCACACAGTACTAGCTTTACTGACGTCTTTGGTCTAGATGCACCTCCCAACTTTGTCGCACCTTCAACGAGAACTAGAAGAGGCCTACAAAAAGACACTCCCAGCCGCTAAAAAGTAGACATATAGACATAAACTAACACTGGCATTAATTATCATTACATTGAATTCCTCTCACCATCTAAGCTGGGGTGTCTACATATCGTCACTATCACTGGCATTACTATCGCTTTCGTCCTGTCCCCATACCGCAAAAGCACGTGGCCCAACATCTGCGGAACGAGTGCGTGAATGTCCCCGGCCGCGACCATGGTGGTAAGGCAGATTTAGATTGCCCACGGTGGGTGTTGTGACGCTGTCTAGTTCAGGTTCTTTCTCTTTGGGTATTCTGCCACCTCGTCGAGGCTCAGAGGATTCCAGGTGAAATTCGACATGAGGGGTTGCCGATTTTGTCCGTTGCCTGGAGCGCGAGCGAGATTTGGCTGAGCGACTACGCTCTTTCTTGAGAGCAGAAGCTGCCAGTCGATGGAGTCTATCCTCCTCCATGATTTCTAGGGCCTTCTCTCGACCAAGCGCCTCTTCGTCTGGCGTTTGCTGCGTTTTTAAAGCTGCTGCTGCCGCCGCCGCTTCTGGAGAAGAGTCGTCTATGTCGAATTTTTCCTCTTCATCTGTGACCTCGTCCTCTTCTTCGTCTTCAACAAGTTCTTCCACAGGTTCATGCTGCTTTACCCGCTTTTTCTTGGGTCGGGTGGGAGCATCCTCTTCTACCATCACAAATGACTTTTGTCGTTCACGTTCGTTCCACTTGAGCGTTCGGGAAATGGCTTGGAACCAGTCTGTGGACTGGTTGTCGGCGCAAACCGTCGGGAACGGAAATTTCGACGGCGTGACTTTGATATGATCGCCCTCTGCATAATGCTAATTGAAAGGTAACAAATTTTAAAGCAACCAAGACTTACGCTTCAGTTCAACGCGACCACGACCATCGAATGATGCCCACGCTGTACTGCGGGAGTCGAAGGGCACACAGATGCGCAATTCCATGCTATCCGGTAGCAGCATGGGTCGGAAGGACAGTGTGTGTGGACATATTGGCGTGATCAGGATCGCAGGAATTTCTGGATGGACGAGGGAACCTCCAGCGGAAAGCTACGAACATATCAGACGAGTCTCCAACAGGATTCAAATAACGCACTGAATAAGCAGTCGACCCGGTAGGTGTCGAGACAGTAAGGCCATCAGCTTGTACTGTAGTCATATGGTGTTCGTCGCCTGAGCATGTTCAGTATCATAAACTTTTGATGCGAAGGAGAGAGAGGCGCACCAAACAGCTCCAGCTGGCTGACATAAGGGCTTGGTCCGCGGTCAACGACGAGGTCGTTGAGAACCTCGAAAGTCTCTACAGCGCGCGTAGTGAAGCACATGATCTCTTTATCCTTAGACGTGGCTTTGACAAGCTCGGGTCCACCAGACCAGCCACTTTCTAGTGCCTCCCAGCCACCTTGTTCGACATTCTTCATCATGATCTCCCCGGTATGACCTTTCTTCACAGCCTTACGCCGTTTGCCGTCTTCGTTGACGACAGCGCGGTATACTGTGCAAGTGAATCGCATCCGGAGATTGACTCTGATGCCGGAATCAAGAGCAGCATCCATTACAGTCCGGTGGTCCGCAAAGTCAAAATTGGTCAGGAACCCGAGAGAGCCGAGGGCGAAGGGTAGTACGGGTGGGACTATCCTCTGGAAGAGCCAAGATGTGAAAAGAACAGTTCCGTCGCCGCCCAGCTGTCAGTACTAAAATGAGTAACCACACGCTTATAGGAATAAGGAACGCACGGTAACAACGAAATCGAAGAGATGTGGGCTATGACTGCACATGTCGCTAGTCCAATAGCGCAACTGTCCGGTCTCCTTGAGATTCTGCTCTTCCTTGTAGACAGCCATCGAGGGCAATGAGGTGCTGCTGGAAGATTTCCTGCGTTGAACGGGCACAAATAGCTCTGGATGGTCACGTTGGATACCCTCAGCGTCGAATCGCTTCGAGGCCCGGAGTTGGTGGTCAACATAGCTGACACGAATGAGCGAAGCTCGGCCGCGATAAACACGTCACGTACACGACCAGACCGCGACTCTGGCCCTGGCGTGGTTTGAGCATGAGATACAGCGCAAGCTGGCGGGTGAGTTGGATGAGCCTGTTGTCTCTGGCCTTGGTGATAATGAGAACATTCTGGATGTTGGATCTGACGCGGGCTCTGCCTGATAAGCACAATCATGAGTGGATGCGAGCCAGGAAATAACAGCAACACGAACCCAGTTGTTTGCTCATTTCCCGGACACCGACGGCAGTCTCCGCCAACTGCTTTGTCAGACTACTGGAGAAATCGTCATCATCGGGAGAATCGACCGTGGAACTTGTAGTCGAGCTTGAGGAGGAGAGATCGTAGGACAAGGAACTACGACTTTCGGACGAGTCTGTGCCGTTCTGACGAAGACGCAACCAGTCGGTCAGTGAAACACCCTTGTCGAGATGGGAATGAACGAAGCATGGTGAGTGCATAGGCTGCTCCCGCTGGATGTGGTGGTGGTGGTTGCGCTGAACTGTGGCGGTTGTGGTTGGGGTCATAGTGGAGTTGTCACCTTTCTTTGCAATTGGTGAGGCTTCATCCAGTACAACATCCGGGGTCCATTCTGATGGCGCCGAGCTTCCTAGATGAAGTGAAGTCGGTCGACTCGTTCGTCGAGACAAGGAAGGGGCAATTTTCGGCTCGGGAGAGGTGGGCATTAGGTGGCTAACAGATGTTTGCTTACTGTTTGCTTACTTTGCTCTAAGTACTTATACCATCTCGAGAATCAACAACCGTTACACACACCCGTTGATTGGGTTGCTACGATTGGGTACCCTAGCTAAAATAACACTGTTTGACACTCAAAGCGACCTATGTTACGATATTTCTCCTCGGCGAGACGACATAAGAACTGGTGCAACTTGAATTCTGTCACGTTGTGTGTTCGTGCTTTCTCGGTCTCAGCTATCTTACTGAGAGCAAAAATCGCGGCCGCTCGCAGAAGGAAAGATTGGTCGAGTGTTATTGGTGGGCCGGCGATTGGGCCGCTTGTTGTCAGGCCGGGTGAAGCGACAGGGAGTGAAATCGAAGACAACTGTGACGAGGCCGACAGTTGGATCACTTGTAAATGAACGAGTAGCGAGGGTACAGCGTTACCACTCAATATGGGCAGTGCGGACCCAACAGATGGAAGAGGAAACGGCGGAGGATTTGCTGAAGAAAAGCGGACGGAGATGGTATGGACTAGGAACAAAGCTTTACTGAAACAGTAGATCGCTGCATTGATATGAGCACATCACAACGGCCGAGTGATGACCCAACTAACGTTGTTCGTCAACAACAGCCATATCTTGAAAAGTTGGGAGTGTTCTAACGAGCTAAAATGACCATGAACAATCAAATTTCAAGTGATGCGGCAACACTTGCATGTTCAAGGAAAACATCGACATTGGCCTGAGCCCTCTGTAGGATTTGGGCAATAAAAAACCCCATGTCCGTATAGCCGCTATCCTGCAAAATGGCTCCCGTTTCGTTGAGAGTTGCGGTCACGAGCTTGACGATTTCATACATCGGTCCTCCCAACTCGCCGACGACAACAGGGAGAGTCTCGTGGGGTCGTTCTACGTGGATCTGAACGTTCATAAGTTCAGCGATCTTGAACTCATTGACGCTTTTCCAGCCGTGGGAAGTCATCAGGCTCTCATCCGAGATATATAGGCCTATAGCGAGTGCTTTCATCGTATCAGATGCTCCCCTCCCACCCGTTGCACGATGAAGGGCAACATCAAAGCTCGAACCGAAATTGAGGACCGCAAGGAGACCGAGAAAGCACAGTTCTGCCGCAGTTGAGGAAAAAGTTAATGGGAGGGCGACATTTCCCGATGCAAGGCGTTCAAAGACGGAGTCAAAGGTCCAAGATTCCACAAGACGCTCTATTGCTTCATTGCTCACTTGAATATCGGCTTTTTTGGACAACAGCAGTAGCTGAAGCCCGAATTGACTCGAGATAGTGACCAGAAGCAGGAAAGGGCAGCATCAATGCTTGGTAATACACATCTACTACTCTTCGGGTGCTTCCTCTGCTTCGCCAGCAGCCGGTGGTATTTGCAGAGGCAAAACACTTCTCATGCGCATCAGATCGTCGATACAACGATTTACTGCCCCAGAAACGCCTTCTAAGACTCTCAGTCGCTCGTCAATAGCTTCCCGTGTCAGACTGTCTAGGATAGCTAATTGTTCATTCGTCAGCGCTGGAGGTAGCTGATGATGATGACTTGGAGAATTGTTGTGCATCGGGATGAGTGAAGGAAGTTGGAACCGGTTCTCTTGTCGAGGCTGTGGTTCGGTTGTAGAAGGTCCCCCTCGATTTAGACGACGCAAGGCTGCTAGGGCAGCTGCTTCTCGGGGAGTTGATTCAGGCTGTGGGTTGATATTTGGATTCTCGACTGGACCTTCGACTGGAGGTTCGACAACGGGTTGATCCTGTTCAGGCCATGGATGCCATGCGCCAGCGGGGCCATCAAAACCAGCAAAAGGCGGGATGGGTTGGAGGGGCTGGTTTGGTGGCCGCGGCGCTTGATACTGGATACGATATTGTACAAGCAGGCCGCCAGGCGCAGGTGGATTTTGCGCATTAGGGGGAAATGGTACTGGCCCTTGCTCACCCTGATTATTTTGAGGAGGAGCAAAGAATCTATCCATTAATGCAGCGTTGTTGGCATTGGCATTGGCGTCTGCTGGTCCTGCGCGGTTGACATCAGGCAAAGGGGGTGCTGGTCCCTGCTGCGGTCTTGTTGTAGTTTCGAGCACATTGCGACGACTTGGAAGAAGAGAAATGACTCAATATTGAAGCTGTGGTTGAATGGAATAGTCTTACCAGGTAGGACAGCTCTGCTGACGTTCAAGCCACGAGCGAAGACAATTGAAGTGGAAGATATGGCCACAAGGCAGCTTTTTGGGTGTTGTATTGGGCCCTTCTTGAGAAGGAGGTGGGGGTGCATCCTCTTCTTGCCGAGGAAGTACCATCTCCTCCCTGCAGATTATGCAGGTATGGTCGTTCATCGTTGTCATGTCCTCTTCCGTCGCATTTGGATACCGTTGGTCCATGTTTCTCGTCGCGGTCTGGTAGCGATGAAGAGAGCGTAGCCGAGTGATGAGCGAACGACCCGTTACATAGACGTCGCGGAGAATATTGAGTGGAATGCCGTAGTAAGTCATGATAATAGTGAAGAATATCATGTAGGTCGAAAGTTTGAGGAAGTCTAATGGCAATTATCAGTAAAGCCTATAGGACTAGTGTAATCCTTACCGGTTGCCAGTTCAATATAGAAAACCCACATGCTCTTGTTCTCCCATGGTGGTGCATTTTCTCCACCTCTTTGACCAGCTCGACGGAGCTCGTAAGCAGAAAGGATGTATTTCGCCACAGTATTCGTCACGGTAGCCATGAGTATTCCGTACTAGCAGAAAGTTGAACAAGACAGAAAGAGGTGCTCAGTCCACTTGCCTCGCTCGCGAACAAAACCATGCCTCCGATGCCATTCGTGACAGTACTTTCCACAGCAATCATGAAAAGCACAACATCAATTGACCACAGGACGAAGAAAAGCGTGACCATGCGAGCATGGAAAAGTAATGGAGGGCCCGGATACGGCCTTTGATCCATCTGGTAGAGTAAGCGTCGTGGTAATGGCCCCAATAAAACGCAGACGCACCCATTCGATTCTGTCGCCCGCTATCCAATGGAAGGATTTGACGAAGAGTAGGAATCCAAACATGACAACGAAGGTGATGTCAAATTCGTCGCGAAATATGGTGAACGCCAGCAACGACTCGGTGATAAAAAACCATAGACGGTCATAAAGTCGCTGAGTTGGGTGAGCACATATTCACGAGCATAAAGATTAGTCACCTCAATCTCACTTGGTCGCAGAGCGCCGAAAAAGACTTTCTGGACAAGATGACCAGCCAGTAACGCGACCAAAAAACCAAAGTTGGCTAAGATCTTGGTGCTTTGGTAGGTTGACCAGTTCATCATGCGAGATTCGACTCACAAGTACACTTCGACTGCTCTTGGAAAGGTAGATGGCGACAGAATAGAAGTTGCTGTAGTTTCGAAGAGCATTTGTGATGGCGGTTGAAACGGCGAGAAAGGAGAAGAGAGAGTAAACAAGGATGCGGTGAGTGGTAACAGACCCAACCACCGCTTGCGTCCCTTCCCGCAATCGTTGCGCCAAAGACGCCATGAACGTGTCTGGAGAAGGTAAACGTGTCACCGAAGCACCGATCAACCATCAGGTCAATGTGCTAATCACTATGGGGTCATCGAAGAGCATTCTAAGTATTGTCCCTGGGTACAGCAAACGAACACATCTAGTACATTCAGCTTGACTCAGAAGGCAGTTCTCCCAGACTGCTTCTCTGGAATATGAAGGACACCGAACCTCCAGGTAGCTCCCCGACTGTAACTGTCTGCGCCATAGCTGCGTCGAGGGCTGCCAACAGCTTCGATTGAGGTTGTCTCTCTGGTACTTTCTGCTCAGGAATGAAGACAAGGGTTCGCAATAGCTCGTCTTGGATTTCGTCTTGGGCACTGGGAAGCAAGCAGTTGATATGCTTCCAGTGGCTGAGAGATTGGAGTTGTTGTTGCTTCTTCCGCAAGTACTACAAGCTGGTTCACATATGACATACGGTGATTTCAACTAGCACCGCACCGATTTGTCCATGTCGACGAGATCTGACGGTCGCACTTGAGAGGCTGACATGAAGCCTTGAGTGGTTGGCTTTTCTACATCAGAGTCCTGGTCGCTGTCTGACTCGCTTGCTTCGATCGTATCGAGAGTAACTTCATCAACATCTGAGTCTTCGCGACCATCGCACCTGCAAGAAAGGAGGTCGTGGGTGTTACAGACAGTATCTGGATGAATGCGGAAGATGTCGCGGAGCTATGTTACTTGATCATGAGCGTTCCAACACAGGCGAGTCATCAGGCCTACATCTTTGCGGCTGAAGGAATCACTTGAAGATGTGGTAGATGCCGTTCCAATCAATGCTAGTGAAAGGCTATTAAAAGTTTTTGTCCCTCCACATACGTTTACTCACATTCTCGAAGACCCTGTTTGGTCACTTGGCGCTGGAAAATCTTCTCGTCGATTGCACCTTGCTTAAAGTTAGTGCTAGTGTCAAGAGGAAAGTGGTTCTGCTGACCCGATGTCAAGAAACGATATATATGAACTGGCCGCTTTTGACCATCTCTGTGTAACGCTTATCAGCATGAGCAAGGAAAGAATTTGTGGTGAATGTCTTAACCGATGACAGCGGGCCATGGACTGCTCATCATGACTTGAAACATATTAGAACATCGAGACTGTTATAGCCCCTCGCACCTTGGATTCCAGTCCGAATCGATAAGACACAGTCGAGATCCACCTATTAGGTTAATGCCAACGCCACCTGTGGTAGGTGTTGAACCAATTGACTGTACAAGTACACAGAATAACAGACCAGCTTTAGAGCTCAAAAGAAAGATGACTGTGATCTTGTCAAGCGTGAAGCGAATCAGAGACGACACCCACAAGCGCTTCTTTGGCTGGATTTATTGAACAAATTGACGTATTCTTGTCGCTTCGATGTGGGCGTTTGCCTGTGGCCTGTTTTCAGCTGGAATTCCTGTCAGTAGCAGCGAGTCTCACCCGTCAACGCGGTAGAAAGAATATCGTTTCTTCTGACAAAAAGCCTGCCAAGACAGTCAAGATATCTCTCAAAATGACAAGAAAGAAACCGGCCTCCAGGATGTTCAAAGTTGAAGTATAGTGAGAGACGAGTACACATTTTTCTTCAGTCATCTGAGCAATGAGCAAAGAGAGATCATGATAGAGCAGGCCGCACCTGATATATGGACTTGAGCAGTTTGGAAAGTGCGATGAGTTTTCCTTGAATGTGTGCATAAGCTAGCGCCAAACTACAATTAGTTGCGTACCACTCAAGGACATGTCTTCAATCTCAACATCTTGAGGCAATAATTGAAGTGCATCACGAACACCAGCATGTTTGACGGATTTGTTCTTTTCAGCAACGGCTTTGAGGAGGACCGGGCTGTTGCTGACTTTGGTGAGCAAACCAATGAGAGCAAGGGATTCGGCGGTAGAGCTCTGAACAAGGTCCTCAAGTCTGCTCGGATTCAATATCTTGGAGAAGATCTGCAGTTGGAGCGGCGTTGGTTTGATAAACACCACGTATTCGTGCTTGGGTGGAAGATACTTCATTAACAGAGATGCTTCTCGACGAAGGACGAAACTCGTTGTCACGCTGTTCAGCTATGCACGAGTCAATAATTGTGAGTGTGGGTGTGCTGAGTTGGATACTTTTGCGAGGCGCGCCTCTCCCAACTCCCGCTCCTTGGTCGAGCTGTCTGGAGAACGCCCCTTCAAGATGGGGTTCTCATACACGCGCTTGAACGTTTGATAATCGTCTGTTGGCTAGAGGATGAACGAAATGATAATTGCGAACCCGACGACTTGCGCACCAAGTAGACCTGGATTACAAAAGTCGGCCATGGCATGAAACTCGCCTAGATCGTTTTGGATCGGCGTTCCAGAGAGTAGAATTCTCCGTGTCGTTTTCAATGCCTCGAACATGGTCGTTGTTTTGCTACTGGCAGATTTGAGTCGGTGGCCTAAGCTTTTCAGCAACAAGTTCTCCGACAAAGTCATCCCCAACCTTCATCGCACACAATGAGACCAATGGGAGGCCTGTAAAAATCAGGTGAGTAGAGGTAAATGAGTTGATGGGCCGTATTACATGCAATATGTCAGTTGTTCGCTGTTATTGTGGTGAGGGTTAGGGAACATGAATGCACAGATGACGGACATTACAGTTCGCAGACGTTCATATCCCACAATTAGTACGTGTTGATTTTTGCTAGCTTTATTGAGTGATGGTGGTCCAATTGTCTGAGCATTGCGTACGCATTAAGAAAGGTGCGGACAGAATTTTTGTCCTTTTCAGTAACGGTAACAACGCCTGAAGGAGTGAGCAGCAGTCGACAGAGCAGAGCGATGGCTTTACCTAACCGGTCGCGACCCAGCCATTTAATAAATTCTGCCTTCCAATTCTAGCCAAGGTTCAAATTAATACTGACTGCAGGCTGGCCACCAACGTTGATGAGTGTAACAGGACAAACGATAAGAGCTTTGCCGACCACGGGCCCGGCCCCTGCGTATGGATTTTGTTCTATGATTATGTGAGATGATGCTCAAGATGAAAAATTTGCCCTTTACTCAACAGGGTCCATATCAGGCTAATAGTTTGGAGTGTTTTGCCTAAACCCCTGCATCCAGAAAGTGAGCACAGAATGGTCGAGGTCGCTGGAGTCACACAAACATTTCATCCGCGAGAATGCAACCCAGACCTTCGTGCTTCCTCAGTCCCATCACGCACTCGTACATGAACTTGACACCTGCACACACATGGGACAAGTTGAATATCTCGTTTGGAGAGCAGATCACCTTCAATTTGGTGTGGTCGCATGCGGGAGGCAAGAATTGGATCCAACACCACATCGATGACAGGGAGATTCCTGCGTGCTCATCAGAACAGTATCGCTAGAAAAATACCACCTACTTTTTGTTGAACCGTTTAATATGTTCTTTCGACGGAGTCTTCATGACGACAGCACCTTCAACATTTGGATCGTGCCTGCACAACATTAGCTCAGAGTCCAGTTGCCGGCCGTGACAAACAAACAGAGGTTTGATAGGTTTGGGCTTCGATGCCCCGTAGAAAGAGGCCGGAGCGACAAATGGTTTGGGTTTAGATGTCGGAGATGCCACGGCTAGCTGCACGCTACTAGTATCTGGTGCGGCGACGGTCTTATCGGGACCGGCAACAAGGCTAGGAACGTCTTCGGGTGGTACTTGACAGTCAAGCTGAATCTCCTTTCCCCCAATATACAGTTTGTAACCCGCAGAAAGTGTGTCGCCTTTCCACAGCGTTGTTCCAAGGCTGAACATGATCGATCAATAACAGACAAGAACACGAAAGAGTCCAAGTATCGCACATCTTGCCCTCTTCCGTCAGCATAGACATTTTGCCGTCAATGTTAGAGACAAAGCAGTCCCCTGCCCATGTCTTCTGGTGTGGTGCACGCCTGACAATCACATTATGTTTATACGAAGCAGTAATGTGACACACCAATTAGCGGTCCAGTAAGACGTAGAGCCAGCTACTGCGCTGGTTGCACCTGTTGTTTGCTGTCGATTGGAAGTCGATAATAAGTTGACAGGTTGGAGTGGGACCGCTCTTGATTGCTTAAGCGAAACAAAGGGCTTGTTTGCTGTAGATTTGGCCGCAATGGAAGAAGAGGAAGGTGCAACGTCAAAAGACGCCTTGCCGAAACATTCCCCGGACAGGTATTCAGCAGAGGTCAATGGTCGATCTAGTTCCAAGTCCTTGCCTCCAACATTGAGGTTACGACCAACGTGATAAGGCAGTACATCACGTTTCCCACTGGCTATAACTTTGCCATCCGAGTCGTGCAGTCTACTTGTGAAGCCACTGACAACAAGAACACCCTGGAACACAATGTCAGCAGGAGTTCGTATCGGCTGCCACTGCGCTCCTACATCGCCATCCCATGTTTTGTGTTTTCGGGCTTGGTAGTTCCGCCATTGAACTGCCCAATACTGGTCTGGTTCTGACGAATTTGCTTCCAGACGCTTGTTTGGTGCACTAGTATCCGCATCCGACTTGCGCTTGAGAGGGAGAAAGGAAGGCATGGGTGTCGTGTTCTACGCGTGGAATATAAGGATTGGGGTTCACAACATAAGTCGTTTATAGTCCCGTTTCGTGTCAAGGTGGAAAGAGAAGAGCGTGTGACCTGTGACTCGGACTCTTGGTGCTCAAAGCCGGTTTTGACGAACAACGCTATCGCGCGTCAGTATTCAGCGTGATTCTATCGACGTGAAATAACTCTCGTCGCGCTCGACTACGCTCGTCAACAACCTTGACTACACGAGTCGTCACAAGTCACGTGCTAAATGTCACCTTGATCCTGCTCCCTTGCCAAACGTCCTTTGCCCCGAGCGAGATCAACTTCTTTCCACATTGTGCGCGCCTCGGAAATCTGTTCGTGGCCTTCGTGGTATGCATTGTGAAAATCATCCACAAGACGACCAAAGTTATCACTATGCTCAAGCAGGGTTCGGACGGAAGCTAAAAATGCCTGCATGACGGCAAGGTTGTGTAAAACAAGAAGAGAGTGGGCAGACATTTCATGAGTGAGACACAAGTGGTGGATATATGCGCGTGATGCGGGTTGGGGAGTCCCATCTGTCCTGAACTGGTCCATAGTGCTGTGCGAGATGATTGCTGATTGAGAGGTAGCAACTGGTCGACAAGCAGGACATGGACAAGGGCTGTAGGATGACGACAAGGAGGAGAAATCTTGAGCAAAGTCAGTTCGATACAAGTTGTGACCGAGATTCTGGCGTGTCTGGAAGGCTGGAGCAGGGAAAACAAAATCCAACGCAACTCCAAACGCCGCATTGTCTTGAGCCCACTTTGAATCGAATATGTCTACGCCCACATCACGGATAAGGCGGAGAATTTCATGTGGTGACGAGACAGAGTTAATGACCCGGAGTTTCGAAGAAGGCATGGAGTCGAGAGAGGCTCGTAGGAGTGTGGTTAAATCTGGCGCATCTCCAGTCGATACTGCATCCATTTCCATACGAAGGGGAGCAAGGTCAAAAACGTAACCAACCAGGCCATCGTCGAGCGATTTGTGTGGGCTGATTGCTTCTGCTTCACGGCCGTGAAGCTTTTCTATCAAGTTGGAGGAAAATGCCTTGCGTGCCGCTATACTAACACCGCCAGCCATGTGGACGAGAACATTCCGATTGGGGCCAAGGATTTGTGAGACCCAGCTTGCAGAACGAGAAACCGACCGCTCTACTCTTTTCTGTGAGAACGGGGGGAGGAGTGAATGGTATATCTGGCAGCGCAACGACAATATCTGGCCGACATGCTTGAGCATAAGAAACCCATTGGCTTGGAGCTACCCTTCGTATTCCACGTCCAGTCACCGCGGAAACATAGTTGTTTGTATTGGCAGGTGTCTCTCGAACATCATGTGGGTCGCGGAGAGTCAGGATGAGCAGCTGATTTTCAGGATTAAACCCGAGGAAGGAGTGAAGTGGATGAGAGCCAGGGTGGAGGGTGGGAACTGGCGGCGAATGCTCAAGACTAGATTCGAAAAAGCTTTTGAGCAGGGATAAAGGGGATTTGGGTAGAGAACGGACAAGGTTTCAAACGGCACTTGAAGGCAGGGGAGGGTCGATGCGTGGGCTTGAGTTAGATGTGGGACTACTCCTCGAGAGGTCGTGACGAGTAAGGCGGGCGTCGCAATTTCGATGGCACTAGTTGGACGATTGAGTAACAATGAACCAGAACGCGGTCGAAAGGCGGTGGTTTGGGCTTGGAATCTAAAAGAAAGGGCCATTTGATCACGATCTGTCTAAAAGTCTGACTACTCCCACTTCACGCTCATCCCAACCATATTTTTATACGGAGAAACGTGGTTGAACTGCCTATGATAATATGAGTTTGTGAAGAGAAACAAACACAGTGCAACACACTCTGGATTTCGCGAACGATATAAAGGTGGACGGGTGGCCGAACGTACAAGTTGTCTCTCTTGGAGGAGTGCTGTTTCGCGAGTAGCACGAATGAGGGCAGCCTCGTCTGCAAATTCTTCGGTTCCTGCGGCTGGAAGCCAGGCTACATCATTGTCGCCGGGTGTACCGAGATATTCGTAGAAGAGGACTCCAAGAATGGCAAATCCCGCCGTTTTGCGCCAAATGGGAGCTCCGAAACCTGTTGTCATATTGAGTGATGGTTCACAGGAATTCAGGTTATCCAACCCTCTTTTGGGTACGCAAAGTCGTCCTCCGTTTGATGATGGTCTGCAGTCGACGAAGACGCAGATCGGCTAGCAATGAGAAGGGGTTGACGACGGCCAACCAGCCGCGTCGCGGTGCGAAGTACTAACATGAGTGTCACAATCTGTGACCATGACGATCGCGACTACTGCTTTAAACCAATGTGTATGTTGAAGGGCAACATCTGGAAAAGCGGACACTGATCCATTTAGCTTCCTCTACTCGCCCCTCTCATCCCCGCCAGGCTTCGATCGACCAACAAGCATCGCAGCTTGAGGAGAAGCTGGCGCACAGACCCGACAAAGCCACACTTGTCGACCGTAATATTCTCAAAGGTATATACTCCTATAATGCTTTGCGATCTTCCACTAAACTCCCTTCTAGATGACAAAGGCCTCGCCCCAGCGCTCGTGGCCGCCAAAGAGAAACTACAGCGTTCGCAATTGGAAGACCAATTGGAGAAGGCCATCGCAAGTCGCCCAACTCGCGAGCAGCTCGAGAAGGATGGAATCTTGCGTGAGTCGGACGTTTCTGGTGTGCTCCCGGTTTGGTAATGACGCCTCCATTAGCCACTGAAGAGCCCGAGGCTGCTCCAGCTGCTCCGTCGGCCTGAAAGGGTGGTCAAGTGAATGTAATAATATTTCTGTAAATCAATCGTCTCTCGTTGTCTTCCTCAGCCGTTCTCGTATTTGGGTAGCTGCCCTCTTTGTTCCTGCACTTCCAGCCCAACCACGCTGTCTCAACCAACGGACCAGACTCGGGGTGAGAAATGCAGTGAGTCCAACGCGGAGCGGTAGGAAGAGTGTCTTGTGAACCCCATAGGCAAGCAGCAGCATCGCGTAAATCCCCTCCTGACCACTTCTAGGCGCTGGATCCACTTGTTCAAGACCTGGCTCTGGCGGCTTGTTGTTTCTGATGTAACCAAGCACAAAGTCCTTAGACACTTTCGTAAGATGTTCGACGTAATCGGCACCAATGAGGTGTATGAGCCCGAACGCAAGCCCAAAGTCGAAAACGCTGATGACGAGGTAAACCCCGAGAGCGTAGAACCCGTATGACTTGAACAGGTGTTTGAGACGCTGCATCCTCGTCGCATCGGCTGGCAAAGGTTCTGACGAAGGGGGGGAATTTAGACGAGCAGGAAAGTGTTGAAAGAGACGAGATTGGGAAGAGCGCGGCGCATTGGTGAGAGGAAGATTACGGGTTGGTCTGAATGTAGGAAGTAGAGTTGGTGCACGAAGTGCAGGTAAGCGAGCAAAACCAAACAGTCTTCGCGGTAGCATTTGAAAGAATTTTTGTTCGTCACGCTGTGACGTCAATATGTCTGCTCCGCCTTTCGAAGGTCCCGAAAAATTATTGGAAATCTGGTTCGCTCCTTCCTCACATGGACTAGCTGGGGGAGGGCTAAAATCAGTACCGCGAGCCGTCTGGGAGGACATGCTTGATATCGTCAAGTGCAAGGTCCTTAGTGTTGTACACGGTGAAGAAATTGACGCTTACTTGCTGAGGTAGAGTGTAGGAAATAACTAGACTCATCTTACTTAATTACTGCAGCGAATCGTCCCTCTTTGTTTCCCCCCATCGTCTTATTCTCAAGACTTGTGGCACTACGCTGAATCTGCTTGGTCTCCCTCGAATCCTCGAGATCGCCGCTAATCAAGCCCAACTGCCAGCAGTTCATCGATGTTTCTATTCGCGCAAATCATTCATGTTCCCCGAACGACAACTGGGACCTCACCGCGACTGGAAGCACGAGGTTGAGTTTCTTGACAACATTTTCCCCAACGGCTCCGCATACACAGTCGGAAAAGTCAATGGAGATCATTGGTTGCTTTATATGGCAGGTCCTACTGGCTCTGAAACCATCCCATCTTCACCAAAAATTCGTGAACACCACAACACGATTCCCGACTACACGATAGAAATACTCATGAGCGACCTTGCTCCTTCTGCCCGCGACTCGTTTTTTCCGCATCCTTCTTTTGGCCCTGAAGAACTTTCTGCTTCCCTGGGTATCTCCGATATATTTCCTTCTCACTTGACTACCCTCGACTCGTACTCCTTCTCGCCATGCGGTTACTCTGCCAATGCTCTCGTTAAATGGGGAGAAGATCATGGTGAAGGATACTACACCATCCACGTCACCCCCGAGGCAGGCTGGTCATATGCGAGCTTCGAATGCAATGTCCCCCTTCCGCCTTTTAACGCCGATCCCGCAGTCATTCCTGACCTACTCACTCTCGTACGGCGTGTGGTGGCCATCTTCTGCCCGGGCCGGCTTAGCTTAACGTTGTTCATCTCCAGCGATGATAACGAAGCCGATAACGGAGACAGCGCTGTTGAAGCGGCTCAACGAGCATTCAAGGCCGCGCTGATGCCAGAGGATGCGCCAGTAAGATATAGGCGCACGGATAAAATCAACTATGAATTCGGTGGTTACGACTTGGCGTTTGCTAGCTTCGAATTGAAACGCTGAAGTGTTGAGTTTTGCGATGCCGGTGTGATAAGCACTCGATGTCCGGATTAGGTATGTTTGTTGGACCAATAACATCAAGCTGATGCTGGAATTACGCAGAGCTGGAGGTTCTTTCAGAGCGGCGATGCCACTGAATTCGTAGTTAAAGTTCTATGCTGATTTGAATGTGTTCCATGTGATGCTCAAGTCCTCCGTGAGTTCTCTGTCATTCGTCTTGCCTACGAGTCTGATAAGATCACTTCGCCCCCCAGTTGGCCTTTTTAACAGCTCGTTTGGATGCAACAGTATTTTCTTCTGATGCACCCCAAGACGGTGTCTCTGCCCGCTGCCTCATCTGCGGACCATCTCCTTGCCCTCTCAGAGGTCAGCGACTTTGCGTTGACAGATATATATCCAGACATCGGCCCTTGCACCTATCGTATTCTGAAGGAGCCGATACTCTCAAGAGAAATTGAACGCGTTTCTAATGCAAAGTCAAGTAGGGCTGTTGATTACCTTTCCTTCCAGCCATGTGCGCCGACTATCTACGAAAATCAAGACCGTCTAGTAGTCGAGGAATGGAGTTTGCCTGGTGGAACATGGCAATTTGCGTTTGTTCTTGACGGTGATTGTCTCCTACTCGTCTTTCTAACCTGACGGTAATGACAGGGCATGTCAATAGCTCAACTGCAGACTACGCGGCGGAGACCCTTCCACGACACCTCAGAGAGAGCTTAACACTTGCTCTCCAAGCCTCCAATCGTATCTCGCCTAAACGCGTCAGTGAAATTATGCGCGACTCGGTGGTACAACTGGACGATCGTATAACCTCTGAATTCTTCGACCTATTCCCCCGAGATCCAACTCTCCTCGACCAATTATCGTCCGAAGACATCAAATCAATACCTATAACTCCGGGAACACTCGCCCGTTGTTTGGGTGGCGCGACACTTATTTTTAGGTATTTTATTATACTCTTAACGGAAATTATATAATCAAGCCTGACGCTCGTCATGACCAGTCTCGTCGATCCTCAGCAGAAGAATCTGTGGCTTGCCAATCTTGGAGGTAGGGTGCTGCCAAATTCCATCAATCTTTGTAATAATGGGCCCAGGTGATCAGACTGTAAACCTGGATTCATGTCGCTGAGTCCATCCCCAAGATTGCCGTGCGGGTAAGAAGGTTGGGTCTTGCATCTCGTTCCTGTTAATATTTGTCTAGTCTTGGGGTTGCGCGATAACAACGGTGCGTGGAGTGGGACACTGCTCAACACTCTCCACAACACCAAGGAAGAAACACGAAAAATCAGAGCTGAGCATCCTGCTGAGTCGCAGTGCATCAGAAACGATCGTGTTCTGGGGTTCTTAGAGCCATCCAGGGGTAGGTCCGTTGATGATCTCCACGACCAAATTCAATAAACTTGCAGCTGTTGGGGACTTATGGCTGAAGATTCCCTCGCCATATACCACCCGCATTTTCTCAAGTTTAGATCAAGACTGGATTTCTCAAGAAACCTTCTGTCGGCGTGCTCCTTGGATACTAACGGTTTGGTCCCTTATATGCCCCACAAACTTGATCTGACTTCGACAGCCGCCGTATGTTTCCAACGTCCCCGACGTATCTCATTACCCACTTCCCGATGACCCGTGGTTCTTGTTGTTATGTTCAGACGGGTTGGCAGCTGCAGAAACCTATGAGGGAATGAGTGATGTGGCCATGACAAGACACTGGACTGATGTTGTTGGTGCTGTTGTCGATCAAGGCTCACCTCAGGCGAATGCGGCATTGACCTTACTCAGGGCGGCCCTCGGGGGAGACCTCATCAGTCAAAGCCGGAATCTCACTGTGGAAATGGAGGAACGTTGGCTGGATGATATCACTATTGTCATTCAACACCGCCGCGTAGAATAAGCCATCGTGCTGTGTTACATAAGAATGCTGTTGTTGATTGCCTGGTGGTAGTACAATGAATGCGCGGTGGTATTATAAATCCAAGTCCACTAAAGCACCGTTGAAGAGCTCTGGTTGTGACTCTCGCAGAAGAAGTTCATCATCATCTTCGTCCGCACTGCGAGGTTCGGCACATTTCCGTTGCCAGTTGAAGTCCTCCCGGTCAGTCTCTTCGCGAGTGCGGCGCTTGACTCTGGCTAGCACCATATCGAGCTCCAAGAAGTTGTTGTCGTCGGCAGCAAACTTGCGATGCTTCCGTCCAGTAATATGCTGCGATGGATCAGAAGAGGAAACCATGTTGAGGCAAATTTTACCTTGTTGAAATCGTCGAATTTGGTCCGACAAGACTCGCAATATCCCGGCTTACTGCCCTCCTCTCTTTTTGGAAGCCTCATCGTATTGGTACTGCGACTTTTCTTGAGCATGGGTTGCCTGCTAGGAAACGCGGTGGGTGGCCCCATATCGCCACCGGTTGGTCTTGCGACCGCCGATTTGCGTGAGGTAAGGACCTGTGGGCGGCTACGGAGAGCGAGTGGTAAAGAGTTGATAATCGGAATTCCTGTCGTAGAAGTAGTGCCAGTAGTAGAGGTGATGCCAACACTGTTGCCCGAAGCAGCAACGTTCCCGCCTGGATGTGCGGAATCGCCAAAGTCAGCATCGAGATCAACCAATTGCTGCTCTTCAAGGGCTCGTCGATGCATATTATTCATCGAAGCTGAACGTCGCAAGTCTCCGGCTTGATTGCAGGCTCTCCAATGGGCCTCAGCACTCTGCTTCATCATTCGTTTCATTTTTTCCTTGTGAACGGCCTCGCGTTGGTCCACGTCCTCCTTATCCCGTTGTGATTTCTCCCATCGTCGCTTCTCCTTGTCGTCGAATGGCAAGAACGGCCCTCGTGACTGGGGATGGCAATAGAGAACTGGCCAAGGAACCTTTGCGTTTTGAGAGTCGCGGCCTTTGGGTATCACGTATTCCTGAATCGCAATCGGGGCCAATTCTTCTTTCAGATCTTCCACCAGCATGAAGTAGGTATTCCGATTGAAATACTTGTAATTGTGGCGCCTTTGGTTGGGGTCGCGCTCTGTCGTGCCATGTAGACGTTCAGTTTGTAGCAGACGAGAGAGAGACCGCTGTGGCACAGGAACTAGTGGTGGTGCGTGTTGTCCTACGACATCAAGACATCGGTCCAAGACGCTATTCAGCTTGGCCAGCGTCCATATCTTCGTGTTATCGAAGCTTTTGGCCTTGGATATCAGATCTTCCAGTGGTGCAGGTATATCGTCGGGAGTTCTAAGACAGACATATTAATCCATGGGATTGAGCCAAGCACGTCAAGACATACTGTTGCTGCCCCCTAAGCTTAATAGGACTTCGGAGTCGATTGCGCGGCACGTCGTTTTCCTTGTTGGCGGAGGGCAAGATGTCGGTGGTAGTTGGTTGGTCGGTGATGAAATGGGTTATGGTGTTAGAAAAGAAATTCTCGATGGACTGCGTGCAAGTTGAGCAGGTGTAAACAAGTGAGAAACGCGTACCCCTCCCAGCTGTCGTATCTTGGCCACTGTTTGCTTGATAGACGACGCGTCTGAGAGAATATTGTCTGCATCTATATAGAATCTCCAGTTCGGAAATGCCTTGCTATACTTTTCCTTGAACTCGAGACGCTGTTGCTCTCGCTCAGCATGTCGGCGAGCCTTGTCTTTGTCGGCCTCTTTGTCACGTTGTGTTGTGGTTCCCTTGAGTCGTTTGGAAACGTTTTCGATGGAATGGTCTGGGGAGCGCGGTCGTTTGGCTGATAGCGGTGGATGTGTCCTTCGGAGGGTGGCCATGGAGGGGCCAAGAAAGAGCTAAGTATGTGTTTGTTTGTGTTTGATGCAAGAACGCGTAGCACGTGACCGAAATCGACTTTGCGATGTCGCAGTATGGAACTACTCGCGGGCCCCCACAGGCCGCCAAGGATCGCACAACAGACTACCACACTGCATTATTCCGTCGACTTAGCTGGGAAGGCACTGTTCCCCTCGAAATCAGGGTCGATCCGAATGAGCTTCCTGCAAACTCGGACCGTGGTCTAGCATGTTACTTTGTACAAGCACCAAGAGTCAGCTATCTCCCTCTCCTCATGCCGGAAATACGTCGATTTCTCATGGACGTCGTGTTCGATGAGGCGGCTTCCAAGTCTCTGAAGGAGGAGGACTGGTGGTTTGAGATTGACGACGGCACGCTGCTAAAATGGTCAGTCGACCCATCACAAATGAGTTTTTAACGATTCGTTCTACAGGCATTGGCCAATTGGACTCATATACGACAATCATACCATCCTCACCACAATCCGACCAGGGCCCTCTCTAGCAACAACTTCTACGACACCCTTGCGGCTCATTCTCCATCTGGCTTCCCCGCCAACAGATAAACTTCTCCTCGCGGCAAATGCTGAGGCCTGCAAGCAGGCATTCATGGGTCAGCTCAAGGAAGCAGACTTCATCCGTTGGGGTAACACAAAGCGGATGACTGGGCTTCGCAAAGCAGACCAGGATGGCCTATGGGAAGGAATCAAAGAGCGTATGCGACTTTTTGTCTCTTGCATCTGGCCACTAATGCATTTCAGACAACTTTGAGGAATACTGGCGCGTTGCGTCAAAAGTAACCCCTACGACAACTGCAAATCGACCACAGTCGCCAGGACCGCCGCCTTCATCTGTATCGATGCATGGCCGGCCACCCTCAGCAGACACATCAGCACCGCCTGAAAGGGACGGCGCTTATAACGTTCGGAGTGTACCCGTTCGTCTCTATCTACCCGACGGCCCTGTCATCCAAGATCTTGTGCCGCCACTTCTTGAGGACGGTCAGTTGGAACCACTCCATATGGTTGTTTTCTCTGATAGAGTCGTTTCCAGGTTCACCGCATACCCTTGCACATTTCTTGAATACTCATGCCCCATTGCTTTTTCCGCCGCAGCCACCAGCCCCGCCTCCCTCTCGTACAAACCCCAATCCCCGTCCTCCTTCCCACCAAGAACTCGCATACCCACTTGTTCAAGGTATCTTGGCGCCATTAGACTCTGAGATGGCTTGGTTGGGTGCTTGCTTGGCGGGTGCTGACGGTTGGGTCAATGTTTGTGTCGGTATCAGTCGAAAATAGCTGTTTTACATATGTCACCAAACGCCAGCGGGCTGTGGACTACCTGGTGTCGGACTCGAAACAGGCTGAGAAGTATTTCTGGTTGGTAGTGGCGCATCATCCTCCTTTCTCCACTCTATCTTCTCGACCCTCACTTCGCCATCAATAAGTTGGTAGACGTAAGTGACAACCGCTGGTCCTTGAATATCCATCAAAGCAAACGAAGGAGTTGGGTCGCTGAAATAGGTTGAAAGAGTTATTTGTCAGTAATATCAAGGGAGCGTACCCCGGAATGGCTCCTGTCCATGCACCCGTGGCGGATCCCGGGTTCACAAAGAATCTATTGTCGTGTTCGCGGGCTTGGAAGCTACAGAGGGTGGTCGGCAATAGTTGGTAAAATTAGAGAGTTGCGTATACGTATGAGTATGGCCTGAAACGAGGACGTCTACATCCATTTGCCGGGCTATGGCATCTAAAGAGTCGAGATCGCCGACAGGAACGCTCTGGTGGCCATGGATAACACCAATTTTGATTGGATTGTGAACGACAGTTATTGAGAGCGGGAAATTGGAGGTCTACAGAGGTCAGTTGGGGTCGGAGAGTATAGTTAGAGGAAGAGACCTCGTCGAAGTCTCCTCTGACCACGTTGACGTCGGGTGAGATAGTACGCAGATATTCGTAGGTTTCCTTGTCGCAAACATTGCCTGTGCACAAAATCTGCTGAATCTTGCCGGGGACTAATAGTTTTTTGAACTTGGCGGGGAGATCATGCGTTCGGTGAGGAATGTGGAGGTCCCCAATGATCAAGACGAGAACCATGGAGGAGAGGTACAGGAACTCAGCACGTCACATGATAGCAGCACTCTCTTGTGAACCATGAACACAAACGCAAAGTATTCCGCATTGCCGGACATCGTATGTCGATTTCCATTATTATTACTCTTCTCAAGTCTATTCAGGACACGGCCCAAGATGTCTACGAGACTGAAGACTCCTTGCCAACTGTGAACGCAAGTGCCAATCGGAATTGAGTAGCTGGATTTCACCTCTATCATAGAAAGTAGACCATGGCAGCGACGACGAAGCTCTCCCTACACGATCTACCTTCAAAACCGCTCGTGTAAATGACTCTAGCGCGTCCAAAGAGGAACTTGACTCGTCAAATCTCATTCAACATGATGAAGCAAGCAAGCGATTCAAAAAGGCGGAGAAACGGAGAGGTCTGTTCATCTCTTTCATTCCTTTGAGACTGCTCTTAGTATATATCTAGAACGCGCAAATTATGTATACCCACCCTCACCAACGTCGCCCGACGAGCCTTCACCTTCGCGGCCTGTGCCTTTGTCTCAACGATTACGCGCATTGCAAGCCGAAATCCTGTCGCTGGAAAAGGAATTAGCGGAGCCCGCCAATCCACTTCTTTTCAAAGAACGAGATGACGACGTTGTCAATCCTGGCGAGCTAATTCGAGGCTTAGTCGATGTTCGGGGCAGGCTTGACAAAATTCGGAAGGGGAAAGAAGGCCGAGGGCGACTGGTTGGTGTTATTTTAGGTCAGGATATCGAAAAGGAAGTGGAACGACTGGATGGTGCAGTGCCATCTACAGATAACGAAAAACCCGCTGTTCGAACAATTGTCGAAATGGACCGTCGAGTCGGAGAGCTGGAGAAATTAGTTGGCTCGTCAACCGCCACCATTGATGAGGCGAGTAATATTCACCACAGTAATTTGACTGACTTGTCGCCCAGTCTTCGCCACTACCACCCCCTTTGCTACCTCTCATTACAAGGCTAAACGGTCAACTCACATTGTTAACCCAGCCTCGACATATAGACTCTGTCTCCCGCCGACTGAAGCTATTGCTTTCTGATCTCGATCGAGCTTCTGCATCCCAACATTCCCATCGCCGACATCCTTCACAATCCAACAACAGCGCGCCGTCCCAGATCCAGGAGCAAATATTACCATTATTGTCCCGATTGAATCCCTCTCTGCCCCATATCCCGCATATTCTAGCTCGATTACGGACGTTGTCTGCTTTACACACCTCTGCGAGTGAGTTTGAAAATACGCTCCAAGCTTTGGAGGAAGATCACCGCAAAATGCGAGAGGCGCTTAGTGAGTTGGAAGGAGCAGTGGGTACGATTGAGAAAAGTATGGAGGCTAATCGAGAGGTAGTAAAGGGTAATGTGGGCGGTTTGGAGAATCGGGTAGATGCATTACTTAAACGCGTTGTTGAGATGACATAATGTCACGTGTCAAAATGCCGCTTGACGAACAGCACCTTGAACAACTCGATCAAATACAAGCGCGTTTACAAGCTCTCAGAAATGCACCAGCTACCGTTCTCAAGACCTCGCTAGCCTTTTCCACCTCTTCCACCCGCCAGGAGTTTCTCAAGCTCAAAGAACTGACAGAGCTCGTCTCTTCTGATACAGTTCAAGAGTTGCTCGCGACCGTAGCCAAAAGTGAGCGGGAAGATAGCTCTGATCTCAGCCATGACCCAAGACGAAGCATTCAGAAACGAAGGTAGGCAAGGTTGACCATCCAACGCGTACCTAACGCTTTCAGGCGCCCCCCTTCTGTTGTCGGTTCACCACAACCTTACGTTGGAGTCGTTGACAAGCAAATTCGTCCTCCGTTTCCCCCGGAAAGCAATGGCCTTAGACCCTTACGGGAGGATGAGCTCGCAGAATATATACGGGAATATAACCGCACGCACTCACGGAAGCTGCATATATGGACAAGAACAAAAGGTCTACCTTTCGTTAACTTTGCCCTCGAGAAACGAGTTGATAATGGCACAGATGCTCCTCGACCGAACAATCTGGCTATTATACGCTTCACCATCAGTGACGTTCTCGTTTGCTACATAACCACGAGCTTCGACTCCAGCGATCCTGTCCTTGTGGCTGAATCGATAACAGTATTCGGTCCGAGAGAAAAGGTATGGCTTGTTTATTTTGCAGCCCGCTTAGCCTCAATGTTGCAGAAATCGCCATATTCTCACAGTGATTTCCTTGTTTATCAGAGCCTGTCCCAGCACTTTGCAAGCCTACTCCAAGCCCATCCGTTTACCTCGTTTCAGAACATTGTCGTCAGTATTGTTGTTTGCTTCCTCGGATATTCGGCTTAATCATCGAGCAGGCTTTACTGGAGGCATACGACGGCCTTTTCCTCACGCCATGTGGGAAGTGTGGACGGGTTTTGTCGGTCGAAGGTCATGAGCCCCCGGTGATACGTGCGTTTAGCGCTAGCGGTTGGCAAGCGGTTCACGTTGAATGTGATAGAGTTTAGAGTGTCCGCCATCAGCTGTCAAATGCTTTGTTAGATGCCATAAACAGTACTTTACTTAGGAGAGATCAAGAAATGAAAGGCGCGGGTCTCGTATTAGGTGTGGTTGCCTCAGCATTCCTCCATGGCGACTAGTCGAATGATTCAGGTTCTGAGCTACAATCCACACGAAGGCGAAGAAGGCGCTCCCATAACCGTCCGAATTCACTTTGTTGCCGACAACGATGACCCAATCCATGTTCGCCTCGTCCTCGCCAATAAGGCAGTCAACACCGCCGTTCGTGAGCTAGAAGGCTTCGATTATGGTCGCTGGCAACTCGATGCGGCTGCTCCCCCCATTACCCAGCTTTCCATCGAAGGAAGCAAGGCCCCCATTACCGTCCAAGCCCTGAATGCCCAAGACGACATTCTCGACTCAGTCTTCGTTGGCGATTTCGTATATTGGGACGTGAAGCCTCAAATCCAGCAACTCGGTCGCCCTCGCGCTGCCACACACAATCCTACTGCCAGTCCACACTATTCCCTCCCATCCCCATCACTTTCCGACCGTTTCCCTCGCTCCAAAGTACGCTCTCGCCGAAGCTACGTGCCTAAGTCCGCCCAGGATTTGTCTCTTGTCCGCACTGGTCATTATCCCACTAGCGTTGACTCGGATGACAATCTTTTTGCCCATGCGCCCCTTCTCGAAATCGTCACGCCATTGGACTCGCTCTGTAGTGGCTGGAAGCAATCAGAGGTGGCTGCTGGTCGTCGTCTCGTGCGGTTCCAGAAATCGCAACTTGGGCGTCGAGTCATTCTTTCCGGCGAGGCGATTCGTCAGGAGGATTACCGTGACACCGACACCGTCATTTCGTGCATTTTTCGTGAGGAGGTTGGGGCGTGCTATGTCACTTCGGTCGACATCATATACCTACTCGAACGTCTCACCAACGACCAGTTCCCCGTTGAAGAGAAGAATCGAATCAGACGCAACCTTGAAGGCCTCAGACCGACCACTGTCTCTAAGCATAAGCGTGGTTCAGAGGCGTTCTTCCAGCGGATAATGGATTTTCCAGACCCCAAACCACGCAATATCGAAAAGGATCTCAAGGTTTTCGAATGGTGTCTCCTCGGTCAAGCATTGGAAAAAATCATGTCAAAATATGTGGGTTCCCTTGGCTGATAGCTGTCTTCCTGTCGCTTATCAGATAACTCCAGTCTATCTACACCTCGTCTCCGACCGACTCGACAAGTTCATTACCAGCCGAGTCTGGCCCAAGTTTCTCCCAGGACAGTCCATTGACAATCGATCCCACACTGGATGACAAAACCCCGCTTCGTGGACTGCTCTTGCACTTCGATGGCGACCAATATTCGTATCCAGTAAAGCAAGAGAGCGACTCCAGCTCGGGCAGCAACTTTTCCGACACTTTCCCTACTTTGCACGACCGCGACACCAGTTTCGACGTTCCCGAGTTTGACGAAGCACAGCAATACGAGCCCTACTTGGGCGAAGATGAGATGCACATGATGTTCTAGCTTGTTCGACCTTCTTTTTCTTTTTCCTCGTGGTTTGGGGTCAAAAGTGTACAATCATACAATAGAGCTCAGTAGTTTACAATGTGTCTAAGTTTACAAAATGCGGAGGAAATTCCCAGAATATAAGTTGTCCTCAAGATGAAGAAGTCGCACCACGGCGACCAAAGTTCAAGCTCCCAAACCTGGAAAAGCGACCTTTGAGAGAGCCGAATGAAGTAAAACTTTTTGACGTGGCAACAGACGCTCCAGACATTTTGGCACCGGAAACAGCATGGACACCGTTGCCAACGTTGACAAAGGAATTGTGAGGCGACTCGGCCGACAAGGAATCACTCCCTCCAGTATCGCCTGGCGCTGATGAGACACCATTGATTCCATGGCGTGCAAGATGGGCTAGATGCCTTTGTAGAGGTGTTTGTCTTTGGTGGATAATGTCTGGAGGGCTGATGGGAGACCTTGGTGATGTTGGGACAGGGCTGATCACAGACGTGCCCAATTGTAGCGGTGGGATAAAGAACGGCGCACGAGGCTTCGTAGTAGAGACCGTCGAGGTCAAGCTTCGCTTCACAGATTGCTCGTAGGTGGATGATGGGTATTGAGATGGTTGGCGAGGAACATAGGACGGAGAAGATGGATCGGGAACGTCAAGACCCAGGCGTCTGATTTCATCGCGGAAATTCTTCCTGAAGAATTTCTCTAGTGTCTCGTGGAAAGGAATGAATTCCGGTGGACACAGCTGGCCATGAAGCTTCATGCAATGATCAATGACAACAACCTATAAAAGGGTTAGAAGAGGTATTGATATATAAGCAAGTACATACCTGCTCGTCAATCGCCGATTTCAATTTTTCAACGAGCTCCCCGCGTTCTGGATGTCGCGCCACGTATTCTGGATCAAAGAAAGTTTGCCGATAGGCGGAGAGACCAGTGTTGATTGGAGTGTCTACGGCGCCGTTCAAAGACATGGCCAGAGCGTTAGTTGATACTGGTTGAGCCGTCTTGGCAAGTGCTTGATATTTGAGGTTGAGAGCAGCGAGCTCTTTGGTCTTTAACTCGACTTCACTAAGAGCGTTCTCCACGGGAGAAATCTCGATGATTTCCAGACCAATGACCTCGGACCGACGTAAGACCGTGGGGAATGCCTCCTCCGTTGTGAAGTAGGTTTTTTCCACCCAGATTTCCTCGATGCCTGAGCGCCCAATCTTCTTGAGTTGGCGTGACGAGCTAAACAAATTGATAGCCCTGCGCAACATGAATGCTCTATCGCAAAATAATCACAAGGAACGTACGAATGCTCGTAGTAAGTCTTGACAGGAACTGGCGCATCGGGATTCGTGAACACAGGAAGTGAACGATTAGGTTCTGGCGTGACAGCGGTACATTGGATGTACTGGTCGTGCCCGAATCTGATGTCGACTGATGGCTCTCCTGGTGTCTTCAAGAGTTGCGCTCCGGGGTGTTTGCTCAACATTCGTTCGCAGAATGCACCGTATTTCTCCCACTCATAGCCTCGGTACTAGACCACTGTTAGATAGAGTAATGATGGCATAAAATTCTTACAATGAAGCGCTTGTCTCGCAGCGCAGCGGGGAAGCTACCATAGAATGTGACTCGGTAATAATCCGGGTAATAGCGCTGGTCGGTGACGATATGTTCCAGTAAGGCAGCCTGGTGTCGCAGAATCTCTGCAAGTCGACCGCTAAGCACATATTAGTCTTTGTGAAAACGCAGGACGGCGCGATTGGATTACTAATTGAAAGTGACCTCTGCATGCTGGAATGCGAGTTCTTTACAGATGTCGATGGCACTCTCCCATGCTTTACCTTTCCCTGTGTGGTTTGTTAGATCTCATCAGGTTCTTCGTGAATAACGTGCCTAGATAGTCTAGAATTAACAGACATAGGGTCTCCTTGCGATGGAAGTGAGATTGTTGTGGAAGACCCAGGTCTTCCATAGGGCCAACAAATGAGTTCAGATCCCATTCATGCAAGTCAGAATGCAATTTGAGAGTCAAGGCCGCTTCAACGTAGTTTTGGGACTGCAGATGCATCTAAAAAGCAGTCAGGTGACTATGAAGGGAGCAGTGGTTGACCCACATTGACGAGTTGGTGGACATATTTGATATAGATTTCGTCGCGACCAATTCGACGGATAAAGTTCATTAAACGAAGCTAGGGCGGGTCAAAGAGTGCTCAGAAATGCGATGTCTGGCAACTTACAGTAGCAATGACGCGGTCATCAGCATATTCATCGCCCTCGGGCAAAGCGCGCAGGCTGAGCAGAAGCTCAAGGAAGAGGTCAACAGAGTCGAGGAAAACCGAGACCCGTTCTCTCAGCCCATCGTCTACTTCAGTAGAATAGAACAAATGCCGGAGATGGCCAATGAAGAAGGCTCGCGAAATGTCGTCGCCTTTGCTGTCTGACATAAACAACGAATCCAATCGTGTGACCAGTTCGTTCTCGATGTCGTCGAAATTCTGTGATTGGTGATATTCCGATACGATCATACTGTAGAGCATCTGGACGGCATTGTTGCGCAGTTGGTCGTGGTGGCTCAAGCAGAGATTGACGACTTGACCGACCAGCGGATGAAGGTATACCTGGTAACCCTAAAACCCGGTTATAGACTCAACCACGGAAGTAACTCTGACATACACCGTATCGAGTCACTGGTTCACCAGCAGTAGAGGGGTGCTCTGCCCATCCAAGCCCTTGCCATAATGTGAGCAGAAGAGAGGCACCATCGCCTCTGATATCGCCGGCTAAGCGCCACACAGCTCGACATTTCTAAAGACGTGGTCAGCAATCTAGGTCAACGAGCAGGGGGAAACACAAACCTGAGGACTGAACTCTTCAATAACTAGTTGGTCTGAAGACAGCAACTTGAGAAACATGTAAAAGCAATCTTTCCAGAGCTGGGTCTTGAATTGGGCCTGCTCTTCTTGTGGCGGAATAAACTCCTTCTCCATTATAGCAGCTATTGGTTCCATCATCTTCACAAGAACTTTGTGCGCCAACACATTGATATTGAGCCAGGTCGGAGGGAAAGCATCATTCTCAAGTATCGAGGTCGCCACTCGGAAAAATTGCAACAACAATGCTACAAAGCGGTCTCGGCCTTCGATATCAAGGCTGAGCTCAAAAAAGTTGAGTATATGCTTCGTCGGCGACGAAAGAATCAGAACAAGGAGAACTGTGGCCGTCTCTCCTAGCCCGGGATTGAAAACTTTTTCCGTATCAGAAGCGCCGGGAGTCAAAGGACCGCGCGGGCTTTCGGGAAGTTGAGCCAGCAAAGAAAACGGATATGATTCGGGGAATGTGACGGGAATGTTGCTCTTCATTGGCAAAGAGGTCCGAGTGCGCTCCATAGCTTTGCGGGATGCTGAGTTTTGAAATTCACGATAAGACTCGAGCAATCTAAGGTCATATTCGGTCAGGGGCTCGAGGGATGGACGAACAAAAAACTGACCTTGGGATCAAAGGGAGGAGATTCTCGACGTTATCTTCCTCCTTCCGATGTCGAATTCGATCGCCAGCTATGGAGGGAGACACCAGATATTGTTGTAGCTTGTCTAGCATCACGGCAACGATTGTCACGCAAAGACGAATGCTCTCTAGCCAGTTGATGCGGGCTGCATCTTTGACGCTCTCCGACTCGTTCGTGTTGTAGTCGTCATACTTTCCGAAATGAGGTTTGATCCATATGACAACAGCTTCGACGAGAAGGGGTCGCGATTCCGGGTTGTCGAACAAAAAGCCCTTGACAATGTGAAGGTACATGATTAGCTTCCAAATCACGATTTTCCCCTTGCCCACGGTCACTGCATTGGCAAAGCTGGTGGCAATGGAAACCAATTCTATGGTGGAGAATATTTTCGCCAATTCGGGGAGAATTGAAGTGAAATGTTGGAGGGCAATTGTTTGCGTTCCGATGATCGACGGAGGAGATGTGGCGGCCATCATGCGTGTTACTTCAGCCAGGTGAGAACGGATTTCTCTCTTGAAGTTCGATTCAAAATGATCAGCTGTAGCCCCACCACCCATTCCAAGTTCCTTTGCTTTCTGAAGCTCTCTTGCCCGTGTTATGAATTTGAAGATATAGTGCCAAACTTTGAGAGCTGCCCGAAGAGGTGAAGCACTTTCCGCAGAGGTAGGATTAGAGAGCAGCCGAGTCATAGAATGGACCATATGTGACGACGCGGCAGCACAATTGAAGTGTTGCTCAATGTAGACGTCCAAAACTGGTTGAAAATTGCTGAAACGACGGTCTTGGACGATGCCGAGAACTGTGACCAGTGCATTGAAAACCAATTCATCCATCTCGCCGGAAACATTGTTGGCGGAAACAAGGATGCCAAACAGAGAGTCGAAGATATCGCGCAGAAACTTAACGATCTCCCCTTCCCCAACGAAAGTGAACTTGGTAAGCACGGTGGAAAGCAACTCTCGATCCGCCAATTTGTCCCAGCTCAATAGACTCAGAAGAACAGGATTCTGTGTGAACTTGGTGGAGCACAAGGAAGAGCGGAGGGTAAGCGTATCCCGAAGCGGAGGAGCAAGACGCTGCATTTCTGGAGGTATGATAAGCTGATCATGCCGCTGGTTGGATGCAAGCCAAGGTGGAGCGGTGAGATAAACTTCTGGGGGAACTTGTGACAGTTTATCGGCTCGATATAGTACCAAGGTATGACTTCCGTCTTCTACGAAGGCACGCCGATCCGGGAAGAGTGGCTGGAAGGCAAAAGCGAATGGTCGTTCAGAGTCACGTGCGCCTCGATCTCGTCCTGATCGATTGCGGAAAGTGAAAAACAGATGCCACTGTGGAATGCCTTGTAAAGGTAGTTGCACTTTAATCAACTCGCCAAAGGTTGGCTCGTTGCATCGCTGGAAGACCATAGAGTGGAACTGAGTCATAGTTGGCTCTCCGCTACCCTGCGAGACAACAGATTCAATAGGGCGACCATCCTCGTCGCGAACTTCAACGGTGACCTGAACATTATTTGACGGGGGTCCCATTTGGCCCCGAGCGAATTGAGCAACGCTGAGCCGGCCAGATGCGTTGTTGCTAGATGAGAATTCACCTGACCACAGTTTGATGTAAAACTCATTTCGCACATCGCCAGGGAATACGACGTCAGGAAAGCCAAGTCGAAGAGTATGAGGGGTATCTTGTAGAAGCGATGTGTTTTCTTTGACTATGATAGCGGAGTCGCCACGGAAAATCTTGACTGTAACCGCCATTGATTCAGCTCTATCGCAAGTAATGAGCCATTGGATTTTTCAAGCAGGAATGAGATTTACCTGGGCGACTTCTCGTATTCTTTGGTGTTCTTGCTGATAATGTTTTGATGCATCATAGAGAACGACGCTTCGTTGGTGGGCACATATATTGGCATTTGAAACTCTCGAGCAGGAGTCGCATCTGAGTCGTCTGTACTCATTCGAGCAAGTGGAGTTAGTTCTAGGATTGCACATCCAAAGGGCCTGCGGAAGGGGGACGAGAAGTCGTTGGCACGGGGACTGGTAGGTCCATCCCCGTCTGAACGAAGACCATGGCTATCTTGCCTGCCCAGTTCGGTCGTCTTCATGGCGCCACTTCTAACAATACGACAGACCAAGTAAACCGGGTCTTGTACGTCCGAAGGGGCTAAATCAGTGAACAGAGTACGGATTCGCTTGGAGGGATCACGTGCAAGGACACCGTTGTGATTTAGTATAGCACAGAACTCTTCTGTGATAAACTGTCCAGAACGTTTGTAGAGGGAGAAAAAAAGTTCGACTGTTTCTCCTGGTGCACAAGGAGATGCAACGAAAGCACGCAGGTCCAAGTAGATGTGGAAAAACTTGGCTGTTGGGCGGACGGAGTCGCCAGAATTCCCGAGAGAAAGTGAGCGAGGTTTATGGTGAACGGAATCGGGGAACGCGGAGTGAGCCGGTGTTTGGAGTGAATTAGTAGTGATATGTTCAGTACTAGCAAGCGGCAACGAATCCGCATAAGGCACATTAAGATACGCAAGGTTGACCTGCATTGAGTACATGCGAACAGCGCTGACCCAGCTGTGTTGATCTGCCTGGCCGTCAACATCGACAGTGACGAGTGACCCCCAGGTTGGATGACGAACGATTACGTCGAGTCCCTGCAAAATATTTCCACTAACAAGACGTGCGACACAGTCCCGCCTCATGTTGACAGCTTCCTCCGCATTGAGAGTTTGGGCCAGGAGTTGCCGACGTCCAAGATGAAGAATTTCTATGTGCTCGCGGACTACATGGAATAGTTTATAGTCGCGACGAGCGAGATATTGGAACATGAAGGTGTGCCATTCGCGCAAAGCTGATGCAATTTCGTCCACGATAGGTTGACTCGCGCCTGCCGCGGTATCACCACCCGACTTGAGTGACGGTCGAGGGGGTAGTGGTTTAAGGGACTGGGATTCGGCTGGAGAAGAAGACCGAACAGAAGCTGACCTAAGGCTTGGAGGGTATATTGGATGACCAGAACGAAGAGACCGCGAAAGATCGGGTGGAGGTCCGATACGAAATGATTTTGCCGAAGCTGAGAGATCCAAGTCTTCTTCTTCTTCCTCTTTAACGCTGCCCATGATAGAGCTTGGTTTGTTTCCAGACCACTGCATGAATGAGCTGCCGGGACTAGCAGTTCCATGAGAGGCGTTGCTTGAAGCCCAACTTCCGCCGTTCAATGTGGCGGCCAACTCTGGCAGTTTGCCCTCTGCGTCCGCGAATTCGTCCCGGATATAGACATGAGAAGCGGGGAAAATCCCAATAAAGACTTGGTGAGGTTCTTCCATCTTTTGGGGGGGTTTTAAGGCAGACGAAGAAGGGTCCGAACCAAGCGCCCAAGTTACTGCTGGTCGTCGAGTGGTGCAAACGACATAACTATGCCTTTCAATTGCAGCCCAAGTAAGAAAGCAAACACACACACCCTCGATACCAAATCCCCTCCACTTCCTTTCCACGTGGCGTATATTTCTCAAACGCGTAGATCTCGTCTCCGACCTCCAACGCCACAACGTCACGGTGCAAGAAATGGTCCTCCCCTGCCGAAGATTCAGTGACAGTAGAAAGTCGATTCCTAGTTGAGAAGCGGCTTTGCTCGCGGGCTCCAACCTAGTAAAAGATGCATATGTGAGCAGGAGTAACACTTGACAAAAAAAAATCAACGTACCGTCAATGGATGGGACACGAAGCCATAGACAATAAGAGGGAGGGGAGACCACTGCCCGGCCATAGAGCTTTTGTTCGCCCAGTATCCACCGTCAAGGTCGCAAGAGATAGCAGACGAGTTGTTGGCAGAAAGGAATGAATTATTGAAAGTCACCAGTCGTCACACGCCTGTGACAATGTTAGACCACAACCTAGACCGCCTCACGCAGAATGTACAAGCCATACGAGCGACAAGCGCGTTATCCGCGTCTTCAACGACTTTCACAAACGCAATACTACGCACAGCATTAGGAGATCTGATTCGCGACACAGATGCCTCTGAGGATGGCCTTTTCACGGGTAACCTCAAGCGTGTCGAGTTCCACGGTCCTTCTCTTCCTAGAAAGCAAGACCCAGAGATCTACGCGGAGGCGGCATTAAGCTACATCGAGCGCTATAACCATATCCGTCAGATGCCACGCGCCCGTTCACGCGTTTTAACGATCCTCGACCAAATCGACGCGACCCGAGAGAGTATTCGTGATCTCACTGACTCACTCGAACAAGTTCAATTGTCGGACATTAAGCCACTTGCAGACAAGGAACAAGAGCGCATAGTTTTGCTTCAAGCTAAGCTAGCGGATTTGAAGAAGAAGCAGGTCGGTCTTTGTTGATCTACTTGGTTTTTCCAACATAAGAAAGTCAGGTCGTACCCAAAAGGTTGCCTTCTCCCACAACTCCTGTCAAAACAGTCTCAAAGCCGGATGACACTTTCCACACTCCGGCAGCCGCCGCTCGTACATTCCGATTTACGGACAATCTGCTTATGGACGAACAAGTTGATCTAGCCGACATCTCAGTTTCATCGCCTGCGATGCCTATACGAATATACCGCCCCAACGATACTTCTACACCTATTGAGGACAGTGTTGTGGAAGAAGAGCAACCAACCGCTATCCTGGAGGAGCAAGACACGATCACTCAAGAAACCCCCGCTGTCCCCCCATCGCCAACGCCATCACCAGTCAAGCCTTCTCCCATAGAGACGCCGAAAAAAGGCAAAGTCCGCGTTAATTCGGAAGTAGAACGCGTGGTGGTGCGTGGTTGTGTGTTTAACGCCAAACTTGAAGAAAAAGCTAATACTTGACTTCAGACCAAGATATGGGCCACTGTAGGCGATCTGATAATGCCTGGGCATTCTTACGACACCACTGGGACTGGGGAAGGCCGGAAGCCTCCACATGCAAAAGAGACCATGTCAGAGCCGTTTGACTACATTGAATCACTGTGTTGACTTGCCTTTAGAGCTCATTTGAATTCGCTTGCTTCTCTTGTTCCCACTCCAGCCTCTCCCTCGACAACCATTTCATCCTTGTCGACACACACCTCAACTGCCCCAACCCCTCAGCAAATTCTCACCGCCCACCTCCTCTTGCATCTCCTTGAGAGTGGCCCGCAGTACTCACTACCGCTGACTAAGGTTAGAGAGCTGTTGGCGGACAAGGCCAGTCGAAGTGGAGGAACAGGAATTGTTGTCGGAGGCCAGAGCACTACGAGGGTGCTGTATGCATGCGTAGCTAAACGTTTGGTCAAGATAGATCGCGGTGGTGGGGAAGAACTTGTAAAGTTTGATTTGTAGCATCATTTATGTTCTGGACACGAGGCGCTTTCATGACGAGTTGACCGCGAGAATTGAGCGGCCTGCAACCTCAGAAGCACGAGTTAGCCGTACGATCAATTGCAACATTGAAGTCAATTCAAGGAAGTCTCTTGAACGCAAAGCCCCAGCCCCCCACGCACTGCGCCTTGTCGTCAACTTGCCGATGATGCCAGGACTTGGGTATAGCGCGTGGTCCGATCCAATGGAATCGATCGAGTAGTACGGCGAATGGGGCAGGCAGTCAGTCAGTCAATCATGCCCCATGGCCCAGCTGGTTTAAACAGATACGATTCAGACCTAAACGTCTCGCGTCCGAAAAAGGAAATTAATGACGCGACGTCTATATCTTAGCGAATTCAAGGGATTTTGGGACCACTGAGGAGGGTCAGAATATGAAATAGAAAATACACGTAAGGAATGCGTCGAAATGGGACCACAGCAAAACGATACTGCCCCAGTGAGGCTCGAACTCACGATCTCACGATTGCGACCATATCAAATCACGTGACTTGAGATTAAGTAACAGTCGTGCGCCTTAACCAGCTGGGCCATGGGGCTATATCCACGTTCAAAAATGGGACATTTTGATGAAAAGCGTTATCCAAACCACGAAAGAATTTTTTTGGGATTTTTTCGACTAATTTTCCACCAAGTCGGAGTTTTACACTTGAATAACTTAAAGTAGACGCGTGAAACGAACAAATTACTACTACTAATCAGGTTCAGAATCAATCCACTGTGTAGGAACCTCGCAATATGCAAGACACCATCAGTTGTTTGACCGTTTACAACAAATCATGGAGCAGCCATCATTGTGGAATCCCACGTTTGTCACCAGTGTGACCGCCATGTTCGATAACGACCACAAAGGTTATCTTCTGATTATGCATGGCGGCGCAGGAACCATGTCGAGAGAGGGTTCTACTCCAGAGCAACGCGTCAGATACAAAATGGGTATTCGTGCTGCCCTCGAGGCCGGTTACGCGGTTCTGCGGTCTGGCGGCGAAGCAATGGATGCAACAGTCGCCACAGTCAGCGTATTAGAGGACAACCCGCTTTTCAATGCCGGCAAAGGAGCCGTATTTAATGTCGCTGGTAAGGTAAACTGGCGCCTCTAGCTTGTAATCAAACCCTTCCTAATCAACCCTTCACAGAACGAGTTGGAAACATCACTCATGCTCTCGAAACCCCCCGCCACTGGTGACACTGGCATTCCGGTGTCAAGACGGGGGGTCGGGATTACTCTGCTCTCGCACGTAAAAAACCCAAGTAAACTTGCTCGCGCTCTGTATATGGCACCGACTCTGCTGCCTCATACTTTCATCTCTGGGCCAACTGCAGAGTTGCTTGCTGAATCGTTGGGCGAAGAGCTTGTGCCATCCAGTTACTTTTTCACAAAACAACGCTGGATTGAGCATCGCCGGGGACTGGGCTTACCCGATGACGACGAGAAAATCGGCGAAGAATTGCCCTTACTTGACCTGCAACCCACTGGGACGGTTGGTGCAGTGGCCCTAGACATTCGAGGCTGCATTGCATCCTTGACCTCAACCGGCGGCAGGACTAACAAATTGGTGGGGAGGATCGGCGACACGCCTCACATGGGGTCGGGCTTCTGGGCAGAGCAATGGCCAAGTTCAACGGGATGGGTCAACAGGCTGCTCGATAGAATACGGGGGACTTCGTCCGAGCAAGCCGTTGGAATTTCCGGAACTGGTGATGGCGATGTGGGTCTGTTTGCTCAGCTAAAAGATCATTAATCGCGTTTTTTTTAGTATTTTATCAGATGCTCAACAGCAGTTACAATCGCACACCGAGTCAGATACCTGGGTGAATCGCTCCAGAAAGCAGCAGACTATGCTGTCAACGAACTCCGTGAAAATGGCGGCATTGGAGGTATTATTGCTCTGGACAACCAGAAAAATGCCGTGTTCGCGCTAAACTGTCCTGGTGCGTCCCAAGTCTTCATCTTCATGAGAAAACTGAGGTCCAGGCATGTACCGTGGAATCATCCGAGAGGATGGAGTGCCTTTGACTGCTATATTTGATGACGACATTCTTGAATAGACAATTTTACAGATACGTTACTATATCGTGGCTTTGTGCATCGCGTTCTTAAGCCGTTGGCGAAGGGGACTCTCCTCCCTTATTGGGCTTCCCGGTGGAGACATTGTTAGTGTGGTTGTCGTAGGGCTGGCAGAGACAGTTGGTCGCTGCTCGACTTCACCGTCAGCAACAGGTTCAATTGACTCTGTGACCACTGCCACGCGTGTCCAACGTCTGAACCGCGTATACTGCTGAAAGGTTAGAGCTAAAGATGGTTATCATCCAAAATGTACAAACCTTGCCCATACCACCCTTCGCGCTCAGCTTTTCCCATTTGTTGTCTCCATAGATCCAGCCATCTTCATCAGTGACCCAATCTTCCTCCTCTTCTTGGTCCTCAACAGCGGGCTTTTCACCTTCTGGCTCTTCAGTCAGCGAGGATTGGCTGTTTGATTCACGCATTTTGACGGCTGCTTTCATGAGGAGACCCGGGTTCTCTTCTTTGTCGCTCGGTAGGGCTCTCTCGACGCGAGTCAATGAAGGTGAGCCTTCGCGGCGGACAATTACACGCCATTCGTTTTCTTCCCATGACCAGGTGGCTCGTCGTTTAACACGTCCTTTTCCATCCTTATCCGGCAGGAAGATCGTAGTATCTTCAGGGAGAACAAAGGCGTTTGGAGGTGCAACGGCCTGTTGTGACTTGGAACACCAAGATGGTCGTTCTGCGGGAAGCACTGAACAGAACAAAATCAATCACATGAACACCAATCAACGAGACTTACAGGCTGCAGTAAACTCGAGGCCCAACCACCATCGCTGGTTCTCGTAGACAGTAAAAAGAAAGCGAAGGGACTTTGTAGAGTTCAGGGTCGAAGTAGAAATAGCGGATTGAGCTGCAAGAGGCAAAGGGCGACCAGTTAAGATGGCGGATGTGTGGTATACTGTCCAACGTATCCAGGCGTTACGCCACAACGAATTGCGGAGCATCACAGCCCATGGTGCCCTCCAGGCCAAGACGACCGAGCCAACGATAGCAACAAGAACGCGAAGACGTATTAAGTATAGCGTCAAGATGAGGTAAGGGATATAGAGGATAGCACAGGCTCGTACAAGTGTGGCGGGTTCGGTGATCGTCGGAGGGAATGAGGGAAGGGAAGGAAGAAGCGCCTCGATGGCGGTTAAATCTGCAACAGCGGTCTGGAGGGTTGTTTCGGAGGCTAGAGTAGGTTGGCTGGCATTCTGTGTTGATAATAGCAGCAGGAGGGCGGCACAGAGAATGGGCAACCAATACCGGAAGACCGGCTCGGCAAGAATGACAACGGTCCACCAGACACCCAACAGCAAAAAGACCTGATAGGAGGAATTTGCAACCTCAAGAAAGCGACGAAAGAGATGTATCGATGGCGCGAGTCCAAGGAGGATGCTGTTGATGGGTAAGGAGAGCATGTCACAACTTGCTCTCTTTCCTCGCGTTTGTGCATTAACCCTCTTACTTTTTGCCCATCTATTTCCGACATTCGACGCTGGAACACCAGACTTCCTCCTTCGCTGGGATGTCGTCCACTTCGCTCACGTGGCCCGCAACGGATATGTCTACGAACATGAATGGGCCTTTTTCCCCAGCATCCACGCGCTTATTTCCATGTTCCCCTACGCGCCGACCTTCCTCGCTATCGCTCTTTCTGTTGATGCAACCAAGACTATGCATCAACTCTCTCTTCATCATCTCCAGTCCCCCGCTTTAGCAGACCTAGCCACCTTGCTGTCTTTGCTCCCAAGTAGTCCGGCTACTTTGTTTATTGCCCCATACTCGGAACCATTCTTCACGTACTTCTCGTACAAAGGCATGCTCTTTTGTACCCAGGCGCGCTACTTTCTTGCTACTATATGTTTCACTGTGGCAGCAACCTTTCGCGCGAACGGGTTCATGTTGAGTGGATTCATCATATGGGAATTGGTTGTCCAGCCGGCGCTGAATCGAAAAGTGCGTTATCACTGCCTTCTGCTTACGATTTAGTTCATGGTCCATATCAGATATCCTTCTCCGCAATCAGCACTTGCGCCATTCTTTCCCCCTTACCCTTTCTTCCATTCATCGCCCACAACTACGCGGCTTATGTTGCCTTTTGCAATGATCCAACATCGCCAACCTGGTGCACTCAACGTCTGCCTCTGATTTACTCGCATGTTCAGAGTCAGTATTGGAATGTGGGCCTACTTCGTTATTGGACAATCCAGCAGTTGCCCAACTTCATCATCGCAGCTCCCCCTTTGCTTTTAATTTGCACCTTCAGTTTCAAGTATCTTATGGGAAGGACATCACTCTCGCCTTCCATCCTCCCTCATGCGATCCACGCCGTCGTGATGTGTGCCATTTACCTCTTGGCCTCCCATACCCAAATTGTACTTCGACAAGCAGCTTCACTCCCTATAACTTATTGGGCTGCGTCGTGGTTGCTTGTGCAACAACCCAAATGGGGTCGTGCTTGGGTTACCTGGAGTCTGCTTTGGGGTATTCTTTCCACATTGCTTTGGGGTTCCTTCTTGCCTCCCGCATGATAGTACTGTACAACACGTCGTGTACAACAACAAGTAGCTGTAAATCAAGAAATAATCATTTAAAAAATCACGTCTCCTCCAAGTCAACATCTTGTTCACTCGGTTGTTGTCGTCGTGAAGACCGCTTTGCTTGGTACTCGTCCTCATCACGGCGTCGTTTGGTCGACCTACGCGGCTTTTTAGGATTGGCAACCTCTCTGGCAGCTACAGCTGCAATCGCCACGACTCCGCTGACAGATAGATGCTCCTCATTCGTCGTTCGGCCAGAGCGTCTGGATCCTTCTTCCTCGACAAAACTGTGGCCGAATATGGCTGGATCCAGCGGTTCCACCGAAAGCGCCATTTGGCCCAGTGGATGGTATATGCCATATAACGGAAGCTTCGGTGCGAGGGGAAACGTCTTGCGTGGGTGCGGTTCCGACTTCACAACCACGTTATTCGTAGGTTGACTGGCGATTTTGGCGCTGGGCAGATTATGTACAATTCGTCGGCGAGTGAAGATACCGGGTACTGGAGAGCGGTATGTCCGGCTAGGTTTGCGGCGACTCATGTTCAGAGTGGACAACAGCGACCAGACTCATGAGAGTCAGACAAGTGACAAATTTCTCGTGACACATCGATCAAATTAGATTAGATATGAATTATTCCTATTTTATGCTAACAACTTGGAGATCTCGCCAAAGTACTTCTCGCAGATAGCAGAAAAGTAGAACTCGTGTCTGTTAAGATATAGTCAGTTGCGTTCGTTGCCCGCCAAGAAAAGCTCTACTCAGAGTTATGTGGTTGGACGAGGTTATGGGCGATTTCGTGAGCGAGCGTGAAATACCAAGAGATGTACGCTGCCCGACTTCGTCCAGCCTTCACATCAGCATCGTCTGTCGCCACATCAGCATCAAACACCAGAAAGGAAAGAACATTACGCCAAGACTCGAAGAATCTTAGATTCAAAAACAAACTGCCGCCACGATTAAACGCAATCAGACCACCGTCAACATCGTAAAAAATATGCAAGCTCGTTAGAGGGAGACTGCTCGGATTGTTGTGAGTGCCGGTGGTTCGGTTGTGAATTTACCCACGTATATACTTGAGCCAACCCCCGGATGATTGGTGCAAATCGGTTGAGGGAGTCGTATTTGGACGGTATAAGGGCGTGGAGATTTGGCACCTCTATGCGAAAGGTCAGAATAGCAAACGAATAATATATGACTGCAAATCACCGTGCGATGCAAAGACCTTGATGCCGCTGACTTCACCTAAAACAGGGTTAAACGCGTCATAGTCGAGTTCCTAAAACTTTGACTGACCAACCGCGGTCAGATCGCCTGCTCGCCCTGAAATATCGCAGTAGCCTTCATTCAGAGACTCGTTCACTTGCTGCATTTGTTCGCGGTTTCGAAGTAGGTTTCCTGACTCCGGGCGGCAGGCTTGGATTGCCATGTTAATGTTAGACGCTTGGAAAAAAGTGAATTTTCGTTGCAAGTTTCCAAAGGCGCGGCATACAAATGTGACTCAATGGGGTGGCGGACTTGGAGGAGGACGGACGTGGGCGGGAATTATCAGGTATGGGAGGAGGAGGAAGACCACCAGATTTTTCGTTTGGATGGATTGTAGCATTCAATCGTCGCTTCAACGAGCTCATCACTCCAGTTGACAGAGGAGGAGCCTTCTCTGCTGCCGGTGGGCTATTGCTTGTTTGTTGCGCTGGTGTTGGCTGTAGAGGGGTGGTCGTGGTGGTGGGTATCGATGGAAGCGCGGGAGCAGGTGGTGCGGAGATCAGCTGATTACTATTAGCATTTAGCTTGGCCTGTTGTGCTTGTTGTTGTGCGAGGGCTTCTTGACGAATGGCATGCTGTTGTTTCAGTATTCTGTCAACTGAGGAGGGTCAAGATCGTGACATCGCTCGAGACCCTGCAGAAAATACCATTATATCCACGTCTTTTCAAAGCCTTGAGATCGGTGGAAAGTATTGTCATGAACAAAAGGGCATCATTAGTCTTTGGGGAGTCGAACAAGAGACGATTGAGTGACGTTGCAACTCTAAAAACTCTCAGTCATTGACGCAGGCGGACATGAGGTATATCTTACTCGTACATGTCCACTTGTGAGTTACCGGCGATCCTACGCAGACCTTGAGTGATAGTAATCGGTTGAACATAGCTCATACCAGAGAAGAATAGGACCGCTGCCGACTCGTTTGGCCACTGCAGACGCCTCTTGCGTTTTGGATTTCCGAATATCGCCAAAGTTGATCGTTTTAGTTACCGCAACTTTTCCGTAGCTAGTCACCTACAAGAAGGCTCAATATGGCCCAAACAAGTGTGTTGATAACGCACAACGAAGTGATTGTCGTTGTTTAGCCAGTTGAAGCTGACTCGCGTTCGGGCATGCGTGTGTTCATGCAAAAACAGTGGAAGTCTCTCCAAGATCAATGCTCTAATTTCTGCGGAGACCCGAGAGTCTTTAAGTTCAGCACTAGTCTTGTACTCCTCCTTGACAAGAGAGCTAAGCTTTCGCGATCCCAAGAGAAGGTAGAATTCTAGGACCGTGAATGCACACACAAGAAAGAAGCCAATGACCTCAGATACCTTCTAGTATGTCCTCCTGCGGCGCAGTATAAAGAAACTCGCCAAAATATTGCAGTGAATTATTGTCGTCGACGACAACGATTTGATCAGCTCTTTTGAGATCATACTGCTCGATCGGATTGTCGTTATATTCCACGTCGCCGGAGGAAGCAGGCTTGTGGAGAGCCAACAATACAGGTGTCGTTTTCATCCTGGCAAGTGTAGCAGAAGAAATTGATCGGTGGTTGACTAGATCATTGATTAGATCATTCGATCAAGATGAGATTACACATACTTGCGAGGTTGCGAAGCTCAGAAAGGAAGCTACACTTTATAAGTTTGTGTGAACGCGAGAAGATGGAACAAACTTGGTCGGAGAATCAGCCAGTTTATAGAAGTGGTGAGGGTCTGCCAGTAACATCTGGCTCACTTGTTCGATGCTCGGTGAATCTTTGGTTCCACAAGCGGCGAGGAATCTATTGCCGGTTATTCCGAAGTCGACAAAGACGAATATCTTAGAATGGAAGCCAGCCTGGGAGTTCAGACCAAAGAAACACTGGCTGGGGGGTAACCATTGCAGTGACGATTCTTTGCCATCTTTCGTAACGGGAACCATGGCAGTTTGCGACAGTCGTTTGAGCTCGGACCCTGAGAATTCTAAAAGCACGGCGAATTGTCAAGTTTAAACCTTTGTTTGTAGTCTATGTCTCACCTGATATTCGCCCAGCTAGAATGGTGAACCATTTCCGAGCTTCAAGTTGGGACTGTGGACGAGTCGATTCCAGGAGAGCGACAATGCGAGTTGTAGGCGGTGCTTGTTGTATTTTCAGTTTGAGCGCTGCATCCGACCCAAGAGCAAACACAAGATATACTCCGAAGGCGACATATTCAGCATTAGCGACAACCTGCATTATGGGGTTACTGGTGGTATATCAAGCGACATGGCTTACCTCTTTGGGAGATCCCATGGTGGGCATTTTATCGCGCAAGGCAGGAAGGAAGGGGATGTCGTAGAAATCACCAGGGTCATAGTCAAGATATTTCGTTGGAAGGTTATCAATGAGGTATTTCAGAGCAATAGGCCTGGTCTAGGCAACATAAAAACATGCAAAACAAAGCCAAGAAAGTGAACGGAACCTTCTCATCGGAGTTTGCACAAAGATTGATCAAAACTTTCAGTGGAGGATAGCTGAGTTACGTAAGAAAAGTTTGTTGCGCTGATCTGACCAGACACCTACCGAAGTAAGCCAAGATCGAACAAGAGTTTGGCTAAAATGTGTTGAGCGAATGCATCTGCATGGAGACACTGGCATCCTTACCTTGATCTGAGTTCGCACGCCATTTGTGTTCACCCCAGTCTATCACAGGTAGTCCTAGCTGACGAAATGTGTCTGATGGTTCATACAAGTCTTTAGCACAAGACTGTTTGCGTTTTTCAGAGGCCTCGCCAGGGTTTGCCTCTTGGACGAATGCGGCGGTCATTTTTAACCGATTCCATTCTGTCTGAGTCAAAGACTACTGAGATTAGTTGTGTCATTCAAGGGACAGTGAACCTGTTACGAACTGATTTGACTTCGACAAGATAACGAGTGAGCTCGAAGATGGACCATTCCTTGGTTTTGATCATGCTCCAAAGGCGATCAGTTTCGACGTTAAGGTGCCACAGATCACACCTGCTTACCGATTGAAAACAATTTGGAGATCAACATGCTTGCGAACTCCTAGCGCCTCGAGCACGCGTTCGAGTGTAGGTTTCAAAGTTGTTCCAGATGCAAATGTGACTACGGGAAGGTCGTGGAAAAGATCCGCCTTCAGAAAATAAGATTCTTCAGGCAATTTAAGCCCCGCTGAAGTGGGAATGCATGGTATAGAGCGAAGAATATCTTTGATTTCTGCTTTGACTTCGTTTGACAGGGATGGCCACGCCGAAGCGAGTACTACCAGAACTCGTTCAGCCCATATTGCCGACACAGACAAGTTGAATTCTACAGAGCACGACGCCCTTACGTCGCAGATATGCCGCAACCACTTCTGGATTGGAAGATCAGTCCACGGAAATGCGCTGCTAAGTGAAGCGATGGGTAAATGCTTGCTGATCGCAACAGGCAGTAGATCGTCAGGCAAGGGCCCGTCCAGAGGAATAAACGACCGTGGGTTAAGAATGTGCTTGATGCTGCTGAGTTGAAGAACCCTTTGGTCTTCCATGATAAGTACCGCCGCGCTCAACAGTTCTGAGCGAATCGACAGCATGGATTGGTCTGGAGTTGCGTTGTAGGACTGAATCCACCAATTCAGACAGGCTATCATGTCAACTTCGTTCAATGGCCGAGCGCGTAACTCAGTCAAGACGTCGTGGAATGTGATAGGCTTGACTAAGCCACGGTGTTGCAGAGATTTCACAATGCCAGATGCCTCTGAAATGACGCTGTCTGGCAGCACAGGAAGCTCTTTGAGGAAACGAAATGTGGGGTTGGGATAACGAATTGCAGATGCTTGTCGGACGCCGACAGTAGAAATGAGCGGAAAGTCCTGATTTGAACCGCATGAGAAGAATGCTGCTTCGAGGAGACTAGAAACATCCGCGGAAGGCGTCGAGGGATGGAATGTGAAAAAGCATAGAGCATGAAGTGCACGTCCTTGTAACCATTTTTGCAACTCGTCGTCCTTTTCATTTGATGAAACATGTTTGACAGAGCCACTCCAAAGCTCGCGAATGTCGGATAGCTCACGCTCATAAGCAGCTCGGGCCAGGTATCCCCCGACCCATAGCAGCTCTTTGTTCCAAGCTGCACTACTCGTTGAGTGGTGTAAGGGAGACAACCGTAGAACCTACTTGCGATATGGCGATCCCTATGCGAGATGTCAGATCGAGTCGACGAGAAAGCAAGCAGCGACCTACACAAAATCCAATGATTCACGCTCGACTGTACTGATGAACCGCGAGCTCATGTGACCGGCAAGTCCAGTGGTTTGACCAGTCGCATGTCCGATGAACATACGTGTCGCTAGTCTGGAAAGCATTACTGGAGAGCATTTCTTTTGCTCACAGTACTTACCCTTCCAAGTCGGCGCGCAAGCCTTGAAAGACGCTACCAGTTGTAAATGGTTGCAGCTCGTCCTCTTTCCTGCTCGCGTCGTACTCATCTTTCGCTGTCTAACAAAGTCAAGTACGGCCAACCCTGCACTGATACGACAAACATATATAAGATCGTATTTGAGTGAGTTGGGAGGGTTTTTCTTGGTGGCTCTGTGCAATTCGGCGGCAGCGGCCTTGTCCAGTCGGACATTCACTTGGGCTGAGAAAACGGAAAGAGATACACTTGTCTCGACGATCTTCAGAAGATTTGCGGGTTCCTCCGGAGGTTCGGGGAGTGGGGTGGATTCGCGTTGAGGCGTGGAATTGAAACTAAACCAGCTAAAAAAGTTGGACTGCTTCTCATGTTGCTTTGACTGAGGTTTAGGCTTTTCGGTACCTGAAGTATAAACCCATCTCATGATTTCTGCTTCAATGCGAAGAGCTGTTGACGACGATGGGACCAAACGTCTGAAGTGTAGATATGCTTACATGTCGAGCTGATACCAGCTACATTCATTGTTCCTAAGCGACTCCGGCTTTGGAGACCCTTGGGAAGACCTAGCGCCTTTGGAATGCCTGTTTGTTTCGATATCTTCACCAAACATTTCTCATCAAAGTAGACGCGAACTTGAGAGAGATGGGTCATGAAAGTGATCGATGAGCACAGAAACCGCGCAAAGTCGAATGCCACAGGCATAGGCACGGGTTGTCGCAAGGGCATTTCAAACGAGGTCCAAGCTTGATCGTGTGCAGTATCATCGGGTGGCAACGCACCCCGTCGCGCGAAAAGCTGGGGGTAAAATTAACACAGTGGCAATGACTCTCAGATGTTTACCAACCTGGTCTTTGCCGTCTTTCCAGAAGAAACCCATCCATTCAGCTGTGAAAGATATTGGTTGAAATCGGGAATCATAGCCTCAACTTACCTCCAGACTTGACTAAGGGCTGCTCTGTAACGGAGAATAGACTATAGAAGCCTGCACATATAAGTTTGGGTGTAGGTGCCGTGGGTTGGTGGCGTACCAACACCGAAAGCACCAATCTTATCCTCATCCGGATTGCCTTCTGTAGAGATGTGAGTGGCATGGAGGACATTTAGGAGCAAGTCGCACCGGCGATCTTCTTCAGGCGATTCCAGTCGGCCTGGAGAATGGTCAAGTCCCACTTTAGCAGGTGGATAATGCGCACCGCCGTGAAAGGCACCCCGTTGTTCTTGAATATCCAAGTTTGACACTAGCCAGAGAGCGGTTGGTAACCGAAATTGGCGCCATGAAACAGACATACGAGTGCAGTCTTCAGGTTGGGTAGTGTGATAGCGTCGTCGGAAACGACAGACTGAAAGTGAATTTCTACTTGCTTAGATTGCGCGTCGTCCGAATTCTGGAGCAGCTCTCTGAATACGGTGAATTCACCGCTATATCGAGCGAGAACTTTGTCGATAAGTGCTCGCTGGTTGACCTCGACAGCTTCATCATGACCAGCTGCCCACTTGAACAGGTTAGTTGTAGTGTGCATTCCATGAGCACAGTACCCACAAGGGCATCGCGAGCTTGGGCCATGCCGACTGCGTAATGAGTCCAAGGCACTCGGGTCACAAGTATTGATCGGCTAACTTTTCTTCATGAGCATCGACCCACGACGACTTGTAGGCATAAAAGCTGAACGCGTCACGGACGTATCGAGTCGTGACTTTCCTGGCTACTATCCAGACGAGGACAACTCCTGGAATCTAGACGCATTCAAAGAGGTCTGTCTCTTCTCCACCCCAAACTCAACCAACCCGTGTCGCAAGGGCAGAATCTTACCGTAAAAATTTATCGCGTCTCAAACCGGTCGATCGACTTTGACCTCGTTGGTGTCGATGCTTCCATAGCCAATGCATTCCGGAGGATCATGATAGCAGAGGTGTGTAGTCAGACAATTTGGCTGTAGCCTGTTTTTCAAGTCAACAGGTTCCGACTGTAACTATAGAAAGTGTCTATGTCTACAACAACACCAGTGTGGTTGTAGACGAGGTTTTGTCTCAACGAATTGGCTTGATCCCTTTGAATGTCGATCCAGCCATGATGGAAATGCGAGTGGGTGACGAAGCTACCGACAGAAACACCCTTGTCTTTACCCTCACATTGGGATGCACGCGAAGAAAAGATGCACCAAAAGACTCTACCGATCCCGCACAACTCTACGAAAACCACGAACTTCTTTCCCGTCACCTCCTTTGGGAGCCGGCTGGTGAACAGGAAGCCGTATTCGCGGCCAAACCGCCAGGTCCACTGAATCCTGACATCGTTTTGGCAAAACTGCGACCAGGTCAACAGATCGAGATGACGCTACATGCAATCAAAGGTGTTGGAAAAGACCATGCAAAGTTCAGTCCAGTTGGTGAGTGTCTACTATCTTTGACTGATTACCTGACCAATGCTGCTTCAGCTACGGCTTCTTATCGACTACTGCCTCATATCAACATCAAAAAGACCATTCCACCTCACCTAGCCGAAAAATTTCAAAATTGTTTCTCCCCTGGAGTCATCCGTGTTGACCCTCGAACAAAAGCGGTCAGTGTGGACGAACAAGGTGTAAGAAACGATACTGTCAGTCGCGAGGTTCTGCGACATCCTGAGTTCGAGGGCTCCGTCGAGCTTGGTCGGGTCAGAGACCATTTCCTCTGTAAGTTGGGTTCTCTATCAACACACTCCTCCTAACGTCAACACAGTCAACATAGAGTCAGAGAGCGCCTACCCTCCGCAAAGACTTTTGCTGGAGGCAATCTCCGTTATGCGTGACAAAATAGCCAACATCAAGCGTGCGGCGGAAGCTTTGCTTGACCGGCCTGCAGATGAAGATGTCACAATGGGTTAAGCACTAGAGATACACGTTGGGGACTGAGAAATAATACAGAACAAGGGCATTATAATGCTATTACCATTGCCATAGTTGGACTTGTTGTGGGACCATTTCAAATCTTACAGCCGACAAGTTTCTCTTTCTCCAAAAACCACCCCAAGGCTCCCTCGTCGTCGAGGCGTTCATTTGTAGCCATCGACGAAGCATGTTGACCAATGGCCAGGCATCACATGGTTCCCCCGAACGGGCAACATCCTGGGCCAAAATTTCTGCGACGGTAGGCACCCGTCCTTGACGTCCATTTGTGTCGCAGTGTTTCTCCAGCAGACGTTGCATGATCCATTCGTAAGTTGCTGTAGGGTCACGCTTTATGATTTTGGACGAGTTAAAGCTGCCCAACATAAAATGAGCGACAACTGGATATGTCTTCTTTTTACGGGAGACAAGAACGTCATAATAGACTTTACGTGCGAGGTAACGCAGGATGACAAAGTAGAGCCTCTCGGTGATGGGAATACCGATTTTTGGAAATGTTTCGAGGGTGATAATGGCTGCAGAGTAGTCATCCAGGTACAGGAAAGCACGCAATGCGACGGTTAGGACAGCTTCGTCGTTCTGAATCTGGGTCGCTCGGATTTCAAGACTATGAGAAGCGGGAGCATGCAGCTTGGAATTAAACCAAAGCATCATCATGTCATAGAAGAGTTGCCGCGGCCGAGTGAGCACGGATACTCGTTGAAGGTTACGCGATGTGTTCGGCCGATAGTCTTGCTTGTAATGGTAGCCTAGCATGCGGAAAAGTTGCTTGTAAGTAAAAACATCGGGCTTCAAGGGCGTGGTCGCAGCTAAACGCATTATGATGTTGTAAAAGGCAAAAGCTCGCTGTATTCCACCCAAAGACCGTCGCTGGCGTGATATAAGGGAGTTGAAGACGAGAATATGCACTGGAACGTCTTTCTCGCGCATGACATCCATTATCCAGTCAACTGCTTCATCGTCGCCTGGATTGGTGGAGCGTATAACACGAGCGTAAGGTTCAGCAGGTATGTCGAATGAAGATGACGAGTCGTCGATGAGTTGTGAGGCGTTCTCCAAGTTACCCGCCTTCGTGTCGAGGTCAATCAGTTTCATCAGAAGAGAACGCGAGGGAGTAGAGTTCTCTCCTTTGACGTCTATGAAGAGACGCACGAGCTGTGAGCAACTGTCTGGATCAATTTCTAGCTTTTCAACGTGGTCGAGGAATTCGAGGAGGTGGGACTCTGTGAATGAGGGGTATGCCATTATCTTCTTGAAATCGTTTAATTGTACGTGCCCGGGAGCTTGGGACGTCTTCATTATGACGGCAAGGAAGAGAGCGTCGGTGGAGGGCAGCGGAATGAAGCCTGAAGTGATGATGTTCTGGTAGACCGTGAGCGCCTGTGGGAAAAGGCGTCGCTCAACTAGAAAGTGGATGATATTTTCCGCAATTTTGGGTTGGGAGGGAATATGTAGACCAATCCCTGGCTGCTGCTCATCTTTGACAAGTTGGAGAAACTCCATGAGGGGTGCAGTGATTTGCGTTGATTTGTGCTCCTCAGCCACGGTAGCTGAGAGGCTCACATTGTGCCGCCGAGTGCATGACATCCAGAAAAAACGGCGTGCATTGAGCTGAATTGCACGGCGACCCAGCATGCAATCATGGAGAGAGAAATTTTGAGGCGAACATGTGTCACATTCTGTGACAATCAGACAGAATCAGACCAGATCAGACCTGTCAGATACGTGACGTCACGCGTTGAACGCGTTCAGATTGAATCTGAACGGAGTGGTTCAGTACTGTACATAAGCAATACGCTTTATCTTCAAGTTGTTTGCCGTCTGCTTCCTCCCCCACGACCACCTCTACCACCTCTACCTGAGCTTGTCTTCACACCGGAGGCCTTTTTGGAAGAGCTGCTGCCACGAGTCGAAGTAGAAGCACCTCTCCCTCGCGGTGCTTTCCCTCCTCTTATTGTCTCTCTAGCTTTGACCGTAGAGTCCCGTTGCGACCTACTAATCTGGGTTCGAGCTCTACCGTTGGGCTCAGACAGCGCTCGTGTTGTCGCAACTGGACTAGCTTCTTCACTGGAACAGTCGTGATCAGACAGTGGAGGGGTCAATGGTGCTTGCTGATGGCCGGGAGAGACAGCGTGCGAAGTGGGGCTCGTAACAGGTGAGGTAGTTGAGATCGACATAGACGCCAGTCTCGTTCGTTTCGTTGAGTCGCGAGGTTTTCCACGTTCTATCTGAGGTGTCGCTTCGTCCCTTTCTTTTTCTGCAGCAAGACGTTCCGCGGCGAAAGCTTCTGCCGTTGGGCCTGTCCATACAAAGCCAAGTCGCTCGATGTCCGTGAAACCACCCCAGCCTCGCCTCAAAGCATCTTCAATCTTCTGTTCACGTTTGACGGCATTCCAAACAACCGGGTCAAGTACTGGCAGGAAATATTCGACAGAAACGTTCGCGCTCTTGGTGCTTGCATTTGCGAGACGGCTAACGACCCAATATCCTCGCGCGTTCTTACCGGACCATTCTGCAATTTCAGTCAGACAAAGAAAAAACATCCCCCTTCATATAGCCAACCTAAGACTTCCAATCGAGGGCATTTGCGGACAAAACGTTTGACATCTCGTAGCAGCGGCATTGAGGGGTCTTGGGCTTGCATTTGGTCCAAATCCAGTAATGGTGGAAGCGTAGATTTTGACTTGAAAATGGGCGACTCTGAAGGTGTCGGCAGAGAGGCTTGGGGATCGGTTGAAACAATTGGCATTGGGGCTTTCCCCGGCGCATGGTGAGGTAACAATGACACGGAAAGCTCTCTGATGCTTGACAGATAAGAAGTCAAAGAAACTAGCTTGGTGAAGGGCCCGTCAAAACATAGAAGGAGGCGCTGTGGTAGGGCTCTTTGAATATCAGCAGTTCAAAGTTTCAAAAACATCCAGACCTCAAGTTTAGGTAAGCATTCGAGAATCAGCTTCAAGTCTGCGGGGGTGAAAGACCAAAAGTCACAGCGAAGGGATTCGAGTCCACTCTTCTCCCGGATCTGGTTCATAAAAGCGGCTGGCACAGGTTTGAGGGCGGCTACTTCATCGATCGCACCATCAAATACAGGCAAGTCACAATGCATAGAAGGTAGAGGGTCGCGGCGAACGATGTCGAGTACAGAGACTGATGTTAGGACAGCGTGAATAGATTGAAGGTGATCCAGCGCCCAAGAATGATGAGGCCCTGATTCGGAAATAATCACGCGAACGGTTTTAAGAGCAGACGCAAAGGATACAGGTTTGGTCCATAACCCTTTTGAAAGGCGGCCTTGACTAGAATGAGCGGGTTCGACTTCGGCCCAAGTAACGCATACCTTGGACCTCGTCCATCACGAACTCTTCCAATGTGTGGCATTCCTCTAATATGGTGACTAGCCCACGATCGGTCAATTTGGTGCCATTAGTGGACAGAGTCAGGTGGCGCAGTTTTCTTCCTGCGGCTACAATTTTGTCGCACAGGAGATCATCCAACCAAATGAAATCAATGGAAAGGACCTCGAGCAAGGAAGTAGCACCCAAATGATCCAATAACTGACCAAACGCGCGTGCACCGGATTGAGAAAGACGAGACACACGGAGAGAGGTGAGATTGCTTGTCCCAAGTAACGGAAGCGACGGGGCATCCCACTTGATATTACTTCGGGGAGAAAACGGAGGATGAACGAAAGAGATTCGCGCGAGTCGTGAGTTGAACGATACTAAGCTCTGTCGATGATTGAATATTCGCCGAGAAACATTGGGAATAGTAACCAACCTCACATATGCCGTCTGGAGGAGGCAGCACACTCTCCCAAGCTAGCTCTTCAATAGCATGACACATCTTAAGCAGAGAGACGAGAACTTCGGTATCGATAGGCTTGAATGACCAGAGACCGTCGTTTGGAAAAGTGGGGGTGGTGATGGATAATTTTCTAACGCTCGAAGCATATCGGGACGGGTTTGAGAGAAGGGCATGCAAGTTGGTACGCGGTGGAGTGCCTGAGAGCACATTGGCGTTGTCGGGCAGTGACACGGTGTAAAACAAGACACGACTCGCGGACTGGTGCAGTTGTGAGCCAAGAGAAGAGAGGAATGTCAGACTGAGTGATGGATCGAGTTCAATGGTTCTAGAAATAATCTCTGTGAAAGATTTAGGGGAGGGGAAACGCGGGTCCAAGGCTCTGCCTACCATCCAGCAATGCTGGAGAGAGGGAGCAAGACATATTGATTGAGCTCGTCACATTGTGACCATCGAGTTGGCGTGAAGTAGAGTACATGCGATTATTGTCTATACGTAGTTTCCGTCCGCAGGGGAAAAAAAAGAATGATAGCACGATGCAGCACGTCGACAAAAAAAAAATGCAGGGTATGGTAGATTATCGAGGGAGATCGAATCGGTATAGGGCTACTGTCAACTCAAATGGCAGGATCTAAAGGACCTAATGGACCATATGTCTGTTGTCGTGGCCGTCCTGGTCCAGTTGGGGCATTGGGTGTCGTAGGAGAAAACACTGCTGTCGGCAATGGCGCTTGCCCAGCAGTCAATGGTGCATAGCCGTTGCCACGGATATTCCCATTACCCAGCTGGAGCGATGAAGTTGACGCGTCTTGTAGTTGGTATCGAGAAATTGGCAGAGAATTTGGGGGTGCATCGTCAAATCCCATTTCTAGCATGGCTTCCAGCTCTTTGCTATCAAGCGTCTCGGCTGACTGCAGTGTTTGGTCGTGAGGGATCAACAACGTTGTCGGTGGAGGTGGATATTGGGCATTGTGTTCGTTGTAGCCTCCGATTTGGAGACCCCAGTGGTCGTCGTCAGAAGAATGGACTGAATACGAGTCTGAGCCATCAAACTGGCTGCGGGAATCGTTGACTGATAGCATGTCACCCTCTGCAAAGTAGCCAGAAGGATAGGCGCGGTCAAAGTCCCTCCGCCTTCGTTCTTCACGTCGTAGTTTTCGTAGTCGTGAGCGCTCCCAGTCCTCCCAACGCCGCATTGGAACCTCCCCAGCAACACCACCACTGCTGACATGACCTTTGTCTTTTCCTTCGCCCTCTACTTTTCTGACGGACAGTCAGGTTACGACAAAATATGATAATCAGAAAAGCGAACCTCGTTTCTCCCCAAGAGAAGTCATCGAAATGCCAGAAGGCATAGACCGGAAGGAGGAAGTTCCACACTGGCAACGCGACCAGATATATCATCATCCAAAAGACATAGACAACCTTTCCTGTTGTGATGACGATAAGGATGGCCGGAAGTCCCAATACCGCAACCAAAAGAATGATGGGTATGGCCTCGTCGAAAGATTTGGGTGGATTAAGCGCAGCAGTGACAATGAGAATATATGTCAGCGATATGGCGATGGGGAGAACAATGGTGCCAAGAAGGTCCATGAACACAACGAATTGCATGCTGAAGCAAAAGGTACCACACAAGTTGCGGACCAAGACGAGCTCCATGAGATTGTGAATTGTCGAGTTGATCCATCGTCTACGTTGTGAAAGCAGGACAGAAAATGTGTCGGGAACTACCGTTCTACAGCGAGCCTGAGGTAGGAACATCATCTTGCGATTAGGGAATGTTCGAATAAGGATTGTCGTGAGAAAGCGATCTTCTCCCAGAAGAAGTAGATTCTTTTGATGCAAAGTCGTAACCTCACTCTGACTGTACTCCTTTACGATTTCGGGTTTTATAATGAGCGGAACCCAGTCGTCACCAGTAGATTTCCGCGCCTTGAGACGGAACATAGAGAAGCAGCCTGGTAGACACGATACGCCACCAAAGACCGATTCAAATGCCTTTGCGAGGTGATGGGAAATGAAATACTCAAACACTTGGATTGCCGTGACCCATGAGGTGCGCTTGTTTGCTATTCGCGTCTCGCCGCAAACACCCATGATCATTTGATCATGGTGCATGCAGTTCACCAGATGTCGAAGCGACTCGGGGAATATCATTGTGTCAGCATCCACCTAACGCACATATAAATTCACAGGAGAATTCGATTTTCTCAGGGAACGCACCATTAAACAAACTTCGAAAAAGTCTGGCGTGACTCCCATTAGGACATGGATTTTTCGGAAGAGGTCGAAATCAAGTGGTGTCATGCGATCGTTGTATGTCACTCGGGAGAAAAAGTTCATGAGAATTAGCTGGCCATCCCGTTTGCCCCGATTCCCAGGTTTCTTGTCAGTCCTGGCTTCTTCCTCTGTGCCACACTTCACAATAATTACGGTGGGCGTTCGACGTCCAGCAACAGCTGCAAACCTATGAGTGATTATAGGAACAAAAGTCAGATGAACGCACTGTAATGACCAGCATATACCATCGCTCGATTTTGAGCCTTGGCCCCGGAGCCGACCGAACCATAGCTCATGGGAATTGGCTCTCCGAAACGCGGATCAGCGTCGAGAAGACCAACGCAAATGTCAGGAGTGCTGCGCTTTTCTCCTGCGCCAGTGATCATTCCATCAGCAACAATGAAGAGGAGCTTGCGGGCGTCAGAGTAGTTGGTTTTAGAGATAGAATCCAAGGTTGTTCGTATAGACTCCTCGCCCTCTGAATAACAGGTCACGAGACAGACAGCGAACAGCTCTGCTCCAATTTGTGCCAAGCTCATCACGGGAGCGGACGTTGGGTTGGTAGGAGTACGCGCAGATAGTGGGCCGAGTGGAGATGGTTTAACGCCTTTTGCAAGTTTCTTTGATCCGTTTGCCCAAGGGGCAGTGCCATTTTTGTTGTCGACGGAGAGGTTGGCACCCTCTGGCATAACAGCTGGGCTTATGGCAGAACGGTTCAAGGTTTTACTATCAGGATTGCCAGCGAGGCGCCCCGAGAGATACCACCTGAAAACAATGGCCATGAAGAAGCGAATGAGAACCAAGCTCAAGATGACACCGAGCCCTAGATAAAGAACAAGATTGGTGATGAAGCAACCGGGGGTGATTTTGTCAATGTTGCCCGCGTAATAGCGCTGGTGTAGACAGGCAATACTCGGCTGTAGATCCGCCCTAGAGGAGAAAAGACGAGTGCCGTCTTTGCCACTGGCAGAATTGGAAGCAGAGAGTACCGTTCGAATGGCTTTGTCGACATTGTCGGAGGGGATGGGATTTGGATGGTTGAGAAGATAGGTGGTCATATTGAGCACGGCACCATTCAGGACAATATAATTGGACATATTGCCGACCTGAGCCCAGTCGTAACCAGCGGTGAAGCCAGTGCTGACAAATCCGAGATTGGTGAAGGTAGACACGAGTGACGCATTCGGCATCTGACATGGAGTGGTGCTCGTGCAAGGATCGTCAACGGCAGCACGCGCGGTGAGACCCTTGCATTTGCGAAAGTCGGATGCAGCGCGGGTGAAGAATTGTGTGACATCTTGGCCAGGGAATTTGGATGAAATGGCAGTGAAGGAGACGTTGGTTGGGTTCTTGGCTGCGGTGATATTGTAAACGAGTCCTTGAACAGTGAGAGTTCCCGGTCTAGAGCCAACACGGACGAATTCACTGCTCAATGATTGCGAGTTGGTGCATAGGACCCTCTGGAAACCGACGGTGACAAACGCAACTCCGGCGCAAGCGACTGCAATGATGAGGCATAAAACAATCTTTTCCCGCCATGCCTGACGGGTATTTGGATCGCGCATGCCGCCGACACTTGTGAGGAGAACATCAGGCGCCCAAAAGGTTAGAACTCGGGAAGTGATGCGCCAGGCATCTGAGCCGTCAACGTTGGCACTATTCGTTGAGCCATGTGATGGGTCAGGTGGGTTAATGAGAGGAACGGGTGCAACACCACGTTCAGGTCGTATGAGTGTCTTTGCCCTCCGGACTGTCGGGCCACTATTTGGGATAGGTGGTCGACTAGTTGGAATGGGGATATCGGAAGGGCTGAGGTTGAACTGGTTTTGTCTCGGTCGCAGGCCCGCCATGAAGAATAGGAGAAAAGATTGGACGAGGAAACCGTGAACCTCAATGCGACGGAGGAGAAGAGAGGACGACGACCAGATGGCAGTTTTGACAGTCGGGTGACGTGACAGTCACCCTTCTACAACAGCGATGGCCGCCATGTTGGCATCGCTCGCGTCTCAACATCCCCAGAGTGCTTACAATCGTCTCAAATTCGGACCAGGTGGTTCGCCTCTAATATATGGCCCTCTTCCCGCGGAGCAACTTGTCCTACTTGAACAGCGTAGAGCTGCAGCTGTTGATACATGGTGGCCTTGTGAGGCCATTCAAGAAAACAAAAGGTTACTCGGCCCATGTGGCAGTCTTGCGGACGAGAGCTTACGCGAACAACTGGCTGCTGCGTTAAAAGATGAGCTCAGCGTACCACCTCCCCAACTCAAGACTTCAGCAACTCATCCTCTCAGCGTATCCACCATCATTCCTTGCGACTACATCCCATTCATCTCCCGACAACTAGCCTATTCTTCGCATCCACGTGCTGCCACGGTCTTCGACTTGGAACCTGCTTTCACTCTTGACCATCTACTTATACAGCAGCGACTGGACAGCAACAATTTACCACCACCACCACCACCACCACCTCCGCCTCAAATGCTTGTCACTCGTCTCAGCAGTTCATCGTCGTCTTTATGTGACGCGTTGCATGCGGCACTCACTACCTCTGTCGATTCACCTATTTGCACCAACGCAGCCCTTTCGGTAACACTGACAATGCCATTGGACACAAAAACATCTCCTTCCGTGCCGGATGCCATCGGAAATCTTTTCCTTTCTTCATGTCCTGGCAAAAAAGGTTCTGTGATGGTCTTTCCGTCTTTTGGTTGCTTATCTTCTCTATGTCTAGTTCGTCTACACGGTCCCGTCAAAGGCCGTAGTGGAGTGTGTCGAGATCTCAATGCTGACCTTGGCCGAATAAAACAACTGGGAGTTGCCGCAGTGATCTGCTGTTTAGATCACGCCGAACTGGAATTTCTAGGTGCACCTTGGCATCTATATGAGCCTGCAGCCAAAGCTGTTGGCATCTCGATCCTCCACATCCCAATTCCAGAAGGACTGGCACCCGCTTCGCCAGCTTCATTGGACGCTCATTTAACTCGAATTATTGACACTTTCACACTACAAGGCAAAAATGTCCTGGTCCATTGCCGAGGCGGAGTTGGGAGAGCGGGTGTTGTGGCCTGTTGTTGGATGCTTAAACTTGGTTTGTTAGGTTGGCTCAATGAAAGCCTTCCGGCAACGACGGGGAATGCTGATGGCTTGCGTCCTGGCACTGTTGAGCTGGTTGAACGCGTCATTCGTATCGTGCGTCAACGGCGAAGTATCAAAGCTGTTGAGACGTACGAGCAGGTTAAGTTTCTGGTGGACTATGTAGATTATTTGGATGCCAAGAGGACATAAGGTCCTACAAGGTACTAATTATCATTATTCGGTATTTTTTGTTGGGTTTTGGGATAACGTGACAAGACACTATCTTCCTCATGAACAACAAGGACGCGAAACCATTCCCACTCGATACGTCCTTGCGAGACCTTGCGCTCATTCGCGTCTCTGAGCTTGATGTCGCGTCGCTCATTCCAACCAATCCAGGCACTATGACGTCTGGCGTGATCGATGTGGATTCGACTGTGGCCAAGTCGTATGAATTTGTTGCAGAGGCTCGGGCAGCTATCAAGTTACGTGGTCATAAAATCGGAAGCGTCGGAGAAAGGGTCGATGCCGTTCGTGAAACGGTAGAAGAGTTGAAGGAAGCCTTGTAGTGTTTGTTATCTTTTACCGAGCAACACGTGTATCAAAGGACTTTTGTCCTCAACCACGATATGGTATCCGCTCTGCTCCTCTTGCGAGTACTTGCACCGGTGCCAGTCCTTTTAACCCTCTTCACCCTCCTCCGTACCCCTCCATCCGTCCCACACTCACCCGTTGACATCACTCGAGTGGTCATACCCACCATAATTGCCCGCCGTGGCCTTATTCTGACCCTATTGACGCTTCTATCTTTTTCCGCCTTACTGGATGGTTGCCTCTTCGTCATATTTGCAGTCCTAGATAAGACATGGCCGCGCAACACTGGCATCGAATATAATGCCGTCCTTGCTGTTTTTGCATTTGCCGGTTTGGCGGCCCTTGGGGCATGGAAGGACCTCCAAGGTGTCAATGTTTGGTCCCTAAAACGCCTCAAAGTTGCTGTTCTCGCTTCTTCCCTATTGGACCTTGCACTTGTGATCCTCCTTGTCAAGTCTTTCAGGACTGGCTGTGAGTTGATTTTCCGTTCTGTGACAAACCTCACCATTGAGCAGCACGTTTCCCACTCACACACGAATCCTTGACGATATTATTTCCTTCATTCCGAGTCCTAGCCGGTTTCGTGCTTATTGCTGTCCTTGCTTCTCCCCGCATTGTTTACAAAGCCGTCCCACAAGACTCTGAAAACGACATACCGACCGACTCCTCATCGCTCTTACCTCCGCCTTCCACCGGTCTTTCTCCTCTCTCGGCCGTGGCAAACGAGTCGAATAAATATGGCACATTCAGGCCTACTCGCAGTGGCTTGGCTTCATCCAATACAGCTTCCAGGGTCCCAAGTCCGCTTCCCTCCGAAGTCGCCGATCAGGTAAAAGTTACGCAGGTAATATTCATATCTCTAACTTTGCCTGTAGTCCACTGAGAAGCCCGAAATTTCGCTCGACCCATCCTGGACCGAAATATGGCAGCGTCTTTTGCGCATCACGCCTTATTTGTGGCCTTCTAAGAGTCGCTCCCTTCAATTGCTTATGGTGCGTGACCGTACGTGGGGGGACATCTTTTCATCATCTTTCTCCTCAGGCACTCTGCATAATTCTAATTCTTGTCGGACGCGTCGTCAATGCTAGCGTTCCTTTCACTCTGGGTGAAATCGTCCGCATCTTTGAAGGCACTTCCCAACGCTCCGTCTGGCCCGTTCTTCTACTCTATGTCCTCCTTCGTTTTCTACAAGGCAGCGGTGGTCTAGCCGCCCTTCGCGATGTTCGCATTTTAACAACTTTACCATTTCGACTTCTCTTCTCACTTCCTTCCAGTGTCTGTGGACCCCCGTTATGCAATACTCGGATCGACGTGCGCCATATAGTTCAAGTTTTTCCTGTTACTCTTTCTCACCTCTTCCGTTAGAAATGTCCCAGCTTGCTTTCGATCACTTGCTCCAGCTTTCATTCAACTTTCATATTCATCGCAACACGGGACAAGTCCTCCGCGTTCTTGATCGTGGTGCCGCCATCAACCACACTTTAGAGGTCATTCATTACCCTGTTGCACCTTTCAGTTATCTGACCATAGCTAGCACTTGATATTCACTATAGCGCCCACTTTCATCGACATTGCCATTGCGCTGGTAGTTTTTTCGTTGACTTTTGGCCTCTTACTTGCATCGGTCGTTTTCGCTGTCCTGTTCCTCTATGTGTCTGCTAGCGTTATCTTGACGCGTTGGAGGACCAGAATCCGTCGGCAAATGAACGAATGCGATATTGTAAGCTTCCTCGTTGCTTTGTTGAAAACTCTGATAATGTTTACAAGGTGACGCGTGGTATTGCCTCGGACACTCTGCTCAACTACGAGACTGTCAAGGTTTGTCGTCCAGCTGCTTCTATGTCTGATCTGAAGCTAGGTTTAGTACTTCTCTGGTGAGGAACAAGAGTCCTTGCGATATCAGGAAGCCATCGGCCATTACCAGGCTCTCGAGTCGAAAGTGATCTGTGAGTGCACTGTTGTTGATTTCGTCCCACCTCAATATATGCAGTCTCGCTGAATCTGCTCAACCTGGTTCAAAACCTGATCATAGTGTGTCCTATTGATTACGTTTCTGGTTGTCCTCATACTCTGGATAGAGTACTGGCCTCCTCGCAGGATCCTTGATTGTCGCCCATCGTGTGACATCGGGTCAGGCAGCACCAAGCGATTTCATCATCTTCATAACCTACCTTGCCCAGGTATGATCTGATCCATAGTTGGCTAGTGGAAGTCTAAATACGTGCTACAGCTTTATGGGCCTCTCAACCAGATAGGCTTTATGTACCGTACCATCAACCAGACCTTGGTGGACACAGAGAAACTGCTACAGCTCCTCAACGAACCTACCGAAGTCGAGGATCGAGACAATGCTTCTACCTTGGTTGTTGACGGCGGAGAGATTCAATTCGGTGCGAACCTCTGCCCGAGTCATGGCCTCTACCCTAACTTTACTCAGAAAACGTCTCTTTCTCATATGACAACCGGACAACCGCTCTCAACGGTGTCTCTTTTACAGTACCCAAGGGCTCTTCCGTGGCCTTGGTCGGCGAGTCGGGCTCCGGAAAGTCGACCATCACCCGTTTGCTCTACCGGTTGTATGACCTCCCGTGAGCCCTCTTTTTTGGCCTAACTACAGATTAATTAACGCCCGCGTCAGTGAAGGATCTGGTCGAATCCTAATCGATGGCCAGGACATTAGGTTTCTATAATGGTTTCTAGTTGTTGCACTGCTAAACGTACACCAAGGGATGTGACCCAGAAATCATTACGAGGATCTATTGGCGTCGTTCCTCAGGATTGTGTCCTGTTCAACCGATCCATGGCCTACAATATCGAGTGATTATTTCCCCTCTCTTTAATTTGCCCTCTCACAATCCACAGGTATGGCAAATTCGGGGCAACCAATGAGGAGATAGAAGAGGCAGCCAAGTCCGCTCAGATTCATGAGCGCATAACGACGTTCCCTGATGGCTATCAAACCAAGGTCAGTCTATCACTTGTTTGTGTACCGCGTTAAGATGCTTTCCAGGTCGGCGAACGAGGAGTGCGTCTGAGTGGAGGAGAAAGGCAACGAGTTGCGATTGCTAGAACGCTTCTGAAAAATCCACCTATCTTACTTCTCGACGAGGCCACCAGGTAACTTATTTGGGCTTCTGGTCTAGCTTATTCATCTACGACAGTGCTCTTGACTCGTCCACCGAAAAAGATATTCAGAAGGCGTTGCAAAATCTGATGCGAGGCAGATCATCATTGTCTATCGCTCACCGTCTTTCGGTATGCTTGATTTTCTCGTCACTGCACTTTATTAACTATTCTAGACCATAGCATCGGCTGACCTGTGCGTACCACTTTAACAAACTTCGGATGGAAACCTGACCGAGACAATAGCATTCTGGTTCTCAAAGATGGACAAATCATTGAACGTGGGACTCATGCTGAACTCCTGGCAGCCGATGGCGTCTTTGCTGCTATGTGGGCAGACCAAATCACCACTGGCGATGTCCCAACTCCACCTCCAGTAACTGACAAACCGTTACCTGAAGAGCCTGTAGAGGATTCTGCCGAGCCTATCGTGACCGGATATTCCGCACAAGTGGAAGAGCCAGCAGAGTCGATAGAGGTAACAGAGCCAATATCAGAAGTTGCCACAGAAAGCCCGCAGCCTATTCTTCTCGAGGAAGTCCCCGTTATCGACTCCCAACCCACAGATGCTGATCACGAGGCCTCCGCTATCACGCCCGTCGCATTCCCAACTTCTGAGCCAGAGTTCGACTCCGCGACGCCCAACGCCCCTCTTGATGTCCAGCCGGTGACTTTCCCTGTGTCGGACGACGCATCCTTGGCCGAAAATACGCCGATAGCTTCTCCTGGAGTGACATTTGAGCCCAATCTCAGTCAACCAACCACCACAACCGACCCTGAGGCTGAACCCAAACGAAAACGTATTTCGTCTCAAAACTTCCAACGACTTGCCAGACGTATTTCAATCGGTACACGGCGACAAGGTTCAACTTCGTCTATCGCTTCGATCATTCCTGGTCTGAAGCGCGACAAGAGCGGAGATGAAACAAGTGTGCGGGCAGAGGGCAGCGGACGAAACTCGGTTGATAGTCCTACGGGAAGCCTTTCGGGGGACAAAGATGTTGTCAAAGGCAAGAAAAAAAAGGAGAAGAGAAAAACACTTAGCGGCTAGATACGATTTACTTACGACTGACGACTTTATGCATGACTTGTGATGGCTCGGCATGCGATGTTCCGTTGAATTAAGAAGACCGTGATGCTTAGTAATGACCGGATATATAAGACAACGATTGACACTCCCATCCTCCCAGGCTCTCTTCTTGTAACCACCACTTGCTTTTCAGGTCGTGTTTTGGTCATCATGTCGAAGGTTTACGTGGGGTCAGTCCCACATACTGTCCCTGGCATCTCTTGACTGTTTCCGTTGACTTGGACGTAGTAATCTGAGTTGGAATACGACTGATGAAAGCCTGCGCGCTGTTTGGCTACTTATTTCTGAATCCTGCTTGAATGTCTTATCTTTGCTCGTCAGGCTTTTTCCGAATTCGGGCAGGTGCTGGACTGTATCGTCATGAGAGACCGAGAAAGTGCGATTGCCTTGTTAGGTTTTTTTTGTTATGTTCCCAAACAGTTTTTACCAGCTGGCCGTTCTCGCGGATTTGGTTTCGTCACGTATGGCTCCTCACAGGAGGCTGATACTGCCATTGGATCTTTGAACGAACAAGAGCTTGACGGTCGACGGATCAGAGTCAACTTGGCTAATGCCCGCGGTTCTGGTGGCGGAGCTGGTGGTCAGTTTGCTCAATTATGTTGTGATAACCAGATGATTAAACTCCAAACAGGCTACTCTGGTGGTGGAGGAGGAGGGGGATACCAAAGTCAAGGTGGTGGAGGTTCGTTGTTCATTTTTTCCGACTTGAACGAATCCCAACGCAACAGCAGGCTATGGTGGATATAGTGGGGGTGGAGGTCAGCTTGTCACTGTTTCTTCGTTTTTTAATCGCTCATCAAGCCACAGGCTATGGTCAAAGCTCCGCAGGCTATGGCCAGGGTGGCTCGGCTGGCGGTGGGTACAATCAAGGAGGCTACAATCAAGGTGGAGGCTACGGGCAAGGTGCGTTTAATGCTCAGCCTATCAGTCATTACTTAGTTTGGTAGGTGGCTACACTGGCTCGGGGGGAGGAGCTTATCCAGGTTACTAACTTCGTCACACTATCATCCACACTGTCCTTGCTCGCTGTTGTCTATATCGACGTGTATGCATAAGTAGTTGTATTATCTGTGGTATCAACTGGCTTGGATTTCGTCAACAGCAGCGTGACTGTAACGGTCACGCATCCATCACCCTTTCCTCTCCTCCCTCCGTCTCTCGACCCACGACCCCTGCACTTTTCAGTGCTGTTGGCCCTATGGCTGGTCCCGCGCGCAATGCCAAGACAGTTCAGCCACCCCGACCGCCTAACGCGTGGATTCTGTATCGAGCAGAAAAGGCGAAAGAAATCGGGCGTAAGGCTCAGGCGGACGTGTCGCGGGAAATATCAACAATGTGGAAGAACGAGGCCCCTCATATTCGTGCAGAATATGAGCGTCGAGCCGACATAAAAAAGGCGGAGCATCAGGCAATGTATCCAGAGTACCGCTTCCAACCTGTTAAACGCGAGGAAAAAGAACGTCTCCGCCTGGAGAAACGACAAGAAAAGGAGCGAAAGAAACAAGCTCAACGACAAACACGCGTCAGTATACAGCAACCCCCGCCAATTTCGCAGCAACTCCCACCCCCACCTCCACTATATTTTACTGCCGACAATCGCTTTGCTATGGCCGGCCCGTCCCCTCCCCTCTCAGCGGCTGCTTCACCAGAAGCAAAAGTTGTTGAACTTCCTCGAATCGAATCCTATCCACAAACTCCCAGCAGCACATTGCCGTCACCTGCTTTGCCACCCTCACTATACGTGCCAATGCCCACTCCTGAGCCGGAGCAGAAGAATTGGTCGATGCCATCGGTGCGTTTTTGGCTCTAAGCTAAACTACTCATTGATATTCTTGCAGGACTATGTCGAGTTTGATATACCGACACCATTCGAATCCACCCAGTCGTGGACAGGCACTCTCTCGTCAGAGTTTGATGTCGAAGCGATGTTATCATCGACTGCAAACCCGTCAGTCTTCCAACTGTCTGGGTTTGATCCCCAGACTTTGTTGGAAAATCCAAACGGGAACCTCGAGATTTCTCTGGCGCCTTTTGACATGTCCTACATGAATGAGCCAGTCCCCAGTCTGTCTGATCTCGGGCTATTTGCAACTCCTCAGGACGAAGCCTCTGACGAGCTGTCTTCCTTTCTTGCATCACTCAGTACACCTCAACCTGATTATGGGGCTGCCGACCAATTCCTCAATCTCGATCACGATGACCCTCCTGACACCCAACCACAGCCACAACAACCTACGCACATTCCTTATATTCCGCCCTCTGGCGCGTCACAATCGAATAATCGACGGGTCGGAGGTACTTGGTCTCGTCCATCACCACCGCTCACATCACCCATTGACCCTCGTGGGCCTCTTTGGAGTGTTCACGCCTAATGAACGTTATTTTTTTCCTTTATTTTTTTTATCTCGCATTGTCCTTGCATCGTCGCATCGCTTTTCACGTAGATCCTACTGCTTTCTTCTTGCTCTCCATCGCTATCACTCTGTTATTAACTGTCCTCCCTGCTTTGGAACTCATGTCGCTGTACCAATAAAAAAAACGTGATCAAAACTTACATGCTTGCCCGCAACTTCCGAGTTGGTCAAACGTGTCGAATCGTTTGCCGACAGCTCCAGACTCTTCCAACACCTCCAGACACATCTTCTCTACCTCCTCCCCAACCCAACCGTCGCAGTCAGGTTCAACTCCATCCAACTCCCATAAAGCCACCGCCCAAAACAACCAGCGCAACGCGTTCAGCTGGTCCTGTTGTTCAAACAAAGCAGCCCGCTTCACTCAAAACTCTCAAAGAGACAACAGCGAAGGATATCAGCGACGCTGAAGCCCATGGCATCCTCACTCCACCTGATCCCTCGGCTGGTTGGGCAAAGGCAACGCTCCATAAAGCCATACAACTTGCCAAGTTTTACTATCGTGGGGTCAAGCTCGTCTACACCCGTGGCCAGATAGTGCGCCAAATTCACCAACGAATTGACTCAGGTGGCGCGCCGTTGGAGAGGTGGGAGCATCGTCTCTTCCACACGCAGGCAACAGACATAAGACGAGTGTACTGCAATTCTCCATAAGCGGCCTCCTCATTCTAACAGTCTCACAGAGTACCCTTCGTCCTCACCGCTCTCATTATCGAGGAAGTCATTCCGTTGATAATCATTTGGGCGCCAGGCTTCCTTCCCTCTACCTGCATCCTGCCCTCTCAACGCGAGCGAATACAAGAACAAGCAACCAGTAAAGCCTTAGACCTTGCAATTGCTCATGGCGCGAAGTTGACGACAATGACCCAAAGTGCGACTGGAGGCACAATATCGTTAGCCGCTCTCCCAGAACCCACGGTCATCTGTGGGTGAGTATGGTTATCCAGACGAGCTGATTCGCGGCTAAGGGTTCGTTTTTTCAGACTTCTCGGTCTCTCAACGTTTGGCTTCAACTTCATGCGACGCCGGCGGATCCATCGGCACCTAACCTTTGTGGAAAAAGACGACGTTTTCCTGTCGAAAGACAGTATCCACCACTTATCCTCTCAAGACCTTCAACAAGCATTGCGTGAGCGTGGCATGTAAGTTATGGCGCTCCGACTCTTGTATCCTCCTTGCTAAAAACATCTGAAGAATTCCGCGCGGACTCGACACGCCCCAGCAAATTCAAAAGCTGACATGGTGGCTCAAGTCGGTCCAAGAGAAATCAGATGCAGTCGCCCGTCGCATCTACCTTGTTGCTCTCATGGCGTCACGATAACCATAGACTAATATATTAATTTTTAATTATCGCGCTAACGCTAGCGTCTTCCAATTTTCGGCCTTCCAAGGTGTTAAAAAGATGGCTTTTTGAGCCAGTCTGATGGCTCGACTACTATCGCCATTCATAGACTCTGAAATGGCTTGTAATGCGAGCGAGTTTCGTGCAACCTCGAAGCTTCCGGTTTGTGATCCAGACAGGACAGCGTGAGCCGTTTTATGATCGTTCAGTTGGAGATTCAAGCTTGCCAAATCGTTCCGAGTATCTGGGCGAGCAGGCTCTGCGACAACAACTCCCTGCGCCAACGATATGGCTTTTCCGACGTCATTCTACAGAGCAGTCAAAGGCATGAGAAATTGTGCAGTGGGTTTGCGTACCTGAGCAAGATGGTGCTTAGTGAGCAAATAATTGACATGGCGTTCAGGATCGAGCTCCAGCCGCTTGTGTACTGGCAAAGACAATATGTCTGCGAGAGCTGCGTCCACCAGTCCGTCGTCGTTTGTTAGGATACCCATTGCAGCCAAGGCAGTGATGGCAATCAGGTTTTCAGAGTCCGTCGTGATGCTTCCATAGCAAGTCAGTCAGTAAGTACTTTAAGGCATTCCACTAACCAGTCCAATAGTCTTTCTTTAGCTGTATCTTTGTCGCCAGCAGCCCACATTATCTGAGCCAGTAATACAGCGCTGTGTCCTTGGAGAGTGGTATCATTCGCAGCAAGTTGTAAAGCCAATTCCGCGTGTTGCATGGCCTCGTCAATCCGACCCGACTGAAAAGCAGCTAAACTGATGCCGAACCTTGCCTGGATTTGCATAGTCGCGGCATCACGATCTTTGTCCTCTTCGCCGATGAGCCCCAATACACTCTCAAATGCCTCGATGGCCCCTTCATAGTCTTGGACCGCGAGACAAAGTCGGGCAGCATTTGACGTTGCAACAGTGTAATGCTTTTCGACCACCGCCGACTCCGTTTCCTCGTATTCCGCTTCGAGAATGCCAATCGCCCTCCTGACAAGTTCCACTGCACGCTCAAGTTGACCCAAGGTTTCGCAGATGAGGCCCAGCAGATGGAGGCCACAAGGATCGCCTGGTCTATTCTGACAGTATCTGTCGAGAACGAGGAAGATGGGAAGCAGTGAATCTATGGAAAGACCACTGGAGGTGCCCATCCCTTGTGTGAAAGCCCGAGAAGCGTATTCTAGGTCCACCTCTGGCTGTAGCTTCTGCTCAGTCGCTCGATAGATAACAAATGATAATAAAAACACACGACGGATGACGGGAGCCCAACAGCATGTTCCAGGAGTGTGGTTGAGTCAGAATTGTGTCCATTGTTGGCAGCCACTAATGCTTGACCGGCCCAGGCGATAGTGCATTCGGGATCAAGGGTCTGTGCTCGCAGCAGTGCTTGATTTGCGAGTTCCAAGTCACCTTGATCAAGATACAGTAAACCTAAGTTGGCCCAAGTCAACGCATTCTAGGTGACATCATTGATGTTGTACATGACAGCAAAGAAGAGATGCAAACCTTGGAATCGATCTCCAAAGCTTTGATGTAGGCATGCTGCGATGTTTTAGGCTGAGAGGTAAAGTGTGCACTTGCCAGGGCAGTCCAAAAGGCATCATTGCCTGGATTCTCACGGACTGCCCCAGTTAAATACTCGACGGCTTTATCTTGAGCTCCTTGTGGAGAAATTTCCTGACGGGCGGCGCAGAGAAGAACGATTCCAAGATCGTACATAGCACTCGAGTGAGCAACACCTTCTGAGGGCCCCAGGGCAATCCGATGGCTGTATGCCATAACGCTCGTTTGGAGAATGTATCGGGGGGTAATTGGAGCACTCGGATCGGTAGTTGCCATGATAGAACGCAAATTCGAGTCAAGATCAGTCGGCAACAATGTTTGCACTTGGTCCACTGTTTCTCGGACAATGTCTTCGTGGAACAAGACAGAACGCCGAGATAAGAAAAATAGAGCATCGGCGACGGTTTTCCAAGTGAGACTACGGAAACCCGCACTTTGTTTCATCGTCTGGATTGCTGTGAGGATTGCGTCTACAAAAGAGCGCTCAGCACGGTTTGAAAGGCCGTCGTTCAATTGGGCGAGCCCCAGCTCCAGATAGCTTTGCCCCAAGGACACCACGACACCGATTTCTTCGGGATGTTCGGCCAGTATATCACGGAAAGCGTCGACAGCCTCTTGCAGCTCCCCAGTCTGTCGTTGAACTTGAGCGAGGAAAAAACTACACATCCAATCTTTCGAATCAAGTTCTCGTGCACGAGAAAGTGCCTTGATGGCCGCTGCATGTCGTCCAGCTTTGCTGTAGGCCTCTCCGAGACGTAGCCAAGACACTTGGTCATCAGGCTCTGCTCGTAGTGTAATTTGTAAGGCCTGAATTGCAGCAGTATAGTTAGAGCGCGCCTTTCTCTCCATGTCAGATACGTTATGAGACAGTGAAACCAACATACTAGTTCAACGACACCGACAGCTTTCCATGCCCATGCGTTGTTGGGTAAAAAACGGCGAGAGCTGTCTACTTTCAGGCCTCCATCCAAACCACCTTCTCCTTCAATTGTTCGACGCGCGACAACCTCAACAAGATCCCATTCCCGTTCTTCGGCAAAGCCATCAGCAAGTCTACGAGCAGCAGCGCTCTCCCTTGCGTCCAGCTCGAATGCCTTTTGGAAACATTTTGAAGCACGGGTGGGATCACGTGGATTGGCGGCCTCCAAATAATATATACCAAGCGCAGAAAAGGCTGGTGCATACGACGAGTTGTATTTGAGTGCAGCGATGAAGAGACGGTATGATTCCTCTCGCTTTGATTCTACAAAACGTGTCAGAAAACGGTCTGGCAATAAAATAGAAGTCACTGACCACCCATATCCCAATAAGCCCTCCCAATTCGATACAAGGTTCGGGCACAATCGGCTTCTCCACCCTCCAGCGTTTTTAGAGTAGTCAACACTGTTTCGAGCCCGTGAATTCCAGCCGCCAAGTCTCCGGATAGCGCTATGCACCATGACTCCTCCTCTTTGGCTCGGATACCGAGTTGAAGGTCATCCGGAAGAAGAGTGCTGACACGGTTGAACAAAGTGGCCGCATCTATCCATCTTTCTTCATGTTCAAGAATATACGCGCGGCTCATGAGGCATAACGTGTTGTCTGGAGCTTCCGCAAGCACATCATCTAGTATGGACAACGCCCGCACGTGATGCTTTGGGGGGAAGAGATGGACGAGTGAAGTTGACAAAACCATCTTGAAACCTATCCGGCCTCTATGCCAATACGGTGAGCAATCAGAGCATTTTATATCGTGCACGCACTTTGACAAAGTCTTTCCACAGTTTGTTTCTGTCTGCGTCAATAAGCTTAAGCCATTCTCGGCCGCAAGGATAGCATTTTGCAGTTCCGATTCTTGCAGTGATACGTCAGCAAGTATCCGAGTCGCAAGAGTCGAGTTGGCGAGCGAGGAATATGCATCCTGAACAAAGTGTCAGTCTCAAGTCATAGCAAATGCGTTAGTTCGACCTGCATACGCTCAAAAGACTCGATGGGGTTGTTGCTGTCTTCTTCATCTATATTCTCAGAGTGAGAATAGACAGAATACGCCTTGAGAAATGTAGCAAGGGGTGTCGAGGGAAACAAAAGGATAAACTGTTGTAACAAGTCGCTGGGATAGTCCTCTAAGAGCATCAATCAGTTGAGCGATCGAACTGGACTGTGTCTCATACTCAAATTGACCAGATCTAATGCATCCAAGGAGAGCGACCAAGCCAATTCATCCGGAATTTCGAGTGTAATCGCGCCAGCAACGAGCTCATCAACCTCCCGAGAAATGATTGGTTTGCGTGTGTCATTGGCAGGTAACGCGCACAAGAGTTGGTACTTGTAGCGAAGAAGTTTTGCGTCGGTCATTCTCCGTAACTCATCCGTTGTGTGTGGATGATTGAGGACGTCGGTGTAGAATTTAGGTAGCTGTCGAGACATTAGGAGGAAGCATAGACACAAAACGCATGCTCACAAGTGAGTCGCTCCAAACTTCAACGCCAACCTCTTTACGCAATACCTCGGGACTAGCGGCTCCGAGTCGTGTTCGTCGCTTAGCGACCTCCTTAGCATAGGTTGAAGATTCTTCGCGTTCAAGAATGGTGATGATTTCCTCCACGACAGGTAAGGAATTGTGAACGGCAGCCTGCGTAGTGTACGAGGGCGTCGCCTCTGGGTTTGTATGATCCGGTATAGGAAGATTTGACAGAACTCCATAAGCTGGGGAGTCGGGGAGGAGCAGTGACAAAGCGTCGACGAGCTGGAAACCAAGATGAACAAGGACAAAAAAAGACCCCAATGGTAGAGCAAGAACCTCGCTCGGATTTCCGTTATCCCTCCGGCAAGCTATCAGCTTTTCGGCGGCTTCAGCGCATTTGGCTGCGTCGCCACTGAAACATGTTTAGCGGCATCCAACAAAGGTTGCTTCACAATTACCTCTCTACATAGAGATCCACCAGACGGCGCATCGTTTCTGCGAAAGCAGGCCACTGATTACGACGCTCGTAATACTTTGCCAGCCCTTGCCATGCCAATGATTGCTCTGGACTTGAGTCGATTGCCCTACGATACGCCTGGAGATGGCATTAGAAACTGTTGAATGGTGTAAGACAACGTGTAGTACAGCCTCGCTTTCGGCGAACTCTCCAAGTTCTAGGAGAGCGAGACCCAGAAAGACATTTCTGATATTCTGTTATATAGTTCGAGTTAAGTCGCTCAACCAACAACACACGCGTTGTAGTTGGTCGGATCGAAGGCGAGTGCTTGTTCAGATGCATCTTTAGCGAGTGAGAATTGCTTTTTGGCAATAGCGTCGCGAGCAGCCTTGAGTTTGGTTTTGACCAAAGACATCGTTTACAGATTGATCAAATTTCCCATCGCAAGTCAACCACCATCCCCCACCACTGGGCGGATGCAGCCCCTTCTCCTTCTCCCCTTCCTCGTTCTACCGACACATGCATCGTTACCGCGAGTCGATTTTGACCGTATGGGCAAGGTTGGCCTGGCTGGCGCGTTCGCTGGGTTAGACTTGTTCTCCAACAACACGGTCCCCTTTGACAACTCAGTTTCAACGTTGTTCGCCCGTGCCACCAACGGCTCCCTTGACCGCCTCGCTTCATCCAACTCAGGAGGATCAATTGTCGCTGCTTGTGCCCTTAACAACGTCCTCTATTTCTCCGGATCGTTTTCGTCGATCGGCTCGACTTCTGCCTCTAATATCGCCTCTTATACTCCCTCGACCGATACTTTCGCCGCTCTAGGCTTGAATGGACCAAATGGTGTTGTCGATGCCCTCTTTTGCGACTCGAAAAATGGCAAAGTTTGGGCTGGAGGTAGCTTTTCGTCGCCTGGTTCTTCCGTCGCGGTCTGGGACACGAAGGGGTCATCGTGGTCTGCACCTCCGTTCAAGGGCCTTTCGGGTGGGGGTAATCACGTCTTTTCAATCACAACAAACGCGTCAGAGAGCAGTCTCTTCTTCGCTGGCTCATTTGTGACCTCGTTTGTTGGCAACGGCTCAGCTCCGCTGAACGGCACGAATAATCCAAATGTCCCCTTCTCCGCTGGAGCTTCTCCATTCTCCTCTTCTCTTGTGCCGATTCCGATACCGGCGTCTGCCATCCTCCAACCCTCCACCAACTCCAATAATCCCGATTTTGGCAATATTCAACGCATTCTGTGTCCTGCTGGTCCCGATGGTCCAAAAAATACCTGGTTTGGCGCTGACGGAACGACCTCAGTCATCTCAATCAACACGCATAGTCGCTTGTCTCTGAGTGGCCTCCGTCTTGGCAACACCTTCCAACCCAATCATGGCACGACAGGCTTCTTGTAGGTCCCGTTCTCTACCATCCTTCGCCTTCTTAGTCTTTTCAGTGTAACCACTCTGCCTGATAACAAAGTGCAGTCGCTTCAATACCTTGACCCCAGCACGAACCAGAATAAGACCTGTTCAAATCCCTGTCCTCTTCTCACCGACTCTTCCATTCTTTACCAAGACTTTCTCTTTAATGAACCCTTAACAATCACGGGAGTTGAAATCCAACTTACCGAGTTCACTGGAGATGGCCCAGGGTTACATATTCTCCAACTTCTTTCCTCGGGGGCCTTCGCGTCTGCCATCAGCGATGAGAATGGACCGTCTTGCTTTGCTCCAAGTGCATCTAATATCAGCTTCACTGGCACGTGGCAGCCTAAGCAGGCGGGTACGAATATACCGGGGACAGTACAAACCGTACTTCAGGCCCAAGTAAATCCTGGCACTTCGCCGTCGAGTGGACCGACATTCACCTGGAATCCTTACGTATCGGCCCCTGGTCAATATACGATCAACATGCTTGTTCCCGGCTGCACCCAGTTGCAAGACTGTGCTGCGCGTACTTCGGTGAACGTGACAGTTTTCCCGGGAAATAATTTGGAGCCTTGGGTGACACCGGTTTCGCAACAGAATACGGAGGACCAGTCATTCACTATCTATCAAGGACCTATTCTCCCCACAGGGCCAAACTTCGTGACCACCATCCACATGGGCCTTACTGCAGCCCCTTCTGGCCCAGGGGCAAACGGCAAATTCGTCCTCATTGCCAACAAAATCCAGATGATACTTGATGCGGCTGCCATCAACAGTAGTGTTCCAGCGGGCAGTTCATCGTCTACTGGTCGTACTCGCAACGGTTTTGGTTTCTTCGAGTGGCCTCTTTCCCAAACATCAACCATCGATGGCACAACTACTTTGACCAATGCTTCCGAGACCGCCTTGGACACGATCGGTTTTGCAATGTTCGGTGCGACCGGTGGGAGTTCGTCCCTCATCTCGAGTACTTCGTCTGGCATTGCTACGGTAGTCCATCATCCAACTTCAGGTGTCTTTTTGGGCGGAAACTTCTCGTTGTCCTCTGGTTCCGCTTCTGCCTCTGGGAATATCGTATCGTTCAAGAATGGCGCCTTGGCTACGCTCAGTGGAAACGGACTGAACGGACCTGTAAATGCGTTGGCTCTCTTCGGCGATACATTATATGTCGGCGGGTCGTTCACTGACACAAAGACTGCGTCTACCAGTGGTCATTTGCATGGCGTTGCCTCCTACAATGTGCAGACCAACCAATGGGCAGCTCTTGACGGTGGTGTTGACGGAACTGTTACTAGCCTGAGCATCGCCAACGGACAAGTTCAAGTTGCTGGAAAGTTCAAAAGTGTCCTCACTCCTTCCGGCGCTCCAGGTGCTGATGCTGCAGGTTTGGCTACATGGGACATCGCGTCAGGTCATTGGGTCAACAGCGGGGGTTTCCTTGTGGGTACTATGTCTCTAGTGGCCAACGGGACCTCTGGCTCGCAAATAGTCGCTGGAAATGTTTTAGCATCCCAGAAGTTTGGGGCCTCAGGAATGGTTCTGATCCAGAATAGCAACAACGATCTCGCCGCCATCACACCGCTCGGGGTTGCACTCGAAGCAGGCAGTTCTTCGAAATCGGCTCAAAATCCGCCATCAACATCAAGGAAAAGAAATACGCATATTCGCGCTGGATGGCTGACCAAACTCACATTCCCCACGCTTTTTGCTCGACAGTCGACGGTTCCCGCTCCCCTTCCACCAGCGTTACCTGCTCCCGCTCCCGCTGTTCTTGCAGGCGCTTTTTGGACCAATACCTCTTCGTCGCATGAGATTGCTATTATTGGTGGCAACTTTTCGTTGTCGTCTTCTCAAGGCCTTGTTCTATACGATACCAAGACGCAATTAAGCTCCAGTATCGCGGGAGCCCAACTTAATGGGACAGTGCGCTCTCTCTTGGTTGTCGATGATGTCCTTTACGTTGGCGGTGAATTTACCATTCCGGGACTCAACGCGAATGGATTCGCTGTCTATAACCTGGCCAAGAAGCAATGGGATACATCGAATGTGCAGCCACTTCAGGGAAATTCCGGCTCGAATGTTGTTGTTCGCTCAATCACGACTTCCGAGTCTAAGGACAAGACAGTCATTGTCGCAGGGTCCTTCGCACAAGCAGGGTCACTTCGGTGTCAAGCCATCTGTTTGTTGGACACGTCCAACAACCAATGGAACGCGTTAGGCAATGGTGTTCAGGGAGAAGTTGCTGCTGTTGCTTATGCGGGGGTAAGTTTTTCCAAAGTAAGAAGCAAAAGCGTTTATACTGACCACGTGGTAGTCGAATCAAGAATATTTGATCGCCTCTGGCTCTCTTGCTTTGGATAACTCGGCCGCCAACGTCGCTCAATTTACCTTCTCCAATGGCACTTGGGCCCCTATTGGTTCTGGCTCTCAACTATCAGGACCGGTTACGGCCGTCGAAGTAAATGCTGGCAACGTCAGCAGTATTTTCGCTGCTGGACGGTGTGTATTCTTGTAGAGGCTGCTGTTCGGTGTACTCACAACAGCTGGCAGAACGAGTGATTCGTCTTCGTCTTTCTTATCATTCTGGAATGGTGTTGCATGGACACCTCTCAGTACGTTGATGCGCCGATACCTATTCTTGATGCTGACCAATCATAGGCTCAACTCTAGCAAGTAATACCACCATCGCGCAGCTTGCCATGGTTCCCCTCCAAGATACCCATTCAGCAAATGGCATTATTCAATCTGATAGAATGCTCATGATCTCTGGCTCCCTGGCCGACTCTTCATTTGGCAGCGCTTCTTCTGTCCTATTTGATGGACAATCATTCTTCCCCTACATCGTCTCCTCCTCCGCCTCTGGAGCGGCTGGAACTATTAGCTCCCTCTTCCACTCCTTCTCCACCTTCAGTTTCACTCAACACAGTGCGTACTACCTTTCTTGACCTATCATAAGTCGTACTGAATGGCCTGCAGAATTCCTGGCGACGGGTGTTGTTATCCTCATCTCGATTGCGATTGCAGCAGGAGTGGTATTCCTCTTGGCTTTGATTGGAATTTTGTGGACATTGTTCTCGAGGCGTGACGAAAAAGTCAACAAGTTCGATGCTGCCGCGGAGGACGACGATGACTCAACCCACCACCGCCCATCCTCTCTGTTGGAGCATATCAACGCTGCCACGCGAACGACGATAATCGGGGCGCCATTTGGCTATTCTGTCTCAAAGGAAGATAAACAAGTCGACTCCCGATCGCATACCCCAGAGCCAGATCCATTCGGGCCAGACGCAAGCAACTACATGCGTGCCGAGACACCATCAGATGCTGTCATTGCCGGAATGATGGCCGAGGAAACGAGTCGACCAGCTCAGGTTCGATATTCGTTTGATGGCACAGGAGAAGGAGAGCTACCAATATCGGCGGGAGCCGCAATAGAGATCCTAGACGACAGAGACCCTGCCTGGTGGTACGCCCGTGATGTGAAAACTGGCGCAGAAGGAGTACTGCCAGCAGCGTATGTGTGGTAGTCTCTTGCTTTGCTTGTTTTCTCTCCTTGCATTCACCGCATCGTAACCATACCCTTAATTCTTAGTTTTTGCATGACTTTCTATTGATGATAATGACCAAAGACTCTCTGTACACATTACTATTGAAGCACTGTAGAGCCAAAGTCAGCAAAACAAAAGTTGACAATAAGCTACTCACGAGGATCTCTATAGTGCTTTTGGCTATTGTTGATGTAGGCTATCTTGGTTCTGAAGTCTTCGCGTCGTTTTTGATCTCTGAACTCGCGGACATGACGCCCAGCCTCCCTTGCTTCCCCCCGGTTGCGAGCTTTGACCACATCTGTTCCAGCTCCAAATGCACCAAACCCGCCTTTTCGGGGAACCAGGGCAGAGTTTTTGTCAGCAAGAAGACGACGAACGAGGGCAGCGCCAGAATCGGGGTCCTCTGTTTTACCGCGTCTTGAGCCCAGGAATGTTTGTGGGTGGTAGCGCAGTTTTCTGTGGTTTATTCGAACACCTGAGGGAAGGATAAGCTGCATCTCGCTGTCGCCATAAGAGATCCCATTATCAGGAAGCTCTTCTTCCTCAAGTTCAGATTCATCTTCAACAACTTGGTCAGCGCTTTCTGCATCGCTGTCATTGTCGTCGTCGTCGACATCCTCCCAATCCTCTCCTTCAGACTTGTTTTTGGCTGAAGGGTACGAACTTGTGAAGTCGTAGTAGTCGGAAACTTCTAAACGGTCGTCCTCCGTGTCATAGGCGATTTTGCAGTGACTTTTGTCGAGCATGTGTTTTCGCGTAGCTTCCAACGTCCTGAACTCCTTGCCTTTGCCATTGCAGAAGATGCAAACGTTGCCTACAGCGATCTTCTCGCCCAAGTAGGTTATAAGACCCTTGATGTCCACCAAATACTCGGCATCGGGGACGAAAAATGAGTGAACAGATGACATGTGCTCCAGGTTTACGTCGAGCGAGGGGGCTTCCTCTGAGCAGAAGAGACATGAGTTGGGGGAGAGCTTGGCGCGTGCCGCCGCAATTTTTTCGTCGATTGTCTGGTTGATTTCGGTTTCGGAGGCGTCTTCTGGCACGACAAGAGACACAGATTCGGGCTCTTCGATTGTCTCGAGTTGATCTTTCGCTACCGGGTCAGAATCTGGTTCAGGTGCGCGCGGTTGGACCACTCTCGGCTTCAACTCCATTTCTTTGTGCTTCTTGGATTGGATATGCGAGCGATAGGCATTCTCCGTTGTGTAGGTTTTGCTATAAGCCAGTGAGATCGGACAGTTAGAGCGTTGGATTGGATTACGCACTTGCAAACGTCGCAGTATGAACCTTTCGCAGACGACATAATGGCAGTCTCCAATCGGCGATCTAGAACCTTTTGGTTGAAGACTTCTAGTGAAACGGGCGGCAGCGACGCAACACGACGCTTCATATTATATCTATGGTGGTCGGAGCGGTAATGACCTCCTACACACAAAGGCTTATTAGCGGTTGAGCATGAAGCAGCAGCACCACAAACTCTGGTCCTCCGCAGTGTGGAACGCAATGGAACATGAAAGACAAGTGAAGAGTGTCGTCGCGGACATGGTGGATGAGTAAAGAGGGTTTTGGATCGTGACTTTCGGAAGCGGATTATAATATTGTGACTCAGCAAAGTTTAGTGAGGACGATTGTGGTATCATCTATCCAGCGCTGCTCCGATTCTACTGTAAGCAGTGACGAGACCTTGTCTGGCTCTTGACCCATAACATCACGCAGCAAATGCAGCGCGTCATTTCCTGAACGGTCAGATCGGGCAAGAACCTCAACCCATTTCTTTCCGCACATCTCCGGTACTCGATATTCTACCCCAAAGGTATCACCTGTCAGATCAACCAGGCCGTCTGAGGCGAGCAAAAGATAAGCTTCAGTAGCACCAATCGACGCGATGTTGATGTGTTGAATTTCGCAAATGGCCGAGACGTATGGCGGAGTCAAATTTCGAGGCAGAAACTCGGCGAGATTCGACGAGAAGCGGAAGCCAGGCTTGGACTTGAGGAATACTTGAGTCGTATAAACACTTGGCAGCTTGAAGAGGAAATCGCCCATCGCTAAAACACCCTTAGTACCATACAACTCGCCGAATTCGAGCAACCAGACTGACCACGGGTTACCGCTAATGCACCAAGAACCCGGTCTCGTAGTACGGCTTCAGGTTCACCTGGGTGTTCACTGCGAATTCTTTCAGCCTCGGCTGGGTCCACACCATTATGGTTAGTGCTCAAGACAGTTGTGGTCCACTCTCCCGATCCTTGTTTTGCTCCAAGGACTATGCAAAGATTAGTCACGAAGGGATAGAGCAAGTACAAATGCTCCATACCTGCCTGACAGTCACCCAAACTACCGACCCATACGTCAAGTTCAGGACTGATGAGAGCAATAAGGACGGTGGAGCCTTGTGCGTCGTTTTAGCCCGACAAAAAGCAGATCAGAAACCATACCTCTCATGCATCGCAGTGTCTTCTTGTTGTTGGGCCCACCGTCGTTGATGATCGCGACAATTTCTTCTTCGGACATGGACTCGACAGCCTCAGGTCCGCCTGGAAAGAGAGCGAGGAATTCATCTCCAATCTTGGCGTCTGCAGCTGCGACTGTATTACGCAAAAGGTTGGTAACTTCCGTGGGGTCTAGTGGTCCGTTTGTAAGGGCAGTTGTGAGAGCATCACGAATGGCGGCAGGGATAGTTTCGACGGCATAGTCGACAGTTTCGTGGCCCGCATGTCCATCGAAAGTGGCTCTGAAACGCCAGACACCGTTCGAAAGGGCCCAGTCGGCAACGCAATGTCGATCTTGAGATCTTTCTGCGACAATGGGACAGGGTTGGAAAGAGACCACATCAGTGTCTTGAGAAGGAGACTGAACAATAGCGAGACGAGCAAGTAAGGCGGATAACTCGGCTTCAGGTAGCGATGTGTAGAGTTGGCCATCCGCGTTCCGTTTCCGCTCAGCCATGGCTAAGTAACTCTGAGAGTTTGAAATGCAATCAGAAGGTTATTGTGATTCGCCTTTTATTGAAGAGTGAGCTTGCAGTGTAAACAGTCTGAGTAAACGGAACCCGGGGTACGAGGGTTAGATGGTGGTTCACACCAATAAATCGGAAGTTTACGTAATATGACGAGCAAGTACAAGTGCCTGACGTTTGGCTCGACATTTACAATCTCTTGAAGACAATATTAATACTCCTCACGGGTGACAATCCTCCTATCCTATCCTATCCTCCTACTTGGTTTGGATCGCTCCACGCCTCGATATCTTCACTAAAGAACATCTCCGCGAAAGTTACGCATATTGGTTGGACTCGGACTGTGAATTTTGATTGTGGTTTGGGCAGGCGCCGCGACATTGCGGCTCCGCTCCGAGCATTACCAGATCTGCATCCATGACCAGCGCGAAGGAGGATAATTGGGAGCTAATACTAGTAAGGATGAGTTGAAATGCGTCCAAGAGTTCAAGCTTTTCTAGACACTTGTCAGTTGACTGTAATTTGAAGACCCATTTCGGATATAACGCGTAAAGAACGGGACTTGTTTGCTCTGAACCCATAGAAGGCTTGAAAATGGACTTGAAGGCTACAGCAATGTGTCGCAAGCTCCTTCTGACAAGCCTCGAGATCGGTGATCATGAAGTGCATTGGACGATCGTTGCCGTTCTCCGTAATTATAATAGAGAGTGGGGTGGGTGGGATCTTGAGAAGACGACGTAGCGCACAAAGGACCGCTTGTCATACACGCTGATGGAGGCACTATTACAAACAAACAAACAAAGAAATACTGGCAATATTTTATGGTTTAATCCCAAAACGCTCTGCTCGTTTTTGTCTTCTTTCTTGCTCTTCTGCATCAACTTCCTCGACAGCTGGCGCTGGACGTTTCTTTCCCGTTCCGAATCGAGCAGCACGCGAATTCAGCTTCTCTTCAGTCTGTGTAACAGTTGTTATCCAGTCTAGGACTATGCACATATGAGCACGCACCTCTTTCAAATTCCCATTGGCTGCTTTGGTGGGCGTAGTTTTCTTGGGTTGCTTCTCAACAGGCTTCCGTGGCTCGACAAGTGGGATACCAAAGCGTTCAGCGCGTTGCTTTCGTTTTGCAAGTTCTGGGTCTTCGGCCTTTTCGGTCGTGGAAGGTGGCGAGACAACAGTTTCGGTAGCAATGGGTTCTACAGTGGTTTTGGGCGCGGGCTCCGGAGGTGTGGGTGCAGGTGTCTGGATTTAATCAGCCTATGGCAACTATAAACTGAGAAACGAGTACTTCTGGCTCAGTAACTGCGACCACTTCAGGTTCGGCAGCAACCTGGTCTGCATCCCAGTCGAGACTGAAATATCCCGTGAGCGAGATCAACGATTGGCGGGAATACCTACTCTTCTGGCGGGGCGAGAAGGTCGTCTTTGGGAGCGTATTTTGCGTTGAAAGCCTCTTGAGCCTCCTTGCTCGCCATTATACGCGTAATGAGGTCGTTTTTGGTTATTTTCGTCGGCAAAGTCTGGCCCTTCAACAGCTCCCTTAGGTCCGCCACCTTCAAGCTTTTGAGTTTTGCCTCCATCGCCAATACACGCGGATGTTGGAGTTGATGGAAACAGGAATCGTGGTCCCGTGACCGCACGGTCACATCTTTCTCCAGATCTCCATGAACGGCGAGCAGGAAACCTATCAGCAGCCTTATTTCTTCCCAAACTACGGGTCAGAAGTCACTACCGTGGACGATGAACCACTCTACGTGAATGCCAAACAGTACATGCGCATTATCAAGAGGTATGGTCGGAGTCTCGGCTTGTTCAGTCACTAAGCAACTACACCCAAGGCGCATCGCGCGTGCAAGACTCGAAGAGCTTCATAGACTGTCCAGACAGCGCAAAGTTGGTGTTGATCTTGCCCCAAATACCGCTTTCCCACCTGGTTTCCCATAGCCTTACTTGCACGAATCGCGACACAAACATGCTATGAGAAGGCCAAGAGGTCCTGGCGGCCGCTTTCTAACAGGTTTGTCATGCAGATTTTTCACTTTTGTCGTCTGATTTGTTGTTTCCAGCCGAAGAAATAGCTGCCCAGCGATCTTCTACGACAGACGAAGCTGGACCATCATCCAACACATTGCAGGAGCCTGAAGACGAAATGGAGGAAGACAACACCGAACCTATTCAGACCATTCCTGATAATTTCATGCATTCAGAGTCGATGGCGAGCATGATTTACCCTCATGAACTTTTGCAGCCTCCAGCCCCTCCACAAATGCAGCCAGCCCAACCTTTGCCACAACCACCAGCTCCCTCTGTTCACCACCATCCACTCTTTCCTGCCACGCATTCGCCTCCAATTACTCTCAGCTCTCCCTACCGATTGCATCACGTTCCACATCCCCACGTCCACGCTCGACACCGACATTTGGCGTTTGCCCAGGACATGTATTCCAACAACAATGACGGTCACGATATGCTGCAGTTTCAGACAGGTCCATAAACTGTAAATATGTACAAACACGCTCCAGTCACGGTTCTACGTCCATTGCGTCCTCGTTGTCGGCTCGTGGGGAATCAGTTTTCGGAGGGAGTTGTAGCGGCCGGAAGAGAACCAAGGCCTGAGACTGCGATTGAGATAGGATCGGTGGGTCAAGCGGTCGCGATTTTAAGCGCTCGATTAGCGCGGTATTCACCACTGGAGGCTCCTCAGGTTGGAGCTCCTCTTCGGCATAAGCAGCCAAATCTGTAATGACTATTCCTGTAATCCAGTCAAGTCGTTGTTAAGCAGATCGACGCGAAGAGTAACAGTAACAAAAACTCACGGTCTGCTTCTGGCTCATACCACGAGGAGGACTTCATTGTAATCTCCGGCGACACTGGCTCCTCGATAATGGGCATTTCCGCTTCGAGATCGACCATAACCGCGTCGAGTGAGAGGTTGGCCAGGTTTTGTTCAAGCACGAGCATTCGTCGTTTGGCAGGGCGGTCATCGTCGTTTCCGGCCAATTTTCGCTTCATAGAGGGCTGTAGCCACGGATGACGCAGAGGCATGGCCTGGAGGTGGTTCATCAAGTCAACTTATAAGAGGCGTGACCGTATATTTCGAGATCATTCTCGGTTCTACGCCAAAATTCAGGCTGCTGCATTGCTTGCTCTCGGAATTGCATTGGTCATACTCATATTTCGTAGAGTAGGCATGTACAGGGAAAGACACACAACATATATCTAACCACGCTTCTTCGACACACCAACGGTCTTTCCACGCCGACCTAAGAGAGAAGTTAAGAGAAAGACCAACAACAGTACAACAAGTAACTGGCCAGTTGTTTTGGTGTGTTGTCCACGGACGCGGAGGCCCCAGAAGTGACGCAGACCACGGTGGGCCCGGATTTTCTTGAGACGCTCAAGGTCATCACGGAGCTTCGAGTCGACACCGTTGGAGAGGATTTGCGAGTTTTTGCCGTCGACAATATCCTTTTGTCTGTTCAAGAACCACGTGGGAATCTTGAATTGTGTGGGGTTCTGGATAATCGTAACAATGCGTTCAAGCTCGTCCGAGTTGAGGTCACCAGCCCTGAGTAAGGCTTGTTAAGGGGGCAAAGAGAAACGAGGATTCTGGCCACGCACCGCTTGTTTAAATCAACATCGGCTTTTTTGCAGACCAGGTTGGAGTAACGACGACCAACACCCTTGATCTCGGTGAGAGCGTACATGATTTTGCGCTTTCCGTCGACATTGGTGTTGAGAAGACGGAGAATGTGTTGGAATTGCTGGTGGGCCTCGGGCACGACGAGAGACATTGGCGTCTGGACGAAAACTGTCAGTGCATCATCCAATAACTCAGGTCCCGCATCCAGCGTTTGCCGCCGTTGATTTGGCCAATAAGCCGGCCAGAGGGTCGCTGGGACCCTTTCACGGCGGGGACACAGTGAAGAGGGGGGAACAGCGCACTCACCGGCGGTGACGAGGAATATGGACCTGGAGGAAGTGAGTTTTGCGGGATCAAAAATCTCGTGATGGCACTCTCGACACTCTCACAATAAAAAATAGACCAATTCAATGCAAAACTTTTATTTGGCGCTGGAGCCATCTCGTCCTGCAACGTGCTCTCATACCCCGTACGACGATTGCGGCGATATTCAGTTTTCCTCGTTTTATCGGTGAGCATGAATTTTTTTTTGGTTCTGCCATTGATCAAGCATGTGACACTTTCCTTCCTTGCCTTCAACCCTCGCCGTCGTGCGAGGACCGACTGCCGACTGACCGCCCCTTTCCCTGCCTACCTCTCCGCCCGGCGTAGTCCGTGGCGGTAGACGGTGTCAGGGTTAACAACCGCTGGACTCTCCTTCTGAGCCCTCTGACAAGCGAATGTCGAAACTCGCAGTGCTCGCCCCGCTCGATTACAAGCACTTTATCCAACCTAGGCCCATTATAGACGAATGTCCGCCAGACCTCAACTGGCCAGAAGATCTCTTCCCCGATCTTCCTCCTCTGCTCCACGGTCACCCCGACATCCACCTCCGCAATGGCATACTCGAAGCTGACCAAAATCCACACCCAGACGCGGAACGCGCTTTCTTTGTTGCCGACCTCAGTCAGGTCTACAAGCAGCATCTCCGCTGGCGCAAATGTTTGCCCGAGATACAGCCATTCTATGGTCCGTTCAATTACACTGCCTTGCTCTTTCTTTTTCTCTGACTTGTTTTTTTTCTTCTTTTCCTTTCAGCTGTAAAATGTAATCCAGACCCATATATCCTGCGACTCTTAGCCGCACTCGGTACCGGATTCGACTGCGCCTCCAACGGGGAAATCTCTCAAGTGCTCTCTATTGGGGGCATCGATCCAGCTCGCATCATTTTCGCGAACCCTTGCAAAGCGGTGTCGTTTATCCGCAATGCTGCAAAAATGGATGTTCACATGATGACCTTTGATAATGCTGACGAACTCTATAAAATCGCCCGGGCTCATCCTGGCGCCAAACTCGTCGTCCGTATTCTTACCGACGACTCCAAGGCTCTTTGTCAACTCGGCATCAAGTTCGGAGCTCCCCTCGCTGCGGTCCCTGCTCTGTTGGCCAAGGCCAAAGAGCTCAATCTTGATGTCATTGGCGTCAGCTTCCATGTTGGGAGTGGCAACTATGACCCTTCTGTCTACACTGATGCCATTTCGCGGGCCCGTTCTGCCTTTGACATGGGTGAAGACATTGGCTATCATTTCTCCCTTCTTGATGTCGGTGGTGGCTTCGAGGACGCGTTATTTGAGCAAGCCTCTTCTTACCTCACCGACGCCATCGAAAGCTACTTCCCGGATCGGTCTGGTTTACGGATTATAGCAGAGCCAGGCCGATTCTACGTGTCCACGGCTTTCAGCATCGCGACAAACATCATCGCTAGGCGTGCCCCGCTTGGTGATGAGGCTGCTGTCGCGGCTCCGTCAGAGCAGCCAACGGTCATGTATTACATAAACGACGGGGTTTATGGTGCTTTCAACTGCATTCTTTTCGACCACCAAGTTGTTCACCCCTACGTGCTCTCTATGGGCAAGAGCTTCCACGTCGCTGCCAACGAGCCTGTTCAAACCAGCAGCGTCTGGGGCCCAACCTGCGACTCGATTGACTGTGTTTGCCGCACTGTCTCTCTCCCAGTTGGCCTGCGTGTCGGAGACTGGCTTGGTTTCGCCAATATGGGGGCATATACGGTCTGTGCTGCGAGCCAGTTCAACGGTTTCCAGGTTAGTAAGGTAGTCTATACGGCGGGGGTTTTCCGGTCAGGCGAGGTTAGAGGATTGCTCGCGCAGTTTGCTTCTGAAGTAGAGAAAGACAATGTATAGTAGTGCTCTACACAGAAATTCTAGCTGTTCATGTCGCTCACACACTCCCATACGCCCTTCAAGTTTTCCTTCCAAAGTGTCACCTTTCCGTCACCGCAACTAACTGCCAGCAGATTGCCTGCGAGACTCCACGAAACCCGCCAAACGACATCAGGGAATTTGCCTCCTGCCGCCTCGCCAGCGGAAGCAGGGTCAAGAGTGCTTCGTGTCCATTGACCATTGGGGGCATCCTTGACCCATACGCAGACAGTGCGATCCTGGGAAGCAGTGGCAATATAGCTGCGGGCCAATCCAACACTGGGAGCCCAAGCAACATCGCGCACCCAGTCAGTGTGACCATCAAGAACGTCCTCTTCAACCCAAGCCTGTTGGTCTTCACGATACGCCCAGATTTTTACGAGGTTGTCGCAGCCAGCGCTAGCAAAACGCTTGATGGGGGGCGTTGGCGCGGGGGGCAGGGCAGACGGGATTGACTGCAAATGGTGGGCGGCGGGCGTGATTAAACTGCCTGGGGTCGTGGCCGGGGCCCAAGAAACAGCGTTGCATCCAATAGCGTGGCCAGGGAAGATATCCGCGCCCCACTGGTCGTCATCTGAGCAGTTGTTTTGGTCAACGAGAAGACATATAGTGAAGTAAACACACAGACTTTTGAAAGTGAGAACTGAGATTTTTCCATCTGACGAGGCGCAGGCTAGGATCGCGCCGAGTTCATGGGGGGCCCAGGAGACAGAATTGACGGAAGCAGTGTGGAGAGTATGCTCGCGAATCTTGCTCCAGCCAGTCGACGGTTGTTGCTCTTTCCAGATGAGAACTTTTCCGTCATACGAGCAGGACGCGAGAATGCTTCCAAACTTTGGGTGGGCCCAAGCCACCTGCCAGACAGGCCCAGTGTGTCTTCACCACCCGTCAGCGCTAGCGGAAAAAAAGGTGCGAGTAGACACACCCGGTCAACGTCTTGCCCACTTTCTGCGTGTCTCCTTCAATGACATCGAATACCTTGACAGTGCGGTCAGAGGAGCATGTCGCGAGTCGTTTTCCGTAGTAATCCAGTTGCGCGTCATGCTACAACGAAATCTCGGTTAGTAGCTTTCTGGCTCGAAACGCTTGCTCAAACACGCATACGATCATGTCCTCATGGGCAGTTTCAATGGGCACCGACTCGGAAGCCACCGCGGATGGCTACATTGTTGTGAGTAGACGCGGAACCAGGAGCGTGTTTTCTGACCATCTTGGACAAGTGAGACGTGTAATGCTGTGATAGTCACATGGTACAGAAAAAGTAGTCGTATCTACTACGGTCTTCGAGGAATGTCTCCCAGTTTTACAAGTCGGTCTTTCGTAACCTCGAACACCTCTGAGCTCTTCAATGGTGATACTAAAACCGGTCGCCGGCTGTCTGCATCAGGCGTCTCCCGCACCTTCACAACTTCACCCTTGTGCTTGTTATCCTCCAAAACCAATGCTTCCTGGTTTTCCGCATCCGGCTCAACGGGTAGAAGATACTTGGCCAAGAAGCCAGACCGCATCAGCCCTTCTCCAGGCACAATAATCATCACCGTCTGCTCAAAGTTGCTCGCGCTCTTTGTTGCAGCCAGAATTTGAGCTTCACGGCCCTCATACTGCCCGTCGAGGTAGTGTGGATGAGTTGAGCGAGTGCCGTGTACTCGGACAATGATGCGATTGATTTGGTGTGCGTAGGCTGGATCAAAGACCCAGTTTTCTGGCGGTTCTGTAGAACACAGTAAGTTATCATTGTGCGTCATATGCTAGTGAAGATTACCATATTCGATTGGCATTTGGAACTGGTTGTAGGATGGGTAAGCAGCGGGAGTTGGGGCTGACATTGCTCCAGGTGTCGGTGCAGACATGCCAGAACCACTGCCATGTAAAGAAAATGCTCCGGCAGGAGTACTCGGAACATGGAAAACACCAGGAGTCGGTGCGCTGGCTGGTGTTGGTGCGCCAGTAAAACCTGGCGTTGGAGCTGCAGCAGCTGGCGTAGGCGCATTCTGATCACATCATATCATCAGAATCAATTTGATGGTCATCAATAGAGAAATAAAACGGACCCAAGTATTGTTTGAATCGCCCCAAGGACGAGGAGAGGCCCAACCAGCTTCGGCTCTTGCAGGGCGTCCAGGAGTAGCCCCTCCCCAATTTGTTGGCCTGCCAGGAGTGGCTCCGCCCCATGATGAATCTGTGTTGGCTGTGGCATACGGATTTGGAGTGCTTGACGAGTTGGCGTTCCAAGCTGGAGTCCGTCCACCCATAGCATAAGGATTTGGTGTTTTTGACGCCGCACTCCAGGCTGGTGTTTTTCCGTCGTTTCCTTGGGCATACGGATTGGGAGTTCTCGATGCATTCCAACCAGGGGTCCTTCCAGACTCCCAGCCGGGTGTTCTCCCGCCCCAACCAGGCGTCTTCCCTCCAGAGAACGACGATGAGCTGGCTTGTGACCCACCAAATTGCGACATATTTGAGTTGTCGCGCCCAAATCCACCTCCAGGGTAGTATCCTTCGAGTTCGACAAGTTTTCCGCTGTCCCTGAAACCGACTCAGCCTTGACTGCAAAGAGAATAGAAAGCAACACTTACAAGCGTCGTTTGAGCTTCTCTTTATCAACAGCCACGACTTTGTTGTTGGACTGCAATTCGACGCGGGCAATAGCCCCATTGGTATCCTTGATGATGCCCACGTAGCCTTTGTACGGCCCCTTGACGACCGTGACCGCCACCCCAATCAGTCTATCCCTTGGACCTCTCCCCATATTCCCCGAGCCCACCATACCGCCCGTTTGGGGAACCAATGCAGGATTCATCTTCGAAAGATCCATTCCTGCTTTAGGAATGCTGCCCTTTGGAGCCACAGAAGCCAGAGAACGAGCTCGGGCTACGAAGACACCTCCATTCTCAGTAATGTCGCGATTATGCAGGAAAACATGGAAGGCCTGATGGATATGGAGTACGCGTCCTTTTCGGCCCTACAATGACTCAGTTTTGATCTCATCTGGAGAGTCGAAACCATAAGCTTACCTCTCCTTCCGTTTCCTTCATATTATCATTAATCCGGAGTTCGTGTCCTTCCGAGTCCGTAGCAATCGCCCGATTTGAGTCTCGTCGCATCGAAATTTGGTGAGGCTGCACAAGGCGCACCTGACCGTGTTGGTCTAATACCCGGAACGAATCACGTTCGGTTTTGAAGATGACTCCGTAAGTTTGCGCACTGAAGAAACGCTCAGTTGATTTAGTTGTTTCGAACGCGCACTACGAACTCGAGTTGAACCAAGTCATGCAGTTCATAGTTTCCGACGATGTTGGTGCTGGACCCCACTTCTGCAGCTTCTCGCAAGTCTTTGGAGAAGACAGAAACCTATAGATAGCGGTGAGTTATCAGTGAAAGCTGTGTGTGTGAATCTGACCTCTTGCATTGTCATATCAGACAAGAATGTTACGACATTGTCCAGCACTGAAACGACCAAGCCCGTTTCGTCTGCGTTTTGCCCAGTCATGACCTTGACGTGGTCACCAGCTTTGAACCGCTTCCTAACGCTTCGTGCAGGTAAATCGACTTTCTGACCCTCGAAATCGACCCCTTCGGCCGTGATTGTGACGACGTCCTGGTTGATCTCCTCGACAATACCGTGCACTCCCGTTTGTTCACCTTCGAAGACTTCGACATGATCGCCTGGCTGTAGCACAGATATCGCTGCTTTCCTTGACGCGTCCGCGATGATTGAAAGGTCTACAACGCTTTCACCAGTTTCAATATCTTGTCGTCTTGCGAACTGTGTAATCTCCTCCAAAGTCGGATTTACGTCCTCAAGCACGAGTTGGCTGAGTTTCAGGTCCTTTTCGAGGAAGCCGTCCTTATACGTCTCGTTCTGGAAAACATAGACTTGGTTTCTCTTGACGACATTCTTCCGTCCCCATGCTGCGACGACCTCTTCATAGTTGAATAGGCGTGGAGGCGGGCGAGAAGACGCTTGACTTCCTGTGAAAGTAGACTTTTTCCGTTTTTTGCCGGGGCCCTCAAGTGAAGCATCGTCACGTGGATTGAGGTCGATTCGGGGAATATACTTCACTCCTACATATTCGCCCGTCTCTGTTATGTCAACCACTTGGGCCAGATCGCCTTGGTAAATACCGCGTTTTATGCGGACCCAACTACCAGGGGTAACGGTTTGCTCTTGTGTTTTGATTTGTAGGAGACTCGCCATCTCTTCTATGGGCACCAGGTGAATACCTCGAGACAGGTATACACCGACTAGACCGTTGCAGGCGTGACTAACTTGTTGTGAGCTACGGGCTTCAACATAGATCATGCCCGGTAGAGAGTCACGTTGGAAAGCGGATAGAATTTGGAGTGGACGGGAGCCGTATTTGGTATCAAGGGCTTTGCGCATCAGACTGAACACAAGCTCTCGTTCACGGCCAATCTATGTCTGTTTTAAAAGAGTGTCATGAAGAAGACGACTAACAACACACCTTGACGCGAACTTGCCATAAGCTTGCATCGTGGACAGAGGGCATAAGGAGTCGTTGCGGAATTTCATTCATGTCTCCAGTATATCTGACTGAGGACTGCCCTTGGTATCGACGGTGAATGTCGCTTGCGATTTGCTCAAGACTTTGTTCATCTGTCTCCTCAAAGCGACTTGGAGGCAAGTGACGGTATGGCCGCTTTATAGAGTCTTCTACATCCTCCGGGTCGTCAATAAAGTCTATATAAGCTGTAAGTGGGAGTCATTGAATTATATTTCCATACCTGGCGCCTCTTCGTCCATGTCATCTTCTGGGTCATCGTCATCGTCGCTCACTGCCGCCAAGTCAAGGAAACGGTCAGCTGCGCCTTTTCGATGCCTTCTCTGTTAAATTAAAAAAAAGTGAGTATTCAACAAGAATACTAACATTACGCGCCTTCTTTTTCTTAGGTCGCTCGTCTTCTTCGTCTTCATCCTCTTCATCATCATCATCCTCTTCATCTTCTTCACGTTCATCCTCGTATTCATTTGCATGCGGTCGTTGTCTGCTTTGTTCCATGGCGTACTCGCCTTCCGAATCCGACATGACGGCCTAAAGCAGTCCTGAGTCACACGTGACCAGCACGCTCACCTGTTCTCTTGTGGATCAACCACCTCTAACCGCCCATGTCCATCCGCGACCACATCGACTCCCTGGCCCACAACCTCTCTCTCACAGAAACAGAGGAAACATGGGACACCATTCTACGCGCTATCAACTCCCTTTCCTTGGCATGTGCCAACACCGACTCATACGACCCAACCGACCTTGTATCCGCTATTCGCCCCCTCTACAGGCCTATTATTAACGCAATGAACTCGGAAAGAGGTCGTCTGTCCGGCGCAGCAATAGATCTCGTCGGCATCCTCGCCTCATCTCTTGGGGTGGCATTCGATCCTCTCCTCCACCATCTATTTCCCGTTCTGCTCGCTTTGTCATCTCGTACGAGCAAAGTCACGATGACAAGAGCCAGGACATGCATTCTTACCGTCATTGACGCAACCCAACTACCAACCATTCTGTCGTATCTTCTTCAATCTGCCGCCGATAAATCTATTTCATTGAGGGTCACGGTTGTTGAATCGACATTAGCTTGTCTCAACTGCTTCAACCCACCTGATTTGGAGAAAGAATCCAAGGCCAAAGAGATTGAGGCCATCATACGGGTCGCTGCCAGGGACGCAAGCGGTGATGTCCGCAAAGTTGGACGAAAAATGTTCGATGCCTACAAGATTCTTTTACCAGATAGGGTAGAGAGGTGCGTGCTACTCTTAACTTTTTCCTCGAGAAATTCTCAACAGCTTTTTCACTCTAGATTCATCGCACCACTCTCTCCAACGTCACGGAAATATCTCGACATCCAGCCTAAACCATCGTCATCAAAGACACTGGGAGTGCCAATGAAGCAACCACAACTATCGTCTTCGACTTCGGCGATGAAGCCTTCTACACTCGATAAAGCCAAAACGCATATGCGTTCGGCCTCTTCCCCAGCAGTTGCTCCTCAAATTACTCGGCCTGTTGCTCAACCAGAACGGCCCAAACCTGTTGAGGTTGTCGTTCCACCGAAAGTAACCGGCACAATTCCTCCGTCACGGCATGCTCCATCTAAGTCTACCTTGGAACGCAAACGCGTTATATCCATGTCGGCCGCTCGCACTCGCATTGAAACAGATTCAACAACGCAACCCATTCCAACCACTAGTCAGCCTGTGAGACGGGTGGTCCCAGCTCAACAAGCAGTTCCCGTTGTTGTGACTGGCCCACAGAGGATTCTGATAAGCGATAGTAAGCCCTTGGACAAAGCTGGACCGCATCGTGGTCGTGTCATAAGCTCCGTATCAACTCCCGCCCTTCGCATCGCATCCACGGCACCTCCACCTCCAAAACCGACAGTGACGAAACCAGCTCTTAGATCAACAACGACTACTGCAGGCCCAAGCTCCAAAAGAGTCCCGGTTTCTCAACTGAAATCGTCACCTCAGAAGACTGTCTCCAAGCATAAGGAGCCAGTCAAGAATAGCTTGATGAAACCAACATTAGCACAACTTGCTCGAGCCAAAGCCATCGAAAAGCGCGTTGCAGCAGTTGCTACTGGCGAGCCGTCTCGAGCAGAAAGACGAGCTCCTAGGAAAGCACCGCTTCCATCGAGGAAGGTCAACAAACCAGTAGTGGAAAAAGAAAAAGAACCAAGCCAAGTGATTGCAGAGGAAGAGGCTCCAGCTGATGAACCTGAAAACGCAGAAAAAACAGACGAACAGCCTGCAGCAGAAGACAAGTTGCAGGAAGACGAAGAGATACCAAAAGTTTCAGTCGAGTCCCTCGATTTAGCGACTCCTCCTAGAACTGGTGCAGCTCCGAATATTTCTGTCAACAAGACGCCGATTTCGGAACTGCTGCTCTCGATAGAACGGGGATTTCTATTCACGCCGTCTGCGCCATTATCGCCTCCAGACTCGTATCTAAACCTGCCTCCGGTTGGAGCCGCTATTCCTTTTCCCATCCCAACAACCTGGCCACACGCAACACAACAGCAAACGAGCCTGAAGCCTTTCGAGGTAGTCCGGCAGTTAGATTCAAGGAAAGCTCTCGGTAATGTAGAGACCAACAAAGAGCGTGTGCTTTAGGTAGAGCGTCATTATTTTATCTACGTTGTCGGGTAATTAGCACAAGACATACCAATCAGTGGCTTAGATATTTGCGACCCTTGGCGCGCCGCCGTGCTAAGATATTTCGACCACCCGCCGTCCTCTTCCGTGCAAGAAAACCATGTCTTCTCTTTCTAACTCTCTGCGATGGTTGATATTCGTGTCCCATTTTGGCGAAACGGAGTTGTTGTAAGATGGGTGAAGAGTGCCATATGGCAGGAGTGAATGCGGGTGAGAATTGAGGATGGGCTAGCCGCAGAGGGTTGTTTTGTAGGACATTGCGGGCAAAACACGGAGAGGGCACAATTGCCGAAGGCAAGCGCGGAGGGTGCGTGAGGAGAGCGACAAGTTGGCGAGGAAGACGCATAAAGAGACTTGTGTCACGCCTCGTGACACACCCAAAAAAGTGAGGATCGATGAATGGTATTGGATTGAGGCACCTAAGTCTGACTCGAATTTCGATGTCGCAGTGGACTGCCGCCAAAGTTCGCCAGGAGTTCTTCAACTTTTTCAAAGCAAAAGGCCACACCTATGTCCCCTCCTCTTCAACCATCCCCTACGAAGACCCCACACTACTCTTCGCCAATGCTGGAATGAACCAGGCACGCTAATATACCTCATTACTCTGCAATCGCGTTATGTTTTCTTTCTCTCCAGTACAAGTCTATATTCCTGGGGACTGTCGATCCCCACTCGGACATGGCCAAGCTCAAGAGGGCTTTCAATACCCAGAAGTGCATTCGTGCGGGCGGGAAACACAACGGTGAATCTCACATCGCACGCAACCGATAGCAATTATTCATCGCGATCCAAAGACCTCGACGACGTTGGGAAAGACTCATACCACCACACTTTCTTCGAGATGCTCGGCAACTGGTCATTCGGCGATTACTTCAAGGTCATCTCTCTCTCCATGGGTTATATGGTTCGCTGTAACACAGTCATTCACAGAAAGACGCCATCGCATACTCATGGGAGCTCCTCACCGAAGTCTACAAGCTGCCCAAAGACCGACTCTACGTTACTTACTTCGAGGGCGATACCAAGAACAAGCTGGAACCTGATCTAGAAGCGAAAGAGTATTGGCTGGCCCAAGGTGTCCCAGAAGACCACATTCTCCCTGGAAACGCGAAAGATAACTTCTGGGGTGAGTCCCCCCTATCCTCTGGAACGACTTATCCGGCTCACTTTCTCTGTTAGAGATGGGGGCAACTGGGCCGTGCGGTCCATGCAGTGAAATTCACTACGACCGAATTGGAGGACGTAACGCTGCTCATCTAGTAAACCAAGATGACCCTGACGTCCTTGAGATATGGAACAACGTCTTCATTCAGTTCAACCGGGAAGACGATGGCTCTCTCAAACAACTTCCATCCAAGCATGTCGATACAGGAATGGGCTTTGAAAGACTCGTGTCTGTGGTCCAGGACAAGAGATCCAACTACGACACTGACGTCTTCTCCCCCATCTTCGCCAAAATCCAAGAACTGACTGGTGTTCGTCCATATGAAGGCCGATTTGGGGCTGACGATGCCGATGGTATCGACACGGCTTACCGTGTTGTCGCAGATCACGTGCGGACCCTCACCTTCGCCCTGAGCGATGGTGGAGTTCCCAATAATGTGGGACGTGGGTATGTTCTCCGACGAATTCTTCGCCGCGGTGCTCGTTATGCTCGGAAGAAACTGGGAGTGACGATTGGCTCTTTCTTTTCTTCTCTGATGCCCGTTATCGTTGAAACGATGGTAGCCGGTTGTTTTTTGCTATCTTTGGCTCAACTGATCAATCACTAGGGCGACACTTTCCCAGAAATCACCAAGAAAGTCGACGAAATCAAGGAGATCCTGGACGAGGAGGAGGAGTCGTTCTCAAGAACCCTTGACCGTGGTGAAAAGCTTTTTGATCAATACGCTACTCGCGCACAATCTCAAGGCGCACGTGAACTGAACGGCAAAGACGTCTGGCGTCTGTACGACACATTCGGCTTCCCCGTCGATCTTACGCGGCTGATGGCTGAGGAACTTGGACTCGGTATCAACGACGAGGAATTCGAAGCCGCTCAAGCATGGTCTAAAGAAGCCAGCAAAGCTTCACTCAAGAAGGACGCCACCGAGATCGTCAAACTCGATGTTCACGACATCGCGATTCTCGAAAAGAATAACGAGGTTCCCAAAACCGACGACTCGGCTAAATTCTGTAGGCTTAACTTGACCCGACTGCCGCACACTCTTATCCCTTTTAGCCCTTGGTAACACTTCCGCCACGGTCAAATCGATATACTTCAACAAGTCCTTCCTCGAATCTACTGCCAACATCCCAGAAAATACCTCCTTCGGAATTTTACTCGATAAGACTAGTTTCTACGCAGAATCTGGTGGACAGGAACATGACACTGGCAATATTGTCATCGATGGAGTTGCCGATTTCGAGGTCACTGACGTACAAGTCTTCAACGGCTACGTCTTGCATGTTGGTCACCTGAAGTATGGACAACTGGATGTCGGCTCACAAGTTGTCGCCTCGTATGATGAAGTGGGCTGCCGCTATTCCCTTTGAAGCTTACTGATGATTACTAGCTGCGACGGTGGCCATTGCGCAACAACCACACCGCAACTCACATCCTGAACTTTTCGCTGCGAGAAATACTAGGAGACCACATTGATCAAAAGGGATCCTTAGTTGCACCCACGAAACTGCGTTTTGACTTCTCTCACAAAGCCCAAATCGCCCTTCCTGAACTTGCCAAAATAGAGACAATGAGTGTCGACTGGATCAAACGGAATGTCAAGGTCTACAGCAAAGAACTCGATTTGCAAACTGCCCACAAAATTCCCGGTCTCCGTGCGGTCTTCGGTGAATCATATCCCGACCCAGTTCGGGTCGTGACTCTCGAATACGACGTCGCCGAAATGGCTCAAGACATCACGAACCCTAAATGGCGGAGTACTAGTGTCGAGTTCTGTGGTGGAACGTTCGTCTACGTCGTTCGTGCCTTAAATGTATTACTAAGTCTCCTCAGGCATGTCGCAAAAACTGGCGATATCAAGGACTTTGTGATCACGGAGGAATCCGGCATTGCAAAGGGCATAAGGAGAATAATCGCCGTCACGGGGCATGAAGCGCAAGAGGTCACCCGTGCCGCCCAGTCGTTGAAGGTCAAATTGGATCAAATCGACGACATGTCAGGGTTAGAGAAAGACGCTGCGCTGAAGGCACTGACTCTTGTACACTGCCACTTTTCTTATAAGTTAACCGCTCACTCTTGTTCAGGAACTTGGCCAATCAGATATTTCGGTTCTGAAGAAATCAGAACTGAAAGAGCGGCTGGGTGCGATGCGCAAGGCATTCGACAAGCAAACCAAGGAAAAGGAGGCCGCCACACTCAAAGAGGCTTGTGATCCCTCTCCCGTGTCTTCAGCAATTGTTGATCTTTGTAGGCCGTTGATGGAATCCTGAAGTATTTCCAAGAGGATCAAACTGCCCAAGCTTATATCGCGGCCGTCAATGTAGATGGCAATGCCAAGGTAAGACTTGATGCTTTTCCGCGGGCAATTAAAAATGATTTTTTTCAGATACTGCAAAGCATTGTCACGCAAGGTAGAAAACTAGAAAAGGCAGTCTATGTTTTCAGCAGCGACGGCACCAAGGTCGCTCATGCCAACTATGTCCCACCATCAATCAAGGCCAAAGGCGTCGATGCTCGTACTTGGGCAGGCAAGGTCACAGATGTCCTTGGTGGAAAGGTATGTCTTGTCGTCCCTTTTTCGACCAATTCTGATTCGTGATGGTCAGGCCGGTGGCAAGGACGACAGTGCTCAAGGTGTTGGGACCAACGTCGACCAACTGGATGCAGCTGTCGTCGCCAGTAGAGCTTATTTAACACCATACGTATAGAACCAGTGTAATATAGACAACAAAGGAGTGGCTAACGCTATGATGTCCGAGGAAAAGAAAACACCATTGAGCCATTGAATCCGTCCTTGATGTTCCACCATCTGCCTAACCGATGCTCTTTACCAAGACCGACAACCAGCAACGGTGAGCGTCCCGAGGTTGCCCACTCCGCTTCAAGATCTTTCGTGGGAGTAAGGAATTGGAGGGAATTGACTACGCCCGGTGCAGGGACAGTGCCGACAAGTTCGAAAGACTTGAGCTTAGCGTCAAGCTTCCATATTCGAATATCGCCATCCCATGAGCCTGCAAATTGTCAGATAGCGGAGTGATGCAGGCTTGAGGCTAACCAGAGGCTATCAGGTCTGAATAGCGGAGACTCGCAACTGCAGTGATCCAGCGCGGAGTCTCAACAACGCCTTCAGTGGCTGATTGTGTTTCATGCAGTCCGTGGGCAATGGGTTGCGTGAAAACAGGCTTTTTCTTCTGTGTGGACCAGAGACATAGAGAGCTAGGGATAATCAGCCAAAGCTCTGTGTTGGAAACAAAAAAAACACCCACCCGCTGTCTCCACCACTCACAAAGGTGGTCTCATCAATCATCGCGACACATTCCATGCTCCCTTCGATGAATTTACGCGACTTTTCTTTGGGTTTGGAGGTCCCCTCCATTTTTTCATCTTCCTCGTCATCCTCTCCCTTGAGACCACCATCCAGAACGTCCCGGATTTTACTCCGACCACCACCACGAAATACCAACTGTGTCTCATCCGCGATCTTCCAGTATCGAACCGTCTTGTCCCGTCCACCCACGCTAATACAAGTCTCGCCTCGAAGAGCATCGAGCGACAGAACGTGGTCTTGGTGACCGAATAACGTCTCCACATAGCCCATAACGCCCGGTGTCAAGTCGTAAACCTTCAAAGTGCGGTCGTATGAGCCTGTGTATAGCTGGTGGGTGCCCTTGCGGAATGAGATCGCCTTCACGGTTTCAGTCATTGCAACATTTACCCAACCATCCTCACTCACCGACACAACGTCTTTATGCCCCACCTGCCCAATAAAAGCTGTCATCCAAACGCCCTTCTCTGCGTCCCAAACACCTATTCGTCGATCTTTGCCTGCGCTGGCAAGATACTTGCCGTCGGAGCTGATAGCGAGTGCGAGAACGGAGTCGGTATGTCCTTCGACGGAAGTATGGGTTGTACTTTTTTGTTTACCCTTTCCCTTGGCGGTGGTTGGTGGTTGGACCTTAAAGAAAGTTTCCAGCCGTTTCCCGGAGGCAAGATCCCACTTGATGATTGAGCCCTCCTTGCCAGAAGTAAATAAGTGCTGTCCGGACTCGGAAGCAACAGCAGATGTAACGGAAAAGCGATGTCCCCTAGTGCGGAGCACCGCAGGAGCCTGCGTGAAGTCCAGCTACAGAAGAGTCAGCAAAGACGCTTCACAGCGCGAGGTGGCGGACCGTGTCAGCGACAAAAAGGTGCATTTTGCCAGAGTGCTCCATTACATCCTTTTGCAATCGAGCAGAAATAAGTTCCTTGTCGATTTCCGCGGCATCGAACTCCCCCTCCGCTGCCAGGCGATTCAGAACGACGTTCAGCCGCGACTGGCCGGAGGAAACGCACCTAGGCCCTCCTTTACACTGTCGAGATATAGTTGCGCTAACCGTAGGCGCTTTTCCGCTGGAGTCTCGTTGTCCTCCTCCCCGCTAGCACCGGGGTCGTCATAATGCTCAGCCAGCTCAAGGTCGTCGATGTCAACGTCGTCATTAGTGTGGTCCGAGTCGAGTTCCTCATCGCCAGATCGTTTGGGTCGTGAACGGTTTACGCTCTTTGGATTTTCTTTTCGCGGTAATTTTCGAGAAGATTGCGCGCTATCCGGTCGTTTGCGCTTTCGTTGTTTTGAAGATGCAAAGAAGGCATCTGGCATGGCCGTTTAGGGAGAGGGAGAAATTTTGTGTCACGTGTCAAAAAGTATACCGATCAATTCTCGGATAACTCGGATCACTGGCTCTGAACTTGGGCAAAGATACTGATTAAGAGGAGCTTATATTGACTCTATTTACGCCTTCGAGAAATCCCAGATTTAAAATAGATAGTCTAGATCAAAATCCATTGTCTCCGATAACCTCCAAATTACGCAGCGGCAATGTGGCTCAATCCGGAAAGAGACGGCGAGAAGAAATACTCTCCTCCACGGGAGACCACGTAGTCTTTGAGGGAGGTAAGCAAATGCAAGGTTTTGAAGGAGAAGCAAACCTTGTGGGATGACTACATCGTGCGCAACATCGGTTTGGTTGAGGTAAAAGACAGCAGGATCGAGACCTGAAATATTCTTCGGCCCTCCAGAGAGTGTACCAATAATGGGATCAACTCCCACAGTGCTGTCCAGATGTAAGGGTAAAGTGGAGGTCAACAACACAAGCCACTTACGGGTCAACCTTTCCGAATGGGAAACTACGAAAGTTTAAATTCGAGGCTGCGCATTCATATAATGACTCACCCAACATTGTTGATCCAGATGGATTGGAGGAAGACTGTGAGTAGTGAGTACGCTTACGGAGCCAATTCTAATATACTTGCCGAAACCGTTGAAGATATTTGACTGGTAAGCAACTGCAAGGCATTGGCATCAAAACACCTGTGAAAAACCGTACTCACCGAAAGCAAGACCGCGATCATTGGCTGTCTTCGCTGACGCAGTTTCCGCCGAAGTCACCTCACCTCCGTAGGGGATAGAAGAACGGATAATGAAGTGCGGATTCTCTACACTTGGGTCCAGATCTCCACGGGGATGGACCTAGAGAGTATTAGTGCCAGCTACGACCTATATGAACCTGTGCAACCTTTCTGATGTGGGCACTGAAGGGGCAGTTTGTCTGATTGAAGTGATTTTCGGTGCCAGGTTCAGGGAGATTTGGGAAAGTGAATGTAAAGTTGTTGTTTCGGTTAGGATCGGCAGCCAGAACGGGGGTCGTCTTGCGTTGGGGAAAGGAAAATCGGGGCTCCCTGTGTTGCTTGAGCACGGAAAGCAGCATAAATGATGAAACCTACACTCTTCCAGCGGCCGACCATGCGAGCGCCCAATAAAGCCGACCCTTCGGCTGGAGTCAAGTGGTCTTGATCAAGAGGATGATCGTTGACAAATTTGGTGAACTCTGGGACTAATTGTTGCAGCTGACGGAAGACGAGGAATCTGGAATGGTTTGTTGGGAGGTAATGCAACAAAGAATCACATACGATCCGTCTTTTGTCCAGGTTGGGCGAGCAGTGATGTTCGGATCACTGGCTTCACCTAATAAGAACAAACCTGTCACCGATGATCAGATTAGATGGTGATTGCTTTGTAAGAATACGAACCGGCATCAACTGGTGTTTGCCCAGGGTAAATTGGGTTGGTAAATCCACTGACGGCCGGTTGCGAGATGCCGTCCATGAATCCGAAATGCTCGTGGCCGGATTCACTTCCTGGTCGGGCGGCTCCTTGTAGTTCGTATCTAAAAATAACAGTGGTCAGGAAAACAAAGGCAACCCCTTGAGCACACACAAAACAGTTATAGATGCTCCCAAAGTTGATTGAATACTAGCGAGTTGAGTGTTGATATGTGCCACAGTATCGGATGCCAGAAGGAAGGCACCGTGGATGCTCGTTCCTGCAAATGCGGTATTCCAAGTCGATGGGTTGTCTCCTACAGTCACAGCGTCTGCAAACTGGCCAGTGGAGAAATTTGGATCGCCAAGGTCACTGAGAGGGACGTGATTAAGCATTTGGCCCCTTGAAAAGGAGTAAAAAAAATACTGACTCTGTAACCCCAAGTGCGTGGAGCCCAGTCTGAGAGAAGGCCAGATTTACCGCAGTGACTGGTTGGGTATCGACGGATTGAATTTCCGTCGTCGTTGTGATCAGAGGAATGATATCGGAGGACAACTTCGACTTGAAGGTCGCCGGGTTGTTGATTTTAAAGAATACAAAAAGTTCTGTTGCCTTGCGCATTCCAACGAGGACATCGGACTGTTTCGCCTCAGCATTAGAAATGAGGAAAAGGAAGCAAGTTACCTGGATATTGTCGGTATTTAGAGAGTTGTCGAGAGCAGCGACCGCCTCTGTCGTCGGGAGATCAGGAATCGCGGCGGGACTGATGAACAACGAAGAAGAACGGCGGCCTAGTGGAAACCGACGCCGTTGGGGAGCGTTATGACTGCCCGGATGGGCGAAGCCATACTGGGCAAAGGACAAAGTGGAGAGGAAGAGAAAAGCTCCACGCATGCTTGATGGGGGACTGTGTCTGCTGTGCGATTGAGTGGGTGTTCAATTTATACTCTGAGTCCCAGCAATGACTTACCGTTCTCCCAAGCCATCGCCTAGTGTTTGAGATGGGTTTGAGTCGTCATGGATTAGTACAGTCAACTGTGAACAAGGTACGATCATGACGGCAATACCTGGCGGCAAAGAGGAAAGGAAAGAGTTAGATTCTAAAAACATACATACGGGTGAGAGCCAGTGAGAAAAATTAGCTCTTTGTTCGCAGGCTTACCGGATTCCGGCCGGATGCCGCGTTGCGAGGATTACGGTGACTCGGCGAGTTGGACGGTGAAGATATGAATTGGGTTCTGACAGCTCCATACGCTATCTTGACGCTACTCAGTCATGTAAAAAGACACTTCGCTAATGGTTTCTTCGTCTGAAACTTGAGAAAGCGGGGATGCGAGTATAAAGCAGACGGCGAACTTCGGGCGATTCAAGACATAGTAAGCCCAAGTGACACGCCCGTCAAAATACCAAGAGAGCTTCTAGTAACACCCACATATCCTAATAGGAAATTGGCTTGCCTAATCCCGCTCTGATCGACGTTTGACACGGCACAAAATTGAGAATCCCGCTTTTGTTTGGTTGGAATGATGTTGAAGCGGGGTCTCGAGTGGCGGAGAAAACTCGGAAGGGAGAACGTGGGTGCAGCTAACAAGCTCAGGAACCACCGCCACCTCGGTCCCGGCATGGTTCGGGTACAAGAATGGGTCAGCCAACTGCAGACATGGCAATGGCAAAATGAGGAAGCGATTACGAGGTGGATGATACGATAGCTTGAGACTTTGGCGACAATGAGAACGGGGGTTACTTCTCGAGTGCGTTGATCGGCTCCGAGATAGGCGAGGTTGGGATAGGAATAGAGGACGGAGAAGTCACAGCTGCTAGCGGCACCGGTGCTTCTTCCACGGGCGGTGGTGATGGACCCCCTGGAGTTGGATAGGGAGCGGGATACATTATGCCAGGCGGTGGTGGTGGCCCATTGAAGGGAGCATAGCGGCCATACTGTGCCTGTAACTTGGCTGCCTCTCGTCGAGCAAGGATCCGTAGTGTCCGCTGTTCCGGTATGGGATAAATCGCCGCCCACGCCGCCTGGCTGCCGCCCCAGTGCCGCCGCCCCTCAGGTACAGCCGCCCAAGCGTGACAGGCTGCCGCCCGCGTGTCGTCGACTGCCGCCTCAAGTATTTCATCGACTGCCGCCTCAGGTCTTGAGTGCTCCACCACACTGCCGCCCAAAGCAAGGTACGCCGCCCATCCATACTACTTAAGGTAACAGCTTTATTGACTACTTTTTCGACTTGTTTTGCCCACGATGACGCTTCCCCTTGACTTTGCGTCGCTTCAACACCCTCCTCACCAATTCCTCTGGTGCTTCAAGGTCCTCTGACACGGGCGATGGGGTGCGAACACGCTTCAAGCTGCTTGCATGCAACTCTGAGTCTGGTCGCTCGGCGGCAACTTCAGGGCTCTGCTCGATGTTTTGCTCGGCGGAAACAGGAACTTCGCGGGTGATATTGACGGTTAGTGGGATTGGAGGAGCAGGATAGCTATCGGATTGAAGTCGACGGGTGTAGATCCTTGGCTGATATCCGTTGGGACCCACGAAGTGTGTACGCAAGCTATTATCAATATTATCAGCAAAGCGTTCGGCATCCCAATACCTTTTGTGTGAAAGTTCATGTGGTGTGAGCGAGCGAAGCATGGCCATAGCCGCCTCGGCATAGTCAGGTGGCTCAAACAAAACTGGAGGTAGGCCGTAGGCTGGCTGCTGAATATCGAGGAATGTGTCGCCGTTGAGATTGTAGGGCTCATTGAGCTCATATTGAACAACAAGTGTTCTGAGCAGGGCGTTTCCAATGCTATGAACTCGCACCAACACCTCTCCCACCTCTAAATCAGGTTGGTCTTCGGAAAGCGCTTGTTCGAGGGCATTGAGCGGCTCCTCCAGAAGTGGGTCAAGGTTGTCATATCCATCGGCAACCAAGTTTGCATGTCTGAGCCAGCGAGCGACAGTGCCGTTCCAGTCGCGATACGACAGAATGACAGGGTGCTCAGATGTATCGTATGTTGCCAGAATAGCGGTTATTGGTGTGATAGCAGCGGAGAAAACAACTTGAAGATGAGGCGCGGCTGAGCTCTGAGGGTAGAATTGGGGAATCCGAATCACACAAAGCTGTTAATAAACGTCAGCCTTAGCAATAAATCACGATAATATTACCTGTCGCGGCTCCAACCTGGCTCGAGCGTTCATCATCAGGGTGCACTGCGCCTCCGAATAGTAAGCCGGCAGCGGTGACGAATCCATGTCCAGTGGCCATTGGATACATTGAAGCCAATGAAAGGAGAATTTACGACGCGATGCATTTGCCAGCATCACTCGAGCTGGATACCATGTGGTAGTCTCCGAATTCCACTCAAGCACAGGAATGCGAGGGTCAGGAAGCATAACGACTTCTCTCGGATAAAAACTACAACATTAAGATCAGCTCTCGGATTGCCAGCGTTGTAAGACTTCAATGCACTCACAGTTTCTCGGGACGCGGGGCGCATTTGCGGCACTTGAAGGAGACATCGGGATCTCCCCAGTCTGTGTACGCGTCAAAACCAAGATATTGGGAAAGGCATGCTTCGTGAGTCCAGAAGCCACAGTCCTCGCACTGGACCGCTGGCTCACTATCGCCGTCTGTCATCGTGCCGCAACCATAACAATTCAATGGACACGGTGTTTCGGGCCCTGTTTCCGTCGAAACATTTGGATCCAAGCCTTCTGCAGCGGGCGGTGTGTCGAGGGTGTCAAGCAGTAATTTTGTAACAGACTCGTCGTGACTTGAATTCGATGGAGTGAGGTCGGACAGCTCCCGAGAGTGGCTTGCTCGTTGCTCGAACAGACTTGTCTGGCGCCATATCATCGGAGTCGGAAGGTTCAATGAGATCTTGAGTACTTTCTGGTTGTGCTCTCTTCCGCCAGACCTTCGGCTGACGCCTTGCTGGTAACTTCTTTGGTGAGTCATTTGCAGAACCAACCTGATACTCAGCTGTATCTCGCCGATGGGCAGTGGTGGTCCATTGCTCCCGCAAGTCCTCATCAACAAGGGACCACGTTGGATGGTTGGCAGCCCAGGGGAAACGCGGATGAGGTGATTCAGCAGTGTTGAAGGTAATGCCATGTGGAGCTTGGCGGCGCCGCTCGTTCTCGAAGGTACGCTGTGCTTGCTCGGCCCCGACCAGAACATACACCAGACCAACAAGGTAATAGCCTTCGGGAGTCTCCTTGAGTGATTGAGTGTCGCCGGTTAGCCAACCGCTGATAGTTTTCGCTTTCGGGCGGTGGACAGCATGCCCACTTAGCTTCATCCCATCGTAGTCAAAAATAAGACCATTTGGCGTGCGATACCGGCAAATAAAATGATCGCCATCGGAGAAGGCAAGTCCTATGATATCGTACCGGACGCCTACCATCGGTGCCTTGAATTTTTTCGCCTCAAGTGGGAATAGTTCGGGCGGTATCTTCCAAGACTTGCCTGCTTCGTGGTTGAACTCAATGATCAAAACCATTGGAAGCGAAAGAATGTAGTCGTGAAGGAATGCCGTAGACGAGTCGCAAAAGCGATCCGAGTCACGCTGGCGCCAGCAGGCCACGCTTTCAGTATAGTTTGTGTTGATTTGACACTCAAACCACAGTTGAATGTCACCTTTGAGTGCAGCATGATACCCAGAATTGACAACAAAATTGTGGCGCCAGCGGGGATGGGTTATCTCGAAGTGTTCCTCGGGCCAGAGATCGGAGCCTAAGCAATGCCGAAAGACCGACGCGTAGGCACAATAATATGAGAGTGCTTCGTAGTCAGCGCTCTTGTGCGTTTTGCGTCCCCTCAGAGTCTCTGAGTGCAGTCGCATAAGGGCTTCATTGAGCCATCCCTACGAAACTCATAAGCTATCAGCAGCCTTGAGAGGCGATTTCTTACAAAGAGTGCGTCACGCTTGCCAACACCAACAGCAAGTTTCTGGTTGATGAGCTCTGTTCGGAAGTTGTTTCGCTCCCGAGTGATATTGCGGCAGTCATTGGCATCGAACTCAATGGCTGTCGTGTTTTCGGACACGTAGAATTGGAGCAGTTTGTGTAGTCTTCCCAGAACGCTGTCTTGAGGGAGGTCGGCAAATAAAACGGTCATATGTGTTGCATGATATGACAGTGCAGTGGACAATAGCTGAAGGGAGGTATCGAGCCAGCAGGAGTTGCTGCTCCACATTGCACCACGCTGATACAGCTCGCGAGACGGAATTGATTTGGGGGCTGACGACGGTAGCGGTGGCGGCTTTTCGCAGACTCGAGCGGCGCTGGGTTACGAGATTCCAGACGTTTGTTTGCGCGTTGAAGCTCGTACCATTTGTTTGGAGGATTAGCGTCCGATTTTTTAGGCGCTTTTTGACCCCGTGGCTTCAAAGGACCTTTGCTCCGGCCAAAGCGGAGCTTTTTCGAGACCCAAATTCGCTCCTTACCATAACGCAAACGATAGCCCGCTACGAAAATTTGAGCGAGAGAAGTGTCTTATGATAAGACAAACCTAGACCGGCCTTGTATTGCCGTTCGAACGTTTTTACGATGGCAATTAAGCCTGGAATTCCTTTGTTGAGCGATAAATGACGGCCGACCATTCGATATATCCGGTGATGCATTGCCTCCTCCGCATTTGTGGTCTCCGGCAGTGATTTCCAGAGCTCTGGATGCATACTGCGCGCACACTCGAACAACATCACTGCGTGGGCAGGCCGCATCCACCATTCCACCCAAGCTTTGGCATGCGGAAAGTCGCGTTTGAGCTCTGCGACGGTAATGTTCAGGCTGTCCATGGTGTCAGCCTTGAGTAAGCTATATGTCAGCTTCTTGAATTCCGATTTTCTGTCCGGTGCTACCACCCCTGACACCTTCGATAGGCGCTCGACTTGGGTTGCAAAATGTTGCTTACACCCTTTGAGAAGGCTGGTGGCAGCTTGGAGGAGTTGTGCCGGAGTGCGACCGTCTGCGGCGTGAAGAGTGCGAAGGTCCATAAAGGCCTCTTTGAAGCCTTTCGATTGCGCTTCACAGTGATCAACAACCTAGAATACGAATTGTCAGCGTCAGTGGATAGAATTTTCCAACTGTACATTGGCAACCATTGAATCAGTGAATGGTCGATTGCTCTGGATGGCGCTGCGAAGTATACCACGCATCAACTTGAGAAAATGGATTCGATAATGCTCCGCCGTTGCACCATTGGAGTAAGTCATGAGAATGGGCACCCAGCACTTCATAAACTTGGGCTCATAGGTCGAGCTTATGAATAGAAGGTCCTTGCCATTAGACCAATAATCATGGCAAGCGTCAGAGACGATGCCATTGAGGGCCTCGTGTTTGATCTGGTCCTTGATGCTCATTTTGCGCTGCCATTCGGACTGGAACATGATCATATGGATCCGTTGGTTCCAATGAACTTCGATGGTCCAATCGGGATACTTTGCACGAAGGCCATCAAGAAACTCCTCGAATCGTTGATCTTTCATTCGATTGGCGGCGACAAGGGTTTTGCGACGTTCATATTTCAGACGGTCAAGATTGTTGAGGACAGAGCTGAACTTCGGCAACTGATGGTCCAGGACCATTGATTGACGGTAGACCCGTCAGAAGCATTGCAGGTCCGATTGTAGGGTGTTCTGTGACGACTTTGGCCAGCTTGCGAGAGGCTTTCGGCTCCATATGCTTTTCGGGTGGCTTGATATGGTGATGGAAACCCTTTTGCTCGAAGATTGTGCCGCCAGAATATATGGTGTACTCACAGCTCGCATCACATTGGACTTCTTGCACTGCGCTCCCCACAGGCACGGCAACCTTCATTCTTCTGCCTAGCGCGGTCTTTGCGCTTTGTGAGTGGACGAATAACTATTCCGCACTTTGTGTTGGTGCAGAGGTAGATTCCGATGCAGGAGCGCACTCTCCGATGACCATCGGCAGCATTAGGGGCATCCATGCTTCGGTGACGGTCAGTGTTGTGTGTCCCCTTGGTCTCTGAGGCCCAGTGAATGGCGAACTTATTCTTTTCGAAGAAGCCATGTGATGCGCGACGTCTCCAAAAGCCAGTCGGCCAATGGTCCCAGTCATCGTCAGAGCCAAGTGACGAAAGAGACTCGATGTCGGTATCTCTAGTTGTTTTGACTGGGGCAGCCTGAGAGTCTTGGTGGCGCTTGGTTTTCGTTTTGGAAGTGCTGGCTGTAGTACACTTTTCCGAGTTGGTTTAGGTGGTACATTGATGCTAGTCGGGCCGGTCGCTGCCACTGGTACTTGCACCTGGGCCACCGGTTGTACTAGTTTTTGGGGAAGCCACATGATGTGCTACAGTACTATGTTAGTGGTCTGCCTCAGAGGATGGTCTGAAACATACCAGTAGTGCTTGGAGCATGCAAGGAATAGTAACCTGGTCCATCATGCTGCGGAACAAAGATGGCTTCATCAGGCAAGTCATCAGCATAGACTGGTGATTTATGAACTGAGGCCTTTCAGGTAGAAGCTTGGGTACATACCAACTGGGAGACTACTATAGTTGGACAACATATTGTTGGTGTCCTCTAGCTCAGGAGTTGGGCTCTTGAGATGGTGCTTAAACCAGTGTTTCACTTTGCGCTATTTTTGTTTTTGTAAATCTAGTAAGCAGCCATAGACACATATATAAGGACCACTCACAGCAAGTTCCATAGCAGCTGCAGTGTAAGAAACAAGGAGGGTAAGACAATACCCCTAATAGTGGAAATTTCATCATGCTTAGATGATGATGATGAATAATAGATCATATTATTTCTAGATTCAATTCATAGCAAGTTTTGACTTCCTTGTCACTGTTTCTGTTATGTATTCTATTCTATTTCGTTTAATTTGGCCGGATCTGAGGATTTGATAGGTATGCTATTTTTGCTGCTGGATATATTATTAAGGATACTCAGATGTCTAAATGGAATTATAGATCCATTTAGCCTTCAAATGTGAAAAAATATTGAATCTGACAGCCTTCTACAGAAGGGAAATCAACCAAGCAGCAATATAGTATTCTGTAAATTTCTTCCTCTGCATGAGCTTCTAAGTCTAATGACTGGTCCCAGTGTGTTCTATGGGCATTTATAAGTACTTCATACAGCCAAAATATATACCCCCAAGCAATGCCTGGCCCTCAGCAACTGTTGTCTCTGTGTTGTGACACTGATGTGTTGTGACACTGATGTGTTGTGACACTGATGTCACATTTATCACACATTGACTGGAATTTACTCACTATGCATGAACTTCTAAGTGTGATGGCAGGTCTGAGATAACCCTACATGAACCTCTCAATATGTTGCCCAGCCATCACAAGTGCCCCCAATGAGTGCCTGCCTCACAAACCCACTGTCTCTATTTTGATACTGAAGTCACACAGTGTCACAACTGCCGCCCAACAGTGCACGGCAATTGCCATAAGTGACTGTCTGCAGCAACTGGCAGTTCAGCTGCTCTCTCCTCTAGTACTAGCCTGAGTACACTCATGAGGTCTGATATACTGACATTAGCATAGCCACCAATGTCAGTTCACACGATTTTTGATTGCACCTGTCAAAGCTTTCACAAGGTATAGTGAAGCAACCACTGGATAGATAAGCTTTGTCAGGAACGGGGCCGGCCCGGGCCCACGTGACGGTCTCCTGCCAGTCTGACAAGTGTGGGAAAGATGGTTCAACCCCCATAGCTGGGTGGTCGGCAACCAGGCAGCGTAGATGGTGCCACTGCTGCAATAGAGAGCGGGGTAGGGACAACTCGGGGCGACTCGAGACGCCCCGCTGTCACGTTGTGTGACAGCGGTGTCACAGGATACGAGTAGTCGTCTAGAGTTTCCTACCCCTGCTGAAGGGAACGAGTCCATAGCCAAAGAGTGCTGCCTAGTAGAGTTGGTGCCCAAGACATAGGGCAAGGCATAGGCTGGGCCAGTTGAACAAGCCGTTCGGGCGGGGCGTGACGTAACGCGGTCACGCCCGACGGTTCGGGGGGTCGAGGGGAGTCGCCCCGCAACAGGGGCTGCGGGCCCGAGACCCCTGGAGCGCTTGAGAAGGGTTGCCAGTCCAAGGGGCGACATATCTCCTTTCCTGGAGCAACGAGTCGCTGTGGCTCCTAGACACCGCGTGACGGCGCGGTGTGACGCGTGACATGCGGGCCCGATCGGGCCCGCACCCTCCCATCGCCCCGTACCAGGGGAACCCAGAGCTTGAGGCCAGAGAGCAGGAAGAAGTGGCTAGGACAAGGGTGAACATAAGAGACAAGAGCCTGAGCTGTCCAGCCCAACCAAGGGCTCAGGTCAATGAGGCAAGCTAGCCTGGAGTGTTGGAAGTCGTCTAGACGCCCCTTTCCTGGGGTATGGTCGCAGCAACCCCGCTCTAGGGGACCAGGCCGGAGTAGGGTTCAAAGGAAGAGACTTCAATGCTAAACCTAAGGTACAGGAGTAATACTCTGGTCTTTATATACTGTGGGCGCTAGGGGCCGATCGGGCCCGCTGAGGGTCGATCAGAATGGAGCAGGGGATGTCTCTGGTCGTCCCTGGTCGCTCCGCTAGGAGCCCAGGGACCATTCCTCTGGAAAGGAGCCATGCCAAAGTCGACACTAAGGAGTGTTTGGCAATGCAACAGTGAGGAGCTCCCTCCTGATCCCTGTGGTTGTCTGGGGCCGATTGGGCCCGCTGTCAAGGGCGTCCGGCGGCGCATCATGATCCCTGATGGCGGGTCTTGATGGCTTGATGGCTGACTAAAGCGCGATCCGTTATTATGTCCCTTCTCTGGGATATTAGTGTTGTTGCTCAGTGCTTTGAGCTTGTGAATATATAAGGGCTTGGCTCTAAGGGTGGTGAGGGCCCGTCGGGCCGTATAGGGCCCGTTGGCCCGACCCGAACCCTGACATCACCCCCCCACTAGGCGAAACTCGTCCCGAGTTTTATCGTCCGATTTCCGTATTCAATTCCGATTTGTTGAGAAAAAAATTTCGTCATTCGCATGTAGATGCCTTCTCGTCGAAGGGCTTAGTCGATTCCTCTCTCGCGTCCAGGCCCCAGTCGCGTCCTCCCAAAGGATGATCAGACATCCTGACGCTCTCCTGGGTCTCCCCGTTTCCCGTTCCTGGCCGGGCGGAGGTGTGGTCACACCCCATCCGGTCCAGGCGCTGCGCCTAACCTCCCAGCACTCCTCCCCATCGCCTGTTTCCCCAGGCGCGCCTTTGCGAGGGATGATCGGACATCCAGACGCTTCTGAGTCTCCCCATTTCTCCCGTTCCTAGCCGCAGAGGGACGATCGGACATCCCTTGCGGGCCAGGCGCTACTCCTAACCTCCTAGCACTCCTCCCCTACGCCTTGTGCCGAGTTGGGCTCGGCGACGGCTCGACGGCGTCGTTCTCGGTCACGTGCTTCCCACGTGTGCGTTCCTCCTACTGGGGCGCATGTTCCCTGTCGTCACGTGCTGCGTGCTACGGGCCCGCGATGGCCCGACACCAGCGCCGGAGCGGACGGGCCGGGTCTTATCCGTGACATCGCCCCCTCCCTTGGAACGACTCATCTCGAGTCGGCGTGGCTTGGTCGCCCCGGTTTCTCGGGTGTTTGGTTGTTCACATTTTCCGAACACTGGCTTCCAATTACATGCTGAGCATTGGCTGCGCGTTTTTAGACCTTTCGTAGCTTCTCCTGTTTGCGTAGTTTCAGCCCGGTCCGGTCCAGTGCGTCCGCGCATATGCAATGTTCAATCTCGTTGCCAGTCGAAGCCCAGAGGCGATGGGGTCGCTATGACGACACCTAGCCATCCCTCTGTCCAGCCTCCAATTTTGGGGTGTTATTGTCCCGGTTTTTTGCTGCCAGTGTGCAGCCACCCGGTCCAGGGGTCATCGTTGTTTTTTCGTATATGCAGATTTGGCCCGTCAGTTCGTCGGGGCCCGTCAGGCCGATTCGGGCCGATGTGGGCCGAATCGGGCCGATTCAGGTCATCGATCCCATCATCTTAGTCGTATGAGGGTTTGAACATCAATTCGCACGGTTTTGGGTTTGTCTGGTTGAAGGCCAGCACCTTTGAACGAAATTTCCCACGGTTGGGAAAGGGGTGACGTTTGGGCGCACGGGACGGGTCTCTTGCTAGTGAAAAGAGCCTGGGTCTGCTTCTTCCCCCAGCGCTCCCAGAGTGGTTTTCCACTCTCCTTGGCTGCTATAGAGGTGGGGACGGACTCAACGTTTCCCGTGCCTCAAGCGCCGTTCACCGGAGTGGACGCCCCATGGCAGACAGAAGTTGCGGCCCAGAAGTCGACATCTGGGGGAGCCGATATTCCTTACCTCGGCGCCAGGGTACGAGAATTCAAAGAAGAAGAGGGTATAGGGAAAGAATTTTCCGAGTAGGGCGAAAGAAACAAAGGTTTGTGTTCGGACCAACGGGTTATCGGGCCCGTAGATTGACAGGCCAGACTTCGAGTCGGGCCGCACAAGGTCTCCTAAGAACGCACACCAAGAACAAAACAGACGGATTGTCGGGCCCCGAGTATGGCGAGCGGGGTAGATTTGAACCGAAAGGGCCCGTTAATTCGGTCCCTTGTCGTTGTCGGTGATCGAAGGTTCGAATCGGGTCGTTTCGTCTTGTCGTTAGGCGCAGAAGGTATGGAAGAACTCCTTAACCGGAGTGGACAAGTGGAGCAGGTTTTGACCTGTTCCCAGGGGTTTTAACGAAGGGGCGGACTCCTCAACCCATAGGACGAATGGAGCAAGACTTGTTGGCTCCCAGGAGTTTCAAGACAAAAGGGATGACTCCTCAACCCATTGGACGAAGTGCCGACACATAGAGTGGTCGTTCAGCCACAGAAAGGATGCTCCAAGAACTTGAGCTTTCCAGAGAGCGCCCCACACTTGAAAGAAGGACAGTAAAGGAGGTTTAGCATTCTGTCAGGAACGGGGCCGGCCCGGGCCCACGTGACGGTCTCCTACCAGTCTGACAAGTGTGGGAAAGATGGTTCAACCCCCATAGCTGGGTGGTCGGCAACCAGGCAGCGTAGAGATGGTGCCACTGCTGCAATAGAGAGCGGGGTAGGGACAACTCGGGGCGACTCGAGACGCCCCGCTGTCACGTTGTGTGACAGCGGTGTCACAGGATACGAGTAGTCGTCTAGAGTTTCCTACCCCTGCTGAAGGGAACGAGTCCATAGCCAAAGAGTGCTGCCTAGTAGAGTTGGTGCCCAAGACATAGGGCAAGGCATAGGCTGGGCCAGTTGAACAAGCCGTTCGGGGGGGCGTGACGTAACGCGGTCACGCCCGACGGTTCGGGGGTCGAGGGGGAGTCGCCCGCAACAGGGGCTGCGGGCCCGAGACCCCTGGAGCGCTTGAGAAGGGTTGCCAGTCCAAGGGGCGACATATCTCCTTTCCTGGAGCAACGAGTCGCTGTGGCTCCTAGACACCGCGTGACGGCGCGGTGTGACGCGTGACATGCGGGCCCGATCGGGCCCGCACCCTCCCATCGCCCGTACCAGGGGAACCCAGAGCTTGAGGCCAGAGAGCAGGAAGAAGTGGCTAGGACAAGGGTGAACATAAGAGACAAGAGCCTGAGCTGTCCAGCCCAACCAAGGGCTCAGGTCAATGAGGCAAGCTAGCCTGGAGTGTTGGAAGTCGTCTAGACGCCCCTTTCCTGGGGTATGGTCGCAGCAACCCCGCTCTAGGGGACCAGGCCGGAGTAGGGTTCAAAGGAAGAGACTTCAATGCTAAACCTAAGGTACAGGAGTAATACTCTGGTCTTTATATACTGTGGGCGCTAGGGGCCGATCGGGCCCGCTGAGGGTCGATCAGAATGGAGCAGGGGATGTCTCTGGTCGTCCCTGGTCGCTCCGCTAGGAGCCCAGGGACCATTCCTCTGGAAAGGAGCCATGCCAAAGTCGACACTAAGGAGTGTTTGGCAATGCAACAGTGAGGAGCTCCCTCCTGATCCCTGTGGTTGTCTGGGGCCGATTGGGCCCGCTGTCAAGGGCGTCCGGCGGCGCATCATGATCCCTGATGGCGGGTCATGATGGCTTGATGGCTGACTAAAGCGCGATCCGTTATTATGTCCCTTCTCTGGGATATTAGTGTTGTTGCTCAGTGCTTTGAGCTTGTGAATATATGAGGGCTTGGCTCTAAGGGTGGTGAGGGCCCGTCGGGCCGTATAGGGCCCGTTGGCCCGACCCGAACCCTGACAAGCTTAATATTACAGGAGGATATGGTCCAACAGTATGAGAGTTGTCTCACCAAGATACAAGGGGGGTGGACAAGAAACCATTGAGATATTCACAACATAGTTTCAAAAACATTTCTAGGGCCATTCTAGCTAAGGGTCTAGTCTCTACCTTAGGAAATGGAGGAAGGTAGAAGGGCTTAATAGGTTCTTTCATTTTGTACTTGCCTGATCAAATTGGACCTAGAAACAAGCAATAAAAGACAAAACATTGCTGGGCCAATTAAATCTAAATATATTACTATTAGCATTACACAACGGCTCATAAATTTGTTATTGAGTATGGAACTGGTTACAAATATGTAAGGCCTGTCAGCTTGCCAAATTCACAGTGCACATTTGGCTGTGACTGCAGTCCAAATAATGAAACTCTTGCTGATATGTATATAAATATCCCAAATTGCTAACAATCATCCATCGTTATCTGCCAAAGGGTCATCTTCCATCTCTTGCTCCGACCCACTGTACAAATCTTAGACGTTATTAGTTTTTGTTATCACAACAATAGAAATCCTACCTGTTTCCATCACTTCTGCCTTATGACCTCTACGACGACGGGTATCGCTCTTGGATTTCAAGTCTACATGTTGCTGATCAATGCTACTATGGGTGTATGAAAAGTAAATGACATACCAGTTGGCGACTCAGCAAGATCTCTTGCCTTGTCACGAAATGCATCAGGTGGGTGCGAGGCTGCCCAGGGTGGCTGACTGGTAGTTGATTCATTGTGAGTACCCAGGAGGATTGGTTGTCTCCGAACAAAACGCTGAATGCCATATGTATCATGAGAGCCAACCCAAGTGAATGGGTGAATGTTGGATGAGTGTGAAGACCACCATTTTCCCAGAAAGCTCCCCAGCAAAGAAAGTCACCGTCCATTCAACGTCACAAGCGCGCCGAATAAGCATTGCACCGCAGAGACAGGATTGTTGAAGCTGCTTAGTTGTACCGTCACTTGACGTTCCAGCAGGTGGGATTGTCACTGAACATGAGGAACATATAACGGCACCAGCACAACGAAAGCGGTGACTGGGTCCCCTTTGCAGAGTTGTCGCCTCCTGGGAACCACTTCGGCCAGGAAGTCGTGTACTGGCCCAGTGTACTGAAAGTTGAAATGTGTCTTCGACCTGTTGCCGGGTAAAATGCTGCTGAAACAGACCATCTGGGAAACCGTCCCAACTTGCAAGAGTGCCAGAGGGATACAGGACAGACACTGCTGGGAGAGGAGCACTGAAGGGGATGGGTGCACTGCCGGGATGGTCAACGCCCACGGGGCCTTCATTGCTCAGGCTAACTTGGCGCAAGGCCAGCTTTTGGACATGTCCTTCCAGAGAGAGTCAATATCATGGTCGTGCACTTGATTTTTTTGCATACCATCAGCACCCCTGACTTCATGGAGGCGAAATAGAGTTCCCCTTCGCCGATTATAATGGGGAAGATGCACCATAATCAAGAGGTAGACCAGAATAAGCCCATAGACAGTGTTCAGTTTGTTGTCGACCAGCCAGGAGTACCAGAAGAAAGTCAGTTGTGTTGTCATCCAAGCACGCTGTGTCCAGAGAAGCACAAGAATCAGAGCGACGTTGAGCGTCACTTGGATCGTCGTTGACATGACAGGAGAAGCGAAGTCTCAGAGCTGATGCTTACTCATACTGCCGCCCGCCGCCCACTGCCGCCGCCGACTACCGCCCTGCTGCCGCCCGACTACCGCCCTGCTGCCGCCCAACTACCGCCTCACTGCCGCCGACTACCGCCCACTGCCGCGTCACTTGGATCGTCGTTGACATGACAGGAGAAGCGAAGTCTCAGAGCTGATGCTTACTCATACTGCCGCCCGCCGCCCACTGCCGCCGCCGACTACCGCCCTGCTGCCGCCCGACTACCGCCCTGCTGCCGCCCAACTACCGCCTCACTGCCGCCGACTACCGCCCACTGCCACCGACCGCTAAAGTGTGGCAGCCTGCTCCTCCACCACTGTGAGCTCATTGTCACCCCGCTGCTCATATTGTGCTGCAAGTCATATACTAGTATATCATTCAGAATCAACATACTTACTTCCCATTGACTGCCTCAGTACCGTATGTCCTGCACCTCACCATGACATGATTAATGACTTCAAGTTGTCCACTACGACCTACTTGACCGCCATTGGGCAGCTGCCGCCCAGAAGTTTTGGATTGCCACTCCCTTCTAGAGAAGTGCCGCCCACAGTGTGTGACTTGCCGCCCAAGCTTTGTGACGCCACCACTCTGCCGCCCCGAAGTTTCAAGATACCAACAGATATGTTCCAGCCAAATTTTTGGAGCCTTAGGTGCCGCCCGCGTGACGCCCAGATGCCGCCCATCAATTTTAGTCCTTTTGCTGATCTACTGACAACAAATACACGCGACTCCTTCCGTGGTACACTAGGTGCGTGAATTCACTTCTACATTAAGTCAGCGTATGACTCCTTCGAAGATATGTTGATATTCACAAGACAACGACAAGATAACTCGTTGCAAGCCCGGCGGTCAGACCTGGTGTGCCGCCCGACCGCCGCCCCACTGCCGCCCAACCACTGGGCGGCGATTTATCTCTGCCGCGCTGTTCCCTCTCCCGTTCCTTCTCTGCGCGTTCTACACGCTGACGTGAGACCCATCCTTTCATTTCGGCAGCGGCAGCGATAGGTCGTTCACGATTGGAAAGGAGGTAGCCTTGCAACTCCGCTGGTGAGAATTCTTCGTCGTTCATCGAGTCAGAAAATTGCACAGCAAGGGACGCGAGTTGGGCGTCGCTGATTAAGGTTGAGGCCGACCTAGACAAGGAGGGTGGGCTTGAGTCCGCGTTTGAGGTCTCGGTCGATTGCTCCATCTGTTTGATACCCAACGCTGAACCTTCAGAGTTTTCGACATCGGTAGATGGTGCTTGAGTGCCGATTTCGTCATCGAATGTCATGCCTTGGCTTGTTGTGGTGTCAGTCTCAGCACCTTTGAATAGTCGTTCAAACAATCTCCGAGCTTGAACGCGTGTGGCAAGTGTGTACCGCACGCGGCGATCAATTCTGCCGGGGCGCATCAACGCCGGATCAAGGCGATCCATATAGTTTGTTGTTGCAAAACAAAGTTTTCCCTCTTCACTCCCTATACCATCGAGGATGTTTAACAGGCCGGAAAGAGTCACCCCCGAGCGCGACCGTAACATGGGCTGGGGGTGCAAGTCATTTTCTTCATCATCTTCTCTTGAAGGCAGAATGCTGTCAATATCCTCCAACAGTAGAATGCTTCGCTTGGGTATCTATGGAGTGGTCAAGCCTATGACATCTAATGGCAGTCAAACGAACGGTGGTGATGGCTCGTTGGAGAACGCCGTCATCGATACTGCAAAGAAATCAACCAAGGAAGACGAGGCGGTTGCACTACGTACAAACCAGATGAGAGCGTAAAAGAATGAATCTCGAGGTTAAGAGCGCTGGCCTGTACTGATAAGTAGGACACCTAGCGAGGAACGGAGGACTAACTACGGCGTGAATCGTCGAGCCTAACTCCGGTCAACTATGAAGAGATCGCATCTGAAGCAACGCACTTTTCCCGGTGCCGGGTGGGCCATAAAGCAAGTAGCCTCGTCGGTGAGGTATGCCCGCGCGGTGGTACCAGTCTTCCGAGCTGAAGAATTTCTTTGCGTCTTGGATGAGATCACTAAGCATCCCGTCTTAAAAGTGCATCCGAGTCAGACGCGAGTAATAAATTGTTGCTGAACCCAATTACCAGGTAGAATAATGGACTCGATCGGGCGATGGGGTTTCCTCTTGACGTTCCACAGGAAAGTACCTCCAAAACTCGGCTGCGCTGCATGAGTGTAGAAACGATATAGCGCTGCGGAGAGCTCACAGAATCAGCCAGGAAAATCGTGACGTATGGTTTAATCTGGTCATGAATTTTTTAAAAAAAAACTCCAGGCGCCAAGAATACGCGTACCTTGCGCTGATACATCTGAAAGGCCTCCTCCACAAGTTCAGAAAGCACCGAGATGTCACGCGTAAAAACCCTTTCCGAAAGTCAGCATAGATGCACGGTCATGGTAATGAGCTCGATACGTTAGAAATATAGCAGTACTGTGCTGCGATTGACCATTCGCCCCTTGAATTGTTGCACGAACACGCTGAACTTCCACCCAGTAGCTTCTCCACCGAAACAGCTGGGGGCTTTCGTAGGTTGGGACGTAGTCCGCAGACCCTAGACATGGTCAGATGATAAGTAGACATAAGCCCCGTTTACTACCTTGTATTTCGGGATCAGTACTGACAGAGACCCCGTAAACAAGTTTCGATGTTTTGCTGGTCACTTTGAACTCGCGTGAGGACCGCCAAACATTATTTTCTGTCTGCAGGACTATAAGTCTGGCCATGGAAATGAACGAGATTACTCACAAGCCAGCTAGTAAGCCACTCAAATGCTGGGTCTCCTTGAATGATTTCTGCACTTGTTGAATGGCCTTGAGAGCCGCGATCAGACGCGTTACGACTGTGTAACACGACTCACGAAGCTTGACCCTCTGATAGAACCATACCAAACTCTGCCGAATGGTCTCGACAATGGCGCCTGCCGCTATATATTTGAGGCTGTCGTAAACATAAGCATAGAGCCAAGATCTCTGAATGCTCAGTGGCAGGTCCACGAGCTGTATCGACCCCGGAATGCCTTTGATGCTGTCCCAGAGCCGAGAGGACCGGTTTTTGCCGGAATTCGCCATGGTAAGATCGAACGTGTGCCTGTTAGCAGACATGGTGGGGAAGAAAGAGCAGTCGGTGGCACTGGGTGCAAAAGGAATTGACGTCTCATCGCCACACACACATGAGTCGCGCAAACGTGACTTGCAGGCGTCTGATTGAATCAGTTCAACACATTATTTTAGTCTAGTCTATCGTACGGCTGGAGGAGGAGGAGGATTCCGCAGATCTTCCAGACTCCAGACGGGTAAAGTTCCAATAGAATATTCATCATGGTCGCCCGCCATGAATCGATGCATGGCCGCCCACCCAATCATCACAGCATTATCTAAACAACATGAGCCAAAAAAAGAAAACCAAGCTATGAAGCAAGGCCTGACCTGTGCAGAGAGAAGGGTCAGGAAAGTCTAGTGCTACTGACCAAGGGGCAAGTTGGTCTTTCAGACTAGCACAGAAATGAATGCAGTGAAACATACAGCTGCCCAACTCACCGTTTCCTCAAAAGTAGATTGCTCGCGACCCCACCACTGACAATGACGTTTTGTACGTGGCAGTCGTGATTTTGACACCACTTGAAAGCCAGAATCAGTTTACTTGTCAGTTGTTGGAATGCTGATTCTTGGAAGGCGCGTGCAACAGCCCTTTTAGGAGTGTTTTGGAGTCCCCCCGCCTTGTGTATAGTTCGCTCAACCCATGAGTGGATTCCCGTAAAGGAAAAGGCGAGTTGACCCGGCATAATTATCGGCGGCGGGGTTTCGAGAACCTCCTCATCCGGTACCGGTTCAGCGCAAAATCTTTCCAAGCCAGGACCGGGCCCCAACTCTGTCCACGGAATTTGCAGAAGGGTTACCACACGATCGATTGCAGAACCTATGGCACGGTCGGCACTGGTGGCCAAGATTTTCCAGTCCCAGACCGTGGTGGCCAGGACAATCATTGTGTGACCACCAGAAACCAAAAGGCAAAGGAATGGAAATTCTGGAGGCGAGGACGAAGTGAGCTGAGCTGTAAGAGCATGAGCTTGCTGGGTGTCTGTTACAAAAGCTTGTATAGTGCTCTGAGTTGGGGAGTACGAACCATATGGTGAACTCCAACCAAAGGTTTTGCGGTCGCAGCAGCCAGTGTTTTTGCAGCATTGGCAGCCACAGTCAAACAACCAGTGATGCCTGCCCAAAGATTAGCAACACATCGTATGGTACGAGTACACGAACCAGGTCCTCTTGTGAAGGCAACGCCGTTGATGTCGTTCATGGTCAGGTTAGCATCGTCCAGTGCTTTGCGCACCACCATTGGCTTGACTTGAAGTGAGCGGGTAGCGGACCAAAGAATAATATGACGCGCCATGTTACGCTGGTGAGCATGGAGTGCATGAAGAGGATGGATGCCGTTGTTTATTTCGTGGAGAGAATTCTGTCTTGCTATCACATTCGACCAGATGTTGCGGTGGTTGTCGACAATGGCAGCACATGTGTCGTCAGCGCTAGACTCGAGGGCTATAACCTTGAAGGTTTGGCGGTCAGATGACAAGTTCCGCTTGAGAAGTCTTGATTCTGGGACAACGACGCGAGAAAGGGCGATCGAGTGTCTGGTCAAGCAATTCATCAACATCTTCACCAAACAGTGATCCCAAACCAAATGCAGCATGGCTCTTCCTTCGTCCCTTCTCTTCGTACCTCCAGCGAGTCAGTGAGGCCTCGAGTCGTAGATCCAGAACGGGCCGCAACTCCCGACCATTGGCGTCGAGCCTTTATTACCGACAAACTCACTTCCGCCACTCCAAGTATGGCCACTACTTCCACTAGCAAGGTTCATACTTCTCCTTCCAAGGTACTCAGCCCCTTGCAACTCGTAGCTAACCATTCATTTTCTTATAGGCATCATATGGCCGGACATACGACTCAAAACTTGGTCCGCATCCCTATAAAATCGCGAGTGTTTTCAAGTGCTTAATACCAGCTAGTGTCAAGAGAGATGCATCGACTTGCAGGCTTAGCGCCAAATTTGTCCCAAGCCCCTTCAGTCTCTTCTCTGAATCTCCCTGCCCCGGGAACGATGGGTCAAGTCAGTCTCGCATCGACTTCCAATGACCCGTGCGTGTTTCTGCTTTCCTGTGTTCTTTTCCAAACAAGTATTCAGATGGATTTCTGTCAACATCCATGTTCTCCCGTTGTTCAACGGCGAGCATCTGAAAGTGCCAATGTCCGTTGTTTCCTTGTCCCTCAATGCTCTTGCTTGATTAGTGTGTCTAGAGAAGAATTGAATACCTTGGTTAAGCGACACATATCATCTGTGGTGTCTTCTTCGCCCTCCAAAGCTATCGCCACACTGGAACACGACGCGGCAGAACTTATAGCATCGGGAATGGTGAACCTAAGCTCCAAACTCGACACGGACGATGAATCCTTGATCGCGCATATTGTGGAAATTTGGGAGTTCTTTCTTCAAGTGCTGACCTACGTCGAGGGGGTGCGAATATTCATTTCCTCCCTTCGTCTGTAATTGATTGGTATTGGTCAGGTTCTCCTCCCATTGCGAACTGATCCCCTTCTTTCGACACTACATCGTAGTAAGCCTCACCGTCCGTCTTCGCCACGGCAAACCAGCAAAGGCAATCTGTCCTCTATTCTCAACGGCGTGCAACCATCTTCCATCGACGTCCGTACGATTGCTTTGCGGTCTTTCCGGGACAAAGTCATCATTCCTTACACTCCTCAACTCCGGGCTTCCATCTTGAATCGACAAGAGAAAGAGACAGCCCCCATATCTGTCTTGCAACCGGGACTCCAACAATTGTAACTATATGTCAGTTGCAATCAATCTTTGGTTACTCAGATCATCGCAGACTTCTCATACTCTCCTCCCAATGCCGAAGACCACCACCGGTTTCACTCACATCGGCACCGCCACAGCCTACCTCTGTCGAAGCTGCAATTACTGATTTGCTCCGGTTGGTGCGATCCCCCCGACCACAATTCGACGCCAAAGCCACTTCAACTCCCATCAGTCCCTCACGCGCCCCAAGCTTCCTTTCTGGAGGATTACCACGTGATCGGCGAGGACGAGTAGCCAAGAAACAGCTTAGTGGACTCAAAATTCCTGAGGATGGAGAAGATGACGTGTTTGGGGATGAAACTCCGAGAGTTGGGCAAGGCCTTGCAGACAGAGAGCGAGAGAGGGTATTTTTGGAGGCTCTCAAGTAAGTATTTGTCTGATTTTGCGAGAGCTAATCTAATCTTCGACTGCAGAAGTCCCGATTTAGAACCCAACACAGCTGCTGGCGGCTGGGGTCTAGGGAATGCGGATTCTGCCAAAATCGAGGAAGAGGAGCCACCTTTAGATTGGGACGAGGCGCAAGCCGTCGTAGAACGGATGGTTGGCATCCAGCCTGAAATGCGGAGAAGATAGCGAGAGGTGTATTTTTATTTGTATTCATTGTAAATTTATTCATCAGACCAAACGCCAATACCCACCAGCCCTCCCCAGCCGCCATTTGCGGCCTTGCCAATGAGAGAGAATATCACGTCGCTGCCAGATGAAGGCGTTGAGAAACAGTGGAGCTCTTTCAACTCAGAAAGCTTGTGGGTGAAAGCATCAAGCTCTGGGGTGGAATTCTGAACTCTGACGGTCGTTGGTATATTGCTTGGTGTGGCCAGGGCAACTGGGGAGATCTGATTCTAATTCAGACGTGGTTCAGTCAAGTCCATTAAACACGAACCGAATCACTCTGTAAGCCGAGGGAGTTTAACACGGACTGCTCGTGTCCTTTACCAAACGACCCTGGGCCCAGCCAAACCGCCACATCGGAGAACTCGTCACTCTCACTTCCATGTCCAGCAAGAATGCTCGAACAAAGAAGTGAATCGGCAGCGCGTTGGGCAGCGATAGCCAGGGAGTCGAAATACTGTAGCTGGTCCTTTGGATCCTGTTTCGATGCTAAAAGGACGTGATTCAAAAGTTTTGCGCTAGTTTGCAAACGGCGAATGGTTGCTGGAGCAGACATAGTTGTGATGTCACCGTGACCGCGTCAATGCAATGCTCAAACCTCCGCCACCATCTCTAGTCACCGAGAAGCCGTCGATAGCAGACCTCAGTCGTTCTTCTTCTGTTATTTCAAGCAGCACAGACGAGTCTGAGCCTGAACAACTTATCCCTCCTCGGCCACGGCCAGTTCGAACTTTCTCAGCTCCACGCTCTCGTAGCCCTGGCTCGCCAACTGTTCGCGCCACTTCCAAACCACCACCTTCATATCTATCCCGTGAACTTGGATACTCAGACGGCGCATCACAGCCGTCCCGACCACCAGGAAAACCCTCGCTACATGATTTCCAATTCGGTATCACCCTCGGTGAGGGTTCATATTCGACGGTTAGTCCCCCAATCTCCTCACAAATTATCCTCAATCTACTCAACAGGTGAAACTGGCAAAATCCAAGATCGATGGAAAGCAATACGCCGTCAAGGTCATCACGAAAAGCCATCTTATACGTGCACACAAAGTTGAAACTGCAGCTGCAGAGCGAAGAGCGCTGATTCGACTGAACGGACATCCCGGCTTTGTCTCTCTCTATCATGCTTTCCAGGATGAATGGAGTCTCTGTGCGTCTTAGCAATAGGCGCTCGATCATTCCCTGAGGTCCCCAGACTTTGTCATCGATTTTGCCGCCAATGGGGAAATGCAATCATTAATATCACGGCTCGGCTCTCTCTCGACTAACTGCGTGCGATACTACTCCGCGCAGATAACCGATGCCCTCGAGTTCATGCATTCCAAGGGTGTTCTCCACAGGTGAGTCTCCCGATCATATCTCTACCCTACTCAAGATCCGGCCAGAGACCTCAAGCCCGAGAATATCCTCCTTGATGACGCTTTCCGGATAAAGATAGCTGATTTTGGAACTGGGAAAGTCTTGGAGGAGGGTGGTAAGGGCCCATTTGACCGGTTGTTCTCCTTATTGAATTTTTTTTCTATGCTCAGAGGAGCGAGCGACTACATTCGTGGGTACCGCTCAGTACCAAGCTCCAGAGCTTTTGGAATCGAAGGAGACCACTAAAAGGTAGTTTTCATTCTAATGATAGTGCCCCTGCCTTAGCCCCAATTTAGCTCAGACTACTGGGCTTTTGGCTGCGTTATATACCAGATGATCGCGGGTCGTTTCGCTTTCAATGACCGTTCCGACTATTTGACATGGCAAAAAGTGAAAAGAGTGGAGTACGAGTTTCCCAGTGGCTTTGATGAACAGGCGAAGGACCTCGTACAAAAACTATTGGTAGGTCGTCAAACCCAGATGGTAACGATTATAACTTGTTTACTGTCCAGGTCCATGATCCTACGCAACGTCTGGGTGCTGGCGCTCGTGGAAGCGACAATGATCCCAGCGCACTTCGGAAGCATACTTTTTTCACTACGATTGACTGGGCTTCCCTGTGGACCAGCGTTGCTCCGACCGTTGAAGCCGGTCTCGTTAAGAAGGCACACCCATTAGCTCAAGGCCAAGATCGAAATTGGGAGGATGTTGGTGCTGCCTGGGATGAACTAGTAGGGAATGATAGCGATGGTATCGAATGGTCTTCCGACGCAGAAGGGCCCCATCGCTTCAATGGCCGAAACCCTTATGGCTCAGATATAGGACCAAAGGACGAGGTCAAACTGGCCGCGTTCCCATCAGTGCAGGTCACGGAGCCTTCTCCAAATGACGCTACGCCAGATGACTCCTCAAGCTCCTCACACGAGAGCTTGGGGAGACTGGAAAAATCAATAGACCGTCTTCAGTTACGTTCTGGACGCAATTCACCCGACGGTCCCATCCATTCGACGCAATTAGAGCACGAACGCGGGAGGGATAGAGCTCCTACGCCTCTGCGAAATACTGAATCAGAGCTTAATTTGTTCGTCCCACTTTTTTTTTTCCTATTCTACGTTCAGCTGACAGCGTTTCCAGTGCGGCCATCCTCAAGCTGCCGGAAGACGAAGAAATCCTGTTTGACTCGCCTGTCCTTTCACGCCAGCGCATTCTCCCTATTGCGGGTCCTCCTGTGAAATCGAAGCGACGCCATCTTGTCCTGACCCGTCGTCGACTATTTTGCCTCAAACAAGACCTGTCAATAAAATCCGAATTGGTCATTCAGTCTGCAGTTCGAGGCAAAGACAAGGCCAAAGACAATCGTACGGTTTTAACTGGTGCACAACCAAGAGGGGACCGTGAATTCGCTTTGACAACTGTAGGTACTCTTCCAGTGGTCAACCTGAGCACGCTAACCTTCCCACAGCTGCCTTCAAAGTCCTTTATATATGCTGTGGTATACCCGTTCTCTGCCTCGGCTTGGATAGAGAAAATTAACGCTCTGGCACTCGATACCACTGATTCTCGGACGTAAGTTTCGTGGGTCTATATAAATTGTCGCATTGCTGTTTATTGGGTTTTGAGGATCACTTTTTTTTGTTGGTGCATTACAATTGGATCTCTGTTGTACTTTTTTGCCCACTTGGAGATAAGATACTTGGGAAGCCCGTTAACCGGGCGGAAGCAAATGCGCATCGACAGTAACCGTCTCTGTGACCACCTCAGCATCGTCTGGCGACACTGCGATTGGGGTTCGCGGCATGGCCATCAGTCCTTGATGAAGGTCAGCCAAGTGAAAAGGAGGCTGAACATTAACGCACCTGTCCGTGCCGATTCCAGGATACCGAATGGTTTGATAAGGTTAAGGAAGGCCTCCACTCGCGCAGTCTTGGCGGTCAACTCGACGATAACGCTGTTCTCGCTGACATCGACGATCTTGGCCCCAAACTGGGACGCCAGGACGCTTATGGAGTGAAGATGTTGGTGCTTGATACGGAGTGCCTCGGAGGGAGTCAATGGCTGGGGAGTAGCATCTTCCAGATGGGCACTTCGCTCAATGTTGTGGACAAGAGCGGCTTCCTGTTCGAGTTTAGTGCGACGCGGCTCGTGGGAGGGGCCACCCTGAAGCTGGTCTTCGAGGTATTCTGGACCCAGAATAGAGACTTTGGCGAGCAAAAGTTCTCGCGAAATTGTGCGGGTGTTGGTGTAATCGAGGACGACCCAAACAGGGACCTGGAAGGATAAGCAAATGCAAAAAGTAAAAAGTAGCAGCATAGACTCGCAAGGTCTTCTAATTGTCGGCGTGCCTGTTCAACAACGCCGTCTTGCCCGCTGAGGACAATGCACATCCGACTGAGGTCACGAATTTCAGTCTTGCAGACGACCAGCGAGTCAATGTTGAACCCCCGCCCCGCAAGAATGCCAGAAACACGCGAGAGAACTCCAGGTTCGTTTTGAACAAGGCAGTTGAGGACGTGTCTGACGCAGCAGTTAGCAGCTTACTTATCTCGCCTTGAACACTCGGACGCACTTTTTAAACGGCTGCAAACTGGGAGGAGGCGTATTGTAGAGGATGTTGGTCACGGCCTCTTCTGCCGACCTTGGACGGGGTAAATCCATGACTGGCAATGGCGGGGGGTTATGGCGCTGGGATTGCTTGTAGGCCAACGCTGAAGTTGAATCGTCGATTGGTTTTGGCGGTTGTGGGGCCTTTGGCGCCTCTTCCTCATTACATCGACGCGTAGACGACGAAATAAGACGCGTGAACGTTGGCCGGGCAAGCCCGCGAGCGCGCAAAGCCAACATCATGGTTCAAGTTCAAGACGAGTCACAAATGTTTCGATTCGGCTAATACCGTTCGTGCAAGTGCTACATATTCCTTCCCACTGTCCCTTTCGCTCTCGCTTTCCTGAATCTTTTCCCAGTGAGTCAATCCACTCTCTATGAGCGTCAGGGCCTCCTGCTCTGGCCGGTCCTCCAGCCAGCGCACATATTCTGGCTCCTGCCAGCCATGGAGAGAATGCGGAAGTGTTACCGGTGAACGGACAAGAATGTGGTGCAGTACAATCAACGGAGACAGACCGGCTGTAAGTTTCGACGAAGCCAGTTGAGCATTGTCAAGGAACAGTAATTGTCTGTTGAACCGTGAGTAAAAATGCGAGCCATATAATATGCCCACTTACCGGAGCGCTCGAAGCATCCGATATTCGTCTCCGACGCTTTCTATCGATCCTTCACCAACGAAAGTGTTCAGAGCAAACTCTAGCTCTGTCATGTCACTGGTAAGCTGCAGTTTCCCGCTTTCACCCAGAGGTTTTGCGATGGAAACATGCAGCACAAACGTCGTGATGACAAACTTGATAATGGAGTTCGTCCTGGAAAAAGAAACTATTAGCGCCCAGTGACATAAAGCAAAGCAAAGGGTACCATTCTCGACCAGCATCCGCGAGGTTATATTTGCTCAGAATCTCGGTTTTGATGAACCCCAACTTCTCAACGAGGTCTTTCATGTACAAACTTGCTCCACCCGTGCCTGTCGCTTTTGCAAGATTAAGACGGTGAATTCGGGCGATGATTGCTCCCAGTTCCCGTTGAATCGCTTGGGAAACCGGTTTGACAATGTCATCATAAGCAGCGTTGATTTTCTGGGAGAGTTTGGAAGGAAATAACGGGAAAGGGAGCTAAATTACCTGGATAGAGGGAGTTATGATTGCAACAACATTCTCCGAGTGTTCGTCGCCAAGTTTGGCTAGGCGAGACCAACAGTGGTATAGACAAGAGGCCAATGAAGCGTTGGTTGTGTGTTGTTGCGTTGCTGAGGGCCCAGCAAGAGACGTTGCAGTGCGATCTCGACTTCTCTGGGAAGGAATGAATTTCCTTGATTCGTAGTCAACACAGGGACGCTTACCAAAGCATCTATACGGGAAAGCAGCATGTCCAAGCTTGCCCCAACGTTTTTAGCGACTGCTCGAATCAGCAGTGGGTCAAATCGTGCAGAGTCAAGTTCATTAGCTACAGCTCTTGAGACATTGACCCCCTCGCTCATGCCTGGAGGATTGCGGGTTCCGCCAGAAAGTGCTTGGGCAACTGCTTCGTTGAGCTTATTTGAGGACCGGGAAATGTACAGCGACTCGAAATTTGACAAAGTCCGGAGAACAAGAATGGTTTCTGGACTATAGTGAAGGTTAAAATAACTAATAAAAAACCAAGAAAATGTGGCTAACCTCTGACGAGTTTGGGTGTAAATTGTGTCTGTGTGAACAGCAATTTTGGAAAAGAAACGGTGGAACAGGCGGAGTAGACGGGGGTACCCAGTGCTCAGAGTTTGCTGCAAGAATGTCGAACCTGACGCACATTTGAGAGACCATGAGTTGCAAAGAGAAAATATGGACCTCGCGCGGCATCTCTGGCCGTCTTCTCTAGTGATTTCCCCAAAGCAGTCCAAAATGTTGCACTAGGCTTGTTTTCGAGAAGCTGAGAAAGGTCTGAATAATTGTTGGCATTTCAAGAAGAGACGTACTTTCATTGCCTCATCAAGGAAGACCGCTTGCGAAACGGTATCGCGCTTTAGCTTCAAGACTTTTTCAAGAGTATATACCTATAAATTTCAGTCCACTGAATCCCAATTATATGACGGTGCCTCACTTTGACGCAGCAGTCTGCCATATCGTCAATCATACTCTCCAGTCTTGTCCACAAAGCGGCGGCCCATTGCGGAGCGGTATAGGTTGTGGGCTCTGTCCTGACCCTAGACTTGTACGACGTGGGCGATTGGGGTGCATTTGGTGCTGAGTCTATTCAAACACTGAGAACACACCAAATGATAGTTGAGTCGGGGCCACCTTTACTAGAAGCGTCGCGTGATATCTTGGACAAGTCAAAGGCACTCTGAATGCGCTCTTCAACCGCTTTGGAAAGGTCAAGGATAAGATTCTGAACAAGCTCTGGGAGCACGCGAAGGTTGAATGCCGTTTGGAGTGAAGAGGCAAGCAAAGATTGATTCTAGCTGATTGAGGTAACGCCCTTGGAAAATAGGAATGGATGCGTACAAGATCTTTCAGCCCTGTTAGAACCATGCTTTCCATTTCGGTAGTCACTTTTGCACGCGCGTCGGTAATAAAAGTGATGTGGGCAGCGACTGCGTTCACTGAGCGTAACGAGGCCGAAGCTGCAGAGTCTGCTGGCTCATTTTCCGACTGATTCATGCCTTCTTCAGGAGCGGGATTTTGTTGCCCGTCCAGTAAGGCCACTATGATTTCAGCTCAACGGTCAACGAAAGATAATGCAACTTACTCAGTTCAGCTATACTCAGCGCTGCTTTGGCTATAGCTCGTTCCTTTTCGTCCTCAATATCCTGACCAATGACATTTATTGGCGTCTCTTTAAAGGTCGAATTCGGCTGAACAGGCAATTCCATCTCGGCCATTTGGGCCTGTAATCTCCGAGCCAGGACCACAAAACGCGAAATCCGGCGCAGCATATCTGACGCTTGTTGTAACTTTTCCAGACGCGAAACATTCGTTTGCAGAGACTGATATGGCACGCGAACTTTCAGCCGGAGTCTATCCCTTGAGTGAGCAACAATATAAGCCAAGACACGGGAATGTCTGACTTCTCAATGGAAGAGTCAAGGTCTGACAGACCGGATCTCACAGAGGTGAGGGAGCCAGCCAAGGCGTTCGCATTGGCGGCTTGTTGCAGCAAAACTTGGTGATGCGTGTTGACCTGGATTGTGTTTGTCGAAGGGTGCCGAAGTAGGGAGAGCACGCACCACGCTTTTTATCTGCTTAGAAACATCCTCCACGCCAGCGCTAAGCTTCGAAATGGCCACCGATATGTCTTCTTTGGGAGAAGGTTCGAAAGACGTTTTGACTGCTGGTGTTTTGGGGTCGGAAACAGGATACGACTCGCCTGCGAGTACTGCATTCGCGTATTCGTTTGGGTCAAAGCCTGCACTAGCGAAAACGGAGTACTCTATAGCAGGTAAGCACAAGTCAAAGAGCAGAGAGAATCACAACCGGCCATGAACGCGTCTCAAGAATTACATAATCAATGTGACATCATCGATTGTCCAATTCAAGCTCTTTCCTCTGAGCCACCATGTCCTATAGCCATTACCGCCAACATGCCCCGGGCTGGGGTACTCAGAATGTGCGTTCTGGGCCGTGCTTAGGCCTGTTTCTAACCTAAGATCCGCTCTAGCTTCAGTTCACTCAGCCTCTTGCTCCCACCTTTCAACCACAGCCGCAATGTACGCGCTTAATCGACGCGTCGGAAGCATATAACTAACCGCAGAATCTACCTCTAGGGGGCGGCTCTGACTTCTATAACGCTCACGCCATCAATCCCAACCCGTACTTTGTCTTTCTCTTTGTCGCGGCTCCAAACTCAATCGTCATACTTTGTCTAGCTCGGTCTATGAACATGCATGGGGTAACGTCCGACAGTACACTGGCGCCCCGCTTGATATTGGAGTTGGGGCCCACGAGGCCAAGCATTGGCACAAACGCGCCTATGGCGGTTTGGTGGGTTGATCGTCTCCACTGCTGTCAACTTGAATGACGCTCCACCAGAGTGACCTCAATACCTTGTCTCCGGAGGATATTGGACACGCCGCGGCATATGAGGCCTATCGAACCTGGATTAGCAATAGCTCGATCTATGAGCCACTCAGTGGTGACATGGAGCGTCAAAGAGAAGGCCTCGTTGGCTTGGCTGTTGGAGAGGCTTCTCGTCTACTCCAGTTCACAAATCGCTGGACAGACAATTATGCTCAAACAGCCGCCTCTGATGCGGCAGCGGCAACAGCATCAATCCTGTTTCAACGGGTGAGGGCAACATTTTCTCGTTCAAGATAGTTTTACTGATGTTGCTTTGAAGAAGTATCGCGATGTGGAAGAGGGAGAATACCACAGGTCACGCTCTCGCACCAGACGAGGCTCTGTAGGCTCGTACGACGACCCATACGCGTCAGATTTGTTAGCGGTTTCGTCTGGGGTTGGGCGTCTGCGCTCTCATTCCAGACAACGTTCTCATTCGCGCTCACCAATGATGTATCCATCACCCGGCCCGACAGCTCCTATGGCCATACCAACCTCGAATGGCTCGCACTATGCCATGGGAACACCATACCCCAATACTGCCCAGCAGCTACCGATATATGGCCAACCTTCGCCATACAGTGCTCCATCGGTTGTTGGTCAACAGTACGGCTCGATGCCAACTACTCAGATCTATAGCGGTTCAGTGCCCATGAGCCAGTCTTATTCTGTTCCAACGGTCATCCAAGTGGGCGGTGCGCGCCAACGTAGCACTTCCATGTCCATTCCTGGCTACACCGTTCAACCTCAAGTTCAATACGCAATGCCAACGCAATACCACCATGTTGCTGCGCAGCAACCTCAGGCTATCGTTGTCGGTTCGGGGCACCGCAAACACCATCACCACCACCACCACCATCGGAGCAAGAAGAGCAAGCGGTCTCGAAGCACCGACTACCCCAGCAGATACTAACCCTAAAGTAATGTTTGCTAACCTATTTGTTGTACTAGTTCCTATGTGTACCTTGTCTGTAGTACGTTTTTATTGACTAATTTCTTGTCAACATCATTGGGTATATAAACCAAGAAAAGACGACGGGGTACATGCTACAACATAGATAAGTAGTACAATGGCCAAGAAAGCACTAAGTGATCGATAACAAGAGGATAGCAATGTCTAGCAAGCAATGTTCAGGGAGGTTATTATGTCACCGAGGGGACGGTTTGGGCGACTCGACCATACTTCCCTCCTCTGTCTTTTCAGAGTGAACGTCCGGCTCGTTGGAAGAGGGGTCATTCCCGCGTATTTCGAGCTGCACGCCAGTATCTTCTGGCTCTTTTTTGTGAGTCCCCGTGACTTTCCGCCTGCAACGACGTTAGTGTTGGATGCTAACCAGTTGCTTGTACGTACAGCCATGTGGGGACAAAACCTCCAGGCGGCACAGACCACTCTTCCGAGTATTCAATGCTGGGAGGGACTATGCGCCCGCGGCTCACGAGCGTGATTATACGCGTTGTACCTTCAGGGCACGTCAGTCACCAGAAACGAGAAAAAAAAACCCAACTCACCATTCAAGCAAAGATAGGTCAAAATACCAGCGATAAGGCCATAAGCGATGCTAAACAAAGCTCGGGTCAGCCGTCAAGAACCGAGCAGCCACGAACTTGTATGATAGCGGGATGACCAAGAGAGTGATGAATGCAGGGACTGCATCGCCGACATAGTCCCAGTTGATGTCTCGAACACTGTCACCCACGGTAAGATACCACTTCCCACAAATGGGGAAGCCACGTACTTGCGGATCATCAGGGAGCCAACGATAATGAGCGCTCCGCCCGTTGCCCATCCGGGAATCGAGGCAAAAATGGGGGCGAAGAAACTGGCATATTCTGATCAACATACAGAGGAAAGGCGGGACGACTCGACGTACACAGAAATGAAGAAACAGAACCCAGTGACCATCGCAGTGATCCCCGTTTTGCCCCCCTCTTTTTTCATTCAGAAGGTCAATGACATCGTAACGTCTTCTGAGAACATACCGGATATTCCCGTGGCACTCTCGATGAACGCCGTGACGGGACTAGTACCCACGAGCGCACCCATGCTTATCGAGAACGCATCCACACAATCTAGATGGGCGCTCTATCAAGCAGTCTCACGGCATTCACCCACTCACATGCTATGGTAGAGTTCTCGAAATCTAATGTGACGGGATCCTGTTCGTGGGGTCAAGTTCACCGATCAAGCCAGCCAAGACATTGCAACTCACCCGCAAATTGGCGAACTTGGCCATAGAGTATAAGGTGCCAGTCGTATCTAGGAAACAGTCAGCCGGTTCAAGAACAACGACACAGGCAACAAACCCAAAATATCCTTTAGCTGCATTAGTCTGATCCATCAGAATTCAACAAAACCACGCACGACGTAGATTAGCGTGACGAGGGCATACCATACCCTGGGATTACTGCAAGAAATTGAGCTAGATAGGCTGCGGAGCGGGAGTCTAACCGGTAGTTATACTGTGTGCGTCAATCAGAGAATTGAACTTGAAGGCGATCAAGGATGCTCACTGAAATAACGTTCCCGACCTTTGAGATGCGATGGAAAGTGACCACTTGCTTGAAATAGTCGAATAAAGCGTCTCCGGCAGGCGTGTGAGGGAAGTATGTGACTGGGGTCGAGCGGGGCCACGAAACGATGGATGTTAGAAAGATGCCAATGAGGATAGCACCCCGGACTCGATAGAGCATTAAAAGTACGGTTAAGATCCTAGTTCGCCATCAGAACTTTTTCTCAAGAAAAAAAATTAAACGCACCCTCCAAGGAAGATCCCAAGCCACATTGTGGGACTGCGGAGAACACCGCCGGTACAGAAGCCATTCAAGTTGGACATATGCTCCGGCAGACAACCACCCAATCCAACGTAGTTGACTGGGTCGCCACCTATCACATTGAGACCGCCCGAGGCTTACTCTGAGGTCAGCGCGTTGCGTTCAGGGAAAAGAAACAGGGCAACGTACACAGTCCGATGAAGCTAAGGAGGTGTTAACGGGAGTGAAGTGAAATGAGCGGACTTACGCGATGAAAAGGCCGATCCCAGCGCCAACAGCAAGCACCAGAGACTGAGGCATGATGCGAACCAGCCATTGGCGGAGTCCGAGAAGTGAAAGAATCAGAAAAATCCATCTAGAGCAGAGTAAGCGTTACTTTGTTACGATTGTTGACATGGATGCAAACCCTTCAAGGAAGACGGCACCAAGCGCCTCTTGATAGGTGATCATTCCCGAGCCATGAAACCCAACAATTGAGTACGTGAACTGTGGGGAGTTTGAGGTGAGAGATGGAGGTAAAACATGAGCGATCCCACATATGCATTCAGACCGAGACCGGGAGCCATCCCAACAGGAAGACTTGTGCAACAGGTCAAACTGAGTTCAACAGTTGCGCAGAGCACACTTACTTCGCGAGCAGACCCATGAGCCATGATGATAGAGCACTGATGCTGCTTGTTGAGGTAATGAGGTCGTTGAATACCTCATTTACGCAGGCGTCGTATTCAGCATTTGCGGATTGACAGGACGTTGGGTCATCTGCAGGACAAACGCAAGTTCCCCCAGAGCCAGAGAGTATTGACGCGTTAACCGATATTATATAGGCCATAGCGGCTAAGAATGACTGAGATGTCGCCCAAACGCGTCGCAAACATGCAAACCCTGAAAAAAGTGTCACTGAAGCCACAACCTATTGACATTTGGACGCACCCATGTCGTGATCCCAGCCCGAATCTCAGTAGTAAACCTAAGTTATGGTGAGGAGAAGATGGGGCTACGCAGAAGAGGAATACCGTGAGCCAATTCTCTCTTTTGGATGGCCCGAGCCCTCGAGTCTAAACCATCGTCCAACGAAGGAGTCGGCGACCTGTTTTGAGGTTGGCTTTGCTATAGAATTGGGTCAGAGAAAAGGTCTACATGCGCGTTGAGCAAGTCGAGAGTGTGGGTCATGGTGGTGGCTGAGAACTAACATTCGAAGGGCTTATCTCTTAGTTGATGCGATTTAGCGCTTTCCAAGCTCGCTAACACCGCAGTCACAAACATTTTACGCAATGATTGGTTCAAAAGGATAAAATACATTTTTATGCGTAGCACAACACTTTGTAGCTCTTGACGCATTCTTCTCCGCCGTCGTAAGGAATATACGCTCCGTCCAATTTCTCGCTTGCCTGGATATGAACTCAGCAAAAAAAAAAAGAAACAAAGCTTGAAACAAAAGTGCTGACCTTGCCAGGGTGAACAACACCCTTGTGGGGTGCTTGAGCGACGTAGAGAGGAGTGCCGTCGTTTTCGCGACCACCTTCGACCGGGCGGTAGCCAAGATTCGCGACATTGAGACGACCCTCTGCTTGCACCCAACGCAGTCCGTTCATGTCGCCAATGAGGATTTCATACGTGTCGAGCTGGCGAAAAAGTTTGAGCAACACAACTAAGTTGAGGGAATTGCTAACATGGATTTCTTCGTTCTTAAAGCCGATGACCGCGCCCTTCTTGAACGCCTCCGATGCCTTTCCGACTTCTAGAATCAGTGTAAGAAGCGCTGCAAGTGGCCATGAGTGAAAGACGAACGAATGCCGCCCTAAAAGGTCGTTAATTGGTACACGAGGCAAGATGAATCACGATCTGACCTCGAAGAAAGCCCTGGAAATGTACAAAGTCCAGCTCTTCTCTTTTCCAACAACGATAGCCTCGCGAGGAATATCTTTTCCCTGTTGCGGATAAGCAGATGGTTGGTCAGCTTCTAGCGCAGCACTTGCCTTGTTGAGAATCCAGGTTGCAGCTGAACGTGGGCCATTGTTGCGATATTCGGCGGTACGGGCTTCCGCGTCGTGGATCCAGTTCTGAAGGGCCCACGTCTGAGCCTTCTTTTCATCCTCGTGTTTTTCGTGACCCTTCCAAGCAGCGTAGCCTCCACCGAGCAAAGCAGCACCGGCTAGCAGACCACCACCGATCTCCAACTCGTGTTTGCGTTTGTCGTCCATGTCGTACCAATGCTTCTTGCGTTCTTCGTGATGGATGTCGACGGATTGGCCATCGGGACGAGGGGGAGTATACGGTTGCTGCTGGGGTTGTTGCTGTTGCTGTTGCTGCTGCTGCTGCTGCTGCTGCTGGTGGTGGCCTTCCCCAGCGTGATCTTGGTCACTGAGACGACCCCATAATGCGGGAGTAATCGGAGGAGTCCAATCACCCTAGCAAACGTCAAAGAAAGCTCGGAAGGTGTCTGCTGCTTGCCTGTGAGGTGTGGGGCTGAATAATCTTGTAGCGATGGCCTGAGATGATAAGATGGGATCAAGTTGAGCAAAGAGTCGTAGTCACCTTCGTATTCAACGATAGATCCCGGAGCGTAATAAGTTCCTACCAAAAGCTTATGAACAAGGACGCGAAGACAATGAAACTGCTGACCTGGTTCCCAGTACATGCTGATGGTCTAGTAGAGACAGAAACGCAGCATTCCAGACCTTATATACTGTCAACGGACATTGCGTCATGTGGCTTTAGGAGGGGGACATATGAAATCGATTGTGAAGGAACCCCAGGAGGCAAAATGTTCCTGCCGAGACATCGATGCAATGGAAGAAGAAGATGGCGCCAAGATATTCAAAAGCCCGTCATCAAGCTGGGTTGGCTGTTGCGTTCAACATGGAAAGGCCCAGAGTAAAGTTACTCTGGAGTCTGGAGGGGCGAGGATGGCCGCATGAGTCAGACTCTTTGACATCAGTACCTCTGTTCTGACCCATTATGTCTGCATCTCGCTTTGCGACCCTCCTGAACCATCCCGCGGGTAGATATAGCTCTAACGCAGCATTCATAACCTATTATATCACACAGGCCCCAAAACTGTCTTCTTCTGGGCACCAATGATGAAGTGGTGTTTGGTGGCTGCTGGCATTAAAGACATGACTCGTCCAGCCGATACGCTTAGTGTCTCTCAGAATATTGGTGCGTGCGTCTCTTCTTGAGAAACTGGTGACTTGAACACTCAAAAGCTCTTGCTGCAACTGGCATGATTTGGATTAGATGGTCTTTGATCATAACCCCAGTCAACTACAGTATGGCCCTCGTAAACGGTTTTGTCGGTCTGTCAGGCCTCACCCAGCTGGGAAGAATAGCCAAGTGCGTGAATGCTAGCGTCGAATCAGTACAATTGATCATGCGACCCTCATACCAGCTACCGATACAGCTCCGCGTCTACTACTGCGTGATACGCGCTTTGCTTTCAAGTTGTCGTCTTGCTTTCTGTTGCTTTCGATAGATTTGTTTCCCTAGAGTTTTAGAATTATAGAGTGCACCCCATCCATTCGCATTCGTCCGACAAACTTTTCGGGGAATGATCCGAGCTGATCATTAGCACGCGCTTTCTTTCGCTCCACCATGTCTGGCGCCGCGAGTTCTCGATTTGCAGCGTTTCTCAACCACCCTGCGGGTGCGACCGTTATATAACTCGACTCTCGATTTCTCAACCGTTCTCAGGACCGAAAACTGTCTTTTTCTGGGCGCCTTTGATGAAATGGTGTTTGGTTGGGGCAGGTCTCAAAGATCTTGCTCGACCTGCAGACAAACTGAGCGTGTCGCAAAACGTTGGTGAGTGACCAACCACCTTCGTTTCTTCCACACTCAACTCAACTCAAACCAGCCCTGACGGCCACTGGCTTCATCTGGGTCCGTTACTCTTTCGTTATTATTCCGGTAAACTACAGTTTGGCGGCCGTCAACTTCTTTGTTGGTCTCTCGGGACTCACACAACTCGGACGTATAGCTAAGTCTGTGGCCTTGATTGTCTTCGTCACTCGCTTCTCACTGCAAACAACAGTTACCGCTACAACACACCAAAACTCGTCCAAACTCCGTCGTGATACAATAAGCTATGGTAGAGCTAACAATACATGTAATATTTGGGCGCGTTACCGCGACCGACTAGTCCCTTTCTGTTTGTCTTTGTCTGCATTTGATGGCTCGTCTCCCTTCCCCCAACTGCCACCAACGACAAGTTTCATGATGTTTCCCAGTACATCCTGGTTGTTGTTGGCAAGATCTTCTTTCTCCTGGTACTGCCACTCGCGATGTTGATCCCACGATTCCCAAGCCTTAGGCTTGCGTTTAGTTCGCGAAGGCTTGGTTTTCTGACGATTCCGTCGTCCCCCTGCTGCATTCTGGCCTTGGCCATTGAGGGCATCGAGAAGGAAGCTTCCCAAGCCCGCTACTATCCCCCCTCTTCCTCCATCAACAGCATTCCCGCCTTGCTGCGCCATCACTAAGCTCGCAAGCGCAATGGCACCACCAAAGAGCGTGCCCCATTTCACAAAGAAGAAGCTCATTCGAAACATCCACGCCGTCGTTCGATATACGCTCAAAAGCGCCAGATAGGCGGTGAGGAGGGCGATGAGAGGTGGCAATACGATTTGAGCGTCCCATTGAAGTGGATGTGTTGATAAGAGCCCAACCAGAAGCGTGTATAAGGCAGAGCCCAGCGCAAGGAAATGAGATAGAATGTTCAGTAGAAGTGAGTATACTGGCGCTGGAAGCTGGTCCGAAAGGAACGACAGTAGTGGATCGAGGAACGCGGGTAGGTCGGCGGCGACGAAGTCCATTACGAGGCGTGTCACGTCTGTGACGCGATCCATGTTCAAAATTGAAGTAGGTGCTTCGGATCAGAAACCTCTCGAACGGCTATAAAAGGGGAAACGCCGCTGTCTCACATCCTTCTTCAAATTCCTATCCTTAACCACCACCATGTCTCTGAAGAGAAAATTCACGTTCGTTGATGATACTGAGTCCATGAACATGGATGCACCGCTCGTATGTCATGTCTAGCACTCAAGAAGCTATATAGGGTACTGACTTTTCTCTACAACAGCTCAAACAAATTAGACTCGTTCCTTTCCCAAACTCTACTACCGAGGAGGATGTTTGCATGTCTGACGCTCAGTACGAGGGTCCCTACCACAGCCGGTTTACTTCTACTGTCAGCGACGCGTCTTCTATATCGCCCGCCACGTCACGTACGCGTTACTGTTTGCTTATATAATTTCCCTGACTTCCCTTGCGCAGCTGCTTTCAGCCAAAACACACTTCCACTGAGTACTACTGACGCAAACCACTTTCCTGATCAACACTCACCTTCTGCTTCTCCTGTCGGCTTGCTTCAGCCTTCGAGCTCGTTCGCTCATCACGGGTACGTTGAACATTGACAACTAGATGCTTACCGAATTTTGCCCAGCACTTCATGCAACCAAATCCCAAAACTCAAAGTCGCATGCGCAGCTGGTTCGAATGGCCAGCGTACAATGTGGAGCTTCTGTGAACAATGCGGCGCTATTTCCATGGTCGACGACGGCTCCAGCTCTTAGGTAGTACCGACTCCGCCTCGCTTTCTCTCTGCTGTGCTTTTTATTCGTCATAACGCGTACGTTCCCTCTGTCTGGCAACACCCACCAACTACCACATATATATTCACTTCAATTCCCATCAACAACCCTACTTGCCCGTCATACGTAGCGCCCTCTGTCTGTGACTGTACACTTTATTGTAACTATTTACCGGTCAATTGGCTGTTGACTTCTCCGTGTCCCGAAGTAAGCCCTTGAACCAACTTTACAATGCTCGTAATTTCAGTGTTGGATGAGGGTTTATTATCTCGTTCGTTATCAGGAGCTCTTGATCTCTGTGTGACGTTGGTGACCTACACCTGTTTTCGACGATGACGACCTCTTTCTTGCAATATGAGGCTCCTTGTAAGGGCTTTTGCGTGTTTGTGTTGATATTGTGCTATAACAATTCATTCAAGGGCCTGTTCAAAGTATGGATTGGTGTAAAACTCCCGCACCCGGCCAGCAACTTCGTCCTCGATCAGGCTTCCGGCTAGGCCTTGCATCGTTCATAGAGAACTACCAGAATCGGATAGCTATCGCTGGACTCCAAGATGAGCGGGTACTCGTCGAGGACGACTACAACGACTACCCTGATTTTGTGACCCTTTGCGAAGCCCACCACGGCTACCCTGCCACAAGCCTCCAATGGCAACCTTCAGCGGCAACATCCCATCCATGGTCACAAAAATCGCCATCTACCGAACTATTAGCGACAACGGCCGATGCTTTGCGTGTTTGGGAATATAACAGCGACGGCGCACCCACCCCATCAAGTTATGTGGGTCGTCAGCCCAGCTCTGGGTCTCATGCTCTCACTCTGAAGACGGCGTTGTCTGGAGTGCGTCATATATTCCCAACTAGCTCCCGATCTGACCTTTCTTGCAGCAATCCAAAGTCCAAAACCAGTCGAATGGAGCGCCATTGACCAGCTTCTCGTGGAATGAGAAGGCACCGAGTCTGATCGTAACGTCGTCTATCGACACAACTTGTACTGTCTGGAACATCGACACTTCTTCGGCAATAACTCAGCTAATTGCCCATGACCGAGAAGTCTACGATGTCGCGTGGTTGCCCGGATCTACCGACATTTTCGTGTCAGTTGGGGCAGATGGGAGCCTCCGGGCATTCGACCTTCGAAGTTTGGAGCACTCTACTATATTGTACGAGACACCTGCTCCAAAAAATGTCCCACCCAGTGCATCACCATCGACTTCTGCTCGACCGCCAACCTCGCCACTACTGAGGATAGCTTTCAACCCATCCGACTCCAACTACATGTCAACCTTCCATATGGATGGTTCCGACATTCAGATACTCGACATGAGAAGTCCGGGCTCGCCTGTCATGGAGCTTCGCGGTCACCATGCTGCAATCAACGCTTTGGGATGGGGCTCGACTGAGCACCCACTACTGGCGACAGCGAGTGAGTCGTAATTGGGGTTGACATCCGAAACTGAATATCGTTCAAAAGGTGATGACTGCCAGCTGCTTTTGTGGGACTTGGCCAACTACACACAAAGCGCCGCATCGCCACGGAGTGCTGGATCGCGCCTGAACTCACCGCGACCGGATGTGAAAAAACGGGTTGTGACCGAGCCCGTGATGGCATACACCGCTCCAAGTCAGATTACGAATCTTGCGTGGTCCCCGCCTATCCAAGGTATGACCATGAGTGGAGGCCATTCGACTGTGACTGGAGAGTGGGTTGCGATAGCTTGCGGCAAGTCGATTAGAGCACTGAAAGTGTAGTGTGTAGTTGTACCTGAAACGCGAAGAGTCACTTGGCCTTGCTTCTTATCTTGTCACGACCATCAGTCCCCCACATGCTTCCTTTTAGTTATCTCATGCCCCACCCAAATATAAAAACCTCAAACGATGCGTTTTTTCTCCGCTCTCCCGAACCCCACTGTTGTTCTCGAGTCCAATAATGGCCAGCCCTGCTGTCGAACCAGTCACCACAGGCGCTACTCCAGCCATCACACAAGAGCCTGTTCAGCGAAAGACCTCTCGCTCAACAGATTCTTTGAACGAAAAAGAGGGTCTCCCAACTGACCCAGAGGCCGTCATCCTCGCCAAAGACACGGAAGACGTTGAAGATGCTCGTGACCGTCGCAACAACCTCTACCGCACTGTAAGTCGTGTGCCATCCAAGAATCGTTCAATTTTGACATGTGAATAGCTCCGGCCATTCATTCTTGGTGCAACTGCCCTACTAATTCTCGGCTGGTGGATCTCAAGTCTCCTCGTTCTTCACCACCAACGCTGGATTGTTGAGACTCTGTTTGCATGGTTTTTCATCCTGTCTGTTTTTCCTCTTTCAGTCATTTATGCTGTCTTCTAACTTGGATAGTATCATCGCATTCCGTTTCATTCCGGCGTCGATCATCTCTGGCCCTGTTAGCGCTGTTTGGGTTCCCCTTGTCCAGACGCCTTGGTACAAGCTTCCTTATCGTGCTCGTGTCGCAGTGGGATGGCTGTGTCTGCTTGCCATCGTCTTTGGCTCCGCTTTCGGGTTCAAGCCCGACGGGGTTAGTTGTTTGCCTCCACACCATTCAAATGAATCAATAACACTTTCTAGAACACCACATATGGTGACCGTGCCATCTCCGTTCTCGGCCTTTTCGTCTTCCAGTTGGGTTTCTTCGCTACCTCGAAGAAGCGATCCGCCATTCCCTGGCCTACCGTCATTGTCGGTCTCGTTCTTCAACAAGCCATTGCCTTGTTTGTCTTGAAGTCTGGTGCCGGGTTCTCGATTTTCAAATGGATCGCGACCCTTGCTTCCGACTTTTTGGCCCAAGGCCTTGTTGGAGCCGGCTTCTTCTTCGACCAAGAGACCATCGGAAAACATTGGTTCTTTGTCAACACTCTCGGCTCCATCATCTTCTTCGTCGCGTTTGTTCAGATGTGCTACTACCTCGGCGTCATGCAATGGATTATCAAGCATTTCGCTTGGTTCTTCTTCAAATTGATGAACGTCTCTGGCGCTGAAGCTGTTGTCGCTGCCAGCTCTCCTTGGATCGGCCAGGGTGAGAGTGCTTGCTTGGTTCGGTGCGTATTTACTGCCGATAACCCTGCGGTGCTTACCCAACTTAGTCCTTACGTCGACCTCATGACTGAGTCCGAGATTCACCTTACGATGACCTCTGGTTTCTCTACTATCGCTGGTAGTGTCCTTTCTGCCTATATCAGGTACAATTTTCTACCTATTCCAAAGCCACGGAACTAAATATTCTCCAGTCTCGGTGTCCCTCCCCAGAACCTTGTCACTTCGTCCGTGATGAGTATTCCCGCCTCCATTGCCATCTCCAAAATCCGCCTGCCTGAACTCGATGAGCCTGTCACTCGTGGTCAGGTTGTTGTTGACCGTGGTGAAGACAAGAAGGGTGCACCCGTATGATATGCTCTTCGTCATAAAGTCCATGATAACCGCTATCTAGGCTAATGCGCTGCATGCCTTCAGTCAAGGAGCTGTCTTCGGTCTCATTGTCGCGGGTCAAATTCTCACTAATGTCCTCACCGTCCTGGCCCTCGTCGCTACTATCAACGGTACGTGTTCATGAGCAAGTCTCCATCTTTCCAACTGACCCGCCCACTCAAGGTTTGCTCACGTGGATTGGCCGTGGCTTCGGTCTTCATGATGCTCATGCTCTTACGCTCCAACTCGTCTTGGGCTATATCCTCTACCCAGTCACGTTCTTCCTTGGTGTACCTCGTGGTGAAATCCTGGAAGTTTCTCGTCTCCTGGCCACCAAACTCGTTGCCAACGAGTTCGCCGCCTACCTCGACCTCCAGGCTATCATGAAGGGTGACCATCCCCTTTCCCCTCGCGCGTACACAATCGCAAGCTACGGTAAGCTTGAACATGTCTTTCTAGGTGGCAATATATACTAAAGCTCCTTGTCAAGCACTGTGCGGCTTTGCTAACTTGGTAAGGGGCATTATCTCTTATTTCAAGTTGTCTAAACCTTGGGCAGGGCTCCGTTGGTATCCAAATTGGTGTTCTTGGCGCTTTGGCACCATCACGAGGCAAGATCATCGCCAAGCTTGCTTTCTCTGCTATGATCTGCGGCTTCTTGTCCACGCTGCAGACCGCAGGTATCGCGTATGTGTCCTCTTTCAAATACTCGAATTGTCCCTGACTCTACTTCCAGAGGCATGCTCGTTTAATTCATTGAGGGGTGCTTTTGATTGGGGATGGGGTTATGATAGCTCATGTCGTATTATTTTGGCCTTAATAATTAAAAAGACGGGAAAACCGTGCCCACACACACATTTTAACCACAAAGTGATCCTGAAATGCCTATATTCATGCTGAAAAATGTACATTTGCGGTGCTACTTATACAATTCGATTACTGGAAAGCTAGATAGAATCTAAGACGCTCTAATTATCACTGGTGCGTAAGGTTTGCTGTAGATGATGAGAGTCGTGCAGTGGGTGTAGATGCTGAAGAAGGCGATGAAGGTCGGTCATGAATTGATCTAGGGGGACTCTGGCCCTTCTCCAGCGTCGATGTCTCAGTGAGGGTCGCTTGACGGGCTCTACGTTGCCACGGCCACCTCACCAAAGAAAAGACGATGTTGCAGACTAACACTATGACTGCAATGGAAAGGATGACCGCTATGACCGCGCCAATGGCCACTCGAGGGATGGCAGCGACGGTTAAGGATTCCACAAAGGCAATCATGAGGCCAGTGCAGACGAGGCGAACGATGCTGAAGTAAGCAGAGAAAACGTCCCCGCGGCGGGTCTTGAACGGCTTGAGAAAAATGTGTGCAAGCACAATGGCGAGCTCGATGATCAGACACAAGATGATTTGCGTTAATCCATGCCCCTGACCAGCTGCGACAACAACTGCGCGGAGAAAGATGGCCGCCAGGAAGACGATGTAGAAGAAATAACGCGGGGCACGGAATCGGCCGTATAAAGGTTCGTAGTGGCCGGAGTCGGGGACATCAAAGATGCCCGTTGAATGTTGACGGACGAGTCGCACCATTTGGAATGTAGGCCAAATTATCAGTGCAGACACTGCCAGGAAGGTGATGACCGAAAACAGAGTAGAAAGCCACGAGTCCTTCAGAGTCCACTGGTATATGGCAAAGAGAAGGATTGGAGGCCAGGCGATGAGGGCCTATATGATGTTTAGCTGTGTTCAATATCGGAGAATCAAAACGCACCAAACGCAGTACCCAGGACTTGATGAAACCGGGGAACATGTTCCTATACCGTCGACGTTGGGTGTCACTACCCCAGTCCAGTCGGTCTGCCAACAACAGTAGGCCATATAAAATCAGAGATAGGGTGATTGTGATAGCCAGGATGACGAGGGCAACGATGAAGACAGTGTCAAAGGCGTTGGCACTGCCGATATGAATGGAGTTCACATAGATAGGGATGCCTGCTTGGAGAACGTTGGAAGATGAGGTAGTGACAGTTTGAACTTGAGCTGATGTAGAGTCCAGTCTTTGAACTTGGGTCAAGGCAATACGTGACAAGTTGGTTGGAGTATAGCCCGTCGGAGTATAGTCCGTATCTGCCAACAGCATGGACTGTGCTGCCGATGGAACCGCGAGATTGGTGTTCCAGGGACTTAGTTTCCGGTCAACCAATCCAACAGCTGATGTAGAGCTGGAGTTAGGCATGGTTCCACCCGTGCGACTTCCTGATGTAGGGTGAGCGTTTAAAAAAAATAATCGGAGAGCGTAGCTTACGCATGCTGTCGATAGCAGCTTGGATAGCGGAGCTTGAGACGAGGCCCAGTGTCCATGCAAAATTGAGGGTAAACGCGCGATAGAGAAGAGAGTAGTTGAGACTGAACAAGCCAGTCGTCGCAATGAATTGAAAGAGATGGAATAAATCAACAAGGCGATGTGCAAGGAGCGGATGAAGACTTGAACGCAAGGTTTGCCAGAGACCTGCCAATAATAATAACAGGATCAAGATTCCGATGGCCCATTCGACTGCTGGTTGGCGGGTCGACCATCCATTGGAAAGGGTAGCTTGAACGCAAGCTTTGACGTCGTTGGTCGTGGCCTCAGTTAGGGTCAATTGCGCATAGGCCTCAAAGTCAGGAATGCGGAATGCGATTTCCGGGATGCGTTTAGAGACACCGAGGGAAGCGGGAAGTGAGATAGTTTCGGATCCGTTGAATTGATATGTAGGAAGTGGACAGAGTGCGCCTCGAAGGCAGTGAGACCAGTGGAGAAAAGGTTAGGGAGCACATACCACCCAGTATACTGCAGAGATCAACGGTAATGTTGACGAGCGTCATGCCATACGCGTTGAGCACTATGTTTGCGGAGACATTCAGATTCTTTTGCTTGGGTACCAATAGTCAATAGATAGTATACGAAACAAATGACGTCAAACACTCACCACACTAGCTGCCGCTATGTCGAAGAAGATGCTTTGGTTTTGAGCGAAGTAAGTGAGGTCGAATTGTTGAATGAGTAATGTTTCTGGGGGCTCGCAATACGTGACGGATGAGGTGAAGAGAACACCATTTGAGGCAGCGGCGACGAAAGGTATAACGGCGAATAAGAGGAGCAACAGCATGGCTCCCAATATTGTTTAGATAGGTTAAGAATCGTTGCAGGGCTGTCTGTGGCAGCTTCTATGGTTGAGTGGTCTAGGAGAAATGAAGGGAGAGTGGAAAGGTAACTGCAGCCGCTAGGCTCAAGCTTTTGTCGTGGTGGAGCGGCACAAAGGCCGTTAAGATCACACATTGTGCCGTCACAGAGAACAAAAAGACTGCGGAATGCGATAACCAGCTTGGAATAATAACCAAACACGCCTTGTTGGCTATGAATTATATCCTATAGCAACGAGGGTCGTGTTCGTCGTTCGCCATGCTGAGCGCACGACTTACTTCCCGAGTGTCACACGCGTGACAACCCGCTTTCCTCCGTTTCTGATGCTTGCACGCAAAATCGCTGCTGCAGCTCCTGGTCTGGGCCAGCGTGCGGCGTCTAGTATTGCACTCAAATATTCGAATGCCCTTTACCAGGCCGCACTATCCAAGTCTCCACAGACACTCACGAAAGTTCATTCCGAACTGGCCACCGTGTCATCCACCATCGCTCAAGACCCCGCCCTGACCACCTTCATCTCCAACCCCACCCTATCCGCCAACGAGCGTAAAGCTGGTCTCTCCGTTCTCTACACCCAACTCGACGCGGCTTCTCCCAAGAAAGAGCCAGCATCAGAGATTACCAAAAATCTTCTTGCTGTTCTCTCAGAAAACGGTCGGCTGGCGGAGACACCGGGCGTCATTGAGGGTTTCAATGAGCTAGTTGAAAAGTACCGCGGAGAGCTCACCGTCGTTGTCACTTCCGCTGCACCACTTCCGAAAGATGTTCTCTCTCGCCTTGAAACCGCTCTTAAGCAGTCGCAAGCCGGCCAGAAGGCTAAAGTTCTCAAGGTCTCGAACAAGGTCCGTTCATTTTCCTGTCGCCTACGCTTTTTTTGGATGATATATCTGATCTAGGTCAACCCTTCTGTTCTCGGTGGACTTGTGGTCGACTTTGGTGATAAAACTATTGACCTCAGTGTGCAATCTCGCGTGACGAAGTTCAACTCCGTTCTCCAGCGTATGCACTCTTCTTCTTCCATCTGCATTGCGCGCTAATCTTGTTGAGACAGAATCGGTTTAGATGGTGGCTGTCCAATACGCATAATAAAGACGAGAGCCATTTGTAGCTTTTGAATGCAGTCTATCAAGTCCGAGGATACCGGGCGCGATTTCGTCCATTGCAAAAGGCCTTCGTGTGCTGATCGCCAAGCTTCCTTCCCTTTCCGCCTAATCCGGGTGTTTAAGCAGGCAGTAGATGCGAGGAAGTCTACCCCCCGTGGCCGTGTTTTCCGATGTCACTGCCGACAAAAGGCAGGTTCTCAACCTGAGTGGTGGGTGCCACTTGCGCAGATGAATTGAGAGGGTGTTCGCTGAATATCCGGATGTAAACCTTGTTTGCTCAAGTGATGTCGATGGGGTCCACGAAGAGACCATTTCCTATTGAACAACCAACTTAAACAGCGATGTAGGTCCTCCCGCAGGAACCGTCAAATACGTGTCAGGGACTTGCCGCTGGGCCGCGCGCACTCATATAACACAGAAGAATGCACTTTGTTTTGCTTCGGCTCACCATGTTCAAAATCCCTTTTCTCGTCTCCCTTTGCTTGAGCCTCCAAATTGCGATAACTCCTCCCAATGTGGGTCAGTTTAGCGACGACGAGCAAACTCCAACCGTTCTTTCAGCCCCCGCCACAACCCAATGAACACCTATTGGTCTCAACCCCTTTCGAGTCGCTTCTCAAACAAAGACTGGGGCCCATTATCGTCAAGGTAAATCAATCTCTGCCTCTTATGGCCACTCAAGTCTGATCGCCCACAAGTGCCTCTGTTGGATCGTTGCATTCGTTGAGTCAGCAGTAATAATCGCACAAAACTTGCCCGACTGGCGCTATTCCGCTCATATTGTCTCTGCTTTCTCCTTCAACGGACGCTCCAACCCGACAATCAGGATTTCACCTCTGTGCGTTGCATTTGAATATAGCTCACACGAAAAGGACTTATGCTAGCCAGATTCGTCTTTGGGATATATCTAACGCTTCTTGGAGCGGCGTTGAGAGCGTGGTGTTATAGGGAACTTGGTATTTGATCACTGATTTTGTCAACACCCGTAGATTGATCTGTGGTACAGGACAATTTTTTACCTTCGAGCTAAGCATCAGAACCGACCATAGGCTCATTCAGACTGGCCCTTATGCTCGAGTTCGTCATCCCGGTTATACCGGTGTGTTACTTACAGGTGAGCTTCTGGTGATAGAGTTTTTGGCACTCGAATTGACCGAATAGTGGCCGGGATTGCGTGCTGGAATGCCGCTACGGGCTCGTGGCTTAGAGAGTGCGGCGCCCTCGAAACAAATGCGGGAGTGGGTGTTACTGTCGCTGGTGCTTTGCTCATCATGTCGATCATCTTTGGTTTGCTGCTAAGAATCCCGAGAGAAGACGAGGCGCTGTTACAATATTTCGGGGACAATTGGGTGCAGTTTAAAAAACGAGTCCCATACAGTCTTGTACCAGGGCTCATCTAAAAAATCTTGCTCAAGCCGAAGTAGTTGGTTACGTAAGATAAATGGTCACGCGTGACTATTCGTGTCTCCGCAACAATGGCCGTGAATTGGTGAGGTTGACTTGAGCGCAATTGCGATGAAATTAACTCTTTCTTCAAGTCCAATTTGTGGCCAGAATGTCTCGGTCGACATTAACACGCATATTGACGGTTGTTTGTCCAACTCTGAGTCAAAACCCATCGTTTCCACGAAAAGTACTAGCTCGCAGACAAAGGTTGCCCCCATTTTCAATTTTAAAAGAAAGCACGCTGGTCAAGACTCGAGTCCAAGCTCGAGTCCCAGCTCGCCATATGAGGGCAAACAGGAAATCGGGAAAAATGCAGAGCTTGAACGACCAGTCAAACGTTCCAAGCCGAGCCCCGATCTTCCACTAGCAGAACGTCTGCGCCCGAGCACGCTCTCTCAAGTCATTGGTCAGCCACTTCTTGTGGATTTGTTCACTCGCGGGTTCTCTGGCTCTGCCATATTCTGGGGTCCTAGCGGGTGAAGTCAAGGAAAGTGTTGGTTCTCGAGGAACTAACTCCTTTGTAATAGATGCGGCAAGACAACGATCGCACGACTTGTCGCCGCTCAATCTAATTCAGCTTTCAAGGAGCTTAGTGCGACGTTGGCTGGGATTAACGACGTGAAAGCCGTGGTAGAAACAGCCAAATCCACGTTCGCACTTTCTGGGAGGTCTGAGTATTCTAACTACCCTCTCACAGTCTTGTTGACATATCAAAGGCGAACCCTCTTATTCCTGGATGAAAGCACGTCGCTTACATCTGTTGTCCACGTCGTTGCTGAATTGCTTTTCTCAAGTCCATCGATTCAATAAAGGCCAACAGGTAAAGAGTTCTGCGTTGCATCGATTTAATATGGGCTTCAATGGACCCACAGGACATCTTTCTTCCCTATCTTGAACGCGGCGCGATTCAGGTACAGTGTGGTGCTTACTTTTGCGTCACCAATTCTCAGCTTCATAGTTGATTGGTGCTACCACCGAAAACCCGAGCTTTAAATTGAACGGGGCTCTCTTAAGCCGTTGTCGGTAATGTCTGCCGCTTTGCTGCAGGAGCTAGTTAAAATGAACTTCTTGTTGCAGCGTGTTTGCCCTAAAACGTCTCGAAGAGCCAGACATCAAGACTATCCTCTCTGATGCTGTGGCACGGTTATCTACAGATGATACTACTTCGCCAAATGTAGTCCTACCAGACAAAGTTGTGGCCTCGATTGTTTCGCTCTGTGGGGGAGACGCCCGTGTAGCACTCTCACTCCTCGAGATAGCACTCCAGTCGCCATCTGACTTGGATGAACAAGGGCTTCTGGCATTATTGCGACAGTCAGTGGTTACTTCATTCGATCCCTCGGAAGACCACTATGACATGATTTCCGCCCTTCACAAGTCTATTAGGGGATCACAACCCAATGCAGCCTTGTACTGGCTTGCGCGGATGCTTAAGGGCGGCGAAGATCCGCTTTTCATTGCTCGTCGCCTCATTGTGTGCTCAAGTGAGGATATCGGCCTGGCTGATAACCACGCGCTGCCATTGGTAATATTCCGGAACTGTCTCTCCACTTCTTCGCACTAACTTGAATGGTTAGGCAACGGCCACGCTGCAGGCATGCCAACACATCGGTATGCCCGAGTGCAGAATTAATCTGGCCCACCTAGTTACCTACTTGAGGTTCATGATAATGTCTTCCTCTGGGTCTAGATGCTTATTACACTCGCAGCGAGGCCCCCAAAAGCACACGAACCTATGAAGCCTACAAACGAGCAGAGGAAGCCGTCGCCGTAGACCCCACACTCCCAGTTCCGCTCAGTATGAGAAACGCACCAACAACACTCATGAAGGACCTCGGATATGGGCAATCGTATCGATACAACCCAGAATACGCGTGAGCCACGCACTTTTCGCAGCCATGTCGAGCCATAACAAGATTCTTAGTCACCCAGTCCCGAATACCTACCTCCCTGCCCAGTTTGAGGATTCCGAGTTTTTACGAAAAGTAGGAGATAATCGAGACAAATTGTGGGACGAGGCGGCGCTCGTTGCTTGGGAAAAGCAGAATCTAGACGGGCAACCCTGGGAAGGGCGATTATCTCGTGATCATGTGACCGATTCGCAAGTATGAGATCATCGTAGTAACTCTAATGTCGACCAACATCACATTCCATCCCGGCTCTGTGGAGGCTGGAGAGCGCGTAGCTTTCCTCGGACAAAAGGGCATCACAATCTGGCTGACTGGTTTGAGCGCCAGCGGCAAGGTCCAACCCATTAGCTGGTTTTGCTCAATTAATACTGAATAGTCTACCATCGCGTGTGCCTTGGAACAACACTTGTTGCATCTCCACAAGTTCGTCTACCGACTTGACGGCGACAACATTCGCTTTGGACTCAACAAAGACCTTGGGTTCGATGAGAAATCGCGCAATGAAAACATTCGTAGAATTGGCGAGGTGCTAGCTTAACTATCCGTGCTTGCTCGTTCTGACGACCCATTTCCCTCTAGGTTTCTAAACTGTTCACCGACGCAGCCTGTGTTACTATCACTGCCTTTATTTCCCCATACCGCGCAGACCGACAACTCGCCCGTGACCTCCACGAAAAGGCATCTCTGCCTTTTATAGAGGTGTTTGTCGACGCTCCGTTGTCCGTCGTTGAAGAACGTGACCCAAAGGGGCTCTATAAGAAGGCCAGAGCCGGAGAGATCAAGGGTACCAACTCCGCGCGTCAGTTTAAAGTTGTTTAACACTCTTTTGTGTAGACTTCACAGGTATCTCCGCGCCATACGAGGCACCAGAGAAGCCAGAAATCCACATCAAGACCGACGAAACAGACGTGGAGGGTAGCGTGCGCATCATCACACAGTACTTGGAAGCGAATGGCTATGTTGCGACTACAGGGTGACGGCCAGAAGCATCTTGTCGTTGCTCCAATGGTGTCTCATCTAGATCGGTCGACGATCCTTCTTGCTCTTCAGCAATGGTGCTTGCGTAGATGGAGGTATCTAGCATGTTTCCCAGTCCCTTTTCAAGAATAGAGAGCCATTGAGAAAGATCATCAATTGTCCGAGCCAACTCTGAGTGGGTGCTTTCGCCCGAGATTAACGCAGCGTAATCCAGAGGTCGGATAGCTGGGCCTAGTGATGGGAGTGAAGATATTGAAGCTGAGGACAATGACGGCTGATGTGTGCGCGAATAAACATGGTCGCTGTTGCCATTCCGCATTTCCAGCGGTGGAGGGGAACTGGTCCTAGGAAGACCGAGCGAAAATGACGTGTTGGATGTCGACGCTGCTTCTCGAAACGCAGAGTATTGCGATGTCTCTGGCAGTGTGCTTGTGGCCAGCTGGCTGGCTGATGGAGTAAATGTACGGGGACTGTACCCCGCAGCAGAGGGAGATGGCGGTAGCAAGTCAGATATGCCCAAATGATGTTCAGATGTCAACGATGGAATCTGAACAGGCAATTTTCAGTGTTGAAAATTATCGTGCAAATATGACTAACCTTGAGAACGTCTTTCAGACCCGGAGTTCCTAGACCAGGCGTGTAACCCGTATTACTGGAGTCACTACCGCTACGCTGTCGACGAGCAAACGGTTTGATAGGTGGAACTAGCGGGGGCGGTTCCATATTTATCGCACGAGAAGCTAATGGTTTTGAAGGACCAGTTTCAGGGAGAGCAGTTGCGGAGCGTGTTCTGATCATAGATGGTGCTGGACGCTGAGTAGGTGTAGCGAAGCGTCGGGGCGAGACGGTATTGTCCAACGAATAGGCTGGCTGATGAGCTCCCGGTGACACTGGGATACTCGTTGCACTCGATGTGCTTGAATGGGTGGGTGAGTGGCGGCTGTGGGACTTGTGAAGCTGTAGAGGAAGCACCGGGGCAATAGTAGGCGACTGTTGTGGGGGAGGGAACTGGAACGCCGCTGGAGAAGTTAAATCGATGTCTCTATTGCCTTCTAGATTGCTCTGAGATGGTTTGCGGACTGGAGAGGGCTTGGTTATGGTGAAATTCGACGAAGTGGAAGATGAAGATGAGCCTGGTACATCTGTTTCGATGGCAAGGGCATCAGCGGCAGGTATTGCGATATTATGAGGGCCTCGAGCTCGGTATTCAGTGCGAGTTGAGCTACTATCTGAATTGTTGGCCTCCGTTGAGGAATCGTCTTCTGAACCCGTAAGTGCAGAGCCCAGATTGGACCGAGATCGTCCAATAGGTCGAGGAGGGAAAGCGAAAAAGGCCTGTTTGGCCGTTAGATCATCTCCAATGTTGTCGAGAGTTGCGCCGCGCTTGATACCAAGACGGCTGGCTGGTGGAGGAGACAGGGCAGCAGGCGGACTGGGTGTGTTCCGTTGGGAAGGAATTTGGAACGCAGGGATCCTGAAAGCGTCTTGTGACGATGTCGCTTCATCTTCAAACAAAGCTCGAAGAGACGATGGCAATTGAGCGGGAGGAGGCCTAATGGTCGCTTGCATTTGCGACGAATCGTCTTCTGAGAGACGAGGCGCATCGAGTTCTGATAGAAACAATGCACTTGCTCTGACTGTGTCGAATTCCCATGGATTTTCGTCTTCATGGTCCATGCCTAATTGCCGGAGGCTGTAAGAGTGTAAGTGGGAAACGGATAATATGTTAATCAGTCGACTCACTCTCGCTCCTCGTCCGCTTCCCAAGCTAGTGGTTCCGCCAGACTCGCTCTCTTTTCTGCTTGATCTAAACGACGCACAAGTTCCTGTAGAACGTTGGTAGGCGTTTTGGCGACAGACTTGATCCATTTCGTTTTGGAGAGTTCGTCGGCTGGAAGACGCTGATTTGAATGAGGGTTAATTGCGAGAAGTAACAAAAGAAAGTAGAACGAACCTCGCTAGGAGATTCCTTGAGACAATGAGCCATGCAATCGCGCATGTCTTTCGAACCCTCTGTTTCCAGAAGGCGAGGGGGTTTAACCCGAGGTATGAGGTCCATGACTTTGAATGGCTCGAGATTGGAATGAGGCGGACTACCCTTGATCATTTCGTAGATCATGATACCCAGGCTCCATATGTCAGCCTTGGTATCGTAGGCAGGTACTGTTTGCACTACCTCCGGGGCCATCCAATATGGTGTACCTAAGCGCTTCTTTGTAAGGTGCCTACTAATGAGAAGTGGTTCCACATACCAGTCATCGTATTCCTCTTGCTGCCTGTTGTGGTCAAGAGTGCTGAAACGCCAAAGTCGCAGATCAACACTTTGCCAGTGACGGTGACGAGGACATTGGCGGCTTTTATGTCTCGGTGGATGACGGGGACTTTGTGGAGGTAGCTCAAACCAACGAGCACCTCTCTAATCATGATACTGACATACTTTTCCTCAAGACAACCATTCTTGGATACCTTCATCAGGGAAAGCGCGCTTCCTCCCTGAGCAAACTCCATCACAATCCAAACCCGAGGTCCGTCGAGGTAGCAGCCATAGTACTGGGTGATATTGGGGGCATCGCGGAGTTGAGTAAGCAGGGCTACCTCCCGTTGGATGTCACCAACATCGTCGCTCTCAATGTCCAGATTGATGATTTTGAGAGCAACAATGTTGCCAGCGCGGTCGATTCCCTTGTGAACGCTTCCATAGGCGCCTTTTCCAACAGTCTCGAGCCGTCGATAGAGTTGGTGGACTGAGGGTTGTTGGTTCGTGGTCATAAGTTGCGCGTCACGTCACAAAATGAGAAGGCGGGTTTCATAAAAATACAATCTATTCTACGGGTAAAATAAGTACAGCTAATTAAGCTACGAGGTCGGGGGTGGAGGATCTTGGCCAACTTCCGGTGGAGGCTCTTTGACAATATCGAGTTCAGCTTCCAGTCGTTCGCGGGCGCGCACAACCTTTGACTGGATATAATGCGAGTGTGGTGATTGCTGCTTAGCTTGTGGTGGGGGTGAATTTGCTTTGAACAAGTGTTCATAGTGCTGAAAGGGACATCAAAAAGTCAGTTCTCAACATTGAAAGAGCGGACCTGTAATATTTTATCAGAGGTCTCGCCGTTTTTGACATTGAGAATTAGTTGAGCTTCATCGAGGGTCATTCGGTGTTGTCGGGTAAGTTGGTCAGTGCGGGAGGCGGAAGTAGCGTTTCCTACGCCTCCGACATCGCTGGAAAGTGCTTGTGGAGATTGTTTGGCATCTAAAAAGTGGATTGTGAGGATGTTAAAGGCAGGACACAAGAAAACACACTCTTGATTGCCTGTCTACCCGCCTCCGCAAAAGCTTTCCCCACTATTCGAGTCGTGGCAACGCATATTTGGACCACTCGCATGGGCAAAGACTGTAAACAGGGCCTTAGAAGCTGGTGTAAAAAGCATAGAGAGAGCACGCACCATGATGGAGGAGAGAAAACGATCGTGACTGTTACGCGAAACTTTTTCTAAATTTTGACCATGTCGAAACGGAAGACTGCAGAGGATACCCGACCAAGCAAACGCCAAAAGCTTGATAGCCACCCCCAATTCCAACTCATCACAGCCTCCCTCGTCCTCTCCGTCCCACCATTATTTGCCAGCAATCCCCGAGATGGAGCGCAACAAATGTTGGATTCAATGGTTATGAGGTCCGTTCAGATTTTCTTCTCGTGTGACCTTGTCTCAAAATCAAAACCAAGGTACATCCCGGCGCTCAAAGGAGTCGTCCTGGCACACTCAAATCTGAGCTTTCTCAAGCCAACAGCAGCGATAACTGCTGACTGCCCTTTTCTTATCTGCCATGTCCAGTTCGACGCAACCGTATGGAGTCCTAATCTTCACATGAAACTCAGTGCGTTATCATTGTAACACTCTGGACTTGTGTTCAAGATTTCGTAGCCGGGAAAATCAGTCTCTGCTCTCCTGATCACATCTCTCTTCTCGTTCACCGCACTTTCAACGTCTCAATTCCACGGAAACACATACCTGAAGAGTGGGTATATGAGCCAGCGGATGAAACCGAGCCAGACAATGGGCGATGGGTGCATCAGAAAACCCAAAAGCCTTTAGGTGGCGAAGACGGATACGTTGAATTTACCGTCATTGGACTAACTGTCGCGAATGAAATGTTGTCGTTGGAGGGGGCATTGGATGTACCATAGCATGGAAATCTGAACTTCTGAGTTGGCGGTTGACGCGTGTGACCGCGTTCAATATTAGCAAGCACGTGCCGACTTCCTCCTTTAACCGCGTTCAGCTCCATGAACAACCCTTCTCACATATTAATCGCGCGAGGCCACAACCCCTCTGCCTCTTTGTCGAGCCCCACCGAAACTCATGCCGCCGCATCAGGCATATTCCGGTCAACTAGCTCACCGCCATGGCTGCTCGAAGAAACTGAAACGGAGGACACCGTATCTGAATCAAGCATCGAGGACGATTTAGAGCTTGACCAAACATTCACAAAGGCTTACCCTTTCCCTGGAACTGTCAAAATAGTCGTTCAAAACACAACCTTCTGGACTCATAAAGAAGTGTTATACTTTGCCTCCCCATTCTTCGAAGCGGCGCTGAGCGGCAACTGGGCCGAAACAGGACGACCACAGTCAATGTCCTCCATCATAACAATCTCTCAAACGCCTACTGTCCCCGGAAATAAATCTGCGCCCACAGAAATGACCTTCGCCCCGATGGACCCCGATATAGACTCAGAGGATCCTGAATCACCAGACCAACCTCCAACCGATACCGAGGAGGACGACTCCAAGTCAAAGAACGGCGATGCCAAAGCACAGGCCATAGATCAAAGTCTCGCGAAACTAGAGAGCAAGCCACCCATTAAAATCCCTCCTCCCTCGACATTGAAGCGGCGAACCAGAATGGCTGATGCAGTGATTGTGTTAAAAGAGGAGCGTGTAGGTAATCTCCATCCATTTCTGTTGCTCGTTAACCCACATCTCCGTCAGGCCAGCACATTTCACGACTTTCTCAAATTTGTGTACCCTCAGTATGTTGATCCCGGTGCGCTAGATGGAAGCCTCACTCGCTACCAGCCTCGAGTGCACTATAACATGGAACAATGCGGAGAGTCTCATGAACATCTCAGACAAGCTTTGTGCGCCTGCGCTACAACAGGAATGTCTCAAATTTCTCCTTACCCATGCTGCTGGGCGGCCAATCAAGGCACTCCGTATAGCCGAGATATTTGAAGAAGAGGACCTCTATCAACAAGCAAGTCGTTTTGTCCTTGATAATCCAGGCGGGTGGTCAGAGCAAGAGTTGAATACTCTCAGTCGAGATACGCTTTTGAAACTCGAAAAACGGTGTGTTTAATGCTGTGATTCCGTCCTTCCATCCTCAGCAATCGGACTTGTAGGCGAAACTGGTTCCTCGAACGTGTTTTGAAACTCGGTCTAACCGTGGTTTCGAAAGAATATCAATGTGTTGGTGCATTTTCTATGCACTCCGCATTGCGCTGAACTTACTTAGTGCCCCACATGTCCCGATCCGGCCAACTGCGCTCGACTATTAGAAGATAAGTGGCGGCAAGCATATCATGCAGTATTTCGAATTGGACCGCCACGACCATCTATGGTCTTCCGCTATCTGCGACAGTTGGAGGTGGAAAAGCCGTTGAGTTTAACACACTTGAGCTGCCAAACAAGTGCGAAGGCATTTGTCGCTACATGTGAGTGGGAGCGAAGTCTCGTGGTCCTTATGGCCAACTGACTGATCGCAGTATTTGACCGCATGTTCTCTCTGGGTGTCAGGGGAAGTGGGACCGACACAGCGCCTCGAAGACACTTTTTATACTGCTCTCTCAAGTCGGAGCCACAACCTCAGACGAAACGGTCACGTGAAGTAATTTCCATGTCTGCGTCATGAGAGAGATGTGTAGGAAAACATGCTTGATTCTACGTGAAATGTCCACCGTGGCTACGAGGGTATTACCCGATAAAAGTGTGGGTGTGGAAATACTTAGAGCAGAATAATTATGACATCGATACAGCCCTTGGAAGTTAAGAGTACAGCATGGAGGAGGAGGGAAAACTCATGACGGAGGGAATATTTGAGGGGCATTTTCGATGAACCACTCCACTGAAAGCGCTTTGCCAGCCATGTCGCTGAACTCTGCACCAGGGTCCGGAGACCGCATTAAGGTTGCTAACATTATGTGGTCAGCCTTGTCGTTTCACAGAGGACAACACAACTTACGGCCAAACACGACCCCAAGATTGCGTGCGGTCATCAGGTTCTTCTCGCAGCGCTGGTGAATACTGAAAAGGCTGTCAATTCAAGATCTTACTAATCCGTGAACGACCAACCGGTGCAAGTGAACCATCAGTCGACGGAGAGTAAAGTAATGCTCAACAGGAAGCTTATTGACGAGCTCCAAGAGCGACCGATGCTTCAGAGATGGTTCACGGTTTTGGACAGCCGACATGAATTCGTCATGGAGCTCAAAGGTGAGCAATGGGATGGGGAGGGAGCGGAAGTATGTCTTGAGGACGGAGGTGACACTGCATATATCGTTGAATCGGTCCGAGTCGCATAGATCAAAAGATTCGTAGTCGCCCCTTTCAAATAGCTGGGTGATGGTTTTCGACTGTCCCGAGCCGCCACTCTTGCGATAAATTCCTTCGTATTCCATAGCTACGCTTCCTGTTAGGACTGCGAAGACGCGGGGAAACACGACACAAACCTAGGGTTTCTACGGCTTCGATACACTTTTCAACGATGACAGGTGTCTGTCGATCACCACCTTTGACGGCGTCTGCATGGACCTGCTCAATCAAATCTCGTCCAAACATGGAAGGCGCTGTTGATTTGTCAGTTTGCCGTCATAAACAAGAGATTCGATCTTACGAAGGTCTTCTTCCGGTCCTCCGTCAGCGTGCAAGGAACATGCCACTTGAACATGGTTGACGCAACGGACATGAACAGAGATGTTACAGGCTACGAAAAGGTTAGAAGTGATAGACATGAACTTGACTAGACTGACATGTGCATCGCAATTGAGAGCCCCACATCTTGTCACCGCAATGATCACAACGAGTAAACCGGAGTACACTCAATTGTTGGAAATTGTGAGCAGTCTGAGGCTTTGGTTTGGGAGGCTCAGGCGGAGGTGGAAGTGCAGCGCTTGGCTCTTTTGTCCTTGATCCCGGCCATTTGAAGACTTGTCGACCTTTAGAAGGTGTAGGCGCATCCAAGTCTGGTCGTACTTGGACTTTCAGATTATCTAAGCTCGAGGTTGAAGCAGCTGCCTGCGGTGTCATCATAGTCAGCAAATGGGCTGAATGCTGAGTTGAATGTTGGGGTCGGAATGGTGTGGACTGAGGAGTTTTTGATGGGGTTTCTGGGACAGGAACCATACGACGAGCGTATTGCGCGCTTAGTTGAGCCAGCTCTTCGTTGCGAGCATTCAACACCGTCGTTTCTTCAAGGAAGACATCCCTCACGCCCTTGAGCTCCATTATCTCTCGTGCCAAACTTTCTCTTTCCTCTTTCAAAGGAATCAGATCACGTTGGTATTGCTTCTTGATCGAATCGAGTCGCATCGTCAATGAACGACCCAAATTCTTTGGACGGGCCTCCTGCGATGTTCTGCACGGTTATTAGCTTAACACTACGGACCTCAACAATTGACGCACTGTTTCGTGGCCGAAAGCTCCTCCACCTCAGCAAGAGCCATCTCCCTTTCCACTCGAAGCTTGGAAACATCATGCTCCAAGTCAGAGAGATTGTCGTGAAGCTCTTTCGATAACTGTTGGTGAAGCTCCTGACGCCGAGACTCGCCAGACAGTGCGGTCAGTCTGGCAGCTTGACCAGAAACAAGAACTCTCAACCGCGTGACTTCTGCTTCAGCCTCTCGTCGGGCCTTGAGCTCACTGTCGTACTCTGTCTGGGCAACAGTTAGACCGTCAATATACTGCTTGCTCTGCCTCTGTAGAAAGTGGAAGGTAAGAAGACGTCGCCATGACAAAATTAGAATGCAAACCTTGAAACCGTCCAACTTAGCCTTTAGACTCGCAGACTCGGCATCTCTGGATTCCATTGCACCAAGGATAGCCTCGAGAAAGCCTCTGTCAAGCTTAAGCTGTTGTGCTCCCCGGTCCCGAGCATCAGCTAATGCTTCGCGTAATCGAAGCAAAACCATGTTCTCTGGGTCGGATGGCACGCCTAAAGAAGCAGTGGCTGAATCGGCTCGAGTAATGGTTACGCGCGTTAACGGTTCCCTCGGTTGAGATTCGGATAATGACCGCAAGCGACTGCCATCGACATGTTGCTCCTCTGAGCTTGTCTTGGATTTGCCCAAACTTTGGAGTCTTGGAGCCGGTGACACAAATCGAGGTGCGGTTGCGGCCGATTCTTCTGACGTTGCTTGCGTGGAAAAGGACTCCATAGTGAACGTAGCCTCGCTTGTGGGAGTCAAGGCAGTATCAATCGAATAAGCGGTGGCAGCAGTTGGCGGAGGTGTCATAGGAATAGGACCATCTGAGTCTTCTGAGATATTTGCGAGCTGCTTTGATTTTTGCCCTTCGACGGACTTGAAAAGATCAGAAAAGTCAGAGGAAGTCATTGAAATGCGTATTGGGGGCAACGCTGGCGCAATGTAGGTCGCATGAGACGTATGCTCGACCGGAGAAGACTCGGACATCTCATCTGAACTATCTAGTTGGTAGGCAATCGAAGTATCCTGGTCTTCGAGAGAAGAAGTGGGGAGTTTGGGTGACTGGATAGAGGGGGGCTCTTTTGGTGGGAGTGGAGGTGGTGGACTGTCCATTGATGGCTGGATTTCGCCTTCCTCGGTATCGGTACCACTTTCAACACTGTGGGGGACATCCGCCCGACGAGAGAGAGATGATGGTGTTTCTGACCTGAGCAAATCAGAGCTGGTTCGGCCATTGCTGGACGGCGGTCGATCAACAGACGGTCTGCGACCATCCAGAGTAACTGAAATTCTTGCCTCAATTCGTCCTGCAGTTTTCTTGGGCGGAACTGAATCCAAAATGATCTCAGGTCGCGAATTGGGGCTCATCACCACAGTTTGATCTTGAGAGTGGTCATCTGAGGGTGTTTGAGGTGATGCACTCGATGAACTAGCTGGCCGTGACGACGAGCTTTCTGGTCGGGGTGAAGGTGTTCGGGAAGGTGATGGCGGTTGACTGCTGCTTTTTAGTGTAGCAGAAGGTGGGGAAAGGGCAGGAGATTGTGGTGGAGGTGTGGCTGTCCGCTGAGCGACATGGTTGAGTGTCAGAGCTGGATTTATTGAACGACGCCGTTCTTGACGCGAAGTTGAGACAGTCAGGCCTGAACGGGGTGGCCCAGATTCGTCGGGTGGGAATAACGCATTTAAAGGACGCGCCCTGTCATCAAAGCTTTTCCTTCTGGGTGAGCTTCCCTCTGTTGAAACAACTGGCGGGAGTGGCAATGTCGATTTCTTAAGTGGGTTCTGGCGCTCTTCTGTCGGAGTAAACAAAGTCTTGGCTCCAGTGTCAATTGCGGGTGATGATGGAGCTTCGAATGCATCGCTGATATATGGGCCGTTTCTTTGCCTTCCAGGTGAACGAATGTCGGGTGGCCTGGATCGAGGCGTATGTGGTGTTGAAGGCTGATCGGGTATAAGACCCGGAGATGGCTTGTTGACGTGAGTGAGGTTAAGAAGGAAACTCAGAAAGCATAGACGCACCTGTGGGCGATACTCTCTCGAATTCGCTGACCCACTCGCTGCCTTCTCTCTCTCTGCCTTCTTCTGTGTGTGCTTTCGTATCTTGATCATCCGCTCGTTATGACACTTCATGCAGTATATGCCCTGGCTTGTCTTGGCGAAAACGAGTTCCTCAATGCGGTTGTGGCAGACTTTGCATTTGAAGCAATGGGCGTGGTAGGAGTCGTCTCCAGTCATGATTGCCTCGTCGAGAATGGGGTTGTGGCAGACATTGCAACTGTAAGAACAGTTGGCGCAAATTGGTGACCCATCCGAAAGCAAGAGGAGATTCGTGTCTGCAGTGACCTGGTCTCCACACTTCGCGCATTTGAAGCAGTCGACATGGAAGAAGGATTGGCTATTTATTGAATGTTGAATCAGAACGAAATGAAGCAGGGTTAAACGAACCCAAAAGCAACCACCAGACCGCCCTGCTCCGTTACCGCTGAACGTTTACAGCCAGGACAAATACGATTGTCCACGTCGGGAGTCGGAGTCATCGTTGCCAGCATTCAAAGAGGGTGGAAAGGCAGCTCACTGAGCGCCTGAGAATTAGTGTAAAAGGAGAGAGTTGGGGATAATCCTCGTGACAGCCAGTCAAACCTCGATGTCCTTAGTCACTTTGGTCGGCTACCCAGCCTCAGGAAAATCTTCCCGAGCAGCTCAACTAGTTGCCAGTATCTCCAAGCTTTTGCCACCCCATTTGTCCGCCGTTGTTGTCTCCGATGAAACTCTCAACATCGCACCCTCTGCTTACGATGGTCTGCTTTTACTATCTAACCCCGATTCCGTCAACTCCTTCAACTATTAGACAGCAGGACTGAAAAACCGGCCCGAGCAGCCCTCTTCACGGCAGTTCAACGAATGCTCTCGCCTACTACTGTTCTCATTGTCGACGCACCAAACTACATCAAGGGCTTTCGCTATCAGCTCTACTGCGCAGCCAGGGAAATGAAACTCCGGGTGTGTACGGTGGGTCACACTAGCGGGTTGTTTTGACTAGGAATCGACTCATCAGGACTAGATCTATGTGGTTGCTACCCCAGACCTTTGCCACAAGTGGAATGACGCTCGTACCGATGGTCGGGCTTATTCAACAGCAACGTCCGCCCGCTCTATCTAAACTTGGTTGCCATACCCCTCATACCACCTTATAGACTCGAAAACCTCATTGTCCGGTTTGAAGAGCCATCCTCAATGGTTCGATGGGATTCCCCACTTTTTACAGTGCCTTGGAACGAAGAACTACCGACATCTGATATTGCCCAAGCTATCCTAAGTGGGTCTGTCAAACCACCCAATTCGGGCACTATTGCGGTAAACCACCAATCATAACTCTGGCGCCCAAAAAGACTCAAACTTGATCAGGCTGTAAAAGCCCCCACCGACGCCTTGCATGTTATTGAACAGATCGCGACTGCCACCGTTGACGCCATAATCAGCGCTCAAGCTGAGACACAAGGCAGTGGCGGCCTCGTTACTCTCCCGATATCGAGTGAACTGAAACTACCCATTTCTTTGCCCCCGCGGAACCTAACCCTATCGGAGCTTCAACGTCTCAAGCGTCAGTTCGTTACCGTTCACAAGAAAGCCGTTACTCTGGGAACCACCGAAAAAGGCGCCGTAGACTGGACTGAACAGAGTGTAGCCCATAAATTTGTGACGTATCTCGAAGAATATCTAAGGTCATAGCCTCACCGCACGCCAAAACGACGCATACCTGCAACTATTTTCAGCCCAGTTCCACGAAAAAAAGATTCAAAACATACATATTCACTCGGTCGATGGCTGCTTCCGGCCCTTTCCGGACACCCAAACAAGTTACCGTGAAACCACCTGCTTCAAATCGCGCATTGTACCAAGGAAGTCGAGCAGCCGAACGCCAAAATAAGCAACCTCCTGGCGCCAACACGCGATGAAACTGCGCAACCTCCTCTTCCAGTTCCTTTGATCCTGGAGGAAACCAATCCATGCTGTCCATGACCAAGGACCGCGTTAACGAGGCTTCTGCCAGTCCACGCAAAACACTGGGAGGTTTATCAATGTCAGTCAGGTGCTTGTGGATTGACTTCACTTGACAATGCTATCTGTGTGGAGGCGGAAGGCATCGAGAGCAGCTCCGTCCTTTGATTTGAGAGCTTCGAAACCACGGCGTGTCAGGTATTCGGGACAGGACTCGGCAGTGTAATGTCCGAGCAAGGCCTGCAAAATATTGATCTGAAATGATGGAGTCTAACGGACTGATACCAGCAGATAAAAGTAGTTGTCATTCTTGAAGAGATACGACGAGGCAAGCGGTTCCAACGTGTCGCGCACAAACTCATAAACCGATCCTACAGTTCGTTAGCACGCGGTCAATAGCAAACTTTTAATATACCTTCGTCCAACAACATTCTAGTCTGGTTGACCGGAACGCCCAGTGCGTTCCACAAAAATACCGGATTCCTAACCACAAAGCTGACGACGACAGGATTGAGAAGAACTGGGCGGAGTTTCTGTTGCCATATGTCTTGTTGCTGCTGAAGGTTTTCTGCGTTGCACAACGCTTGAATATCTTTTGTGACGCCAGCCAAGCGAAATATCCAGCTAGCTAGTCGTAGCGCCCACCCACTGTACCCGCGTAGATAGAATGAAGAGGAGAAGGCATTGCTATTGACCCGCCAAAATTGATATGCACTTGAACTGAGATGGGGTGCAAGGACGGTATCGAGTAAACCGCGGAAGTTGGCGTGTTTCCCTGCTCCGAATAGCGCAAAAAAATCATTGTGGTCGAGAGACTTGATTGCCGCCAGTTTGAGCTCGAGGAGATGGCCTTGGCTGGGGGAGACGAATAAGCCACGAGTCGATAAGTAATGCTAACTAACCAAGGATTCATATCGACACAATGAATCTGGATGAGTCTCATCAATCTTTGCAGCGTTGACGGTGGGTCTAGCGTACCCGTTTAATCCCGGCAGTTGCCACGTAATGCAAGGCGTTGTCTCCTGCACTGGTAATAACAAGCATTGAGTCGTCAGAAGACAGCTGAAGGTGCTTCATATCTTCAAACGGATCTTCCTATTACCAATCAGCCGTGTCAGAACAAATGAAAGCGAGAAGGACTCGCCCAAGTGAAAGAATAGATGAAAGTCCTAAATTCCTTGTGCACAGGTTGTTCATAGTAAGGAAGACGCCAATGCTGCACAAAATCCGTCAGAGAAGATAGAGCAGCAGGCATAGAGACAGACACTGTTGACATGATAATGGAAAGAGCTGAATGGTGGGGCAATATCTATAACGGTAGCCTGGAGTGCAAGGGCAGGTTCTCCTATTTGAAGGGAAGGAACGTTTTCTGCCTCTTTGATTGCTTTGAGTGCCACGGGTGAGCAGTTACCGATAGTATTTCCGCCTTCAACTTCAAATGCATGACATGCACTGGCAACATCCACGCAAGAACGCGATCGGCCAAGCCAGATGTAGTATGGACTAATGCAACGATTAGACCAGTAAGATAACAAACAGGAAGACGCTTACATGCGAACGATGAAAGGCACCACGAACTTATTGCGGCCGTTGTAGCTCTTAATCTAAGGCTTGGTGTCAGTGACGGAGCGATATGGGTTGTGATAGCATTACGGTGCCGAATTTGTATTCTAGATACGAGCGACGAGCAGGGCTCAGAGAGACGTGACTGAAGAGATCTGTAAGCAGGTTACTGGGGGAAGAAGAAGTAAAAACTCAACTCGAAGTCAAACCAGACCTGCCAGAACCATCGAGAGAGCCATCCACACTCTTTGCTCACCCCGCCGATGGCTTTCTCGTGCAGTGAAGGATGCTTTCCGGCGGTGTAGAAATCAACAACAGAAAGAAGACCGTTTTGTGGGTCAAGAACGTGGTCAATCCTATCAAGCACAGGATAGAAACTGGGTATCTGTGTGGTTGTGCCAGTGAGACTATGAAAAATATGAAGAAATGGTGAATTACCATGGAAAGGGAATAACTGAGTGAGATAAAGCTGACGCTGCCTTTGGGATCCCGATCGCCAGTCCATTCCGGAAGGCTGAACTCTGCGGCATCCTGGCAGAGAACGGTGACATTCGTCCAACCTCTTGCTGCAAATCTTTTCCTGGCAACTTCGAGCAATGGATTGCAAAGGTCGATGACATAGACGGCATCGAACTGTGAAATGGGGAAAAAGCTGTCCATGAGCTCTATGTTGTAGCCTGTGCCGCCACCGATATCGACCCAAACGAGACGCTTTTCGGGAGATTTGGCCCGCAGGGCTCTGAGGTGAGCGGCAGAAAGGCCCAACATTGTCCGACGACCACGCAAGAGGCCATTTCGTGTGGAATCGTAGACAAGAGCTTGCCCAGCATAAAACTGACGACAAGAAATGTGAGCGAAAATATAAAATAAAAGACCAGGAAAGGGAAACCTCGTCAAGACGACTTTTCTGGTCACGACCTGGGATGGGGCGGATGAAACAGTGCCAGAAGAAGGTCAGATACGGGCGAAGGAGGCCTGAGCGGAGAACATAAAATGCCACAAGGGCTGCAGCGACAAGTAGGGGCACCGAATGAGCCATTGGGGAGTTGGATAGGCCATATTCGTTATTTAATGGTCAACACGCACGAGCCTGGAACGAACGTGCAAAGCAGCAAGAGTAATAATTGACGGCGCGGCAAGAGAAAAAAAGTCTTCTATTTGCAAGGCAAGACAGGGCCGAAGCTCGACATGCTCACAAAGTTATACGCGTTGGTGGTCCCGGTCCGAAATCGAACAGGAGCGTGACCCTGCTGAGTGACAGTTACAAATCCAGCCTCACAAAACCTCGCTTTCTCCATGTTGCACACTGCTCTCGCTCTTTTAGGCACACCGGTTCACCGTAGTATCTTTCCCTATGTCTGGGGAGCAACATTACACGCTGCTAGAATATCCTTGGTCTTTAACAGTCAAATCCGCGCGTCAAAAAGTCAACTTTCTGTTGGCGCCAATTTGATAGGTTATCTCATTATGGTGGGCGTCTCGGGAATTCACGTCCTGAAATTCAATTCTCCTAGTGCTGGGGTGGGTCGCTAGCAGTCCACATGTTGCTCTCCCTTCCACCACCGCATCTGTACACATTCGCACCATGGCTCAACTATGCCGCGGTTCATTTGTTGGTTTCGTCTCTCCTCAGTTATCTCCCTATCGTATGTGCCATCAAACATCTTTGCACCTTCTCAACATCTTCAGCCCGACCCAGCTCACGCAAACGCGCTTCTTTTCCCACTCGATGGACTGTTGCGCACGAATAGCGTTCTCCAAGCAGTTTCGCTGCTCAACCTTTCAAAAAATCTCAACCCTCTACTGTCCGAATCACCCCTTTTTCATTTCATTCTGGGTGCTGCGGCCTCTTCTGGTGGGGGTCTTCTTGGCGGAACGCTGGGAGTATGGACTTCGAATTGGCAGGTTTCGACGCCTCCCCCACTCCGAATTGGAGTCTGGGGGGTTTGGAGCACGCTGGATATTTGGGCTGGAGGAGTTATCGCATGCGTATATGGCCTTTTGACTGCCCACCCCGCGTTTCTCCCTCTTCGAGCCTTGCTCACCTCACAAAAAGCAGCAACAATTCATACTGCCCGAACTTTGTCGGCTGCACTGATGATCGCGTTTTTTGGCCTGCGTGTTCTTGCTACAAGCCCTAAAGCACCCGTCGTGCAGAAGAAACCTGGGCAAAAGGAAAAGACGCAATAATCACCATTCGTAGATCACCAGCGTTGAATTATTCCGTTACGTTGTCTAGTTACAGTAGAAGAGTCCATGCAGTCGTAATCATTCGAAAGGATTTGTGCGTCCAGACTGAGAAGATTTGAGATTAGCACGAGTATGTGGAGTGGAGCAAAATGAACCAGACCTGGTTGTTCCCGCCTCTGTCAGGCCCTTCGCTCAGTCCACATAACCACTCATGCCACCATCGACTCTCTTTCGGCTCGGGTTCTGGATCGGGAGGCGGCGTTAATGAAGGCGGTGGAGCACGTGGGGGAGGGAGGCCCAAAGGTTTGGGGCTTGGAGGACGTCGTATTGACGAGGAAGCACTCAGCAAAGCGGGTCGTTTGGGAGGTGAAGTAGGAGTAGAAGTAGAAGTAGAGGCGGGAGTTAGTGATTCGGCATGAGCATCACTGAACGGATTTGAAGGTTCAGAATGCGTGGGAGATGGTGTCGGGGTCGCCGCAATGTCGTCAAGAGGGACAATATCAATGTTTTCTTGTGAACTCAGGACGGCGTGAGTCCCCCGACCCAAGTCATCGCTGGCTCGTTTTGGCCTGCCACCACCACCGCTGAATAATATGCTTGCTCGCCGAACAGCATTTGAGAGCAACGACCCAGACCCATCTGCCGTGACCGACTCCCGAGCTGCCTTCCGCTTAGCCCGTTCCGCTAGTTCCCAACGTCGTAGATTCTGGATTATTGCTTAAATTCTTGAAGGATAATAGCAGACTGAAGACAAATTACCTCCTCTATTTGACGCGTCTCCGTCTCGTCATCCGTGGTGGGTGGGTACTCTTGTGGTTGATCATTAGAATATGTTTCCCGCGCTTTGCCTTTGCTCGATGGATCCAGGTGTTGTACTTCAGCTTCTTCGTCAGACCAGCGGTGAGCCCCAGAGAGATCTTGTTCGTGGTCAGGTGAACGAGGTGAATGGTGGGCAACGTCCGACATGGAGGAACGCAAGAAGGAGGTGATGTCATGCCATCAAATGGAATATTAAATACAATATTCGTCCGTGGTATAAAGGTTTAGCGTAGCTACTATACTGTCTGTCTCTAGAATCGACCTGGGTCTACCCTCCTCGTCGTCGTTGTAGGCTGCATCATCATCCCTTCGTCATACTCGGAGCTATCGTCGGCCATGTAATTGCGCAGTCCAGACCCCTTTGGTGCGGTATGTTGGAGAATTGGCGCTTCATCCAAAGGAAGCCCATCCCGACTATACATAGTGCTGCGGACACTCTCGCTACCATTTCCAGGCAAGGCTACTTGTCGCATTTGGAGAAGATTTTGGTGGAAAGCATTCTGCCAACCCTTCAGTTATGCTGCGCTTCTAGCCAAGCTTGATTTACCTGCTCGCGCCAATATTGCATTCGTTTCTCTCGCTCGGCATCACGTTGTCGACGATGGAGAGAGAAGAGACCAAACAGAGTTCCAAAAATACCGCCAACGATACCGATGGCAACCACGGCATATACCCAGGTGCCGACGTGGTTCGGCAGTGAGGTATCAATACCACAAGTACCACTGCCTAGGCAATTCCAAGAGCCACATCTATCATTCAAATTAGGTTATGAAATTCGTTGAATAAAAGAAACCTACTCCTTGTCCGCAGAACATGCAGCCCCAAATGCCTTCTCCGCCATGCATTGTTTTGAAGAGGTATCACAGTAAAATCCAATGACACAGTCTCCTCTGAACCTGCAATGAGAACGAGAGGGGAGGGACAAGACAAACTGACCGTGAGACAATATCGATGAATTCACCAGCAGCCCCGTAAGCAATGTACGGCGTGTTTTCAACAGTGCACGTCTGACCAGCTGTTTTGTTTGCCCACCTATACGGCATTAAGAAGCTAGGATAACCTAGAAATCCAAGGACGTACATGCAAATGTTGTTCAAGCAGACCGCCCCATTGAAGTTACGCCCGCGGTTTGTGGTATCGCGAAGGTCTTTAGAATTGGAAGGTGCTTCGCATTGATCTATAGGTTGAGTGAGAGAAGTTCTCCATGGCACCAAGCTTTGGTTCACGCACCGTCGCGATTAAGCTGACATGGGCTATTGACAGCAAGCAGTGGTTGGCACGCATCGGCCTCGTCGGGACAGAATTGGCCAGTTGGACATTTGTCCGGCAAATGGGAGCCGGGGTTGTAGCCAAAGGGGAAGTCATCTTTCCGACAACCTTTGAGGAGGCAAGTCCCATTGGCGGCGCAGTATGTGACCGAGTTGCAATCGCTAAAGAATTGAAAACTGCCTTGTTGGAGTCTGTTGTCGTTTGTGGTACAATTATCGCCTTTATTTGCGCTCCCGGCGTTGACGAGAACGGTATAGGAAAGGAAAATGAGCGTGAGCGGGATCATGGCCGCCTGGAAGAAAGACTGTCACACCCCGTTACGCCATGACGATTAACCTAAGAGAATTACATCACGATGCAGCCCTCGTCCTCCCGCTCAAGCCGCCTCGTAATCTCGTCCGGTCCAACCCCACCACCGCTTCCTCCGATTTGAACAATTAATACCCCAGCGTTGCGGGGGTCCAGCTCAGCAGCCAATCGGTGTCTGTAAGATGTCAGGAACAAACTTGAAGGTATCAGTTCTAACGAACTTTTGCATCCTGGAGCGTAGTGAGGGTTAGAAGAGAAAAATCTTAGGGAAACATCCAACGCACAAGTCTTCAATTGCTGGCTTCAGTTTGGCGGCATGGCCCTGTGAATGTAAGCCTTTACCGACAATGAGCCTCAGCTCTCTTTCTCCTTTCCTCTTTGCGTCTTCCATCGCCCGGTCTGAGCGCTCTATAGCCTCGCGCACGTAAAGTCCATGTAGATCCACTTCTCCGGGTTCACTGTCCTATGCGATGTCGACCAATCACATTCCATTCCAGTGAAAAGCATCATACCTTGTTGTTCTCTAGAAATATCTTCAGAAGATGACCCCATGAAGGCACACTCGCTCCTTACCAATAAATATCCAGTTTGCCGCCTGCTCGTTGAGTTGTTTCATTTTAGCCTGGTGGGCTTTACCCTCGTTTGAGAGCTGTTTAGCACGAGCACCGTCGCCTGATTCGTATGCCTGGCGGCTTTCCGAAAAGCAACGCCCCATTTGGTCCCCCTCTTTGTTTGCGTCAGCCCGGAGGGCCATGTAATGGGGGTCATGTTGGTTAGCTTGGTTGGCGTCGAATTGAGGACGTGTTGGCGGCTTGTGTTTATGGTGGTCAGTAGGTGGAGGTTGTTGCCATGCTCCCTGTGGCGCCGCCTGTGGTTGTTCTGGCTTGTGAGCTTGCTGGTATTGCTGTTGTTGTGGTGGTTTGGTTTGGAGTTGCTGAAAACATGATTCGCTTCAAAACGTGATATAGCAGGAAGAAGCGAACGGTGTCTTCAGGTTGACTACTAGGAGACTGCAATGCTTAGCGCCCGCAGTCCTCAAAGATTGGTCTTACGCCGCAAAGGAATTTGAAAAGACTTGTGAGCAGAGAAACGAGGGACATGTTGGGTGGCACCAACAAGTTACAACAAGATCAAACTCCAAAACGCCCCATAAATTATCGACACAAAAACCATTCAGTACTTTACTTGTAAAGAGCGAACCCTATATCTCGAGTCCCACCAGGACAAACGCGGGGTCGACTTTGAACGGCGGCTTAGTAACAACGCTCCCCCCAATATACATGAGGGAATGGAGAATGTTGCCAAGCGCAGGCGAAGACCGCTCCAAGACGATAACAAGCGCAGAACAACCCAGACTTTCATCGGCAAGATCAAGGAGTGCGACGATGCTAAGCCAAGGATAAGTGGAAAGGCTATGGGGTTATGTAAGGATAAGTACCTTTCTCTGATGCTGATGGAGTGTGCGCTTTTGCCGTCCACATAAAGAGTCTTGGGAGCTCCAGGAAGACTGAGTACGACGCCATCAAAGGCGGCACCCAGATTGGGAGCAGAGATGGAGACACTCTGGCTATGGGGCAGCGCGGTCAATCCATTATGCGGAAAGACTGTCATGAGAAAGTCAAGACCATCGTTTTGGCGCTTATTTGAAATTGAGGGTGGGCTTGCGTTGTCAGGAGTTAGTGGGGGGGTAGAGAGGTCGGAGGAGGGGGTTGATGTGTCTTTTCGAGAGAGAGGAATGGGGCGGGGAGCGGAATGAAAGAACGACGCCGGATTGCCTGTCACACAATCCGACGACCCTCGGTCGGGAGGGCATTTCTGCTTAGGAACGTCAAAAGCGCCACCCGGGACCGCCAGAGAAGGTAGTCGAGTAGTAGTACATATCGCTGGTGCCCTGGAGCTGGCAAACAGCCAGGACACTTGGCTCGTTGTCGAAAGTGAAGGCAGCCCCATCCCCAACGGCTTGACGGCCGTTGCTATCTATTTGTAAGCCAAACAAGTTCAGAAATTACTGGAAACATACGTGGGGCGTATACTAGAGAGATTGGGTTTTTTCGTAAAATTCGCCATGTAGTTGTTCTGCCAGTGGTCTCGGAAAGGTGGTGGTGGAGTACAAGCGCTGTTGTGCTGACTAAAATTGATCGCAAATTTTCATCAGCTTTCCTTGTCGTCTTCCTCGTACTTTCGACACTAACCCGTACGCCGTCTAGCCCTTTCTCGCGCCAAACGCTGACTATAGATGTCCCCTTCCCCTCTGCCACCCTTTTTCTTTCCAAACTCGCTGATTTGGTGTGGATTCGTCGCTATCTTTTGGATGTCACAGCAACAGCAATGGCCGATTCAGGACGTGGTCGCGGTGGATTTGGACGCGGACGTGGTGAACGTGGTCGGGGTCGCCGGGGTCCCCGTAGAGGAGGCCGCAAAGATGAAGAGAAAGAATGGCAGCCTGTCACCAAACTCGGTCGTCTCGTCAAGGATGGCAAAATCAAGTCCATCGAGGAAATCTACCTCTTTTCTCTACCAGTCAAGGAGTACCAGATCATCGATTTCTTCCTCCCCAAGCTCAAGGACGAGGTCATGAAGATTATGCCCGTTCAAAAGCAGACCCAGGCTGGTCAGCGTACTCGTTTCAAGGCTTTCGTCGCCATTGGTGACTTCGAGGGTCACGTCGGTCTTGGTGTAAAATGCGCCAAAGAAGTAGCCACCGCCATTCGTGGGGCCATCATCCTCGCTAAACTTTCCGTCATTCCCGTCCGTCGTGGTTATTGGGGTGCTGCTCTTGGTGAGCCCCATACCGTGCCTTCCAAAGTGTCAGGCAAGGTTGGCTCTGTCATGTGTCGTCTTATTCCCGCCCCTCGGGGAACTGGTATCGTGGCTGCCCCCGCTTCCAAGCGTCTTCTCCAACTTGCTGGTGTTGAAGACTGCTACACACAAGCCAAGGGTTCAACTGCTACGATGGGTAACTTCTTAAAAGCAACTTTCGCTGCAGTACGTCCTGAGCTAGAGTTCCTTTTTTCTATTCGCTTATTGGGAGTATAGATTACCAAGACCTACGCCTTCCTCACCCCCGATCTGTGGCGAGAAATTCCGGTCTCGAAACTGCCCTACGACGAATACAGCGCCCATCTGCAGATTTCAGCGAAGAAAGCAGCCTATTAGTTGTAGTTTGTTGTTGTGTTTTCTCTTCTCTCCACAAAATAAAACATTTCGACGCCGTCACGTGTTTCGATCAGGTTGCTTCCGTTTCCCTCCTTCCACAATGCTTGCGCAACCTCCTCGCCCAGTTCGTAACTCGCCGGCTACTCGCACTCGACGACACGCTGTTTGCATTTTCCCCTCCCGTGTTCAAGTTCGAGAATCAACCAAGTCAACGATGTTACCGTACTATCATAGCCCTCAAGCCTCGCCATTGATCGAGTCTCCTCCTGCTCCTTTTCCTCAATCGCTTGGGCCTCTTCCACTTCCACCCATGTATTCTCAGGATAGTACCAGCAGCGCTGGCTCCACCCCCCAGGCAACATATGCGGAAACCGACTCTGATGTGTCTTCTATCTGCGAGTTTGACTTTCCCAACCCACCTGGAATGCCTGCCGTCCGACGAATGCAAAGTTCTCCCCTTTTCACTGTCGAGGAAACCGACGCTGTTCGTGACTTTCTCCGCCGTCGCTGGGCCAAATCTACGCCACACCAACAACCAGTATTGGGTCATGAACGCCACTCCGACTTTTCTTGGAATGCCGAGTCGCCAAACTGCAATGCAGCATCTCCCGAGTTTGAGCAACTCGCCCAGGCCGGCGAGGCTCTCATGAATGCTGCCGTTGTGACTTCGCGGAGAGAGACTCCAATCACTGGCACTCCAGTCCGTGTTCTCCGCCGCGCGACTAGCATGGCCACACCACTTTCGCCCACGCTTGAAACCGCCCCGCCACTTCCTCAGTCGCGCTCTTTGCGTTTCCAAAATATTCCACCGCCCTCTCTTGCCACTGCTGGTCGCCAGAAGCCCCGTCACCGTCCAAACCTCTCGATGCCCGTCACAGGAATGGGGTTGCCGCCATCCAATAGCAGTCCAGCTGCGCTGGGCCACTCTTTCACACATCGTCCTGCTCTCAGTCAGCCTATCAACACCTTTCCCCCAGTTGCAGACCCGCGTTCATTCATTGATCTCAGTCCCGACCGTCAGGGTGAGCAATCGGCAGGACAAAAGGCATCTCGCAAACGCGTCACCCGTCTACTGGCACGGGCCAAGAGTACTCTTATTGAATGGAGCAAGGGTCTTGCAGGCAAGAAGGAAGGGCACTAGCCTTCTCTCTTCTCTGTCTCAGTATCTCGTTTTGTACTTCGTATTATCAGGGCTTCGCCACACAAATGGGAATGTAAGAATAATGGTCAGGGTCATACCGATCGAACGAATGGAGAAACCAATAAAGGACACTGTGTGCCTGCCCTGAACTTTCCACTCAAATAAGGTCGCGTCAGAACCCTGCAAATAGATTCAGCGCGTGAAAAAAAGGGGGAGGAGTTCAACGCACACGTTGTGTTTCGTGATTTGGTCCGCTTCCGTGAAGACAAAGTTAGTCAACATGATGTAATAAAATATCTTGATCTCAATGAGGGCGAAACGGAGGCCAGGGCATGCCTGACAAGATTGAGCAAACAATGGCGTGAAGCTGACGAAGCGCCCACTCGGGGTCCAGCTGAAAAACTGAGGAGGCTCGAATAATGCCACGGATATCTTTGGACAGCTTGAGGAAGCTTGTCCCATCGATCAGGACTGATAGGTTGAGGATGAGTTGCAGTGAAAGAGGAAGAAAGAAAGCTTACTTGAACTCCCAGGCATCGTCGCCCCAAACACTCTTGTCAAGGTTGAAGGACTCTAATGAGACGTGGACAACTGTGTTCTTGGGTATCGTAAAACTGTGCTTGTCCTGGCCATCGTTCGTTCGAATAGGATGAAGTGTTGGGATCTCGTCCGTCCGCGTTGCCACTCTCAGGGTGGAATGCAGCGGAGGAATTAGTCGCAAGGACTCTCGTGTCACATTATTCAGTAACGGGAGTGCAGAGACGACATTGTAAAGGGATTGAATTTGGTCGGGGGAGAAGTCGGAAAAAGAGGCCGGAAACTGGCTTGCGACCGAAAGTAGTTCATCTCGAAGCCGAGCTTGAACAATGGGGTTCTGAGCGAGCAATAAGAGCGTCCAGGTCATTGATAAGCTGGAAGTATCCGAGCCCGCAAACATGAATGTGTTGATATTATGCAGTATATCTTCGTCAGAGAGTCTCTGCTCGAATGGAACCTCATGAGACGCATTGGATTTCACTGTGCAACCGAAAAGTCAACGCAAGGCAGCGAGAACAGTAGAAAACGAACGCAGCAAGGTTAAAAGGTCTTTCCCATCATATGGATCGCCACTTAGCTCCCCGGCCTCTATCTTCTGCTTCTTTTCCTGGATAAGCCGCCCGGCTACGCGTCTGATCACTCGTTGTGATCGCTGTACTGTTCGAACCGTTTCGTCCGCCTACAAAGAGTCGCATTTGAGATACAGCATGTCACTCGAAAGTAACTCACGAAAAGTTTATTGATTGAGGGCAAGTAAATTGAAAGTAGGGTGCGAAATGGACCACCTTGCGAGATAAAGACCTCGAAGGCGTTTCTGTAAGCGAGGAATAGTTCGTTCGTTTCGTCGTGAATAGCATTAAAGGTGTAATCGAACCCTAAAACACTGAATCAACGCGGGAGAAGCGAAGAAAGCCGGGTGAATCACCTGCGAGGCCAATGATGTCAAACGTCGCGCGACTGAGGAACTGGCAAACATCGATTTTGGCTTCGCCCCCCGAGGTCATATTTTCCCAGACGTCTTTGAGCTGCACTCCCTTTTTGAAGACGATGTCGACGAGAGTTTGCATGTTTTGTCCAGAAAAGGCAGGCATAGCGACGCGACGTTGGCGCCGGTGCATTTGACCCTCGGCAGAGAGCATTCCACAGCCAATGATGCTCGTGATGAGAGTCCGTGACTCCCAGGGTTTCTCATAGGTGGTCGTGTCTTTCATTATGTGGGAGAGGGCAACAGGGTCGAGGATAAGAACACGCTCGTCCCAAGGAAAAAATCCTCGTATTTTGACAGCTCGTCCATATCGCTGAATGAAGAGCTCGTAGACTCTTGGTGTTACGGAGGGACTGCATACCATGAGCTGCGATTCAGGAGGAAAACAGCAACCCACTTCAAAACATGCTCAAGATGATTCCCAAACCATTGCGAGACAGGCGGCCCCCGCAGCTGGTTCAGCACATTAAAAAATCGGGCAATAATCAGGCGGTAAAGCACGAATAGGATGAGAGCCGCAAGTGGGGAGAGGGCAAAGAGGAGCAGGAGCATGAGGGATGTGGTCCGAAACGTTGCGGCATTGGATATATGAGACGAGGACAAGGTCTATTGTTAAAGCGCGATCGGTCACCGTCACATGGCACGTGGCACCGCTGGAAACGCGTCGATCAAATCTTCCACCACACTTGGCGTTGTCTCGAGCGTCGTTGAGCTAGCGCCAGTCACCAACAGGGTCACCGGTGCCCAAGAAACCAGCCGTCCCTTCTCCATTTCCATGCTCTCTGCCCTTGCCCTCTTCACCTCATACACAACAACCTCCTCTTCTTCATACTCATCAACGTCACTCAGGATGGTGCTCATCGTGGTAACGGACGAGTTGTTGGAGCATTGGAAACCATCCAGTGTCAGCGTTGTCTCTTGAGTTGATGTTGACGCATCTGATCCCTGCCGAGCGCGATTCCGAACTACATGACCCCGTTTTCCAACACTCTCCATTCCCGCTTGAAGCGCCAGCATAGTAGTCACATCTTCCTCACAGCCAGCAAAGAACGGAGCGCAGCATCTCTCGTCTCCAAAAGCGATATCGAGTGCGCAAGCGATGTCCATTTCTTCACGCTGAAGTCTTTGCTCGAATTGTTTCATGATGTTGGACAACTCAGTGCTTGCTGGACTGGACTGGTCGAGAGTTAAAGATAGCGAGTACTTGAGATCTGGCGAGGTTGGTTCCTGTTGTTGCGGTGTGGCTTCCAGATGTTTGATTGTACCCCAAGACGAGTCGTCAAAGTCTCTCGCCTCGCCAAACGCAAACCGTGGTCGGTTGCGTCGACGCCGCCAAATCCAACAGCCGGAGCCAATAACCAGTAGAAGCACGACGAGTCCAAACAGCGCAGTAGTAATGATGAATGCAAGCTCCTTTTGAGTGAATGTTGTCGGGCTAGTTGGTTGGGAAAATGACGGTATAGTCTGAGCAATTTGACTGGCTCGCAGAATGGGTCCTTCAGGGACAGATGGATAGATGGGTTCTTCGATAGTGTCGGTAATCGCTGGTGGGGCAGAGAGAGCGAGCATAGTCAAGATCAAGTTGGCTACCTGTCATTACGATGCCAAAAACAAGTTTACACTAAGGCTACAAAAACGTGACGGCGATACAGTTCAAGAGGTTCAATCTGATTTGGAGCTACCTCGCTCAAACATACTGCGAATATTGACCAGCTCTTTCTCCCAACGGTTGAAGTCTGCCTTGAGCCTCATAGTCTCTTCGGCGCTCAACACCTCAATGTCAACCTCCGAGTCCGAATGCCCATCTCTCAAACTCTCCAGTTTGCTCTGTTGTGCATAAAGCTGTTGGTAGCTCGACAGATATTTTCGATAGGTTGCTTTATAACTCGCACGAAGACTGTCTCGATCGGTGCGAGGAGTAGCTGACAGAGCTGGCCGATTGTTTATGGGCTGTGGAGGACGTTGACGGTGTGATGTTGTTGACGGTGGAGTTGGAAGGGGGGTCTCCTTCCGCGAAGGAGGTTCTCCTTCATCTTCAGAAGAGGTATATATGGGCGAACGGCGATCTCGTCGTTTCGGCTGGCTTGTCTGGCTTGAGCGATGCGAGCCTGCCTTACTTGTTGACGTCGACTCAGACTGACTTCGAATTGAAGTAGATGGTGCAGTTATAGGTGGTCGGGAGGTAGGTAAGGAAGGCCGGGTAGGAGGGACAGTCGCACTTTCGTATTTGGATTTATGAGAGGGCCGGGCGAGAGATGAATCAGCTTTGCTTGGTTTGCTTGTAGTGGAAACATCGGGTTTCTTGGGCAAAGAAAGATCTCGTTGCATGGGGGGAGGAGGCTCCGTTTTACGACGCTTGGCTTGTGCCGGAGCACTAGCACCATCGATTGGCTTCTTACGTTTCAACGAATCCTTCACCTCGATTTCATCATCAGGCGCCTTTGTTTTGACTCGTGTAATTGCCTTCTTGTCCTCAACGGCCTTCGTGGATGAGACTTCTCGGCGTGGATCAACTGGTTTTGGTCGCATAGAGGAAGATGGGAGCGAAATGTCGACACCAGCAGTCTTCGACGCTTTGAAACCAGAACCAGGCTCTTTCTGCATGCGTTGTTCGACTTTTGGGGTTGTAGATGGACCCGGCATTGTCTGATCTCGTATCATCATCTCGGCCTTCGGGTTTGCTTTTGGCTTCATCTTCTTCTCCTTGGCCTCTTTAGAAGACAACCCCCGCTTTGGAGGATCAACTTTAGAAACCGCAGTTATTGTAGAGGTTTCGCCGTTGCGGAATCGCACATGCACCCAGACTGGGTCAGTGTCTGGGATGTTGAGATTACCAAAAGCAAATCGGGCAGTTCGAGCAATGTGCTCCGTGACCTCTTTTGGTAAGTCATGCCATTCATACGGCCGTACCTCGGTCCATATTCTGGGCTTGAGACGCCAAAGAGTGATAGAGTTGGCCGGGGTGTGCTGCTCAGCTATCTGGTATTTTGATGAGACATTCAAGTACTACGAGTCCCAAAAGATCAACTCACTTGGTCCAGAAGTGTTTGGAGGGTTTTTCGCGGAATTGCCGGGCTGGCATCACTAGAGAACATATTAAAGAGCTCATCATTGCCCCGTTCTTTGCTTGCAAGAGCTTTGATTAACGCTACCCGTTGTAGCGGTGTTACGGATGGTGGGGGTAGAGGGGATGGGACACGAGTTGGCACAGAAGATCGAGGAACGGGCTTTTTAGGAGGACCATTCTTCTTCTTTCGACTTGCTTGCGTGACATCTGGAGGCGGAGCGTTGAGGATGATTGTTGCTCGCTCTGAACGTGACTTCTCCATGTTCTGGGTTGCGGAGCGAATTTCATTCTGAACAGTGTTCAAATCACGTTCAACGGTGAATTTCCCGGTGATGTTTGCATATAGTTTCAGAGGAGCCAGTGGCTTCGCAGCAGATGGGGCCCGAAGGTAAAGGTCGTGGTGAGAGTTCTCCTTCATAGCACGCATAGGAAAGGTGGTGTCGCCAATGATGATACCCTTGGAACACATTTAGAATCTATGGTATGATTCTAGAGGGACAAACACGTACTGGTTTTGGCCCAAAAGAAAACTGCATTCGAGGATTGGCTTGGAGAGCATTGAGAACTTCCGTGGACATCCGAACTATCATCGCTTGTTTGGCATGGGGCTCGCTCGGACGGTGGATAGTGAGCTTGACATCAGCAGGAAGCGACATCGTTCGAGCAGAGAGTCAGAGACGCTGCTGCTCTGTTGGTGGTTGCGGAATGAGTGGCAATTGTGATCACTGATCGTACATAAGCCCTTATGCCCTTTTGGAGCAAGTACTCTGACTCTGACTCTGGCGCATAGGCACATCCACGAATTTCCCTCACAACGATTTGCGGAGCATCTAAGTAGTGCAGAGAGCTTGCCAATAAAAATACTCGACATGATCAAAAATAAAATAGAGCGCGTTGGCCAGGCTACAATGCAGGCGATAATGCAAAGCATTTCATCTTGCGGACTATAGCTGACTTGTTTAGCTTGAACTCTATAAAGTCTATTAAAATCATATGAGTCTTCATGTGTGTGTGTGTGTGTGGATGCCGAACCCAGGCAAGTCGCCGATCAATGATTATTGATGGCCGAGTGTCACAGCGTGTGTGACTGCATAGTAGACTTGATCTCTTCCCTCAAAACACCAAAATGGTGAGTTCGACGCGCATGGCCTATTGTCGCGAAAATTGAGATATGACAGGCCGACCAAAAGACTACGCCCACGAACCCCATGAAAGACCTCAAGATCGACAAGCTGGTCATCAGTGCGTTATTGTCAAGTGCATCTTGTTTGGTATTGAGATAGTACCAGACATCTCGGTGGGCGAGTCTGGTGACAGACTTACGCGGGCATCCAAGGTGCTGGAGCAGCTTACTGGCCAAACGCCAGTGACGTCCAAAGCTCGTTACACCGTCCGTACCTTCAGCATTCGTCGTAACGAGAAAATCGCTGTCCATGTCACGATCCGGGGTCCGAAAGCAGAGGAAATTCTTGAGCGTGGTCTCAAGGTCAAAGAATACGAGCTGCGTCGACGCAACTTCTCCGATACTGGCAACTTCGGTTTCGGTATCCAAGAACACATTGACTTGGGTGCTCGTTATGACCCTGGCATTGGTATCTTTGGAATGGACTTCTACGTTGTCATGGGTCGTCCTGGGGCTCGTGTGGCCAAGAGAAGACAACAAAAAGCCCGCATTGGCTTCCAGCACCGAGTCAAGAAGGACGACACTATGGCCTGGTTCAAGTCGCGCTTCGAAGGCATCATCCTCGTAAGGTTTTTTTTCTTTGTCTTCTCAATCGGATGCTAACAAGACTCAGAAATAAATGCATTCGTTGTCGTATATATGTTATGCTAGTCCATGAAATGCACATGTTCCTTCTTTGACTTCGTACTGTAAATTATCAGCCATCACCCGAGTCACACCCCTTGAACAAATTTCTTGAACCGACCATGTCCCGCTTTTTCAGACATGCAGGCGACTCTGACTCTGATTCTTCGAGCGATGCAGAGGAGGAGATGTCCTCAACCGACGACGAATCCGGCTCTGACGATTCCCCTGCTGCCGCTAAAGCACCGGCCCCACGAAACAACATGGATCGGTTTTTGGTTGGCGCTGGCGGGTCTTCAGACAGCGACACATCGGATAGCGACTCTTCAGATGACGACGGGAATGATGGAGAAGACAGCGACGATGACCAGCCAGTTCGCATTTTAAGTGCCCATGAAAAACGCATGGCAGAGATGGAGGCTACAGGAAAAGTTATGGACAACGCCCTCAAAATCAACGACTGGGTAGCAATATCTAACGGTGCGCTATTTGAGCTACTTTATCGAGCATTGCCCTCAACAATGAGCGTAGAATTTGACAAGCTTGTTCGCATGATCCAACGCCAAAGCAATGTCGCAGAACCCATTCCCCCCTTCTTCCTTCGCACTCTGGGTAGTCTGGAAGAATCAGTGAATACATCTCTGGCGAAAGAAAAAGAGGCCAAGAAGAAAACCAATGCAACAAACGCCAAAGCGCTCACCGCGATGAAACAAAAAATCAAAAAGGCTCTCAGAGACTACGAGACAGATGTCAACAAGTTCAATGCTGTTGGTCGATATCCTCACCGAAATTGCTTACTGATCTATGTGTAGGACCCAGAAGCCTTCCAGTCGGAATATAATGCCTTGGTAGCACAACATGCTCCCGCTGTACCTGCTCCTGGCGCTACCGTGCGAACTACGACTGTCGACGAAGGTGATGGCCCCGAATTCCAGAATGTGGGCCGAGGCGGTCGAGCGTTGCAGTACTCTGCAGATGTCATCCTCAAAACTCTACAAGCCGTACAAGAGGCGCGAGGTAAAAAGGTATGTTGTTTTCACGGCTCTTGTCCTCTGATTGACTCCCCAGCTTAGAACACCGACCGGGCTGAACAAATACGCATACTGGAGAAACTGTTAGAGGTTGCTGTCACGCCTTATCAACGTCTGCGAGTGCTGCTTGCGCTCGTATCCTCCCGCTTTGACTACAACTCTTCCGTCGCGTCTCATATGTCTATTGATCTCTGGCTTTCTGCTCAGAAGGAGGTGGACCAACTGATAACCATTGTCACTTCGAATCCTGCCTATTCTGTTCAAGAGATCACAGAAGACTACGATGAGTTGAAAGAACGCTTCCCTGAAGATCCTGAGGAGCAAGGGGGAATTGTTCGTATCCGGGGCAGCATCATCAGTTTCGTGGACAGGTTGGACGACGAGTTCACCAAGAGTTTGCAAAACATTGACCCACACGGCACGGAATATATCGACCGACTAAAGGACGAGCAGGTTCTCTATTGCACTATCTCCCGCGCGCAGGCATTTTACGAGCGGACGAAGCAAGACGATCCTTTGAGCAGAGTTGTGATGCGGCGGCTAGAGCACATTTACTCCAAGGTATTTGGTTCCAGTCATTCCACGTCGAAAGGCTAATCAACTCCTCTTGTAGCCAGACGCTGTTGTTCAAGCTCTCGAAACAACGGCGGAAACGTCACAGTTGAAGCCCGCTATGAGTCTCACGAGTCTAGGCACGACCTCCAGCCTAATTCACGCTCTCTGCGTCTACTTGTACAAATTTGGCAATTCCCTTCTCCGCACGAGAGCCATGCTCAGTCACATCTACCACCACGCACTCCACAATGACTTTCACACGGCACGGGACATGCTGTTGATGTCGCATTTGCAGGAGTCGATCCACTCGGCCGATGTTGCTACTCAAATCCTCTATAACAGGACCGTTGTTCAACTCGGCCTTTGTGCCTTCCGATGCGGCTTAATTAAGGAAGCTCAAGCGACATTGCAGGAGATCTTTACGACCCAAAGAGTCAAAGAATTACTGGCCCAAGGCGTGCATGCTACGCGGTATCAAGTGTTGACTCCTGAGCAAGAAAAAGCCGAGAAACAGCGGCAACTCCCCTTCCACATGCATATCAACACCGAGCTGCTTGAAGCCGCATTCTTAGTTTCGAGTATGCTGGTCGAGATACCGTTACTGGCGAGCATTGACTCGGAGGAGCTCAAACGGAAAGCCATCTCCAAGCCCTTCCGTCGGCTACTCGATTTTGCAGACCGTCAAGTCTTTACCGGCCCTCCAGAAAGCACAAGGGATCATATAATGCAAGCGAGTAAGGCACTCCAGGATGGCGATTGGGAACATTGCCGCGATCTCATCCAGAGCATCAAAATATGGAGTCTGATGCCTGAGGCCGCGACAGTCAAGGAAATGCTTGCCAAGTATGAAAAATGCGTGAACCAAAGCTAGATCTCTGCTAAAGTATATTCACAGACGCATCCAAGAGCAAGGGCTGCGGACGTATCTCTTCACCTATGCCCCTCATTACAGCACCCTCTCGCTCTCGCTGCTGTCGAGGACATTCTCGCTACCATTGCGTGCGGTGACTTCGGTTGTCTCCAAGATGATCTGGAACGAGGAGTTGTCTGCCTCGCTTGACCAGTCGACTGGTGTTGTTGTATTCCACCGTATCGACCTTTCTCGCACGCAGCAGTTGGCTCAGACGATAGCGGACAAGGTTGGTGCCATGGCCGAGCAAAACGAAAAAGCACTCGACATCAAAATGGGTGGTGTTGGCGGGTGGAATGACCGTGCGGACGGAAATAAGGGCGAGAAACGGGAACAGACTCAAGAAAGACGTGGTCGTGGAGAACGGACAAGAGGGACAAGGGGTCAGTGCTTACTCTCTTATGAACAATGTTTGCTGACTGATCTCTTCAGGTGGTGCAAGAGGGAGAGGTACTCGCTTCGCACAAGGCCTTGGAAATGAAATGCCGTCAAGGACAGGCTAGAAAATTTGCTATTTGTACTTGTCCATTCTATGGTGTATCTAATCGCTTTCTTCGAACCCGCCGCCTGCAGTCCAATCGGAAACCTCCAGCTTCTCGTTTTTAACCGATTCTGTGCTAAATTGAGCCCAAAACTAGTAGACAAGCACAAATGACATACCACCTGGATCGACTTCGTAGCCGGGCTGGGTGATACAACGGACAAGCTCGGCCTTTGCACCGACCTTGGTGTTTTTGCCCAGAATGCAGCCTTCTAACTTGGCCCTGACGAATGTCAAGCGACTTGAAGCAAAAAAAAAGACCAAGGACAACACATACCCGTCCTCGACAACGCAATGATCGAAAAGAACGCAACCAACGATCTTGGCCATTTTTCCTATTGAGCAATGGCGACCGATGACCGATTTCTTGACATTGGCGCGCTCGTCAATCTTGGTCGAATCACCAACGATGGTGTCGGTCGATATCTGGGCTTTCTGGTCAATCAGTGCACGGTCTGTTGGATCTGTTGGCAACACAAAGGAAGCCTTTTCCAGCAACTGAGCTCATTGAGATGAGGTTTGGTCATGAGAACGAGAAAAGACGACTGACGCGGCGATTCATTTCCATGAAGGTGTGGATGTTGTTCACTCGCGCTGCAACATCAGATACCAAGTGGATCCCGACCCTGAGACTGGGCGTAATCTCATGCGAGGATTCGGAAGTTATTGGAGATTGAGGGGCAGAAGTCGCAGTGCTTTTATTCCTGGGCAAATGGCTTGCTGGGTTCAACTGCGTTGTCGATAACAACGTCGAGTGCTTGAGCGCAACACTCTGTGATGTGTTTGTTGAGGAGTTTAGTGCTATATCATCGCGTCAACGACGTGCGGAAATTCGAGGGAAAGCAGCAAACCAGATTGGTATTTCTGTCTCTTGGTGCGCTGGTACTGCACTTTACACAGCCAAGGCAGGAATTCCTCGCGGAATGAGTCAAAATGACGTTTCTCGTTGAGGAGATCGAGAACAGAGCGCTTGCAGACATAGACATGCGAGTCTTGGAGGTTGGACGACAATGAGGTTTTGGGATACCTGTGGGCTGGCATAAGCCACACCATAAGATAATATGCAAATCAAATTATACCGGGAGAGCATCGACATGGAGAGTTCCAGCTCGTCCGAGTTTTGGTCTTGCTCGTCTGGAGTATCTATATAAAGTAGAGTCCCAGACGGTTTGTCCCAAACGATTGACGCAGTTGGGGCATGGTGGCCCCATTCATCGGGTGTAGTGTTTTTTTCTGACTTTGGGGGTGTAAACCAGCAGGTAGTAGCAATCGACCCATCCGAAGCGGTGTCGGTGCGGAACTTGTTGAGGAGGGTCGACAAAGGAAGCGATGGCGGTGGAATAAAATCGCAAGGCAGCAGTACAAAGTCTCTCGCGATCCGGCTGGAAAAGTGGCGAAGAAGAGTGCATGTTCCGACTCCGGTTTCGGCAGTCTCTTCGTAAGACTGGATGTCGATTCGCACAGAAGAGTGTGGGTGAGAGTGGATATGATGAGAGATCGCGGGTCGATGAATTGCGGGACAGATTACAAGCACATCTGCTTCAGAAGTTAACAACTTGGCGACTAGGCCGAGCATTGCTTGCCTCTGATCCCCGACTCCTCCAGCCACCTTAAGCAGTAGTCTATGATGGGTACATTGGCCAGGGGGAGTAAAGATTTCAAGGATGGCTCGTCGCCATGATCGCTTGTGAGCGGAACAAGTCTACCATCTCATCAAGAAAAATGAAGAGCATGTATAAGGACGCGTACTCGTTGCCGAAGCCGCAAAGGACAATCGCAAGGAACTCTGCAGGCACCAGCTCGAGTTGGATGTCCATAGATGACTCGCTATTTGCCGCGGTCCTGTGACCTGTCACGAAAATCAACCTTCACCCACCACTCGCGTTCCGTCTCCTCCGTTACCCGAATCCGCATTTGGATTACAGGAAATGTTCTCCAAGGGACCGCGATTTCAGCCACAAGCCCCCTCTGATGTGCCGGGGCCAAACTCGTACAATCTGAACCAAGGTTTGCTCTCGTTCAACTACAATGCCACCCCAGGCTTTCTCATTTGGATATAGAATCTCAGCTCACCAACTACAAGCGTGGAGCATTTCTGGAGAAGGCGGAGCGTTTCCGGGATCAACTAGAAGGAGAAGAAGGGGAAGCCAGCTTGCCGCCAGCGCCACAACCAACCGGTGACCGATACGCAACTTTACAACGGAGGGTTGACGACTTAGAGCGGATACACAACGAGGGAAAGAAGGCGGTGAGTGTTCTCACTCAGTTGCTGAATGCAACTGAAGACAAGATAGCATCGAGCCGAAGTTGAGCGACTAAAGCAAGAGCTTGCACGCTCCCAAAAGCAGGCAACACTTCTTGAAACCCGTGTTCAGGACCTCAAAAAGAGCGCAACAACCGACCAGGCCCAGTTAAGAGAACTCCGTGTCAAACTTAAGACAACGGAGACCTCAGTAGATCTCAAGAAAGCACTTAAGGAGGAAACGAGAGGGAAGGACCGGACCATTTCAGAGCTGGAGCAATCGGTGGCTTTGGAGAAGAAGAGGCGCGAAGCGGCGGAGACAGAGTTGAGTCTAATGCGATCTTCAATGGAATCAGACCGCGACTCTTTCCAAAGCCAACTTTGGACACTCCAACTCACGGAATCCACGTTATTGACCCAACTGGAGCAATACCAAGACCTTCTTGCCCGGGTAGCCACAGAATACGCGCATCTCGACTCTACCAGCTTGCCCAAAACTTTGCACGACAGGCTTCGGCACGAGAACGGGTTATTGCAACTGCGAAACTGGCGGCTGGGACGCAGGCTGGCCAATTCGCAAGACCAGATTACAGAGCTCGCAGAGCTCATTCGACAGAAGCAAGACGAAAATGCATTCCTTTCTCGGCAAGTTTCAGATCTCGAGGACGAGTGCCTCTTCCATCGTCAACTTGAGCCGTCACTCACGCTACCAGAACCTTTGTTGGATCCTCTGCGAGACTCGATAACATCTATTGTGGAAGAGCAGTTCCACACTGCCCTTTCCAATAATCGACTATATCAAGCCTCAACATCATTGTTGGCGGACGCATATCGTCTGCTGAGCGAAGAGGCTGTTCTTGGGTATAAACTTGCCGATGCTGAACTCAAGAGGGGAGAGAGTTTATCAAAGACTCTACGAGACGAGGCCAAGCAGGCTCGAGAGGCGCTGCAAATGGAGCAGGAAGCCGCGGCTCAGCAACTTGTGAAGAATGCTGAGATTGAGAATAAAGCGCGTGCTATCGTGGAACGCGCTGAAACGATGTCCCTGGGCGACAGACGAACGATCCAGCAGCTCACAGAGACGGTCAGGAAAGGGAGGATGACCGAAGAGGGACTGCGGAGCGAAATTCAATCGTCGGTCCTTCACATTCAGTAGAGTCGTTTGTTGATATTCCCCCCCCCCCCAGATTAACCTCTGCCGTCGCTGAATCAGAGCAGTTCCAGGCGGCCTATTACAGTCTCTCTGACGAGGTCAAGTCCTTGATCGCTCGAAAGGAACTCGCAGAAGGGGAAGCCGAAAAGCTAAGTAAATTCAACGCCGAAATCCTTAGTGCGTTCCTTTTTCCAGCGTCTGGAGGATATACGCTTAGTTAACTCAATAGGCCATAATAACCCTGCACAGAAGATATTTTACCTGGACCGAGTCCGCAGAGAGCTGGCGGAAACAAAACATGTGAGAAGCCGGAGTTAGTTCTACTGCTCTAAAGCTCAATCCTTGCCAGAAACTCGCACTTGCTGATATTGACCTCCAATCCGCCAAATCGGAAAATGCCGAACTCGTCAGCGAACTGGAAACCTACACAGCCATACCCATGGAAGGCAAGCCTCGAACCGTTGTAACACGTGTGACTCGACCACCACTCTCCATGCTCAATCGAAGCAGCAGACAGCCAGAAATGGAGAATTTCTTGTATACAAAATGATGCCAACAGAACAGATTGATGTACAGTGCAAATAATGATATATCTACGCCGGAATAGTGGAATGGAGGGAGTGGTTGTCGATAGAAATGCTTCGTGTAGCATTGGACGTCTTGTAGATTCCAATTAGTCGGTGGCTCAACTCGAACATGTCGTTTCTGGATTACGTCAGACTCTGAGGAGTGGAAAGGACAAGAATGACAAACCGCAGTGAGATGATAATGAACTGAGCATTCTTTGTCCTGTCTTTGATGTAGTTGGCGACAATAGAGACATTGCGGAAGTCAAGCGCGGCGTCGATCTCGTCCATAAAGTACAGAGGAGTAGGTTTGAACACGTGGAGAGCAAATACGAGAGCCAAAGAACTCAGTGTCTTGAATTTGTGTTGTTAGCAATTCCTTCCAGATCATCATCACACCAACGCACCTTTTCGCCACCAGAGAGATTCGAAATGTTCTTCCAGCTCTTTTTGGGCGGCATGACGCTGAAAATGATCCCCTCTGAGAACGGGTCCATGCTGTCGACGAGTTCCAGCTCTGCGTTGCCTCCAAGCGTGATCATCTAGCCCCCTTGGTCAACAACGAAGCAACCAAGTAACGCCAGTATTACCTGGTACATCTCTTTCAGTTTCAGAGATATAAGGGTGAATCCAGCCATAAATTCGTCCAAACGCCGCTTCCGCAGGCCGTCGTAATTCTGCTTCTCTGCCTCGCGAGCCTTTGTTGTTACCTCGAGCTCGCCAACCCGTTCCAGGAACTGTTTCTGGCGCTCTTTGTATTCCGCGAGCACTTCGAGATCAGGCTTGATCTTCTTGAGTTTTTCTACAAACATTCAAATCACGACAGAAGAAATAGGACCAAGGACATACCATCAAGCAGTTCCACATCGGCCAACATTTCTCTTTGTTTAAACTTGGAGAGCTCATCTGCCTTGTACGAGTGGAGTTCGGTGGACTGTGCAGCTCGTTTCGACGACACTTGTGATTCGTCGCCATCCTCCTCCATCTTGACATCAGTTTCGGTATTGGCTTCTGTAGGAGCCGCCGACTGCGACTTGTTTTCCTCGTCGCCCTCAGGCTCGTCGTCCTCATCATCCTCCCTGGAAAAGTTTGTCACACTAAAGTTCATAGAATACCGGAACGTACTCGATCTCCTCCAATTTGAGAGTCTCCAGTTGTTCCCGCCAATGGTCCACCTTCTCGGTAAACGCATCCCGCTTCTTGATCGCGGCATTCAGATGTTGCTGCAATTCCATCTATTCGGCGAGTCAATGCAAGTAAATCAAGATTTGAAAACGGACTTGTCTCTTTTTGAAGCCTTGTATCAGTTCCTCTTGTTCGTCAAGATCCTGCTTCAGCTGTTCGAGGCGGTCTTTGGCCTCTTCAGCGATCGCTTTTGCTTCATCAACAGCGCCTTGAAGTTTTTCGATGGATTTAACCAAGGCGTCAATTTCCTGCTTCAAAGCATCCGCTTCGCCCTGAGCCTCCTCAAGACTGGTGCTATTCGCGGCCACAGCATTCTCAAGCTTTCCTTGGTCCTTCTCCGCCTTGGTCTTGGCAACCTCGGCCTTGACGATCTCCTGGTTGGCCAGCTCGATATGGAGCTTCAGACCAGACACCTTGGATTTCTGCGCGACGAGTTTCGAGCCACCAATATCGAGAATTTTCTGCTCCAGGCTGGCAATCGCGTCCTTGATTTTCGTGGTCTTCTCCATCAAATCGTCAAGTTCGGACTGCGACTTGTTGATGCTCCCTTCCAGTTGTGCAATGCGTGTGGCAGCATCACCTTTGGACTTGCTTTGAGACCTAGAAGTAATCAGAGAAATTCCAAGAAAAGAAGCGAAAGCATTCACTTGAGGTCAGAAACACGCTTCGTCGCTTCAGAGATGCGGGTTTTGCCAATCTGAATATCCATGCCTAGTTTCTGGAACGTAGTCTCCAATTCAGGGAGTCCTCGTCGTAGTTTTTCTAGGTCGGCTTCAGCAGCCTGAGCGTTGCGCGAAATGGCATCGAGTTGCTTTTCGGCGTCGGCCAGAGTCGCCTCCAAGCCGCGCAAGACTTCGGGACTCACAGCATCAGGAGCGAACTTGGAACTCATAGCGCCACGAGCTTGTTGATTCCCACCTCCCGACATGGCACCCGTGGTTTCAATGAGCTGACCAGAGAGTGTGACAACGCGCCACCTCCGAGCCCCAAAGGCAATTCGATTTGCTTGCTCCATGTTCTCTGCGACAAGCGTATTTCCCAGCGCCTTGAAAAAGGCTTTGGCGAAGCGAGGTTCTTTCACCTTCACAAGGTCAAATAGTCGGGGTACATTCTCCGGAGTTTGGATCTTGTCCATGCCCTCCTCCCTGTACTTTTCCAGCACCATGAACGTCGCGCGACCGAGATTCTGATCGCGAAGGTACTGAATGCAAGCTTGAGCTTGATCAACTTGGTCGACTACCATGTGATGGAGCGTCGGACAGGCTGTAGAAATCGCCACATCGTACTTGTCTGGAATAGTTCCCAAACTTCCTAGTCGTCCCTAAGGAATTGTCAGTATGAGCAACGAGGTTTTTACCAATACCATCACTCACGTGGAAGCCAGAAATACGACCCGTATTCTTGTATCGTGTTAAACCGTCGACAACTTTGTTCTGCGATGTGTTTTCGGCCGCGGAGTGTCTGGCTTCGGCTACCTTTTGGCGGGCAGCTGAGACTTTATTCCGCCATTCTTGTATGCTATGTTGAGCGGTCTTGTGAATTTAGCATTTTGTTCTAACATAAAAAAAGGAACTAACTTGAAATGTTTTCTCTGCATCCGCGATCGCACTTTGTTGTTCTTTCTTGTCCGATTTAAGCTTTTCAAGTTGAGTTGCCTGTTGGATGGTGAGGATCACGTTGGCAGATCAAACATATATGTATACTTTCGCCTCCTGCGCTGTTTCCAGCTCCTCGAGGTTAGCAGCAGCCTGGTCCATAGCCTCCTGAGCAGATTTCGCCTTCTTGACAAGAGCGTCACGTTCACTGGTAGCAACGTCAACCTCAGCTCGCTTCGCATCGATCTTGCCAGTCCATGGTTGCAGCTCCTTCTGCTTGGCTTCGATTTGATCATGGAAACCTTGGGTCTTGTCTGCTCGAAATAAGTGATCGATTTTGGCTGACGAGAATCGTGCCCACCTTTGAGGTTGTCGATGATTCCTTCAAGAATCTTCTCCTCCTTGGCTAGTGACCCTTCGTGCTCATCGAGCTTGGCTCGCTCCTTGTGAGCCTTCTCGATACTATCCTTGATGGTCTGTTGCGCCGCATTGAAAGCACTCTTATCCTAGGGTGTATGGGTCAGTTGTGGTAAGGTGCGTCCAGTAAATAAGATGAGACGAACATCGGCGAGCGTTTTTTTCAGTTTCTTTACCCTGCCGTTGGCATGCTTCATGCGCTCTTCAAGTTGCACTTGTTGTTTCTGCTTCTGAGCCATTTCTTGCGTGACAGTTACGGCTTTCTCTTGGACGACCTGCAAGGCTGTCAAAATCCAGTTCGTCAGGAGCAACCGAGCATGCCTTGAACGCCTTTTTCCGCTCCTCGAAGTCCACTTTGAGGAGTTCGTAATGGCTGATATCGTCCTTGTTCTTTTCTTGTTCTGCAGCCAGGTCCGCCTCAAATTGTTTCTTTCGAAAACCTCAGCGAATTGTAGGGAAGAACAAGAAGAACGACATACAACTTCATGAGTAGTTTCTTCCTCCGCGACAAACGACTGCCACAAGTACCATTGCCACAGACGACTTTGCGCGCGAGTTTTCTCGTTTTGGAGTCTGAGATAATGCTCTGCCTCCAGTTTCTTGTCTCGAAGCGAATTCCTTTCCTTCTCTACAATTCGCAGCCGCTGGAGTTTGGTTGCACGCTCTTCTTGTAACACCTCAAGTTGAGCCATGGATTCAGAAATAGGCGTCACGTATGAAGAAGTCCCAATGATGTCTTCGAGATATTCTAGAAGTCCGTCTTCGTGTTCAGTAGATCCTTTGGGCTTCATTTGTGCGATCGACTCGACTTCTCCCTGTTTTCGGTTCACAAAGATAAGTATAGTTTGCGAGAGGACCGACCTGGAGGATCAAAAAGCGTTTGTGGTCAAGATCGATACCACGACCTTTGAGAAGAGTCTGAACCTCCGTGAAGGTACTGTTGCGTCCATTGATGGTATATCGGCTGGTGTTGTTCCTGAACGCTGTCCGAGTAACAACGAGCTGGGAATCGGGGACAACCTCGAAGTCATCAGGCCCAGGCTAAAACAACATGAGCAAGTGACAATAGAGATGTTGATTCACAAACCAGATCTATGATTTCTCGAAAATGGACTTCGACACTACATTCATCAAAGTCTTGATGGAGAGACGAGTTATGAATCAACTCGCTCAGTTTGCCTTGTCGCATTTTGGAGGCCCGATACCCAAATACAAACAGAAGAGCGTCTATGGTATTAGATTTGCCGGAACCGTTGGGACCAACAATCGCAGAAAAGCTCTGAACAAAGGGTAGGTAAGTAGACGGGCTATTGATCGAGGACGCACCTTGTGAAACGGACCAATCTCCTGACGGCCCGCATAACTCTTGAAATTCACCAAGGCCAGTTTGTGTATCATCAGACGTGATTTGGGGCCGGTAGGTTCATCGACTATCGTCTGCGCAAGTTGTGCCGGAGTTGGCATGGGTGGTTTCTCTATGACGATGTGTTCCTCCTCCCCACTCTCATCTTCGTCTACCGGAGCTGGTGGTTTTATCGGGGTGGGGGGAGGCTTTGGGGCAGACCCTGTTGGTTTTGCTTTGGCGGGCGCCTTGGGCTTGGAAACGCGTTTCGCCTTTGCTTTGCCCTTCTTAGGAGCCGGCTTCACGTCCTCATCCGAGTCAGCATCGGATATTGCTGGTATATCCTGGTCTTCATCATCAGACACCACAGCACGTTTAACGACACGTTTCTTGCTCTTGGGGACCTCTACTTGCTCATCCTCTTCCTCTGAATCGCTGGGTGGAGCGACTGGCTTTCGAGATTTGCGTGTCCTTGGCGGAGGTCTCTCGTCGACATCACTTTCAGGATCGAGAGATGGTCGGGACTTCTTCACAGGTGGAGGAGAATCTTCTTCTGGCTCCTCGTTGACAACCTCCGGTAGTTTGGAACGTGACTTGGTCTGTAAATTCTCCTTCTCGTGAGGATATTCGCGCTTGCGTTTCGTAGGAGCTGGCTCTGGTTGTGGTTCCACCGACGCCCGTGCGCGACTAGAACGACGGGGTGGCATAACGATAGTTGAGCAAGACGCGTGACGGTCACGCACAACGAGGGCACGTGGACTATTTGATACGTCGTCACACCAGACGCGTCGTGAATCGTGATCATACAAAATGTTTACTTTGCCAACTTCGCCTTATAGTACCTTATGAGCATTGCTACCTCTCCTCCCTTCAGAAATCTCGTGCTCATGAGCATCTGTACCATCACTCAATCGTGGTCATCCCAAGTAATGGCTGTTGCGTACCAGTAACCACAAGCGTAAAGCATCGAGTCCAGCTGCAAGTTGAATCATCCTCCAATATTCATCGATGAAGTGCTCGACCTGCAAAAAGTCTAGGTCGAGATTCAAGGTAAGAAATGGACGCGACAAACTCCTTTGTGATAATCAGCAATGAAGAGATTTCTACTCAGAAGGTTAGCGTTGGTTAAAGTCGCTGCAAGTTACCTGTTGAAGAAAATCCAACGCGCCCACAAAGCATGCATGACTTTGTCGGTGTCGGGAATTTCGTCGCTCTCGAAAATCTCTTCTTCACGCTCAATGACTGTCCACGCCAAAGCACCGTAATCGTCCATGGGAAGCATGCCTAAAAGGTCGTACAGCTTGGGTCCATCAGGTCGAGCAGAGTAGGCGATGTTGGGGCCGCCCCATTCGGACCAAGCGGGGAGGTATGGAAATCGGGCTGCCGGCTGATTGGGGTCACGAGCAGTGATGGATTTTGAAAGCCTGAAATCATCGTCAGATCAAAACGGAGTGGGTGCGTTTGGCGTATTACAGGTCCCGTTCTTGTCCCTTCCTGGGTAATATCAGTTCTAATGTAATGACCTGCTGACACATTAGTAGCTCCCAAGTGAGATTGAACTGTTTCTCGAACCATTGCCTCCGTCTCGGCGAAGGAATACTTGATATCGGGGTGTCCATTGTCCAGATGGATCTGAAGCATTTCCTTCGTCTGAAATGGTCGAAAAAGGTGGCATAAGGGGCACTCAAATGAGGAAGTGTCTGCTTGATGAGGTAGATCGTCGGAGCCAGCAATCCGAAATACGACCGAGACGCGAGGTAACCCACGTTGATGAGTAGGAATACATTGGGCTTGACAGTAGTGCTGGAAACCTCGTCGTAGTGTGCGCTTCAAGAACGGTAACCGTTTCAACTTGTCTATATATATCAGGGGAAGTGTCACGTTCTCGAGGGCAGCGAGAATTTGAGGTGGAACAGGATTTGGAAGGGTAGCAGACACAGTGGGAGGAGTGTCAGGATAGCCAGTTAGATCGATGACTGGTGGAAGGGGGATTTCAACTGGCTTTTCTTCGTCTTCCATTGCTCCATGGTCGGACTCAGCATCAGCTATTTCATATTCATTTTCTGGTTGTTCTTCAAGTTGCTCCTGGCCAGAACCCGAATTTGATGACTCTGACTCTGACTCTGACTCCGACTCCGATTCTGATTCCTCTTCGCTTGATTCTTCACTCCCAGATGACAATGGTTCGTCGATTTCAATTTTACGAGCCGCCATACGTCTCGCCGCTGGTCTGTCATTTCCATTGCAAGGTATTGCTGATCAAATAAGGAGATCCTACCGTTCACGCACCCGTTCATTCGAATAGGCGTAGTCTTTGTCAGAAATCGGCCGATAAGAAGAAGTTTGGAGTGTGGCTTGTGGTTTGGACACCGTCATAACACGGCGTGCGGTGGATGCACTCGTGGTCTCTATCTCTTTGGTAGAAAGCAAGACGGCCTTTTTCTTGGGTAGCGCAGCCGTCATTCTTCGAGATGTTGTTGAAAGATTGTCTTGTCGCCTATGAGCGGATTGCGCTTCTATACACCAGCCTAGCTGAGACAGCTTATCGAACGCCTTGCCCAAGCTTACCATTCGCTCGGTAGACTTGTCTAGCATATGGACTTTGCGGTGAAGCAACATTTGCACTAATTCCTGTTGAGATCGTTGCCGCAGTGCGCTTTACGCCAAGTCGAGGTGTTGTATCCATTGAAACAAAAAATTCAGCACGTGACGGCCACGTGTCTTGAACTCCAAAACTAAAAAGCGAAACAAAGTCCCAATATATTACAGCGAGAATGGCGGTACCAGCCACCATTTATCTATGTGCAGGAAGCTCATATTCCTCCCCATGATACTCCGAGTCACGATATCGTTGCTGCCCACGCCACAAACCAACTCGATCTGCATCATCATGGAACTGGTTGACTTCTTTGTACTCCAAGAGCTTATCTTGTCGCCTCTTCCACCATATTCTGCCGCAAAGTTTCAATCGACAACAAGAGGAAAAAGAAACAACTGACAAGCCACCACAAAACACAGCAATGAACACAATCAGTCCTATCAGTCCGCCTAAAAGCTTGAATCTATTGTCCCCAAGGAACCCCGTGAGTTTAGAGAGGCCTTGCGGTGTAGGATCAACGAATTTGAGTTTTCGATTAGGTAATTCGGATTGGCTGGGTGGGTTTTTCGGATCGTAGCAGTATTGCTTGAAGCACTTGGTGCATATATCGGATCGGGGCGGCACAGGCGTGGTCCTCGCTCTCGCTCGATCGACAGAAGCGCACTGCAGACACAACCCAAAATTGGGATCCGGGGTGTTTGCATTCGGGCTATATTGTCATTTCAGAGAAGGCATTGGGGTCAACAGAAACATACGTGAATCCTGATATAGTATTAAAATGAACTTGATCCATTAACAGTTGTGTGTGCTTGAGCGGGTAAGTCAATTGGAAGGTGGCCGTGCTGCAGCTGATCAGCATTCAGATGAAGAAAACACGCATGTTGTTCACTTGGTGACAGGGTCTGCGCCAGTAATCGGCGGTGCATTTGGCAGTGTAATCACCAGAGGGTATTCTGGGGGAGTTTGAACAGGGTCACATCCAAAGAATGTCGCGCGCTGCCGAACACCGGTCGACACCCAGTCATCGGGAGTTTGTGGGATTGGAGGGAATTGCTGATGGGTCGCTCGTAGGACTTTACTGAGACGCAATGATGTGAAAATCTGCCCGGTCCCACTGAGACCGTTGAGTTGAAAGCCCATAGACGTGGTATAACTAACTTACTTTGGCCAATTGTTGGCGTCATCTGCGCTATTTTCTAGCGTTACAATGACGTCGAGGCCGCGGGCCTTGACGAACAAGGGACCGTACGGTACATTTTCCAAGTTAGACGAGCCATCAATAAGTGACAACCAAGTGGTTCCCGTATCCTCATAAGTCGAGGCTTTGATGCCATGGAAGGGATTTGGCCAATTGGCGACATCATCAGCACGAGTCCGGACTGAGCGCAACTGTCGCTGGAGGACGTAGACGAGCGAATTACTGTCAGATGAGTCGAACTTCGCCAGCGTGTTTTGACCAAAATCAAAAATTTGCTACTGAACTATCAACTCTGGGCCGTGGTTGAAGAGCAAGTACTTACATTGAAAAGACTGGCGCTTGTACCCATGACGAATCCGGCTTGATCGAATCCTTTTACACAGGACGACCCGTTTTCCGATTTGCCGCTCGTCAAATGCGTACCAACATAGGTCAGGTTCATTCCAGCAGAAAGATTAGGGTCGTATGACCCAAACTCGAAGGGAGAGATCTCTCGCACGATGAGCCTGGGAGTCCAAGACGACAAGAAAGGAATACCTCATAAACGGTGGGCTCGAGACCCAAACCACCGGTCGAGTTGTCATTCCCTGGTCTGACGTTCGCAACGATTATTGGGAAAGGTACCAGGCCTTGCTTGTAGGCCGGTATGTTGGGAATGTCGGACCAAAGTTGGCCGGCACCGTGCGCAGTGCTATTCGTGAAGAAGTTTCCTCTTGTCGTCTGATTGAGAAAGTGGTAGGACTAGCTCGAGGTTAGGGCAACGCGACTAAAGTACATCAACACCTACAATCATTCGCGACCATGGATCGGTGATGCTAGGAGAGAAGCTTGAGAAACGCAAGTGATTCTGGGCGCTGTTTTTTTTCACCTTGTGTCTCTAGTGCTAATTAGGCCCGGGCCCGCGAAAAAATGACTTATAACTACTTACATTCCAGCTTGAGCTTTGGAGATGACACTCCAAAGGATACTTCCATAGAAGTACTGGTTTTTTGTCGAGAAAACGTCATTTCCATCTGGAGAGACAAACGGAAGATCAAGTTTCCACCCGTCAAGCGTGCCGCCATTCCCATAGACAAGATCGGGTATTGTGGGCCAGTTGTTGAACAACAATGAACCAGTTATCCACGACCCACCAGAGAGTCCTGTCATATACGACGACACTTGCAGAAGACCACCTGTACCAGCAGCTTTCGATGACGCGTTTCTGGAATCGATAGCTTGGGTGGTTGAGAACAAAGCGAGTGTCAATTCTGGCGATAAGACACGCACCACTTAAACAAGCAGCCGCATATTGTGCCGCTCGAAGCCCACCACCGGGTGCAGCAAGACCGACTTTTGGAAAGTGGCCTTGAAAGGATGAAGTGTTATAACCGATGGCACTCCCATCGCCTAACCACGCGTTCCATGCGTCTTGAATTGTGGTATTATATCTCCCATTCACGTACTCAATCTCTTTAGGATGAAGAGTTTGATTTTGTGGTGTGAATTCGCGAATTAAAGAGGTGGTCGAAAGGTCAGGACATTGCACATTGACGCTTGGGGCATAGTCGGTTACGTTGTCTTGCGATGGCAAGGTATCTTGTGAAAGTACTGAGCTCGCAAAAAGGAGCCACAGCAAGGTCGTCGTGGTCATGAAGGAGGAAAAGAGGGAATGAGGCAACAAGGCGGTGAGTGTCGAACTGAGTCCATGTTGGGTTGATCGCCGTCAAGCTGTGTGTTTATTGTGCTTATATGGCGGTCTCGGCAATACAGGTCCATTTACTGGGTAAAAATTACACGCTGGATCAGTCCTCAAAGTTACTACTATCGAAAAGATAATTCGCAGCCAGCTCCTCATTCTTATCACACGCAAAGTAAGCCTCCAGCACAGCCTGTCGGGGAAATCCTAAGTTCTCGAGCTGCATTGTCTCTCAATCAAGTGACCAAAGAAAACAAAGGAAATAAACGTACGCGTTGAATGGCAGCTCTTTCCTCTTCGGTCACACTGACTACATGGGCGCCTGGTGGAACTGGACCGTCTTCACCATCTTCAAACTCAGCACCTTCTACACCAAACAAACGAGCGACGGCGGCGGGATTTTGTTCGATCATTTGCATCAGCGCTGGGTTGGATTGTCCGAGTTGTTGGATAAGAGGTTGGATAAGAGCAGGATTCTGAGCCATTAATTCACGAAGTTGCTGGATTTGTGGGTTGCTTTGGAGTGCAGCAAGGTCAAGCTGGCCTCCGGCGGGTCCACCGGCGGCTCCTCCACCAGCCTGTTGCTGTTGTTGCTGCTGGGCGAGCTAATCAAGGATGAGAGGTAGAAGAAGAAGAAGAAAAGATTATTACCTGGAACAAGTTCTGTTGACCGGCTGGAGCGGCAGCAGGCGTAGCGGCGGCGGCAGGAGCAGCGGCAGCGGTAGGATTTGCTGGTGCGGGTTGGGCTTGAGGCTGGGCTCGGGCAGCGCCAGAAGCCTCACCCTCCAGATGAGCCGGAATCCCAGTCATCAGATACTCAACTGCCCGATCTGGGTTGTTGAAACTTGCACGCATAGCCCGTGTAACTTCTTCGCGGGTATAGCCCATCTCCATGATGTTCGTTATCGTAGTTTGGAGTACATCTCCAGACAGGAAAGCCGATGTGTCGCCAAAGGCAGGCGGTGGGTTAGAAGGTGACGCGTCAACAGTTGGGGCAGTGGCCGGGGCCGGTGCCGGTGCCGCAGCAGGGGTCGGAGCAGTTTCAGTAGCACTCGTTGATGGCGCGGGAGGCATTGGACTGGGAGTGGGTTTGGGCTATATCCATAAGCTTCTTACGGAGGATTGAGAAAGGGACGATGCATACCTTAGAGACCATAAGAACGAGGAAATCCTTTTCTTTTATGCCACAGGACTCGACTGTCTTGTCATCGGGAAGCACCTTGCCTGAGTATATAATCTTTTGGGCGCCTGCTGCATGTCCGTGCTCTGCTTCGATTTTAGCCTTGAGATCGCCAACAGTGTCAGTCGGTTCAGCGTCGATCTAGCCGGAAATGAGCCCGATAGGTGGTATCTTGAAGGTACAAATACCTGGAAAACCTTCTGCTGCGTAGTCTTAACTGTTATTTTAACCATGGTGAGAGTGGAGAAAGAGAACGCGTCGACCTGTCACGCGTACCGACTCAGCTGTGACCTTCATTGACAAGCAATGGCGGCTGAAGAGGACGGCGACACATATCTTCGACGACTGGCTACCTTCATTCGTGGCCACGAACGGAATTTAGCAGCCAGCGTAGCTCCTCGAAGACGGGGAGCTCCGCAACCAACAAGCTCCATTTACAATCCCCTCTCGTGGTTCGATTCCGGCCAACCTACTCCCGAAATCCTCAATATCGATACCCACCGACTCTTCTATACCCTCATGCGTCTCGAGGCTATTGGTCTCAACGTTGGCACGCTAGATGTTCGGATCGACTCTCCTTCGCGTCCCATGAGCTATATCAGCGTGGACAAGGCGGAAACAACGTCTATACTGTCCTTTCGCTCAACATTTTCTGCAGTGTCCGGCCTTTCACTCGGCGCTGGCTGGTGGGGTCGGCCTGAGCCCCCCAGTCTTGATGTGGAACTCAAATATCTCTACAGTAGCTTCACTAAACTGCCCGCTTTGGTCATCACCACACCTTCGCGACCTCCCATTACCGACACTGAGCCAACCAACGAGAATGCCGCCCCGCTCGATGTATTCCGGAACTTACAAAGTCTGGAATGCGTGGACATCGATCCGCGTGCATTGCTTGGCTGGGACCGTTTGGCAGAGAGCTTGCGAAGTCTGAAAATCAAGAGAAGTGGCATTGAAGACGTCTCTGACATCTTTGTTGGTGCTGTCCTGGATGACCAAGCGCGACGAGCGGGAAGCACCAGTCGAAAGCGTCGGAGACGCATACCTCGAGGTTCCCCTGCGTCATACGCGACACGTTTGCCAGGCTCAGTTCCAGAAGAGGAAATTGAGAATGCCTCACCTCCTCCGCCTGAACTGTCGTCGTTTAAATGGGCTTTCCTCAAACACTTGTCATTGGCAGACAATGGCCTCACGTTCTTTCCCTCCGTCCCATGCACCTCACTCACTCATCTCGACCTCTCCTCTAATCTCTTGGTCTCTGTCCCCCCAAACTTAGGCGCTCTCTATAATCTCGTATCCCTTAACTTGTCAGACAACATGATCGACTCGGTGCTCGGCATATACCAACATTTGGGCCAAGTATTGTTTATCAACCTCTCTCACAACCGTCTTGAGTCGTTATGCGGACTTGAGCGGCTGCCGGCATTGGAAAGGGTGGACCTGAGGTCTAATCTCGTGGACGAATCCGCAGAAGTTGGTCGATTGGCAACGTTGCCAAATATTGCCGAGATTTGGATCGAGGGCAACCCATTCGTGGAAATTGAGGAAGACTATCGACTGGCTTGTTTCAACTATTTCTCCAAGGAAGGCAAATCTGTGTCGCTTGATGGCACTCAGCCAGGCTTCTACGAACGCCGCAACCTTGTGGCGCAACCGTCACCTCAAATGTCATCCTCGCGGCCAGTCTCTGCTGCTTATTCGCCCCCAGTTGTTGCCGTCGGTTCAAAACCGAGAGAGGAAGTCCCAACAACCACTGTTCCCCCAGTAGCCAAAGGGCGGAGGAAGAATAAACGAATAGTGGATTTGGAGGAAAGTGATGGCGTCAGCATTCGTAGTGGATCCCATACCAGAACACGGTCTGATGGGTCCGCTCGACCGAAAGGAAAGACTGTCGATATTGGCGACAAACACTGGGGTCAGTTTGGTGCATTGGCGGAAGACACAGAAGAAGAGCCAGCGCCATTAAGAGTGAGCACAAACAATACGGAAGTTGGCTCGCCCCCTCGCCGCTCCCGCCATACCAGATACCAGTCTGAAATGGTTCACATGGCCGATGTTCCATCTTCACCCCCACTCGGATCTCTAAACACACCCACAACAGCCACCTTTCGACGAAGTAGGAATTCCGCTACCTTTTCTGCCAATGCCAACAAACGTCGTTCACGGGTCACTGCTTCAGTTTATGAACCATTGCGCTCAACTTCCGATGGGGAAGAAGAACAGACAGAGGTTGATGATGGAGTTGAGGCGTATCGCCGAAGAATAGAGGACTTGAAGAAGGATATGGGTGATCGTTGGTTAAGCGTATTCAGAAACTCATAGTAATAATATTCGGACCTCACGTTCAGATACCTACTCATAACATTCCGTCTGTTGAGTTTTCGCCGACTCGAATTTCTATTTTCGGCAGTCCACGTGATAGATTTGCCGCTCACCTCCAACCATCCCCCGACCGCTCCCTTTCACTTTTTTCACATTCCTCTTCGTGTCGTTCGTTAAAGATGGGAGCAAATTTATCCAAAGCATTAGGCGAGCCCTGCTCTGTTGACGTTGAGAAAGGTCGGCTTGCTGACTGGCGCCACTTTTGTAGGCAAGATTTTCGGCAACAAGGAGATGCGTCTCCTTATGCTCGGACTCGATGCCGCCGGAAAGACAAGTAAGTCTTTTGTTTCTGTTGCCTTTCTATCCATCTGACTCCGCTCGCAGCAATTCTGTATAAACTAAAGTTAAACCAGTCCGTCACCACCATCCCTACCGGTTCGTGGTCCGAGAAACCGACCTCTTCCTTCTGCTGACACTCGAACACAGTCGGATTCAACGTCGAGACAGTCACTTACAAGAACGTGAAATTCAACGTATGGGACGTTGGTGGGCAGGACAAGATTCGGCCCCTGTGGCGACACTACTACACCGGCACCCAGGGTCTCGTTTTCGTGGTCGACAGTCAAGACAGGGAACGACTAGACGAGGCTAAGCAGGAACTGCATCGGATATTGAGCGACAGGGAGATGAAGGAGTGTCTTTTGCTTGTTTTTGCCAACAAACAGGATTTGCCTGGTGGTGCGTCACCCACTCTGTCGTATGTAAACCTCTGGCTAACTTTCTCTAGCTATGTCCCCCGCGGAAGTAACGGAGAAGCTCGGGCTGCACAAAATGAAGGATCGTTCGTGGTATGTCCATCCAAGGTAAGCGTTCGGTTGTTTGTTGCTGTGGTTCTGACTCTAGTTAGTTGTGCAACTACGGGAGAGGGTCTGTTTGAAGGTCTGCAATGGCTGTCGCAGAACGTAAAACGACAGTGATACTTGGGCCGGAATTGTCGCATTTTGGGCTTGCGTATGAGCACATTAATATACCCTTTCTATTCGACACCGACTTGAGATTAGATGGTGACCCATTCCAAGCTCTAACATCTCCTCAGCTATTTTTGTCGCCTCTTACACATGCCAGGCCATATAGGGAGGGAGGGCGGAATTTTAGATACCTACTTGATCCAGATTACCCCACTACAGTTGTGTAACGCTATGTCTTTCTTCCTTGATAATAAGCACGCCATCCATGTTCACCACGTTTACTCTCTTCTCTGACTTCCATGTTGGCTGCAGCGCGGGGCCTCTCTCAGCGACGCTTTTCAAGCACGACGGTTGATGGTTTCACTGGCGCAGTCGGCAGCACCCCGCTTGTCTGTCAACACCTTGCTTCTCGTGCCTGGCTACTTCTTCTGAATACTTGGTGCAGATATACCTCAAGCATCTCTCTGAGAAAACTGGCGCACGAATATTTGGAAAGGCCGAATTCCAGAACCCCGGTGGGAGTGTGAAAGACCGGGCCGCGTTGGGAGTTGTTCGCGACGCGGAAGAAAGAGGACTGTCAGTTTAACTACCCCAAAACCTTCCCCCCGTTAAAACGCGTGTTGTTGTTGTTCCAGATTGCAGGCTGGAGGCACAGTCGTTGAGGGTACCGCAGGCAATACCGGCATTGGCTTAGCCCACGTTTGCAGAGCTCGAGGCTACAAATGTGTCATTTTCATGCCCAACACCCAGGTCAGCTCTCTTTTTGCCCCCCCCGTTTTCTTACCATCAAGAATCCGTTCAGAGCCAAGAGAAGATCGACCTGCTTCGCATGTTGGGAGCCGAAGTTCATGCTGTCCCTGCTGTTGCCTACGAGAACCCTGCGAATTATAACCATCAGGCCCGCGACTACGCCAAAGATCAGCCCAACACTATATGGACGAACCAGTTTGATAACACTGCCAACGCCAATGCCCATTATCTAACCACTGGCCCTGAAATCTGGGAGCAAACGCAGGGGAAAATAGACGCCTTCATCTGTGCAACGGGAACGGGAGGGACCCTTGCCGGCGTTGGTAAAGCCCTGAAAGAGAAGAGTGAGGGCAAGACCCAAGTCTGGCTAGCAGACCCGCCAGGTAGCGTGTTGACTAGCTACATCAACAGTGGCGGAAAATTGGTGGAACGGTCCGGCAGTTCCATCACCGAGGGTGAGCGTACTCGGAATGGTGATAGAATGGCTAACGCGCAAAGCAGGAATTGGACAGGGTCGCATAACAGACAACCTACAGACATTCGTGAAGGATTTGGATGGTGCCTTTACAGTACCAGATGAAAAGTCCATCGAGATGGTCTACGAGTTGCTCGACACTGAAGGGCTTTATATCGGGGCTAGCTCCGCGCTCAACGTAGTGGCTGCCGCCGAATTGGGACTCAAACTTGGGAAAGGTGAGGAGTTTTTCCGAAGCAAAAGTGTCTGCTCTTATAGAATTTGCGGTAGGATCAACAATCGTGACTATTTTGTGCGACGGAGCGTATCGATACCAGAGTAGGCTCTTCTCGAAGAAATGGCTTCAATCAAAAGGACTGGAAGGTGCTATTCCTGGACACTTGAAGAAGTATGCTGTGTTAGATTGACAAACGTAGAACCACGGGTAACTAGAGTCATTTGACTGATTGTCCTTGTAATGCGGGAGTTGTGATCAGAAACTTGGAATCAGAGTCTATATGGGCGTGCAGAGCCCGATGGACGAACGGACGGAGAGAATGATATGTAGATGACAAAGTCAATCCCGTTGTGAAGATGTCGGGGAAGATCTCGCGTAGACATGAGCAAGACAGGCATCTTGTAGACCTCTCTAGCTTGATTAAATCGCGGGGTTTTGACCGGGGACTTGGTACGGGTGCTGTTATCGAGCGGTAAGTAATTACCACGAGAAGGCCTCTTGGATTCATCTACGAGAAAGGCAAGTTTCCTAATGGACATGAACGAGTTTTGTTTTTCGAAGGTTTACCCTAAAAGGAACTGACCAAGGAGAATGCCAGACGGACAACAGCCAAGATGGAGTCGGAGTTAGCACTCTTTACGGGCGGCTACGATGCCGAATATCGAAGCCGGACTTGGCCGCTCTATCAACACCCGCATGGGAACATGGCCTTCCGCTCTTGCAGCAGGCGGGCTGGCATGAGAAATCGAACAGTTGGTGAGAGTCCAGCGGCGTTGGAAGGGTCGATGGGTCAAATCAAACCTCCGGGACCTGTTACAATGGGTGTGGTCATCGTTTCCATAGTTGTCAACAACGGCAAACCCCCCGGGTTGATGTCTGTGAACGCCCGTTTGACCTCTACCTCCATCTCCCAACCATGGGTCGCAGAAAGATCGAAATCCAGCCCATAATCGTGTGTCATTCAGGCGATTCCCTCTTGCTGCTGCGTATTGACCCTTGGCCTAGCACGAACGTAACCGCAGCGTGACCTTTTTAAAGGCAAGTGTGGTTTTTTATACGTCTAGTGTTTCCCCGCCGTCCAATGGGAACCAGGAACGGACGGAGGGCCGGTTAAGCCTTCTGTGGCCGATGGACATCTCCCCGTTATGCAGTCTTGGCGAGGTCAATGGCGGGTGTTGACGCTGGTTGAGGGTCCTTTTTATTGAGTCGATGTGATGTCGATTAAAAAAATACTTACTTCCTTTTTCTCCCCCAGAGGAAAAACGGTCTCTTCAAGAAGGCCTATGAGCTGTATGTCTTCAAACCTGAGCTTGCGCACTGTCGGACTCAACGACAACAAATATAGCGGTGTTTTGTGTTCAGTCGATGTCGCTGTCATCATTTTCGGTCAGTCTAAATTCAAGAATAGCCACCCATTGACTCCTCGAGGCAGAGCAACGCCCTGGCCACAATGTCAAGCTATACCAGTACTGCTCGGGTGATGCTCAAGATATGGTTCGACGCCATCTCGGTTTTGATGGCGAGAAAGACACACGAGGCCCAGCGGACTTTTCTGGCAATGCAGCGACCAAGAACGACGATAATGCTGATGTTGACGAGGATGACCAAGAAGAAGAAGAAGATGTGGTGGTGACTTCCTTGGGGAAAAGAGGTCGGACGAATACAGAGAGTCAGCTCAAGATTGACGTGACTGCGCCCCTTCCTGGAAAAAAATATTGATCATTTCTGACCACAAATCAGGTTGACTACCGCCACAGGCAACCGTCGGCATCATCCTCCCTCCCATTGTCGAGAGACCGTGACTCGCCTTCAAGTAAGAAAGCACGAATTGCACCAATGATGGGGCCTTCACGAACATCGTCGACAGAAATGACAGGCGGTTATTCTTATGCCCCACCTTCTTCCTCTATGCGCAACACGCAACCAGCATATGGCGGGAACTCGTCCTATTATCCAACACAGACATCATTTGGCAGCACTGGGTATGATAGCTTTGGGGGTTCCCGCTCAGGTGGACGTATGTATGGGGATTTCAGACCACCACCACCGCCACCAAGAAGTAGTGACCCGTTCAGTCTGCTCGAACCGGAAGAAACACGTCAGATTCAGACTCCCAGTGGACCATATGGTGGGCTAGAGTGGCCGGTTCACACCGGTAGTGGCGGTAGACGTGTGTGGTTTTATTTTTTTCTCGTAGAGACACAAGGGCTAACAAAGAAACCCAGCAAGCACAAGTGCGGATAGCTCATCGCCTTCAACGGCAGGAAATTGGATGGATTTGATGGGAGGAGCAAGAGTTGGCAGAACAGGGGAGCGGGAAAGACCTGGAAGCAGAGGTCGTGTTGTGGTTGAGGATGTGGTTAAGAAAGAGCCATGAAATTTTTCTTAGCAAATTGTTATTTGGCACGTGTGACACAGGCTTGTTCAGCTCCGCGACTTTCTCCCGAAAATGGTCGAAAAGACTGCTAATGGCACGTCTTCCAAACCATCTATTCTCTCCAAAATCATACACGCTCTCGTACCTTGTATTCCTTCGTCGTCCTCTGTAGCGGACCCAGAATCCGTGGTGGTTGAACCTGTTGTCCAAGAAAAAGCCGCATTAAAGGCACCAGATGTCGCCCCCCCAGCTCCCCAGCCAGAGGTACCGGCTGTGGAGACAACTCAACTACCGGTTGAAGAACTCATGACGCCTCCAACTCCCGTTTCGTTGATTCCACCCGAAGAAACGGAAGGCGTGACATCTGGTGCAGTTCAAGCCCCAGGCTCAACTGGAGAGGCAACCATCCATCCAAACAAGCGGGAATCGGTGGCAGAAGAGACAGACACCAGCTTCACTGACGATGAAGAGCTTGCCGACAACATTGACGATGAAGAGGACCGCCTTATCCTCAATGGTGGCGCTGGCATTCCCATAGGCCCAGTATGGCTTTCTGCTCACCCATTACCACGTCTCTGACGCGTGTTAACAGGACGGCTCTCCGAACCCGCTACTTCCACCCGTGTCCCCTCATCATGCTGGCCGCAAGTGTCTTGTTCTTGACTTGGACGAGACTCTTGTCCATAGCAGTTTCAAGGCATGTCTTGTTTGCTCTCTCTTTTTCGCTCTTCTCACCCTTCACAACCAGTCTATACAACAAGCGGACTACGTTGTCCCAGTAGAAATCGAATTCAACTGGCATAACGTGTACGTTATCAAACGGCCAGGCGTGGACAATTTTCTCAAGAAGATGGGCGAAATATACGAAGTCGTCGTCTTCACTGCTAGTCTAAGCAAGGTTTGTCCAACTTACTCCTCGGCTTTAGCCGTCTTCTGACCATATTCAAGTATGCGGACCCCGTTTTAGACAAGCTCGATGTGCATCAAGTTGTTGCTCACCGACTATTCCGTGAAAGTTGCTATAATCACAAAGGCAACTACGTCAAGGTATTACAACGCTTTCCATGTTCTTGCTCGGCTTAAACAAGGTGTTAGGATCTCTCTCAACTCGGCCGGCCGATTGGAGACACCATAATCATCGACAACTCGCCAGCATCCTACTTATTCCATCCAGTACATGCCGTCCCAGTTTCCTCATGGTTCACCGACCCTCATGACACCGAATTGACTGACTTGATACCATTCCTTGCCGATTTGGCAGGCGTTGACGATGTTCGTGGGGTGTTGGATGGAGCGCGATAATGCCTCCTGTTTTACCGCCACTGGTCTCGCTTCTTCTTCATCACAGCCTGGTATACCCTGCAATCATCTCTCTCACAAACACACTACGCACTGCTACCTGCCGCTTTCGAGTCAAATGTTTTTTCTTTTGGATCGGACTGATGTCTTATTCTCTTTCCAAGCCCTGTCGTTGCTGTCGGCTTCTTTACGCTCCTTTGCCTACGAATAATGTACGAAAAGACACGACCCAAATGCCACGCAGGAATTTTTTTATAATAATTGTTTTCACCTCGTCAAAAAAAGCAAGTCACATTTCGCTATATCAACTGCAGGTTAGTAGTAGCTACTTCTCCAACTATACAAGACACATTTCTACGTGTAGCGCTTCTCCCCATTGACTACAACGGGCTCTTCATCCTCCCAGGGACTGAAATTCGGCTTGCGGATCCTGGGCAACGAAGCCAACCAAGACGGCAGTGTCCGGTCAGCTGGCTGGGCGTGCACATGAGCGGGTGATGGGGGAATGCTCCCAACATCGCTCAGACTTGGTAGACGCTCCAGACTGGTATTCGTTGATCCGCCCAACGCGCGATAAAGGGCCTCACGCTCTGCAGGCGAAGGCGCAAATGCGCGGAGGAGGGACTGATTTGTGGATGTGGGGGCCATCATATTAGAACCAAGTCCGTTTGGATTCAGCGCGTCAAACATTGTCGTCTTTCGACTCGGCAGACTGAACTCTTTGGCATCGGGATTAAGCCCTTTCTTCGCCTTGTCCTTGGACGAGGTAAACCAGCGACGAGAGGGAGCCTTGTCAGTTGTCGAGTACTGCTCCTCCTTTGCAGAAGTTGGGTCTGAGTGAGTGCGATAGACCGCCATCGAGTTATCATCAGGCATACGGAACTCCCGCTCTCGAATGCCTGGCGATGACTGGAACCGAATTTCGAAGGGGTCATGTTCAACGCTTTGCAACGACGTTGGGGAAGCAGTAAGAGGACCAAAGTGAGGGCTCAATTGACGAGTGTCCTGAGAACGAGCGCGTTGTAAGCTAGCTTCCCTCCAGTCTTTATCGATATAGGCATCGCTGTCAGACTGGAAAGACCTCGACAGTCCGTCTCCACTGTCCAGCGAAGAAATTAGACCAGAGGGAATCAACAGTTGTGTGGTTGGTGACAGGAGGGCCGGTGCCTGGGAGCTATCACCGAAAGGCGAAAAGTTGGTAAAGCTATGTTGATTGAGAAAGCCGTCTTCGAAGAGTGGGTTAGTACGAGTAGCAATGTGAGGTGGATTGTTGAAGTTGGATATGCTGCCCAGTGCCAATTTAGCGGGTCGAGGCGATGTAGGAGGTACACTAGGATCTGAAGATCGCCGAGCGTTGTGGCCAACCAAATCGATGTGCGAGTCGTACAAATTTCTTGAGACCGGATTGAATGGCTGGAACGAACGATCTTGTTTCCTCAACTCCGCTCGCTCTCGCGCCAGCTTCAGTCGATCTTTCTCGCTGGCGAGTCTGTCCTCCAGCTCACGTGCACGAAGGTTCAGAGCGGCAATTACGTCTTCAGTTGTCCTAATCTCCTGCTTTTTGTGTTCCAAAGCGTCCGCGATTTCTTGTTCAGGCTCTGATATTTGTTGAGTTTGAACCAGTGAGGCTTCGTCTTGAGCACGACGTTCCGTTAAAAGATCGATTTCCTTGTCCAAAAACTCCAGCCGTTGCCATGTATCATCCCTTGAGGTCTGAGCAGCTTTCAGTCGTTTATCAGCTTCGCGTTTCACGCTTTCTGCTGCTCGTTTCGAATCATCAAGAGTCTTGGTCCGTGATTTCAGTTCCGACCTCGCGGCATCCTCCTGGCGCTTTCTGTCCCGATAAGAATCAACTTCTCCTTGAAGAGAAGAATGCGAGGCAGACGCGCTGATTTGGAAGTCCGCGAGTTGGTTACGAAGGTCGACAACTGAATTCCGGGATGACGAAATCTGTTGGAGAACTTCGGCAATCCGAGGCGACTGATCGAAGAGCGTTGAAGGCGAACGAGATAGTGCAGGTGAGGCCAATCGATGAGGCTCGTTGACTGACTGAGTTGAGGATTGTAAACGTTCTGTGACCGGTGTGTGTAGAGGGAGAGAAGCTGATTTAGGAAGCGGAGGCGGCGTTGAACTTCGGGCCGGAAGCCGTTGAGAAGACTTGTCGCGGTTCCGAAGTTTGGGAGGGGCTCGAGCAGCAGGCAAGTTCTTAGTTGAGAAGGGAAGCCCTGTGTTGTCGGTTACACCTTCATCGATTGTTTGGTTGGGGACATACCATCGTATTCGTTCAATTTATCAAGCGCCTTGATGCCCATAATGCCTGATGTCCAGCTTTCCTCGTCAGAAGAGCGTGCCACAACGTCCTGATACCAGGCATCTAACACGCCCCCTCTGTACCATTTTCCGAATGCCCCAAGAAACCATGAATCTGTCACGATCGTTGAATCTTTGTCACGACGAGGCAGTCGGTCGGCTCGTGAAGGAATGATGGCAGCGACAGTAAAGACACCAAAGCTATGAAAAACATGCTTTGGAGTGCGCAATGAGACCGTTGCGCGATTGGCAAAATGGAATGGAGAGCCGTGATCGAAAGGAATTGTGGAGGTCGAAGGTCGCCTTTGAGCCTGATCGTCTGAAGTAGCATCGAGACGACTGAGATGGTGCCGAAAAGATTGTTCTGTTAGATATGACCGAAAAGAGTTTTCGGAGGGATTGGTGAGGTAGGCTAGGAAAATGGAGTCAGAGCAAGGTCAACAATGGAACCGGCTTGGCATGGCCAAATCTACGCGCATCAGCGCAGAGATGGTGGACACTCGACCGAGAGGAAAAATCGAGAAAGGAAACACACCAAGAATGAGAACCACTATGCTGCAAACGACGATTCCAAACAAGGAGCGGATGTCGCCTTTCGCATACACGAAGGTTGCCCATTCAGCCAGTGGTTTTCTGAGCGACATAATGCCCAGACTCCCGGCGGAAAGAAGGAGGAGTGACCTCCGGATTGCAGCGAAACCCCAACTCGTGAGCGGTACTGCAAGCTGAGCCTTTTCCGACGGCAGGTTGGCGGACGAAAGCAGAGTCAAAAACCTGTGACAAGAACCCGTCACACTGTTCACACCCACGTTCTATACTTAAACAGAGGCTCTGCTCAGTACATCGGCAACTCTCTGCCAGTCTACTACGCCTGCATTGCCTGGCACCGCATCTAATGATAAAACGAAACCTTCCAGCTTGTTCCGACCGCCCTTGTTACTACCAGAAAGCTTTCTCTCTAACTGTTCATCATCCTCATCCAGTGATTGTGTTTCGTTTAGCTGCGATTCAGATGGTTCGGAGTTTGGAGCTAGAATCACCGTCGGCCCCGAGCTGGTGGGTATTGGTGGCTCTGGCGGTCGCGACACTTTACGATTTATCAGCGGCGGGGAATCTGAAGTCCGTCGTCGCTTTGATATTCTTGGGGTTTGGTCGATGTCCCCACTCTTTCGTGTAAGAATTTTCTGTGGTCTCGGGGCAGACTCGAGTAAAACTTGAGGAGAGGGATTACGTCCTCGAGCCGGTGTCCAGTCTGATTGTGGGGTACGTGGGCTTGAGGAGGATGACGAATGCTGTTTGCTTGGGGTGGGATCCCAACCAGATAGCGGCGACGATGGGGCAGAATTAAATTGCTGCGAAGGGGAAGATGCCGGAAAAACACGCGCGTCTACTGGGAGTGTGTGAGTTAATGACTGCATTGGCATCGGAGATATATAAACCGGGTGAATGAGGTGGAGATTGTGTTTTCGGCGGGGGTGGCAATGTGGATTCCCTCACAAAGTCCAAGGGTGCGGAGATTTGCTCCTGTTTGTGTGGTGAGCAATAAGTTACAGAAGGAATGCTTGTTGTACACTCCAGCGCTTATGGTATTCGGCGAGTAAATCAGGGGCTGCTGAATTCCTGTGGTTCATGAGGATGTTCCTGTAATAAGCATGAGGCGCCTTCCCAGATGATTGGCTTCGGGTCGTACCCTGCTCCTCCATGTTGCCGCAACCCTTGGATCCACTGCTGAATCTTTGCTTCTTGGTATATGTCCTCTGACTCGTCAGCAGTATCGCCATAACTCTCAACAAGCTGGACGGAATCACACTCCAGAGCAAGAAAGCTCTCAGCAGTTAATCCTGCGCCATATTTCTTGGGAATGCGGGTGCATACCACTTTGAAACGTTGGAGAATGACAACAGGAAAGCTGCAAGCGTCCGTTATTCGTCGACCATGTCGCATCTTGTACGCGTTCAAAGCTTCCTTAGTGAGTTTGACGGCGATATAATGTGTCTTGTCGCTGACGAGAGCCCACATAGCAGCATTCTCAGAGCCCAAATCGAAAAACTACACGGTCAAGACGCGACCAACTTTTGAGGAGAGGACACAGACCTTCTTGATTTGACATTTTTCACTCTTGTCTTTGCTCGGTGCAGAAGATAGTTTCGCGCCGTATTCCTCGCCAATTCGAACAAGTAACTCGAATATCCACGCCATGAGGATGAGTTGTTGCTCGCAATTGAGAAAGACGCGTTTGATGGCTCACGTGCCATCCGCTTGGTCCCAGACAAAGGTGTTAAATTCGACTATAGCTGCTACTTAGACTTCTTAGCTCATGAATTATCTGGATAACTAAAGGGAAGCAATTATGATTCTCTTGAGCCCTTCGGCAACCTCCTCTGTGCTAAGCATATTGCCAACGGGAGGACAATGAACGAATAACACCGGGCAGCCCCTGCCCTCTCGTTGGGACTCGGCCAATGAGCAGTAATAAATGAAGTCGCAGAGGTAACGTCCTGCATCATCCGATGTTTGGACACTCTTCCGGTCAGACAGTCAGATGTGCCTTCAGTTCGAAGTTGGGCCACTCACAACTGGCTTTGGTCCTGTTGTAAGCTCTCGCACTAGCTTATCAACATCGATTGAGGTGAAGATTTCATCTGCAAACTCGGCACCATATCGAGGACCGCCAAACCCACGGAGGGTCCCTTTAGTGTTGACAAGTGGGGGTGGTTGTTTGTCATAGTCTGGCAGCGCATAACCCGTTTTGTGAGCGAGTCGTTCAACGTGCAAGTTTCCTGGACCAGCTACTCCAACATGGATGATAAGATCGAAGCCTTCATCGGGCAGTGGGAGAGATATGGGGCTGGTATACTTCTCAGGCAGAACGGGGGGAGCTGAGTGAAGTCCAGGAACAGTGTCGAGCACGGCAGAATAGACAGTGGGGATGTTGAGACTGGTAACGTGAATCGACTTTTGCTTCGGGTTGAGGATGGTATCGTGCAGAGTCTTGACCGCAAGCCATGAAGGGTTTTCTTTAAACGTGCCAAATGGCTGTAGTCGAATGTTAGGAGGCCACACGTAACGGAAGAAGAGAGGCGAACGCCAAAGCCCGTAACAAGAACTCTGCGATGGTAGTCGTACATGGATAAGGTGCCCAGGAATAACAGTAATGATACAAAATAGCCTTTGAAGCGCTACTCTTTCTCAGACTCTGGCTTCTTCTCCACCCCAGGTATCAACTGAGCTTGTTGGGTCAAAGCTGCTCTCAACGCTGCGTTCTCCACTCGCAATTGATCAACAAGTACTCGACACTCCTCCCACCGTCGATTTGCCTCATCCGCTGACGCCAAGGCAGCATCGAGCAATGCCGAACGTGATTCGAGTTGCTTGACATGTCTATTACAAACCAGCATAGTCAGCAATCGTTGGTTCAACAATCCACCGACACACTCACTGATCCCGTCTTTCCCTAAATGCACGCTGGGCCTTGCGATTCTGTTCTGCCCTCTTGGATGTACTCAACACACGACCTGCTGGGGCTGGTGGAGGGTCTGGCTCAATGGGAGTGAAATCTGCGTTATATTGATAGCCAGGAGGAAGTGTGGGTTGAATCGGATGGACTATATGAGGGAGTTCGCCTTCATTCGGTGGAGGAGTCTTGCGCTTTCTGTTGGCGCGTGGCGGGGAAGGTGGGGCTTGCATCTGTCGCCAACATCTTTTAGACAAGACCAGCGCGTTAGGGCATGCAAGGCAAACCTCAACTGGCTGAGTCAGACGATTAGGAAAGCAAGAGGGATGCGTGAGATCGTGTGACATGAAAAGCTTAGATGATCACCGATTAGTCCGTTTCTTCCCGAAATGGACTACTCTGGAACTAATCTACTATCGACCTTTTCTTGCTCGTCTAGCTGCTTCCCTCTCCACCGTCCTCTCTTTCCTAAGGCGTTTTGGTATTCTATAGGCGTATTTTTCGTTACCTTCGTGGACCGCACGCATAGGCGACGGTGATCTTGGCCTCTTTCTTGCCATGACGCTCTGTGCAAAAGCTTGAGCGGCAAATCTAGGTTAAAGTTGAGCGAGCTTATGTTTCATCGGATAGCAACACCTACTCGTCTTCGTCCATCGCATCAACGAATACATCGTTGTCTTCGTCCTCGTCCATTTCGACATTATCGTTGTTGTTGTCCGTCATGTCTACATCGCCTCCAAAGGCACCAGCATCTGCGTGCTCAAATAGACCAGGGAGTGAAAAAGGCGCCGAAAATTCAGTCAAAATTTTCGCCTGGCCGACTTGTTCTGCGCCAGGTGCAATTATTGTTGCCGCACCGGAGCCAACTATCAGGTCATTAGCTCAGTCTGACATTCAAAGAAAAAAGACCAACTAGTTGACGGGATTGAAGATGGGTGGAGAACGGGAGGTTCAGAGAAGTAAGGTATTTTTTGGTGATTCCAGTCGTTGATGATTTGTCTGGCTGTAGCGTTGATGTCTGCAGTGCCGCCCTGTTGTAAAGTTAGTTCGGAGGCTCGTGTACCACTATCAGCGAGATACTTTGAGCAGTCTTCCACTGCTGAGAGCAGTCATGGTCAGAAACTCGATGGTTGATGTAAAATGCGGCAGATTGTAGAGCTTCTCTAGCGTTTCGGCCGGCGTCCGTTGAACAATCTCTTCCACTGCATCTACGTGTCACGATAACGGATAACTAGAGAACAAATGACATACCAACAGCGATGGGGTCCTCGATGTCCTCTACTTTGACCACGTTTCGGAGCAAAATATTCCCAGCTTTCTGCTCCTCGTCGTCGAATACGACGCCAGGAGAATCTATTATACGCATACCCCGTTCTAATTGAACAGATTGCAAGTCTTTGGTATGTCCAGGTTGAGCTGCGACACCACAAACCTGAGAAGCATTGAATGCCATATATAACTCGACGAGTGTGAGTAAATACCTTGCTCCGCTTTAAGCAGTTAATGAGACTACTTTTACCGACATTTGGGTAGCCCACAACTCCTACCGTTATGCTGCCCGCTGAAGGTTTATATGCTTTGAGCAATTTGATCAGAGCGGGAGCGGTTGACGAGGAAATATTGGTGCGCTGATGTTGCGCTGAGGATGGAGCTCTGAAAGGTAGTGTCGGTGTTGAATGGCGGAGATATTTGAGCCATTGTTGCGCGTTAGTAGACGAAATCAGGTCTGAATGTTTAGTGAACCTGATTAAAGCGATATTGAATCCACTCACCGACTTTGTTTAACACAAATACGAGTTTCTTTCCTTCTGCCTCGCGTCGACGAACTTCTTCCTCGACTATTCTGCTGCGACACCCTTCCGGATCGCGAGCATCTAGCACGAGGATCACGATATCACTTTGGTCGATGACTTTGTGCAGAGCTCTAAAATAATGTTTTCGGAGTTGTTCCTTGGTCTTTTCTTGTGGCTCTTCTTCAGGTAGGTTGGCCAAGGTTTCCAGAGTTGGCTCAGATGCCATCACCGAGTCTATATCTACACGGGTTGGAGGAGGCTGAATTGTGTTCAGTAAAAATACCAGGTGGGTGAATTCAGCTACACACTGCTCGAGCCTTTTGTTTTTCTGCATTTCGAACTTTGAGATTGGGTAGTCTAGGAATCCCGGGGTCTTTCTTTAGCTCTGTGGCAGGTCAGAACAGATGATTTGGGTGAGGGAAGCCACCAACTAGTTTTCAGTGGTACTGTGTGTTTCCGGGAAGATTCTGTGATTTCCTTCACGAATGTTGAAGAGAGTTTGGGGAAGCTTACTGGCCGTCATTTGAGTGCAAAGACAAAGAGAGGTTTCTCTGCTGGTGTGACAGTGAGAGCTTTCTGGTTTCGTTAACACCATCTCAATGGGGGCCGACGCCCCAGCTGCCCCGCCAGCAACAAGCAGTGCTGCTCCCTCTCCCATCCGCCAGCGACTTCTTTCTCTTAGGAAGAAGAATAAGGCTTCGGATGCCCAACAGCCAGTCGCACATACCCCAGAAAATTCGGCGAGTACAAGTGGTGAGCTATTGTTGCTCGTTTTTGTGTGGTCTTCAATTGTCTCTTATCCATATTTTTTTTCATAGCGACACTGGCTGTCGAGTCCTCTGGAAGTGGGGAGCCAGGGCAGGTCCCGTCATCGACCCCCCTTCAGGTTCCATCTTCATCAGCACCAGAAGACGGCTCGGTCAATACGAGCAAGGCCACTCTTTTCTACCAACGCAAAGGCAACAAGTCCTCCACTTCACAAGCAGCAGTGTCATCCTCGACTTCCCACACAATTGTTAAACCGCCTTCCCGGCGGTCCCGTTCAAAGCCTTCTCTTCTCGAAAGAGTTTTCAAGCTTGTCCCATGTGTTGGCTTCGATTCAAAAGCCATAGATGATGCCCTTCAACCTCAAATGGTTGAGATGCGCAAGTCGGAAGCGGGCCCTCAAACTGCCACCACTGAGGGTTCCCTTGATGCCGCTGTCTTAGCTCCGCCAACAATTAATATTGAACGGCCTCCTTCAAGAACCGACTCTGAGATAATTGTTCAACCTCCTCCAAGCTCTCACCTCCTCCCAGTAGACGAGACTGACGGTTTGACCTCTGGTGCTGTTCAACCCCCAGGCTCAACCGGCGATGCGATAGCACGAACACATACACGAGACTCCTCTGAAGAGTCAGATGGCACCAGCTTTACTGATGACGATGCCGTCGTTTATGACGAGCAGGCTCATGAGGAAAGATTAATAAGGAATGGTGGAGCGGGGATACCATTGGGTCCGGTATGTGCTCACTACCGTGACCGATATCCGCACTCATTTGTTCGCTTCATTTTAGGACGGCCAACCCAAACCTCTCTTGCCTCCAATTGCCCCCGAGCATATCGGTAGAAAGTGTCTAGTGTTAGACTTGGACGAGACGCTGGTGCACAGTAGTTTCAAGGTAATTAATTGCTTGCTCGCAGCACTATTTGTCTCATTACAAACCTTGGCAGCCGATACCACAACCCGACTTCATAGGTTCGAAAAATACTGATTGTACCGTTAAGCATGTCAAACTAAGTGCTTCTGATAACAGTTCCCGTTGAGATTGAATTCCATTGGCACCACTTCCATGGTCAGTGATTCCCTGTTCCTTTTATAAGCTTATATTCACTCCTTACAGTGCTAAAGCGTCCTGGAGTCGACGACTTTTTGAAAAAAATGGGCGAAATTTACGAAGTAGTCGTATTCACCGCCAGTTTGAGCAAAGTGAACTTCCATGATTGTGTGGTCCCGCTTGTTTACTCAATAAGCCTTTCAGTATGCAGACCCAGTGCTCGATAAACTCGACACACATAAAGCAGTTACCCACAGACTTTTCAGGGAAAGTTGCTTCAGCCACAAGGGTAATTACGTCAAGGTGTGTAGCTTTTTTTCGCAAGTGATGTTTTGGCTTAACGCAAACACCATCCAGGACCTTTCACAACTTGGTCGACCAATTGCGGACACAATAATCCTGGATAACTCACCGGCGTCCTACATTTTCCATGTCAACAATGCGGTTCCAGTTTCCTCGTGGTTCAACGATCCCCACGATGTTGAGCTGACAGACCTGATCCCATTTTTGGCTGATCTCGCCAATGTCCCCGACGTCCGTGGTATCTTGAACCTGGCGTTATAAGCCTCGTCATTTCCTTGACTGCTAGAATACCTAGCCCTCCCCCTTTTTTTCTCACTCGCCTTTGGGTGTCATACCTTGTGCATTACTCATAACCTATACCACACACGCCTCTCGTTGCATCTGGAACTCGATCTCCCTTTGGGAGCATGCGACCTCACTCTCGTTTATTATTCATCATCATTTGTTGGCCATTATTTTCGTCTCGCTCTGCACTCGCAACTTCTTGTCTGTGTAATCTACGTACTTGGCACAATCGGAAATTTGGGATCTCTATCTGCTGACTAAGCAAGAAAACCGTTGTCCACTTCTGTGATGGCAAACAAGAAAACTGCACCAGCGCCGGTTGCAACCACAAATTCCGCTCCGCCAGTCCCTCCAAAAGCTTCCAAGTCGGGTATGCTTTGTTCACATCTCTTATTTCTGCCACCTTATTGACTTTAGGCAACGCCCCATTCGTCAAGTATTACCTCCTTGCCTATAACGTCCTATCGACACTCGGATGGGGCTACGTCCTCGTTCTAACTCTTGTCCATCTCTTTAATCTTGATGGACGAGCTTCTGTGCTTGGAAAGCCGGTTGTCATTGCCGCCCCATCGGCTTTCTCCCGATTCATGTCCTCCATTCCATTCTTCAAGTCTCCTCCCCCTTCCCCTGCGACGATAACCATACAATCCCGTCTGCCCGCTTTCTTGCAGCCCATCTACACCCGCTCGATAACGACTTACACTCGTGTTGGCAACACCGTTGCCGTCGTCCAGACATTCGCGCTTCTGGAGGTTGCCCACGTTTTGCTGGGCTGGGTCCGCAGTCCGTTGCAGACGACGGCAATGCAGGTTGCCAGTCGGCTGTGGATTGTGTGGGGAATTGTGCAGCAGTTTGGCGTGGTGTGTCTTATCGTGTCCTCCTTTTCTTCTTCCTTTCTCAATCAGTCGACAGGCGCGCGCCAATCCGCTCTATACCTCCTGCGTGTTGGCTTGGTCTATAACCGAAGTTGTGCGGTACTCCTTCTATGCCAGCAATTTGCTTGGCCAGGAGCCTCCGGTTCTGCTTTACTTGCGATATACTCTATTCTATGTGCTCTATCCGATCGGCGCTGGCTCTGAGGCTTTCCTCAGCTACGCCACCCTCCCAATACCGTCTGGCGTTCCCAGCGTCCAGTCTTTCCTGGGCTGGTCTGTCGGCGAATATGTCCGTCTCGCTCTCTTTATCACTTGGTGGCCAGGTAAGATCTTTAACCTCTAACCTCTTCTAGCCTCGATACTCATCCAAATGTAGCCCTTTACCAGCTCTACACCTATATGATCAAGCAAAGACGTAAAATATATGGCGCCCAAAAAAAGGTGAAGACGAACTGAGCGTGGAGGGGGTTTGGTCTGTTGTACCGGCGGATTGGTTGTAATTATACCCTGATTCTCACTATTAATCTCACTGCTTACATATTTTCACGAGCTCGAACAAAGATTTCTTTTCATCACAACTTTACACATTTGGGTACAATTCGTGGTCCGTTCAAAATTGGTTTCTGGTGGGTGAGGCTGTCATTTCCATCGTGTCATCGCGAGTATGGCCTCGTTGAAGTCGAGGTTCACGAATAAAAAGCGGGGCGGCCGTGGTAGGGCTGGGTGCCTTGACGTCACGACCGAAAGAGTTCCCCACGTAAACGGGTCCTCCGTCAGGTTTGCCTTCCTGGTCTTGCCAGTGACCATTAGTGCGATTTCGCCAGTGCTGGGTTGACCGACGGCGAAGGCGGACAAAGAGGCAAGTCCCAAGGACTGCAAAGACAACTGCCAGTCCACCAACCACGCCTCCCGCTATCTTGCCCTTGTTGTTTGCCCCATGGTTACCGGTCTCTGTTGGGCGTGGAATTATGGTTGACGACCACGATAGAGTGTATGGTACATCGACAGCAGATTCTGCTGGCCTCGACACCATTGAGACTGGGTGGGCAGAAACATCAGTGTTGCTGGCGATCGGCGCTGAGCTGACTGGATGGGCAGACACTGGGTTCTGAGGGATGGGGACTTGGGTGACAGAGTGGGGGGTCACGGCATTGCTCTGAGCACGGGCAAGAGCAATGAGCGGGAGTAGGAAGTGGATGGGGCGCATGGTCGTTCAGGGAAAGATGCAGCCTAGCCAAGTGAAGTCCTCACGCGATCTATTAGACAAAATGATTGATGAGTGTGACCCAAGATAAGATTCGGACGAGTTGAACTTGCCGCTCTCCCGCTCACCCTCGCGGATTCGTCATGAGCACAATAAACCAGGAGGGTCCTCATAGCATCCGACGGTCTTGACGCGCTGAGTAAAATATATTCACGGTCAGCTTACCTGCTTACGTACGCAAACTTATCACAAGTCCATTCCACTACTTGTCCCTCACCATGTTGCGCATCCTCCTTGTTCTCTCTCTCGCCATTCGTGCCTCTTCATATACCGTTTATTCCGTCAAAGACAGCTATCTTCGCAACGATTTTCTGGACTGGGACTGGTATAGCTCCTCTGATCCTACTCACGGACGCGTAAACTACGTGACCAAGTCGACCGCCATCGCTGAGAATCTGACGGACGGTGAGCTCGCCAGCCACCAGTAATTCCATCTCAAACGACCTTAGCGACCGACACAACTTTTCGAATGCGGGCTGATACCAAGAAAATGCTCAGTCCAAGTGACCCTGGGCGAGACAGCATTCGCATATCTTCCCCAACCGCATACTCGGAGTCTGTATTCATTCTTGACCTCTGGCATATGCCCACCGGATGCGCCACATGGCCAGCGTGGTATGTTTCCAGCAAGGCGACAGAGTACTTGACGACGAATCTTCATAGGTGGTCGGTGTCAAAAGCTGGTCCTTGGCCCCATGGCGAGTTTTCCCTTTGATTTCCTGCGATGGCTGATAGTATGAATGAAGGAGGAGAGCTCGACATTATCGAAGGCGAGTTTTCTGCTTAGGATCCAATATTCATTCTGATCGGCGTTCAGGTGTCAACAACAACACGCAAAATCTGGGCTCGCTGCACACACTTCCCTCTTGTACGATGCCAGAAGACATGTTCAGATACCAGTCAGGGCGAGTTATCTTCGAGCGTGCCTATCGTGGTGTTCTGATCCACTTGTAGAGCGACTGTTTCGACCAACTGCGACGCGTCTGTGAATTACAACCAAGGTTGTGGCGTCGCCTTCCGCAAACCAAACTCGTTCGGTCAGGGCTTCAATTCTAATGGCGGAGGGGTATATGCCGTGCAAAGGGATTCATCTGGAATCAGCATTTGGTTTTGGCCCCGCGACGATGAACATTTGCCCGGAGAGATTTACCACAAGTCGCCAACGGTCAGTCCATACTATTGGGGAGCTCCAGAGGCAGCATTTCCCTTTGGTGAATGCGATTACGACGACCACTTTGATCCACACAACATTGTGTTTGATCTCACGTTCTGCGTAAGTCGCCTTCCAGTTGCATGCTTTGTCTTTGTCGTTGATGACTCAACAGGGCGATTGGGCAGGCAGTGCGTATCCAAAGTCGGGGTGTCCATCTAACTGCGTTGATTGTGAGAGCGCGGCATTTCGTCTGCCTACGAAAGCTTATGAACACAACAGATGTCAACAACAACCCTACCGCATTCACAGAAGCGTATTGGGAAATAGCCTCCTTGACTGTGTATACTCCCGTCCAGTAATGATATCACCTCCTCTTTGCTTTTTTCCGCTTCGAGGGCATCCCAGCCTCGACTTCGTCATCATCTCGATCCCGGTCATCTGCGCCACCTTCTCGTTTGTGTTTCCGGCCGCCTTTCGCGGCCGCCTGGTCTTTCAGCTCGACAGTTGCCAGTCTTGCTGCCTCGTTTACACGCTCCTTTAGGGTGGCAATTTCTTCTGCATCTGTCGCCCAGAGCTCCATTTGCTTGCCTGTCGTTTTCTCTATCCGTTGCACGAGTTCGACGTCGTACTGTGTCACAAGTGTTATTGCTTTGCCCGCGCGGCCAGCTCGGGCCGTTCGTCCGACTCGATGGATGTAGTCCTTGGAGTGTGTCGGAATGTCGAAGTTGATTACAACGTCCACAGAGGGGATGTCCAAGCCTCGGCTTGCGACATCGGTAGCCACAAGCACTTTGCGGCTACCGCTCTTGAATTTTCCCAATGCACCAAGCCGCTGACTTTGGCTGAGTTGGCCATGTAGCGGAACCGCAGAGACCCCGAGTGTCCGTAGCATTATGCATATTCTGAAGCAAGGGTTGAATGGGATTGGATAAGGACAGACAGACAGACATACCGGCCTGCATCGTGGACCGTTCTGGTGAATATTATCATGGAATTTTGGGCGAGAGAGTTGACTAGAGACACCAGATGCGTGTCTTTGTCTTGTAGGGGCATGAAGAGGTAGTATTGGAGAAGTGTTGAGACAGTCTGGTATCTGTTTCCAACAAAAAATTAGATCGTGTCCATAACAAGACCCACTACGCACTTTGAAGACACCTCTACCTTGACAGGATTTGACAGACTGGCGCGTTGGAGCTTTGCAACCTTAGAAGTCATGGTTGCCGAAAATAGATATGTTGTTCGCTCTGTAGGAACGAGCTTTAGAATTTTGTCGATGACGGGTCCGAAGTCCATATCCAGCAGACGATCTGCCTCGTCCATAACCTGTCGAGGGAATCAGCTGGAGAAAAAAAACGAAGAATGCATTGTAGGCGCACCAAAAATTTAATCCCCTTCAGATTAAACCCCTTGGTGTTCTCCAAATGCCACAACAGTCTCCCGGGGGTTGCAACGATGACGTGTGGTCGTTTCGCAAGGGCCACAGACTGTGCAATCGTTTCTACACCACCAACGATGACCGCACATCGGACACCCATAGCAGAGCCCAGTGATTCGAATTGTTGCGATATCTGGAAAGCCAGTTCACGGGTTGGGGCCATTACACAGGCGAAAAGCCCTTTTGGCTCTTCCCATAGTTTTTGCAGTATGGGCAGCGCAAATGCAGCAGTTTTCCCGGACCCAGTTTCAGCGACGCCAATTATGTCTCGGCCTTGGAGCGCATGGGGGAGGGCTTCCACCTGGATCTCAGTCGGCGAAGTGAACTTTATTTGCTCGAGCGCTTCGAGCAAAGGGTCAATTAGACCGAGAGATTTGAAGGAAGAAGACATTTGGCTGCATCACATGTCCGCTAACTACTAGATCTACATGCTACATCGGCCATTTTTTTTTCTTGGTGGTGAGACCAACGCTCAGTTCTTCCTGCGGAAAGAGGAGCCTGGAGACATGTCATTCATTGCGAAGGTGAAGAGCAGCCACAAGAACATACCCTCGGTCAGACGTGCTTTTCCACCGGTTGGTTGGCAGAGAACCGTGGAGCACGAGGAACACAGAACAACAGTATGGGCATGCGAAAACACGGTGGTAATGGCGAAGCAGCCTGGAGAAAATGAGCGCAGGTAGAAAAGGGCCAAGATGCAACAAACCAGGGCACTTCACATCCATAAAGTACGAGTTGGGTGACTGCACGAGTCTTTTGAGCTTGTGTTGACGCTTTTCAAGCTCAGCAGAAGGGTTCAGCAGGTCGACGGCCAAAGTCTAGATCGATTCAGCCTGCTATTTAGACGACATAGAGTGGTAAAGTTCACCATGGTTGTAGTAGCTGATCAAGCGAAGGTGCGGTTCCGCAATCTCTGAATCAAAAAGAATCAAGATCAGTTGCACTAAACTACACACCGTGACGAGTACAAACACGAAGCAAGCAGCTACGGTCCCTCACACTTTGGCTTGAACTTCGATTCAAAAAACGTATTAACCTGGCAGTAAATCAAAGAAAAACGTGACAACAGCCCAACCAGTACTTGAATTCTGAAGAAACACAAAACACGCCCCTCATGCTGTAGCTAGAACGAACCTTCTTGATGAACGCCGCTACTGTTGGCTTCAGGATTTGTAGTCGTGTCAGTTTCAAATCAAAACCAAACAAATGTCTAGTCAGTTGCGCTACACTACGAGTACAAACACAAAGCAAAAACTAGTAGCTACGATATACCCCTCTCATAAATCATTCGTCAAATATTCCTTACAACCCTAAAGCAGATCCCACAGACCGGGCAACCGATGCAGCGCGAGATGGCGCGCCATGGCCTTGTCGCTCCCAAAGCTTGTCTTTGGCTTGAACCTCGATGTTGTCGAATGGCTTAGCCTGGTTGATTTTGATACAGTCGCGAGTGCTTAACACAAGCAGCTCAAAGAAGAAGGATGCGGCAGCACGACGCGAAGCCTAGAGGGAATCAGTCGTCAGTCAGAAACTTGTTTCCCTGCTCACTTTATCAGCCATCTGCCGGAAACTGAGGGTTTTGGCTTCGTCCTCGTCGTCAGCAGGCTTGAGTTCTTTACGGATGATTCCCAGTGCCTTGATGGTATTCTTGCTGTAGCCCTTGCCATCTCCCTCAGCAGTCTCATCCACTGCCTGACTCTGGGTTCTTGTGTCAAACATATAGATGGGGCAGGTCGCGTCTGCATAATTTTCCGCCGTCTCATCGAAAATATCAGGCGCCGGAGTGGACAATCGACTGAGTTCTGACGGAGGGACAGATTTCCCGCGAAGATTGACGTCCAGCTCAGGTATATCAAGTTGGAAGTCGTCCAGAGGAATGCCGTTCTGGTCCCCAAAGTCGAATGTAGCGTCAGGGACCATGCTTCCAGCACGAATTTCACTGCGGCCCGCGATGCTTGGTGCAACACTTCCCGCACGACGAAGTTGTTCAGGTTCATCATCGACTTCATCCAGCCGGGGTCGCTTGCTTGCCGGTTTATCGTTGGCACCCAATTTTCGTTTAGCTGACGGGGTATTGAACGGGTGCATAAATAATTCGGCAAGTTCGGGTGCGAGCCCTGGAGGACCCGCGAAAAAGAAAGACCCGTTGGGGGTCACTTTAGTCGGCAGGAAATGCGCGATAGGATCTTCCCGAATCTCCAACAGTCGCGCTACCAGAGGATCACGAGGTATAAAATGCTGTTCAGCCAGAATGTCGCTGACATCTACCGCGACTGCTGGACCGAGACCGTTATTTCGTCGACCAACTTGAGAACCAGGCCCGCCCGCGAGCTCCGTAACAGAGTCGATAATTTGTTTCTTCTCCTTAGGCTTGCGCTTCCCTTTGGGTGTCTTGTCCGAGGGCAAAGGGATGGGCTCCCCAGGTGGGGGAGTGGGAGGGACGTCAGACAAGGGCGAAGCTAGATAACACAATTTAGCAAAAGATAATGGCCACTGGCAGAACACATACACGCTCGAGAATCCCTTATTTGGTCAGGAGTCTTCTCGCGTTCGTCTCCAAAATTGATGCCGAGGTCCATGTCAGGGAGGTCAATGTTCATCATATCGCCGTCGAAGGGATGCTCTGACGCCGCTCTGCTCTTGGAATGCGTTGAGAATAGGTCAATATCCATGTCGCCGTTACGCATGAATTGGCCATCGAGTGATTCGTCCAAGACAGGAAGGTCACGCCCAACGCCTACACTCCCGTCGACACTCATATTGTCCTCGTTTTCCGGCTTATCGCCCCAGTCAAGTCCCAGGTCGAAGTCTTGAGAGCCGAGCCCATCTGAAGGACCAAGATCGAATGGGTCATCCATACCAAATCCGCTCCCAAACGCATCCGCAGTAGTCCGAAGAGTAATGTCAGCGATGTTCGCTTGGTGCTGGCCATGAGCTGCCAGGGGTCGATCTTCAAAGTTGAACTCGCGGTCCCTAATTCGACTAGTGAGACAAAAACACTTGGTAGGTAGCCCTGTGAAACGCACCAGTTGATGTCTGGAAGCAGCAAGTCAATATCGAGTGCACCCTCTTGCAACGTGATCGCGTTCTTGTTAACTGCAAGTTGGTCTTCAGTCATGTCCACGGCGCCGGGACGGAAAGCCTGGCGAAGAGTGATGAGCAGCAGCAGAGAGTGAAGGGGATTCGAACCATCTTGATTTTGAGAAGCGCCTCATTGCAGTCATCGAGGAGATACCTGGCTTTCCTGCTGTAGATGCGAACAACACCAAGGAGCAGTTGGCCACTGAGACGGAGTGCCATGAGCTCGACCTCTTGGCCAAGTATCTCGCCTTACAACGTAAAGTAAGAGCAGTGTACTTTGGTGCGACCAAACACGTACCAACGGATTGCTCAATGTCGGTTTGGAGAGTTTGCGCTTTGGAGAGCTTTCTTTCCATGTGCGCCGCCAGCCAGACCCTCCCAAGCGGGCCCCTACGCGACAACATCTCTTCTGAGTAGAACTAGCAATGCCATCAGCCAAAAATGTGGAAGAATCGTTATCTGGTCCGTACCATGGTGGTTGGTGTGGTCGAACCGAGAAAGGCGTGACGGCCGTGACCGTGACAGTGGGTGGCATGCAGAAGCTTGCCCGAAATGTTTCCACTCTTCGCGCTCTGCCATGGCAGTTTCCACTCACTGGCGAGGGCCCCGTAATCCAAGGTCAAACGGCAGAGGCGAGATTCAACCTCCGAATGGTCCAGCACGCCGACAGTGCACAATTTCCGCAATGTTTTGCGGTCGCTGCAGAAATGAAAAAAGAGAAAGTTGCTCCTAGCAGGATAACCTACAACACTCTATTGCGTAGTCTTGCCCATGGAGGGCATGCCTCAGCGACTCTTGCTGTTCTCGAAGATATGGTGGCAATGGAAATCAAGCCAGACGTAACTGCGTTTAACTTCATTGTTCATGTGCGCAACTTTTTCTACCTTTTATGGGTTGCTGGTTGCTGAGTCTTCAAACAGGCCCATAGAACACAAGTTTCTCCTTTCTTACATTCCGTACTACGTAGAATGGAGAACATGGAGGTCCCGCCAAACGCGACAACCTACGCACTCCTCATCTCACGCTTTGCCCAAGAACAAAATCTCGAAGTCTGTTTGGCCTATCTCAGGGAAATGCAATCAGCTGGATTAGTCCCTCAACTGGCTACGATCCAGTCAGTCATCATTCTGGCAGCTGAAAAAGGTTGGCCGCGATTGGCCATAGACCTCGCCGAATCATACGAGCGAACGACACGCAAAGTAGAGGACTCCGTCTGGCACGCTTGCCTTCAAGCTTCTGCCTCTCAGCTATATGTGAGTGAAATCAAGTTCCCGACACTGCTTTCTTATATAACTTCCAAGGCTGAAGGTGTCACTAAATGCTGGAATCTCCTTGTCAAAGACCTTGCGGTTTTACCTGATGAGGGTCTTTGCTTATTGGTGTTAAACACGGCTGCCCGTCATGGACTACCCGACCTTGCAACAGATGTCATGCGCATCCTTCAAATTTTGGAGGTGCCATGGGAGGAGGCCCACCTCGCCGCCTTATTCGAAGCTTTGTTTGTAACCAAACGTTATGAAGAATCTTTCGATTCTCTCGCCATCATGCGTCAAAACGACTTGATTCCAACCCTCCAAACCGCCTATCCCATAGTTGCCGCTATTGTTGCTTCACCGCCACTCCTCGACGAGTTGTGGACCGTTATACTCCAGATGAAGGACCAGAACAAATTTGTCGATCCTTCCATTGGTCTTGCCTTACTCCAAGCATCAGTCGCAACCCAACCACTCTCTCGTGCTCTCGGAGACAATGAGAGTCTGATCAAGTTTGGGTTTGAGCCTAGCCTCGAAGCGTTTGCTATTTTGCTCGATGCTTGCATCAGCAGTGGCAATCTGATCTACGGAGAGCTGGTATATCAACAAGCCAAACAGGCAGGAGTAGACAAGGACGCAGCGTCACTGGAACGTATGATTGCTCTTCATCTCTCCAGGAACAAGTTTGACGGAGCGTTTCGCTATCTCGACCTAATGGAGATCAATGACTCGATACCGAGCAAACATATTTGTGAAGTATTGGCTCTGACAGCAGCAGATGCCCACGACCCCCGTTACCTGCTGGCCATCGACGCGATGAAGAGGGCCCAATACCCCATAGAGCAGACATTCTTGGACAAATGTTTGGAACAGTACAGGAGAAGGCAACCGGCTCAGGTATCGAAGGAGGCAGGACTTGACCCCGTGGCAAAAAAGTTCATCGAAACGGGAGGTTTGTAATACTCTGTAAACAATCGAGTCATTCACCATGCTGCCTTCTGAACAAACGTTCACCTCATTCACTCGCGAGCAAGCCGCGGCATACGTTGTCGGCCGTGGCGGTTCATACCCCCCAGAGCTCTATAGCGCGATTCTCGAATACCACCAGGGAGAACGAAACGTGTTGCTCGACGTTGGATGCGGGCCGGGTAAAGTTGTGTTTGATCTCTTGCCCTTTTTCGAGACGGCAGTGGGGACCGATTTGAGCAAAGAAATGATTGAGCAGGCTACACATGACGCTCAAGGGACCAGAGCAAGATTCGAGGTGTGCCAGGCAGAAAAGTGCGGCGATGTGGTAGAAGCGGGGACTGTCGACCTGATCACTGTGGCAATGGCGGCTCACTGGTTTCATATGCCTGCGTTTTACGCCTCTGCTGCCAATGCTCTACGGCCAGGAGGAACTCTAGCCATCTGGACATGCAGTTCCTATTATTGTAACCCCAACGCCCCTCATGCTGAAGAGATACAGCAAATACTGTCTGACCTCGAAGACAACAGTCTTGGCTCATTTATGGAGCCTGGCAACATCATTTCACGCAACGCCTACGACACTCTGGCTAAACCTTGGGACAGCAAAGTAGCAGAGTTCACGCGGGAGACGTTTGTGCGCAAGGACTGGGACAGGAACGGGGTGCCATCAAATGGCCGAGTTTGATAAGCGAGAAGGAGATGACGCTGGCGGAATTGGCGGCGGGTTTCGGGTCCGCAAGTGCAGTCATTCGATGGCGGGCAGCGAATAAAGGCCAGATTGACGTGGTCCATGTAGCTATGGAGAAGCTGAGAGCGGTGTTGGGGAAAGAGACGGTTATCCGAGCGGGACCGAGTGTACATCTACTCTTATTCAGAGCTTGACGTGTTCTAGTAATCCCAACTCTTGACTTGGCCTAGTACTACCACCAGCTATGGACGGCTCCATTCCGCTCTCGTTCCCTGCGATTCTGAGAAACCCTGGCTACTCTTACCTAGCCGAATCAGGAGCGCCCCAAGCTATCGTCGCTCCCAAGAAGATCAAGTCGACCAGACGAGTAGATAATGAAGGGAAACGGTGGATAAGGCGGAAAGAGAATGGTCGACAATCCCCAGCGACATTGTCTGCCCACTGACCTGTTTACTATAGCTCGTTTCACTGGGAACACGCATATCGTACAGCCCAGCAGACTGGACTTGCTAGCTCCGACTGGCCAGCCTCCTCGACCAACTTTCCCCTCACCACTCCCCCGTCACCTGTCCCGCGAAAACAAGATTCCCAGTGCCGTCCTTCCCCACCGCGACGCCTCTGCCGATTGTGGGCGCTACTCACTCAGTCTCAAGGGCATGCGCCGTAGTCTCCGGGGAATGAGCTTCCGGTCTCAGGTGTGTTGGCCGTTACTTAGGTAATTTGCGTTCTATAGCCCACCCACTTCGCAGTCGTTGGTCCGCGATATCGAAACGGAAATTGTAGGCTGGATTGCAGCAGGCGGCAGCATCGTCTTTGCCGACGTCAAGAACACCATCGAAACTCCGATTGGCAGTACGGGGATCATCGAGGTGTCTCGCACCCCACTCCAGCTCGTCTGGAAAGCGTCTGAAGACCCATTTGTTCGCTATGTGGTCCATTGCACCGCGCGGTACCACAAAGTTGTCAGCTACAGTCTGTCATCTTCCCCTCAAAATGATTCCCACATTCATACTCCTCAGGCAAAGAGGTATCAGGCGAGCGGCTGACATATCTCCTCCGCCCCAACGTTGCTATGCCTGAATTCCGGGCCAACACGGGCATCGACACGCCACCAGCGACAGACCTGGACCTTTCTTCCCAACTCGACTCAGAGTCTGATATGGCCAGTGAACGGGACACCCGGTCCGAAATTGACGATGTGGACCAAATGTCGACAATTCAAGAAGACGGTGCAGCTGCCACAGACGATGAATGGTCGGTTGTAGGCGAAGACATGACGCAGAGCATCGAATCACTCGACCCAGACGCCACTTTTGTCGTTGAGCGCCAGTTTGAGGCAATGTCACTTCGTTCTCGGGCCACACTTCCCCATATCCGCTCAGCATCGTCTCCTTCCCGTTCCCCAATCAGACCCCCACCACAACGGCGCCGACTCGCTCTCCCAGCCACGCCTGTGTCGTTCTACGACTTTTTGTTTTCGTGTTAAAATACAGATTAAGTCATACATTATTATGTAATGGACACAATCCTGAACAAAACCATAGGTATTAACATTTTAGCAACGTCACATGCTTTCCCAAACGGGTAATGGGATCACATGGTCCCGCCGCCCGCCCATCACGCAATGAGTGACTACTGAGTCACACTTGAGTTTTCTTCCTTTTACCCTCATCCTGCCACCCTTCCGCATCGCTAGGCCCACGAATCACCCCTGGTCCCCGGACTCAAACAAGAGCCGCCACCCAACCTCTGCAACGCTCGGCGGCGGAGTCGGCGCTCGATCTCCGGACCGCCGGTGACTCTTGGGCGGGGGTGGCATAGCCCATCGCGCGCCCCGTGTGCAACGTAGGAGTCCGCAAGCAGGGGCCGGCCAGGGGAAGGGAGGCCGAGTCAGAGGCCGGCGGCGAGGGGAAGGCGGAACTGGAGCGTGTCAGCGGGCGCTGGGAAGAAGAGCGGGACCGAGAGTGGATGGTTGATGGTGGCGAGCAGAGCCTGCCCGGCGCTCGCGGTGTGGCCGAGCGAGTGGTTGTCGGCCGTTGAGCTGCACTGAGTCTGAAGTCAAGCCCACCTGTAGTTGGAATATGTAAACCAAGCTGATAATAAATATTTACAATCAACTTGCTATTGACTTGCTACAATGATACAACAATGATATGCCACCGTGTTAAGCGCATCAATCCCGACATGAGGCGGCATCACGTGCATTAATTTCCTTTTTGGATGCTGTGCATCCGCGTGACGTTGCTGCCCACCCTTCACTTGTTACAGTCATTGACCCCGTTCAAGTCCCTGTGGCAGCTCTTCATGAAGTCGATACTCGTCCAGCAATCATCGAAATATCATGCAAGTAGAATCCTTCACTTGGTGCTTCTTCTTACTAGATGAGCTTTTAGACGGTGCCGACACGTTCATGGGTGGCCTTCAAAACGCCTTGCTCCTGGCTGTCACACCGGCCATCAATCAGGCAATTGCCGACATCCCGAACGCAGTTGCTGTGGCTTTGAATGCAGCCGACATTCCGGGGCAGGTTGCTGTGGCTTTGAATGCAGCCGACATTCCGGGGCAGGTTGCTGCGGCAATTCAAGCAGCAGACATAGACGGGCAAGTGGCGGCCAGCATTGCGGCGGCAAATATTGGACAGATGGTCAACGATGCTGTCACCAACGCGATGGTCCTTCCCCTGGCTCACCTGGACGCGCATTTTGAGAATCTTCAGGCGAGAGGCATAAACAAACAGCTCACGCTGCTTGATGAACCATGTCGTGTCCCTGCTAAAACTGTCAGTGAAGCAACATGTTTTCTGGTGGTGGTCTGGTCTGATGTTGGTTTTTGAAATCTAGGTCGCAGGATCCGGCTTCGATCTGGTTCGCCAGATCCAGCCGGCCGGCACTGCGGGCCGTACCGGCAACTGTTACTGCAATTGGTGCCAAAAGCGGCTTGCTCACGAATGCTCACAAAGCAACCATTCTCTCCCTTTCGCATCACCAGATCATGACGTTGGTCGAATTCTACAACGAAACGATGGGCATTGAACGTTACCATAATATCGGGGAGCGACAGCTGAAAGTCTATCAATGGCTCCAAAACCCTTAGTTTACTTCATCCTATTTCGTGTAATTGTTGTAGTTGCAGACCCTGTAAAAAGCATCAAGTAGAATAGTGAAACAATGACTGAGGGCAGAGAGAACAAAATGAGTGGGATGAATCATCAGGCATGGTGGGTGTTCCTCAAGCTCAGGCTTTGTGATAAGTAGAGAATAAGTTATCCAGTAATGAAGGTCACAAGCAGGTACAACGTCGACACCGAGAACCGCTGTACAATTGTTCAATCAAGTCTATTTTTTGCCATCAGAGACACGCACAATCAAGTTTTGGAGCGCCGTGAACACGAGAATGAAGATGAGGTAGCCTTTCGTCCGACCGAGATGGCCGCTGAAGGTACTGGACGGATCGGCCCCTCCTCCCAAAACTCCTGCCAGAAGGACGCCCTGGAAGAATAGTCAAACAACGCAAAAGTCGATTCCGATTGCCTACATTGGAAAGAACCCAAGCTAACAGTACCTAGAGCAGCTCAGCATTGACCAGCACCCCTCTCAAGCACTTACATTCGTGCGGACGTTCGCATAGTAGTCCTTCGCGACCTGATCCTTCTCCGTGTTGCTCATCGGCGTGTTCTGAGTATACGCTGGCTTCCGATTGCGGATGTTTGATAAGGCCTCTTCGTAGATGTTGTTCATGTCTGCCTGGTCGGTCGACATCTCGACCTGGACTTCCGCGTGGATGTCTTGCACGACGGCGCCAAGATCGACTTCTTGGATAGAGTCTTGTTTAGTGCCCCATGAAATCTATGGACGCGTGTCAGAAACAATTCAGCCTCACGGAGGAAGAGTCATACGTCGTCAAGGTTGGAGAATGCATAGCTAAGGAAATCAGTAAGTGGAAGCACCAGGACTGGCGCTCACATGTTGAGGATGTTGATATATGTTGGTGAGAGCAGGACATAAGGAATAAAAGACGTGAGCATATGCCATGGGTCGAACGCGAGAATCGCCGATGCTGCATAAGCTGCCATTTCCCGTCAAAATCAAGAACACCAAGGAAAACACTCTCTGCTTACTACCATAGATGATGATGACGGAGAAAAGCATCGCCGAGTTGGAGCTACCGCCCTGGGCAGCGGCGGCCAGGGCACACATCACGGAGGCGAACACCATGTAGGTCATTATAGCAGCAAGTGCCAGTGCTGCTGATTTGTATTTCCATTTTGCCCTATGGCGAGTCGTTGACCGTGTTGAATAAAGAAAAGCAGGAACCTACGCGTGTGGCTTGTTTCCCATGGAGAAGAAAAAACATGCGATGACGACGGCCACCATGAGATACTGAGCGCGGTGAAATGAGGTTGGTAGACAATGTCAACCTTTACCTGAATAATGTTATTAACATATTTGATTGTGGGCATGCGAAAGTAAGGTGCTTCGAGTGAGCTTGTTAGTACAACCTATAGCGAAATTTTCAAACCAATCAGCGGACAGAGGGCAAGACCGACAAATGAAATATATAGATTTCCCTGAAAGTCCACTTTTAGCCACAGAAAAAGGCTCGAAAAGGAACATACAATGCTAAACCACGAGAAGATGAGGTTGATGATGGTATATCCTGTTTCGATCATCAAGAAAAACCTTGCGAGCGGTACTGTGACCGGAGCGCAAGATTTGCCCGACATGGGCGATAGCGTATACGGCCGCGAAGAAAGAGCCGTTCAGCCATCGTCGCCGTTGGCTGATAAACTCCGACAACGCGTCAGGAACATCAGTCTCGGCAACAGCTCCTCGAACGTATTTTAGGATCCTAAAGCCGCAGTCAAAAATCGAACAGGACAACTGGGAAAGGAATACCAGGCACTATCTTGTTTGGCAACCAGTTCAAAACACAGAATGCGCTATTGGCAATTTTCTCAAGTGCCCGAGGAAGTCACTAACAACGACTCACGTCCTCCGCGAGATCTAAGAGCTGTGAGCTCATAGAGAATAGGCAAGAATGGGCATACACATATTAGACGTGAACATGTCCGTGTCGTGACCATGGAGCTCTTCGCCTTTGAAGTAAGAGGCCAAAGGGCCGATACCGTGTCGGTTGTTCTGCAGTGCAATATATCGATATGCCGAGAAAGCGCCAGGCTGGAAGAAATCGGGTCAAAGTCGACGCAGGGATCTGGCCAGCTTACCAGAACGCTGATATAACCAAACATGGATTCCGTCTGTTTGTCCAAAATGCAACTAATTTTGTACTCGAAGTTTTGTGCAGCGACTGTTCATAAAGTATTGAGAATTATAGGAAATTGAGATAAATCAGCATACCGAGTGGATTTAACAGTTTTATCCAATTTTTGCCCTTATATGTGGATATTTCGCCACACGCACCGGCGACTCTGGAATTCACATCGAACGCCTCAAAGGATTGATCAGACTCCGACCACACCAAGAGTTTCTGAATACCTTCCACAGTCGATAGATGGCAGTTGGCCCCGGTCGTGTCCCGACATCAAGGAGAACACACACATTGGGCTGGAGCAGTGGCGCAAAGGCATTGAAGAACCAACGGTGACTATTAATCTTCTTCTGGTTCTTCTCTTTCATGCAAAATATAATTTGGGTCGGGACGATCCCTTTCTGGACTGATTTGAGAGTCAAAGAAAGAGAACGGGACTGGCACGCACATCAGGATACCGAAATTTGAGGTTCTCGTCTATGACAAACGACGTTGTGTACTCAAACCTGTTTGCCATCAAATTCCGAGTTTCTTTGCGTATATATGAACCTACACATGTGCGGTGACCTCCTTCCTGTTGATGGAATTGAGCATCGGACCACCAGGTTGGTAGACACCAAGCAGAGTCAGACAGTCAAGAACGCGGGGGTTGATCTTCCTCCGTCCATCGGCCACAATGCAGACGACGACCTTTTTCCAAGCTTCTGGACCCCACTAGCAGCAATTGAGTCAATAAGCAGGACACAAAGAGAAACGCACTGTTTGCGAGCTCTTTCTGGTGCATAGATGGGATATGTTCTTCATGACCCCATGGAGGGTTCGACACAGTAATATCTCATCCTCCTGCAAACACTGCTGAGTGGTAAATTCCGCGCTTAGAGACGATTGACGTACGTTGAACATGGTAATAACGATGAAGAGCTCGGTTTGTCTGCCCATCAATGTCTGCCGCAACTCAAACCCTTTTGCCTCAAAATCGTCTGGATCACAGGTGACCGCTATTACGGGAAGTCAGCATTGCGTGAGACAGAATACTGCGGGCTGCGCACCAGAATAGCGTGTTTTGAGGAATTCCGGGTCTCGTCGAGGGAGAACAAGTCTGGTAGGAACATCCAGATCCACAACCAAGTTTCCCTTCGTCAATCGAACGCGTCGTTTCTTGTTCCTCCTAATAGCGGGACCGACTGGAGCGGGACCAAAATGACGCGTCTCGTGTGGGGTCTCTTCTCCGTTGGCAAACGTGTCAAACTCATAGGTTGAGTATGGCGCGTATTGGCTGTTCGGGTAGCCCTCGGCATAGAAAGAGCCACCCTTCTCCGCGTCTCCATCATATTCCACACTCCCATCAGCCACGATTCGGTAGTCGTCGTCAAATGCAGGCGTAGGAGAGCGGGAGCGAGCTGGGGGTCTGTAGTTTGCGCGGGAGTAGTTGCCTGAAGCATAGGAATCGTAGTAATGGAGGTTGCCCGCGTAGGCCTCTGGCGCGTCTTCCTCGTCATAAGTGTAAGGGTTCGATGCAATGTCTTCGTCGTAGTCTTCTTGGTCGTATTTCAACGATTCACCCGATTCCTGGATGGGGTCGAGGTACTCGCCGGGCTGGTAGGCCATGGTACTAAAAGACCGCGTTGATGCCGTGTCACGTGCTCGTGGGCAGTGTCAAACTAAGCGACGCTGAGAGCCTCATGTTGCATGTCCCTCGTTCTGTTGTCCCTCGTCCTCGGCTTCGGCCTGCGGGTTTTCCTGCTCTCCCTGGGCATCCCATTTGGATCAGCGGCATTCATTGGGGTGTTTGAAGGAGTGGGCCTCTATCGCACACTTTTAACAGAGCCCTTGGTCGACTCTCTTCTGCTCTGTGGCCTACGACTAGGCTTTGATCTTGTTTTCACGACTCTCCATGCACTTACGCTGCTTTCAACACTTGCCCTCTCATTCGTCCTCTCCGATACTGCCAGTAGGACACAGCCCGAGGATGTACGCCGCATTCGGCGAAGGACATTGCGCTATTTGCGTTCACTGGGCCAGACTGTCGTGGAGTCGGACTACTGGAAGAAAAGGAAATCGGTGACGATTGAAGACGCGGCGGATGATGTGTCAGACGACGATGAAGAACTTGACCAACCACCCGTGGCCAGTCCTCGCAGCCCAAGAAGTCCTCGAGTTTCGCGGAGTTCCCGTTCAACTCGCCCTGCCATACCTGCGCTGCAGGTAGCAGCAGCCCCCTCCAATGTTAGTCACGGGGATGAGCTGTTAACGCCAAGTTCACTGGCAGCTTCTTACACGAATCGATCGCCACCCATCTTCAATCTCCCCGACGATGATATAATCGAAGAGGAGAGCGACGAACTCCAAACACCATTAGAGCTCAACATCGTTGGCCTCCCCCCAGCCAACAACATAACCATCTCCCTTGTTCGGGAGCCCTCTGACGAGCACCTCGAGACCGCTGCTCTCCGGGAACCTCCTCCCATACCACCAGAGCCAGATGTTCTGTCACCGGGGACCGAGTTTAGCGAGCTTTCCAACGTCGAAGCCAAGGCAATATTTGCCAACGCCGAGAATATGCGCAAGGAAGCGCGCGACACAGAAGAGGAAAAGCGGAAGTTGGATCTACAACTGAAGAAGGCCGTGAAGGAAAAGCGTACTAAAGACGCTTTTCTGTTACGGCGCGATATTGAGTTGTTGGAAGAAAAGATCAAGAAACTGCATGCAGGTGCTGCTCGTCGGTATTACCGCTGTCAGTTACCTGTCCTTTTTTTATGTAGGCATTGTTCTGACGCTTCACAGCTGGGAATCTCTCCGGTTCAGACGACGTTCCTGTCGATGTCCATGGACTTTTCATACCAGAAGCTGTTAAAATCGTCGAAACTGCCCTACACGAGGCTCTCAAGGCTGGTCGGAGCGAAATCAAGGTTATCGTAGGCAAAGGAAAGCATTCAAAGGATGGAAAGGCCAAGCTGCGGCCAGCTATCATGGAAGAAATGGAGAAGTGAGTCCCAAAACCTTCGTTTGCAGCGGCCACAACTGATGTGACTACTACAGACAAGGAATCGTTTGCCGTGTTCAAGACAACAACACTGGAATGCTTGTCTTAACAGTTCCTTCATGACATGTTGTGTATATGTGTGTACTACCTCCTTATCCGCGATCCACCAGCTGGAATTTTCCGCTTTTTGAATACGACGGTCTCACTGGGTAGCGGAGGCTCGAGGTCAGGTTCTGGTTTGACAATGTCTGGTGTTGATGGAGGCTTTTCTTCTTCCTCGACTTCCCTTACGACTTCCTCTGATTTGACCAAGTCCGATTCCTTCTCATCTCCCGCCTTTGTCCATGTGGTCTTTGTCCATTTTGGTCGCTCTGGCGCGTCCGGTTCGGCAGCGATAGGTTCAGCCCCTGGGTCTTCTCGTTTCTTGAGTTTTATCGACAGAGCGCCGGGGTCATATATTTGACCCAGACCAGTAGCCATCGTCTTTTTCCTCAGCTTGAATTCTCGGCTTTCCTCCTCACCCAATTCCTCCGCAGACCGTTTGACTCCAACTTCGGTCGAAGATGTTGGTGCTGCCTCGGCTTGTGGTTCAACTACCTGCCATTCGCCTACAATACCGTGCAAACGTTGTCCTTGTGCTGCCGCAATGGCAGCGTCGGCGTCAGGGTCGACATAACCCAATGATTTGGCTGTCGAGTAATTGGCGAACGGATTAGACGGCTTTGGGGGAGGTTTCTTGGAAGAAGAGGCAATCGGGGGAGGTTGCGATGTCGAGCCACCAGATTTTGCGCGTCCGGCGCCAAGGTCTTGTGAATACGCTATTTGCGCGGCCTATATAGCCAGCAATAAGAAGGAATCAATTGGGGAAATTCGATCGCACCTGTTCTACTCTGACCATCTCCCGTCGCTCCTCTTCATCCTCCTTCTTTTTCTTCTCCCCCGCCTTGTAAATCCCTCGAATGTACCTCTCCAGGTTCCCTTTGTGCTTTAGACCATTCTCGTGCAGCTGTCTGGGTACTCCTTGAGTCAGACATCAACCAGCAGGGCATCTACTCACTTGGAAGGTTGGTCGTCCGCGATATATATGTTGCAGTACTTGCACAGGTACTACCAAGACTTGAGGTTTATGTCTAGGAGAGTAAGTGAGCGTACCTTTTTCTTCGAGACCCAATATTCGGACATGCTCTGTGGGGACAACTTTCGACTGATCCGAAGACGTGACCCGTCACCAACCCCGCATGTTCCAGGAATTCGGCCATGAACTCTCGAGATAGCGACAAGAGCTCCCCCCTCGAACTCGAAGAGGTCAAGAAACCCGAGAGCACCGATGATAGCGATGGAAATGATGTCGCAGACGTCGTCAGCGTCCACTCAGCCCCAGAATACAAACTCTATCGCCGTCGGTTTGTTGGTATCGCGAGCTTGGTGCTTCCGACTTGTTTCTTTTTCGCGTTTATTTTTCTCAGGGGCTTTCCAGGTCATCTTGAACATTGCTGCTGGCATGCCTTGGCCGTGGTTTGGCCCAATCTCCAACGACAGTGTGTAGATCAACAACCGTTGCAGTCCAAGGCCAACATTTTCTAGTGGTTATGGACTTTGGCATCACGCTGGACCAGGTCAACTGGCTAGGGAATGTCGTTGCTTGCATTTTCCTACCCATTTCCCTGCTCATTCCAGAGATCATCCGCCACTTTGGGATCCGCCGTTGTGTGCGTGGATTTTCATATGGTCGGCCTTGACCAGCTGATGGCACTAGTGTGATATTGGCGCGGTTACAATGGTCATCGCTGCCTGGATTCGGTATGCAGGGACGGTCCACAGCCTGTCGAGCGGAGGCGCATACGCACTACTCTTCATTGGCCAGTTCTTCTCCGCCATTGCCCAGCCTATTTTCCAGGTCATCGGACCAAAATACTCCGAGACCTGGTTTGACCTGAAAGGCAGGGTCAGCGCTACCATGATCATCGCTATAGGTTAGTCTATGCTGCTATTTTTCTCTCCGTCAGCTTATAGAGATTCCCAGCCAACCCGGTTGGTGGAGCACTCGGCCAACTTCTAAGTCCCATCGTTGGCAGCACCAGGCAGTCTATACTCGTTCTTGCAATCATCTCGACGGTGGCGGCTCCCTTCGTCCTGTTAATCAGTGCAGCACCGCCAACTCCACCAAGTGAGTCCAAACCATCGTGCCTTGCTACTGCCTCTTACATCCTGCCAGCGTATGCTGCGTCCAAGAAGACAGCTGGTTTGCTTTCCCTCCTTCGGGTGATGACCAACAAGGGGCGACCCTCCGACCCACCCATGACCGGGAGGGAACGCGTCGATTTCGTACGCTCTTCCTCTTTACTTGATAATTCTCCTTCTCAATAGTGTCTAGCTCATTATTTTCCTCGTCTTTGGTGTACTAGCCTCCGCGTTTGTGCCTCTCACAAGTATTTCTCATCACCCTCACACGAATCTAGTGTCAATGTATTCGGCATCTTGACTGGTCAATTTTTCGTCAGTTCCACGTTTGTCTGTTTATCTTTTCAAGCACTAATTCCACGTAGCAACCTTACGGCTACTCCTCTGATACTGCTGGTTTTTTTGGGAGCATGCCTTCTGCTGAGCGGCATTGTCGCTGCAATTCTCACCTCGCCCTTGTTCGACCGCGTTTTCACCTCCCACTTGGCGATAACGGCGAAAATACTGGTACCCATCCTTGCCGTGGCCTGGCTATCTCTTATCTGGGCCGGTAAGTCATTGTTTATTGACCCCCGTTCTCAAATTCATCCTTGTTCAGTCCGTCCACACAACCTGGCTGCTCTATACGCTATCTGCGCCATCATCGGGGTGACATCGGTGACCATGCTTCCGGTTGCGCTCGAGCTGGCCGTTGAAATCACACGCAACGCCGAAGGAAGTTCAGCTTTACTGTGGTTTGCATGCAATGGACTGGCCATCATCTTCATTCTCGGTATGCCGCATTGACTGACCCCTTCATTAAACCCTGACACCTCTATTTAGTTGAAGGGGCACTCCGTGCTGGGCCGAACGCATCGCCGCCACTCAACATGCGCAAGGCGTTGATTTTCAATGGTGCAGTGGTGATGGCGTTTGCCTCCGCCGTTTTTTTCCTGCGAGGAGAACAAACAAGGAAACACGTTGACAAGGAAAAGCTGGACAAGTCTCGAGCGCGGACGAATGAAGTTGCTCTCCAGTCGTCATGATATGTACCACCGCTTATTTACTGTATATCTAAGGAGGAAATGTTGTTGTCATTCCTGGGCTGCCTCTGGGTTCTTGAACCCCCGGAAGTACTGGTCCCGAAAGTCTTTGTGCGCGGGCACGTGGTTTGGAGGTGCGTGCTCTGTGAACGTTGGCGCTGCGAAGTCTTGCTCAGTGTCCTTCCGGATTGTCACGAGCTTCAAGAGTCAGGCTAGAGACAACAAGACGAAGTAAGACATCTTACTCTTCTGCCCCATGACCCAAAATCTTGCAAGGAATTCGCCACCAGGGTCATCCCTTCGCAAAGCATCGAGTGGACATCGACCTCTTCGTAGCTCTCGTTTACTGTCGGCAGGAAGAACACGAGTCGTCCCTTGGGCTTGAGCAGATACCTCGCCAGCAGAACCAGGTCGACCACCAATGCCGACAACTCGTATGGTTTTGTTGGGGGTATGTACGGTTCAAGTCGACTGCGACAGACTTTTTTGAGGATACGAACGTCTATTGTGACGAATACGCTTACTTGCGAGCAGATCGTTGGTGCTCAATGTTGGCAGCCTTCTTTTCTTCGGAAAGCTCCTTCTTGCGTCCCAGCCTTTTTGCGCCAGCACGGACACCATCTATTGATGTCAGCAATGGTGTGCTTGAGGTGAGTTGGGGGACCGACATGGAGGATCGGTCACTATTGCATCAAATAGGTTCTATACAGCACATCATCAAGTCTGAACATACACCCAGAACAGAACCATACCCCGCAACGCCATGGATTCACCGTTACATCGAATGTGCAAAGATCAATGATCCGATCAGCAACGCCATACTGCTGCGCAGCTTTGAGCACCCCTGGAGGGCTGTCTTTGGCAATTGTGTCAAGAGAGCTTTTACCTTCGCTCATGAAAATACCTTTGCCGCCTTTGCCTCTGATTTGTCTTCCATCGATATCGGAGCCGTAAACTTGAGCACCGAAGTAGGCCACTGGCTATAAGATGTGTGAACAAGCGTATTCAAGTCGTAGTTGCCGTTACACACGTAGGCCATGCTACCAGTCCCACAGAATGGATCGTAGATCAATTTCGACGATGTTGCCTGTGTACTAACAGGATCAGCTCAAGCTGTGGAATTGAAACCTAATGTGCCGACCAGGGCTTGATTCGCCATGAGTAATGATACCTGCACTCGAACCGTTAGCGCTTGACGAAGAAGGTGGGGGGTGAAGATACCTCTGATTCCATGCTCGTATTTCCATAGTATAGCCGCTTTTTAACGTCAAAAACGCCAATCAATGACCGTGCTTCCCCATCCGCAATCTGAGGTCCTGTTATTCCACCACCGACAAGAAAGATGTTATCACTGACCAGTCTCCCAAAGTAAACCTGACGGAATGAGCTGTCTCTGATAGAGGGTGTCGCCGACACGTGGCTGGATTTTTCGTCTGCAAGTTTATGAGTGTTGAACTGGAAAACTCCGAGGTATACGGACAGTCCTCGAATATTCCGAGTGTGACCTGGGGATTCTTGAGGGTGATCTCGCCACGAAAATCCATGTAGTTGAAGCTCTCCATTATAGTTCGATGACGGGAGGACGGGATGGTATGGTTATGTGCCGAGACGACAAACTTGAACGAGGCGTCCTGGGCGTAATGCGACCAAAGATGGCGACTTTTCTCGTTGGCAGAGTGCAGTTCTTCGTAGGTTGCCCCTTGAGCATAGAACTCGTAGACGTGTCTTTGTTAAGTCGGGTAAATCCACGGCGTAGCAGGTGAGGGACAATCTGACTTGAGCAAAATGCATCGTTTGGCGAGAATCCGCGCATGCTCGTCAGAATCGAGACCATAAACGGCAAACGGAGAAGAGGTGTCCCGTGACATATTGTGGATGGCGAAGCCATGGAGCTCAGCGATGGACTCAAGCTCAGGAAGCCGGAATTCAGCATGCGTTTGAGCAAAGATGAAGAGATATGAAGGCATGATTTGATGACAAAGATTGATGCCTGAATTTATTGGGGAAGAAGTACAGTAACTTTAAAAAAATCGGTAACTAAATTCTTGCAATAAGGTCCAGAAAGTCATCACCTAATAAAGAGGTAGGTAGCACCCTATGTACCGGGCTATGATCTCCTGACGGCGTTCTACTTGCTGTGGTGCTGGTCCAATACCATATCCGTCCATATAGGCTGTGGCTTGAGGGCCAGTCAGCGAGCGAATGTCGTTAATTGTTCTCAATTCAGGCAGCGCAGGACGAGCGGGGCCCGGATTAGCAGGCTGGAAATACGATTCAATAGACTTCCTACCGGACGAAAGACACTCACAACTGCCACCGTTGGCATACTCCCGTCGAGGAAGGGCACTTCTGCATAAGCCAAACCGAGACCAGTTCCCTTTTGAGAATTGCCCAACTAAACCCAACAAAGATCAGTGAGTACTCAGAGAAGACGGCAGCTTACGATGAGGACATCGCGGCGCATGTGTGTGAATTCAGTAACGAGATCCCTTTGCCTGTTCGCGATTGCATTCAGGATGGCCACCACATCTGGTGGTACTGGAAAGGGTGAGTTGAAGAACTCGGGGCTTCGTGAGAAACACCTACGTGCCGCGAGGTCGGTGCCGCTGGGTAAGTACTCGGGTGGAAAATTTGCAGTGCCTTGTGTGAGGGGTGCAGCCATGATGGTTCAAGTCAACAGGAGCTGAGCTCATGGCCGTGACTTGGTCAAATTTCAAATCCAGTTTGTGCTGTAGTGCCTCTGATTTTTCATGCCAGTGTTCAACTTATCCAAGCCGAGTAATGATAAGCAAACCACTCAGAGCTCCAGCATACACCCTATGAATTTCGCGATGATTTGGCGACGTTGTTTCACTTGCTTGGGTACTGGGCTAAGACCATAACCGTTCATATAAGCTGTGGCTTGAGGGCCAGTTAGCGAGCGAATGTCATCGACGGTCCGCAACGCAGGCAGGGCAGGGCGAGCGGGGCCGGGGTTAGCTGGCTGGGAATACGATAAAATGTGTGTTTCTATCGGATGAGAGAGACGCTTACGACTGCCAACGAGGGTTGAGTCCCATCTAGAAAGGGCACTTCGGCATAGGGGAAACCAGTTGGTTTCCCGCCTATGAAGCAAGATGAGCAAGTAAACGATTGAAGGTTCTCAAACCTGACGATGTTTATGTTACGACGTATATTGCCACATCGCCTGGTGATGTCCCTGTCGAAGGCCGCCATTGCCTCCAGGATTTCAACCATATATGGTGGGACTGAAAGAGCTCCAAGTCGAAGGTTTATGTGATTCATATAAGCAACACGTACGTGTTGCGACATCCGCCTCGGTGTAAATTGGTTGGTTCACAGGTAGGACAAGTGGAGCGCCTTGGGGTATGGTTCAGGTCAACAGGGCGTGACCGTTATTCGAATTCGTCAGACGACATTCATGATCCAGCTTATTTTTCGGCGCGGTGCTGGTGCCTACTAGCGCTTGTCGAATATCAGTGGCAGTCTGGTGCGAAGAGAGATGCTGAGCACTTAAGTAATCCTCGATGGCCAGATAACGTAATGAACGTCCTCTCAAGCTACGCACATGCAGCGTCCATTGTCACCCCAGAATCGCGTATGATTGGCCCGTGCACTCTTATCTACGCGTCTAACACTCGGTAGTAACAGAAAACACACTTGCCTCTCTCGAACAAATCTTCACCCGTCCACTCGTGCTTGCAGCATTCGATCTTATCGACCGCTCAAATGGTCTTGCGTGTCTCCTTCCGGTTTGCCACCCTCTTGCTGATGGCCCTGAATAGTTCTCGAGTACTCTAGTCCCGGGGGACATTACTACCAAGTGTTTGGCTCCACCGCAAGCTATCAAGTCTTCCTCGACCTTCCCAGTCCTACTCCCGCCTACTGCACTTGCCCCGCGTTCTCATATCTGCTGTTATCTCCAGAATCTACTTTAATGGTGGGGACCAAGATCCGCCTATACTCACGGCTGACGCGTTCCGACCCAGTGCAAACACATACTGGCTGCTCTATTCGGTCGTAAATTAGGACGAATCATTCAACGACAACTTAATCCCGAGGAATTGGCTACAACATTGCTCCAGGAATAGATACTCATGAGTTAACGAAACAGAAGTCTATGATACAGCCAGACGGATTATACAGTATGTGTCGTTTAAGCCACTTTCGTCTTGCCCTTTCCGCTATTGATATCACCTAAGCCCAATACGCCAGCACCCTCGCTGTCTCGCAATCGGTATTCCAGACCAGACACAAAATCCTCCAAGTTTCCGACCAGTGCAAGCAGCTCTAACCGAGACGACTGTGGAGACATGTCAATGTCCCCCAAATCTGGCCCGGTAACCACACTGTCCGAGTCATCGACAGACTCCTCGTCCTCGTCGAGGCGGTATTTCGTCGAAATCCATGTCATGAGTTTGCGAATTTCTGCGGGCTTGTCGATCGCCCACCACTTGTCCACACTTTCATCGTCATCCGACTCCTCGTCAGTCTCGTCTTTTCGGTTCACCGATTTGAAAGGAAGGACACCGAGGGGTGCTGGTGGTTTGGTGCCATGAACAGCAACGAACCACGACCATGACTTGGGATCTTCCTCGCGCTTCACCTTCCGCTTTCGCTTGGCCTTGTAACTCGGTTTTGTTTCGTCCGTCTCAGCAGCAACAGTAGAAATGAACTCCAATGCCCCCTCGGATTCAGTGACTGGCGGTGAAAGGGCGTAATAGATGCGTCCGTCTCTGTCTGTGCCAAGAGGGGAAAAGCGCGGATTGAAGCGATGGGCAGCTACTTTGGAGGCACCGTCAATATCTTTGAGGAGTTGTTTGTGTGCTTCTCGTCTTGCTTTGAACTGGGATACCAAATATCAGCCGAGCCTCGCAGGACTAGACCAGGATTCACCTCTTGTTCGTTTGTAGCGTCAACCTCCTTCTTGACTTTCTCCCATCTATCGTTGACATTTCGATTGGCTTCTTTCGTGTCGCGGACGAGATCTTTGAACTCTTTAGCAATGTTGTCGAGCTCTGAACGAATGCTAGGCGTTTCCACAACTGCGTCAATGAGGCCGAGAAGAACAGGAATCATCTGAACGGTGTCGACAACCGAAGTCCCAGTGCTACGCGTGCGTCGAGAAGTATATTTAGCGGAATCAGGCAGGGGTGCAGGGTCAGGGAAGGATGGGACAGTCTCTGAGTCGTCTGATTCATTGCCATCAGAGGAACCAGCCTCTGAGGTATCCAATGCGTCGCGAAGTGATGAAAGAATCTGCCAAATTTTGGACAAGCCAAGTCCCATGGCTCGTAGGTCCTTGACGCCATTTTGCAACGCCTTACCGGTTGTTAGATTTCAGAGCGCAGTGGCACGTGGTCTTGCTCACCTTCTTGATTGTGCCGTTAGTTTCTTCCTCGATGAGAATGGCAAGGAAGGCCAATATGACAGATTTCAGACAGGGCTCACTGATCCATGGCACAAAGTCGTCGTCCTCAAACCTGCTTCGTCCGTGGCCACCGATCTGCTCTAATTCCTCGAGATGTGCTTTGGGAATTGAGGCACTAAAGAACCGCAAGACAAACTCGCGAATGTGAAGTCGCGCTTCGGCGTCTTCAACCGAAAGTCCGGTTCGGAGTTTGTTCCATTGCAAGGCGGGTAGATGACGTGCAGCAACGGGCTTTTTGCTGGTCCCTTCCGCTCGAGTCTTGGATTTGCGCTCTGGCCGTCTGCCCATGGTCGGTCAAAACGAAACAATAAACAAAGATGACACACCCGAGTGGCTCAAGGCCCTTTGCTTTGCGACAACGCCAACAGGAACAGACATCGCGGCATTTAGGGCATCTAGGAGTAGGTTATAAACAAAGACGCGATCTAGTTGTCGTTCACGCACTTGAAGTCGTAGGGCTCGCCGATACGACCAGTCTGATTTGGGGCAATGCTGGCTTTGATGTTGTCTAAATCTTCGTTATATTTGCTGCTCAGGCAAGAGCGGCAGTATTTGTTGTGGCAGCGACGCGTTTTGGCCGGGCGATCCTTGGTGACGACATCCATTTCCACGAATGAGCAGTGTGCACTCTCTGAGGTGAAGGTTAGACTCGTGTTCAAGACAGGAAATGGATGAATTCACCGTCTCTCTCCCTCCGCTTCCCACATTGGTGACAGTAGATGTAACTGGGAGGTAACGTCGTTTCCTCCGGAGGAGCCGGGGTTGTGTCTTGAGTAAGTTTCGGCTTCTTCCATGCTATGGGGGCTGGCTGATAGTGGTATGGAATAGGGTAAGCGGGGTAGTAGTATGTTGGGACTGGGGGGTAGTCGATCTTTCGTTTGAGGGTTGAAGACGTTGCAACGGGGTAGGGCGCTGGGTACATTATTGGTCCGTTCGCGTTGGTGAGATATTGAGGTGCTGGAACGAGGACGTAAGCCGCCTGCATCGTCTGTTTGCAGTTGGGCAACGCTCTCGCTGTTCCACGAGGGATGTACGTGACAGTAATAGCCAACAAACAACCCGTCGTTCAACAGGCATCACGACGTCGTGACCCGTGACTTGTTCTCAAATTTTCCGACCATCATGAACAGCGACCATACGAGAGACCCATGGTACGCTGTTCCGCTCCTTCCCATCTTCGACACTCTAATTCTCTCCAAGTCCCTGGGTGATTCTCAATGACTTTGGCGGTGCCTTCTCTATGGGGGCCATTGGTGGCGGAATTTGGTACGGCATTAAAGGATCGAGAAATTCTCCCCGAGTCCGTCTTAAGTTTGTCTCGTCCTGATATTTGCTTACCTAGCCATAGGGTGAACGATTCGTCGGGGCTATTTCCTCCATGAAGGCCCGTGCTCCCGTGGTCGGAGGCAATTTCGGTGTGTGGGGAGGAATGTTTTCAACATTCGACTGCGCCGTCAAGGGCTGGCGACAAAAAGAGGACGCATGGAATGCCATCCTCTCTGGGTTTGCTACTGGTGGATGCCTGGCATTACGGAGTTCGTCGCACTTTTTATTTATTTCCTTGTTTTGACGAACGGCATTCCTCTAGGTGGTCCCAAAGCAGCATTCCAGTCTGCTGTTGCTTGTGGTATCCTTCTCGGAGTCTTCGAAGGAGTAGGGGTACTTCTCAGTCGAGTATTCAGCGAAGGTCAACGACCCCAAGCACCTTGTGAGTTGTCATTTGCTTCTTGCCTTGGCCGCTTATGTCATTCCAGTACCACCTTCCATGACACCACAGGCACCCCCGTCGTCCATTCCCGGATTATCATAGAGCATGTAATTATTTGTATCCTCACTCATCATTATTTTTTTCCTCCGAACCCCAGACTACGTCACGGACTGATCACTTTCTTTGAAAGTATAAAACGGAGCGAGTAGCTCCAGCAGCAACCTAAGATCGACTACCATGGCTGAAACTCTGGACCCGTATACCACCCAGGCCGAAAACACGACACTCTCACCTCAGGCCAAGATTGAAGGCCTCCATACCATCGTCAAATCCGCGAGAATTGGCATGCTCACCACTCATTGCTCCGATGGTCAATTCCACTCTCGAGCAATGATTCCCTCAACTCGTTGGTTTCTCGTCACCATCTTTCCTTCTATTCAACTCCGTCCTAGCCTTCACCGAAATGCAACTGACTCTCGTCTTCGTTGCAAACAACGCGTCATCTAAATTCGACGAAATCAAGAACGACTCCAATGTCAATGTCAGCTTCTGCGACACCAGCACTACAAGCTGGGCCTCGTAAGGGTATATGAGGCACCAAAGTTCTTCGCTCATAATTGTCAAGATATTCGGGTCGTGCGAAGATCTCCCAGGACAAAGAGCTTATCGCCAAACACTTCTCGCCTTCGTACGTCCCTCCATCGCTGTTAATGACCTTATTAAGCTCTGGTTTAGCATGGCAGCCTACTTTGGTGATTTGAAGGACGGAGTTCACACAGGAAAAGTAGACGACCCGCGGATTTCAATTATCGAAGTCATTCCCGACGAGATTCGTTACTGGGTTGCAACTAAAGGGGCCGTCGGGCGTGCTGCAGACACCGCGATCAGCATGGTGACTGGGAAAGCTTCTGCGCCGGGCGAAATCAGGACGATTAGCAAAGCAGAGGTGGGTGTCTCGTATTTCACCAACATTTGCTGATAGTTTCGGTAGATCCAGTTGACCCAAGAACTGCACATGTCCAAGTAGCAAAACAAAGCACCACTGTAAAACACAAGCATGTAAAATAGCGCCAGTACAAACAAAGATCAATCTTCGAACAGAGGATGGAACTAGTGGAAGCTGAGTAGGACTTGGCCAAGTATTGTTTTGTGAACATACCCTGGAGCGGTCATCCGACGATTGCGTCGCAGCAAACTCCATTTCCGGGCGATCTGGTGGTTCGGGGGAGCCTTGAATACTACTAGTATCTAGGTCATCTTCTCCGAGCATCATATCAAGTTCAGCAGCACTCATATTCTCGATACCCAGCCCGGTTTCTTTGAGCACTTCTAGTTCTGCCTGTGACATTTGCGAGGAGGCAGGTAAAAACAAAGGCTCCCTTTCCACGACACTTGGTTCATCCATGTCTATATCACCGTCTCTATTCCCGAAGGAAGGTTGAGGCGGCGGTGGGGGAGGCATAGAGGCTGATAACGCTGTTCGTGTCGTTGATTGAGACCTTGAAGCTCGGTCTGCTTCTGAATGAGCAACCGAGGCGGCGTCTGATCTCTGAACAGCCTTCATAGACTTGCGCATTCGGGTAGATTCGCGTGGAGTTTCCTCTCTGTTGCGTTTTCTGGAATTGATGGATGCCTGGGTGGGTGCTGGCGCTCCAGGGACTTGACTGGTGGAAATGACGAAAAGCGTCTCTGAATTATCGCCTTCTACGTCGATGAATAGTGGTGCGGCAGGATCAGTGAAACGTAGACCCAGAGGAAGTGACATCGACTCTGCGAAAGCAATCGTGGCCTAGCGGGCGTATTTAGACGCGCATATAAGGGTCAGAAGCAGCTCACATTGAATTCACGAAGGTGGAATGCGATGGTGATGGGTGCTACATAAATGTCATACAAGTCGAACTCCTCTGCGCTAATTTTAAGCTCGGTCGAGAGCTCCAATCGCCCTGAGTAGAGTATGTCAGCAGTAGCTATTAAAGTCTGAGTCAACATACCTCGTGTTTCCAACGACGATTCATAACTCTTGACTTCCACTTCTGCCTCCCCAAAGTTCCAAATCAACTGTGGGTCAGAACGAGTCCCTTTTGGGACTGGGAAATGTTCAATCATGTCCTTCAGAGCGCGTGGCCCCACGGCTAGGTGCGACTCGTTGTCCGTGTCCGGTACACCAGGAGCCAAAAAGGAGGTGAGACTGAGGAGCAATAGTCTGTGGGTCTTGATTACACCTGTAGGTACATGAGCTATAAAGGTTTTGACGGCTGTGGCCAACTCGCCGTGTTTACAGTGTAATCGGACGATGAGTCGACTTTCTAGACCGTCTCGATCATCGTCGACACGAGCATCAGAACCCGCGGTTCCCTCAACAATTGAAAGTTCACAACGCTCGACCGATTTTTCGGTGGTCCTCTGTCTGAGAATTGAAAGCAAAGACTGGAAAGCATCAGTAAACAGTATGAACTGGGAAAGAATCAATAACTTTGGTCAACAGCTGGCCAGTGACCGCAAATTCGTCCTCCGCATCGCGAGACCACGCATCTGGCTCTCCAACCGAGTATTTAGAAAAGAATTGACGCGTGTATTTGAATCGTGAATAGGCAGATTTAGATGAGTTGGTGGTAGACAGGGAAAGCGCGTCCCGAGTGGCATATATGGCCAAGTCGTCACCGTAGCGAGATAAGCACGCGAGTGCACGAGTGAAAGCTGCATTTATTGAACAAGCGGCTCGGTCGACGGTGAGTTAACGCGTCTCACGTTTGAGACCAGACGCGTCAAGAGTAGCCTGCATGATGTTGTGACAGTCACAACATCCATCTCTACTATTGCTCCAATGGCGACTCCCCAACGACCTCCCATTCGCTCTAATACCTCCGCAAAAAAACTAATCAACCGCTACGAACAACTCAGCTCGCTAATAAATGCTACACCCCCTAAAGTCCCTCCCAGGAAAGACAAGTCTCCACTCCAATCGTTCAGAAACTTGCTCGCCGTCATCAAAAAGGGCAGTGGATTCCGGACCACCAAGTCCAACCTTCAAGAATGCTCTCCTTCACCCGATATTGTCGAGAAGCTCGTTAAACTACCTCCCATACCTCCCGTAATGACAGCTCCCTCAATGAAACCATCCCCACAATCGTTTTCTGGGCCCAATATTCCAAGCTCTATATTCTACCTCTCGCGTCACTCGAACCCAAAAGCTGGCTGGACTCCTTGCTCTGCGGTCTTGCAAGGGGACTACATTCATCTCACGTGGCCGAATAACTCATCTTCCCATTCAATCGCTCTCAGAGGCTGTATTGACGTACGTTCAACAACTTCAGAAGAGCTCGATGAAGAAGAGAAGACGCTTCTTTCTACGGAAATCCAAGGCCTCAATATGTTCCAAATGCAGTTTGAAGGACGCTGTGTGGAAAAGTTTGCGACATCGTCTGTTCGTGAGCGCGCCTGTTGGATCACTGCAATATGGTAGACCAAACCGGCTTAATTCAAGTGCAGTTATTTTAATGTCATAGCAGGGATGTTATACTGCCGAGTGGCTCTGCGACGGAAGCTTCTTCGCACTCTACTGACACGGATGTGAGTCGAAGGAGCACTGCCAGTTCCTTTCGTGCTCTGCCTCCACTTCCTCAAGCTTCTTTGTCCCCCACACGCCTAGCTCCTATGGCTGTCACCTCGCCAGGTAGTATCTATCCGCCATCCAGTCCAGCGTCTTCGCGAGTGAAAAGTCCCTCGATTGCCAATCTCAGTCAGCTCTCTGTCGTCAAGAACCGACTGGCGCAAATCGAACCCAGCCAACAATCACAATCTCGGTCGCTACCCAACTCTCCATATGACAGTCAACCTGTCCAGACTCGTCCCCTACGCATCGAAATTCCGACACCCAGAGTTGCAAAGAGTGCCGTATCTCCGACTTCCATCCTCGAAGCCTACGTCGAGCGCTCTGCCTTGCCATCTTCCCCTGCAGACTACTTCTCGATTCCTCCAGGAGAGACTAGTGCCAACCAATTTGCACCTCGTGATGAAGTCATTCTCCAAGCTATCCTCCAAAACGTCTCAAACCTGGCCCAGCAATTTGTCGATACTAAAAATGGGCTCTCTCGTATTCAGAACCAAATGGACAAGCCACCCACAGTAGCGCCGGAGCTCAAGACCGTTGACCGCACTTTGAATGGCATTCAGCAGAAATTGCGGACAGACATTCCTTATGTCCTCAAATCGTTGGCGGACATCCAAGCCTTTCAGCATGGTCCACAAACCAAAGAAGATATTCGCCAATTGATTGAGCCGCCGATGCGAAACTTGATTGAGAAGGTCGTTTTTCTCCTATTTGCATACCCGACGCTGAAGCCCAGTAGTTCGATGAACTCCGCACAATCTTGGAACAAGATGCATCTCACCGCAACGAACAAGACCAGCGACAGATAGACAATACGCGTTATCTGAATCAGTTGAATTCGGTCAGTAACCTTTCTGCAGAGGATGCAACGTGGACTAACTCATTTTAGTGGCTAGAATCGTTCGTAACGGGAAGTACCGCGCAAGTAGGGATTGTTGCAGCAAACGTGGACAAGATGTGCAGGGAGCTCGGTTGCACGGAGACCGGTGGTCGTCAAACTGGCCTTATCGGAGAATTGCGCACTCTTGTGAGCAGTATGGGCCAGACACGGGAGGACCTTGTGGCATTGGAACAATCGGTTAATAATCTCGCCACGATGGTGACATCGCAAGCTAGAGATGGACTCGGTGAGCATTCCAATTGAACAGACAAGTTCTCTTAAGCAGCCGATTTGCAGCTCCCAAAACTTTCGCCAATCTCATTGAAAAACAGCGACAAGACTTTGAAGGACTGCTTCGAGCTCATGCTTCTGGTAAGTGCCCACAACCATTGATCGTCTGGGCGACTATAACTCCGCGTAGAATTGACCTGCGGAATGAAGAATGAACAATTGCGATTCGTGGATGCTATGCAAAAGGCAACGAAACTCGACCTTACCAGTGAGTCAGGTTTTGGTGAAAACAACTCCACGAGTAACCTGCGGAAAGTGCAAGTCCAGGATTTGAAGAATCAGCTTAACCATGGTATCAGAGCTGACCTCTCCCATCACTACGCGCAGGCTCCCCAGCACGCCCCCGCTCGTGCTCCCGGTGTGAGTTATTCCATGGCAGTCACTGATTATTCTAAAATTGAGTGTAGTGCGCCCCTGGTCAGATATACCATCACCCACAATTGCAACAACCACAACCGAGGATGATGCCTCAGGCTAACGCTCGACCAATGCCTGGACTGGCTCCGCGATATGGAGACTTCATACATTAGACATAAGTTCTATCTACATCCCAATTGACCCTGAGTCCTCTTTACTGCCCGTGTAGTCCGCAGGAAGAAGGTCTTCTGCTTTCCTCACCCCACGCTCTCTGAAAAGACAAATTAGATGGGAAAATGGGTGAATAGGAAAACCAACATCTCGTCTATGGCAACAATGAGATCGTAGTTGATCTCCGCATTGACTACAGAGTCCTGTTTATATGCAGGATGTGCTCGCACAAAGTTCCGAATCCAAGTCGCTGGCGTCAATAAGGAACCTTTTCGAGGGATCAGGTCACTATCACGTGATGTCAAAGGCGGCACAGACCATTCGCTCGTTTGCGGATGAGATCTAAATAGGCATTTATCTTTGCCAGTTCGTCAATCTCAATGTCGAGGGTTTCAATATATGTTCTAATCAAGCCCAGCAGCCCAGGAAAGTCTGCCTGTGGGACCATCAGACGACTGGTGAAGATCAAAGGCGGCGCTACCTTTCCGTTCATGATCTCATTCATAGTCATCTCCTCGTATTCGTCTTCCACCGAGGCCTGCAGCGATTCGAATTCCGGCAGTGGAGGGTCGGGGAAGCAGTTCCGCATCTTCTTCTCTTTGATGGGTTTGGATTCGACAACGGGAGAGTTGCAGCCTGAACTGCATGACGAGGAAGCGGCACTCTGGACAGGCGAGCCGACGTTCTTGCGGAAGAAGAATTTCCCGGACTGCGCTGCATCTCGCCGCTGGGCCCGCGCCATGTTCTCATCGACCTGGAATTAGTCGGCCCAAGATATAGAGGTCAAGAGACACCACCCACCTTTGAGATCGGGATGTAGAAGTTGGTGTTGTAAGTCAAAATGGCTCGGGACAATAGGACCACGAATACGGCGAAGGCTGCGTTCTCAAAATCCGTCATCTGAACTTCCATACTTCGAAACTCCACCCTCCAGCCGATGGATGACTTGGGAGGGGGCGGTTTGAATCGGAGTGTTTGCCAATTTGTTGATTGGATGTTCTGTCTGCAGTTCAGATATATAGCCCACCTCACAAGGAGGAGTGGACTGGCCTCGAAATGATCACTGCTGTTCTCGTCATCCTGGTCAAGAGTTTCCGTGAAAACCACTAGAGGATCACGAATGAACAGGTGGGACATATGTTTCGCAAGCAAATCGTCGATTCCTGTGGCGTTTAAGCCGGATCATAGAGAGCTAAGCGCTCCAACCAACCGTGTTCACGAAGACGTGCATAGATGCTTTCGTCATATGGAAGTGGGTTGTCGTTATATTCCGGCCGGTTCCGCGAGTCCGTGGAAATGTAGAGATCTACGCTGTCGTACCTGGATTTTGGAATCACGAAGCGCGAGTCTTTGAGTGGCTTGGAGATGTTGAGTAGGGCATAAAAATGAAAATGAGAAGAGACCTTCAGGCCGCGTTCCTCCTCAGTTCTATCGTCCACGCTTCCAGCGATTACATTCCAGCGACAGTCGACATCAGCCAAGTAGCCGCGCCATATGGGACTGGCGGCGGTGAGAGCGAGCTAGAATGCAGCATGAGCTAAAGAAACCCAAAGCGGTATCATGTCGCACTAGAATTGGGCCAATCGGGATGAGGCAGTCATACATACGTCGAGCATCGCCAACATGGCAGGCTTGGAATGTCAGCTGCAGGCAACAGCAACCCATTCCGAAACCCATCGCATCCATATAGATGTGGTCGGTGAGAGCCGCTCCATCTTTGGCCTCTGGTAGAGGTGTTTAGCGTGCTCTACGGGCCGCCAGTGCACCTTACCATGATCCTCTGGGTATACATCGCGCTCCCAAGGAATTGTTGGATCAACGAATGGACGGGGAGTATGGGTGTCGAAGTAGATGGGGAGGTTAATGGCCACCTTTGAGCCACGGCGTTGTCGGATATTCGCTGTTAATGTCCTAAAGTATTGTTTCACAAATGCAATAGATTGGACTGGACGGAAAACTGACGGAAAGCGTACGTGGGGGTTCGTAATCTCCTCTGGGAGGAAGAGGCTGTGGCTTGATTTGGCGCCTATGGGGTCAGAGGGGGGCTCGGTGAACGGACCAGGGACCCCGAGAAGAGGAAACGAAGTGACGGTGAGCGGGATTTCGTTGGGTTTCAAATGTTGACGGGCAAGAACGCGTCTCAGAAAAAGGTCAGACAATGATTAGTAGTTGGTCGTGGTTGCCTGCTAACCGGTATCGCATGTTTGCTTCAACAGAGAGCAGATCGGGGATTGAGCCAGTGTAGGGAGAGCCTGGAGTTGCCTCAAGCATATAGCGGCCATATTCGGGATGGAAAGTGGGCACCGAAACACTTTCACCATAAGCATGGCTTTACTAGTGGTTCGTCGGGACATACGATTCAGGGCATCCGGAAGAGAGGTCGTTCACAATAGAGCTCAACTTGTTGAGGATCTCGGTTTGTCGTAGAGAAAGTCTAGCTTCTTTCTCTTTGTCATCCATAGCCACGACCATATACTCGACCTGCACTTCATGAAGAAAGCCCACATAAAAGTGTCTGACACGCACCTCGTCGCCCCACAGCAATTCATCACCTCTCCGGTTCTTGAGTTTGTCCCAGATATGCAAAAACTGAGTGATTCCATGGTAGCGAACGTGGTCTGCGTGCTTTTTCGCTTCTTCCCAGTTCATAGGCGTACCAAGGTACAAAAGGCCCATGGTGGGCGTCCGGAACCAGATAGAGGTTCTATTCGAGTGATTATTTTCCACCTTTGTAAAGACATCAAATCTGGCATTATCGATTTAGCGCGTAATCTATGTCACTAATCTGCTGAGTAACGCGATAAAAAAAGTGTTCCTAAGTAGCCGTGGGAGCCGGCTTCCTTTAAGTAGGTTAACCATTTCCTCCGTTCGTCGTCCATTTGAGCGCCATTTTTAACGCTAAAAGGACGTGACGCAGCGACCGAGTCCATGCATCGTCCTACCCACTATCAACAGCTAAACGAGAAATCGGAACTAGCCACCCACTTGGTTGAACTTGAGCTTTATAGATACGTCGCCTATCTTGTCGCGAACGATTCTGCCTAACGTGGGTCACATGGCGGACTACGGTAAAGCGCTTACTGGTGGGGAAAATCAATACTTGAATCCTGCGATTTGATGTAGTCCATAACCTGCTTCAGACACTCTAGGAATGCGACCATAGCCAAGTCAAAGCGTCGGTTATGTAGAAGTTGCAGCATATTCAAGTTTCCCGAAGAGTACAGCTCATAGCTCGCCTTGTCTCCTGTCGTCTTCTCAATGCGAGAGAACGAGCCCATGGGAACAAGACGGTAGCTGGGGCCGAGTGTGAGCATGGGTCCGAAGCGTCAAGGAAACCTACTTGTCAAACGTGCAATCGAGTTTCCTCGCAATTGTATAGAGAAGAAGGAGAGATTGACCCCATGCCGCGTTTATTTCGGCCCACTCCACCTAAAGGAGAGCGGAATAAGATGAGTAAGACGAGTCGCGCTTCCAGAAAATACACACGGGGACACCGGGAACTCTTCCTAAGCGGAGCCCGTTTATGGTACCAAACACACCATCATGCCCAATACAGAACGCGTCGTTGTAGACATTAGTCCGTTCTAGTTTCTCTAGTGTCGCTGAGTCGGCAGCATAGGCTGCACGAATCGTCGCTAACTGCGAACTAAGTTGGTCCGAGGCAAGTAGTTGCTCGTTGTGGGTGTGCCAGAATCTGCCTATGGATTAGACACCGAAAATGACCCTCATGGCCGACATACCGAGCTTCTTCTTCTTCAAGAGCCTTCTCTTCTTGTTCTAATACACGTAGCTCGTCCTCTAATTGGACACGCTCTTGCTCGGCAACCCTGAGTTGTTGGATGGTCTGACGCTCATCTAGCTTGAGTTTCTCAATCTTCTTGTCAGCCTCTTCTTTCGAGATACCCTGCGCATCGCGCTCCCGTTCTTTCCGAACCTCTTTCTCGAATGCGATATATCCGTCGCGTTCCCGTTTGGTTTCGTCCAGTTGTTTTTGGAGGGAAGAAAGAAGGATGTGAGTGCATTCGGCACATAATGGATGGTCGATGTCTGTCCGAGAGGAAAGGAGAGTGAACAAATGAGCAGATGAGCGCAAACGAGGCGATATTGGAGAAGGGGGTGGTACATCGTCCGTCTTGGCTGTTGTTTTTCCAGTAGGGGTACGAGTTGTTGTCTTCTTGGAACTGGGGGATGGCAAAGGAGACGGAATACTACGCACAACGCTATCTTGCAGAAGAACAAACGACTCGTGTGGTAACGGACTAGGTTGCTTCTTGGACTTCTTCCATGCATTTCGGGCGGTCTGGGTGGCTTTGAGTTGTGATATCGACTCAGATTCTGGCCGATTGGGAGTGGAAGGAGGTAGGGAGGCGACAATCATGTCATAGGCTGACGGAGCGAGGTCAGCGAGTGAGGCATCGAGCTAGAGAGCGTTGAGAATGGATCGAGAACGATGGCTGCAATCACCTCCAATATTTCTTTACATTGCTGACACGCGATGCTCATGTTCAAGCTTTACGCGGCCCGTCACACGTGACTTGCAACGCGTCTTTCCGCGACTCATCATGTTATGCAGGCATCTCAGCAAACTGCGAGCCTTGTCAAGCGTCTAGCTGGGCCTTCAACAGGGAAAGCGGGGTGTGTGATTGAAATTCACCATAGCACGATCCTTATTTTTCCCCAGTCTTGCCCATGACCAGTCCGAAATCAACAAGATCATTGCGGAGGTCTCAAAGGGCAGCAAATTCTATGAACGGGAGAAGCAGAAGGACAAGGAACTCACCGCGAAGATTGAGAGTATACTTGCTCTCCGAGAGTCACTAGTTGCCGGCGCCGACTTGCCCAAGATCGAAGCAAAGGTAGACCAACTCGTAAGTCCACCCTCCATTGGCACCGTAAACTGATATGCCACCCAGCTGCTCAAGCTGAAAGAAGAACGAGACCTCAGTCAAACTATTGTTCATTTCGACCTCGACAGCTTCTTCGCTTCTGTCGAAGTATTGAACAACCCCTCCCTCGCAGGTAAAGCGTTCGCCGTAGGACATAGTGTCATCTCTACTGCGTGAGTTCCGTCCCTCTCGCTATCTCTGTCGCTGAATCAGCCCAGTTCCTATGAAGCTCGGAAATACGGAGTCCGTTCCGGCATGGCTAGTACGGCTTTTCGCCTTGAATTCAACCCGTCTGATGTGTTTCAGCCTTCATAGCGAAGAAGCTTTGCCCGCAATTGCTTATGGTGGATCACGGAGCGCTATCGTACTCTGAAATGTCTGGCAAGGTCATGGCCATATGCGAGAGGTGGGTCGGCTCCGATTCATAAGTATTCATCATATCATGCTCAACTTCACTCAAGATATGATCCTCAAATGTGCCCTGCGGGATGCGATGAGGGCTATCTGAAGTATGACATTGGCCTTTTCTTTGTTTGCTTATTTTCATTGGACCTAGTATTACAGCCTATTGTTTGGAACACGACATGACTCCTGATGATGCAGTCCAACATTTGCGTTCTGCGGTATTCGAAGAGACCAAGCTGACTGTCAGCGCTGGCATTGCTCCGAACTTGGTGGATATTCTACGCTGGACGAGTTTTATTAGCTCACTCAACTATCAGATGCTCGCCAAAATTTGCTCGGACAAGGTACATTCATTCATATTGCGACAACACCTTTAAACGCGGAATGCAGAATAAGCCCAATGGTCAATATCACTTGCCTTTCAGCGAGGAGGCTGTCATGGACTTTATGCGGAACCTACCCATTCGCAAGATTCCAGGCATTGGCCGAGTGACTGAACGAACGTTGGAGTCTATTGGAATCAAGGTCAGCATGTGCCCTCTTTTGGCCCTTTTATGACCCCAAATCAGACCTGCGGAGATATTTACACACATAGAGCGACTTTGTCTCTCATGGACAAGCAATTCGGACTTGTTTATCTGCTTCAGAAGCATCTAGGCATTGCTTCGAACCATGTTCAACCACCTGAACGAGACGAGCGGAAGAGCATAGGTGCCGAGCGGTAAGATTGCTTTCATAATTTAACTCGATGCCGATAAAACCACGCTGCAGCACCTTTGCGCCGCTCAGTGACAAGGAGAAGATCATTGAGAAACTATACGAAGTGTGTGCAGAGTTGGAAGCTGATATGGAGCAAACTCAGTGGGCGGGCCGCACAATAACTTTGAAGTACAAGCTCGATACGTTTGAGGGTGCGTCTGCCTTGGTTTTGAGGTATTATGGTGACCAACCCAATCAACCAGTTTCGACACGGGCGAAAACACTTGATCGCTTTATCACCAGGAAAGATGACCTCTTTGCTGTAAGCATGGCCTGCGTCCACCCTACTTGAATTGAAGAATATGTAGATTGGTCACGAACTTCTGCTGGCTGAACTGCCCTTGACCATACGCCTCATTGGCATACGCGTTACGAAACTGAAGGATCTTCGTGAACCCAAGTCACCCGTTGGAATCAAGCGGGTAAGAGACACTTTTACCCTTTGACATGCGCATCTGTGTCGAGCAAAATTGCAGTTCTTTGAAGCCGTTGGCCCTGAGTCGCCCAGTAAGAAACGGAAGGTTGAAGACCCGGATGACGATGACCTGGCAATCAGCATTTCGGATAAACCTCTGTCAACATCCTCTAAAGCCGAGACCCACCCATGTCCTGTGTGTGGAAAACGGACCTTGACGGAAAACGACGCATTTAACCGTCATTTGGATGATTGCCTCAGTCGGGATGCCATTCGTGAAGCACATGCAGAGGCCCAGCCGGGCAAGCCCCCATCGAAACCAGGCAACCTGCTTGAACAATGGACGAATCTGGTTCCTAAGAAGAAGAAAATTCGGTGATAGATTGTGCTTTATTTCATTTTTTGCCTCTGTACTTCATGAATGTAGCCTTAATACCCTTGCCAGCCTTGATGTCCTCCATGCAAAGTTGGTCAATGGCTCTCCCCTGTTCTGCTGTGTCTGCGACTATAACCTCCATTTCCTGAGGGACACACACTACTCCATCTTCATCAGCGACGATGTAGTCGCCAGGGCGAACGGTGACTGGCGGGAAGTCGCTGTTATCGGGAGGACTGATAACTAGGGGGACGTTGATGGCGACTGGTCGAGTGAAAGGTGACTGGCCAAGGGTCGAGTGGCCGCGTGCATAAACTGGGAATTTCAGTTCGCGTTGTTCTGCCAAGTCTCTGAAGCGACCCGAGATGACCACCCCCACAGCCGACCTCGCAATTGCCCCAGCAGACATCAGGCCGCCCCACGCTGCATTTTGCGCCTCTGTTTGGTTATTTTGAAATACTTCATTGAGCACGCGAATCAGAAGAAACGAAGGCACGAATTACGTGGAGGTACGTCAATAACGATAGCCGCCCCAGCAGGTACCGTATCGACGAAATGTTCCGAGAGTGGCGGGGAGTCGTGACTGGCAAGCGCCATCTGGACAGTGTAGGCAGAGGCACAGATTTTACCCTCAGACCTGAGCGTTATTCCAGGAATGAAACCGCCAGATTTAGAGCCAAGTTTAATGAGTGCATCAGACAGCTCGCAGGTCGTGAACGATATAAGTCGGGAAGACATTGGAACTCATCACGTGGTTTACCGCCGCCTAGATATACCATTTTCTCGAGCGGGCACACACGGAAAGCCATGCTTATCACGTGCATTACTTCACAAGATCTGCGGAGATAACGGGATCTTCGAACATTGCAAGTCCATATGGATAATTAACTAGCTATTGACCGAATTAACCTCCGCTGCTGCTCGATGACGAAACTCCGAACGGGGAGTGACGAGAACCTGGTTTTCGTCGTGCTTGTGGCGTTGGCGGCAATGGGCGGATTCCATGGGTGATGCCGTGTTGGTGTTGGTAAACGGGTAAAGGTGTCGCTGGAGGGCTGGAGGATAGGCCATAGGCGGCATATGCGTCAAATGAGCTATTCGACACGCTCCCCATTAGAGTTTGAGACATGGATCGCTTCGGAGGGGTGCTCTGCCCGTCAGAGAGCTTGCTCCCAACAAACAAGGACGGTCGGGGACGTTTGCGCATATACTTGCGATGCTTTTGCCAAGCCGAAAAGAAACTCGACACCAAAAGAAATAAAAAGACTAGAAGTCGCTCTCAGCTAGTCTATCAGAGATAGAAAGGGAACGCGACTTGCATCCTCCTATGGCATAGCCAACGTATTTTCCAATGTTGCTTTTGGCCTTGTGTGGACTAGAAGACGACGGAAGAGCGCTGGGTCCAATGCGGGCTGAAGAGGATCGCATGGGAGAGCCGCTCTTGGAATTTCCTGCGCCAATAATGTGGCTGTTTGTCGTGAAGGTCGTACTGGTCGTGTCTAGAGGTGTCTCATGGCTCGCGCTTGCTGAAGCAACAATGGGAATGGTGGTCAAGACCTGGGTGATCGTGGTATAAACAGCTAAAGCCCGATTGTAAGCTACACACATCAGCAAAAAAGGAAAATTCATACCGGTCGAGACTGCGGTGGCCGATGCATGCGTTGAAGGTTGGGCCAACACGCTGGTTATCACGACTGGGAGTGGTCAACAGAAGAATAACGCGCGAAAAATACTTAGCAGCCACCTGTTGACGTTAGAGGAGGTGCAACAACGGTCGCAGGAACGGATTCGGGTATGAAAATGGCTGAAGACGAATGAGTGGACACGCGACAAGGGGGAGCAAAGGCAGACTAGTCGGAGAAATTGAAACGATGGTGGGCAAGTCGTCGACTGCTCTTGACTGACTATGGGGAGTATCGCGTTTGGCGGCCAGAATGTCGATGAGAGGCATTGCTGGCCCTCCTGGGGAGGTGGTGGACGGAATAAAAGCGAGCCGAAAAGCATTGACCGCGGGGCCTGGCTTAGTATGGGAGATGGGTCTGCTGAGTTAAGCTTACAAGGAACACGATGAGGTAAGAGCCAAAAGAAGCAATTATTGATACAGAGAAGACGATACATACGGAAATAAGGCTACAGGTGAGGGTCGAATAGCTACAGTATAACTTCGAGTCGGCTTATTCAGATGCCGGATTGGGTTCCCCGCTGCCCTCGCGGGTAAGTTGGTGGACGATTCGAACATGGCGTCGCATGTTGCTTCGTACACTGAAGGCACGACCACAACTCTCTTCAGGGCAAATATATGCTGCAAAAAATTAGTCAAGAGAATACCGATAATGAATCGTCTCACGTTTGTCGTTGGTATGAACCGTCAGATGGATTTTCAGTCCACTTGGACGATTGAACCGCTTATTGCAGTAAGGGCACTGATGCCTCGCAGCAGCAGAAGAAGAGGGTGGTCGAGTGGCATAGAACGGATTTTGGGGAACGGTCTGGTGGTAAGAGGGTGTTGTGCGGTATGGACCAAGTTGGGGAGCACTGCTCGGCCTATATGGCATCCGGGTAGCATCGTAGTGAGACGAAGTGCTCGAATAACTGCTAGTAGATGACATGGTGTCGCGTCCAGGGTCTGATTCTGGCGAAAGTCGGTCCATAATGTAAGAGTCTGACATATAAGAAGGCATCCGATAGTAGTCGTTCGGTTGTGGTTGTGGTTGAGGGGGGTACGCATATTGGCGCGTTTGCATCTCCCATGAGAGTCCATTGTCGAGAGGAGGAAGGGTCAAAGAGGGTCTGCGGTAAACTGGGGCAGCGACAGCTGCGACAGGAGCACCGTCTGAAACAAGAAGATGAGCTGATGGCCAAGATCAATGTCCAAGCGACCTACCGAAAATACGACCGATCGAGGGAAGAGTTGGGCGGTCTTCAATGGACTTGTACGAGTGGTACATTTTTTCTTATGGAGGAGAGAATGGGTCAGGTAGTTTGCAATGTAATCTTCTTTATACGGATGGGTTTTTGCACTGCCCTCGTAAGCGAGAGCTCTGACAATCACGACCATCATCGTCGCCCACGCGAGAAAGCCCTAACGAGGGTCTCCTAGAGATGCGCATAGAATTACGAGAAGGCGTGTTACCACACAACGTGCCAATGCAGTGCTCTATACCACCCTCTCACACACCGTTTCACCCGATCCGCTCCCGTTAATCGTCAAGTCAAGTCCAGCCGGTCAACTCTACTCCGAACCATATCGCCATCTTTTGCCAGAACTCCTCTCGTGCCTGGTCCACGGCAGTCCCAAACTCGAGTCGACAAAATTCACACGCTCGCATAACTGGTCCTTGGCCGCTATCTCGTGTTTGCATTAACTCGGAATCCAACATCGCAAATAGAGGATCAGAGCTTCGGTGGGTAACCCCATTCACATCACGCAGGATTTCGAAGGTAACGTTTTCAAATGCCGCTTGACAGACCCGTCCGTGACCTACATCTTGGAACTGCCGGTGAAGGCAATTGCTCGACGGTTCCCGCCCCTCTAGCTCGTTGACGATGAATGTTGACAAAAACCGCGAAGCGTGTTCTCTTCCCTTCAAAAGATGCATCAAGTCCCCCTGCGCTAGTTGGTGCAAGACGCCTTGGGAATCAATGTGACCGGCCGTGGTTTCACTAACTGGAGAACGCGACAGATCATAGAATGCAGAAGGCAGAAGTTCTGGCGCGTTTATCGCGCGAGCAAGATTAATCACGAGACTGTTTTTTATTTTCAGACACGGTCAAGCACAAGCCAAAACATACGTACATTGGGTGTGGGTAACGCGAACGCGCATTATATTGCCCGTTATGGGTAGCTTCAGCTTCGCGAATGTCCCATTGCGCGAGTCGTACTGGCCACTGGACACGTTGAAGCTCACGAAGAAGACTTGAACGCAGTTTGACTTCGTATTTGGTCGTCAGACGTAGCAGAGCACTGATGGCAGCAAAGTCAACAGAGTCAAGTTTGGAGTCAAAGCTATAGAAGAGAAAGAGATTGAGCCATTGAAAGGCGCGTCTTGCCAGCTTACAGAACGCCGTCGTACAACGCCGCCAGAAACAAGGCCATTTCTTGAGGAGTGTCTTGGAGAGCGAGAATAGGCCGGCCTTCGAGGCGAATAAGAGGGTCAAGAGACTTGGTCATCTGCTGGAGAGGCGTAGAATGGCGACAAAGGAGCCCTTTGTGAACGAGAAAGTAGACTTGTCCAGTGAGAATTGCAATATTTCCATCCGTGAAGCTGAGATCGGGATGTCGAGTGGGTTCAGACGTAGCAGTAGAGTGGTGTCTATTACTGGCGAGGTCGTCCATGGCTAGAGCGAAACAGGGTTTTCGGTTCAGCTACGAAGTAAAGCCGACGCTTGCCTCAGCTGTCACGCCGTAACGAGTGTCACACATTCAAAATGTCGACAACGACTGAGCCAGCGCCGAGTGTTCGCGTTGTACCCGGCGCACCTCCACCAAAAGAGGTCTCAAATAAAACCGCTCGTAAGAAGCGTAAAGCCAAGACAAAGGTGACCTTCGTTCTCATTTTTTCTTACTCTCTTCACCAACTAACGCCAACTCAGGCTGACGACGACGTGCTTGAATCATCTACCGCCGCTCTAATCGAAACCGCACCTTCAGCTACTGACATTCAAGATGGAGCCGTGGCTACTGAGCTTGTTGCTGAACCTACCACCGCTGAAGAACTAGTAGTCAAACCAAGTCCCATCGTTGACCTCATCTACAAAAGACTAAAAGCCACGTCGAAAAAGATTGTGAGTGGTATATTCCTATTGATATACACGCTTATTCAAGACTTTCAGGGCCGAATATCCACATATGCTGCGACTGACCTGGACAAACTCAACGATGACCAAAAGGCAACTCTGAAAACGCTCCCTGCCCTCGAAGCAGTCCAGAAGGAACTTACCGAAGTAAAGAAGGCCGTTGAGGTATCTTTTACGCTCTCCATGCAACTGGTCAGCGCTGACTTTCTTCGTGCAGACACACGAAGCACAACTGGCCGTCGAAGTAGCTCGGACGCGTCAACAAACAGAGAAAATCGAGGCCGAACGTGTTGCGACTGCTGTTGCAGAAGCAGAGGTGACTTTTCCTTGAGGAACGGTTACTTAAGTTGACTTGTGTTCCAGGACGCCGTTTTGGGCAAAGTATCTAACCTATTGAATTTCTTGCGTTTGCGTCCATTGCTTGCCTCAGGCGAGATTCCCTTTGGTCTTGAAAATGCCGAAGTTAGTGCTGTCTTCGCTGCTTCCGAGATCTTGTTGGGAGAAGCAAGTGAAGCGAAAGATGCCTTGGTGTCTGGTCTTTTGTTTGAAAAAGGAAGCTATGACGAAATTCCATGTGAGTTACTTTAGCTTTTCGATTCTGTGGTCGCTCACAACCGCCAGTTACTCGACTCTTGGAGATTACGCAGCTTTGCTTGAATCCTTTGGCAGCATCTCAGGAGTCGACGACAGAAACGGTTGAACAGAGTATCGATTCGGAGTCGATCGCGGCTCAGCCATTGGGTCTCTCTACCACAGGAAGCTTTGACTTCATGCAAGCGAGCGAATTGGAACCACCTTTCGAGGAGAATGCTGAATGGGTCGAACGCCCTGATGCTGAGCAGCAGGCAGTGCCAGAGCCTGTTAACGGACATGCTGACTCGGTGAGTAATTTTGCCTATTCACTTTTTGCACAAGTTTGCGACCCTGAATCGAGTTCCAGAGCAATGCTGCGATTGATTGGGCTGACGACGAAGGGGGTCTGCCCCCGATAGCTGGTTTACATGCCAAGTTCGGGACTTCTGGCTCTGCAACACCAGTCGTCGCTGATGATGACCTTCAAACCAATGGCCATACTGACTCTGTTGGGACGGAGCCAGCACCTCCAGTCGCTGCTTCGACTGAGGATGATGGATTCACAACAGCTCGCGGTCGTGGTCGAGCAAGGGGTGGTTTCCGTGGGGGAGATTTCAGAGGGGGAGATCGCGGGAACTTTAGGGGCGGATTCAGAGGTGGAGATCGTGGTTTCCGTGGAGGAGACCGCGGCCGTGGCGGTAAGAGCATGTTTTGACGATCATTTCTTTTCCTAACCCAGATATCAGGTTATCGTGGACGTGGTGATTGGAGAGGTGATGGTGAACGTGGCCGCGGGCGCGGGCGTGGGCGTGGCGACAGAGGAGGTCACGTTCCAGCTGCTACTACTGCTTGACAATATCTTGGACGTTAAATCAGAATTGCTCTTCGTGTGTTTTTCAAGGTCACGTGCGGATTCTCCTTGATCATGAACCTCAACTACTCTCTCTATCTTGTGACGGATCGACGCTTACTACCTCCCCACAAGACTTATTTGGAGTCTCTAGAACAAGTCACTCTTCTCTCTCCCATTCGACTGGGTCATTTCAACGATGTAGGCTCTCCAAGGCGGAGTAACTGTTGTGCAGCTCCGTGAAAAGGATGCTGATACTGCCGAGGTCAGTCCCCATGGTGTAGCTTGTGAAGTTGACTTTAATCATATAGTTCCTCCGCATTGCCCAAGAGACCAAGGCACTAACCGACAAATATAATATACCACTCATTATCAATGACCGAATTGATATTGCGGCTGCAGTCAACGCTTACGGTGTTCATCTCGGACAAACGGACATGCCAATCGCCATCGCCCGAAGACTTCTTCCCAGCGGGACAATCATCGGAATTTCATGCAACTCTGTTGAGGAAGTTCGTCAAGCCCGGGAGTCGGGTGCAGACTATGTTGGCCTGGGGGCTGTCTGGGACACGCAAACAAAGAAGCTGACAAAGAGCCCTATAGGAGTGCGGGGTCTTGGTCTTATGCTACGAGAGTTGGATGGTAGTGCTATCAAGGCGGTTGCCATCGGTATTTGCCTTCTTCTCGTTGCCTTCCTTCCTTCTTCTAATGTTTGCTGTCCCTAGGCGGCATCAAATCAACCAACTTGGTCATTCTTACTTATCGTCCAGTCAGATCGTAACCTTTCTTATTCCCGTGAATAGGCTCGACTACTGCACGGTTCAAGCTCAGACACCAATCATCGTCTTGATGGCGTCGCTGTCGTTTCCGACATAGTATCTTCCTCCAATCCTCTTCTTGCTGCCCGGAACCTCAAAGACATTTTTAACGCGTCTCTAACCCTCAATCCATTATTCTCGTCCAATGACGACATTCTTGATCGTGCCCTTCGTATCAGCGCCGCCGTCCGCAATACAAGACCCCTTGTCCATCAGGTTTGGACTTGTTGCTCCGGTCTCGCAGTTTGAATCGAAACGTTTAGATGACCAACATTGTGGTTTCACACCAAAGCGCTTCGATGACGCTCGCTTTGGGTGCTTCACCAATCATGGCCACCGCACCAGAAGAAATGGCCGATCTCTGCAAGATCAGCAATGCGTTACTGGTTAATATTGGAACTCTGATGACATCCACGTTAGAAGGGATGTTGAAAGGTGGCGTCTTTGCCAATGCATCCAAAATACCTGTGGTTTTGGACCCTGTTGGCGTTGGAGCGTCGGCTTTTCGCAGAGACAGCGTCAACAGTAAGAATACTGCCAATCATCTATGGTTTGGTATCTCACGAGTTACTTATAGAGCTGCTCGATCTATGGCAACCCGCCGTCATCAAAGGGAATGCCGGAGAACTGGCTGCCCTCGCGGGCTCTCAAGAAGCCGCTGGTCGCGGTGTTGACAGCGTCGGCGGTTTCGCAGACCCTTCCGAATTTGTGCGAAGACTAGCTAAAAAGGAACATTGTGTTATCGTTTTGACCGGCAAAACGGACTACATCTCTGATGGCGACCGAGTTGTTGCGATCCAGAACGGTGACCCGTTACTGGGCAGTATAACGGGCTCTGGGTGTATGCTTGGATCTTGCATCGCAGCATTTTGTGCCGCCACAAATCTAGGTGATGATGATAATGCTGCTAGACTGACTCGAAATGGCGATTTTTTGGCAGCGGCTGTTGGAGCGTATGTCCTCACCCGTTCTTGCCAGTGATAGCTATAGATACTGACTCCTTTGTAGGGTTTTGACGCTGACGGTCGCATCTGAGCTTGCCGCCAAGAAAGAACAAGTCCATGGAATCGGAACCTTTCTCCCAGCATTGATAGACGAAGTTAGCGTCCTAAGTCCAGATGTTGTTCGTAGACTAGCAAAAGTGGTACAAATCCAATAGCTATCATGTTAAAATACGAGAGAACGGCATAGCGTCGGTAGGCTGGAGCCAGTTCTTCGAATCGTATCCAGCGCTAGCTTCAATCATGTGGAACGTATAGGCAAAGCGGGTCTTCTCGGAAAAATTGTGCTCAGATTTGTGAAGTACACTTCCGTGAATCAAGACAAGGTCCCCTGCATGCGGGTCAGTGATCGAGGCAAAGTTGGATGTGCAATAACTTGAACCTGGTTGACACGTTTCAAGAATATAACGACTCTGTGAAGCCTGCAATTCCGCTGAGACACGGTCGGCCACTTCCTGGTCGACGAGAGGCTCAAACCCGGTACCGCCACCAGGAAGCCGAACGAAGCGTTTGGTGATGGGTGTGGAATGTGAGCCAGGGAGAAAGGACAGTGCGCCATTTGTGGCAGTACATTGCTCTAAGGCAATCCAAAACCCAAGTGCACTCGGAGGGTTGGTATACTGCCGTATTGTCAGCCCAGGGAGTAATTTTGCGTGGGTGGTACCAAAAAAGTTCTCCAAACAGTGATCAGCATACAACTGCGAGGCCGATACGAGATGACCTACGAGTCATTATGTTCTCCAACTGATGAAAGAAAGTGAGCTTCACGCTGTCGGCCAGCATTATATACCAGATAACACACCTTCACCACCTGGTTATGATGAGGATGTGTGCAAAACGGAACATGAAGCTGCTCACCGATTCGCGGCTGCTTGGTAATGACCATGGATTGAAGAGCTGTGAAGAGTAACAGTCCCCAATCAACGAGGCAGCCACGCTATCTGCCTACCTAACGGATCCTTGTGAAAACCGAGATCGCGGACCACAGTACGCATCCGCTCATTCTCAAGCGTCACCTTGTAGTATTCTGAGCAATTAGTGAGAGTAGTTGGCACCGCTTACTTTTCGAAATATGGGATCAAGCTCATGAAGCGCTAGAGGTTTCGTTTGAGCATTTTGGAGAAAGAGTTCGAGGCATGTCATCTCACCGTGACCAATTTTGTTCACTGCAAGCTCTTTGGGACGCGTTAACTTATGGTCGACGACTGCGTCTGCTTCAAGGAAGTACCGGCTGATCGAGAGTCAACGTCTGTTTGGATCTGACTCGAACGCATGCACACATTTTGTCGCCAGAATTCAGAAAATAGTCGTCACCAACATGGTCTTCATCCCCCGTTGTGAACCTGGTCTGAACTGGTGACAAATCGTTCTCTGAATGTGACAACTTAGGCACACCAGAGGGTGATCTTCGATGTTGAATTCGTTCAGCAGTTCTTTCGAACGAGCCAACATTGCGCCAACATCCTCTTGCGAGACAAAACCGCGGAGAACTAGGTATCCGTCGCGATAGAACTACGTGAATCAGTAAATAATTCCAGCACCTACAAAAATGCCAACACGGTCTTTCTGTTCAGGAGCAAGCATGATAACGATAACGTGACTCGAACGGCGCTGATGTCAGCGTACTCAGCAATTATTGCTCGTGGTATATACTTGCTGTTAAACTAGTGTGCAGACCCATCTTCATCCTCCGATAATGATTCTCCTCGAGCCAAACGTTGTTGGTAGTGCTCAATGCGACCTGAAACACCATCAACTTAGTAATCCAATGCAGTCAAACTTAGACCTCACTTTTGTGTATGCGATAATGTTCTTGCCACCCCTTCCATGGGTGATGGGAATGCTTCAGACTGATTGAGAAAGGGAAAAGAAAGGGAGCAAGAGGTAGGCGTACAATCTGCGCGAAAGCTTGAAATATCTTGTCCGAGGTGCCTTGAATTTCATTCAAGAAGTACTTGGCCTGGTTGTTGGTCAGATTTTCACCTTACTCCCTTTGAGTTTTGGACTGACTAGAATGATATCATCGCTACGACCATAGCGCAGTTTTTTCCCCGGTGGTTGCGCGACGGGAACGGGGGCATCAGGTCCCCTTTCGAGTTCGTGTTTGTGTCGGCGCCAAAACTTCATCCATGACGCCCGGGAGTGATGTGGGGCCTGATTGTCGGAGGTTAACAGAGAACATTTTGGACATTTAGCACTCCACTTTCGCTGCAACATCTTTCCAAAACGCAACCATATCGAGCTTTCCCTGAGACCTAAGTACTTATGTCAACCTTGAATCAAAGCATCAAACAAAGGGAATGACTTGCTTGCGATATGCCAGAAATCGAACTACAAACGTAATATCCTCGTCAGTAAAAGCGACTCCTTTCCCAGTAGTGCTGCGAAAGAGAGCGCGAGGCGGTGTTGGAGATCTGTCCCTTGACGGCGATACATCGACGGCCCCCAACGCATGAATGGAACCTCCGGGTAGTCGGACAGATGGCGGTGGTTCAACAACAACGGGAGTCTCTTGTTCTGCGGCGGTGTCTGGTGAATCAGCATTCATTTGATACCCACCCAGGCGGATTTGGTGCTTGTTGCAGTAACGTCGCCAAGAGTAGAAACTATGTGAGGTCGGCAAGAATCGTATTGACTGTCAAGGAGTATCATACGTGTGATGTGGTGCCTAGACGCTTTCAACCCCAGAAAAGAAAATAGAACAGAGAACCTACTTTGACTGCTATCCGCTCGCAAATTTCACGAAGACTTGCATATGTCAGACAATTGACGGATGCAATGGAAGGCTAACCTGAGGACGAGGCCGCTTTCGTGACAGTACTTGATGTATTTCTTCAAATAGACGACGTCGTCCGAAGTGAATAAGTTTCCGCCGTAGGTGCTCTTGACTACTCGGGTGGGAGGAGAGGGTGATCGTGCAGGGAGTCGGCTGTTAGCGACAAGAGAGGAAGCTGGAGGAGCGGGGGTGGCCTAGAGCAACTAAGAAAACCATTCGCCGGTTCAGAAAAGAAGCAAAGCTGACCACAGTCCTAGCGCGTTTGCGGCCCCTGGTTTTATCTGTTGGAGGCGTGGATGGACCGGCTTCCGGGCCTGAGTTCTCTTCCTCAATGAAGGTTGGTTGATAAGACGCAGCGAACTGGGGACAGTTTAGCTGATGGGCATTAGACATTCAGATTGCCTACGGTGTGTCCATAAAATGAACCATCCGCAGGCCAACCACTTGCGTCTTGTCGATACCGAGCATAATCATACGAAGACGTTGCACCATTGGGTTGAGGGTAAGAAGCCCAGTTTCGTTGGTCTTCATACTGACCGGTTGATTGAATACCATTCGTCGCAGTGATCTGGGGTTGTTCAGGCGGTGCCGGTTGCCATTGCTGAGCGGCAGCAGCCTGAACTTGGACTTGAAATGCGAAATGCTGGGGATGAGGTGCATGAATTGTGGGTTGTTGCTGTTGTTGTTCTGATGAAGTTGAATCCTGTGATTGACTGTGGTCAAGTTAAGATGCTGTTTTTTCTTCTTGATAGACAAAGAAAACCATACGGTTCCGTGCCATCAACCTTGCAGCCGCCCCAATTATGAGCAAATGTTTGAAGTTGACCAGCTTTGATGCACTCGCGTATCCAGCGGGCATCGAGAACGATTTTGCCCTTCTTGCTAGAGTATTGGTGGAATAGGTTTTGACCAGACTGTTTACGAGGGTCGACTAGATAGAGAGGAATTAATTGATGTCAAGATGATGCCCAAGTTGATGCGACCTAGAATGTAAGGGATGGCACTGTAGCCTGAGACCACTGTGCCGCCATGTTTCTTGGAGCATGAGCTGGATTGGTAAGCACTAATATGTAATACCTTGACGAGTTCAACGAGTTCTGAGCGATCTTCGACATGTTGGTGAATAAATATTTGGAGTGGAGAGCCAAAGATGATGTCGACAAAAAGATCTGAAAGGTCCTGGGCCATGAGGATACAGCAGGTGAGGACCCCAGATGCGGTGTGACTGTGACTGTCACAACACACGGATTCGGAGTGTTACCATCAATCACTCAGCCTGTGTGTTCTCTTCCGCCATCTCGACTATGGCCGCCACCGCTGGGCGCAAAAAGTCTATCATCTCCACAGCTGGTCTCCCTACCGATGCCCCCGTTGCCCATAACACCCTTCTCAACAAGCCCGCCTCAGTTTCGCTTTACCAACGATGTTCGGCCCTTCGAGCCAGGCTGATGCAAGTGCGCGGCTTCGGTTACTACTTTTCCCTCGCCTCCCCCGACAACCGCCAGTCGACCGACCCCGTCACCCAGCTATGGGACCTCTTCTCACTCGGCATTCCCCTCTGTTACATTTTCGATCAACTTCCCGAGGACGGCGGTTTCAATAAAATCAACCACTCCGACTTCAACCAAGAGCAGTATGAAGCCAACCCAGACCGCGCCCAGAAGCATGCTATCGCCCTCTTCGCCATGCAGATCCGTTCAGACAAGGTCGCATCAAACATTCCCGGATGTGAACTCTTCACAGTCACTGACCTCTGGAATCGTGATTCGACCGATGGCCTCGTCAAGGTGCGTTTCAACTGCCTCTTCGATGTCATTCACTGACTCCCATAGGTCGTCGAGACCGTGGCTGCTATCGTCAAACATTTGCCACCAGAGGCGTTTGAGACGTCTCCACCTTCTCCCGCTCTCCTAGCGTCACAAGATTCATATGCTGGCGAGCAAGTACCCGCTCCGCCAGCCAATGCTAAACAAACCGCTCGCATCAATGTCCTTCGTGAGATGGTCGATACGGAGCGAAAATACGTACAAGACCTCGAAGTGATGCAGGTGTGTCTTGAGTCATTCGAGCTATATCCAGCCATCTCACTCTCCTTTCCAGAAATATGCCGCTGCATTATCCCAGAGTAACCTGATTGACCAAGACACCATCCATCTCCTGTTCCCCAATCTCAACAAGTTGCTTAACTTCCAACGCAAGTTCCTCATCAAGTTAGAAGGAATCGCCGAACTCTCGTGGCCAGACCAGCGATGGGGCCAACCTTTCGTGCAGACCGTATGCTCTTTGTTCTCAATATGGGCACCACTTTATCTCACTGTCCTTTCCTTTCATAGGAGGAAGAGTTTATGTGCTATGAACCTTATGCCGCGAACTACACAAACGCCGCCGACCTTGTCTCTGCGAATGAACAGACCCTCGCTGTGAGTAAAGTTGGTCGACTTGGAAACCGAATGTGTGACATCGTGACAGGCGCTCAACCACCTTATCAATGTCAAAGGCCTTGATGCCTTCCTCATCAAGCCTATTCAGCGTATCTGCAAGTATCCTCTCTTGTTCGACGTGCGTATCCGCTCTCTGTCCTGTATCTGTCCGTTCATCACACGCCATTCCAGTCTCTCATCAAAGCTACATCCGCCGCCGAATATGCCTACTTTGACGAATTGGAGGCAGGGTCGCAAGCTGTTAAACGAATAGCCGACAAAATCAACGAAGCGCGACGTCGTGCCGAGAATGAACAGACCGTCAAGTCTCTTCAATCCCGCGTTGACGATTGGAAAGGCCATCATTTGGAAAACTTCGGCGAACTTCTACTTGATGATCTATTCGTGGTGACCAAATCCGACATCGACCGGGAGTATCATGTTTTCCTCTTCGAAAAGATCATTCTTTGTTGCAAGGAGGCTCTCGCGGCTCCTCCAGGCAAGAAGGTCAGCAAGAGCAACTCGATACTGAAGAAGCAGTCGGCCCCTCCCACCCTTTCTCTCCCCGGTGGTGTTGGACAACCCCAGCGACGAAATACTCCTCTTCTTCTCAAGGGTCGAATCTTCCTTGGCAACGTAACTCAGGCTGTCCCAGTGTCGCCCAGAACCTCTACCGGTCCGTAAAACCTTGTTTCACTTTGCCGGATACTCATTTCCGATCAATGCAGCTTCAGGCATTCCAACCCACTATCCTCTTGCAGTGTGGTGGAAAGGCGATGACGATCTTGAGTTCTTTACTCTCCGCTGTCGCACTGAAGATCAGAGGCGACAATGGGAAACCCAAATCAACCGGCTCATTCGTGAGTCTGCTCAGCGTCGGGCTTCTGAGCGTGGTATGTCGAAGATTGCCAACAGCACCAATCCGCGTCAGCCTTCGTTGTTTGCCACCGCTTCCCAGACATCAGGCTATATGTCTCAGGCCAACTATTCTACTCGTAGCCGCGGCGACAGCGTTTACAACCAAGCTCCACCAGCTGGCAATAACTTCTATGGTGGACCCCAAGGGTATCCACCATCGGACAACTTTGGCTTTGATCCTGATGAAGATGACCTTGAAGACTACCCACCTTCGAATTATCCCCCATCCGGACGAGGAACCCCTATGGGTAATCGCCGCATGAACGCACAGAGTCTGCCTCCTGAACACGACGCTATTCCAGGCTACGACCGACCACGTGCTGTCACAGAAGACACGAATGGTCCAGTTATGGCCCAATGGCGCAACAATAACCTCCCTCCCTCTGCCGCAGCCACCGTTCGTTCGCGGCAGAATCGTATCAATTCAAGTGCATCCAGCTATAGTCCATCTGAGAATGGCAGTATTGGAGCAGGCCAACGTCCCCGTCCCCCTCTTCGCAGTCAATTCAGCTCCACAAGACTTGGCTCTGACTTCCGTACTCCCGGTTTACCGCCAGCGCCATCACCTGCCCCATCATCAGCTCTTCCTCCGGCTCCCGCACCCATTATGAGTAGGTCACGGAGTGCAAGTCAACCTCAAGCATATGTTCCTCGCGCCGTACCCCCACCACTTCCAGTTAACAACAACAACAGCAATCAATGGAATAGTTCGAACAGGCGAGAGAGTGGTTCTAGTCAATCGACCGGCGACAACAGCTCTGATTATTCGCACTCGCCTAACAGTTCTTCACCAATCACTCCATTCGACTCGAGTGAATCTTCGTTGACTGGCTCGTCTATGCACAACGGAGCTGGCAGTCACTCACCGTACCCACCTGTCAAGATCAAAGTCTATTTCCACCAGGACATCTTCGTCATTCAGGTCCCTAGAATGACCGAATATGAAGACCTCGTTGAGAAAGTGGGACGGAAAATCCGGTTATGTGGCCCTCGTCGTGACGATGGCCCACTCCGGGTCAAATATCGAGATGAAGATGGTGACATGGTCTCATTAGGCTCAACAGAGGACGTGCAAATGGCTTTTGAGCACTATCGTCCTGGTGGACAGGTTACGCTCTACGTCACATGACCGTCATTGTCCTCTTGCTTTCACGACCCTGGCATTAATTCATTTTCAAATACTCTCGCAGCTCTTAATCTTGGGATCCTACCTGCACACGCTCGTTCCCGTTTCTGTATCAACACCCAATCACGATCCTTTCTGGCCTTTTCTGACCTTATCTATTCTTTCGGAGACGTCATCTAACTGTTATTTGGTTCTGTGGATTTCGTTTACTTCGCGTTACTGTTGAGGAGTTTCGCTCGCTGTAAACTGTACTAGAAAATGCATGCTCAGTGGAATGACAGCACGTGAGCGTGACCGGAAGTAAAACCTCTCTACACAATGCCTAATAGTCGTCGCAAATTAAAGAGACGCTTTAGCTCTGCATCTGTGGCAGACGTTTACTCTAGGCTACCTCAGCCATCCTTCAGTCCCGCCACAATAGACCGCCCTCATATATATGCCTCGCTTCCTCCATCACCTGTTTCGCGTTCACCACCAACTCCGCCTCTGACCCCCCTCACCGCCGTTTCTGGCATATCTTTATCAGACTCACAGCAACCAGTCCCATTCTCTATATGGGACTACCTACGCGAAGAACTACTTGCTACCGACTTCGACTCACACCAAGAACTCAAGTGGGACCGCGTCAGCAATTTTCTTCAAATACCATTAGCGATAGAAAAGGTGAGAATTGTCCGTAAAATGAAACATCTACTCTTTAAATTCTCAGATAATTGGCTTCGGCTTTGTCTTGTGTCTCGACTCATTCCTCTACACCTTTACGATTCTCCCCATCCGCTTCGCCCTTGCGTGGCCGAGACTCTTTCTCAATACGCTCTCAAGATCAGCACCCCCACTCCCCCCATCGCAGAAAGCGGACATCCTGCGAATGCTGTTACTCGTGGTTTCCGTCCTCATATTGACGCCTCTTACGGACGCGAGCAAAATTTACCATTTCATTCGTGGTCAAGAAACCATCAAGCTCTATGTCATCTTCAACGCTCTTGAAGTTAGTGTGTTCGTACCCAGGCAAAAGTAAATTAGCCAGCCTTGACCCTTTCAAGATTGGAGACAGGCTCTGCGCTTCAATTGGACAAGATGCGCGTTATGCTTTGCTCATACATCCATACCTCGTGGCTTACACTCTCTAGATCTTGGACTGCTTGTTTTCACGTTCCACCCTTGAGCCACTATCTCATAGGATTCCTGTGACATCCCACACCTTTCGTCCCTTACTCTTCTTTGTGTTGGCAACGCTGTACAATGGTGCGCGTGCAGTAATTTCCAAAAAAATACGTGAATAATAATAAAAAACTGGTCCAGTTGCACATTCTCTTGTGATGGTCTATCAACTCATCGCGTTAAACGTCGCTGTGAACTCTTATGACCATGCGCTTCTTACCCTCTTGGTGTCGAATCAGTTCGTCGAGATCAAAGGCAGCGTTTTCAAAAAGTTTGAGAAGGACAACCTCTTCCAGATTACTTGCGCAGGTGAATCCTGAGTTGATGCTGTTCCCTTGAGAGTAACCATAATCAGACATCGTTGAACGGTTCACTCTCGCTCTAATGTTGTTTGTTGTGGCTTTCAGGAACCTTATAGAGCTGAGCGGCTCAGAATTCAGCTTTACAGAAGGCTTTATCCTCCCCAAGAGCTTTGGCTGGGTCTGGGGCAACAATATTCTGTGGACAATCTCATATGTCAGTTTTCGCTGATTCCTTGTCGTGAACCCTAACTTGTCAGCAGCCTGTTTTGACTGTTCTGGTCTCTGAAATGCTCGTCGACTGGTTGAAGCACGCGTTCATTACCAAATTTAATCATATTCGGCCTTCCGTTTACGAGCGGTACACTGATGTCCTCTGTCGTGACCTGGCCAGCGGCAGTGCTGTAAACCGTCGTGGGGCTCGTAAGGTAAGCCTGACTTGTTGTCTTGGGCAAGTTCCGACATCATTACAGCACGCCTATGTTGATCAATCGCCTCTCGTCGCCCGACGCTTGGGCTTTGCATCGTTGCCTCTCGCAGTGCTCGCCATCCTCATTGGGTCGCAGTCCGTAGGCGTGGTACTCACCCTTCGCTCAGCCAGCTGGATGTCGTTGTCGAGCGCCGAGATTTTGCACTATCTCAAGTGGGCAACGATGACAGCCTTGTTCTGGCTTTGGTAACCAGCCCTTGGTCTAAACTCGATCTATGTGCTGATCTGTTTTCCAAGTTTTGTGGTGGTCAAAGTCATCCTTGGCGTTAACCTTTTAAGTTATGCAGCACGGCGCAAGGCAGGCATGGATGCTCGTGAAGTGGAGGACAAAGTGAATGACTTTGGTCGCGACCCGATCGGGGAAGGCCGAGAAGAACAAGTCAGTCTCTCGGAGGTTTATGACATTGTCTGACCAAGAGTTCTGCAGCGATATAACCGTGAACTTAAGACACTTCTCGACAATAAGCGGGACGACGCGCCAAGGTTACCTGACATGGGGGAACGGCGACCAGAAGGAGGAGGAGGTAAGAAGGAGAGAGTCAAATTAGAAGATCTCACGAGATTTACAATGGTGAAAAGAATATGGTAGAGTTGTCTTGATGGTATTTTACACGCCGAGCAAGTCCACGTCGCTGAAGTAGATGGTGTTTCTTCCCTGGCGGCTGCTTGCCAGCCGGGTATGGTCGCGATCAGCTCTGAGAGGTAGCCGCCTCCCCATATCGTCATAGAATGAATCTACGGGTTGCTTCTTCTGGAGAGGAACGTGGCTGTGAATGTCGGAAACGGTGAGTGGCTTGCGGCCTTTATAAACAGGTTTGGTCCATGACGATTCAGTGGCGACCGGCGCCGAAGCTTTCCCATTACTACGAAAAATCAACAATTTGCCACTTTACTGGTTGGGTGCACGGACCTGCGAAAGAGGTTTTTGACTTTGGTGGAAAGAGCGTTCATCAGTTTAGTTCAGATGTTGGGAGCTTGCAAGAAAGTCTGGTTTTATACCTACACGCTGTGACCCCTTCGTACAAAGCAGTATTCGAAGAATCCACTGAAGAAAGAAAAAAAAACGCTTGGATCAACGTGACCGCGTTATTCGGTAGACGGGTGATTCAACCTGAAAGCGTCAAAAGCGTCAACCAAAGCTTCATGGTGCCAACCATACCACTGATATACGACACGACTGTCCTTTCCTCTGAATGCTGGATCAGCTGCTGTCTGAGAATATGTAGATACGACTGCGTCTCCCAATGCGAGTTTTACGCCGACTTGATGCGCTGCTTGAGTGGCCAATCGGACGTCTTTCTCCATGAGCTCCACCTGAAGAATCATCAGCCTTCTGCCCTTCGCAGGAAACAAACAGACCTTGAAGCCACCTATATATCCTTTGCTCGTCGCTGCATCAGGGCACACACCAGGCACGGGGTTCATAACCTTGTTAACCCAGTTCGCGCCAGTGCCTTTATCGAAGGTGTCGCTGAGAAGTTTTGGTTCAATCCCAAGCTTCATTCCAATGGACATTGCCTCCGATAAGGCGATCGCGATGCAGCCACTCAAGTAGTTGTTGGAAAGTTTAGCAGCCAAGCCTAACCCCTTTCCTCCCATTGCGTTGACAGTCCTTCCCATGGTGGAGAGAATCGTCTGGATGACCGGGAAATATGGGTCCTCTGGAGCTATTCCGACCATGAACGTAATCGTGCCTTTGGCTGCCCCAGCCGTCCCTCCAGATACCGGCGCGTCAACAAAACAGGCCGCTTTTGCGGAAATGACTGCTGCGCCGACCTCCGAGGAGGTTTCGAGGTCAATTGTCGAGCTTTTCCTGCTTTGAGTACAGAGTTTACGACGAGGTGGAAGAAATACCAGTCAATAAATGTCTTGCCTATGATGTCTGCGGCCAAGATGCCAGATTCCTCATCCAGATATACCTGTCGAACGTGTTTACCTACCAAAGGCGGGTCAGCAGACACGTATTGTAGGATATTTGGGTTGACTGGCCCTCAGGGACGATGGTGAACACCCAATCCTGACGACATGTTAGCGTTTTCTTTTGAAAATGGGGCACCTACAGATTCGAGCGCGGTTTGTTTCGCGTTGGATGCTATTTTAACGCGCTCTGGTTCCTCACTCGCAAACTTTTCAAGGAGGGACTGTTCGATGTCATAGACCGTTAAAGTCGCGCTAGAATAATTAGCCAGTAGCTGCTTGGCCATAGGCCATCCCATGGCACCCAACCCAATCCATCCTAGTCGTTGAGGCGGTAACATGAGAGAATTTGCGAGGGAAGGTAGGCCGTGTGATTCTGGCGTGAAGCTTGAGCCGCGCAACTGACCATGGAACGGCCAAACGAGAATGCCCACCAGGAGTTGTACGATGCAGGTATGGAATACCGCCGCAAAGTCATGGTAGGCGACAGAGTTATTGCGTTTGCCAGGTTGACCTCACCACATTAGGGAGATGAATACGTCAACAATCAGCTTAAAAATGGCGTTTCCGAGTTTATGAGGCCAATGCAGCAGGTGAGCAGTGCGCTAGAAGCAGGCTCGAGTCCGACTCGACGGTAGTTGACGACAGAGGTTCGCATCTGTCGCATCTGGTTCTCTATCCGCTGAAGTCCATTAAGGTTGCCTGGGGTACCATATGGACTAGACGAAAGTGATCCCCTTGTTTAAGACGGCGCGGTATTAACCGTTCCACAGCCGGGTTGGAGCTCAAACAGCGAAGCTTAATCAATCTGGCTCTTCTAGCATCGCAAGGCAAATCGGAGGAGGTATCAATGAACAGCATGGCCAGTAACCCTCACTAACGCGACTAAGCTGGCTGGTCATGTTAGAGGTGCGATCATGAATGGGGCTACGGAGATGTGCGTACGTTGAACCCAGTAAGAGCAGCTAAAGCCAACCCACCAACAGTGAAATCCGCGAAACATTATTGCAAACGGCTGTGTACTGTGGTATACCCACAGGCATAACCAGTTTCCGCATAGCAGATGCTGCCATCGCGAAGATGAAAGCAAGCGGGGAATTTCCAGAGAGTAAATGAAGAATTTGTAGTTATCGTTGTAACACCGCGACCGTGACAGCTAAAAGTCCCTTGTTCTCGTTTCCCATATACCCGTGGCCATGGCCTCTCTTCACTCTCTTGCGTCGATCTGGTTTTCGCTTTGTGCAACCGTCCTCCTCGTCCGTGGCTATTACCTATTCCAGATTTCTCTCATTTCCTAGACATTTGTATCTGTATCCGCCCCAGTTTGGGCCAAAATCTATTTTTTACGCGCTGGGTCCGTCGTTTTTGGCGTCTGGGGATTCTCTGGAAGCCATGTCTCTGTCGGATACCGGTTTGACGCGGTGGCCAACTTCAAGTAGGTTGTAACGAGGTCTCGATTAGCACTTCCTGACCATACTTGAAGCCCTAGAACACTCGATACCCCACTCTTTCTCAATCTCACTCGTGCTCTCATCCTTCACCCAATCGCGGCCGGACTATCAGCTCTGTCTCTCATTTCGGGGCTGCCCATCTACAGTCGCATGGCGTCGTCTTCCACAGTGTGAACACTTTTTCGCCCCTTGGTTGATCTTCTCACTCGTCCAAAGTTTGTTCAGTGCTCTAGGCTCTGTCGTCTGCCTTCTCGCTTTCCTCTTCGATATGGTTCTATTTGGCGTGGCCCGTACCGCTCTAAAAAAGCAAAATATCGAAGCAGACTACGGCAACGCGTGTTGGTTGACCCTGGGCGGACTCGTCTCTCTCTCTTGCGTATTCGCTACCGCTTCGTGCGGTGTTATCGGTCGTTACCGGAAATCAAGGAGGACTCATCTGTGAATCTGTATCAACACCACTTACTTGTATTCTACTGTACTTGGGCTGCATCGTGCTAATGGGGTCTTTTTTTTGTCCAATGGCTCGCCAGTCTCAACTCCAAAAACCGCACCCCGCCTCTCTGCGAAGATAGGGCTCGTCTTTCGCACTGGGGTTTGCACTAGAAGCATTCGTTGAATAAACAGCAGCAGATTGACAGTGAAGAAAGCAAGGCCCTCACGGGTACATAGGACGAGTCGGTTCTCCATATTGATCTTCTGCCATTATGTAGGACCAATCGTCAACATTGAAACCCGACGGCGCCGTTGACCACATAGACAAAATGCTGGGGTCATCGCTAGTGCCAACACCAATGCCCGTTTGCAGCATCGTCTCATTGAGATTGCCTAGACCTTGGGAAATCTCCGTCAGGGAACACAAAGGGCGAGTCAGTGTTCAACAAATTATCGAGGTTGGGAAAGTTAGAATAAGACCACTGCCAGCAATGAATGTTAGCGTCGACTGTTACAGAATGGCCCAAGGCTTACGTCCTGAGCTGAATATGCTTCGTAGCCAGGCTGAGGCGAAGGGGGCACAACCGTCAACGCAGGCGGCTTCATATCGAGGAGAACTTCAAGGGTATCTCGAGCTCCAGCATCCATCAATCGCGTGAGGATGTCGCTAACGGATTGTCCAGAACCAGAGCTAGCGGTTCAATTCAAGAGTTACCTGTAACGTCCTGCTACCCGATGTCTACCGACGACATCATGTAAGAAACCCAACGCGAAAAAATCAAACAACGCACTGTTCTTCGCCTGACCGCAAAAGCTTCAGACACATCTCAACTTGCTCCAATTCTTTGACTGGATTGTAAGCGAAACCGGATCGCTTCCCGCTCCATGCGTTGAGCAGGAGGACAATGCCAGCCGTGAATGCCATTGTCTGCAAGTGGTGGGTATGACAACCGATGTTATCTTCAAGCCTACCAAGAAGAAGGATTCCAAGTGTTCGTTGCGTTTCAACAGCGCTTCGAAGATCCCGACGACAGAGCGTGCCGCACTGGTACATATAGCAAGGGAAGGGAGAGCCCCGGCTTTTGTGAGTTCGAGAGGAGCTGGAATGAATGGCCGATGAAGGAGGATCTGGACGTAGAAAAAGCCTGCCCAACCTTGATGAGCTGAAACATGATAACGACGAGGAAATTTTCATACGAGTGTGCAGTAGCGCTGACTGGTGGAAATGAATCTTGTCTTGACGCTCTGGGTCCCATTTTACTGAAGACTGTAAGACTGAGAGCGTGACGTTGAAGACCACCTACGATGGTCTGGAACCTGCGACAACCAAGAGTTGAGTGATGAATCGAACGCCATTATGCTCTGTGCGTCCGAGGGAGAGGAGACTTGACCAGAGAAGTCCCTTGGTTTCCGAGTAATGTACTAGAAAAAAGAGTTGAGCACAAACTACTTTGAGAAAGTCTGAAAAATGACAATGTTGCTCGTGACCGCAGCTTGAATTTCAAGTAATTTGATTAAATATATAAAATATGTCAGCTGCGAAGGTTTATTGCTGGGTTGCTCAAAATTGGTGTCCCAGAATTCGTCATCACACTCGATGGGATAGACTTGGTCAAAACTTGATTACGAATCAGTCATGACGAACACGATCCAAGGGTACTTGACACACTCTTGTTCATGCATCGCAATGGGTCGCCCTGTAGTGGTACCTGTGTCCCATTCTTGACATAACAAGACCCTAGAAACGCGCGATATCAGCGAATACTTGCTGGGAAATGTCATTGATTCACCAGAACACTCTCTTCCATCGCTCATTGTCGGCAGAGTTGGACAATGCATCCTTCCGCCGCCGATGAGCCCCAACATCTTGAGCCCGTCGTAAACCAAAGCCAATTTGATTCCAGCCGATCGCTGTTGATGAGAGGCCTTGAAGGTATATGCTTGATAGTGCTATTGTTTGTAGCTCATAGAGGTCTGGCTTGTAGATCAAGTTCTTGGGTAGAACGCGAACTTGATTATGCCATTTCCAGCCGGCGGTATGACGGAGGAAGGAGTTGTCGAGCAGCACATTAGGATCTTCTGAATGACGTGCTCCTAGAGCACAGACCATGAGTAACGTGGCTGCGAATCGATGATCCCGCAAGTGTAGCTCGTCTGCGACCTGGGTCTTTGGGAGGGTTGAAAGCTAAATTCTATCCAAACAAAACTTACGCGGAAAGTGGGTTGATGTAGAAGTGGGTAATATGGATGTATTCGCTGAGCCGGTCATATCAATGCGGTTTTTTAGGACAAAAGTAAAGCCTTGCCTCGAAATAGAGGTCGATTAGGGATGTCATGAGCGCGGGTTCCGGGAATTCATATTTGGGACTATCATCTCCCAAAGGCGGGTATATCCACTATGACATGATCAGAGAATTCAACAAGACGAGCAAGAAGTGCGTACAAAGGCGGGCTGCCAAAACTCCGTCCTCTTTTGTAGTCTTCGGGTAATCTCTGGTGCAATACCTGTGAGGTTACTTTGGAAGTTAAGCGCAACCTGGACGAGCTGAATTCCACTTGGATTGGCCTCAGTAATGCGAGACCATCCAGACTGCAGGCTAAGCACCTCGATTTGCCGAAAAATCGGTTCTTCTCTGGATCGAGCTGTAGCTTACTGAGGGTCTGCGCAATAGAGTCTGCATCATTTCGTGGAAGTGCTTCAACGGGATGTGGACGGAGAGGCTCTATATCCGTGTCGTTTTCTAAATGTTCCGTAAAATCTATTCCAGGAAGGAGCTGAATGATAACGTGAGCAAGGCCTGAGTCATTGATCTGAGTCTATTCACTGGACCTTGCGGAGCAATGCCTCCATCTTCTCGACGCGCTGTTCCAACGCCGCAACATAGCTACTCAACTGTTAGAAACGAGGCGCAAAGGAGCCGGGAAAACCTTTTGGCCGAAGATAAAGTCTTGTTATGTTTGTTGAGCAAGTGGTAACGGATAAAGATTCGAATTAGCTGCACCTTGAATATATCTGCATGAGTGCAGTCGATTCCGTTGCGAACACAGTGGCTACATCGAGTTCCTGGTTGTCCACCATCACCTTAGTTGGGTTAGGCAGGGTTTATAGAGGCACTAGAAGTCATACACCGAACTGGTTACAGTTCATTGAGCTGCCTGTTCAAATGTCAAGAACCACTTACTCACTCTTCCTCCGTTTGCAAAAGTCACAAGCACCTACAGAGGGCGGTTAATATTAGCCGTTGGTAGTATTCTTTAGATGGACCTAGTAGTCGACGCTTGGTGCGCGGTTCAGACATGGTCTTCAGTAAGAGAGTTCGGGCCGATGTGCGAAGTGATGAAGTTACACAGCCCCCGACGCGGTCAATAACATCTTGTGACGTTGTGACTCTACCCGACTCTAGCTTGGCAATGACAGTGCCTCACCTCTTCCTTGTTGACCATGAAAAGGATTAAAACAACAGTCTTGGGAGATGATGGGGTTGGGAAGGTAATCTTAAATAAATCCTCACACCTGGAATTTGAATAAAATTCAGACCTCGATGCTTTACTCTTACACGAGCAAGAAGTTTCCGGCGGATTATTGCCCCTCTGTGAGTTCACTTGCATCTCGGAGATTCTTATCCTGATCTGCAACCAGATTTTTTGCAGCTACGCGGAAAATGTCGTCGTAGACGGAGTGCCTTACAACCACGGACTATTCGATACGGCAGGTGGGTTCTGAATGAGCGTGATATCTGTTTCTGAAGCGTCGAATAGGGAGTGAAGAATATGATCGCCTGCGTCCGCTCAGTTATCCGCTTACCGATGTCTTTCTTGTCTGCTTCTCTGTCGAATCCTTCTCTTCCTTCGAGAGCTGTCGCACTAAATGGTTTCCCGAGGCTGAGCATCACTGTCCTGGAGTCCCCCTGATCCTAGTTGCGATGAAGACCGACCTTCGTGACAATGCTGAGACTGTCGAAAACCTGGCGAACGAACACCGTCGTCCTATTTCTGCAGAACAAGGTTTGCGTCTTTCGCGCGAGCTCAGCGCGTCAAGATATGTGGAATGCAGCGGCCTCACTCAAGAAGGATTGAAGGAACTGTTCGATGAGGTGCACTCTCCATTTTCAGCGAGTTTGAACGAATAACAATCTCTCCTTAGGCATTTGCAGCTGCAATAGAGGGGAAAGCAAAGCGAAAGTCACCTTCTCGGTGCACCATTCTATGATAGCAATACTTGGGGACAGTAGGTTTCCCAGGGTAATGCCTTTCTCCCTTATGAACCCATTGGTTAACTATTATATTCCAGGTATTGGGTATTGTACTATGGATACAGTTATTGTGTGCTCTTGAAAAAAAAGAGTCCGCGTCACGATCTCTACATGGCTCCCCACTCAAAACAACTGAAACAAAGTCACGGCAACCAACGCGAAGCATGTCTTCAACCAGCTGGAAGAGTATGAATCTGCATTGCCCGGCAGCCCAGGCAGCCCACCACCGCCACTACCAGTCGGTCGAGCGCCGCCAGTACCAGTACCAATCGGAGAGGCTCCACTTGTCTTTGGTGCCTCTGCGCCAATATACTGCTCGCCCAGATCATTGAGCTTGCCATCGTTGGTCAGCATCGCATCGAGTGAATTAATGTTGAGGTCTCCGACTCGCATAGTACCATACCAGGCATATCGCTCTACCCAGTCCTGCGAATCCATGAAGGCTTGTGTCTGATTCAGCAACAGGGCTATGTCTGGGGCGGTGCATTGCGGTCCGTTGTTGAAGTTCTGACATGCCCATTCGGTCACCCATATCGGGAGATTGAACGTCGAGTGGAAATCGTTGAGGTAGTTGATGAAATGTGTGGCGTTCACGTCATACCAGTCTATGCTGTTGCCTTAGCAGCGGACGTGAAGAGCTAAGAAACAAACTGACGCAACGCAATGAAGTCGACAGTGCAACCACCAGCGCAGGCTGTCAAGAAATCTTGAATCCACGTCTTTCCTGACGGTGCGCTCGATGGTGCTGGACTGCCTAATCTGATTCCCTGAGCGCGTAATGGCTCCAGATACGTTTTCCACATATCAGCACCTTGCTGAGGTGTCAGATTCGACTGGCCCTTTTCTTGCGGTCTTTTTGATAGCTAAAATGAGCTTTTGGCGTGTTGATCATAGTCAAGACACGTACTCATTCATGCCCAGTATCGCTGTCGGCTTTCTTGCCGCGATAGTCGCGTTGATGCCATTGTTTGGGTCGGTCCAGCCAGCGACGTCTTTTTGGCCCCAAAGCATGGGGACAAACTCGAGGTCGGTGTCTTCGCCAGATGAAAGCCCCCACGTATAATACCACGAGACCTTCCCTGTCTTCTGGAACTGAGCCATGTCTCCACCACCCGCTAGTCCGGCTTTAGAGGTGCTCGTTACGGTCGTTGCTCGTGAAGTTGGATGGGCTGAGATGAGAAGAGGAAAGAGAAATAGCAAACAGGTCGTTAGCGTTAAAGTCATGATGGGTTTGCCACTCATGCATCGTCTTGGCTGCTTTTATAGCCAACTGAGAGGTGGGGCGAGGCACAGATGTCGACGTCATCTTGTTACGCGAGAAGAAAAAAAAATCTACATCTTATCTTATCAGTCCCCCACGTCATCATAACTTGGTCTTGAGCCAGGCAACCGACTTTTCCACCTTTATGGGCGTCTCATCGGTGACCGGGACTACAAACACACCCTCTTCCCCTCCAGGATGCTCCAGCGTCGCGAGTTGGCTATCAAGCATATTCGACTTCATAAAATGTGCTGTCCGTTTCTCCATCCGGTCCAGCAAAAAGTCCCTCGAGCCGTCAATGAACACGAAGTATGTCCTCAGTTTGCCCTTGCTGTCATTTCCTCTAAGGACCTCACGGTAAACCCGTCGAAGTGCCGAGCACGCAATAACGACGCCTTTCTGCCCATTCCCCGCCATTTCTTCCGCTGTGCTCCGAATCTTCTGCAGCCACGGCTCTCTGTCCTCGTCGGTCAGCGGCTGGCCCCTTGTCATCTTGTCCACATTCGATTTGGGGTGAAGGTCGTCTCCGTCGATATATGGCAGGCTTATCGCCCGCGCCAATGCAGCCCCCAATGTCGATTTCCCCGTCCCAGAAACTCCCTACAGCGCCTTTCAATCATTCGACTGAATTGGGCAATGAACGCACCATGACCACCACAAAAACCGGCTCTGTCCCTGGGTCATTCATGAGTGCACTGAACTCGGGGTCGGGCTCTATAAGGTCGACAGAAGGGATTCGTGTCAAGAGGCGCATAATTGAATGACTCGAGAGGGCTATCCACTGACCGGCAGTACTTATAACACTCCAAGACAACAGTCGGCCCGCCGGGCCTGACTTCCGCACGACATTTGTCCGAACTTCTTGGAAGAGTGCCGCCAAAGAGGGGTAGTAGATGGCCGCAGCCGTGGCCAACAAGGCTGCAAACACTGTTCGCTGCTGGAGAAACCGCATTCTGGCCGCATTAGCCGTGGCGTGGTAATGCTCGGGTGATCTGCATCACAACTTGAGCTTTTCTCCCGTAGACTACACCAGTTTCACGACAAGTCGCTTCAAATTATTGTTCGTACCCGACGAGGCCGATAAGCAAATGACGAGGAAAACAAAGAAAAACATGAGGTGTGCTACAGATAAATGAATGAATAACTTTTGGTTGACGATAGACCTAGAGAGCGACGTCCGTTGTGTGTGACTGTGAGTGTGTGCGAATACAATATTAAGTGCAGTTTAGTGGATGCGATTGAAGACCCCAAGAGGAAAATAGAGGTATGCAGGTTAAGGGTCATGAGGAGGATGTCGCTGCAGTTGGCTCAGCCATATACATTGAAGCCAAGTTAGCTTGTGAGTGACGTTCCACATATGGCGGCGGCGCTTCGCCAGCAGCAAAGGGAGGTGCAGTCCTACTGCTCTGGTCTTCTCCCCATGGATACAGCCACATTTCGTCTTTCCTTGGTATCGGTAACGGCGGTAACGGAGGCGGGTTATTATGGTGGCCAGGTGGGATCGGCAGCGCTCTTGCAGAACTGACGCTCGATTGCGATCGCATGCTATAGGTTGAGACTCTCCGTGACGCACGTGTAGAAAAGGGGCTGTTGCTGCTGGACGATTCGGTTGGCGTTGGTGGCTGTGGCAGTTGTCGGAGTTTCATCGACTGTGATCGGGCCAGCGTCGGAGTTGGTGGTAAGGGAGGGAGTGGTGGGGGTGCAGACGAGGAAGTCATGGCCGAAGAAATGGAGGTTAGGTTGGAGGACCTGGAGCTCGAGCTGCGATGCATTGGACTCAAAAATAACGGTTCTGATGGTCTCCGTTCAAAGGAACTCGCGCGAATTTCTCTGGGGGGTGTTGACTGCGACCGATTAGCGCGTAGCGGGGTCAACGGAGAGGTAGGCGATATCGGTGGCGGAGGTAGTTCTTTGAAAGACCGTGAATTTGACCTTGACATGGAGCGCGCTGAGTCGGGCGGAGTGGTGCCCCGACTGTTAGATGAAGCATATTGCAAATGAGCTGGTATTTGTGGCACTGGAGGGACAGAAAGGCTGTCTTCCCCGTAATACCCACTTGCCTCCATGTACGGATGCGACGGAGAACGGCCATCAGGGTAACACATCGAGTCCGTTGACGGGCTGTGTATCCTTGCTGGGAAATGGCTCGACAGTGGTGAAGGCAACGCGCCGCCGCTGGTCCTGACAGAGACACGGTCGTCATAGTCGTTGATTTCGTCGTCTGAATCCCAAACAGAGGAGGCTGCCGGACTGGCAGTCAGAGTAGGAAACAATGGGTCGCCATATACGATCTTGGCCATTTGTTTTGAAGACGTTGGGAGAGGTTTGGATAAGTCTGTAGTAGACACGCTGCGCATATTGGAGGGGCTGCGCTTGGGGAATATTGGTTCGCCATATAATATTTTGCGCCATTGAGAAGCAGACGCGGGAGCGGACTGGGGGGGATCCATCTGATCTGAGCTGCTTGAAGTCGGGGCAATGGACGGGGCCCCTTCATCAGCCCCTTCATACTTCTGGACGAGCATCCAGTCTTGTACGTCAGTCACAAGAAGCATAGCAGTAATAATGAGTTGGTCGAGTAGCACAATGGAAACGCCATTGTGGGAGGCAACTGATTGAGACTGGTATTTGTCGTGTAGTGTTTCAAACACTTTGATTCGTGGGGGTACGCCTTCGACTGCTGGATAGAATATCGCGATAGGACCCTTGACAGAGGAAGTAGTGCACTATGGACTCAATTAACTTGGATATATATAGAAAAAGCAGCAACCAACCCAGTAGGTGGACCCAACACGTTTCCAGCGCATCGAGTGAGAGTAATTGGGAATGTTGAATCGGGGGGGCGAGCTTGGTCACTGAGCGGGATTTGAAATACGACTGCCAACCACATACCTAAGCATATTTCCTGGCTTGAGAATGGCATCGGCCGACTGCCATCGACCGTCTGAGAGTTGTATAAGAATGCCCAAAATCTCCCTTGTCTTTCCCTTGGTAGGAATTTTCCGTGGCCACTTTATCTCGGCAGTCCTGCTCAGGCCGTCCCATGGATCTGAGCGGAGCACGGTAGTGTGTGTGCCAGAGGTACGGATAACGTAGAGGGGGGTTAGTCGAGGCGTCATCCTTGACAACCGAGTCGAGAAAAGACTGGGAAGAAAGCTTTAGAGTGACAAGCGGCGTTTTGTTCAGGATAGTGTCGTCCACGGTATGATCTGACCGACGAAGACTGGGTACCACTCTGGCCAGGGCAGCGACAGAGACCCTACTAGAGGTAGAAGGCCGGGGGAGGTCGAGCAACCGTGTCGAGCGGGAGCGCTCTGACATGGTGGAGGGCAAGCCGGGCTATCAAAGCTCGCATGCGTGTGGTTATGTCACTCGCTTGATCTGCACAAATATCATAAGTTAAGTCTCCACCTCCATCCGTCAGGGCTCCGGTCGCTCCGCCGAGTAAGTTTTTTTTTCCTCAGACGGAAAAGACCATCTAGACGGGCGACGCCAACGTAGAAAGCAAAAAGTTTGTTTCGAAAGGGGAGGGTGACAGCTTGTGACTGGTCACAAGCCTTTCTTGCCACCAACCACCATGTCTACGTCTGCCACTGACCCAACCACCACTACCACCGGGTACGTGTTTTTGTACGCGTCTCACGTCTAAAGCTCATCTATTCTAGCTCTACGGAGACTACAAACGCGTCACCTGTCGACAAGGGCAAAGGGAAGGTAGTTGACCAGTCAATGGAGGAAGACGACGATGAAGAGGAGGAAGACGATGACGATGATGACGGTGAAGATGAAAGCTCTGAAGAGGAAGAAGAGGCAAGTTCACAATCGCCATTTTGAGACGACGCGTTTTGACGCGTCTTGTCACAAGGAATCCTACCAAGAAATAGACCCCTCGGTCATCCAGCCGCGTCGTACTCGCGGTGTCAAAGTGGATTACACCAGTGCGGAAGCCCTTGCTAAAGGTATTCGTTTAGTTGGTGCGTCCCTTTTCGTTGAGCTAATCTTTTACAGCTGGCCTTACCGCCAAGGATGATGAAGACGAAGACGATGAGGATGTTCAGATGAAAGAAGATTAAAAACAAAAGCAGCTATGCATGTTTGTGAATAAAGAATTGGGTTTCTTGTTGTACTAATGCTTCATGCTTGAACTGCGCTTACACCTCATCTTACCACACTTCGAGTCTTCGACATCTTGACCTGATTTCTGGCATCCAATCCTATCTCACGGCCTCTAGCAACCGCTTACCAACTATGGCTGTCTGTCCGCGGCCGTTGCTCAACATGGTGATCGTCCCATGGCTCATGAACAAAGACTGAACAGCTCGTATCAGACTCAAGTGTCCAACATGGTATGACGTCAAACCGTCGGCTTCGACGTTTTACTCCGACATTCAGAACTTTACTTGGGCGCGAGGTAACGGAGGTTTGAGCCATTTGTTGATGGAATCGCATCACCGTTAATGATGACACGAGATGGTGGCGCGCCCTGGTTTGATTACTCAGCTAGTAGTGGTTCGAGTATCCCTTTGTTTTTGCCATTATAACACACATTCTACATTGCTCTAAATCAAATCCTCAACATGGACTTAAGCTTCCTCCTCAACCCATGCTTCTGGACTTTCTTTAGATTACCTCCCGTGACCACAGCAGCATTCACTGGCTCCGCTGGTGGCTCCTCCGCTCTCAGTGAAGTGCGCTGTCCATTACGCGTTTGTTTTGTGCACTTTCTGGCTGCCTCCTCAAGCAGTGATTGCGCAGCGAAAAACATGATGTGCGACATGGTGGTCCGTTCGGGCAAGCAGGTTGTTGTTATTGTTGGCGGTGACTGTCGCCTATCAGGTGGTGTGGTGAATAAAGTCAGAGGCATACCTCAGGGATGCTATACAGGGTGCGATGGGCGTTGAAGTCAAACTCGTGTGCCCATGTGGGCGTTTGGCACGGGGTCGAAACTTGTGGCTGTGGAGACATGGCCAGACCAAGGCCCACACCTTCGAAGACGGGTAGCGAAACCAATTGAAGATTGGGGGTCGATCGACTTAAAGTAGGACGTGGACTGGTGAGCCCCACATCTGGTGAAAGTGGGGCAGCGTCGACGTGTGTTGCCTCCGAGTTGGAGATGGAGGCCTGCTATGGGTGATGTAAGGGAGGGACCATGGGGCAAAGATAAGTAAGTGAGACACACCGCGCGAACCTGAGGCTGATGAGGCGAAAGCGCAATAGTCGGTGAAAGCGATTGTGTGACAACTGGGACATGGATCGAAAGACTGAGACCACATCCAACGCCACGACTGAAAAGGTCCATCGGACTCAGTTCTAGGACATCGGCTTCCTGGCCAGTTGTGAATAAATGTTAAGAGAATGCATGAACCAACGCACAGGTGCGATATTGAACAAAACTTGTTCGATTGAGGCGCATTTCCCATCGGTTACGTCTCGACGGGGTCGCGAAAGCGGGGATCGAGCATGCAGTTTGGGGCTTGAAAGCTTTGGGGAAGCCGTCGAAATTACTCGAGGACTCGGACTTGATGGTGGCCCAGTGTCTGTCCCAGCCTGTTGCACCTGGGAGACAAAGAAAGGGCGGGCCGCCGCCGAATAAGCAAGTCGGCCGCAAGCAGAGAACCGCTGGGAACCCGGCGTAAACATGACAAGACTCTCGAGCACAGTGGTAGGAGAGATCATGTGAGAGTATGTTGAGACGAAAATAATGTTGAGAAAATGATAATCGGGCGGGTTTTATCGTTCAGCACAGGGGCCTTGTCTGGGAAGCATCGCGGATGTAAACGGCAAGTCTTGAAGTTTGCAACCCTCGGTTTCAGTTCAGAGCAGCGTGAGACGAGCAAGCTTGAGTGCCTCCTTGACTCGCTCAACCGAAGAAAGCATTATGAAAACGGTATCACTGTCGACTTATAGTCAACATGAGTCGGCTCGAAGCTTTTTCCGGTCCTCTTTTTTGTCTCTTGGTTGTTGACTAGTTCCAGCAATGTTGAAATGATGTGACGGACGCGTTACTCACTCTCAACCAACCAACGCTGACTGTTTTGGGCGACCTCAAAAATGAGCAAAACCAAACTTGAGCAACCATGGGCCGTTCGTCCGATCGACAAAAGTCACCCTCACACTAATCGGAAGCCGCAAGATTGACAAGTACCCTCTCCAAAAAGTCCCCGCCCCGTTCTCTGGCTCTATCGTCGTTCCCCACTGCTTTCGCGGCGTGGGCGGCAGCTCCAAAGTCGAGTCCCCAACTCCCCGCTCCAGTGACTGACTTATGCAACTCCCAGGTCTCCGTATATGCAGGAGATGACTTGAATCGCGCTATTTTCGACTATTACGCCCAGGAGTGCCCGGAAAGTCAGATTGGGACGAATTACATTGATCCAGAGGGCTTGGACTCGAAACGGTGGGTGCATACGCTATCCAGAATTGGCATCGCTGAATAATTCTGGTAACAGCCATGAATATCTTGGTCCTAGTCCATTTGTGGCGGGCTACTTGTTCGACGCTCGTCGGAAAACCGTAGATGTTGAATTTTGGGACGAGTTTCTCAAGCTGCATTGGGTTTGCGACCGCGTATGACCAATTGTTTGCTGCAACTGTCCAATATATATTCCAAATTAAAGGTAAACTACAGTGTTTAAACGAAAGTAAAGAAGGCAAAAGACGTAGAGACTGTGGACCCATACAACCCTGAGCGGTCATCTTTTTTTGTTACAATAGACATACAACTTTTCACGCAGCGATGCCGAAAATCGGCGACAACCAGCTCTCCCAGTCATCCTCGTTGGTGGGGTTGCCAGTGACCTTGAGGGCACGAAGGAGGACCTTGTACGTGCCATTGGGGATGACAGTCCCGTTAGCGAAGGTGTTGGTCAAGGCAACAGTGTACTGAGCAGTTTCCTGCTGCTGTTATAGATATCAGCCACAATACGCAGAGGCAAACATCAGACACGAACCTCGTCATTGCGAGAGAGGTATTGGAGCTCAAGCAATGGACCAAGGATGGGGACCTTGGCGAACGTTCCACCGTTGTGCTTCTGCGTGAAGGAGATCACATGCGAATCTTTGGCACGGGTCTTTAGCGTCGGGGTGAACTTGGTCGCAGCATCGACAAGATCAAAACGCAGAGCGGGGGTACCGAAGAGTTGACGCCAGAGAAGCGTAGGAGCGTTGTCGCCAACAAAGGTGTAGTTGACAGCCCCTTTCTGGGGGTTACCCGTCGAGTCGAGGATGGTAGGGAGTTGAACGCCGAAGAAAATATCAGTGTTGTCAACGACCTTGGTGTTCTTAAGAGCAGCGGCAACACCGAGGTACGACGTGTGCACAATCTCGTTGGCGCTGCTGACATAGATGTACCCGGAGTAGACAGGCAAGGAAGCAGCTTCATCACCAGTGGGAGCCTTAACCGTGACTGCAACCTCATGCGATTGGCCAGGTTGCAGCTTGAACTTGTCTGCATTGAACGAGACTTGGGCAACGTTGGCAGACACAGGCACGGGATAGAGAGCGGGGAAGGAGTTCTATGTGAAATCAGTTGAGTATCGTACGACATTTAAAAAGACAAACCTTATCTAGAGTCAAAGCAGTGGCGGCAGCAACGTGCTTGAGGGAGTACGATTTGGCCTTCTTGCCATTGTTGGTGACGGTGAATTTCTGCCTAGAAAGTCTTTGTCAGGGAGGAATCAGAAAAAAACAACTCGAATACATACTTGCCAGCGAAATGAGCCGTGTCGTTGAGCAGCAGCTCACCCTTGGAGAGGGTTGTGGTTGCATAGAGAGCGTCGTAGACTTGGATCAAGCCAGCGCCTGGGATCAATGATTGATCAGTTGAATCAATTTGGATCAATTTTAAGTAGGCACCTTGCTGGGAGGCAGGTTGCAGGGGATCGTTGTCAGTCTTGCTTGAAGAGACCGTGGCAGCAGTCGACTGGAAGAGAGTGCGAGCGCTGCGCCCAACAGCAGCATTCTTGCCTTTGAACTGCAGAAGCAGAGCAGAGCTTCCAGCAACGAAAGGCGTGGCCATCGAAGTTCCGGAAAGCAGTGCCCATTTGCCCTTAGCAAGGGGGTAGGTCGACATGATGTTTCCACCAGGGGCAGCAAGAGCGGGCTTGAAGTACATGTCGTTCGTTGGTCCGAAGGTGGAGAAATCAGAGACCAATCCACCCTTGGGGTCATCAAAGTTAACGGTTCCACCGGTTTGAGGGAACGAGACAGAAATCTTTGCTCCAGATGCCAGCTGTTCAGCAAGCTAGACAGAAAGACCCAAGTTAGGGTTCAGAGAAGGAGAAACAAAGCAAAACATACGAAGTTTCCATCTTCAGTCTGGATTAACACGGCAGTGTAGTCTCCGACAGAGATTCCAGCAAAGCCTCGACCATTGCTAGAGAGATGATCAGAGACATACGAGACGGAGAAGGCCAGTGGGCTTACTCGTAGATCAGGACGACCTTGGCACCATGAGCAGCAACGTTGGCGAGTTTCTCGGTGAAGTTACAGGTACCACGGCGGACAAGAACGACGAAGCCGCTCAGGTCTGGGGTGTCAGCGGGAAGTGGGTTGGAGTTGCATGCATCGTCTGCGACATCCGACGTTTTGGAGGTGGCATACAGAGGAAGCGTGCCGTTGACGGGGAGAGGGAAAGTCTATCACGAATAATCAGAGGTTTAGGACAAGCCGGACAAAAATGGCACATACCGCGTAATAAACGATGGGGGCGTGGGTAACACCAGTGACTTGAATGGTTTGAAGTGGAATAACAACGTTGTCTACCGAGGCCACCGAAATGACGTCGATTCCATTGCCAGGACTAGCCGTGTACCATGAACCAGAGGCACCCTGTTCACGGAGAAGTGAGCGTATCACATCAGCGGTTTTCCAACACATACCTCGTTGCCGGCGGCGATGGTGACAATTCTGCCAGTAGCAGCGATTCTGGAGGACACAACAGAGCCAGTGCCTTCCGTCCAGCCGTCACTGCCACCAAGACTCAGCGTAAGAATGTTCATGCCATCCTTGACCCCGCGAAGGAGTGCATCGACAATGACTGAGGAGAGCTCAGAAGGAATAAAAACGTTGTCTGTTTGGCTCACCATCGTCGTTGGTTGAACCTTCACATCCAAAGATACGATAGCCGAAGATGGTTGCGTCGGGCGCAACACCGCTGATGTTGAATTCATTGCCCTTTAGGTCGCTTGAAAATCTATGCGAAAAGGAAGCTCGTGATCAGACATACGGGGTTCGCTCCAACGATACCCTGAAGAACTGTCAGTAATGGGACTGAATGAAAAGGCTTCTGGCATACAGCAACATGGGTACCATGTCCACCGCAATCCATGGGGTCCTCATCGGGAGTAGGGGCATTCCCACCAGTATACCCGTCGCCGACGAAATCAAATCCACCAGCGATCTTGTTTCCGGAGCCGAATTTGCCTCCAAGCGACGGATGGGAGTAGTCGATACCACTGTCGATGCTGCAGAAAGTTTGTTGAGGATCATGAATTGCAATTGACTGGGAGCTACCTACATGCCAATTTTGACACCCTTGCCTGTGATGCCCTTTGCATGAAGCTTGTCGACTCCCTGGAGGAAAGTGAGTGAATGAAAAGAAACGTGTGAGGACCACACACAGTCATGACATGGGTCGACTCCGCATCAGGAAGCCCTGCATCTTTGGGCGAAATGCCGGCCTTGATCAGCACAGGCCTGCACATATCAGTTCAAGTAAAGCTGAATAGTCGTTCCTACTCACTTGGGGCGAGCGTAAGTGCGGATGGGGCGGATAGCGACAACTCCCTCGGTCTCCAAAATTTTGGAAACAGCCTGCATGGTGCCATCAGGGTCGGAAAAATCGCGGTCGTGTGACCAAACGAACCTGGGTATCAGCGAGAGTGAGAGCAGCGCCGACAAAGAGTCCGGGGGAGTCGTATTCATTTTCAACGTCGAACGAAATTTTGCGCGCCTTCAGAGAGCGATAGAGTTGCTCATGAGGCTATGAGGGCAACGGTAAATGGGATGAAGAGACGCTAAAATTAGCTGCATACCGTGCCGAGTTCACGTTTGCTGGCGAGAGCAGCGGGAGCGGAGACCTCTACGATGAACTTGTTAGGGACAGTGGCTAAGTTGGTTACACGTTTGATGTCGGAAATCGATTTCGTGGCCGAGGCAGACAGTGCGCTAATAAGCGCAAGAGAAAGAGCGGCCTTCATGACAAGAGGAAAGAAATAAAGAAGGATAGGTGAGTATGGAACCTCAAATTAGATTTATACGGACTCACTCCTTGATGACTGGCATGAGCATGCGGGGCACACCCGATAGCGGAAAGACCAACGGTCAATAGCGTGTGTGATTTCACGTGTTGCTATTGATGGACGCCCTCCTTGGCGGCGGCAAACCGCGCCAAGGACACAACCCTCCATGAGGAGATCATCTAGGGACAATTTATTTCAGTTTATTTCGGGTTTTGTCAGGCAGCGATAATTGCTAGGAAAGCGCATCAATGTCATTGGGCTTCAACCGGAGATGCCGCCTGAGATGCTGAAGTTTCTTATCTGTCTAGTTCTTCAAGATGGTTGGAAATCCAACCCGGAGATTGATGGTTGTGTTGCGCAACAAGGTACCACTGGCACGAACAAGTTCACCGAAGTTTCACCAAGTGCAAAGTGTGGTTTGTGACCCATGCGGTTCTTGATCTGCTTCCTTTGGCACCCACATAGAACAGGGAAACAGAAAAAATAAGTTATTTTGCTATTGCTACAGTTGTCTATTATTATGAGTTCATGCATTGGATGGTAGTCGTATCGAGTCGTATCATGCAGTAGTAGAGAGGAAGAAAGGAAAACATTTCTGTTCATCGCAAGAACATCTCGACCGGAATCGGCTTCCGTCTTAACCCGCCCATATCGCTCGAGCCAGAGGAGCACATGCTTGCATTGCTGCTCCACTCTGTCGAGTATGAATGCCCAGACTCACTCCCCGTGGATGATCCAGGGCCAGAACCGCTCGTAGAAAATGACCAGCCCGAGTTGGCCGAGGACGAAGAAGTGACTCGGGAACGACGACGGGGAGATCGCTGAGTGGTATACGCCGTATATAGCGCATCCTGCTTGACCTGACTCAGACGCTTGGGGTTTTGAATGTAAGGCGCGGGTGGAGGCGAAGAAGGATACGAGGCCCATTGTGCAGAAGCAGGCGTTTTAGGGAGAGGAGGGATAACCGTCGGTTTGGGCGGTACTGGGGGGAGGCGGCGACTCGAGTCCGGATCGTTGTTGGGGATGCATAACAACAACATCCTTAGCAGTAAGCCTCTTTTTGCCAGAGCGGCGCTTTGGTGAAGGTTTAGGTGATGGAGTTGAAGGGCTCCGGAGATTGAGAGTAGGAGTTTTGACACGGAGGTAGCGTCTGGCGAAAGCAAAGGTTTTTGGTGATGTTGCTCCACGACCAGAGTGGACAGAGGAGAGTGTCGAAGAAGACCAGCGAGAACGGAGTTGTTGGGAATGCGAAGAGAGTCGTGGCCGAGGCGACGGAGTATATTCGGAGAATGAAGGAGAGCCCGCTGATTTTGGCTCTGGTACGCAGATCGACTCAATAGCGGGGGCACCAAGCGACAGCGGTGAAGGGGAAGGAGACAACGGAATATCATGAAAGACATCATCTTCATCAAATGCACACTCCTCCCAGTCGTCAGCATCCATAGGAATGCTCTGAGACTCAACAGGAAACTGAGGCTGTGGTGGAGAGAGGAGAGCATCCAGACTGGTAGAAGGGGAAGTGGACGCGGCAGAAAACGAGAATGGCGACGAGGAGCCTGTAGCAGTTGTAAATACGCAAGTCTCATTGGAAAGAAGGATAAAAACGCACCTGAGCTCGAAATCGAAGGGGAAGCAGTGAAAGAGGTTGCATCGGTGTAATCTCCGCTCCAAGCATCAGTCGGGACTGGGGTTCGGGGTGGAGGTCGGTCAGCGAGGACAGCAGTAGGACGCGAGAAGTTTGGAACAGAGGTGTCAATAGGTGGTGGGGGAGGGGGACGAGACGGAATGCTGAATCGGCGGCTGACAGGCATGATGACAGCGCTCTCGCGATGCATTGCCTGGGTGGTCAATGAAGATGACCGACGAAGAGTGATATAACCTCTGGCGTGAGCAGCGTAATAAACGTCATCTTCTTCTTCTGAAGAAAGGGTTGGGACTGGGGAAACACTGCGTTTCGACACAGTCAATGGCTTGATGCTTTTGCAGCGGATGACTGCCTGGCCAGTAAAACTCTCTTGGCTCGAGGTGGGCGTGGTAGGGAGCCCTCCATCGGATGATTCATCGTCAGAGGAGTTGAGGGCAGGCAGTTCGGCTTGGAAGTCGGCGAGAGAGGGAATGCGCAAGTCAGAGACGCCATGCCGCCGTTTGGCTTTGACGCTCGTTTTAATCGACTCGGTATCCTCTTCAAGAATGCTCGTAAGCCCAAAGGCAGAGATGGTGCTGTTGCGAAGAACACGTGATTGGCGCTTGAAGTACGAAGATACTGTGGAAGAGTTAGCAGAAAGACCCAGATGAGGGAAAACCACGAACAACTCATGTTGGAAAAGTCGTAAGAAATGCAAGTAGTAGTGGTGAAGTTGTTGAAGACCGTCGCAAACGAAGGCGAGGTGGGAGACAGTGAGCCGACATTCTCGCAGCCCGCCTTATGAGTGTTGTGGGACGCATTGTGTGCCAGATGAGGTCGTCTCAATGGAAAACCATTGAGCACAGCCACCAGCTTCGGCTAAAACCTTATTATCCAGAAATGGAAGGAATTGATGATGGCATCATCCCATTGTACAGTATCGTGTTGCCTTGACGTAGTTCGAGATGGTCTCGAGCTTTTCGGCTAACATAGCACGACCTCAGGTCTCAGACTCCAGTTTCCGCCCGAAAGACTCACGAACCGATTGTCATGAGCAATATTTCTCCTGATGCCCATTCATGATGCCATCAAATATATGTAACTTGCAACAAATTCTAAGCCGCATATTCGCGGCAGCTCTCCGATACTTATTCTATGATTGTACTTCTGTCGCTACACTAGGCTCAAGATTTTCTTTGTCTCCCTCCTTCTTTTTTTCCTCGAGTGCATAACTCTCATCCACCGCAGTCGCCATTGGCACTTCTTTCATGAACAAGCTTACCACCAGCCCGGCCCCACAAATACCGGCCATAACACGCCAGATGACGGCCATGCTATCTTCAAATGCGTATTCTACCTGGGTCCGGAGAGGTTGTTCAAGAAAGCGGATCGAGGGGATCGAGTAATAGGCAATCTCTGCCCCAGCCGGAAATTGTCCAATGAATTCAGCCGGAAGCCTTCTCTTGAGTTCGTTCTAAGCGACGTCAAGGGGATTGAGGAGCTGGGATCACAACATACTTGTAAAATCGTGCCACCGATTGCAATGCCCCACGCCTGTGTGAATGAACGCGTAAATGAGAATAAAGCCAGCGCTGCGGCTGCCCGGTTTGGGGGTAGCGGCGCTAAAAGCGAGAACATTGGCGCGCCATACTGCAAAATGTCAGCAAGAGTAGGTAGAGCAAGTGTCAAAACTAACTAAAACACCAGTCCCAACCGCTGCTAAGACCTGATATCCGTACAGTTTGGCCTTTGTTGTACCTCCGCCTGCAGTGCCGAGCAGTGCGAAGGCAACAATATAGACAACCCAGCCAAACCAGTTCGCTGGCCGGTACTTCTTGGTCACTGCGATAACGACGCTGGCGGTGAATCCCGAAGGAGTGGTTATAAATAGTGCGGGAAGGAAATCGACTGCAGCTTGGAGAGGCGTGGCTCCAAAAGAGGCCTGGAAGAGCACTATAGTCTGTCAGGTGCAAGAAGTAGAGTGTCCGAATAGTTGCATGCCTGTAAAATAATAGACCAATGCTGGTTTCAAGTTATTGATGAGTCAAGATGTAGGGGGTTTACGAACCGATACTAGCAATGCCGTGTAATCCCACAGCAATTAGCCTAGTGGTGTCTGAATAACGAATACATAGTGACCACGGTCATCACGCACGAGCTCAACGAGGTCCTGTTGGAGACGATGTCTCGTGGGACGGCCGGGTTCTGCGGAACGTAGAGCTCGTAGACGAAGAAGATAAGCACAAGGAGGAGGCCGATGACCAACGGAGCGAGGACTTGAGCCGAACGCCAAGGATATCGAACGCCACCCCAAGTAAGGCCAATTATGGCCAAAGCCGTACCAACGACCACAATAGCATTGCCGCTGTATGATCCATAACTATAGGTTGATGGAAAACAAATGGAAAAACAGACATCCAGTCCACTTTTGCGAGCTTTGAGCGCACAGTACCTGGGGGTGTTCGTACTGACAAGTAGAGGATCACGAGGACGGCAGCTATGGCGGTAAGTGGCAGGTTAAGATCTGGTATTATTATATCAGAGCACAAAAATTAAGCATAAAAGGACGCTTAGACAAACAAAACAACCAACGCCATGCATTCCCACTTGCAGAAGCTAGCGCGCCTCCCTGCAAGATATAAGAAGAAGAAACGAGAAAATATAGTACACGCACAATAGCAGGACCAAGAAGCTCGAGGAATGACTTGATAAGTGCACCGACAGTTGCGGGAAGTCAAGCATACCGAAGCAGTCGCCCAAACTATGGCAATTAGTCCCACATAGATTCCTCGTTCAGATAAAGGGACCAAATCGGCAACAAGAATTTCGGAGAGAGTCAGGATACCCCCTCCGCCGATTCCTTTAGGCCATTCAAGCACATGAAGCGGGCGACAAAGGCTTGGATACCTTGGACAGCTATGCTCATAATGTCAAGTCAAGTATGTCGCCAAATGCTGGAACTCACTGCGTGCCGCAATCATCATCGACTAAGTAGGAAGCAGAAGTAAAGGTGATGCGTTCAGAAGTTGATTGATGCGCACCATGTTTTGTGATGCTCCAGCCAGAGCACTTCCGAGGGCGAAGAAGCCAATACTTATTAACATAACTGGTTTTCGTCCCAGAGCGTCCGCCAGACTGCCACTCAGCGGCATGAAAGCTGTACTTGATAAAGCGTAACCTGAGCCGACCTGTTGAGCTTGTTAGTGGTAAAGCAATGATCCAAGTCAAGTCGGAGCCACCCAAGTGAAATCGCCCTTCTCGTCGTTGAGAGCTTTCGCCATCGTAGGTAAGACGTTTCCTACACCTGAGAGGTCTAGAGCTGCCAAAAATGTGGTCACTGCGATGGCAACAAAGCTCATCCAGAACGCGCGAGTCTTTGGCGTTGACGACTTTAATGTCGACGTCGCTAGTAGTTCATCCACAGGTGAAAACGTTGCTGGAATTGATGCTGAAGGAGGCCTGGCGGTCATCGGGCTGGGATAGAGTAGACATATTCATGCTGGTCGTTTTAAATTGGGTAATTCCGGCGGAACGATGTCGTGTGCGCTGAGTGGAACAAGGTTGAAAAGTGATCGGAACCTCCGGCGGTTTGTCCCTGTTTGGCAGCAGCCTCCATCAATCGCCGCATGACCACAGCCTGTTGTCAACAATTATGAAGCGCGGAGCAGACCGCCAAATTTCCAAGGAAGACATCGAGGACACCGACATTGAGGTATAATCCACTATGCTCGACGCGTAATCGCTCAAAACTAGATAGGAAATCGAACCTACAGAAGGTTTCCACAAAGCCGACGATGCTGTTCTTGCGACGCGAAAGTTGGTGGTTCGTTTCTCGTCCATGCATTGAATTTTACGCGTGTTAGAATCAAACCAATGCCCCGTAGGATGGGTGGAGATGCTGACGTGCGTCTTTTCTAATTTCTGCTCTTGTTTCAGTGCTTAGTTTTTGATAGAAAGCTGCAACTACAACAGCCCCAGCCCCCAAATTCTCTGGTTTCGGAACGCCTACAAACAGTGCCTTTTCATTTACCGCCCCCTCTTCATCGCCAAGCTTCCCCATAGCAAAACCTTCAACAAATCTCTTTGGTGGAGCCACTTCACTTCCCACTGCATTCTCCCCTGCACCAGCTAGCACTCCAAGTTTGGCCCCAACAGCTTCCAATGCCGCAAAAACATTTGCATCGTTCTTGGGGGAGAAGCCTTCAGCGATACCGAGCTCGGCTCCTACCTCTGGGACTACAGCTAATTCTTCAGAACTAAAATACTATAAATCCCTCCGTGGCCTCAATGTCTCCATAATCGACTTTCTGCAGAAGGCTCTTGAGGAAGATCCCTTCGCAGACTTTGGTAGTGTTCTCTCTGAATACAGCCAGAAACGAAACGATATAAAGAAAGAGTTTGACGGGGCTACTGCCACTCCAACTCCTTCATCACTCGGCCGTGCCTCAACAGCTCCTTCATTATTTGGAGGGGCTCCAACTGCGGCTGCCTCGACATTCAAGATGCCAGAAGCTCCAACTGCTTTTGCTGGTTTCGGCAAACCACCAACGTCAACGTCGACAACGACTGTGACGAATGGAAAGGTCGATGCGCCGCCTGCTCCTCCAGCCACGGCCTTTTCCTTTGGCTCAGCATCAGCATCTAAACCCTCCGTGTTCACCCCACCAGCATCTTCGCCCTTCTTGCCATTGCCGTCGTCATCATCATCATCGTCTACTTCAGCAACATCCACTCCCTTCAGTTTCGCCACTCCACCAACCACAGCATTTGGCTCGACTGCAACAGCAACCACAAATCCATTCGGAGCCTCGGCCTCGCCAACGCCATTTGGGAGCAGCTCCAAATCTGCGCCTTCATTGTTTCCTAGCTCTGGCTCGACAGGCTTTTCCTTCGGAACCTCTAGCACCGCCTCCAGCAATCCTTCAGGATTCTCGTTTGGTGCGCCGAAGACCGGCAACCCGATACCCACAGACACCAAAAGCCAGAGCACTATTGCTGGGGACGACGAGACGGAGATAGCTAGTAGTCAGGAGACTGAAAAAGTGACAACTGACGAGAGCAAGTCGTCCGGGTTCTTTTCGCCCGATGCACCATCGACAATGGATGCTGAAGGCCAGGGAGAAGAGGACGAGGAGACCATCCAAGCCGCGAGGATAAAATCGTTCAGAATGAAGAAGAAGGATGAGCCAGGGGACAGTCCGTGGATCGATATGGGCATCGGTATGTTTCCTTCTCGTATGCACTTGAGATGCACACTGACTAGAAACAAGGTTTCATCCGGTTGAAGCGACATAAGGAGACTGCCGCAAGGCGATTGCTCTTGCGAAACAGTCACTCTGGCAAGATTCAAATTGTCAGTGCAATTCTGCCATTCGTCGCAAGGCACTCATTCTAACACAGAACTTTGCCTTATTCGCCGGCTTTTCGGCGACTTTGAACGCCAAGTCCAAATCCTTAATGTTTGTTGGACATGATGAAGCATCTGTTTCTCAAACATATAATCTCAAGTTCAAAACTGAGGCAGAAGCTGCCGAGTTTCAGAGTACATTGGAGACTGAGGTTTCCAAGATCAAGTCAAAGTAAGCACAGAGTAACTTTTCGTTTGTTACATACACACGTGATTTGATGTTACATAATGTACCTCATTTGGCGATGAAATGACTCTGGGCGTTATGCCATATCGAATTGAGCACGAATGCTTCGCTGAGAAGCATTTCGATCTCATGGTCCCCCCAGTCCTGTGTTGGGAGTGATTGGAGAAACATGATGATGCCCTGGAAGTCCATATGGCGTAGTTTGTCGCTCCACTTGACGAGGAAGGCAGAACAGACGTAGAGATGAAACTGTGAAAACGCATCTGGCCCTTCAGCCTATGACAAATAAGCTGAATATACTTGAGAGTAGAAAGTCAAATACCAGATAAGTGTCCCACATGCGTATTGTGTTCTGTACACTTATTTCGCGCATCAACAGACAGTTCATCCACCGAAACGCGAACTGCATGAATTCGACATTTTGCGTGTCGAGGTGGGAGGAAAGAGGCGGATCAATACGGGCAACCAACTCCGCCATTCGTCGCACACTTCGTTGGATCCCAGGCTGGGCAAAAATATAGTTGTCCTGGATGCCATCGAGCAAACGACTGAGACACCAAAAGGTATCAGCTTCGACCGCCTCCAGTGCTCGAGTCGGAAGAGTCCCGGGGTCAAATGCTTCTGGATCAGAGTCGACGTAGGCGGAGAGGAAAACTTGGAAGAATGGGGTAGCAAGGTCGTTGATGCCCTGAACATAGCCACTGGCAGGATGGCGGATGGCCCAGACATAGAGAATACGCTCAAGTGCGCGTTGAGTAGCACCATACATCCATAAGCGGACACCAGGTCTAGTGCGAGGAACATCAATCTCAATCTGATGCCATATTTGCTGGTCAAGTCCTTCTCGATCACGAGCAAACGCAAGCTTGACAAGAGATGAATATTCGCCGCGCTTTCGGGCTAGTGTTGCAGCACGCAATGGTGTTGGAAGTGGTAGGTAGCCCTAGAAAAGTGTCAAATTGGGAAAATCTTGATTCCTCAAGACTCACGAGAAGTAGTTGCCAGGCCATGGGACGGAGATCGGGAGGTATTCCTGCCCACGCGAGCTTACGAAGCTCCGCTGGGTGCCTGTTAGTCCAGAATAATAAAGGTATAAAGCAGCACACACCAATATTGACATCCTGGTTCGACAGACATTCCACAAACTTGTGTCGTCGACTTGTCCGTATTGAACGCTCCCGCATGAGCTTCTCTGACCGTTCCGCGCTTTGAGGAGAGTTTGGCCGGTGGGGTGAATGCTCTTTGCGCCGTGGGCGATGCTTTACACCACAAAGAGGATCGTCAATAACGTCTTCAATGTCGTCTCGAATAACGCCTTGGTCGGATTTGTTTTTTGACGGCGTTGGAGGAATGATTTCCATGGGCTCCATAGAATCTGGCTCAAGATCACCCAAGATCATGTCGCCTTCTACATCTGCATCGCCGTTGACCTCTTCTGTCGAGTCTTCCACCAATTGAGGTGATTTGGGCTTCGTTTTCACGATTGTCCACCCATTTTTCGGTGGATATGAGCTGGGGTTTGATATGTGTGTGAATGAAAAGGCGAGAGTCGAAGAAGAGCCGCCTTCAGAGGAGGGAGGGGAATGGCTATTGGGTCGCGGTACTTGTCTTGGTTGGACTCGAGAAGATGAGGCTTTGGGTGGTTCATCGTCACTGTCTGAAGCACTGTCCCATGCGTCTTCCCAGTCAGATTTGGTGTTATACGTCGATGAATGGATTGCGATATGTGGCCGAGCAGGTGGTGGGCGAACACGGCTCATCGCTGTCAAATCAAACGTGACACACTTTCCGTTATAATTTGTGTCGCTCAACATAGAACCCTATCTTCCCCACTACGTACTGTAACAAAGGACTCTCGCTGCCCTCTCCACTCGACAGAATCTCGATCTCCGCTTTGCGTCTCAAATGCAGCATTCGTGTCAACTCATTCCTAATTTTCACCGTGAAAAGCGTACAAGAAGGATTCAAACACCTACTTCCACTTGGTCGGAATGTCCCGCTGCAACATAGCTTGTGCCTGAATTCGATCAAGTTCAGGTTTCTAGCGTCAACACCATGCGTCCCACCTTTTTCTCGTCCTTGTTCGTCATCGGCAGAAGGTCGTCCAGGTCAACACCATACCTTTGAACACTTCAGCAACTTGAATGGCCCAAGAAATGATACCAACTTCGCAAGCTCACTGCCAAATACTCCAAGATATTTGATTCGTTCTGCTTGGAGTTTCTCCCCTTCATGCGCCATGGCCTTGCTCCCATACTTGTAAACAGACAATATGTCTACCCCGTAGGGATCTCCGTCGAAGAGACCAAGAACAGGTACTTTGGATGGTAGGGAGGCCGAAAGTGTTGCCACAAGCTGCCGCGTTGCAATATCAGGATAACCCTTTCCCTGTTCTTTCTCTTCAAGCCGTCAAACCGCAGAAGTAAAATTTGCCTACTGTTATCATAATCCCTCGACCGCCTAGTGCTGGATGTTTCGTGATAAGTAGACGACTCAGCGTCGTAAAAACAGCCTAATGCGATTAGCCTATAGTCTCGAGAACTGTCATCCCTACGTCTTTCTCGACAACAAGCACCCATGCAACATTTTCGTCCACCGAAATTGTCTCGATATCCTCTCCCACAGGAATCAACGCGCCCTGGTCCATTCAAAGCTTGTCAATGCTTTCTTTTACAAACATGAGCTTACCTCACTGTCGTTTCCTTGAATAATTTCTGCCGAGGTGAGATGGATCGTGATACCAGAACCGCAAACGAGTCCTTTGGACGTCGCACGCTGCAGGGATTATTAATGCACTCTGAAGAAGCTCAGCGCTCAGGTCTCACAACGTTCAGATCAGCGCGTTCTAGCTCGAGTGTGGCAGCTAAGTCGTCAACTAGCTGGTACAACTTTCAGTTGCGACCCCTTGTCATGGAGTACTCACTGTATCGACCGTGCGCTGTGTCTTGAACAACGCAACGTCTTTATAATAAATGTCTCTTGTGAATTTTTCAATTCAAACCAAAGCAACAGGGACGCAGAGACCGACCGTTTGGTGAGTGGTATACCAGTCACGACAGCTTCATGCATAGAATCCAACACGGACAATAGCTGGGCTGCGAAGAGTTTTGGTAGCAGTCTTGTAGAAGCCAGTAAGACGCACTGAGTTGACGCGCGCTCCCAGTTGCGCGCTTAGCAGGAAATGAAACGGTTCTCGTTCCACTGATGACTCCAGACTGGACGCGTTAAACACGTCTAGGCTTACCTTGTTGCTCTTCTATCGGCCACCCGTAGCTTTATCGGCTGGCCTGAACTCAATTGCTTCAAAAAAGACGCGACAAACTCCTCGATACGCTCTGCTGCGAACGAAAACGGTGCTTCATCTCTGGGGGCTGTGAATTACGCGCTATCCACAAACAGGCAGACCACGCACTCATTTTCGTATTCGCCGTCGATAGACATTGAGGCAGCCTGCGAGTCGTGGTCACCGTCAGACTCATCGGTAGAATCAAAAGAGAGCGAATCTTCGTCACTCATCGTGGTCTCAAGAAGACCGCCCTTTTACGTGTAACACAGTACAAGTCGAGCAATAACCATTCTGCTACTAGTATATCAAACATCTAAAAGAGAGCCGCTAAGTAAGTCTAGAAGTACAATAAACAACGTTTAAGTATCAAGTCCGAAAACCCGCCTTCAAAGGGAGAGCGCCTTTGATCGACTGGAATGCAATGCGGACACCGTTATGTGCTGCCCACAACAAAGACACTACAAGGAAAGGTTAGGTGTGTTCCTGATCTGAGCCAAGGTCACGCACGCAAAAGTATCGGTAGCCAGAAGAACATGAGCATTCGATCATCTATCGGCACTCAGTAAATGACCTCATTTCAGGCGGCTTCACTCACGTTTCTTGTGCGTCTCCGCCGGCTGGTAAGTATAAGAATTGACCTCCTGTTCGCTGACTGGTGGTGAAGGAGTGTAGCCCATATGGCGAGTGCTTGTTGAAGGGGTGTCTGTCGTCTGCGAGATAGCGACTGGCGGTGGGTCTTCGAGTACTGGCTCTGGAGATGATTGCTCTGGGGTTTCGCGGGGAGTATACATGGGAGGTGCTTCGTCTGCTTGACGAACAGTTCCAGCAACAAGCGCTACCCACTTTTCCCAGGCCTCCCAAGTCCCGCGTAGTTCCTGCGCTGCACGAGCTGCCCTTGGGATGTCTTTGGCCTCGTCATCTCCATCACGAGGTTCTCCGCCGCCAAGGAAAGCAGGCCAAGGAACGAAGACAGGGAAAACCATCGGTAATTGAGGAAGTGCTGCCCATGGGACCGCCGGTATTTCAGGTAATGGAGGAAGACCAGGCAAGTTGGGGAGTTGGGGAGCCGGAAATTGTGCCAGTGTTCGTTGGATAAGAGTGATCAGATTCGCAGCTTGTTTCTCGTCTTCAAATGCCTTGGCAGTTGAAGGAGTATCAGGCAGAGCTGTTAGGGAAGAAGAGGAGGACCGAGGAGTGAGTGTGCGCCACTTGTCGGAAGTGGCCCGCCGCCGCCTGTCAACAATTCGCCTAGGAGGATTGCGTGCACCGTTGTCATCCGATTCTGCATCTCCCCAATGGGCCTCGTCTTCGTCAGCAACTTCCACAACATTATCGGGCAATAATCCATCGAACAATCCGCCCACACTCGCCACTTCTTGTGGCGACTTGCCACGCGCATCGACAATTTCGACATCAGCGCCCTCGCGAAGCAACCTTTCCACACAACTCTTTGAACCTTTGATCGCCGCCAAATGCAATGCGGTACAACCACTGCGATCCCGCAGGTCAAGATCGACACCTCGGGCAATTAAAAATCCAACAAGAGTGTCAAGGCCCAGGAAAACTGCCAAATGCAACAACGTCTGGCCTTGCGGAGAGGGGTAGGAGATTGCCGCCTCCAGGGAGATTCTCTTCGCGCTTGGAATGTCCACAGACGTGTCGAGAACAGAAAGAAGCTTCAGAACCCTGGTTTCGAATTCTGATGCCATTTGTGGTGCGCCAACAACACTGCCAGACGGTATGCTGGGTGTTTCATTCGCAACATTGCCCACGATACGCATGGCAATATTTTTCGCGTTCTCAATCTTGCCAGTCATCTTCAGACCGACAACTTGGAGAGCAAGCTCCATCCTTACAAGTTGTGAGACGCGGGACATCAAGAGGAGCGAAAAAGATGCTTACAATGCTCTGTCTGACTCGTCGGAATACGTAAAGAGAGGCGTCGATGAGTTGCTTGAATCGGGTTTAGTAAAGTTGTTGAACCAAACCGGTACAACGCATGGGGTGGTCTGAGGAGGAAGGATGCAAACAAGCGTGTTATCGCTCCAGCGGTGAGTCGAACCGGCAACAACATCCCCAAAAACACAGTCAAGCTGTAGCGAAGGGTGAAAGTTTGCACCAAGAATAGTGACCTCTGTTCCGCCGTGGGTAGGACCACAGCTGGGAATCAGTCGGTGGATTGTGGGGAATGTGGCAGACTGGGGTGGCTGAGAAGTGGCGAATAATGATAGGGGTAAAACATGAGGAAGGGGTGCGGTGGGTTGGCATACGAATGGCTCTTCTGTAGGTTCTACAAGCATAGAATAGTCGGGAGGGGTAGCAGGTACATCGGCGGAGGAATCTGATTCGAGGGATGAAGGTTGTTGCAAGGGGGGGACAACATTGGCCAGAAGACCGGGGGTGGAAGCCCTCGTATCTGGGTAAGAACTGGAGGGAGACGGCGCACTCTCAATAACGCTCGCCTCTCTTGATCGTCGGCCAGTTTTGGGAACATCATAGGGCTTTGGTCGCTTTTTTGTCGAAGCAATTGCCACGCAATCCTTCTTGCGTTTCGACGGTGCCTTAACTTCGGGCGACGGTTGGGATTGTGACCATTCCATGCTTGACGGAATTAATTCTGCACCTTTCGAACCAGGTGTCTTGTGGTCGTCCGTGATCATGATCGGTCCCGTCAAACCAGTTGCAACGATTCGGCCGATATGGTCCATCATCGTGAACTGGATGTTGAAGCCCACTTTCTCGCGGTGGTGCCGACAGTAGCATGTTATACGCAAGGGCAGCGCGACAGAGCCTTTAGCGAAGTCCTGGATTTCGGCGCAATTGAACTGAATGATGCTTGTCGTATCTTCTTGAGGTTTTCCCTTGGGTTTTTGATTGACATCGTCACCAGATTCGGAGTCCGACCTTGATGGCCGTACTCTTGCGGCGAGTTTCTTCGCCAAGCGCTTGGCCTACAACCGAGATAAGCGGCAGAAAAAATGATAACTAGCGACGCGCCTCGCGCTTTTGACAACTGGTGCAACTATGAACACGAGTGTCGGGTGAGGAAGCACAGGTCACAGTGGCTGTAAGGTGGAGGATGTCTTCTGGTAGAGGATCTAGTTCGCGCTTTAAAATAGTTGGCAAAGATATATGGGAACATCACCGACCGACTTTGCCTTGCTTCCTTGTTCGGCGCTTTGTCGAAGTTCCTGGAGGTAGCTGAAGATATTTCCAAGAGCCTACACAATTGTAGTTTGCAGGGTCGGAAGATGAACTTGAGTCCGCGAGCTGGAGAGTAGCCCTGATTTGAGTTTCGACTCGCGACTTCATACCACCCTCAGGAGAATTGGGGAACATGATAGCAAGACTGTTGGTTGGGGTAAATATGCGGAATTGCCAAATAGTTTGTTACACACTTGTAACACGATTCTTTGGGTGGTAAAACAACTCGAGGTGCTTCGTTCTGCAGCCTTCGAGAGGTAGGCACTGGGGATGGAGCAGAGCTACTCGCCAAGCTGCGCTCAGGCTGCGAAGTAGTGAAGGCGCTGCTTTGAAGAAAGTTAAAGGGAGTCGAGGACATGAAGTTGGGCTGTGGAATGGAAAGTTCTTGCTGGGAGAATGATCCTGGAGATACTGGACTTTTTTCGGCTTGAACAAACTGTGCAATTTGGTTGTTTGATGGGGACTTACTCATCGTAGCCATGTATGAGGTCGTCCAACTGGAGAATCTCTTCCGTCTCCTCAACTTTCTGTGGATGCAGTAGTGCAGGGTCGAGCCATGAGGGATGGGCCGAAACTAGTCTTTCAGGGTCAGACGTATACCACGGTCCAAAGTCGGTGTTGATATCGACGTCAAATTGGATTTCTGAGGGAGTCTGCGGGGAGGCGGACCGAGAGTCGGTGCCTGGAGCTGACGACGGAGAGTTGGACATGGAGGTGGCGCTGAGCGCGGGTCACATGAGTGACGCGTAGGTCACACCCGACAAGGATAAAGTTCGATGCTTCTGTATTCTGGCAGCAATCGTTCTTGACGATGCATACCCCCATCGCGTCCCGAGCAACGACGCCCGTTCGCCGCTTCGTGTCATACCAAGAAAGCCTACATGATCACATTACCTCTCATCCCCAGTCACGCGTTCGTCGAGGACCTTTCGTGGATTTACCATTGACCTCCGCTCCTTCGAACCCCTTGCAACCAAGACCAACAAAAGTGGGGGAACTCTCGCCAAACAAGCTGTACTGACTGTATTTAGGCCCCAACATCAGAAAACACCCAAGTTCCTCAGCAGCCCCCGCTCTCAACAACAGAGTCCGTAAAATCTACTTTCGTCTGTAAAGCAAGCATTAAGCATCGCTCAACAGTCTAATCGGCGAAGAAGTATCTGAATATGCTCATGTTTGGCACATTTATGCCGACGAGGCTCAAAAAGCAGACAATCTCATGACTGAAGGCTGGAATCGCAGCATTGATGTTCTACTCGGTGAGAATCAACTACGGCTCGGGCTTTGGCTAATTTCGATCAGTATTTGTGGGTCTTCTGACACTGGAATCTTCTTATCCTCAGTTCTTTAGACTGGCCTATTTTCTGCTGTCCTCACAACGTTCATAATTCAGTCCTACCAACTCATGGTCCCCGACGCTGGCGACACGACCAATGCTCTACTCCTGGAACTCATCGCCTTGCAAACCAACAATTTGACTCTTGCTTCGTCAGTATCAATACCCCAAACGACTCCTCGACAGATTCATGTCGTCAATGGCGTGTGGTTCTCTGCCCTTGCTTGCAGTCTGTCAACAGCGCTAATCTCAATGCTGGCAAAACAGTGGCTTCAATCTTACCTTCCAAATATGTCCGGATCTCCTAGGCATCGTGCACGACAGCGGCAGGAACGATTCATGCACCTTCAGGCATGGCATGTTCCAGAAATAATCAATGCCTTGCCCCTCCTTCTCCATGTCGCCCTCCTTCTTTTCTTTGCCGGCCTTTTGGTCCTCCTATGGTCTGCTGATCTCGCCATCACCTTATCCACCTGGGTTATCGTCGCCCTAGCCTACATCTTCTACATCGCCTCAATCGCAATTCCTTTGTTTTATCCAAACTGTCCATATAAACACGCAGTCACAGATCATCTTCGAGTTTGGTTATTCCAGGATAGTCGAGCATCGCCAGTATTGTCTATGCGGTCATTCAAAAACCGCTCGGAGAAAGGAGCTCTTTATGATGCTAGGTATTCCTTTCGTCCTAATCCACACGCTAGTTGTTGACCGTCTCTCGAAGATTTTGTAACTCCACATCACAAGATATAATAGATGCAACAGCACTTGCTTGGCTGTTTTCTGAATCGACTGATCAGCAAGTCATCTCCGTCGCGTTGCAAGCAATTGCTGGACTTCCCCGTGACTTTTCGGCGTTGAACGTTCTGCGTGATGCTGGTGCCCTCCAACTGATTGAGCAGGGCTTTCAAAACTGCTTCCACAAAGATACCACTATTGGTCTGCATTGGCATCTGGTTGATGCCGAAAAAGCAGCCCTTTTCTGTCGAGCTTGGATCAAGCTCATCCGTGGTACGGGTGAACAGTGGCCTTTTGCCATCATTGAGCCCCTTTGGCTCCTCCAAAACCTTGACCTTTCTCGTCATCCAGATGTTGCGGCTATTGCATCATGTGCAGTTGCTCTATCATCTTTTGACTCACATATTTCGCAATGGGAACTACTCGGTTATCTTTCCCGGTCTGCGTCGGGAGAGATCATACTGTCCCAGACCACACAATGCTGTTTGATCGACAGCCTGATTGAATGTTTTGTCCGCTGGGAAATGCCTCTAGCTGTTATAGAAGACACCATTAGCCGGGCAGTTCCGGTTCTCTTGCAAGTTTTGCACTTGACGGAAGAGCTCCCAAACTCTCATGTTCGCAGTGCAGCAGCATTGGCGTTGTACATTATCACCTTGGGCAGCATTGTTGATCTCGGTCACTATATGAATGAGGAAAAGCGACGCAGCGAATACTGCGAGTTAATGATTCAAGCGCTATCCGCCGTTGTCTCAACCCCCACTAGATTCGGGGTACGGGATAGCCTGCTCAACGTTGTCAGCGTCGAGCTAGCACGCCTCTCTTCTCCCCTCATCACTCATGTGGAAAAATTTCCCAAGAGCCTCCGCAGAATGGCGAAAGCTAGCTTGTCCACATTGTACACGGAAGGAAGAATCGGCCAGGGAATAGGCACGTTGTGTGAATCACGCGTTACGAGCGGCTAATTATATTTGTTCAGTATCCGATAGCACTCTAGCAGATGTTCTTCAGCTCATGTTCCCGCCTATCGATATGGACGCGCCGCGTCAAACGGTATTTGTGACAACACTGGTAGAGACATTAGAGACTTCGACCCACCCGGAAATCATCAACTGGGCAATACGACTCCTTGAGGCTCTGTTAACCGGATGCTCTCTTCCCGTGATCACTGCTTTCGTCGAAGGTAATGGTATCGGAGCTGTCGTGCGAACAGCAAGAAGAGACGACAGTCGCCGGTTGCAGATCGACAGCTTACGGTCAATGTTCCAGTTCATCATCAGCGCAGTGAAGCACCACAACAAACCTGGTGTAACTGCATTTGACGCTCTCTTTGACTCCGGTTTCTTCGAGACTCTCTGCAACGTGATCGCTGCACGACGTTGGTGGCTCTATGAAGTGAATGCACAATGGCTTCCATCTTTAGTGGAGTTGTGTCGTATCCGGCCAGGTGAAGCAGCCTGGGTAAACGTAGTAAAGGCCTTCCGCGAGTTTGCTGAACGAAATGTGAGCGAGGAAGGTTATCCGGAAACAATGCGTCATTTAGATTTGATCGGAACCACATCTTTATCGTTATCTAATCAATGATTTCATAATGTTGGGGAATGTGACCATCACATCCCATGTCGTCTCTTACACTCAACACCCTTCCTAGGGATCTGCTCCTCGAGATATCAGCAGTTCTAGACTGTCGCCACGACCTCCGAAGCCTTGCTATCACCTCCAAAGCACTCTTCATCAATGTTGCCCCCGTATTATATCAAACTGTCGTCCTTAAATCGGTGGAGCAGACAACAGTAACCCTTGCCATGCTCCAGCGGCACCTGGATATAGTTCGTCCAGTGGCTCTCTCATAATCCCTTGCTCATATCACGTCACCAGGCTCACCACGTTCGCGAGCTCACAATCAGTCCTTCGCGTTCAAACTTTACTGATAGCAAGGCTGCTTCGGCTGCCGTGGCCTCAATCGCTTTCTCCAAATCTCTCGAGAGTCTGGCAAAGTTTAGCTGGTATGATGATTACCTCCACGAAGAGATGTGGCTGGCTCTTCGCATGTGGTGAGTGGTTCTTTTGCTGTGCAATAGCATCAACGGAGATGTTTATATATAGCTGCCCCCGTCTCCGATACCTAAGCACGAGTGTTGGGGCCTTTTTCCCGCCCAATAGCCAGGTACCCACCAGTTAATCCATCGACTTGGAATACTCATCGGCCATGTCTTCTAGCTTTTCAACTTTACCGACCTTCACGGCTTCTCCTTACATCTCGGACCCGGCTTCTATAACAGCGCGCAAGCACTAATCCCGGATGGCGAGTTACTTGAATTCCATCTATTCCTGTGCCCTGAATTCAATTTCAGAAGGATGGCCCCCCAGCAAGAAGCTATGGGACATGCTGTTCACCCGATGTCCCAACCTCCAGGAACTTTCTATCGAAGGCTACTCAGCGTTTCCCGCAGACGCGCACTGCATTATAGAGGGACGATGGCCCCATCTTCAGAGACTAACTCTTGGAGATCTTTCTGTTGATTGGTCACCCGCCAACTCGGAACAGAAAGGTCCATTCGTCGCATTTTTGGAAGCTCATCCAGAGCTCCAAAGCTTGAGCCTTTCACGACACAATGTGGACCCCGTACACCTGCACTCAATCGACCATGATACCTTGAAGTTGACCTCCTTCTCTGGCACATTACATCAACTTCAGGGATTGTCCCGCTCATTCTCGACACTCAGGTCGCTGACATTCCGCGATCCATTATGGTCACGAGACCCCACGATCCTTGCCATTGCTACTGTTCTTACACAACTTACAGCACTTACTGATCTGAGTATCATTTTCACTCTACACTCTCCCTACGACAGCAGTAGCATTCTCCGCGCTCTCGTCGCCTCCTGCCCCCAAATCCAGAACTTAACTTTGGCTTGTCTGCGGAAAACCTCTTTCCAACTCGACACACTCGCCAAAGCACTCAGTGCTTTTCGGCGTCTACAAACTTTAAATGCGACGCTCGTCAGCTCGGGTGACCTTAGCCTTGCTGCTGCTGGCACCCGTTTTGCCAGAGCTAACCCGCGTCTTCGCGAGTTCTGCATCGCATTTGTACCACCAAGCTATCCACATGGATTGCCTTACAGGCCCCTTTACCCATTCCCACGAATAAAAAGGGCGACGGCTCGGTTCGAAGTTATTTGCGATGACTATGACCTCCCAAAAACTTTACGAGTCCGGGAAAGTTCGACGAAGATATGGCCATGGATGCTGCGAGTGGTTCGTTCTGTGCAGCGATATGACCTTGAGGTTCGTTGGCAATCAGGTGGTGGGGGACGCAGACAAGACACCAATGCTGGTCTGATTGGAATGTTGATGGAAACCTCTCCTGCCGGCGAGGAGCTGAGGGTCTTTGCATTTTGTTCGCTGTTAGTTTGCTTCGCAGGGATGTTCTTGGCGAAGAGTTGAAGTAGACCATAAGATAGCCATTCTTAATATAGACAATACTTGACGCAGTATATTGCATAAGCATCGATGTACATGCCTCGAAGTCGGCGGCGACAAGCAAGATGATGAGAGTATATAGTTGACATGACCATTAACGGCGTCGGTGTGAAATTAATACCTGCCGAGAGGCACGAAAGCAGATGAGCATTACTGTCAAATAACAGAGGGAGAGGAGGAGAAGGGGGAATGTTTAAGACCTAGAAGTGGGTTAGATTAGCTCACAAGTTCCCACCTTGCGGCTGTTGTCGAATTGCGCCAGAGAATGGAAAATGGAGGGGGAAGGATAGAACAGGACACACACATTTTATAGTCAATCCTTGTCTCCGGCTCTTCTTCGCTGGTCTTGTACGTTATAGAAATGTCGAGATCACGGTTGTTTCGTGAGTTGGGTGCACAGCTAACTTCGCCAGTCACTATCTGGTCTTTGGAAAGCGTAAGCGTCTCAGGCGTGTAGAATACGGTTTGCCTAGCAGTTTTGCAATCAGACGGCTTGGATGGATAAGACAAGAAGACGTACTTCCAATGGGTATATTGTGCGTGAGGACCAGTCGAGAATTTCACTTTTTTGTGGGTACATTCAAAGGAGATGTCGAACCACGCGAGGAAGGCATGGGCGTCTTGACCAAATCGTTACGACTGCGCCAGAGAGAAAACGGTCAACGCACAATCGTCCCGAGTGGCCTTCAGTTTGAAGGGGACTTGGAAAGTCAGGTCCTCTTTTTTAGCCACAAGCAAGTCGATATCTTTGATCATACACGGGTCGGTCACAACCGATTTTAAGTCGACAGTGTCGACGAGAGGTTCACGCAGGGCGATGTCTTTGATGCAAGAGTAATCAAAGCCGTATACGTTGTCCCAGACTTGAAATGGTTAGGAAAAAAGGACATCAGGCGAGAAACAACGCACAATTTATTTTCTCCTCCTTATAATCCTGGTCCTCGATGGCCGCGAAGTAGAGCTTTGCGGTGTCAGGGAAGATAAGACCACCTTTCTTGAGGTATTTGTCGCGTGCAAGAAGCACGGTGTCGAGCATAGACTCGTACAGCAAAAAGTAGCCCATCCATTCCGAGATGATGATGTCGAATTCTTGGAAAGGCAATTCAGTCTCTTCTAGCTTGCCCTTGACGAGTGTAATGGCTAAATAATGTGTTTTAGAGCAGGAGAAACGCGCGCAAGTGGTTATCGCACTATCTTTGAATCCGTTGGCCTCGATAATTTTTTTGGGCTTGATCGAGGATGTTGGACATATCGATCTGGATCCAAATGAGCTCAAATTCGGGTGAAAATAGCAGAAACACACTCCAACGACGTGTTTCGCGCCCGCCTTGGCGGCGAACATACTCAAAATTCCCGTACCACATCCAACATCGAGAACCGTTTTTCCCTTGAAAAGATGACCATTGTTGACGATCGCGGAGCGGTATGAGCCAGTCCGGACGGTGTCCTTGAGCATTTCCTCGTGAATGCCTTGTTTGCACAATCAACACCATAATTTGGGAAAAGATTAAAAGACTGACCAAAATGGGCATACGAGTCGGCATAGCTGTGAGATGGTTATTTTTTGGCAGCGAAGAGATTGGGAGCAGCTGAGCTAATCTCTAGAGGTCATGTCATGACCTTGGCTTGTCGTGGCATGGGATGGGCCTGCGTCTACATCCATGGTGGTCATCGCGAAAAAAAAATCAGGACAGAGTGACGCACAGCCACAGCTGTCACCGTCAATCAAGTAATCAAGCGCAGTCAGCCGCAGTGCATAAGAGCCGAGCGATCCACTCTTGCTCTCTCACCTTCATGGTGCGTGCTTCTGCTATTCTCTTATCACCCCCTTGAACCACATTCTAGTCTAACGAACACAACGATAGTCCCCCTGCCTACGATGGCCTTCGTCCTGAATGTAGGCTGAATATCAGGAGCTCCATAGATGATACTGACTCGTCACTTCTAGCACCCAAGGATGTCAAGCCTCTTCAGGCAGTTCCACAAATGACTCCAGGTCCTTCTCTTCCATATGCTCCCCATGCCGGACCGTCCTATACGCCCAATAACCCGGTCGTCTTCCACTACCGCAACCCTCGAACTGGCGAGCATGTTGCCTCACTCGTACGTTGACGGGCGATCTTGAGCGTATTTCTCACGATAATTAATAGCTTCCCCCCAATCATCCTGAAATGGAGTGCTTGCAGCGAGGCGAGCATGTTCCGCACAGCAGTTTCAGTCTGTTAGGTCTGCGTTTCGTTAGCTTCCAATGTCGGAGTGCTGATCGAATTGAAATAGGCTATATCCTGGCATTAGCCTGGTTCCCCCTTGGAGTTGGTCTCTGCTTACTCGACCGCCGCGTCAAGTGCTCCCATTGTGGCAAAGTTCTTGAAGACGGCCTCTGCAATTAAGACACCCGTGGACAGTCCTAGTATACATGATGTTTAGTTTTATTCTTCTTCTTGTTTCAATGTGAATATGTAGAGTTGGATCATAATCGCTTCGCAAGCCCAATTGGACGATTCGACTCCATCGTCACCAATCGACTTGGGAGAACAAACAAAATCGAGTCATATCGAGAAACCGGCAGTAAGGCTGCAACCAAAAGCAGGTACGCTATGTCGCCCGACCCCAAGCTGGGAATGTCGTCGGATTCATGATATAATGGAAGAGTTTCTCGGCCTCCTTTGATGCCAGGTAGCTACTGTTCGCTACATCCCGAGCCTTGCCAAGCCACGAACGAAAATTACGAGTGTCTTTTATAGCAGCATAGCATCCCGCGAGTAAGATAAGATGGAGGTAGTAACGAAAGCGGTAGACGAGACCTTCTTTGGCCATGTCGTTAGTGGCCTTGAGGTAAAATGTCATGACGCTGTCGAGCCCTTGGCGAGTACGATTTGGATTGGAGTACCATGCGCTGAATGGCGCAAAGATGTCTGATTGGGAGGTTTGGTTTATTCGTAGACGACGAGTGTCACTTTCGCTGACGTCAGATAGAGAACAGATCGCGCAACAGCAAGAGAAATGGTAGAGGTGCAGAAGTTCGGCTCGACGGGTATCGCGAGTGGCCATGGAAGGGGAAGTGAGGTCAATGTAGCTGATGAATAGCTCCTCTCCTTTCTTGATGGGGCGCAGAGCGTGTACGGTTAACGTGAACGACTCGGGATCAAAACGAGCGGTGGCATTGGGGGCACAACTAGTCCACAGTGAGTATCGTAAGCAGATGTCACTGAAAGGGAGCTGCTGAGCACCTGTGATTGAACCTGCTGGCCTGTAGGAACACAGCGTTGTGGCCTGTTGAATCAGCCCCAAAGGACTTTGGAAGAGGAAGCGATATGCCGATAGCGTTGGTCCGCAGAATGGCTTCTTCTGGGTCGAGTTTACTTGAGGCAGGTTGAGAGTTACAAAGCGACATAAGCGCGGGTAGAAGTCTCTGCGGTACACGCCTAAACAATTCACGGTAGACTTCACTGCTACTGAGGTCAAGGAGCACCAGGGTATTTTGCACGACGGTCACAGGATATTCAACATGGATGAGGGTTGCCGAGGGAATGGGGCAGACGGAAAAGGCGCCAACGCCTCGCGAACTATTGGTTGAGCGAAACTCGATTGCTTCTGACGACAGCGTCAAAGGGGACGAAAAATGGTCAATGGGAAGTAGATCCAGGACTGCTTTGTCGAGAAGGGTGCTGATCTCGTTGGCGCCGATTTTGATATTTTTGAAGAGAAGGCGCTGAGTGTGACCAAGGCCATCAGCTCGAATGGATTTGGTGTGGGGAAGATGACTGCTGGAGCAGTCGATAAACGGTGCAAATGTTTGGTCAGAGTCGAAGAGTGGACGGTCGACATGCTCGAGCTTGGGCTTTCTGGATGTTTTTCGAGTATATGGAGAATACAGTGCGTCTTTATGGTGCAAAGAGCGGCGTTGAGCTGACATGGCTGGGTGAACGAACCAAGCAACGAAGCGAAGTCATGATAAGCGCCAGAGGTGAATTTCGAAGTTGATGGACAGCGGATAATTACGAGTTAGAAGTCCTCGTTTGACTTCGTTTGGGCCCTGAGGATTGTACTTAATTACCATCGGCAGACACATCTTGCAGATCTCCGTTTTGGGCGGGGCAGTGTATCATTGTCACGTGATGTGTCATTGCCGGCCACGTATGTGACATGATCTCATCAGGCCACGTCGCTCTTTTCCACTGACCACGACATCCTCATAACCGCAGTCATCCCTCTTCCTACTTAACCGCCACGACACCGTCCACGACACTCACTCATGTCCCCCGCATCTGTTGATCCTTCGTCTATCTCAATGCCCTCTCCTGACGCCTCAGAATTTTCCGAGCCTGGCCCTTCACGTAAACGCCAGCGCACCGCAGCCTCTTCTGAGGAACGCAAAGACGCTCGTGCTCATCGTAACCGTATTGCCGCCCAGAACTCGCGCGATCGGCGCAAAGCCCAGTTCTCATATCTAGAGCAACGAGTAACTGAACTCGAAGAAGAGAACCGCCAACTTCGAGCTGGTCTAGTTGTTCCCGCCTCCCAACAGGATAAGGACCGCGAGAATGAAGAGCTCCGCGAGCGCATCCGTACCCTCGAGAAGGGTTGGGATGTCGTCATGAAAGCTCTCGCAGCGCAAGGCCTGCCAACTTCGACTACATCGACTACACCTCCTAGCACTTCCCCTCAGCCAACTCCAGAGCCTACTCAACAATCACCACCTCCACCATCAGCTCCAGAGCCCATGGACAAACAAGACTCCTTTCTTGAGCCCACCATAACATTTCCCATCTCTCCCGCGCCCACCGTCTCGTCGCTAGACTTTGATCTCGCGTCATCACCGCTTCTTACTCCAAAGACGGAGGAACTTGACATCGAAACCACTCGCCACCTAGCACGGGTGGCGTCTACTGTACCCACGGTAGCCCTGCAGCGGGTGGTTTCGACATTTCCTTCAACAACAACGAAGAAGCTGCGATTGACGACCAGACCATGGAAAACCTGTTCCTCGAGATCCTTGCCCCGTCACCCCACCTCATCACGGCGAATCTTCCTCTTGACGTTCCAGCTCAAGGCCCCACGTCGGACGATTCATCACCGTCCACGTCCTACTCGCCGCAAGTGACAGCGGCAGAGATATTAGGGCTGGAGGGCATGATGGGTAGTGATGGCTCAGAGATCAACGAAGAAGACGCTCAACTTTGGTCGATGGGAGCAGAATTGGAGGTTGATATGTTGGAGATGGATCGCATTCTCGAATTGTTACCCGCTGCTGATGCAGCCTTCCAACAAAACTTGGATGAACAATTCAATCTTGGAGTCTCTTGGGCACAAGTCGGCGCAGAATCAAATCTCGTCAACGTGTTCTAGGCTACGTCTTCTCCACCGTCAAAAGTATCTATACCAATGTCTCCTCTCTCTCATCATTTTCTTCTTCTGGTCATCATCATCTCATCTTTCAATATGTCTCATCATCCTCTCTCCACTCTAACTATCTATTGTTCAACGTGTTTCTGACACCATTCCCACCCCTACGTATGAGTTACTTTACCTATCCTCTCCTGCACTGTCCATCTTAGCTCGGCCAGACCCCCTTGTTTATTTCCGATGCAGCCTTCGTTGATTCTCTCTCTCCCTTCGGGTCGAGATAGAGTTGATGCGACTGTGCGCTTGGATTAGACCTGGGAGTTGGGTCTTTGTTTGGGTTGTTGGTTGTTTGAGATCGTATGTAGATTACTTGTCGTTTGGTTGTGAACGGAATAGAGCATGTTGACCTTGAACATTTTGAGTGACAACTTCTCGTAATCGTAATCATAGTCACATCATTTCCAAGTTGGACCCACTAACAACCACAACCACAGACTTGTAGAGGAACTTGTTTTAAATTCTGAAGCTAATAACAGTCACCATAATCCATGCGGTGCTTCATTTCTCAGGAATGGACGAACTCGGTGCATGGACTTCCGGTTAGGAGCCGCCACAGGAAAAAAATCAGTTTTCAATTGGAACGAGCAAAGAGGAAATCGGGCTCGAGGCGGATCAGGCCTTGAAAATGGCAGCGACGCGTCTTCGAATTTGTGACGCATTGAGTCTCAGCGAACCTTTGCTCTGCTCCGTCACCATCCCCTCTTCCACCAGTGCTACCTTAAAAATACGCGTTTTAATTCACGACAAGCATGCCTTCCTCGCCCAAACCCATTCCCAGTCCGATGATCACCTCCTCCTCGACTGCGACTTTGCGCCAACCAGGCTTATCAACGCCGACAGTGGGCAGACCTCGCGGTCTCTCTACGTCTTCGCTCCAAGCCTCAATGTCTAAATTCGCTGGTGGACTTTCCCCTCCAACCAATTTCTCGCCACTTGGACTAATCGACGAAGATAATGATAGTAGCCCAGCTTCTTCTTTCCTCACTCGGACGCGTTCAAAGTCGCAATACTCCCCAGCAATGTTCTACTCTCCTCGTCTCGCTGGTCAATCTGTCGAACAGGACTCGCCAGTCCCAACTTCTTGGTGGCGATTCGAAAGAGAACCTCCCAAACGCCAGTCCACGATCCCTGTGGAACAAACAGACAGTTGGGCACATACGCGCAAGGCGAGTTTTGTCTATTCCTAATACTTTACACTTGACATCATTTCTAGCGTGTATCTGCCGCTGCTGCCCGAGTTCTTGGAGCGTCGCTTCCGGCCGCGCACGAAGCCCTACGTCTGACTTCAGAGTTTTTAGATGCAGTTCCAGTCCCCATTCCAGGATTGCAGCAGGCCGCAAAGATTTTGTTGACCATTTGGGACAGCGTCCAAGGGGTCGATGTGGGTTTCTTTCCTTTTACCAGGTTGTGGATGTTGATCGCTTAACTCCAGATAAACCGTATGGCGTGCCTTCGTCTGACGGAAAGATGCGCGGAGATTTTGCTTTCGGTGCGGCAAGAGGTCGAAGATGCGGGAGCAGAGGTCGTTGCAGAGCTCAAGACACCGATTGAGAAACTTGTGGAGTATGTATTCCGTCTTTTCCTACAACAGTCATATCTGATCTTTGTTCAAGAGCCTTCACGAAGGTGCAAACTTTCAGTATGAGTTCATACTTCCACATTCCCAACGTTTAACTCCCACGTAGTGCTCAAGCAGGCTCATCGTCCTTTCCTCAAACGATATCTGCGGCGAGAAGAAATTATCAGAGACATTGGTGGGTGCGACAAAGGCTTAACGGACGCGCTAAGCATGTTTGGAGTAAATATTTCTCTGTGTCAACATGAAGACACTGACTTGTCTAAGTTTTCCATCCAAATTCGAATATTAAAGCAAGTCGAGGCCGCTGAACATAATCGCCAGGCTGATGCTAGAGCCCTTCTCGATGCTGTTGTCCGCTCTCAACAACATATGCCTCCTGTCCCTTCGAATACCCTTCAAGGTCTTGGTATCACCTTCCCCAAAGACACACCCGGTCTTCCTCCCAGCTCATCTCACAAATCACTGAGTAACGAGGGGGCGATCCATCCTGACGCAGTTCTCCCAGCATTACAGAGCCTACATCATGCTCAAAATGCCATCGATCTAGCGCAAGACACCGCAGACCTCAGAGCGTTGATGCACGACGCCGTTGGTCAGAGTAGTGATGCGGAGATGATACGTGTCCTCCAGGTCCGTAAAAATAATCGAGGTTGCTGGTGACTGAAACGGGAACCAGGTTGGTCGAGATGAGTACCCAGAAGCACTCAAGACTCTCCAACGTGCGCTAGAGCGAGTCAGCGCCATGAGCAATGCCAGTCCATCGATGCCAGAGATCACTGCCTTACCAACAAATCTCGCACCTGAAAGCATCGAGCGCTCCATTTCGGCTTCGAGCTCTGGCAGCAGTGCAATTGGTTTAAACAGTAACGTTGGACGCGATGTGCTCGACCGAGAGTTCATTGAGAGCGGTATTGATGCTCTCCGTCGACTGAGCAAGGGAAGTGACATGGGGCTCCCAAGTTGGACCATTACAAGGTTTTGTTATTATTCACTACTCGTCCATCCACTAATGAAGCGACTAGATACGAAGTAGATCGTGATGTCAGGATCGGAATCGGCTTTTTCTCTAACGTTTATCGTGGTCGATGGCGTAACCGAGTCGTTGCTATCAAGATTCTCGCGGAATGCACCCCACAGGAACTCTTCGTCAAAGAAGTTGCCATCTGGAAAGAGTTCAAGCATCCTAATGTCTTGGAGCTGTATGGTGCAAGTGCTGTCAACGGGGACGGACCGTACTTCTTCGTCTGTCCCTACGAAAAGTATGGGTGTCTGAGCGAATTCTTGCGGAAACTCGCGCATCATCAGAGCGAGGGCAGCAATGTTCGCAGCCGGCACGCGAGTCTTCCTGAAGGGAGCCCCGGGGGCAGCGTCATTCGTCCATCGATACGCTCGAAGCACGTGAGCGCGAATATGAATATGTTTGCACTTTTGGCGGGCCAGGACACGGATTTACTGCGATTCATGCATGAAATCGGGAGAGGCATGGAGTATCTGCATGACAAAGGTGTTCTTCATGGCGATCTCAAGGTACTCATATTGCTCGCTCAGACTTTTACACCTCTTATATTCTCGCTAGGCTGCAAACATTCTAGTGGACGATCACATTCACTGTTTGGTTGCTGATTTCGGACAGAGTGAGATGAAGTCCGAAGTCTTTCGGATTAGTGGGACCTCGCCACCAACCCGCAAGTACTGTTACCTTTTATTCGGAAAGCTCACTGAAGTTCCTTCGTATAGATGGCACCTTACGGTGGCAAGCACCTGAACTCATGCTAGGACACGGTCAAATGACAACTGCGATGGATGTCTACAGTTTCGCTATGTGCTGCGTCGAAATCTTGACGATGGGGAAAATGCCCTGGCCTTTCGCCAACGACGAGGACGTTCGACACTTGGTTTTGAGTACGTTGGAATTGGTCACTTATCTTGGCTTGAGCGTTGACACATCTGCAGAGGAGCACTCTCGACCAGTGATCCCCCCCTCACGTTACAACACGGCAGGTCTCCAGAATCTCCTGCAACTTTGCTGGGACCAGGACCCTTCTGTTCGACCTGATTTTTCCCGCATCGTGCAAGATTTAAAGCTCCTACGTAAACACTTTCGTGGTCCAACCCCAAGTCGGGACATTCCTTCGCCTCGGTTCCGGCAGAAAATTGATGAAGATGACGTCTACATATCGCGGCCGTCTCCCGACATGCATCCTATGGCTTTTCCTGGTGAACCACAACCTTGTCGGTCCACTTGTTCGATTTTATTTTATTCTGCTCATATATCTTTGCCCAGACCGCACGCTTGGCTCATTGTCAGGCACCTTACCACTGAACGGTTTGAGCTCGTATTTCCAACCTATCCAAGAGGCATCTCTTTCTGCTGAAGGCTCTGCGTCTGACGCGTCTTCGGATTCTTTGATTCAAACGTCGTTATCGTTCCAAGAAGACACTGTTGCCACGCCTCGCACGCACATGACCCAAGTCGTTTTCACACCATCGAAACGGCCTTCGACCCTTCATCCAACTTCCGCAACACAACCAAACCCCTCCGACGAAGATCTGAGCAACCTGCTGCTAATCAATCGGGATGGGAACGCGTCACCTCCGCCTGTTGATGAGCGGAGAGCTAAATTTAGAAACGAACGGCGGTACCGACTTCTGTTGTCGCACGAGTTCCATCCTTCTCGTATGATTGCTTTTCTCGTCTGCACATTTCAGGTTCTGAAACTCTGTAGTGACGCTTCCGCTGTGGAAGCCTTCGCCGATAAGTGTTGGTGCGGTTGGGTATCTGAGCAAGCCAGAGGGCACTTTTGTGACGATCCTGAACTGTTTCTCTCCGGACAAGTCGGCGGAAGGCGATCTTCGTGGATTACCTTCGATTCATGGGTATGGCAAGGTTGCGGTGGGGGGTCATCGACAAGACAAGCGGAATGCTGCGAAGCGTGGGTTTGATGCTATTGCCGGGCTGTTGACGTTCAAGCGGGGGAGCGAGGGGTCGTCTGTCTCGTAAGTTCAACTGCAGCTGATATTCAATGCTGAATGAGTTGGTCAGACAAAGCGTCAGTCGACGATATTCGTACCCACTGCGTTCTGGGCACAAGACGGCCTATCTTTGCACTGAAACGACGATGTACCGCTACATCGAGAAGCTGGACGCGCCGAAGAAGTGGTTCAAGGCCAATGTCGACTCGATCATGGAGACTTATGGACCGATGCACAACATTCAGAAGGAGGACTTGTTTTTGGTCATTGGGACACTCAGCGCGCCGGATTACGCGCTGTTTGTAAGCCATAGACATTCTGACGGACAAGTAAGTTGGATTTATCGTTTCTGACACGATTCTGAGCAAATTCTTAAGGCGCATTTCAACGTGTTTTCTTCAAGCAAACCTGGGCAACTCTGGGGTACATTTACGACTGACACGGGGTCAGAGCTTGGAGGCCCGTCATACCATGAACCGGTCATCGACAACCCACAGTCTGCCAGCAAGGTGTCGTCTACCAGCAGCAGTACTGGTAACCACACCTGGGACACTGTGTTGGTTGCTCGCCTGAGGTTTAAGCCAGATGCAACGGAGCCAACGTCACTGTAACACCACCCACAACGAGCATTACTACTTATATCATATTATCGCAACTGTATCCCTTTACTTTGTACCTTCTGCAAACCCCATCTTTCCTTACTTTTTTTGTTGTCGTTGGAGATGCGGCGATGGACGGTCAACTATTACGTCACACTGATTACGTCACGCTGATCATTCGCTTCTTGACCTTTTACTTGCAGGTGTTCTCTGCAGTTAATGTTGTGAACCGCTGCCTATGCCCTCCATCTCCTTTCCAGGTGCATTTCGACCGGCTCTGGAGTTTCAGCGACAACAGTTGATACGTTTTGTAGACCCCTCGACTGTTCTCGGTAATATCCTTGCACAGTCCTCTGCAGAGGCTGCTTCTCTCCATGGGTGTGTCAATGTTCGGCTACTGGTACATTGGTTAACAAACACACTGGGCAGCCGCAAGGCGAAAACGCCGATGCTTGCGGGGGCCATCATCGGGTCGATAATGGGCGCAGCATACGTTGTCGGGTTCACGATCTACTTCTACAAGCGGTGGCGGCACAAGAAGCTGAAGCGGCGCATCGAGGCGGGCAAGGCACCGCCCCAGCCAGTCGTCGAGCCAAAGGAGCGGGTGGTTATTCCGCCCGACCCAGCTGTGCTTTTGGGGCAGCATAAGGGCGGGGAGGTTATCTTGGTGGACGAGAAGGAGAAGCGGCACCACCACCACAGGCAAAAGTCGAATGGACACGTGCATGGGAATGGGAAAGGGGTACATGGCGACGCAGATGGGGGAGGCTCGACTTCGCATTTGGTTGAGGAGACGACCTGATATTTCTAGTAGTGAGTTGAACCTCACTTCTCTGTTTCGCTGCTTATCGTACACTCAGGCATGTAATTAACCCTAGTCGCAATATGCTCCAAAACTCGCCGGCTGTTGGTTCTCAGTGGACTTCTTACTCTGAGTACGACACTCACCGCTACATCCCGAGCGTAGCGCAACAGGATCCCCCGCTTGACGTTCAGCTTTCCCTTGTCTGACGCCTCCCACTCCGCCTTGCGCCGCTTTTGCTCTGCCTCGTCAATAAACCAGTTGATAGTTCGACTCTCTGCGTCAATGACGATCTTGTCGCCGTCTTGGACAAGTGCAATTGGCCCACCCAGTCTCGCTTCTGGAACTACGTGCCCGATGATGAATCCGCGAGAAGCACCACTGAATCGCCCGTCCGTGATCAAGGCTGTCGAGTTTGCTAATCCGGCGCCGGCAATCGCACCCGTCGGGCCTTGCACGGTCAGTATGAGAAAGAAAAACGAAATCAAAATTACCCAGCATCTCGGGCATGCCTGGCGCCCCTTTGGGCCCTTGGTATCGGAAAATAAGCACCATACCAGGTTTAATTTCGCCGGCTTCCAGCGAGGGGAAGAACGTGTCGAGACTGTCGAAACATTTTGCGGTTCCCTGGAATTGAGTGAGCTAGGTTCTTGGACACAATCCATTACCTCAAATTTGGCCCCTTCCTTGCCCGTGAGCTTGGCCACCGCCGAGCCGGGGCAGAGGTCCCCATAGAGGATCGTGAGGTGTCCAATGGGCTTGACGGGCTTCGCAAGGCTGTAGACCACGTCTTGGTTGGTGATGTCGAGTTCGGCGACATGCTCCAAGTTTTGCGCGAGCGTTTTTCCCGTGACGGTCAGCTGGGAGCCATCGATGAGGTCCGTGTGGTTCAACAGGTATTTGAGTATCGCAGGGATCCCGCCTACGCGGTGGATGTCCTCCATGTAGTATTTTCCCGACGGTCTGACATAAGCGTCCCTATCCAATCAAGAAAGGCAAAGAAACGCACTTGAGGTCAGCGAGGACAGGTGTCTTGTCCGTGATCATCTGGAAGTCGTCGATGGTGAGCTCGATTTCGGCGGCGCGGGCAATGGCGAGGAGGTGCAGGACTGCATTGGTAGAGCCCCCGAGAACGGTCACGATGACCATAGCATTCAGGAAAGACTGGCGAGTGAGGATGTCGCGTGGCTTGATATCGTTGGCCAGCAGATTTTTGAGGTATTTGGCTGCCCTAAAGCATTCTTGCGCCTTCGCTGGTAGCCAAATGAACAGATAGATTGTTTTGAATGGTCAACTTTACCAGAGTCGAGCGCCGGAGTGCTTGAAGAGTAAGGCAGGGACATCCCAAGGGCCTCCAATGCCGAGCTCATGGTATTGGCCGTATACATGCCGCCACAAGCGCCAGCTCCTGGGCAAGCATGGCGCACCACGTCAAATCGCTGCTCCTCAGTAATCTGTCCCACCGTGAATGCGCCAAAACTCTCGAATGCGTCGCTGATATTAACGGTGTCGCCCTTTTGGTACCCCATCGCAGGACAGTCTGTTCAAGTAATTCAAAATATCGACTGGGGGGAAAATATAATAAGCGAACCGACTTCTCGCCGGCCGGCCGCGATTGTTCCGCCATAGACGATGATGGTGGGCCGGTTGTGCCGAGCTGCGGCAATCAAGCAGCCGGGCATGTTTTTGTCGCAGCCAGGAATCGCAATATTCGCGTCGTAGTGCTGGGCCATCATAACAGACTCGATAGAGTCTGCGATGATGTCGCGACTGGGGAGCCTGTATGTGCTTAATCAGCATCCACGCCAATAGAAAAACAAAAAACACCCACGAATACCGCATGCCTAGAACGTGGTCACATCCAACAGAAATGGTGCGCCATGCTTACCATCAGTGCCCATAGAAATGGCGTCTGACACGCCTGCACGGGGGGGGTGAAATCCAGATGGACATATCCACAAGTCAAACTGACCGATTGTGTTGAAGATGAGCCCAATCAGGTCCTCGTCTTTGCAGCCGTCCTTGACGTGCTTCGCAAGATCCAGCTAGCGGGGGGGTATATGGAAACAAGCCAGACACCAGCGCTGTCGCTCACCAAATGGGAATTACACGGGTTTCCTAGCCAGGATCAGACGTAAGTAGGCACGAAAGAACTGACTCAACCGACCTTCCCACCACACCGGGGAAATGCCGATCTGGGTGCGCGTCAAAACGACAGAAGCGGGCAAAAAAGGAAGCGCCAACTTGTGGTTTGTCCATGTCTGCCTCAGAGAGCCCCACAGCGTAGACTGTCCGCCATTACTACTAGTGATCGCTGCTGCCTTAAACTCACGCATCGCTTGCGCCCCGCCCCGCGCCTACCGAATAACCATTCACTCTCGAGACAAACTAGTGGAAAAGGCCCCGACCTTGACCTGGGTAATTGCCGAGGATATTTTGTTCAGCTTCGCATTGGGGGAGACCGTTGGCGGGGATGGAAGGGAGTGGCTGCAAACTCTGTCGAGAGTTGACCCGCAGAGAATAGTACAACGCACATCTGCACGCCGTCCGAGTCAGACATGGTGGTTGTGTAAAAAGAGAAGTCGAGTCTTGGACCCGTGAAGCCATTATGCCAGAGGCCAGACTTCGACTTTCCGTTTTGGGCAACAGAGTTGGGGCTGCGGGCCGGCTGACCCGCAGCGAATAGGAGCGCATTGATTACAAGTACAAACGTTTCTACAACCGTCTAAAAGTCGAACTCGTTGCGGAAGAACTCTAACGAGCCCCGCCTTTCTGGCTCGGTCCGTTCAGCTAGATCGGCCCGTTCCTAACGAGGTGTTAAAGGCTTTGACCAGTATAACGGAGGCGTACCATTTGCAGGAATGCGCGACGAAGAGTTTGCCAAAGCTGGTCGCTCGTCGTCTGGCCTGAGGCTTCCTGCATCTTTAAGCCGCTCAGGAAGTGCTCAGCTGCCTCTTTATAGGCATTGATGTTCAAGCCTGTGTCACTTGGATTCAGAGAGAACACTTCGAAACTGAAAAGCTTACAAGCAACGCCAACATTATAAATGGCACGCGTGTAGGTCGGTCGTAGTTGGAGCGCTTCCCGATAAGCCCCAAGTGCCTCTTCGGGGTGGCTGCCGTTAGACAGACACGACCCAAGACGGTTCCAGAGCGTAAAATCGTTCGGCCGTACTGAAAGCGCGCTTTCAAAGCAGTCTTTTGCGCGGTCATATTCATTGTTGGTGTAGAATAAGACTCCGAGGGCGATCTGGACATCGGGATCCATTTGACCTGCAGTATGCTGACGGCGAGCGAGGTCAATGAATACCTCTGTCAATCGGGCATGTGTGTCCCACATCGAATTGGTGGAGACAGACGCAATAGTCTCGGGTGGAATAGGGTGAGAAGGGAAACGGGCCTGAAGCCATCGGAGCAATGTCGCGTGTGATGCTCTGTCCATGCTTTCGTTTGTGTAAGAAATCGCGAGTGACTGTAAAAGCCTCAGAAATGGATAGAAAACAAAAATTTGAACAACTCACCAGCATTCCCACGCCTTGGGCACCAGCGGCTTCCGCGAGTTTGACCCCTTGAACAAGAGCACGCATTCCGGCTTCCTCCCGCTCATCCATGTTTCGCGTTTCGCCCAGTAGGATCCAAGCCTCATAGCCGCCTTCACCCAGCTCGCCTTTCTGGATGGCTGCTTCCAGTAATAAGGCCGCTTCCGACAGCGATCCGTTCTGCTCGAGAAGCAGCTTGGCCTGCGCTAGTGGCGACTCGGACGAGAGGAACTTGTTGGTCGTTTCTGGATGATTAGTCGGTACCGTCAGCGAGGATCAAGTAAACCATACCGAAAGTGTAGTCATCGAGAATAGGAACACCATCCTGGTCAAACTTGGTGGCTTTGGAGTCGTCATAGTCGCCAAGACCGCTCTCCCATGCATTCTTCATGCCAGCACCGTAGTCGAAATCCAGATCTTCCCGTTGACCAGACATCATCTGGTTGAGTTCAGCTTCCCATTTGGCCATATCCTCCTTCGGTGGTGGGATGTCAGAGCTCTGGAGGTCGGCCAGGAACCTAGGCGCGCCATGTTCAAATAGCGAGAATGAAACAACAAATGGCTCACTTCTGGAAATCGCTTTCAGATGTTTCGTCAAGTGTTGTCTTGTTGAGCCTTTCCTCCAGGCCGGTCTGACCTTCAGGAATCTCTTCAATTTTGGCGGACTGCTGTGCTTCCGATTGGGCGGCGATAACCTGAGCGAAGGCAGCATCAAACTCCGCCTCTCTACTTTTCCCCTTCCCACTCATTTGGGGCTGCTGTAATGCGGGCGAAAACCCGCCGCCATACATGCCCATGCCCATCCCCATATTACCCATGCCCATGCTCATTCCCATTGGCATCCCCATCGAAGACATGGGCTGGGCTGTTGGTAGTGCTTGCGGTGTCGTGGCCAGTCGCGGGGCTGACGCAAACTCGCTGGCCCAACCACCTTCGAACGAGCGCATTTGATGTTGTTGGTCCATAATCCACCGCTCGTTGGCCTCAGAAATCGGCTGCCCGCTCATTTCGTGCATTCGTGCAAGCTCCATAGGATTCGGGGCGCCAAAACCGGGGCCGACATGATGGCCCGAGTCAAAAAACTGCCGCGCAAGGGCGAGATCGCTTTGGCTGGCCCCGGCAGACGATGTGCCTGGAAGATGGTGTAGCTGAAGAGGGTCATCAGAAAAGAGTCAAATGTGTGGTAAGTGACGCACTCGAGAGGAAGATGGACCCGCAATTCTGTCCTGGATTCGGATGAGTGAGCAAGCAGAGTCTCAATATATTCATACCTGTTGGAGGCTGCGGTCTCCCTCAGCGTGCTTGAGCACTTGTGAAAGCGGGTTTATTGGACCACAATCCGCGCCTGACATCAATCCCTCCATGGCGGTCAAAAGCAGGTGAAGGTCGGTAATCCAAAAGACCGGTGAAATATTTGTCATAGTGTTTACGCGAGCAATGTAATTATCGACCCCAAGCCCACGGACTCTGCTCTGCCCCAGCTTGCCTACCCAAATTCTCAAATTCTGTAGCACGCGAATTGCTGGCATCAAGATTGTGGTTGGTCCCTCCTATTGCCGCGCCGCACTCTGGGCAGCGAGACTGTTGCATTGCACCACCGCATTCCGTGATTACATAAACATGCCCTTGCGGACAAGTGTAGAAATGGCCTGTGTGCGCTGGAGGAAAGCTTCAGCTCTGTCAAAGAATGATATAAAAAACACACAAAAGTTGAGTGCTTGCACAATCTTCAGCTTCTCGTCCAAAGAAACCTCTTGATAGAAAGTATCTCCCGCAATGCTGACTTGTAGTTTTTCCCACTCAGAGAGGATGGCCTCCGCCGGGCTCTTGAAGCTGTCCCTGAGCCATTGCTGATCTTCCTTCAAGTGTGCCCTACTCGTTTCCTTCAGAGTTTGCTGGGCCTTCTCGATTTCCTTCACGATGTCGTTCAATAACTGTTGGCGGCTCTCCTGGAACATGCTTGCTGCTCGCACCATGTCAACATTGAACCGGAATCGCTCAAACTGCGCTCTCATCTCCAACACACGACTTGTCGTCATTTGTCTCCGCGAGCCGGCTTTCTCAGCAATGGAGAATGCCAACTCAGCGTCATGGATGCAACTATTGAGCACGAAGGACCCAAAGCGAGCCCATTTCATGCTCTCCTCCTTTGACAAATTCTTGGTATTTTGGACTAGCTCCGGCATCCACGTCCGCGCCAGATCAGCCATGATGAAGCGCAGGTTGATCGTCGCCCAAAATGCCTCGACAATGAAACGACGGTCTGCGATTGGTTTCAATTGGCCGACCTGGAGTGCAGCCATTCTCATTGCGTGTTCTGCTGGGTGGCGAGGCGCACGAAGGGGATTATCCATCGCTCTGTCCATTTCCTGGCGGTACAGGCTCGAAAACGCAGCCTCCCATGCATTCATATGGGCTGACCGCATGGATGCAATTTTGGTGGCATCTCCGTACAGTTGAACCAATCCCTGGGTGGCGCGCTTCCAGGCATCATTAAGGATAGTCGAGACACCATGTAACGCCGAGGTTGGAACAAGATGCTCCACCGAAATGGGCAATTCCTTCGTTTCGTTGGCAGTTAGAGCAGCCTTGCGCTGCCTCACTTGCTTCCGTTGAGTCTTCTCGGATTCAGATTTGGTCGATACAGACAGTGTTATCTTTTTACTGTCGCCGTTCAGCCTATCAGCCATGTTGTCCTTGGAAACACCCTCCATCGCGGTCTGAAGCTTGGCAAGGCGCTTCGTCATTGTCGAGATAACATTGCGTTCTAAGATATCCAAATCAGCTGATTTGAAAACTCGTCCGTATCGATTGGATGTAATCGCTTGTCGACAAGTTGGGCATGCCGGGGGAGCTCGTGCCTCGCCACCAAGTTCAGGAGAGCAGAGTCCCCGCCATGTTTCGTCGTCGTTCTGAGTATAGAAACCACTCAGCCCGACAAGACCATCCAAAGTCTCGACGGTGAAAACGTGCTTGCATTTGAGAGTAATGAGCAAGTCGCCTAAGGTTCCTTCAGACGGGTCGACATCTTCCAACTTGCGGAACATGAGCATGTCGACAACGTCTTGCTTCTGGCTAGGACTGGCGCATTCGGCACAAAGCTGAATGGCGCAATCTTCTCCACAAACTGATGACCCAAGTCATTAAACAGCTGCTGATGGCATTCATGGGCCTACCTGAAGGGCATTGGTGACCACACTTGAGACGTTTCTGACACGGAAGATCACAGGGAAGACGAGAGCAAACCTTGAAAAGGTCAATAGACATGTCATGAAGATTATTTGAATGATCACCGATCCACAGGGCAAAGGACATCGTCCGCGATGAGAGCAAGCCCACACACAATCCTCCATGCACGGCGCACATGGTGACGAGCAATAGTCCTTGCAACGCGAATGGGCACATTCTTGGCGGCACTGCTGTTGACAAACAGTCGCGCATTCGTGATTTGTCGAGCACAGTTTGAAGCACATGTGACCACAAAACAGGAGCTTTTGGCACTGATGTTGGAGATGGTTTTGTCGGTTAATATTTTGACCGGGAATCTTGTCGTTGAGCGACTGGCATTCATAGCATTTGGCAGAGCAAGTGCGACCACAACATGTCATGGTCCCATTGCATGGAGCAACGCATGAAAGGTCTGAAGGGTCTACGGAACATTGCACCGACACAGAATGTTCACATTTGGCAAAGTGCTTCAGCACAATTTCAGTGCATCGGACATCTGACAGATCGTCCATTCGCCAACTAGTCTACTTGGTTAGCTGATTTGTCAGAATCAACTTCAACTCACCATTCAACTGCTGCAGATCGATGACCACATGGAAGCTGAACATCTCGAACCAAGAATCGACAGTGACCACAATCCTGTGAACACTCTTTCTCGCAGGGGTGTCCACGCGAACAAAGGCGAGGGCAGGGCTCTGCGCATTTGACTGCGACGTGTTTTGGGTCATCGGGATGGCACTGTTGGTGATAGTGAGCCGAGATACCTGCACAAGGCTTGTGTTATATATACCTTGAATTGACACAAGTGACCACACTTTAGGCGATAGGCACATGGTTCGAGACAGCCCCCTATATAAATTAGCTAACTTGACCAGACGCAACAAGTTGAACAAACCATCTGGCGCAAATAGAGTGATTTTTCCGGGCTGAGAGATCATTTTAATCGTCTCTGGATGGCGATGGCAAGAAACTGGGAAAGCATCCCCAACACATTCCACGCTTTCGAGTTGCTCTATTACTTCCCGCCACATTTTGCTTCTTGAGGACAGCTGCGCAGAGTTACCAAGTATAAAAAGGCCCTGTTTTGCTCTAGATAATGCAACTGCACTCCCAAATTAGTAAGTATTCAGACCAGACCAGAATTATGCGGGCCACTCGCCATTTGTACGATTCTCGGACTAGTGAAGTATGTTTGAGATAGAATGACCCCGAAAGATCAAGCACTCACAGCAAGAAAGCCTATAGTTGGGCGGCCATGCATATGCGAACTATCCTCTTGGGAGCCCACATTCCGCACAGTCGAAAGAATGACAATCTAATGGCAGTTTTAGTATGCATTCTCATTCATCCCGGTCGGTCATCTCAAGTACCTCGGCTTCTTCGCCTTGATAATTGTCGATTGTCCTCAACCGAACCTGAAAGTCTTCGTCATCATTGAATATTGAAAGAACTGAACAGACGTACGCGCTTTGTCACCTTCACGTGCTCGATGTGACCGTGATCATCAAGCTCTTCTTCTTGTTCAGCTAGATCTTGCTGGTCCTTGCCTTCGATTAAGACGGCAATTTCCTTAAGACCAGCGAGAGCATCTCTGACGCGAGCAAGTTGCCCAAGATAGGCACATAAGACGACGATGTCTCCCTCGTCTGAGTAACATCCTTGGCTGAGCGATAATAAGCTTTCCAGGTCCACAAGCTGTTGCTTTCCTCACCGAAGTAGATGCAAGACAAGGTCTTTAATCATTTCAACCTCGAACGTGTTATATTTGCTGGATGATTCCTCACCACCGTCGTTTTCACGATGGGAGTGGTTGAAGAAGAAGACGTTCTTTGCAAAGCCACGAACAGGAGGGTAGGATTTGACAAGCGAATGGTCTTCGAGTGAGGGATAAAGGGTGTTGCGTATTAAGCTCGAGATTTCTGGTCGCATTCGTCTCTGGACGTTGATTTGGGACATGGCCAGGTTGTTAGACGAAAGGCGTTCCATGAGTGACATATCGAACTTGAACAGCTCTCGTCCACGCCGATTGTCCATCGAAAGCGCTGTAGGGTCGATGAGAAAAACCGGATACTCGATGCTCGTACACACAGTAGTTATTCAGTGTCGGTCGTAGTTGGAGAGGGTCTCCAATAAGGATGAGATGCTCTATAGACGGCACCAGACTACCCAGAATGTGCGCTTCGAGCACTTGACCAGCCTCTTCGACGAGCATCACCCGTGGGGCTAAACTCTGTGAAAACATTAGAGTATTCTAATATTACAACACGCAACACGCCTGCAATAATGATGTCAATTTTGCGGCCCCTATGTCACAGAGTTAGCTGATGTATTGGCTTGGATGTGAGGGCATAACCAACCAGTGGTAGTGCATCCAACAATATCTCGTGACTGAAGCAGGGTTCGGCGAATCTAGAGCAGAGTTAGCTGCGAAAGAAAACATGGGCATTCATCACACCTCGTCTTGGCTCTCCTGGTTATTCTTCAAGATCGTTTCGTACTCTCTTCTCAGCGCCTCAAATTCTTCGAGTCGATTGATATCCAATTGTTCCCTGATCTCACGTGACCAAAATTCGTGAAGGCGGTTGCGCTCTCTCCTGGAGAAGCTCCACATTGTCCCTTCGGAGAGAAGATGCGCAAGAGGCCGGTCCGAGTTCAGAACCTGGCGCGATAGAAAATTCCTTGTCGGTGTGACTATTTCTGGTGTTTGGTCGAGCAGCGGCATTTGTACCGTTCGGGGACTCAGAGGCTCGGTTGGTGAGGGATTGCCATTTTCATCATCGTTCCCGGCAGCTGGTGTTGACGCAGCCTCGCGTATCGAACTTTCGCTCGGCAGAGACAGCCAATCCTGCTCCCAGAGCTCTTTGATGTCCTCGACATCTTCATCGTCATCAATTCCTGAATCGTCTTCTAGTTCAGGTACTCGTTCGTGTTGTTCTTCAGCGTCCATGTCAGCCAAGATGTCGAAACGGTTATTACGAGACTGTTTCTCCACCTCCCGTTGGCGCTTGCTTTGCTCAACAATCGACGCTTCAATGTATGAGAGATCACGCCCTTGCTGCCAAAAAGCATAGATGGACTTGTCTTCTGTTTCGACCTTCCCCTGCTTGTTGACATGCTCCCAATCACCACCCTCGCCTTCGTCAGATGCCAAAAGCTCTCGAACAAAATCCGGAGGGCACATGTACAAGTGTTCACAGTGCTCGGGATACCCGAACTCAAGGTGCTTTTTGAGCTCGTCGGTCGGCACTGTTGCATTGATGTATGCTTTCATCAACTTGTCAATCTTCTCCTGCACTTTTTTGAGGTCATGGTAGTGGTTCTTGAATGAATTGTGTAATCTGGATCGACCTGCAGCAAATTCAAGGGTTTCAAGCGAGAATTGGGAGATTCGTTCATCTGCAGAACGGGAGCCAAGCCGCACAATGTTATTGGTGATGCCTGCGTCCAAGACACTTGTAAGAAGATGGTCTAGGGCATGGTTGGTGAACGCAATCATCAGAATAGGGCCAATCTTGTTTGCAAGCAAAACGCGAAGGATTTCAACGCCAGTGAAGGACTCGATAAAGTTAGTGAAGGGGATACGGACAGCATATATGGCTCGTTACCTTTCCGGTCCCAGGCGGTCTGGATAAACAAATTAGCTCGTGGCCCATTTAAGAGCCTGGAAAACTGACCCTTGGATCAGGGAGAGTTCGCGGACCATGGTGTCGATCACAGCATCCGCCTGACTAGGATCCAGTCGACTTGCGGTTCTGAGTTGTTCCCTGGCATTCATGATCGAAGTTCGACTGGAAACATCAAGTTCAAGACTTGCTACAGCCGCTTCGGGTGGGAACAGAGACGCCAGTTCGAACTTGAAACCAGGGACAAGCGCATATTGAGGCGGAGTAATGGACCGCGAGACGAAGAAATCGTTGTGGCGATGCACAAGATATTCTGCGAAAGGTAACGACTCCGGTTCCCTGCGCAATGCTTCAAGGAACGGACGGATTGCCTCGAACATGACAGGAGCCTCGATTAGCAGCTTGAGGCCGGTTTCAGCCAGGTCACGATTCTTCAGTGCATTGAGGGCACGAAGCTCGATATCAGGACTAAAAAAAGCGACGCGGATTGTGACACGACTGTCGCCACCACTGCGTCCAGCTGACTCAGTAAGACTCTTCAAATTACTTGCGATGGTAGCCAGATAGACATGAATATCCGTTCCTGACTGCCAAAGAAGGGCGACAAGACCGCCTTGAATGAGTCGTTTTCCGCTGACACCTTCCCAGAATGACATGCGACTCTTTGGAGAAGACTGGCGCGCTCGACCGGGCGGCGTATCGAATGAGAGCTCCACAGACAGACCGCGGCGGTCCGGAGGCATCGCAACAAAAACAACGTTGGTATATAGATTGAACATTACTTGTTCATCCGCCTGGCCGCGATATTTCCCTCCACGACTTTTTAGTAGCTTGGTCAAGGTTGTTTGTGGTGACATTTGGATCAAGTCATTTCGCACCAACTGCACGGCCGAGCGAAGAGAGGAGGTGAGTTCCTCGCGCAATAAGCGAAATTGGATGTCAAGTAAGCGCTCCATGCTCTCGGTAGGCAGATGGTGTGGGGCACCATGATAATTGGCAGGTAAAAAAGGCAAAAGCAACGAAACGAGCTCTCCGTGAGTTGGCGCGATCTTGATTTCGGCGATGTCCGTAGAATCGTTATCGTGTCGTGGTCCGGCAATGCGAAGGGCACCAGGACCTTCGGTCTCGAATATTGCCCGTAGTGCTGCAGAAAGTCCCTCTTGTGAATGTGTCTGTCGGGGAGCAATAAAGGGCGACGATTGCTTCTGGTCCATACGCCGTTGTTCCCGATCGACAATAGCGACAATTCGGGTAATTTGACCTCTCAGATGTTGTACGATGTGATCACGTGATGCGACGGGGAGTGTTGTGAATGCGTCCGTGAAGGAGGGAGGGGAAGCTGTAACACCATCAACCCAAGCTTCGACCCACTGGCGGAGTTCGTGAACGACCTCGGGCAGTGTTGGATATCTGATAGAAACATTTTTGAACCGCGTCAAGATTCTATGCATATAGTTGGTGAGTAGAACTGGAGAACTCAACAGGCAGCTTACTCATAGAAAATCTTGACAAGTGAGGTAAACAATTGAATTCCGATTGATTTAGCGTCAGTCCCGCTCTCAGATGTATCACCGAAGGACCCAGTTTCGATTATATGGCGCATGCATATGGTCAGATTCGTGGACCAAGGCTCGAAATTGTCCAAGATGCTCTGGTAAAGACCGTTGACTAGCTGGTGAAGTGTGCTCTTGATGACAAGATCAGAAGCATAGAACTAGAGTATATATTGGTCTTAGTCGACAAATCTGGACGTCGACTCACTTTAAGCAACGGGAAAAAGCCGCGTTTGAACGAGAGGGCCTGACCGTTCAAAGCTACTCTAGTGGAGACTTCTTCCCAGCGCAACACGTCGTTGATTCGCAATAGACCATTGTCCTGGGAAGCATGAATATGGGAAGATAGTTGCTTACAGACATACCTGCGCGAGTGAAGTGAGTAGCAAAGGCGCAGCTTCAGTCTACCCCCAATTGTCAGAAGTGTCAACAAGCAATCAACGGGGCCGAATGCTCACCCAAGCCGAGTCAGAAACATTGATGGATGATAAAAGGGACACGAATGGGTAGACTTCGATAGGCCTCCGGAATCGAAAATCATCCTGCAAGAAGCGCTTTAAGCGTCGGTGCATTTCTGTAGGCGACATATCCTTTGTTGGTGAAGCATTGGATGCTGTAGCATCTCTCCACATGGGAGGATGAGCTGACCTCGAGGAGCTTGCTGCTGAAGTGCTTCTCTCGTGGCGGTATTTACAATTGAACTCTCGATTGCAGGTGCCCCGCGACCAGTAGAAGTTGCAAATACCAGGGGGAGCGTTAGGATTCTCTTGGTTGTTGTTGTTGGGCGGCCTTGGTGGACGGGTGGCTTGGCTAGGTCGAGATGACCCAGAATGCGAGAATGAACACTTGTCACCAAATTTGCAGCCACTGGGGGTGTTGTGGAAGCGACAGGGAGGCATGGTGAAGGGAGGGAGAAAGAGTCGCCACAGAAGGGGGCGAGGCGATATGCTTTTCTATAAACAGACCTTGTTAGACGCCCATTTTTAATCGTGCAAGGGCCAAAGAGGTCTCGTAATTGGAGCTAATCCGCTTTATTTGTGCCATTCACATCGGATGTGTCTTTCCTTCGGGGTATGCTGTTCGAGCAAAGCGGACTTGGTTGCAAAATGAGGTCCAGGAAAAAGAAATCAAAGCATCACGTGCAGAAACTTCATGCTTCGGTTAAGACCACGAACTGCCGGTCTACGGACTTGCCTCCGGGCATATTCCACACCGTCGTCTCCTCATGCTCTAGTTTTACTTGAGCATAGGAATGGTGTTATAGACGCTGGTTCTTTGTCCGCCTTAACCGCGGCGGAACAACTCGGTGGACAGGTCACTGGGCTTATTGTGGGTGCACCAGAGCACGTTTCGGGCGTGATAGAAAAGGCCAAAAAGTGCGCGGAAATGTTTTCTTGAATACGACGTTCTCATGGTTGACGGGTAGACTGAAGGGCGTCACTGCCCTCCTCCACTCGACTGCGGCCCAATACTCTGAGCCAGTTGCTGAGATTGTATCGCCTTTGCTGGAGAAGCTTCTTTCGGACTCATCTGCTTTCACACACGTTGTCTCTGCCCATACTTCCTCCGCCAAGTCTCTGTTACCCCGTGTTGCTGCGCGTCTCGATCTGCCTGCCGTGTCAGATATCGTCTCTCTTGAACACGACTCAGCGGCAAACGCGACCACCTTCACACGGCCAATCTATGCTGGAAACGCCATTGCTACTGTCCGCGCTCCATCATCCATTCGCATTAAATTCTTCACCGTCCGTTCTACTGCCTTTCCAGCTGCTGGTGCTTCGGACAACGCAGTTGAGGACAAAGCAATTGAACCAGTCGACGTTTCGGATCCTCCTACTCAACACATCCAGACTATTCTCACAAAGTCTGATCGCCCAGACCTTGGTGTAGCCTCCCGTGTCGTTTCTGGTGGTCGTGCACTTAAAAATGCCGAAACGTTCGAGAAAACGCTCTACCCTCTAGCAGATGTCCTTGGTGCTGCGGTTGGCGCTTCACGGGCGGCAGTAGATGCTGGCTACGCGGACAATTCACTACAGGTTGGTCAAACAGGAAAGGTTGTCGCCCCTCAGTTGTACATGGCGTTTGGGATTTCAGGAGCGATCCAGCATCTTGCTGGAATGAAGGACTCTAAGCTCATCGTTGCCGTCAACAAAGTATGTGAATGTGTTCCCTCAAGTGGCCCATCCTCATTGTTTTGGAGGACCCCGATGCCCCCATCTTCCAAGTGGCAGACGTGGGCTTGGTTGCAGACTTGTTTGACGTCGTTCCTGAACTGATCACCAAACTCAAAGACCAGTAATACCAACTCTGTACGACAGCCTCAATGAAACAAAGTATACTGCATATCTTGAGTCTATTCAAAAAATCATTGCATCCAATCGGCACCCTGATAACGATCCACGAAGAGAGTGGTTGTACCCAAGTTCTTGTTTCAGAAGCTCTTGGTCGATATTAGATTTTCCCCACGAATAGGTTGCGAAGTACCTCCCTCGCAGTGATGCGAGCAGTGTGGTACAAGGTGAAGAAATCTAGGGTCGAAGTTAACGTGTCCGCCAATCCCTAATGAATCTTCCAGCAATGCAGGAGGGAGAGAAAATCGGACGTACGAAGGGCAACATAGGTGGGATCCAACCTGCGGGAGAATGAGAATGACAAAGGACGAACAAGGAAAAGGAACATACCTCGCGCGTACTCCAGCGCAAAACAGCCTCGATGCATTTTATATTGCTTTGTCACGCCGCGTGGGAGGAAGTGGACAGTTCCGGCTGTATAACGCTCCATCTCAAAACTACCCGGCGCAAATGCCCACTGCTCTCCAACAAGGATGTGGAAATAATCGTCCGCACTCAGGATGCCAGAGTGCCCTTCCGTGCCAAGCGGAGTACCGAAGATAATGAGGTATTCGGTGATGCTCGCGTGAAGTATCCGCATCGAGCCCATGGCGCCACCAGCATTGGATAGGACCCATTCCGTTGAATCGTGGTTCAGCTTAACTTGACTGGATGCATAGGTACTGGTCAGGTTGGTAACAATATGGTCTATCATCCCGGCTGTATCGTTGGGTGAAAATGCAGACGCCACAGCGGACTGCGCCAACTCGTGGAGGAAGTCTGGGTCGAAGACATACCACCGGTCCTGTTCCGAAGTTAGATATGCAAGGAGGAATAAAGCCAACGCACCTTGACGTGGTCTAGCCATCTTGCGAGAACGACCAAGCAGAGCAGAGCAATGGCGCCAATATTCCACTTGCTCAGGTTGAATGTCATCGACAGATTCAAGATGTAAATTTCGGGATCGTACCACTATACGATTCAAGCACAATTTTATAGATAGCCTCTCGTAATGAACAGACCAAGTCTAGGCACTATATCTTCCCAATCAGTAAGTTGCCCAACATCTCCCTTCCAGTAACACGAACAGTGTCGTACAACGAGAAAAAGTCCAAAGTCGAAGTGAAGGTGTCTATGAAACCGAAGGGAAGCATAGGCGGGATCCAACCTTGAGAGAAACAAGTGTCAATAACGGGTAGTAGGCAACCGGGAAAAGAATGGTCAACCTCGAGCATATTCCAGCGCAAAACAGCCGCGATGCATCTTGTACTGTTTGGCTGTCCCACGAGACATATAATTGACCATCCCAGCCGTATAACGCTCCATTTCGAGGCTGCCAGGTGCAAAGGCCCATTCCTCTCCTACAAGAATGTTGAAGTAGTCGTCGGATGTGTGGACACCAGAGTGGCCCTCTGTGCCCAGAGGGGTCCCAAATATGATAAGATACTCAGTTATGCTGGCGTGGATGATGTACATGGCTCCCATGGCCCCACCGGCGTTGTTGAAGACCCACTCCTTTGAATCGCGGTTCAGCTTGATTTGGCTGGGGGAGTAGGTGTTGGTGAGATTGGTCACGATATGTTGAATCATTCCAGCAGTGTCGTTGGGTGAAGACGCGGCGGCGACGGCTGACTTTGCCAGCTCATGGAGTGATTCTGGGTCAAGAACATACCACCGACGCTAGTTGGCATGTTTAAGCAACGCCGGAGACGAAGAATGGACACTATTGACCTTGATGTTGTCTAGCCAGCGCCCAACAACAACGAGAACGACAAGCGAAATGGCGGATAGACTTCGAATTGTCATCGTAGACAAGCGTAAGTTGTTTTTTTGTGAATCGTACCACTGCGTGGACATCCTGACAAATGATACTGAACAATCCGACAAAGGATAATTAGATTTTGGCTATGAGTAGATTACGCAACATTTCTCTTCCGGTTATTCGGACGGTATCGTACAAGGTGAATATGTCTAATGTCGATGTGAATGTATCCGCCAGTCCCTGGATGTTGGTCAGCAGCTGTGCAGGACCATGAGAGTGAAGACACTTACAAATGGTAACATCAGGGGAATCCAGCCTGAAGAGGGTCAGTTAGCTAGCCGTAAGAGGAAAAGGAACAAAAGAGCATACCTCGAGCATATTCGAGCGCAAAACAGCCCTTGTGCATTTTGTACTGTTTCGCCGTTCCGCGAGGGAGGAAATGGACAGTCCCTGGTGTGTAGCGCTCCATCTCAAGACTGCCAGGTGCAAAAGCCCACTGCTCTCCAACCAGAATGTTGAAGTAGTCATCTGCAGTGTGAAGACCAGAGTGGCCCTCCGTACCGAGAGGTGTTCCAAATATGATCAGATATTCGGTGATGCTGGCGTGGATGATGTACATGGCGCCCATAGCACCACCAGCATTGTTGAAAACCCATTCTTTCGAATCGACGTTCAGCCTTATTGTGGTGGAGGGATAGGTGGTGGTCAAGTTTGTCAGAATGTGTTGAATCATCCCTGCAGTGTCGTTGGGAGAAGAGGCTCTTGCAATGGCGTCTTGGGCCAATTCGTGCAAGAATTGTGGTTCAAAGATGTACCAGCGGCTCTATGCAAATTTCAATACCCCTTATGCTGGAGACGCAAGTTTCCACACCTTGATAGCGTCGAGCCAGCGTCCAATGGCGGCGAGAAGCAGGACTATGACAAGACGCGTCACCCATTTTATCGAGGGGCCTGAAGCTGCTGACGGAGCCTGCGTCTTCGTTTTCGTTTTTTTAGTGGTCATGGTGGTGGATTCGCGAAGACGCGACGGTGAAATCGAACCACTTTTTGACAGAGTCACAATCAACATCACGTCAAGATCACCATCTTATCTTATCCACGTAAACATGATTACATTATTGTGAGCTGGCTGTGCGAGGCACGAGCACAGTCAGCGGGAGATAAGATGGCGATCGTATGGGAGGAAGCACCACTGTAGTAGTACTCGAATACACTTGTGTGACTGACGTGACTTCTCGCGTTTACCGCGTCTTCGACTTCTCTAGCCCTCTTCCTCATCCACTCTTGCCTTACCAGCCTTTCGCGCGATGCAGCTCTACAAAGCAGGAGACATGCTGCCCATCGCAGGCATCCAGGCCCCATATCCTGCGGATTTCGACTTCGAGGCCAAGATGACGCCGCCCAAGGCAGTCATCTCATACTCCCTCACTTCCCAGGACCGTAACGTTTACAACTGCGGGGTGGAAGAAGATAATAGAAAGTCCTTGCTCCAGACGGAGAGAGCTAGACAGGCGGCGCTGGCAAAAGACGCGACAGTGCCTGACATTGGGGGTCCTTTGTGCGCGCTCCAAGGTTTTACGGAGGAGGAAATTGCGGCATGCGCGACAAACGACAAACTGTACAAGTCCCATGAGCCCCTCTCCGTCTCCCTTCTCCGCCTCGTTACCGACTGGCAAACCGACAACAAACCGGCAGCGCCAACCATGTCCTTTGAAGGCGGTTTGGAACCGACAAAAACTGGCTTAACAACCAATTATGGCATCCTCATCCCCGACGCCATCATCGCAGCCTTTTCTCTTCGCAAGCCGGTTCCCCTCCCCGCTCTCACCACTGCGCGTTTGCGCGCCTTTAACGAACAGGACAAGATACCGACCAAGATGATGCCCATAGCGTCTTTTGGTGGGAAGTTGGTCCCGGTCTTCGACATCCCGACCTTTAGCGCGTCGATTGGCGAAGATGTCAACCGGATCTCCTTGCGCTCCTTTCCCCGCGGTGTCACTGACGTTTTAGACGCGCACGATACTTTTGCAGTGATCACCTCTTTCGTTACGAGCAAGAACGCGTCGCCGGGCTCAAATCTCGGTTCCCACATCTCGGCCCATGTCAAATTCGTCCGCAACCATCTCAGTTTATCGAATATCCCTCTCGAGCTATGGATGCGTTGGAGTTGGCGTAATATGGTGGCCATATTCTCTACGAAGCAAGGTTTCGACATCTTCCATGCAAGACGTTACCTTTCTGACACGGAAGACGCATTGGAGCTTGGCGACAAGAGGTCGGCGCCCACGGTCTTGGAGGCAGAGGAGCGGCCCCGGCAGCATCGCCGTCTTGAAGGTAGAGAGGGTAGAGCCCCGCCACTCGCGCCCCGAGCCGAGCGTGATCTCTGGCCCCAGCCCGCACCTCCAATGCCAGTGCCTCTGATGGCAGCGGCGCCACACGCATACCAGAACGCCTACACTAATAGTTGGCAGGCCCCGCCTCAAGCTCTCCCGCAGCAGCCGCAGGGTGGGTTTTTTCTGCAGCAGCAACCCGCTTTTGTTTCCGGGGCAAACGCGGTCGCAACCAACCCACAAACAGCTCCTTTTCGCAACCTTAACACCCACCCCCTCTGCCTTATCTGCCTCGGCCCTCACACGTACAAACAACACACCACGCCCACCGATGCCCAGGGCAAGCCCTTTTTCTCTCGCATCTACAACGACACCCTTTGTACTATCGACGGAAAGCCCATCTGCATCACTTTCAACCTTACCGGTCACTGCCAGCGCCCAGCCCCCCACCAAACCGAGATCCTCCACATCTGCTCCTTTTGTGGCCGAAACGACGCCGGCCACTCGTGTCGGTCCCACATTTGATTTGCCAGAACACATACGCCTACCCTCCACTCTTTTCAACCACACTCCTTTGGCATTCCACAATCTACAACACACACTCTTTACTTTCCCCACCTCCGGCACAGCCAACGTCCAGCAGCTTGAAATCCGGAACCGTGTCGTCACTCCTTATAACGCAAATGCTTTCGAGTCTGCTCTGACAGGGCTTGGCCTTGTTAACGAGTTTCCTTTCTTGGTTCCGGAAGGGGTTTCCGGTAGGTGAGATGCCGGTGCTTGGGGCCAGTGTTATCATGGAAAATCCTCCGGGCGTGGATGACAACCCCAAGACGCACGAATACGTGGAGACGGAGCTAGGAGCCGGTCGAATTTTGGGGCCGTTTGAGTCGGCGGGGGAGGTCGAGCTTATCCTTGGTGGCCCGTTTGTTTGCTCGCCTCTGATCATCGCGGAGAGTGAACAAGGTCCTGGCAAGCCACCGAAGGAGCGGGTTTGCAGGCATCTTTCGAAGCCTCATAACCCCTCGCGTTTCCCTTCGGTGAATCACTTCATCGACAAGGACTTGTTCCCGACCGCCTTTGATTTTCCGAGCCGTATTGCGGACACGGTGAGATTTTCCTTCCTTGTCCTCGAGACATTTCCCCGTCCTTGTGACACTTCCTTTCTTTTCACGTCCTCGGGACACATCCTTGGGATGACCTTTATTTTACGTATATTTCTTCAGTCCTCGAGACTGGTCCTCGCGACAATTTTCTGGGTCCTTGCGACATTCTTTTTGTCCTCGTGACACTCCCCTGCCCTCGTCTTTGCGACGACCCCATTCCTTGTCCTCGAGACACTTACCCTATGTCCTCGAGACACTTCCCTCTCCGTCCTCGTGACAATGCCCCGTTCCATGTCCTCGAGACATTATTTTCTCGGTCCTTGAGACATTCTCTTTTCGGTCCTCGTGACCCTCCCTTTTCCATGCAATGACTTATTCCTCATAATGCTTACCCACAGATTGCCAATGCTCCGCAGGGCACAACCGGCGTGCGCATTCGATATCCAAGCATTCCACCGCACTATCCCGATCCACCCATCGCATAAGCGTTTTATTGTCTTCAAGTTCTGTGGCGGCTTCTTTATTGACCATTGTCACCCTTTCGGCCTCGCCTCAGCCAGCAGCAATGCAGGCCAAGTTGGCTCCGCCCTGGTCCGCATCTGGTCGGCCCGTCTCGGACAAGCCGGCCTTCCCCTGCGTTACGAAGACGACATCCCTGCCTTTCGTTTTCCCCCCATCACATCTCACTCACCGACAATTCTTGGCGCTCACAGAGGATTTGAGGGTTCCATGGAACATAAAGAAGTCGGGGACAGCATTCGAGCCGGTTTTCGTTTCGTTGGGCTTCGTGTGGGATATCCCCAGCAAAACAGTGTCGTTGCCGAAGGAGAAGCGGGAGAAATACTTGGCGCGGGTGGAGTCATTGCTGGGCGCGGATATGGTTTCCCTCAAGGATTTACAGAAGGTCCACGGCACCCTCTCTTACTCGACATTTGTCTACCGCGACGGTTCATCACGACTTCCCGCCATCTCGAACGCATTCCGCTTCTACGCAAATGACAACGCACTCCGCCATATCCTCAGGACGACTCGCAGGGCTTTGCTATGGTGGAAGCATCGCCTCACGTCGCCAGATTTCTCTCGCCAACTGGTCGCGACAGCTCCGATGCAGGACTTGGGCCTTTTTGTGGATGCATCGACATCTTGGGGTCTGGGCGTTATTATTGGAGAGAAGTGGTTTGCGCTGAGGTTGATAAAGGGATGGGACTGCGCAGGCACGAGAGATATCTGTTGGCTGGAGGCGGTCGCTTTGGAGGTGCTGCTCATGTGGCTGATTGAGCGCGGTCACCACGATTGTTGTTTGCTGGTCCATTCGGATAACACCGGCGCCATCGGTGCTCTTTCTAAGGGCCGTAGCAGCAATGCGGAGCTCAACCGAGTCGCACGCCGTTTCTGCAATCTTTCCTTATCGCATAACATCTCTATTTCTTTCTCTTACATCGCCTCCGCCTCAAACCCTGCTGATCCAATCTCTCGTGGCATTCTTCCTCATTCCTTTCCCTTGTACTTATCCTTTGACCTGCCTTTTGATATCACTCAGTCCCTTTCGTGTGTAGACTACGTTGAACTGTCTCAATCATAAGAAGTTATTTTGATCTCACCCCTGTCTATGTTCTCTATGTCTCGGGCCCTCATCTTCGACGCGCCGCAAGGTGCGAGGGCAGATCCTGCATCCCTGATTTTCCCATCGCGGCCAGCCATTGCCCTCCACTCTCCTCCTCTGCTCGTCCTTTGCGCTCCAGAGGTCAAACCTCAGAGCAACTGTCTGGTTTTTCCCTCCCAGCCCCCAGCACCTTGCCCACCAGAAATTCTAAGCTCGCCGTCTTTCCACGTCCCCCGTATCTCAGCTCTTACGCCAGCCTCAGACGACTCTGTTTTCGTGTCTGATATTGCGGCGGCAGCACTGACCCGCGCTTTCCCATCGTGTGGCAAACCACGCCGACCCAAGGCAGGTTGCGCGCACAACGAGTCCATCCTCCGGCCATTCGTTCCAGCACCCATGCGAGCCCTGGCATGGCAGACACCCTACGGCACTTCCTTCTTGGCATCTCGACGTTACCTCCCGGCGGGAGATATGGCGCGTGTGCGTGCGGAGATCTCCAACTCCTTAGCAAAGAGCTCAAAGTCCTCTTATGCTGCAGGGCCCTTGCGGTTCACACAGTACTGTGATCGCAACGCCATAGTCAAAACTGGAATATGCATGCACAGCTCTCACTCTAACAAGAGAGACAACAAAAGCTGAAATAGACAACCATATAAAGCACATCTATGACCGCATGCTCCAGTGGCTTCAGAGTGAAATTGACAACAGCCCAAAATTGTACCTGATCCAAAGGCGTTTAGAACCTCAGCCTGAAGGCCATTCACCGAAGCTAATGACTCTACGCATGAGGCATTATCTATTTATGGTGAAAACCAAAGTACACCGTAATGCTTTAATTTCCCTCTTGCTGTCGACACACCGGCTAGCCATTGAAGAGCTTCGATATCCTAACCATGCCCATCAGAGAGAACCCGACCGTAACCGGCGCATATGCCGTTTCTGCAAGACTGCTGTCGAGACACCAGAGCATGCACTCCTTGTGTGCATGTCAAATCCTGTGCTCCTGCAACTGCGTCTTGATTTTCTGGGAAAACTCTTTGAAAAAGCGCCAAAGTTAGCTGCTAAATGCATGAACATGGAGATAGTGGACTTTCTTCGGATGGTGCTATATGAGCGCTCGACAATTGCAATATTGGCAAAGCATGCATATGATGTACTTGAGGTTTACTACGCCACTCCAATTTTTAGGTTACCACCAAGGATTGCTCAACTTCCTTGACTCAATGGGCTAAGTTCTCTGATTCTGACTCCATTCACAGACTGAGTTCTACAACGCTTGGGAGACTGGGCGTGAGCTCGACTTGGAAACTGTCTGGAGTCCCGGGACGAAGATGTACATACTACTACACTGGCTATGTACTATGTATGTCGGGACAATCCCCGGAAACCGGCGTTCCTCAGTGGGACCGTGCCGCGTAATGCTATGCTATCCTATCCTATCCGGAGGAGCTCCGCATGCCAGCTGAACCCTTTCTTCTGTGCTGTTTTATCGCAGACTCGATTGGCTCCCATGGTTTGAAGAGCGCACGGAATTGGATGAACGGGCTTGCACACTGGCACCATATAAATTTCGCCCCTTGGTTTGGAAAAGAGACCAGTGTAAAGAAGGTCCTTCGAGCGGTTGACAAAGATAACAAATTCTCTCGCCCGCCCCGCGGCCCTGTTTCCATCACCCATATGCGCGCAATCCGCGATAGCCTTGACCTGGCATCTCCGCGAGGAGCCGCGTTCTGGGCTTTGGCTTGCGCCGCTTTCTGGGGTTGCCGGCGCCTGGGCGAGTTGACGCTGGCCACCAAAACCTTCGATCCCAAGCATGATGCCTCTCGATCGGCACCCATCTCGCGCTCAACCCGAGCGGGCCGGGAAGTCCTCTCTATTCACCTCCCTTGGACCAAGACCACGGGCTGCGCTGGCGGCACACTGATCCTGACCGCCACGAACGACGATCTTTGCCCAATCCGAGCTTTTGATAACCACACGGCGGTAAACCACTCCCCAGAACACGAGACTCCACTTTTTGCCTTCCGCGACGACTCACCCCGGGCACCCGGACCTTGGCTTCCAGTCGTTAAGACAGCGTTCCTTTCCTTCATCAGTTCCATTTTCCGGGCGGCGAATCTGGAGCAGGTCTTCGGACACAGCTTCCGTATCGGCGGGTCAGTATTCTTGCTGTGTTTGGGCGTGGAACCTGAGGTGGTGATGAAAATAGGCGGTTGGACATCTACCTGTTTCCTCATATATTGGCGGAAGTTGGAGTCCGTCATCCCTGTGGCACTTTCTCGGGCTTGGGACACAAGCAGGAAGGCTTTTTTGTGCGCGGAACGGGGTAGACGATGAGTTAGATGCGGAAATTGACTTTGTCTCTATGGTGTAGTTTATGATAGATTATTGATATTGTCGCATCCCTCCCGTTAGGGTGTCCGTCGCGGGCTCGCCGAACGCGCTATCGCTTTGGGAGCGATGCTCCGTTCGGGCTGTCCGGCTTCGCTTTGGCGACGGACTTGCAGGCTCAGTTTCGCGTCGCGTTGCCCGTCTGGGGCGTGCAGCCGGGCTTGCCGTTTGGGGCCTTTCGTCCTCCTTTCCAGGACAGAGCTTCTGGCGCCCGGCAGTCACGTGCCAGGCCGGGCACGCCCGGCACAATATCCACGCGAAGCTTGCCTTTTCCCCAGTCTTCTTTGCATTCACACCCTTGTGGTCATAGTCTTCATTTTTACCTCTTTCACCAATATCCTACAGCTACCCTAAGGGCTTCCATCCCAGGAGGAGCCATCTTATTGTGAGCTGGCTGTGCGAGGCACGAGCACAGTCAGCGGGAGATAAGATGGCGATCGTATGGGAGGAAGCACCACTGTAGTAGTACTCGAATACACTTGTGTGACTGACGTGACTTCTCGCGTTTACCGCGTCTTCGACTTCTCTAGCCCTCTTCCTCATCCACTCTTGCCTTACCAGCCTTTCGCGCGCCCAGCCCTCCCTCCTCCGCGCTTCTGGGCTGTCCGGCTTCGCTTTGGCGACGGACTTGCAGGCTCAGTTTCGCGTCGCGTTGCCCGTCTGGGGCGTGCAGCCGGGCTTGCCGTTTGGGGCCTTTCGTCCTCCTTTCCAGGACAGAGCTTCTGGCGCCCGGCAGTCACGTGCCAGGCCGGGCACGCCCGGCACAATATCCACGCGAAGCTTGCCTTTTCCCCAGTCTTCTTTGCATTCACACCCTTGTGGTCATAGTCTTCATTTTTACCTCTTTCACCAATATCCTACAGCTACCCTAAGGGCTTCCATCCCAGGAGGAGCCATCTTATTCGTTGAAGAACTCAAGCGGCTTCGAGTTTGGTTGGATAGCGCGATAGAGTCCATTGAGTTCTCCTTTGGCGTCCTTTCCTTCGTCTGTGAAGATACTGTGAAATTTAATGTTTTCGACGCCCTGGAGTCATTGATGAGCACCACGGTCATCTAAGAGTGAATTCCAACCACATACCTCGCCAGGAGGGTCGTGTATCCTTGACGATGTCAGCGTAAATCTTCTTGCGGACTGACTTACTGACCGGACAAAGATGAAACCGTATAAATCGTCGTCAATTTTGCCATGCTTGGTGGCAACTTTGATCTTGCCATGGGTGTCCTTCTCCACACTGTGGCCGGGGGCTAAGTTCCCAGCGGAATCAAGTTGAATTGCTCTGATTCGTATCTTTCCCAGAATGATAGGTCCATAAGACGTGACGGCGCTGCGTATGACGACCAAATCATCCTTGGCAGAATCAGCGCCGATGAACGAGGAACTTGAGCGGCGAGTGGTATACCTTGGTGGTGAATGCAACGAGGTCTTGGTCTGAGGTATCCCGCGCCAGAGACCACATCTTAGGTTCATGCTTGTCCCAATCGCGACGCGAAGCAAGAATCGCTTGTTTGATTTCTTGTTCAACTTTCTCGAATGCTTCAATGCCATGTGCTGTTGGTTCATGCTCGGGGGATAAATCGAGCTGGTCAATGGTTGCTGAAAGTTCGGTTGTAACAAATTAATTCGCAACTTAGGAGCGCTCACCCATGGTGGTTTAGGATCAAGCTGGAAGTGGATTACGTCATGCGGCAAATCCCAAAACGGTAAACTGTAGTTGTCAGTTGAGACAGTCTCATTTCACTTTGAGAGGATGCTCCACTGGTCTCAGCTAGCTTTCTACCTCTCCTCATCATCACTATTCTTCTATGCTAACTTCTTCCACCGAATCACTCCGCCGGTTCTGTCGAATCGAACAGAAATCGGCACCCACACATCTATTTCCGACATACCTCAATCACGAGCAGGGCACCGCAGGCGGGGCCAGCGTTGACTACAAGCTTCCAGATATCCCTTCACTGGCTGGTTCGTTTGTTACCGAGACCGAAGAGTTCTGGCAGCGTCTCGATAATCTTAGTCAACTTGAGGAAGCAACTCAGCCGACAATTACACGAATTCAATCGCACCCCGAGATCAGGATAAGAACGCAGAGTATTCCTTCCAAGCCATTCAACAATCTGAGCATCGTACCTTCTCCCAAGATCGATGTTCATTCACTAAGAAGCGGCTCACGGACCACAAGAGGTCTTACCTCTGCCAGTCTTCAGACTCTTTACAGGCGATCGCTTTCCGACAGTGCTGTTGGCAGTCATCTTACACCGAGTTCCAGACAGCTCGACAGTATTACTTCACCTCAAGAAGACACGGCCAACGGCCAATTGGGTTCCAGAGCAAACGAGATCGATTCAGAGACGGAGAATCTCTCCACCGCACCGAACAACCAGTCTTTAATCTCGATGTCCGCCTTCCCAGTGCCTGCCACACGGGCTACCACTTCCCGAATGACATGGCCCACTGCGGATTCAATGTCGTCTTTTTCGTCACGGGCGGGTTCTTCCTCTGGACCATCACACGCATCGTTGGCTGCAATCGAGGAGCGCAGAAGGTTTTCTGAGAGTGGAATCTTGACATCTTCGCGTTATGACGAGCAACCAAGGAATCCCAACGAGCTGCAACAAGATCTGTTCAGTCAAACCAGGCTACCAACTGAGCGCGAGCTTGCAGAAGTGGCAGAGTTGACTGTAATTTCTGAAACGGGAGTTGGCATTCCGTTTGGAAGTCTATGGAGAAACCAACGCACTATTGTCTGCTTTATTCGACATTTCTGGTTAGTAGGGCAGAGGTATCGTGGTAACCACAAGCGCTGATCAAATTTTCCAGGTGTCCACTATGCCAGGATTACATGTTTTCCATTTCCAGAAATGTTCCTCCAGAGATTCTGCGAAGCGCCGGAGTTGAGTTAGTTATCATCAGCAATGGCTCGTTCGAGATGATCAAAGCATACCGACAAATCTTCAAGACAGCCTATCACGTGTTTACGGACCCCACCCACCAAGTATACAACGCACTGGGAATGACGCTTCAAACGCTGGAAAAAGGACCGAAGAGCAGTTATGTTCGCCACGGAACGCTTAGTGGTATAGGGATGGTAGTGGCTAATGCGGTCAAAGTTGGAATGCCAGTGTGGAAAGCGGGTGGAGAGATATCGCAGCTAGGCGGCGAGTTTATTCTAGGGCCGGGGTACGCATTTGTTGGGTGCTTTAAATGCTGGAGTTGACTCTTGTTAGGTTGACATGTTCGTGGGCTCATCGCATGAAGTACACAAGAAACCACGCCCCCATTCTCAAGGTCATTGAAGCCGCAGGGATAGATATGCTCAGCCATCCAAACCGTGTGGAAAGTCCAACCGATTCGTTTCTCGGCATGTCTGAAGCCGAAGAAGTGAAATGGATCAACAGTCGCCGAAAAATGCTTAAGAATTTGCGTAACAAGAAGCTTTTACGTCGTGGCGGAGCGCAGTTTCTTGACACATCATCGATAACAACAGCCAACAGCAGCAATCGTTCGAGCACGCTGAGCGTTGGTGGGAGCTTGTGCTCGTGGGATCCGGTAATTGAAGAAGCCATTAACATTCCGTTGGAAAACCGAGATATGGCCGTCATTGAAGAGGTTGAAGAGGAGGAACGCCTTGCATCTCTTGCAAAAAACGATAGTCATACTGACTTTGACTTGATGAGTGAGGTCGAGTCTTCCGCGACCGAGCTTGAGAGCATCGAGAGGTCGGTGGTCAAAGTGAGCTTCGAACCAGACATCAAGGCTATGGAAGAGAACATCCATTTGGCTGTTTCGCGCCGAAGTAGTTGTTCAAGCCTGGGAAGTGGGTACGATGTGGTCTTCGCCACGCATGGGTCCTTGTTCAATGTAGCAGAGCGAAAGTGGGAGTTTATGGCATTATCGCAGTCGTCGCTAGGGAGCTTATAAGTTATAGTATGCTGTACTTCAATAGTAATGGACAGAGTGCCGTGGAAGCCGCAATGGTTTGGAAAGTTAGTCACGGTCACATAGTGGTCACATCGTTGCAGCATGTGGACAAAACAACTGAGAAGCGCTCTCTGATTCTTTCACCCACACCACAGCGTATAAGAGTAGAACCTCCTCGCAAGCCAATGTCTTGCTCTCACTGCCATGTTTCGTCTGCTGGGAATCTGTGCCCTCCTCGATCTAGTTGCTTCACAAGCTGTACCACAAACCATTCAGCTCCGTTCACGTATTGCACCGAAAGAGGCGGCAATTCGTAGAAGAGCATTGAATCCAGTGACAGTCAACTTGACTGACTTCTTCTTGGGTACAGACCTCCAGTGGTTTGGCGATCTTCACATTGGAACTCCACCTCAGACGGTTAGCGTTGTCTTCGACACTGGCTCCTCATCTCTCGAGTTTGCGTCAACTCTCTGCGGAGCTGCGTGCAGTAATCAAATCCAATTCAACTCTTCCAAATCTTCGACCTTTGTCGATGTCGGCACGACCAGTTCCATCACGTTTTCGACGGGTTAGTCCCCAATTCGGCCGGTTACTGGGTCCTCAATAATTGTAGGTGTCGGTGTAGATCCGGTGGTCGGTGCCAATTACCGGTTGGATAGCTTGCTCTTTTTGTTACGAGACTTAGCTTTACAAACAACAGACTCACGTTGCGTTCTGCGCGAGATACCGTGGCTATCGGCAACCTTTCAGCTCCTTCAACCAGCCTCTTCCTTATCACGAACCAAACTCCCAAGTTCAATATTGATCCGTTCTCGGGGATTCAAGGCAAGCGAGACCGCCAACAAAAGAAACCTGGGGGTTTGACAGAATGGCTCACGATTTGACAGGGATGGGCGCTCGTGCTCAAGGATTGTTTGCCAGCCTTGTCAACCAGGGTCTTCCATGTCAGTGATTTTGTGGTATCTCTTTTCGACTAGTACTAATTCAACTGAACAGCTCTCTTCAGCTTGTACCTGACTCCCCTGGCTGTCGGCGGGGCGGAGTTGACGGTCGGCGGAATCGATACGACGAAATTCTCAGGCAAGTTTCAGTCAGCTTGAACGGAGAGAAGCTTGTTGAGATTGCACTGAAGGCAGCTTGACCTTTGCTTCTCTGCCTGCCGGATCAGGGGCCACTTGGACATTGAATTCTCCACAAATATTCGTCAACGGCAAGAGCAGCACCACTCTTCGTGCGACGCGCAATGTAATTTTCGATTCGGGAACCTCAAACATGTGTGTCACAACATCATCATCTTGTTCCCGCCCAATCTGATATATTCTAGTCTCTTCCCCACCGCAACGGCGTGAGTACATTTTTTTTTCCTTCTTCCCTATCAAAGCGATTGGTCCGTTGTCGCATTCGAAGATGCTGACAAGAAGCCTCATAGAAATGCCATTTACGCTCTCATCAGCCCGAATATCGTCCCATTCTCTCCAGAGCCAGGCACATACGGGATTGCCTGTTCGAGTATTTCTTCACTTCCCGCGCAAATATCCATCGCCTTCACTGCCCAGAATGGCCAACCGTTCAATCTCACCATCCCCAGTAGTGAACTGAGCGTAGGGCCGTTTGCAGCGGATCCGACCATTTGCCAAACACTGATAAACGCTTTTGACGGCTTGTCTCTTGTTGGGGCAAGGTGAGAAGCTTCTTCGTGGAACCTGCGCCAAGTCTGCTGATGATGTCTTTTTATCAGTTTGTTGAAGCACTACTACAGGTAAATTGCTAGCTAGATCACTGATTTGTTTAGGTTCTCACTATTTCTGCAGTGTTTGGGATGTTGGAGGCCAGCGCATGGGCTTTGCTGCGATCTAGACAAGAAAGATGTTTGTATCACATTGAATTCAACGAGGCCTTTGAGCTAGAACGTTTCAGTCCAACTGACCGTTATCAACTTCCGCCGTCGGTCATGCCATCAGGCGCAACAGAATGCCGACAGTCCCGAGGCCGAAAGCTAAGCCGTAATAAGCCGTAAGGCAACGCAAATCTCCCATGTCAAGCCGCCGCGAATGATAGGAGTCGTCATTCTTAGTGAAATTCCAAAGGCTTCCTTTCTCCAATCTGTCGGGCACGCGCGCGAATTAAATTATTTTGTCTCTGAATCCAATGGATGGTTGTTGTAACATTGCAGGGGGGATTGTAAACTAATTAGACACAAGAAGCGTTGGACAAGCACAGATGATGAGTTAAAGCAAGAATGAACCACTGCAACGCCGCGCAGTTTTTACAGAAAAAAGAAAACAACCCGTGAACGTTATGATCAAGGGTAGCGGGCCATATGGTCATTCGACACCAGGGGTCGCTCCGGTTGGTACTGCCGACAACGTGATCAACGGGGGTAAAAACAAGAAACGTTATCGGACGCACGTATTGTTCTGGAGGGGTCATTAAGGGAGGAGGGGGAGGGGACCATTGGTGATGTTGCATAGAAGGATGATGCCCCATCGTGCTTCGTACGCTGGAAGCTAACGTGTGGCGAGGGGGCATCTGGATATGGCCATTAGTCTGGAACGGCTCATAACGGCTATAATGTTGTTGCTGCGGGACATCATGAACCATAGGCATGGGGGCTGGAGGAGAATAACGACGACGATCACTGAAGCAACGGCCGGAGTCAATAAAGAAGTATTCCATCCGGCGATGCGACTCACTAGTCACGACGAGGAGAGTCAATATCTGGTGAATGGTGGTGCATAGGCGGCAAGTGGTAGCCAGGGTCTCTACGGAGCATCATCGCCAGTCAGTACGGGAGTAAATAGCCAAGGGGTCAACTGACTGCCGACGGTTAGATAGCAGCGGAGGCAAGTTGAGATCGCGGGGCAAGCTGAGCTCCACCGGACTCCTTTGTGGGGGAGAATGGCCACGGGTAGATGTTGGTGACGAAGCTTCCGATATGCCTGGAGAAGCACTCGAAGGGGCAGTCGAAGTGTCCGGCGAGTCCTTGACTGATGAAGCTCGTTTTCTGGTCGTTGCAACGCCATCTGGCCATGTACACTGAAGATACCAATCTTAACAAACTTGTCCACGGAAAGCAAGAAAACACGCACGTCTCGTTGCCCGTGGGCACATCGCATACAACTTGGCTTTGCTTCGTCGCACTATGAGTGGGTTGAGTCAGTAGCCTGGAGGTCGACGAAAACAAAGCGGCGCACCTTTATTTTCTTTACGCGACAAGTCAAACAGCCAGTCTTTGAACGGGTATATTTAGGCCGCTTGCGCGCTGCAGCCTCTTGACGAGATGGCGGCGAAACTTGGTGGCCATGGTGGTGGTGCATTGGGGGTGTAGAGTAGTAGCTAGTTTGGGGTAAATAAGTGCTGGATGGACTGTCGTAAAACATTAGCAACAAAGACGACGAAAGGTGAGGATAGCGCACTAAGACATGCTGTCGGTCATTTGAGGAGGGGGAAAATCCTAGTTGGATATTCATGTTTATAGGGCTAAGCGATTACTTTGATGCCGTTATTGACAGGCGATGAAATCTAGGGTCGGGCTCCGGTGAGATATTCCGGAATAAAGACTTCTCGAAACAAAAGCGAGGCAGCCAACAACCACGCATTCTCCACGCAGCCCATTAGCATCAACGACGAGCCCATGTCCGGGCCTTGAGGGAGGGCTGCTGGGAGTGACTTCTCGATTTGTGAAGTTGATTTGGCCATATGTGAAGTGCTTCTGTTGATCAGATGTCTGCACTGAAACGCCATATTTTCTTGTCCTCCGTCCTTTTTAGTCTGGAAAAAATAAACCGGCTCATCAAAACAGGGCCCACCGGCGGACGGAGGCCAATCCGAGGGAATAGCCAGCAACAAACGGGCCGATTTCCTGCGTGGCTTCCATGAGAAATGATTGAATGGGTCACCAGCGAAGCACCGACAAGGTGTGGGAATTACCGGTTGATGCGCCTTTGGGGGGCGGGCGGCTTGCCGAGCAACGGAATCAATTCCCTCTGATGTTGCTCGCGTGGCGGCACAGGTTCCGACTGGTGGCGATACAATGCCAAAAGACTCAAGCGGACAGCATTTGAACAAGAATGCAACCGCTGCCCTTCTTAGGCTTTAGCTTCCTTCCTTCCTAAACCGTATCACAAGAGAACAGACGACTGTCATATCAAGAAGTCAGATACCTCCCTGATGGTATGGACCCACGGCCGCCACAGCGATCGCACACTTCACGTCACCGCACCACAAAAGTCGAATTATCACAGAAAAGTACAGAAAATCCAGTCCACGTTTAAGATGCGTATAGGTGCATGGCAGTTTGCCTCATTGTAGATCAGTCTGCGAGAACAAAGGGAAAAAAAACCCTTTCAACTCCCATTTGGCTTAGGTGACTCGCTCGGAGAACCCTCTCTTTGCGATATGCTGTTGCTGTTAATCCAACTTCAGTTGCCTTTCATTCCAGCGCTATCGGCTTACTGGTCTCGCGATCGCCTCGTCGCTTTTGGCCAATTCCAGACCTTACGGATCCATCGAGCCATATGTACTTCTTGCTTCATTGCATCGACCACCCACGGATGTGCCAGCATATCGCCCGGTGTGGGTCGTAATGAGGCGTCAACCGTCAATCTGAGGCAGGTCGTAAGTTGTCTCAACTATCATTAGAGGAGGCATATCAACTCACGTTTGTTTGATAAAATCCTTCATCTCGTCACTCCATTTGAGCTCGCCCTCGTCCTCAAGCCGTGGAGGCTGCAAACAACGTGGTCAGAATGAAGAAGAACTGGCAAGACAGGGAATGACTTCGCCAGCGGTGATGTACATCATCAATTCGATTGGTGGCAGATCATTAGGGAACGGGAAACGATTTTGGACGAGTTCCAACAAGGAAATGCCAGTCGACCATACGTCCGAACGAATGCTATACTGTTGCCCAGATATCCTTTCCGGCTGTGCGGCAGTCGATTAGCGCAAGGGGAGAAAAGTTGTGAGGCACTGCCAACTCACCGCCATGTAGAAGCTCGTTCCGGTGAAAGTTCCCGCCAATGACATTTCCAGCACGCCAGAGACACCAAAGTCGCAGAGCTTAACGACACCCTCTCGCGATAACAGAATGTTGGAAGGTTTGATGTCTCGATGGATCGTTTTCTTCGTGTGAAGATAATGCAAGCCTTGCAGGACCTACGCCACGTTAATCAACACGCCAGACCCGCAAAGAAGCAAAAGACATACGCCTTCGGCCAGACGCCCAGCAATCTTCTCTCCGACGACGGCATTAATTTCCTTGAGGCGCTTGCTAACTGCCTCGAGGCTACCCCCTTCACAATATTCCATGAGGATTTTGACCTCGCTGGTGGATGGTGACATGTAAGCCCCGTGAAAGAGAATAATATTGATATGTTCGGTGGATGATATAATCGAAAGTTCGCGAAGCAGCTGCTTCATTGGTGCTTCCCGGGTAGTTATCGTTTTCCGAGCGTAAATCTTGCCAGTGCGCTTGTCCTTGACTTTATGAACCGCACCACCGGCACCCTCCCCAAGCCGAGAGACTTCTTCTAGGACTGAATCGCTCCACGATAGACGGGGTGAAGTGGTGAGAAATGCATCGTCTTCGGCATCACTCGGTGGCTGGGACTTTGACGACGAACTCTTAAGTTCAAGTGCACCGAGCAACGATTGGATATCGGAAATTGCTGGATGTTGGGGGGCAATTGTAGCTGTCGCGTCAGGTCTGATTGTCGGTTCATCGGCATGCTCTGTCTTCGCAGTCGTGTCCAATGGTCCGCCGTAATATCCGCCCTGGAAAGTGTCTTTGCTTGTTGATGTGGGGATCTCAAGCCCAAGACGCATGCGGGGAGTCGGTGCACGGCCAGGAATGCTTAGGGAAAGTTTTGGCGAAGGCGATCTGTTTGGAGGAGAGGCTGCTGGGACAGTAAGCGTTGGGCGGGCCGGTTTCCGAATGACGAGTGGTGAAGTGGCCCCAAGAGAAGGTGAGTTCGCTGGAGCTCTGGGCCCCAGAGGACGTGGCTGAGCCGCTGTATGCATCGTTGTCGGGAGCAAGCCTCTTACGACACGTGACCATCACTATCTTTATCGAAACAACGACGGCGCCGCTGTCGACAACGGGCGATGACTCGTCCGCGACCGCCATCTTTGAGGCTCGACCATCTCGGGTACAGCGGACATCTCAGTTGCTCGCTCACTCGTTTCTCACGTCCTTCTCAGTCTTGATCCCTCTAGTCTGGTTGGAAGAGTCCTCAAAACTATCAAGCACTCTGAAAAGCACCCCAGTCTTACTCTGCATTTTCTTGACGGCACTCGCATTCAAATAATGGTCGATGGATACTCGCCAGCCCATCCTGGCGTACCAAAAGGTACTCTTACAGTCGTTTTCTGAAGACTTAGATGGCACAGTTGGGGTTGGTGATGTTGTAAGCAACGAGGCACAGCGTCATGCTCCCTTGCGCGCACACCAACATACTTGCCATTGACCAAACATCTAAGCCTTCTGAAAACGACTCTATAGCTTTTCTATCGTTTCGGTCTCAGGAACTGATCAAACCAGAGCTTGAAATGTCACCATCTTTCCGCGCTCTGTTTAATGCGGGAGACTCTGTCGATCTCACAGTGACCGACTGCGCACTGATCACTCTATCCGACAAAGCTTTTGCCCTCGAAAGTAATGACCAATGGGACCAACGTCATTTGGGTGTGGCTTTCAAGTTTTCTGCCGCTTCTGGTAGTTTAGACGGACTACCAGATCCTTGGCATTGCGTCTGGGCTACACTAGAGGAGCATGATCAGCATGGCTCGTGCATTTTTCGAACCTATGAAGACGTCTACCTCGAGGAGCTGCAACGATCTCCCCGAAAGGCCCGACACCGCAAGCAGAGTGGTCCATGAAGCACCTCCTACTCGTTTGTCTTTCGCTTTGTACTCGCTATCGAAATGCTTCCGCTTTGTTATCGACACGCTATTTTATGCTCGCATGCACTTTTGTACTTGACATGGACACTGTTGTCTTGACCTAACCTTTGTATTTATCATCCTGGAATCAACCATATTGCCGGACACGGGCGGCCAGAGGAAACCCATTGGCCCAAATGCAGGAGTCCATGACAGCTTTTATGGCTGTTTGCAACTCTTGACGGCATAGTTGAAGATGTCGACACATTGTCGAGGGCAACCCAGTGTGCCTTTCTTTACTTAACTTATGCCTTATGGCTGTAAGTAACCGTAACCCGTCGTTATATAAGTAGAACAAATGCCATCTACGCATTTAGGGGAACAGATACGAATTCCCTCCGTATGAGTTGGAGGTCGAATAGAACGGTAACAACGCAACACCCGACAGCCAGAAATCAAGAGATGTCTGTCGGCTTCCCGTTGCTCCGAAAGGTTGGGTACGCTATCCGATCCAAATCGAGAGAAACTGAGTTGGCAAGTCGTTGACTGGAGATCGATATGTTTGTGTGTACGTGTCCAAACCGTTGAGACCGACATGTCGGTCTAAATGACTTTCAGATCGCCGTCTCTGACTTCTTGAAGTTCTTGCGTTTCAACCGGGCCTTCCCATGGACCGACTGAAGCTTGACTCGAGCCTAAGATGGTAGCCAGACGCCGACGATTGTATGTGCTGAATTCAACCAATGGGAAGGTGTCACATCACGAGACTGTCACGCACGCCTTTACCAAACGCGCTCATCTCGATACCATGTCTTCCACGAAAAGCGCCAAACCTATAACTTTCGCGTCCTTGACGCCGAATAATCTGGGGACAGTCAGAAAACTAAATTCAGTGCTGTTCCCGATCAAGTATTCGGAAAAGTTCTACGAAGATGTACTCAAACCGGATGTGGAAGACTTTTGTAAGCTCGGTATGTTGAAAATTAGTGACACGCACTAGGTCTGATGCTTTTTGCGAAGTCTACTATAATGATATCCCTGGTAGGAAGTTTGCGTAGCGTGAAATCCGGTGTCAAATGTCGCTTTAGTGGGCATCGTCTGCTGTAGACTGGAACCCCAAGACGGGGAGATGTCACTCTACTTAGCAACTCTGGGGATACTTGCTGTGCGTCGGCCGTTTCCGCGCTACTCATCTTTAATCTAACTGATCAATCTAGCCCTATCGTGACAGGCTTCTTGGGTCAGAAACTCTGCAGCTTATTCTCGACGCGTGTGGTGCCCACACCAAGCCAAAAATTGATCGGATATACCTACACGTTCAGACGTCCAATACTGGCGCCAAGAAGTTCTATGAGCGACATGGCTTTGTGCAAACCGCGCTCTTGGAAGGTTACTACAAGAAGATTGAGCCGCATGATGCTTGGGTCCTCGAAAAGAGACTCGTGTAGTAGTAAAGGTGCGTTTTGCAGTATATATTGGGAGTAACTAAGCCATTAATGACTGTAGATTGTAAGAGTAGAGTGGTTGTACATATTATTTGCGTCGGTTCACAATGGTTCGTTCCTTGCTCCCCCTCACGGCCAACTATCTTCGATTTTGCCACACCCTTTGACCAGCTGGGTTTCCCATTAGCCGACATGAGACCATCGCCAGAAAACAACACACGCACCTGGTGCCTCTTCAACGCATCTTTCCTCGTGAAAGTCTTGGGACAGCCATTGCATTGATACGGCTTCTCTCCCGTGTGGGTCTCCCGATGGCGCTTCAAATCATGCTGGCGATTGAACGACAAAGCACACATATCACACGCGTATGGTCGCGACTGGGGAGGGAGGATAGTCGTTATAGCTTGTCGCCTGCGTCAATGGCACTTGTTGAGGGTACTGTTGTGGGACTGGATGTGACGAATAACCGGATTGGGAGTGCGATCGCGGGCGTGTTGGCGCAGAGGCTGGAGCTGGGGCAGAGGCCGGAGTTGGTGCGTGACCGTATGTCTTTGGATATGGGTGATTGGGGGAATGGCTTGGCTGGCCATAGGTGTAGGAGCCCTGGTAGCCCCCGCTTCCAGATGGATAAGGTGAAGTGGGCGACGAAGGGTAGTAACCGTCGGGAGAATATGAGCCTCCTGCCGATGAACCTCGATAAGCTGAGGCAGGGGGTTGTCCATAGGGAGCGTAACTTTGACCACCATTCGCCCATTGGTCATTGGCAGAAGGGTACGGGGCACTCTGCATTGACATACGACGACGGTCTGACATGGCCAAGGGCGGGAAACTCACGTTGAAACGGGATATCGACCAGGTTTGGTCTTATAGTAAACGAGAGCAACATTCGGACGGAATTTAAGTTTAGTGCGGGCCTCAGGCTGTACCTGGCTATTGGTCTGATGAATGTATTGATAAATAGAAAAAAAACATTTAGACCCGAAAAGCTTAGCAAGAGACACCGACAGCTCAATCAAGAATCAAGATCTCCGGTCCCTCCACACGAAAACGGTAACTGCCCTTTTGACACACACGCCGAATGTCCCAACTTCCTCCATCTGGTTAGGGTTTTGCCACAGAAAAAAGAAGAGAAATTGCGCCCACACAACAGCAATCGGTCAACCGTGCCTTAAGTTTAAGCGCGCGGCCTGGCAACTCGCGACAGCCAGAACGCTGGCCAAATGAGCAATTTCGCAGTGTGTTCAATGATGCCAAAAAAGGTGCTTGGATGCTCGCGACCTCGCATCAGACCGCTAGTTTCCCGTAGGTCCGGCGGCTAAGCATTTTTCTTGACATCGGACATCGACAAGCTAAGAGTAGGAGGTTGATCTACGTCAAATAAAGAGGCCGCGATAAAAGATAATGAGAATGAAAAACGATCTTCTTCATTTGGTGGCGGCGAGTAAGGTCGTCGAGAGTGAACGTCATAACGGAGTTTCCGCTCTTGAATGCTGTTTTTTTCCACGTGGCCAGCGAACCAAAAGTCCTCAGTAAAGTATCGACTCCTATGCCAATGAATGCCGATCTTCGAATGGGAACGAGGTTCTACCAAACGGAGTCTACTCCACCTCTGCCGACGTTCAACGCTCCCCAGTTTCGGTGTGAATCACTTCACGAGTCATGCGCTGCTCTTTAATGAAGATGTCCATGTCATTACTACTGTTAACTTCGATTTTGTCATTGACCGTGTGCTTGCGCATGCCGCAGTATTAGTCTTGAATTATGCTGCTAGCGTTAGTTAACGCTCAGAATTGTCTCCAACATGTCTCGATATAGCAGGCCCACACCGTTGATATTCGCTCTGCACCCGAAGGTTTCATCTAATAGAGTGCCATTCCGCACCACCTCTGACCACTCCGCATCCCTCTCAGCGGGGGAGGCTTGTGTCTGGAACTCATGATATGAAACCAGCAAGTCGAACTTGATCCTCAATGCATCATCATCCGGCGCCGTTGTGGGAGTCTGCATGAGGCGCAAGAGGTCACCAGAACTTGGGGCACGATACTTGTTGACAAGCTGAGAAGCTTCCCTGGTCAGCGCCTGAGTTCCTTTTTGTTGTGCCCTAGCTTGTGGTCGTGGCCGGGCTGTTGGCCGGGAAGTGCTCGTAGCGTCATTGAAATACTTCTGATAGAAGGCAATCTTGAACTTGAACACGGCCGGTGAGGGCTTGAGGCTCGCCAACAACGAGGCGATGTCCTCTGGCGATTTTCCCGATAAACCATTGAAGATGGACAGAACGATTAATGGGAAATCGAGGTCCGTTGCTGAGGCAAGGTTGAGTAACTGATTGTGTGTTAAAATAGGATTCACGTGAGAAAAACGCAGCAATACCAAGTTGAGCAACCGCACACCAAGGAGACGGCGCTGGGGGTCCGCCTGCGCAAAACAGTAGTGGCAGGTTGCCAATGCAGCATCAGAATCACGTCTAGACGGTGTTCCGAGTTGCTCCAACAGCAGAGGAGAATAAGAGGCTGAACGCGCTGGATCACGTCGGGAAAAATAAACTGGGAGATACTCACGGTTGTTCGTGGATGTTTGCTGGTCCCGTTCGAAAATGGACACGAACCATTCCAGAATAGGCCAAGCAGTTTCCCCTACGGGAGAAGGTGTTTTTGTGGGATCGTTGAACGATAAAGTCGAATGCATTCGGCCTTTCCCTTTAGACGATATGATGTGCTGATCGAGGAGGAATCCATCGACAAGGATTTGCCAACAGTGTTTGCAGCAGCTGATGCATAAGGATTCGGTGGCAAGGAAACCCTCAGGTTCCTCATCGGAGTCCACATCACCGGGTTGTAGAGCAAGCATCAGCCCCCTTGGATTGTTTATGGACACAAAGGACATCAGTAGCATTTGGGCCGCCCGAGAAGCAGCCAGAGAAGGCAGCTCTACCAGTTTTCTTTGGCGTTTACTTGGAGATGCGGATGGGTCAACTCGGGCCTCTCTGTCGCTCGAAGAAAGCAATGCAATGTACAAAAGTTGTCGAATATGCGACCTGTTTTTTTATGAGCACACAGGTGATATAGATAATGACCGACTTGGAAGGTCGATGTGTAGAAGACTTGAGCTGGCTAAGGAGCTCTATTCCGGCATCATACTCGCCCTCTTCAAAGCAGAGGTCAACAAGATTGCGCTGATGATGAGACATCTCTGACTCCATGCTTGTAGTCGCGTCCTGTCGCGTCCCGTCGTTGGGCTGGATGTATTGGTTCATGGTAAGACACGGTCACGCGTGACTCAAACACTTTCCCTTTGAATGCTTTTTTCACGCGGTTTCCGGACGATGGCCACCACAGCTACTTCAGCCGCCGGTCCTATCGAGCAGGCTATCAGAGAGAAAGTGCCCCCCCCTCGTGATTTGCTGTGTTTGCCCAAACTCATCACATAGAAGCTATCTTCCACTTTCAAGCCAAGTGTGCTGGAAATACGCAATGACAGCTCTAAGCACCAGCATCATTCCGCCATGCGAAATAATACCAGCGGCGAAACTCGTATGTCTTTGTTGTAGCCTCCGCAACCCGAAAATCAATAGGTCCATCCTAGATTTCTCAGTTCATATCGTTTCGGCCCTTTTCGAAGGCAAGGTTGGTTGATTTTCGCAGTGATTTTCGGTCAACGATCTACCACTTGCAACAGGCAACTCTACAACGGCATCGACTTGTTCACAGCACACTGCGCGAAGAATTAGAGGGAGGACTACATTCGTTATCTCTCAGCACGAAAACTGAACAAGAAGTCGCGGAGTCTCCGAGTCAACAGTCCTAAAGCAATGTGATTGGCTTTCCGTGCAAACAACAACAAAAACTTGAGTGGTATCCACTGTCTACGATCTTCGGATTTTCCGTTAAGCGGTTGTTCTGGTCGTTGCTGGTTGCTTCCGCCGTTCGTTGTCCTGATCGCTGCGCTCGTCGCTGACCGTGTTGCACCGCCCATCTGCCTGGAGACGTATAAACCCGTTCAATCTCGCTAGCTCACATCTTGTTCACATCTCTCTTCATGCGGCCTTAAAATATAGGTCCATTGACATGCCTGTACTGACCGGCCCTACTCTTCTTCTCCCTCCATTGGCCTCTCCTTCCCCAATGTCGTACCCTCCTTCGGACCCTCGTCGTGGTCACGAGCGGCCAGTCCTGCCTCCCATTCAGGACTTGATAAGAGGTTGGACATTGTACTAAAACCCTTGTTCGCCGTTATTGATATCCTGTAAGAGATTTCGTCTCCTCGCGCCCCACCAGAATCCCCGGCCACGACGCTTGCCCGCTTACGAGTTAATGAAGAGGATAGATATAACCCTGCAACCTATCCTCGGTCTTCCAGCTCAAGGGTTTGATACTCTCTGCCAAGCAACTTGGACGTGTTTCTCATTCCTTCGTCCTAGCCACCATCTCGATCTCACCCGGACCCATCTTCCTACGCGTCCTCAACAACGCGTTACCATACTGTTCCGTACGACAGATCGCGAGCTAACCCTGGCTTGTACCCGGACTACCAACAGCAACAACAACAGCAACAACCTCGGACAGTGTCGTATGACAGGGCTTATTCGACATACGACCCACGGCCTGGTCCATCCCATCCACAAGGCTACTATCCACCGCCAACAATGCCGACCAGTATTGCCGTCCCCCATTATCAGCCTTCGGGAGTTCCCGCTTATGCAACCCCCGAAAGCTCTGCGACCAAGTACGAATGCCCATACTGCGGAAAGGGCTTCACTCGACCCAGTAGTCTGAAGGTGTGTTAGCTTCCTCATCCGTCGGTTAGTTTCTCAACATCTCGACGACAGATTCACCTCAACAGGTAAAGTGATCTTCTGCTGATCCGAGTTGCAAGTCTTACTTATAACCGGCCCCAGCCATACGGGAGAGAAACGTTTGTTGTGTGTTGATCCTGGTTGGATTGGAGACTGACCGACTGTTTCTAGCCTTCGTTTGTCCCGTTGAGGGTTGTGGTCGGAGTTTCAGCGTGCTTAGCAACATGCGTCGGCATGCCAGAGTCCATGTTGCTCCCTCGGCAATGGATGTTGACGGCACTCCATCACTTCACCCAACAACCTCATCATCTTCATCAAGGACCCACCGTCGTCGCACAAGTAGTGCAAGCTCCAACTCCCGACGAAGCCATAGCGTCTCTTCTGACGAAGAGGAGGAAGATTTTGGTCGCCCAGAGCAACGGACTCGCCAGGGCAGGTAGACTCTTTTTTTCCATTGGACTACTTTTTTTTCCACTATATATCTGTAGCTGCAGTATATTTATTCTGTACCACCACGTAACTTATTGTTAGTTGACATTGTAGGCACAACTCTGTATCTTTACAACAACTTGAAGGGTATCTCGTTAGATGTGAACAAATAATTAGTGAATAAAAGTCGTGAGCGTCAGGAAGCAAATTGTGGTATGCGTAGTCAGTGCGTATTTGTCTTGTCCTACATCGATATGGCCCTTCCCTTACCAACCTCTTGAGGCTCTCGCAAAGCAGAACGTCCGCGAACGGTTTCTTGGGGGTAGTCGGGCTGTGGTGGAGTTTGTCCGTAGGAGTCTGGCTGAGAATCGAAAGCTCTGTCAGCTCTCACATAGCTGATGACTCGTGGACTCTTGTGTGTGAAGCCAGCAAATGCTAGTGCTTTTCGCACGTCCAAAATCTCAGCTCCGTGAACCTCGTGTCGCAGGAGTGGGTCTCTGGTAGCATCTGGGGGTGCCCCATTTGCGGGGGCAAGGGGCTGCAATCAGTTAGTAACTTGTTGCGTTCTGACTTCAAGTTATATCTTTTACCTCGGGAGGAATGTCAGGGTCGAAATGTCGGGTATCTTCCGGCGCACGAAGCTCCGGATGATACGGCGCGGGATACTTGTGAATATTAAGCCAATCGATGCCTCTGAACCAAGGATGTGCCTTGACATAAAAATTGAGCAAGCATGGTAATAGAGGGGAAAATGAGGGTACCTTGATCAGATGAGCGCCGTCCGATGTCCCGCTTGGCGCTATAAACCCACTCCTCCGCGATTGCATAACCAATGAATTTGGTCGCGATGTAGAAGAAGAGGACTGGGAACCCAGACGGTCCTCTGGCTCGCAGAGGAGCTGTTGCATCAGATTCACACCTTCATGAGAAACTTGAGGACGCGCAGGGAAGCGCAAAGATTGCTTCCAGTTGAGGATCTTCTGACGCGTTACATGTCGCTGTCGAGAGGTCAATAACGAGTTCCCATGAGCATGTTTATTTACCGAGTTGCTGACGAAAGGCGGGAATCTGCAACAGGAGTCAATAACTGGGCCAGCTTGATAACAGCGAAGACGAACCCATATAAGCATTCGTACATGATCACTCCCAAACTCCACCAGTCGCACGAATAAGAATATCCATGACCGCGGATGACCTCGGGTGACACTGCTCACTTGAGACAGGACCCACATGTTGAATAAAGAGACGCACTATACGAGTTGGTTCCACATCTCGAAACAGGTGAGTAAACAACGTTAAACTGAGGAAAACTGCGACCAACACTGAATATGCCAGCTAGAGGAGACATGAGGAAAGAAAAACTCATCAAAGGAATTAAGAGGCTCACCTTTCGACCATTCTTCTCTCTCCAAGTGAAGACTCCGCCTTGACCATCTCCACCGCCCATGAGAAGCTCGATATCACGGCGGTTCATTCGTTTCGTTTTGCGTCCGTCCGCAATGCCGTTTGAATCCTCAAGGTCGATACCATGCTTGTGCAACAGATGTAGACGCTGTTGTTCGTAATCTAAGCGCTCAAGTGAACAAAATGGAGCCAAGAAGGGATTGGAACCGACAAGACGTATCGTGAGCCCAATGCAGATCGGTTCTTATCAAAGTAATGATTATAGACCACATGGGACTAGCTCACTCACGCTAAGCCAAAGTCGCTGAGTTTGATGTGTCCTGAAGGGTCGAACAGGAAATTCTACAGAAAAATGTCAGCTCCAACTGTGAGGGGAATCACACGTCCGTACATCAGGTTTGATATCACGATGGATGAAGCCAAGTTTGTGGCAAGATTCGATGGCGAGGATCATCTTGAACAAAGGTGAGTTATCTAATTCACTGGGCGACTTCAAGACATGTACCTCGGCCACATAGAAGCGAGTAAATCCTTCGTCGAACACATCCCGTTCGATCAACAAATTCAGAAGGTCGCCACCGCCCATATATTCCAGAACCTATGAGCCAACCATTAATTTTCTGTGAGCCATGTGGTGAACCAGGTACCAGATAAAGGTTATCGCGGTCTTGGAAGCTATAATAGAGCCGGACGATCCACTCGGCACCGCCGGGGGAGCTTACAAGAGAGGCGGACTTAAGGATGTCACGCTCCGCCCGAACGTGGCCCTCTTGGCCTTTACGAAGCATGTCGGTTTTCCTCAGCTGTCGTTGGCGTCAGTGCGGAAAGCCACGCGGGGGAAGAAGCAACGCTTACCTGCTTCATGGCGTATAGCTCCCCAGTTGACTGCTCCCTGACAAGCGAAACTACACCAAATGCACCTAGTGATTGATTAGCAAGCGAGTGAAATGGCTGGAAGTGCGTCGAACCATGTCCGATGGTCTTCAGTTTCTTGAACGTTGTGACATCAATCCTCCTCCTCTTGTCACGGAGATAATCCGTCTCATTCTGCCGCCATCGCGCTCGCAAGTTCTCCTTCTGGCCATGACTAAGTTGCATTTCGGTCATATCACGTTCCATTGCGAGGCGACGCTGTTCGCGGGAAGGAGGATGGCGGAAGAGGGGAAAGTACAAGTTTTCGAAATAGATTCGACAAGAAACAGCCTTTTCTAAAGTTGCGAGTGACGGAGTAATTGGTTTCCGAGGAGGTGGTTCAACAGGCTCAACATTATCGGTGAGATGCTCATCGTCTTCAGGATGAGCCTGTAGCCCGCCGCCCCACCGAATTGTAGAGTTACCGGGCCGACCAACAAGCCCTTCAGGGAAAGAAGACGCTGTCAAGAAATTTTCTCGGGCAGCAGTAGTTAGGGTTGAAGAGGTAGTGGTCGTTGCGCTAACACCGTTGACAACACGAAGCGGACCAAGAGCTCCGGCATCGTATTTACTGTCTTGAGACGGTTGCATAGCGTTGACCACTTCGTTAACGGCCTTGGCTTGATTTGTTTGGCGGACGCGCTCCTTAATCGGACTTGCCCACCGAGGATCTAGTTCTGTGATGAGGAAGGGAGGCGACGATTAGACAGCACAAGCTATTCACCACCTAGTTTTCCCATCCCATCTGGGCCCCAACGAGTGAGGAGTGCTTCGAACTGGTCTGCATCAGAGGCATGCACCAAGTGCCTAAGACGTATTAGGAACCTAAGCGAAATGGGGTCAAACAACGACAAACACAAATCCGGTTGGACGCGAGACCATGTCTTTACTGATTCTCCGTGTTTTACGGACTGGGGGCGAGGTGGATGGGGGAGGTAACTGGCGTGTTGTTTGAACAGGAGGGATTCCAGGTTTGATGGTTTCGTATCTGGGCCCAGCCAAGACTGGGTCGTCTGCGGGCGGAGACCCCCAAATGAGGCGAGAAGGTGACGGAGTCGGTAAAATCGACAACAAATCGTAGAAACCCTTGTGAATCAATGTCCCAGTTCCGCGAAGTGTTCCACCTGGAGCTGGAAGTTGGGGAGTTGCGAACTGGTTAGAGTAAGTAGGGTAACCGTCTGGTTGGTTTCTGTAGTCGTCATACTGGCCCCAACGAGTAGGTGGAATAGGGAGGGGCCGGTAGGCCATCGACGGAAACGGCAAGATCGAAGCCTGAGATTACCCGTTTCAGCAAGGAACTGTCACAAGGGTTTTGACAGTCTCTCAAGTTGCCAGTCGACCTCAAGCCTCTTTGAAGCAAGCCTTATTCCCGACTACGACATGCCTCCAACGCACCTTCACCCTCGGGATCGCGTATCGAGTCATCATATACGTACTTGCCTCGTGGGCAACGCTACATCCAAATCAGTAAGATATTTCTTTCCAAGTCACAGTAGGCTTTGGGTAGTCAAAGACGCGCCAGATTGAGTTGCATTTTCTAATGCAGTTCAAAAGCAAGCGGTTCGATCGAATCTCGTAGATTCAGGGAGCTCGTCGCCAACGGTTTGTAGGCAGCCCTGACGCAGCCTACACGAGGCCGTTAATGACAAGCGTAATGAACTCGTGCCCCGGCTTTCGTGTTTTTTTTTATTCGAGCTCCGGTCAAGCGCAATCCTCGTAACCCCCGCACGATCGAAGCTCAAACCTCTCTTGCCCATCCAAAAACAATAATAAGCTTTTTGGTCAACAGCCAGCCCGAAACCAGCCTTTGCTTTCACCCCCACAACTCAACTGCGCACAACGGGCTGTGTTTTTACGCGTCGCTCAGCCCTTAGCCCTACTCCCTTCCTCGTGGGTCCCTCCATGCACTCTTCGTTTCCCATTACGCCCCTGATTCGCCAGTCTCCGCCACAAGCGCCTCAGTAAAGAGCGAAACCCTCGTGTTTTCCTCTACTTATATCGGCACTCAACGACCTATTCGCTACATAATAATTCCATCTTCCTCTTCCACCCTAACACTATCTTCCGACTAATACCTATGGCGACCCGCGAAGATCGTTATTACAGCAGCACTCGAGCAAGAACTCCCGGCGCAGAGCAAGGTGGCGCATTCTTCCAGACTGGCCAGGGTGGGCGGACTCTCCTACCGCCTATAGATTCGGCTTTTCCAATCTCACATTTTCCAGGTCCGTTTCTCTATGTCCTTTCTTTTATATTTGGACGCTTAATTTGCTAGACGCGATCTACAGTGCCACCACAAAGCCAGTACTCGCAACAACGGCGGTACGACTATAATCAACCGTACAATAATCAATGGGGAAACCAAGCAGGTGAGCCACCTCGGAGCTCAAGTGTGACTGACTCCATTTACTACTTACACCAAGCCATGTCGAGTACCCCACAACCTACCTTCCCGTATTATGACGATGGTCGCTATTCAAACCAACAGGCTTACTCTGGCATGTATATACCAAGACCTGCCACCACTGCACCCCATCACCATGACACAAGGAAACTTCCACCGCTGAGTACCCACTCATCGTCACCACCACGAGATGAACGATGGGCTCCTTCGTCTTATGGCACCACAGGCTCCCATGGCCCACCGCCTCCATATACGGGTCACATTCGCTCTCCTACTGCATCTTACCCAGCATCATATAATCCTCCAAGTTATCCTGCTGCCTCTAGCTACCCCTACCAGGTCGGCGTAACCCCCCCATCCCGACCCACGCAATACCTCGCCCTATGGTCGCCACCCCCCGGCTCCTCCAACTCCGCCACCCGTTTCACCAGTCAGTGGCGATGAGCCCACAGTGAAGAAGAAAAGAAAGCGGGCCGATGCTCAGCAGCTCAAAGTCTTGAATGAGACATATGCTCGAACAGCCTTTCCTTCCACAGAAGAGCGTCAACGCTTGGCCAAACAACTGGACATGTCGCCACGTAGTGTTCAGATTTGGTTCGCTCTCAATGCTTTCTTTGTGCCAACAAACTGACTACGATATAGGTTCCAAAATAAAAGACAGTCGACGCGGCAAACGAATCGACAGTCCTCCACCCCCCACCAATCGTTCTCGATGGCATCCGATGAGCAGCTACTAGATGAGATGGAATCACCAACTTCTCAACTGCCATCATCCTCACATCGGCGCATGCGAAGTCAAGAGGACGCATTGGATCTTAGACCATGGCCTTCCCGCGGCTACTAAACGCGGTGATATCGTCGAGGACCGTTATTAGCAAGTCACTACTTGCGATGGTAGATGATTCTTTTCCGAGGTGCCTTAATCTCTAATACGCTTTCCCCCCGTATTCTATTGTGGACCTCGGCTATTTAGCGATAGTCTATATACCTACAGACCTTATTTTTCCAGGACGATCTTACTTATGTGTTATTACAATAGAGCTCTGCATCCCCGCGGTTGAACCCGATAACTACTTCTGACTAAGGGCAACTACTTAGGCCGCGGCCGAGGTCAACTAGTCCAGACTGAGTCTTCCAATTCCCTTTTCCTTTTGATGTCTGCTCTTCGCTCGATTTGATGCGCCGCTCGAGTAGATCATGAACGACGCGAAATGAAGCCGTCGAACCGGTCATCATTAATTCAATTAATTCTCGGCCTCGAGATCTGAGCCAGGAAATTGTCAGCCTGGGAGCATTCGTTCTGCTTCTAGGTAATCAGGAACCCCAATGTGGCAAAAACACAACGTGATTCCAGAGGCCACATCACCAGTCCAAAAGTTTACATCCTTCTCAGAACACGACCTGGCATTCAATTCACGGGGGGGATTGGCCTACACGACCGTCTATGTGTACTGCATTATTGATCTGCCTTGGTGATAAAAAAGCCACCCGATAGCACCAACTGATTCCATAACCGTCTTTCAATCACTGTCTGTGTCTTCTGGTCGTGGTCCACCATTGGTCAACCATGCTAATTTTCTCAACCGTCTGCGTTCCTCTTGCGCTTTCAGCTGATTTCGCGTCATTTTCTTCTTTTTCTTCACGACAGGCTTTGCCGATCCGCCATCCTCTGCTCCACTGACAACCGGGGTCCCATTCGCCGAAGCAGCAGGAGTCCCTCGGTTGGATCGCACGGGTGTGTTGGTGCCGCTCGCAGAGGGTGACTTGGAATCCAGGAAGGCGTCTTCGACCACTGCGGCCTTGCCTTGGTGAGTCATGTGACCAGCTTCGACATTCCAGATCTCAGGACCTGTGCCAGATTAAATGGATCTGCACCTGAAAACTGAAAGGAAAAAAAAACGCACACAGCGCAGAAACAAATTCGTTGTTGTGGGAAATGATCACCACTGCACCAGCCCAGTCACGGATAGCAACTGCCAGACCACCCAGAGCTTCTCTATCCAAGAAATTGGATGGTTCATCGAGAATACAAATCTGAGGTTTACTCCAAAGACAAGCTAGCACGTGATGAATATGTGACTGTACGATAAGGTCATTGCTCACCAGCGATAACTAATTTGATTTTTTGACCACCGGAGAGTCCAGAGATCTCATTATATTGAGCGATGTCTCCGTCGAGCCCAATGTCTTCGAGATGTTTGCGGACGGCGATTGTTGATGTTTCGCGAGTACCGGCGCCTTCTCGAGATGCTTCTAAATCGTCAAATTGTTGGACGAGCTTTGTAAGCCCCTTCTGCAGCAAGTCATCGCGGGCGACCCAGGTATTGAATCTGTGGTCCAGCCCTCGCCACTTGACTTCATATTGAAATGTCTTTTTCAGCTTTTGTCGACCCATGATTAGCTATTGAGCAACAAATGAGCGACTTGTTTTTGATCTGATATGATCGAACGATCAAAAACATACCTCAAGTTTTCGTTTGGAGCCATCTCTTCCGACCCAGTCCTGTTCTAACAAAGCTTTCTCTTCCGGTGTCAGAACACGAGTAACCTTTTCCAGCACCTCGCCTGCGATTGGTCATAAGAAACACCTCGCCGGATTCTGATTTGGCTTACGATCATGCCCGTCTTGGAATCGCCATTGAATGTATTGGATGGGGGTTTTCTCCAGGTGCCGCTCTATTTTATTTGTCAGTTGAGCTGGGTACTCATCGGTGCCAGTCCACTAGCCTATATGGTGGGTAGCGTGTTGAGAAACATAGCCTACTCGGAGGGCAGGGTGTTTATATACAGACCCTTCTTGCGGTTCGGTTTCGCCCTAACAGAGCATGAGTGACAACGCTCAATTCGGGACGATACAAACCGTCAGCAACTTGATTAATGTCGATTTACCAGCACCATTAGGGCCGACTATGCCGACGCGGCTGCGGAGTTGGTGAGACGACCAAGTCGCATCGCAGAGCGATGCCGTACCTCGATAACGAGAGGGCACAGCTGACGTTGAACAGACTCGGAGTCGATCGACCAGGATAGGTGAACGTACAACCTGCGAGCTTCAGAATTGCACGCGTGTTGCTACGGACCCCCATAAGGGACCCCGGCGGGGGAAACGCGAATTTGACACTAGTCGCGGCCAGCGTGTAGTAGGATTTGGCTTCCGGGTGCGTTTCGACAAACTTGGACAAGTTTCCCGGATAGTAGACAAGCTAGATAGATGGATCGATTCAGCATATAGCATCAGCCTCGGAAATGTGTACTTTTTTGGACTCGTAGTGAATGACATCCGTCGTCACATTGTCTAGGAATCTATAGCCCATCAAAATCTCTCGTGAACATAATGAAAGCAGACTATTCACCCGGAGTCGTGACTGACGATAAGACAGGTGACATTGGTATGTGCGATCAGATATTCTTCGAGCCATTTAACGGACGCGCGGTCCAGCTAAGAGAGAATGATCAGGTAAAAACGGAAAAAGCGCTGCAAGACGAACATGGTTAGTAGGCTGAAAGGCGATCAGTAGTCTTTTCGTGTGATGTGGAAATAGGGCACCTCATCAAGCAGTAAAAGGTCGGCGTTATACAGCATGGCTCTAGCCAACTCGAGTTTCATTTTCCAGCCACCAGACAAGCCGCCGACAGTATCGGCCTGTCTTGCATCATCGAAACCAACCTCCAAAAGCTGTTCTCTGATCTTTGACCGAGGAACAGCTGCCAAGGCTGAGTCTACAATCGCCCATGATTAATACGTACACAAGACAGCATAATGTCTCACCTGCTGCGATGAAGTCCAACACAGAAAGGGAGCCGTCTTCCCCTTGCAAAGAGTGCTCAACCATCACAGTGCGGAGCTGATCTTGCGGGGGAAAGTTTTCTACCTTGCCGTCGCGCAACTGACGCATGAGGGTAGACTTGCCAGAACCGTTGGTCCCGAGGATTCCATAACGACGACCGCGGACAAGACGCAATGTAGTGTGCGAGAGCAGCAACAAAGCGCCATATGCCAGGGAAAACAGCGTATCACATATCACTTCTCCTTCCTCATCGCTGGTCACAGCACCGCCGTGTTTTGCCTCAACCACACGTCAATACAGGAGGCAAGTCGATGGAAGAGCTTACCTTCTCGATAGCATAGAAGTGGGAGCGGACCGCCTCGCTAACCTGGGCCCCTCGTTCAGAATCTAGCCAAGGTTCCAGGTAAACCCCCACACATCGTTGCCAGATCTTTTTATCGCCGAACTTCCGTTCATTTACGAGATCGGCAACGAGGGATGCTTGGAAAGCTAAAGATTGGGCCAATAAAGAATACTTGGGGCTAGGCGGGTTGTTTGGAGATGATGGAGAAGTGATGGTGAGTTCTGGGGGGAGGAGCGTTAAGAGGGCCGAAAGCGCATCCGCAGTTTCCCTTTCAATATCACGGGGGGTGCTTGGAGGTCCAGAGACCGATGCACCAGCCTTGAGCAAGGTTTGGAGAGCGGATTCGCCAAATGCGCGGACCTGAACAATATTAATAGCTGCACAAAGTCAATGAAGATCAACAAACCTCAGGGAATGCCGCTCCTTTTGCGATCCGTTCTGTGCCCTCAACGAGAGAGCTAAGGTACAATGCTGCAACCTTCTCATCGCGAACTAGCTTGACGAGGTTGTCTATCACAACCACCGTGCGACGTTGGACTTCCATACTTCTATCGTTGAGTGCGCGGATAAGCAGAGGCACAAGGACAGCCAAAGCCGGTGCTGTCACTTCAGCGACAAAGGTTGTCGAAGAGAGTGCTTTGATGCAAGCAGGTACGGTATCAGGACTCGCCATGCATTTGACGAGGACAGGGATATGGGGAGTGAGATCGGGATTAGCCAGAGTATTACACAAGGCAATTGCGCATTTGTTGGCAGCAGTTGAAACCTAGAAAAAAGTTATCATTTTCTGTCGAGTAGACGCCACTCCACTAGCCTCTTGCTTCGTATCGTGCATGGCGGCCTCTATTTTGGGCAGAATGGTGGCCAGTTCGGCTCCAACAGCGTCTTTGGCTGTTGTTGCGAAGGATCGAAAGGCGTCTAGCACGCCGACCTTGGTTTTCCATTTTCCATTGGCCAATATGTTTTCAAGCTCACGGAAAACGACGCGAGTTGCTTCGGGAGGAAAGAGTTTGAGAATAGCTTTGACGGCCGCTGAAGCAGCGACACGGACTACATCGCCTTTATCCATGTAGAGTTCGAAGATAACCGAGAGAGATGGAAGTAGCATCGGTGCGGCAGTAGCACCCAGAATGTTGGCGAGCGATTGGAAAGCGATAGCAGCGGATTCACGTTCGTAGCCAGATTTTTTTATTCGTGGCGAAATTGTGCAGGGAGACCAATAGACCAGCATCGCTGGAGAAATATCATTCAGAGAAGACAAGAAAAAAGTAGTAGCTGTTAGAACGCACTGGAGACTCTGGATTCCCGTTTTTGAGACCTCACGAGCTATCCTGTCTGCGGCACCCTTTGCATCTAATTTCCTCTGAGTAAAAGGTAATACTCCGCGTTAGAGAAGCTAACCAGGAGCTGTGGGGGCGGTTCGAAGAGCATCTAAGAGGGGAGTAAATTGCGTTTGGGTGGCCATTGCGACTGGCGACATCTAGGGTATCGATACAGAAGGGTACACCGCTGGGAATACAAAGGAATTAGCAGAAGATGAGGTAGATTTCTAGGACAGCCGCCGATGCGACGATGGCGGAAAAAGAGAGCCAAATTTTGGTGAAAGCTGTGACAGTGTGTCAAAGGACACCACGTTCTTCCGATCTTCGAAACCTTTGTCTCAAAGTTGAACTCTGAACGGTAAACAAGGAGAAAAAAAGTCGCTCTGTGGTAGCTAAAAACGGGTCTGCGTATCTCCTTGCAACCGCATCAAGAGGGCTTCAGAATTTGTTTGATTTCGCCTGCATCGCAATGTGCCATCTCATCTTCTTGTCGCGATGTCTGGGCATATAATACCTTCTCGGCGTCAGTACCCGTCGTCTAGCACCCTTTCGCTTTCTTTCACTTCATTTTCTTTTTTTTCTTTTCTTTTCTTCCTTCATGCATTCTTTGGCTCAAGTGCGTGATCCCTTGTCATGATCAACTCGAGGCTAACCAATGTTTGCAGACTCTTCAGAATGCAGGCATTAATATAGCTCCAGGGCTATTCATTGGGATTGTTGTGGCTGGAGCCATTCTCCTCTTCGTTGTCGTTATCGGAGTCACTCTCTATGTGTGTAGCCGCAAGAATCGTAGGATCCAGCAAGGTGCTTTCGACAAGCCCTCCATACCTGTGCTATCCCTCGCCCAATCCCAACCGCCTCTTCCTCATACGAAACCTTTGCCTTACCATACCGATCCTGAAGCTCAGCGGCACGACCTTGTCGGTCGGGAGGTCATGCAACAAGAGTCGACCTACCAACAACTGATCCGTGACCTCCAACGACCTCCGTCTCGAACAAACACTCCCGCACTTCCAAATCAAACTCCTCGAGATTTTTCTACTCTCAGTCATCCTCCCATGAAACAACATAGACCAATGCCTCTGTCGCCGCCACCATTGGTCTACCTGGCTGTCCCACCACCAGTTGCGACTGTACCGAGGTCGGCTGAATTGAAGAGAGGACAATCTGTTCGGTCTTTGGATACGGTCTCTGTCTATTCGTCTGCTTCTGCTCCTCGAGATGCTGACGAAATTGGCCACCAATCTTTTGCCCCTACCTTACCTCCCGTGCCACAGTCACCTAGTACGCCCATCACACCAAAATGGCCCTCCTCGCCTTCACCATATGTCTGGCCAAAGCGACAACGCGCTTCCCAAATTCGCGATGAGCTGGCCCCAGAGACATATGCAAAAGTTCGATGGAGAACGGACAGCGAATTGGCTGATGCCCTGAGGGATAGTCATACGCTCCCGTCAAGAGATAACGGTCTGCGAACCGACGTTGCTCCGGCTAATGTCGGGCCGGAAAGTAACTCCGTGACCTTGCCGCCCCACTCACCACCTCCAAATCCGCGACCTCAGCCATTCTAATGTACGTGTACTAAAACCAAGACTGTATCTGTAGTTTCTATCTGTACGGTAATGATAATGCTTGTGACCGCGCTTAAGAATCGTCCTCCGGGTAGTCCACAATGTCGTATAAGCGTAAACTTTCATTCCAGTCCCTCTTTCGTCGCCGCTTGATCGAGAAATAGCGGGAACCAGACTCCCAGCGACCTCTGACACGGCCTTTTTCCCGTCCTCCGTGTCGAATAAAATATACCTCTGGGTTGTTGGGTAAGGCAAGAGTATCAATTGCCAGCTTCATCACTCGGTCGTAAAGGGCATCCCTATTGGAAGAGTCAAACGACGAGAAAACGGTCAGATGACCCCACCTTTTCCAATACATCTTTCGCAAGGTGGTTGGGCCGACGAGAAGCAACCGCCCTAATGCCATAAAGGCACGCAAAGCCGACACTGCATCTTCGAACCAACGCAAGGTCATCCACATCAGCGCCGGAACAAGCATAAAGGTGACCACGGAGAAGGGAAACGTGGCCGCTGTTGCACCAAACCATACACAGAGGCCGGAGACAAGCCCATAGCTGCAGGAGGCTTGGTGAGGCCAAGTATATCGAAGAAAGATGGGAGACAAACACTAGTTTATACTGTGCGATTTCGTCGAACGTGTCGAAAATTGGGCCTGTCTGGAGTAGGAATGAGATGCGCAGAAGCCAGTGATTATTTGCGACTACCTTTTTGAAGTTGTGAACGGCATAGACTATGGTAATAAAGACGGGGGCCCATAGGACAAGACCAGGGAGGGAGAGTGAGAATAAACAGATTGCCCAGGTGATTCGGAGAATCATGCGTCCTATGATAGTAAGTCTGGGTAAAGGCCGTCGTCGTATTCGGTCATCCTTGATTCCAAGGCGCGCAAGCTCGTCTTGGTAGGCCTACATGACAATCAGGCTAATTTGCACTGAGCGAAGCAGCTATCCTACGCGTAAGTCTTCTCGCAGTCTTGCGAGGTCACTCGTTTCGGCAGAGACCTTCTCGTCATCCACGGTGTGGACATCATCCGAACCAGAAACTGGTTCTCCAGCTTTAAAAGCCTCAAGAAATGTCCTCACGACACGAACGTAGTCGCCCAGCGTCATGCGGGTGCCAAGAGGAGCATACATCCTTGCGGCTAGTTTGCTGACGCGTACGAGATCCCATGATGGAGAATCGAATGTCCCCGAGGTAATCTATTCCGTCCTTAGATTAGAGAAGATGATGACAAATGATAGACCTGTTCAGACATTTGCGCCGTGAGCGCACGAACATTGCTGAATTCGACAGGTTCGAGCAGCTCAGGATGAGTCTCCCAATTTGTTGGCATGTTTTAAAAGTGCTCCAAGTAGACGGCTCACTTTGGGCGTGAAAACCATGGGTGGGTGGAACGTGACAAGCACATCCGACCTGAAATGCTCGCGATGCCTTGGTAAAATATCAGCAATTGGGCTATAAAGATTGGGAAGAAGACTTGCATATACGTTACGGAGCAGTTGAGCAGAGAAATCTCGAAGGTCGGGTTATTACGGTTACGCGTTAGGATGTCCGATATCATCCTGGCAACTTGAACAAGATATGAATAAAGAGACTCGCGGGGAGATTAGCCTACCGCCTGTCTTAAGAGGAGCGACACTGGGATGGTATCGACTCATTCCTTCAGGGAATAAGCAAACAGCATCACCCATTTCCAGAGCCTGGATTAGTTTGTCCATGGTGTCCGTGTTGTCCTGAGAATGGTTTGGTTGACGGAGTTGATGGAAAGTGAGATTCGAATTACTACGGATTCTCCCTCGGCGTAGTCTTTCTTTCGGCGTATAGGGACAGTGCCAGCACTTTCAATGAGCCAGGATGTAAATGTTCGTTTGCCGAACTGAGTAGCCTTGGCCGTGAGGCGGATGAAATTGCGCTCCTTATTTTACGTGAGCAGGAGAGAATGATATCTTTGAGAATGAAACCTTGGGTGGAATGGTCGTCACGAGCATCAGCGCATCGGTCAAGGAATTGCTGTGGTTGGCGCAGACAATGCATGGTTTACTTTATTAGGTTAGGCCAGAAGACAGAGTAACTTCATGCTCTACCCGGTCTTAGGTACGTTGCTTGCGCCCTCGACGACTATGGTACCATAGAAAATCTTCAATACGAAACGGAAGAGCAACCTGGGAAAGTGAATGGGAAATCCTGGTGCGCAAACACGCCTACCGAATCAGGACATATGACCAAGGCGTAGCCGAAGGCATAGTACGGCTCGTTATAGCCTTGCTGGACAGAAAAGTTGTTTACACCGTGGTCGGAACGCGGGGCCGAGAGGAGACAGGCATGTAGCGTGGGAATGATCGGACAAAATTTTGTTATTTCTCTCTCATTTTTCGAGACGATGGATCGAGCCTTAGAGAAGATTCGACCACATACAAACTCGAACTTGGCTCATCAGAAGGCGCCAGCCAACCTTCTTGCTGCCGTCGAGTCTACATTCTCCGAGCAACAAACCGATCCCAGTCCAACCGCCTATTTCGCAGCTTTACTCACCACACTCGACAGCACAATCCAGAAACGAGATGTTTCCCTTGGCGATGGTGATATCCTCCCTGCGGAGCTCTACCTGCTGGCTCTTGTTGCCCCATTCGTTCCAGTACCAGTCATGCGCTCCCATCTAAACACTGTCCTGACCCTCACCGCACCTCTTTTCCCTGCATTGACGCAACATGCCCCGGTGTTGAGGTCTCAACTATCCCTTTACAATGCAGTCCTTCGAGCATTGGACCGTTCCCAGCTGGATGTCCAGAGTATTCGTCAGGCCTTCGCTTCTATTCTGCAACTATGCATCGATCCACGACCCAAAGTCCGCAAAAAGGCGGCAGATGTCGTGAAAGACGTTTTAGAAAGTCCACCCGCACCACTTTCTCGACATCCCTATTCCGAAAGAGTTGCAGATTGGATCAAATCTGCACTCTCTGAAGCCAACATCGTCCCTTTCTCCCGTGCAAAACCATCAAAAACTTCTGGGACAGACTCCGCAATTCATGTACTGGCATTTTTACGACCCATTTTACCTAATCTCCCTGCTTCGGTAAGGAGAGACATTCATCGCCTTGTTGTTTCTGAACAACTTTTTAGTCGCTCCCAGCTATCTCAAATCTTCTCCTTAGCCTTCCCCGCCTCGGAAATCCATATCTTTCCCAATCATCATACTCCATCCTCTCCGACCTCTTCGCCCTTCCTGTTGAAGACGAATCGATTGGTGTGAACGAGCAGATTTCTGATGTGCTTAACGCTGTCCTTTCCTCCCCGCCGTCCAAGTCCGATGCAACGCTATCACCTGCATGGGTTCGAGTTCTTGGTACAGCGATGGCAACATATAGTCTTACTGATAGTAATGCTGCCTCCCAAGAGATTGGTAGAGTTTGGAAGGCTGTTTTTTCATATCTGGAATCGTCGGATAGTTCCACAAGAACCGCTGCTGCAGAGTCTCTTCGACGAGTCGCTGGTTGCATCACGCCTTCAATGATAGATTCTGCCTTGGCCGAAACAGATCATCGTTCAACACTGGGGAAAATCATCACTCAAGTGACCAAAGAGCTCAACTCTTTGGTGTACGCTAATGCTATCCCCCAAATCCTCACTGTCATCGCTGAGCTCATACTTGCACTCCGTTACAAGCCCGATGGGCGAACAACCGGTGCTGAGAGCCTGCTGTTACCCTTGATCAAGCACATCGGAGACCTTCGAATCCAAAAAGGGTTCGAATTCAAGGAGGACGCAGACGTCACGCTTTCTGCTGCAATGCGAGTCCTTGGACCGCACGTTTTGCTTGGTGTTCTGCCGCTCAATCTTGAACCTATCGATAGGTTACTCAGAACCCACTCAGAAAAATATCGACTGATCTTTTCACAGGCAAGAGGGTCGCGAACCCCGAGCATACTTACTACCTCTGCTTCCGCAACCGCATCCATCTCCTCTTTCTCACTTTGTTAGCTATTTTGTGCCTCTAAGTGAAAGGATGTTCGCGCTTCAACAGGCAGCAGAAGCAGAAGATCGTCAATCCCAAGCCAAACTTTGGAGTGTGTTGATTGGTCAAATTTGGACCGGGCTCGTTGGGTATTGCTGGGCTCCTACAGCTCTCAAAGAGGTGCGAACTTTCTACTCACAGGAAGATGCTACGTATCTAAAAAGTATCCGACAGTCGCTTAACGCCACTTTTTCGTCGTTGCTTTCAGGACTTCTATATGGTCAAGCAGAACTACGACCCTCCGTACTAAAGGCCCTCCGGGTCATTGTCGATTCCAACGTCGCTGTTGCTTCTGGTGCCACTGATCCGGCTCCGACTAATCCAAGCGGATTGTCGCCAGCACAGGCATCCGATAATGTTGCCTATCTCCGCACTCAAGCAGAAAGCTGGCTCGCAGTGCTTTTCAATGTCTTTGGTACCATGGGACGCGACAACCGCGCAGTCGTGGGGGATGTAATCAGCGCTTGGGCAGGTGTTGCTGGCGAAAAGGTACGTATTGCCTCATCAAATCTGATAGAGTCCGTGACATGATTCAACTTGTTAGGAAATTGCTGCTGCTCAATCGAAAATCGTGCAGTTATTGAAAAACAATCTAGCCGCCCAGGCTGCGAATCCTCGGCATAGCAGCATCGAAGGCGGCAGTGAGGCTGCAACAACACAGGACTTGGTTCTCCTGCTACTCCCTTACATCTCGTCAGCCGATGCCCAGAAGCTATTCCAATTATGCCTATCAAAAACCGTACTCTGCGCGAAAGACAATGGCGTCCAAAAGCGGGGATACAAAATTCTGACTCGTTTGATCGAGACAAAAAAGGTTTCTATCGAGGTGGAGACTGTTTTGAAGGAACTAGACGAAACGCTAGAGGGCATCACCCCTGCTGCGAAAAAGGTCCGTTCAAATCCTCTGAAACTTCATGTGCGATATTGAGAAATAACAGGATCGCTTCAGCCTTCTCGCCCTCCTTGTTGCCCAATTACCATCTTCTGCCCTGCACGTGATTCCATCGCTTATTCCCGAGGCAGTTTTGGGCACCAAGGAGCCTTCGGAGAAAGCAAGGGATGCTGCCTTTGAGCTCATCGTCGATATGGGGAAGAAGATGGCTCAAGGAGGTGTCGTAAAACGTAGTCTCGTTGATGGAATGGAGGAAGATGGCGCTGGAGACAGTAAGCCGTCCAGCTCCTCTGATTTTATGCTCCTTATAATAAGGGATAGCTACCGCGAACATTCAAGAATTTATGACTATGGTCGCTGGCGGGTTGGCCGGAGCCAGTCCACATATGATCAGTGCGACTGTCACTGCAATATCAAGACTGGTCTTCGAGTTCAAAGGTTAGTCTAGTTTCCTGCGATGATTTTCTACTTATCTTGCGTCAGATTCTATTCCAGCTTCTATGCACAGTGAGATCCTCAGCACTCTCTTTGTCTTTATCAGCTCTGCCAATCGCGAAATTGTGAAGTCGATTCTAGGATTCGTCAAGCTTGCAATCCACTCTCTCCCTGCCGATCTCGTTCGCCCCCACCTCCCAACCTTGGTGCCTGCCCTTCTTGGCTGGTCTCACGACCACAAGAACCACTTTAAAGTCAAAGTCCGCCACATCTTTGAACGAATGCTGAGGCGATTCGGGTGGAACGAGGTTTACGGCTATGCAGGCGAGGACGAGGCTAAAAAAGTCCTTGAGAATATTAAGAAGCGTAAAGAACGGGCAAAGCGGAAGAAAGCCCAGGCGAACGAAGACGAAGACGAGGTAGCTGCCATGATTTCTGTCTTGACCAAACTAATTTTTCTGTAGCCTACCAATAAACAGGCCACTGGCGATGCATTCGAGGATGTTCTATATGGAAGCGAGAGCGAACTAGGAGATAGCGACGATGACGAACCTCATCAACAACAGCGCTCAACAGGCAAAAGACGAGGCGGAGAATCAGGGGCCCGCATCCGCATTGACGACGATGAGCCAATGGACCTACTTCAAGGCGCTGCTTCCCGCATTACACGTAATATAATTTTCTTTTTTTACCGAGATAATATGCTGAACATTTCTTTCGCAGAGGCAAAATCCGAACGTCGAAGGAAACCTGGTCAGGATGCAGCTCGTTTCAAGACCGACGAAGAGACTGGGAAAATGCTTATTGATGGCGATGACGACGATGCCGAGTTAGGGGAGGATGCAGATATTGCTGGCGCTGCATATAGAGAAAACTTGACGTCGGTTGATGGCTTCACAAGAGGCGCGAACGGCCGAGTCAAGTTCAACAAAGACACCAAGAAACGAAGGAGAGAAAACGAAGATGTTGATGGAGACGTAGAGATGGGTGATGTTGAGCCAGGAGGGGCGCCAAAGTCAGCCAAGAAAGCCAAGGGTCGTTCAGAGGCCAAGTTTGGCCACGAATTCAAAGCCAAGGTCTGCCCTGCTTTCCTGTTTTGCACCTGATAGCTGAAATTTTTCGTGTAGAAAGCTGGTGGCGATATTAAAAGGGGCGGTGTGGATCCATATGCTTACATGTCCTTGTCGCAGGCCGCCAAACGCAAGGGTGGAAAGCGAGACAAAATGGGTATTGTCGGTAAACGATAGTGTTGTCGACCTTGGAATACAGCTTTTGAGTTTGGTGAAGACCCGGCCACAGGTCTATTGGTTTGGGTATACGTACAAGCACAACCAGCTACTCGGTACAGAATATGCGGAGACAGACAACATACAGTAGGAGGCATGGCATAGGACGTCGGCATATGGGGAGGAGGTGGCACGAGGAGTGTGTTGGGGCTTCGTTTATCTGTTTTTCTTGAGAAACAAGAGTCATGAGGGACGAGAGAGCTGATAATAAAAAAACAAGGAAATATAGAGTACATTCGAGGGGGAGAGGAGAGAAAGGAAGAAAGGAGAGGAAAAGCAAAACAGTAGTCAGGAAACTGCGACAGAATAGTCCACAGCCAAAGGCGGCGGCACTGGCGCAAACTTGGCGAAATTGTATCCAGCCCATTGCCATGCAGCATCCGGTCCAAGTTTATTGCCGAATGCCGGCACCGGCGCAACACGGAGAGCCGCTTCAAAAGCAAGACCCGACAGCGTGGGTGACGTCGGAGCTGGTCCCCAAGTATCTCCACAACCGCTGGCCATAGCGTCGTCCAGGAATGTTGACATCTGAATCGTGCGATCTCCCGATGAGGAATCTGATTCAGTCGAGGAAGGCGAGTAACTGAGTCCCGGCGTAGGAGGAATCGGACTGCCCGAATGACTCGAACTTGAGGACGTAGAGTAAAACGAATCACCCTAGAAAAGAAAGGAAAATGATCAGTTTTACTCCCAAGATGGAGTCGATACTTACCTTCGGTGACTCCATTGACTCATCTTCCTGAGCCTTTCTGCCCAGTTGGCTTCCCGGCCACAGCTTATCTGCGACAGGAATGTACTCCTTTTCTCCACATGCAAACGCATCAGTAGGAACCGTTGATGAGCGTCGAAGAGGGCGCTTATTGGCCGGGGTCGAGGCAGGCAGAGCAGTTTCACTTTGGCATCTTCCAAGTGGACGAGTGCTAGATGAAGCGGCTGGCGAGGTAGCGGGCGTTTTGCCAACCCAGAGACGCCAATCTAAGGCATCTCCGAGGGCTCGCTCACAGCGACCAATCTCTTTGGCCGGTAGACCAGAGAGTTTCGCCCAGGCGCGATTCGAATAACACTTGTCTTGTGTGAATTTGGAAGCGAGGATGAGAGAAGCCAGGAAGGCCCGGCGAGGGCACAAAAGTGGAGAGGGGAGTAAGGCGAATGACTCGCTACCCAGTATTTTGTCGTTGTTATCCATCGATGAACTGACGAACGGTGTGGCCGTGCCGACTACATCGTCGTCAAAGGTAACTCGGACAGTGTCCATGACTGTTTCGTCGTCAGTTGCAGACAACTCGATATCTGATGAGGCAGAAAGTTGTGCTTCCAGAGCAAGCTCGGCTGGTGTGGCTGGCGTGATGCGGCTATCTGAGTCATACCGGATGAATGTTCCTTCTCCCGATTGCTCTTTGGCGACTAGCTCTGGGACTTGCGAGCGGATAGCTTCAAGATAGCACAATGCTGTCTGTAGGACTGAGCCAGAAGTGCGTGAACGGCGGAGAACCTCGTGTACAAAGCCCTTCATGGGAACGAGATTATTTCTGTGAAGTCCACTGGTGATGTCTGGCTCTCCACGTAGGAGGGGAGAAGCTGAAGTCGGCAAATGGGAGGCGCGGGGTGGAAGGGGAATTTCGGGGCCAATTGTTGGCTTATTGGATGTGAGAAAAACAGTGGGGATGTCTTGTGGACGCCATATTTCGCAAAGCGATTTCACGGCTTGATCTTGGCTGATTGAATATAAGGAAAACGATTACAAGGAAGGACGCACCGACTAAACCTGTCACATATTTGTTCTTAGACTCCTTTGGGAGTTGAGGCATAGACGAGTGAGCTTTGAGACGCTCTGTCTCGCATAATGGGGTAGGCTTTGGGGATGGTGATACAGAAGTGGCCGGGGTTGAAAGAGATGGAGAGTCAGTGGAGGATGATGACGATGATGATGCAGAAGCAAGAGCAGCGTAGGGCTGCCACCGGGCCCGAGACCGGGCCGCGGGCGGAGCCCTGTGAGCAAGAGTATGTATCGAGTGCATGGTTTGGTGTTTGTCGAGTTTATGGTGAGCTGAGTTGGATTATGGGAGTCGATAGGGAATTATAGTGGAAATTCAGACAGTAGTACCCTTCGCCTTCAAGATGGGGGTGGAGATAGTGTAAGAGAAGAAGAAAGAAACAGTCATAGAGAGTTGGCGGTTCGGGGAGGCGTAGGTCGAGCGGGTTTGTATTTGGGCAAGCATTGCGCTAGTTGGGAGGCAGGTCGGATGTCTCAAGTCAAATGACCTAAGAGCAATCCGATGGCAGGGCTTTGTCGCTTGACAAAGGCCTGCGGGTTGAGAGTTTAGTGGTGGAGTCGGGAGGGCGCTGAAGTTCGGGTCTGTGTCGGTTTAAGAGTCGGGGCGATACACCTAACCTTGTGACTCGGCTGTGACTCGTCCACCGTCACATCACACTCTGAGTCGGTGGGAAAGAAATGACTCACAGAGCCCGAGGTACTCAACACGCCTTGCAGTAGATACTTCTACACACTCTGATATACCGTTGAACCGATTGCCGGGGTCTTAGTGCCTCATTTCATACACGCAGGATTTTTCTTTGTCGTGAAAACTTCCCCTCTGAGGCAGTTCATTGCTCACTTGTCCGCAGTTACGGTTACATAAGTATAATTTCTCACCCGGCCGACTAACTCCAACTGATTCATGAGCCTATTCGGAACTTGCCTTTGACTCTTTTGTCAACTTCGTGCGTACATTTTTGGATCCGTCGACTCAGTTCGGCTGCCACGAGGTTCGCAACTTGTCCAAAACCAGAGCTTAGTCACGATATTGCGTGGGAAATACCTTCCTAAAACGCGATTCCGTCTTGGCAGCTACTGGCTCCAACCCGGCTTTTGCTTGGAGTCTTGGCTAACTCTCGGCAGAGACTCTGAAGTTTGCCTTACCCTACCTCTAACTGGGCTCAGTGAAGGGTATTACAATGGTGGAGTTGGTAGGAAGACTCTTGGATGCGATGCCATCAACAAGCAATGCAGGTTCGTAGGAGATCAATCTTGGATCAATCGCTCAAGCCCCTTAGCTACATGTGTCGGTGACGGCTGACCGACTTTTCCTTGCTTGTCTTCCTCTCTCACTCACTCGCCATGTTATTGGCTCTTCCACTCGTTCTACTTGGGGCAGCACTCGCCGTCCATGCCGATATCAATCCCGGACACCACCAGCTAGCTCGTCACCACAAAGTTGCTCCGCGTAGTCCCGCTCCCGGCCTCCAGACTGCGACCCAGGTCCGCAAGCGCAAGTCATGCAAAGCTCCTGTAAGCCTCGTTCAATCTTTCCTGGTCCATTAAAATTCGTTGGAAACATCAGACCTCGTCTAAGAAGCCAGCCTCATCGAAGAAACCGGCAGCTACGAAGAAACCGGCAGCTACGACAGCACCGAAAGCCAAGCCAACCAATAATAATGCTGCTGCTCAGAGCGGCACGATCAAGGTTCAAGTTGACCGTTGCGGCAACAATGGGGCGACTAGTGCGTGAAGCCAGTGTCGATTTGGCAGAATCTCAACAGTCTTACAGCTCAGACAACCAAGACAACCGGTCCCAATGGTAGCATCGATTGGCTCAACTGCGGTCTCACTGGTATGTCCCTACTCTGTGCGCCAACTTTTGCTCACCACCAAACTGAAGGTGGTGGCTGGAATCCTCCCTACATCCGAGTTGAGGATGTGAGGGCCGCCGACCTGGCTACCGCTCTCAAGTCTCCCAGCTCTCCATTCCACGCTTGTGCAGCGTCCGTCTTCCTTATCCATCAATGCACAGTAATTCACTTCCTGTTAGCTTCGTCGACATCTTCTATGAAGCTGCCAATGCTTTTGGTCTGAAGCCTATCATGCTCGCCTCTTTCGCAATGCAGGAATCCAGCTGCAACCCGCACACGGTCGGAGGAGGAGGCGAACAAGGTGCGCGTCACCTAATCCAATAATTGTTGTGCTTACTTATAACCAGGTCTTATGCAAATTACGCAGGACAAGTGTGGTGGAGCGCCGGGTGGTAATTGCCAAGACGCCAAGTTCAATATCATGACTGGCGCCAAATACTTTGCCAACGTCCTCAACGGCAACAATGGTGATCTTTTGCTGAGTCTTGGCATGTACAATGGATGGTCTCGGGGTCTCACAGTGGTATGTCGACCACCGCCAGAAATGTTCAACCCTTCTAACTTGAACAAGGGCAAAGCTACCGCTGCTCGGCACTCGGCTTGCTGTCTCTGCCAGAACAACATGGATTAGTGCGTTATCACTCTCTTGTTGCTATGAATATCTTATGAGGGCAATTTTCTAGCTTGTTCCAGTGGATGAATGGTTGGATCTTGAACATTGACGCTTACTCTCAGGGTCTGGGCAAGTATTTCAACCTGGCGGTTTGTCGTTAGGCGTTCCCTGTTATCTTGTCTCTCTGTGGCCGCTGTTACTCGTATCCGGCATGCCTAACTCCAGGTCACGTTCACTCACGCCTGGCGCCTTATACCCGGTTTATCGCTCGATGGATTGTAGGCTACAATCTGTATACACCTAGTACTTAGTCTCAACACAGTTGACAACAACCCTTGTCACTTGGCTTATGTTGAGCTGAGCGTGATGTGACTCTGATCGCAACATAAACTTTCCCCGGTCTTGACGATGTCAGATTCGTCTTCAGTTCCGAGTTCGCCTGCTCTCACTGCCTCATCGCCACCGTCTTCCGCCCCATCGCCTCAATTGCAAGCCTTGACTATCGAAGTCTCAGAGGAGGAGAGATCAGAGGCAGCAAGGCTCAAAGCAGATGCGAACAAGGCGTTTGCAGGTTTGCTTCATTTGGTTTTTGTCATTTAAGCGCGGAAAACGAACGCCCACTCTTAGCACACGACTTTGCCTCTGCAGCCGACTTATACTCCCAAGCCATCGACAAAAACCCAAACGATGCCACAATATGGTGCAATCGCGCTTTCACTCGCATGAAACTTGAAGAGTTCGGGTACGCATTGAGTGATGCCAGTTTGTTGATTTCACTTATCTTTGACCCATCCCGCTGACTTGTTCTCTTATTAGCTCAGGCGATCCAACTAGACCCAAAGTACTCCAAAGCGTATTATCGACGCGCACTCTGTCAGCTACAAGTGTTAAAACCCCAAGCGGCCGTCGGAGACTTTCGCAAAGTCCTCGTTCTTGAGCCCAAGAATGACTCCGTCCGCGCCCAACTCACTGCAACCCAAAAACTGATCAAGAAGATCGAGTTTGAGAAGGTCTGCACTGTGGGCTGAAGCTATTCCGGGGTTCCAACTGTTTAAACAGGCCATAGAGGTTGAGGGCGAAAAAAGTACCGTTCTCAGGTGCAGAGAAATAATCGCAGAAGGTGAGGATCTCTGTGCCTGTAATCATGTGCACTAATAACGTAGGTGGATGTGAGGTCGAGAAGACTTACGCAGGACCCAAACTGGAGCTCACGGACGGAAAATATAGCATAACCCATGATTTCATCAAAGCCATGATTGAATGGTTTAAGCAGGGCAAAACTCTCCCAAAACGCTACGTCTGGGAAATCGTTTTAGGTGCACACGACCACTTTGCGGTATGTTGATCTGTTCTTAGCATGGGATTAAGTTTTTCAACTGAGACAGTCAGAAGAGAGCTTGGTCACCGTGGACATCGAGGAAGGGGTAACTTGCGATGTGATTGGGGATGTTCATGGGTGAAATTCCTTTTTTCTTTCAGTGGCGGCGTTGTCTGACGATGATGCAGCCAATTCTACGATCTCCTTCACCTTTATTCATTGACCGGCGAACCGAATGAAAAACACTATTTGTTAATGAACGGAGACCTCGTTGACCGTGGATCTTGGTCAATAGAGGTTATTCTAACCGCATTTGCCTTCAAATGTGGGTTCACGTTACAATTCTCGTTTGGCTGTCTGATCAGAGCTGTTCAGGGTTATACCCACGATATATGTACATTAACAGGGGAAATCACGAAGCCAGGGACATGAACCGGACATACGGATTCGAGGGCGAGGCCAAACACAAGCATGGCGAGTTGTCATATAAGGTAATTCCGTTGGACGATATGAACTGCAAATATCCTGATCCACTTCTTGAGCTCTTCGAACATGTGTTCACAACTCGTGAGTTCTTGTTGGCTGACGTAAAACACTCAACCCACTGTACAAGTGCCGCTGGCCACACTCGTCTCTGCAACAAAGCCTCCATTACCCAACAAGGTTGGAACCGCGATCTTGTCGCCAGATGGGCGAAAGCGATATTTCGTGGTACATGGCGGCCTTTTCAGCAAAGATGATGTCACTCTGGACGACATTCGTAAAATCCAACGCGTGGGTCGTCAACCTGGGCAAGAAGGAATCATGTGTGAAGTAAGTCAAACGAACCAAGTTGAATGCGATAAAGTTTGCTTACTCGATCAAGCTTTTGTGGACTGACCCTCAAGTAATGCCTGGACGGGGACCCAGTAAACGAGTAAATTGACTCTTCGTTTATCAGATCTAGCTGATCTTGTTAGGGTGTCGGCATTGCGTTTGGCCCTGACGTGACCAAGAAATGGTGCACTCTTAACGGTGTTACTGGTATAATGCGAAGTCACGAAGTCCGACAGAGTGAGTCGATTCTTCGTTCCCATAGTGTGAATCTTTGACCACTGGCAGACGGTTACGAGATAGAACATGACGGACTGTGCACAACAGTAAGCAGCTTTGGGTGTTTGTTATTCCGCTCATCTTCTTTCAGGTCTTCTCAGCACCCAACTACGTGGACCAAGGCGGCAATAAAGGTGCCTTTGTGAGTTGACCCATCAGCCCTCAAACTCTCATCTTCTGATACTGGGTGAACAGATTCGGATCGACGCAGAAGGTTCACAGGAATATACTGTCTTCGAGGCAGTTCCACATCCACCTATGAAACCTATGGCCTATGTGTCAGGACCGATGTCGAGTATGTTCATGTAACCGGCTCGATAGTGAGCGCTAGCGCTATATTATATTTTATCCACTCACTAACTTCCCCCCGCGACCACGTGATCACCTCGACGCGTTCACGAACAACTGACGGTATAAGATCCTCGCCCTTGTTCCGAAGAGCCGAAGCATAGAAGTATCTCGGGGCCCGCTTCTCGCCGCTCCGTTCTGTACCTGACTTCTGGTCGGCTGCCTACCATCGTAACGTTATGGCTCTTCGCGCAAGAATAAAACCCGAGATGAGCAACTTTCGCCTTCAGAAAGATGTTGGCCACGCTACTTTTCGCTGCATTCCTCTCGGTTCTCCAACTCGTCAACGCCCGGCGATGGAACAACACTGGGAAAGGCTCTATCGCTTTTGAGGAGGCGTACACTACAGCAACGCTCATTCAGTTAACGTTTGTTGGTCTTTCTGCTGATTATGATTGCGGCTCATCTGGGTAGCGGAATGGGTATGCACATTGTTGAATGAGCTTGGTGCACAACTGGATTCAATAACAGGAGGATCCTCGACTTTGCTCGCCAACCTCCAGGATATTCACAACCAACGACTCCAAAGCATGGACAAGAATGCGGTCGACTATGTGGTCCTGTCTTGCGCTAGTCCTTGTACTCAGGTCAATCGAGTCTTCATGATCATGCGGTAGCACTTGCTTAGCTCCATTCTCCAGGGTATCGCCAATCAAACTGTGGCTGAAGAAGCCGCCCGGACGTTCAACGATGGACTAGCGGCAGCGATCTCCAACAATACTCTTCGATTTGGTGCCTTTGCGGCCCTTGCGATGCATGATCCCGCTGCAGCAGCCACCGAGCTGAGGAGGGCTGTGACGCAGCTGGGTTTCCTTGGTGCATTAGTCAACGACTATCAGGTTTCAGGGCCAAATAGTGGTTTGAATAAGCCCTTTCGCCCTGTCCTTGTCTGCTTATTATTGCGAAGATACCCTTCTGTTCTACGACCAACCAGCATACGATGTATTTTGGGAGACGGTAAGCCGCTGCTTGAGTTATTTTTAGGTGTTTGAGCTTGTCAGGTGACGGAATTGGACGTTCCCGTGTACTTGCATCCTCGAACCAACATCAAATCCATCCAGACACCCCTATTCGGTCACGCTCAATACCTCCAAGGTGCTTCTCAGGTGTGTATCTCTCTCGATGGCCCCAGGCAGACCCGCTTATGACAGGAATTCGCGGTGACCCTGTCTAATCATATTCTTGGACTATGTGGCAACGGCGTGTTCGAGTGAGTCCAAGTTATACCTGTCCTTCAATAATCTAATACTTTTCCTCCAGCCGCTTCCCATCACTCCAAATTCTCGTTGGACACCTGGGTAAGCTACTAATCTATAGGTTGATTTCAACTGGATACTCTTAGGTGAACGGATTCCTTCGGATATTTGGCGCATCGACAATGGTATGCACTCTGTGGCTTTTTTGTAAACAAGAGCGCTGAATAATCCCAGCGCTTGCCGGAGTGATTGGTGGTTCTGCCATCCGTCCGCCCATGAACAAGACCATAGCGCATTATCTTCAACACAACATTCTGGAAACGACTAGCGGCAATTTTGCGACAGACCTGCTCAAGTTCCACGCTGCGCAAATAGGTTTTGACCGCATTTTATACTCGGTGGACTACCCATTCGTCGCTTTTGAACAGGGAGAAGCATGGCTGCAGACGCTTGTGAAAGTACTTGAGCCTGAAGAGTTGGTACAGCTGAAGCGCGGCAGGGCGATCGAAGTTCTACACCTGGATCGATGATATCTGATAAGAACATGTCATGATCACAGAAAAATTGATGGTCATCAAACATAAGGCTACATCTTGTAAAATTTATTCGTTCTCTTTTACATCGATCACAGTGGACTTGAATTTGCGAGCTGGGACTTTGCGGTGGAATAAGATGTCGATTTCGCGGTAGCTGCGGTGCTTGAGTTCGGGGAGCCCGAAGTAGGCAAGGATCCAGCAGACGAGTGCGGTTCCACCCCACACAAAGCCGCATTTTCCGGCGAGATTCCAGCCCGTCGCGTTGAGCATTTGGCTGGCTAGGTAGATCATGGGAATTTCTGCCACGTAATAGGCCGCTCGCCCGACTCCAGTGCTCAGGGCACGCAGGCGAACAGAGGACGTTTCTGAGATAGTCGTATAGCTAAATAAAATGATAAGTTGACAAACCAAAACCATGATGATCAGTGCAACTCACGAGCTTGGACCCATTGCCCCCGCGAAGACAAAGGAGATGATGACGCCGAGACAGGCTTGGGCGAAGGAGGTTGACTGGGTCTGCTTGACGGAGGCACAAATGCCGAGGATGAAGAGGAACATGACGTTGATGGCAGTCCCCCAAAGATAGATCGTTCGACGACCAAACCAGGCGGAGAGCGGCAAGGCCAGGACGTTGGCGACAAATTGCAGGCAAGAGTTGATCAGATTGAGTTGGAATGCACGGTCGGAGGCAATCCCAGCCTCTGATGATAGTCATTAGTTAGGTAAGCAGGAGTGGAGGTAATGGACCCACGCTCGAAGAAGAAGGTGGCCTGATTGGCAATGAGATTGCCAGCAAAGTTTTGGCTCGCATACATCAAGCAAATAATGATGGTTCTCCTACGGTCTGTCCCTCGGAAGAGATCAAGCAAAGTCGGGTCTCCGCCTTGTGCAGCCTCGATTTCGACCGTGCGTTCAATCATTGCAAGTTTTTGGGCAGGGTCCTCTGTCTTTGACGATAAACGCCTCACTGAGTTCAGAGCTTCTTCCTTGCGGCCGCGGCGAGCAAGCCACCAAGGCGACTCCGGAGCGAAAAAGATGAAGATGAGTAATGGAGTGGGGAAGATCCATTGCAATGCCAAAGGAACGCGCCAGGACCATTCGTCATCCCGCTTGTTATAACCCAGCGTAGCAGCGGCGACGATAATGGAACCAATACTCCAACTCATCTGGAGCGTCGATGTCACCGCTCCACGAAGAGCGAGGGGTACAACTTCAGATGCATAGGCGGGCGAGTTGGCGATGAAAAGACCCCATGGAACACCTTCCAGTGCTTGACCAACGGTAAGCACCGCCAGTGAGTCGGCCTTGTCGATATTGAGCTCTTGACACTCTGCTTGTGAAAAAGAAAGACGTACGAAGAAGGACACGAAAATCGTCGCGTTCATCAAAAGGAGCGCTACAATTGTAGTCCAACGATATCCAATACGATTCGTGATCGGGCCGGCAAGGAAAACACCAACAAACGCTCCACATTGACCTGACTGGAAGAGTGCTGATTGCCACTGGAACAACATTAGACCGTGCAAAGGATCAGATTGGAAACCGCGCACTTTAGTGGGAATGGTGTACTTCCCATCGACCAAGACGCCATAGCGTTTCGCAAACGACGGTAAGGCGACAAAATTCCCGTTCAGGAACATATCGAACGACTCCATGACAATCGTAAAACACATAATGAAAGCCCAGAGACACGCCATTGGATGGCTCTTGGCTGCCTGCCAAACCGTCTCTTGGTGCTCGTGGTTCTCTCCATCGAATGCATCATTAAGGAGCGCATTGTCCTTCAAGACTTCTGCGTGCAACACGTCGCCTTTTTCGACATGAGCAGCAGTCTTTTCGTCAATACTGTTGCCTGAGGACATGGCTGCAGAGAGAGACTGGCGCAAGAAGCGGTCCGAGGAAGAGAAGCCTGGGGAAGAGCTCTAAGGCACAGTCACTTTTTAAAGCTATTGGGGTTCGTCTGATTTGACGCGCATGCACTTCGTATGTCGGCCAACGCGTGATCCCGTTGGTCGAGTGGACCAACTTCGGAGTTTTGAGCGTATAGAAAACCTGGGCAGCTGACAGGCTCGTGGAGTGAGCGCGGGCCGTTGAGAGTCTTCCATCCGTAAAATCGTGGGAGGACAAAAACAAAGTGTGTGTGGCGATAAATGTTCGCATCAATGTCAACTTGATTGCCGCGCACGTGCCAGTCACAGAAGTCACTTAGGCTTGCTGCCCCCACCATGGACAAAACTAAAGCGAAACTGGCGACTTCTAACCTATCAGCATTTTTTGATAATGACGACGACGAAAGCTCCTTCTCAGTGCGACGGACAGAGCCCGTTCCACCGTTGACGCGCTGACAAATGGTTCGCGTAGCAAAAGACAGTGGATGATGCAAAACTCTCCCAGTATACAGCAGGCACAGTTCGCAAGTCACGTAGGGATAAAGAACAAGAGGAGGCAAGAAAGAAAAAATCGGAGGAGGAGGCAGATAATGCCAAAGCCTATGCAGAATTTCTCGACGCTTTCGACGCCAACCCTTCAAGTACTTCGAGGGTTTCAGCATTCGTCAAGGCCGACTCTCGATCTGCCTATGTGCCTTCTGCATCAAGAGACTATGCGGAAAGCTCTTCGCGCGGCAGGCGACGGGTTTGTCATTTGGGCAAAGGCGATCCATTGACTGACTTTTTTCCAGTCACTATCACCTGTCTCTGCTGCTGCTGCTCCCAGGCCCAAGGGGAAAAGGGCGATGGATGCCTTTCTTGAGGAGATTAAACGGTGCGTCGTCTTGTTTGTCCATGTAAAATTGCAAACTGGCATTATTAGAGATCAAGCAGCACGAGAAGAGAAATATTCGCGCCATGGTATGACTCCTCTCATCTACTCACACCATCTTCTGACACATTTTAGCCTCTGGCCATGGTAGATCCGTCACAGCCATGGCTGGTGAGGTTTAACATCATACTCGGGCTTGAAAAATTGACTTAAAACAGCATACGATGGACAAAGTGGAAGTAAAGACCGAGGAGATCCTCAAACCACCAATTTATTCGTCGCAAATCTTCCTACCCACGTGACAGAGCCGAGTCTGGGTATGTTCTTCGCTCGATGCGGGCCAGTAGGATCTGTGAGTACAGCTCCCCGCGGGTACTTGCATCTCATGGCTTTAGGTTAAAATTATGTGGCCCCGCACGGATATATCCAGTGGACCCGGTTCCGATATGACGCAGTCTCGACGCGTGAAGAGCACGGGTCTCAGCGGTTTTGTGTCCTTCATGAAAAGGAAGGATGCGGAAGAAGCCTTGCGCGAGTTGGATGGCTTCGAGTGGGGAGGTTCGGTCCTGAGGGTCGGGTGGAGCAAAGCTGTACCCATTGGCAGCAAAGCTCTCTATGGTAAGCTCACCATCTTGCTACACTTATGCCTTGGTGAACGAAAGCCGCTTAGTCTCGGAACTGCCCAAAATCTCTGAATCGAGTCGACATCGTAGTCGAAGTCGGTCGCGGTCTCGATCTCCAAGAGACAAACATCGCAGCCATACTTCTCGGCGCTCTCGGAGCAGGTCTGCTTCACCTCCAAGAAGACATTCTCCCAGTCGTGAAAGACGGAGAGAGGTTAGCCGAAGCCCATCACCACTCCGCGACGAAGAAGAATTCGTGACAGACGCGTTCATTCGTAGCGTAGCAAATGAAGTTAAAGGCCGCGGGTCAAAATACGAACAAAATCTCAAGGAACGTGAACGAAATAACCCTAAGTTCGCCTTCCTGCTCAGGAGAGACGTAAGCTTTCTATATTTATAATTTTTTTTTGTTGTTGAGTAATTTTAGCATCGCCGACACGCCTTTTACCGAGGCCTGATAGAATCAAATCGCACTCTGGAGCCCGAGTTCGACGACGATGTGTGTTTTTCTGCACTAGTCTGACACCGGAACTGACTCTTCTTCCTAAGGGCTACAATTCTGTCTACTCGACCGATTCTGCAGAGGACTCGGAACGCGAAAAGGGTCGGAAAAATGCTCTCGGAAAATTGGCACGCAAGCGGTTCGAGAGTATGTTGAGAGCGTTGTCCGGTAAACGCGGGGAGATGGCAAGATGCATGGCATTCTGTCTTGAACATGCTGAAGCGGCTCCTGAGGTTCGTCTAATCCTACAAGTCTTGCTCAGACTGAATTACAGTAGGTCGCCGAACTTATTATCACGTCTTTACTTGTGGACGCCACCCCTGTCCCCCGTAAAGTCGCCCGCCTCCATCTTATTTGTGATATTCTCCACAACTCTGCCGCATCTGTTCCCAGCGCCTGGAAGTTCCGTCAAGAATTTCAGACCCGATTGGGTGTCGCCTTTGACCACATGGCCAACATCTACCATTCCTTCCCTGGGCGCATCACTGCCGACATTTTCAAGAAGCAGATCACTTCGGTTGTTGATATTTGGGAGGACTGGATTGTTTTTCCCCCCGACTTCACGACAGAGCTTCGAGAGCGGCTAGACGGAGTTTCAGCGGAGGAAAACAAAACAACCGTGACAGAGCCTGTTCCAGCCGCACCCGCGGATACTGGAAACGCCCCTTCCCGGTTCAAATCGAGTACGTTCAAGCTTGCCACAGATGAGGGACCGGTACTCGAGCCAGATGTGGATGGAGAGCCTATGGATGATGACATTGATGGAGTGCCACTAGAGGACGACATTGATGGCACTCCTTTGGATGACATTGACGGCGTTCCTCTGGACAATGATGACTTGGACGGTGCTCCAATCATCGATGATGATTTGGATGGAGTTCCAATGGACGACGAGGACTTGGATGGGGAGCCCATGCAGTTGTAACTCATTTGTGACATGAATTGCAGAAAACATTTGTAACCCAATTTTCATTCTTTCGCATTTTTTTAGCATATTTTAGAGGGATCCGGGTACAATACTACGCGAAATATCCATCCATCCGATCCAGGGTAAATATCAGTCCCGGCCGTTGCGACGTCCACCCGCAGAGGTCATGCGGGTAATTGCCTCTTTGGCAGCCAAAATGTCCTTCTCAGTTCCGATAATCACGATAGTGCTGTTTTCGCGGCTGACCGTGATGTCTGCCCCAGTTTCGTTGCGAAGGCGGGCGACGTTAGAGCCTTTGGAACCGACAATCCGAGGGAACAGGGAGCGGTCTGGAAGAGTGAGGAAGCCAACGTGTGACATGCGCTCTGCGTGCTCAATAGCGTCCTTGATTTGCTTTTCAGCACGCTCAAGGCCGGCTTGGTCCTTGGCTTTCAAAGTCCACACCGAGTCTCCCTCTTCGGCGTCCTGGTAGTTAGCCGTGATCTCCCATTTGATACCACCCTCCTCTCCATCATCTTCGTCGATACGAGCAGTACCATTCGCTGGCGGCTGGGGAGGAACCGCTGACTTGGTGGGTTGTGCTGACTGGTCGACCTGAACCCCGTACGAACGAAGGCCGCGGAAGAAACCTACATTCAAGTCAGAATAAGACAAGGATAGGCGACTTGGAAAACTCACTGCCTTGTTGCGAAATGACATGGTGATACTTGAGCGGAACAGAAATGGTGGTCGAAGGGCCATCTACAACCGCAGCCTTGATCTGGCTCTGTGGGCCATTTAGGAAAGAGGAAAAGCGACTCGGTTAGTGTGACGAACCTTGAGGTGTTCGATAGCCTTGTCGCATCCTGCACTCGGTCCTGATACCTTGACAATGTTGGCCGGATCGACATCCTTAAAGTCATCCGCATTCTGAGGCTCGCCAACTTGGTGGTAAGAACGGGATCCCGGGAATTGGACTTGAACACCAGTACGCTCTTGCAACTCATTAAGATGCTGACCACCTCGTCCGATAAGTGCCCGATGTTGCGCTGCAGGAATTTCGACCGCAAGGACAACGCGGTCACGCAGACGCGTAACTTCCTTCTCGAGCTCTTCCTTCAGCTTGGCAACTAGTTTAGGCTCACCACGAAGGCGGACTTCGTCGATAGCAGCATCACCAGGACGGGGGCTGAAAGTTGGTTAGAAAAGTATAGAGAGATTCGAGTCACGCACAATCTGATTAAACCTGCTTGTAACTTGGGATCCGAAGGTCCGCCGCAACGAGTAACAATGTCTTTAAGCCCTTGTCCACCAGCACCAATTAAAGTGCGGTGGAATTTGCTCTCGACAGAAACCGTGACCGTAGTTTCCTCAGTGACTGCGTCAGAAATAGCAAGGATGGCCGCTTTCGCAGCAGCGATCGCCTTCTTGGTGCCTCGAACGGTGATGTTGGTCGTTGCTGAGTCCTCAGAGGATTTATCGACATCAATCTGTGCGTCAGTCGAGTCCTTGATTTCGTTTATTGAGGCACCGCCTTTGCCGAGAATGCGAGCCACCGCACGGTTGGGAACCGTGAACTTGAGGGTGTTGTTAGATTCCTTCTCAAATTCGACGGCTTCTAACAACTCCGACTTAGCACCTGCGACGCCTTTCTTGCCGCCCTTGACAAGAACTTCGTCCGATTTGAGGGCTTCCCGTGTTTTGCCCTCGCCATTCTCTGCTGATTGACGAGGGAAAGTGATTTTAACCGAGTACTTCTCCTCAAGACGGATAGCGTATTTGCCGTTCTGTCCGATCAACGAGGAATGGTACTGAGCAGGAATCTTGAGGACTTCAGAGGTTTCGTCCGCCTTGGAGTGGAGCTTAGTGGCAGTTTCTCTATCATAAATTGACTTACAAGTCTCTCGATCTGAGCCAAGATTCGTTTTTTAGCCTCTTCGACATTTTCCTTCCTGCCCGTAATCTATGACAAGTGAAGGAAAGCCAAGTTTACAACCATGAGATCTTACTTTGACCTTGGACTTCTGGTGAAGCCCTTTCTTTTTCTTTCCGGTGTCCTTGTCGTCGACCTCGTCCAAGACATCAACTCTGACGCCGAGCTGGTCCCGAAGCTTGTTGACCCCAGCGCCTTGAGCACCGACAATGCGGCCGACATATTCGCGATCGACGTCGAATTCAATGGACTAGTCATAAATGAGGCAGTCTGAAAACGGGAAGAATTCGTGGCTTACATGGCTGTTGTCAATCTCATCGTTCTTCGCATTTTCAACGATCTTGAGAATTTCTTTGACAGCCCGGTCGACATCGCCACTTGCTCCTCGGACCGCAATCACATCCTCGCCAGCCGAATCACCAGTTTCTGCGCCAAACTTGATCGAGAGTGTTGTGTCTTCTCCAATGATACTACGAGGAAATCAACGAATGCTAATGGAAAGGTACAATATACTGACGCGTTCAAGGTCGTGCGATTCTTTCCAATGATAGCATCATGCCAGCGCTTCTCAACGGAGATCGTTTGGCTCTTGACGTCAGCAGCGTCCTTGGCGAACTTGAGGATTTCCTTTGCCACCTCTTCCAGGTTCCGTGTCTTGTCGTCTGGAGAGGGAGAAGCTCTAGCAGTCAATGGATCGTAGACCAAAAGAATAGTTGATTGTTCCGCCGACTCGGGAGGGAAGAAAGCCTGTACGTTATGGCTGTCGTGGAACTGCTTCAATCTGCGGGTTGTTGATAAGATACTCGAAAAGATTGAAACAACTCACTTTTTAGCATATTTGCCTGTAATAAAGCGATGAACGAGCCAGTCGACCGAGAGTTCTTTGAAAGCTCCAATAAGTTTGCCAATTAGTTCCGATACTTTGCGCACAACGGCGTCAACATCAGGCTTGTTGCCCACGATATCAATGTTGAGGATAGAAGCCTTCTCGACAACGCTGGGCTCAGGGGTGAAAATGGAGACGCCAGGGTGGGCAGTGCTGAGAGTTTTGGGATACTGGATGCGCGTGATGTAGGTAAGAAGGTGCTTCGACCATGTAATCGGGCCGGGAAGCGGGAACTCGTGAATGTACTTGGAGTTAGCCCGTTCCATCACAGCTGCGAGACCACCAGGAAGATCAGCACTCTGGCCCCAAACGACAACTTCATCACTGGATTCATCGGCCTTGGCAATAAGGACGACGCAACGGGTCTTGGCGACGAGTTCGTCGTTGGTCTTGCCAACAAGCAAGCGGTGCTGGCGTTTGGGAAGCGTCATCTTGAGCGAAGTTAAATTGCTGGCGTAGTGTTCGATAGTGCCTTTGATGGATTCCACGACACGTCCAACAGCCTCGCGTTCGCCAGTGACTGTGACCTCGCGCTCAACAGAGTTCAGTGCGAGAGCCACCTCTTCCGGTGCGGCAGCGGCCTGGAAGACAGCCTTACGGGAAATAACATAAGGAAGGATATGGGGTGGGATGTCGCGGACACGCTGGGTACTTTTGGCCGTTTTCGAGGAGATGATTTGACTGAGAAGAGCTTGAGCCTCGAGGGCCAGAGGTTCCGGGCCGGTAAGAGTGACTGGCACGGTGGCCTCTTCCTCGTCTTCATCTGCATTGCCGTTAACGTGACCGTTACCATTGGGGACGACAGTCGCTCTGGGAGGAATATCGACTCGAACGCTAGTTTGGTCACGAATCTGCTTGAGGGTAGCACCCTTGGGACCAATGATGGTCGCAATGGTGGACACCGGGGCGTTTATGGTAAGGGTAACCGTCGGGCTGAGAAGGGCGAGAAGGCTTCGCTTAGCCTTGTCGAGCTCCTTCTCAGTATCAGCCTTGAGGTGGAAAGTGGTCTGGCGAGTCTTCTGGTTGGCGGAAGCCTCAATCTTGACCTTGTACTTTGCCATGACCTGCCTCATCACGTCTCCCAGAGTGCCTGGTTTACCGTCTTTGCCTGTGTTGGAGAGATCCATACGACCAACAGTGAACGAGTCGCCAAACACAGGCGTCTGCTTCACAACTGCCTTGGGCCTCGAGGCAGCCCAAGCGGCGGCTCTGGGAGCTGAAGCAACTGGGGGTGCAGCCGAGGCGAGAGAAGGAAAAGCGATTTCTGAGGTCGTGTCCGGCTGAGCATTGTTGGCTGGCTTGGGTTTGGACTGGGGGGCTTCTGTGAGAGTGGGGAAGGGGTCCGGAGCGCCCTATGCAGGGTCAGCGTGGGGTAAATGTGAAAAAGGCGACAAGCTAAACAAACCTCGAGTTGATGTCTGCGTTGCAGGTCAGCAGCAGAGAGGGCCATTGCGGGTGTCCGAAAACGAGAACCTTTAGCTGGGTAAGAGTCAATAGTTGTGGGGAGATGGATATTACCTTTGACGGGAGACCTGCGCTGAGTTTACAGCGAAATGTAGCAGTAGAGATGGGGGTAGGAGGAGAGAAGGATTGATGTGGCGCTTCCAAGCTGAGCTTCGATTCATATATTATGGTACCGTCAACATAGCGAGCGTGCAGTCTCTGTCTACGCTACACGTATACTTGTTTTTATTCCATCGAGTTCCTCGGCGCGTTTGCCTTCTAGCCAACTTGAGCCATGGCCAGAGGAATCTGGATTCACGTGGCCAAGTGCAGACGTGTACCGCGATGGTGATCTATAATACTGACACTTTCCCCGACCCACGACCGACTTTCTTCTTCCTCCCCAGCCATGGGCTTCTGTAGGACAACCCTCTTTCTCCACCTGCTTCTATTTCCGGCCATCCGAGCCAACTCTTTCCTCACCAGCAGTGGATTCTCTCAGCGAAATCCCATCCAGAATGTCCTAGACCACGAACCCGCTAAGAATGTCGACTGTAGCAACTCCAATGTGCGTAAGCTCAAACGCATGCTCTTCCTTCCTTCTCATTGTCTTCAAGCCAACGGGTCCAATCGACACTACTCTCTGCGACTTCGAAACGGTGGAGAGCGTGAACGATGAGCTCTTTTCAAATTTACATGAGCTGGTAGCGACGCCATTCTTCAAATTCTTCCAAGTGGACTTATATCGAGAATGTCCGTTCTGGTCCGACGAGGGATTCTGTGATAATCCTAGTTGTGGTATTACTAGTGTCGATGAGGTGTGTCGCCATTGCTATCACATTCGCTCTCGTCTAATTCTATTCCAGAGCGAAATACCCGAGAGATGGAGGGCAAAGTCGCTCAGCAAACTTGAGGGCTCCAAAATAGACGACGTATGTGCTCAGATACCCTTCCATTAAGCTTACCCAAAATCCATTAGCGACATGAACTTCCAGGATGCTATTACCGAGACTCAGATTTTTGTTTCCTCGACGACAATACAGGTGCGCTCGAGAAAATTTTAACCTTGCCATTCTAACTTGTCTTCATAGGGGGTGACTACTATGACCTAACATTAATTCCCGAAAGGTACACTGGATATGCCGGACCGGACACCCGGAGGATATGGCGCTCAATCTACGAAGAGAACTGCTTTGGCCTTTCTGAAGTCAGTCTTCACAGTGGGCCCAATCCTGCTCTGGTTAGCCTTCCCGACCGTATGACGGATGCATTCCGGAACGAAGACGGCGACGGTGGCCAGTGCTTAGAGAAACGCGTGTACTACAAAGTCATCTCTGGTCTCCATGCGTCAATATCGACGCACATATGCCAAGAGTACCTCAACCAAACAACTGGAGAATGGGTTAGTCATCATCCACTTCAGTCAATCCTGTTGATAACGGCTGTTCCAGTATCCAAATCTCCAATGTTTCATCAACCGTGTTGCCTCTCACCCAGAACGTCTACAATACATCTACTTCAATACTGTTCTCCTCCTTCGAGCCATAGCACGAATCGGGCCGTATCTCCAAGCCTTTGACTACTGTTCCACGGGTGGCCACGAAGACGATGCAGAAACTTTGGCGAAGTTAGGGAATGTCATTTCCATTGCACAACGTGCTGGCCGCTTCGACGAGACCGTCCTCTTCCGTGGAGAGAACGCAAACGTATGAACAAATATCAACTCCATCAATCTCGCTGCTAACCGTTGTTTCAGGTGCTCAAAGAAGAGTTCAAGGACCATTTCCGCAACGTCACTCGTATCATGGACTGCGTCGGTTGTGACAAATGTCGTCTTTGGGGGAAAATACAAACAACCGGTGTTGCTACTGCCCTCAAAATTCTCTTCGAATTGGACGAGAAGGCTCTGGATCCCGCTGCCAACCACAATCTCCTGCAACGCTCCGAGGTTGTGGCACTTATGAACACATTGCATCGCTTTAGCGAAAGTCTCGCAGCCGTAGATAACTTCCGCAGGATGTGGAAGGCGACCAGTGCTGAGGAGGGCGAGCAGCTAATCGTTGAGGCTGAACGTGTTGCAAAGGAAACCAGCCGGGTAAGTCCCCCGATATCAGCAATTATATAAAGAGTCTCATAAAGCCTCGTAGCCACGACCATCGGCACGAGTAGGAAAAGACTTTGACTCACCAGAGATGCTGCTGACCCGGTGGCTACGAGTATGTAAGCAAAGCACGGTGGACTGTGTTGGGATGTTCGTCCAGATATGGTTTCGCGCCGTGAACGCCGTTGCTTCCGTCTTCACTCCCTCAGGAAAGGAACGAGGGCCAAGTGGCTTTGAACTCTAAAATAAATGTACACCCAACATATTTATTGGCTAATTCCGCTTGAACGTGAGCGTGTTCTATAGAAGTCCATTTTCCTCCAAGAGCAGAACAATACCTGTAAAAGAATATCAGAGTTGGGCAAACAAATTTGAAGGAGGATCTGACTGTGGACGATCTGTGGGACAGATTGCTGGCTGACATCGACAGTCAGGTCAGCGTTACTGGGAACTTCATAGGGGTCGTCCACCCCAGTAAATCCCTTGATCTCTCCTCGACGCGCTTTGGCATAAACACCCTTCCGGTCCCGCTTTTCACAGTATTCAAGTGGTGTTGCAACATGGATAAGGAAGAAGTTGCCGCCTGCCCCGCCAGAAGAGACCACCGTCTCGCGAGCTGCCTTGCGCGAGTCTTCATAAGGAGCGATTGGCGCAGCAATGACGGCGGCACCAGCCCGGGTTAGTTCTGCAGACACGAATGCAATACGTTGAGTGTTGGTATGTCTGTCTTCCCGCGAAAAGCCCAATTCGGACGAAAGCTCCTGACGTACGGTTTCTCCCAGCAAAAGAGTCACACTCCGGCCTCCCTGCTCATTGAGCTTGGTCTGGAGCGCCTTTCCGATGATGTCCTTGCCAGAATTGTATAGCCCAGTTAAGAATAGCACGAAGCCTTGCTTGTTTCTAGGCGGATAGCTTTCACGTAGAGTCTTAACAACGGCACTACCAATCCAATGAATACGCAACTTGGGAAGAAGGATTGTACTCACTCGTAACTGAACCAGTCTGGAATCGCGGCCCCAGTCTTCAAACGACGTCGGAGTTCGGTCCCTGAAATATCGAGGGTCTCAACTCCAGCAGGAATCTCGTCCGCAGGTTGGTAATCGTCTTTGGCAGGGATATAGCTCATCTGCTGGAATGGCACCATCTCAATCTTGAGTTCCTCTTGATACTTGGTGACGAGTTCTTGTGCGTCGTAAGGACCATAAAAGTCCTTCCCTTGCGAGTTCTTCCCTGGTCCAGCATGGTCACGTCCGACGATAAAATGCGTAGCCCCGTAGTTACGACGGATAATTGCGTGCCAAACAGCTTCACGGGGACCAGCCATTCGCATCGCCAGAGGAAGTAGTGCAAGATGGCCCATTCCGTTGGGATACTTGGCCATTATGCTCTGGTAGACACGAACTCGCGTGAAGGCGTCGACATCGCCGGGTTTTGTGAGTCCAACCACAGGGTGGATGAGAACATTCTGAACAAATCATTGGGGGAGAACAAAGGAAAACAAGACTACTAACGGCATGGCGCTGTCGGGCTGCCCGGACTGTCAACTCTCGATGGGCACGGTGCATTGGGTTTCGTGTCTGAAAGGCTACGACTTTGCGCCAAGCAAGCTTCTTGAAGTGCGAACGGAGTTCTGCCGGTGTATCTTGAGGCAGTCAGAAGTCATTCTTACTTTGGAAGGATAGAGGCAACATACATCGGAGGGCAACATAGTCGAAATGAGTTGGCGCTTGAATTGCCTGTACTTTTCCACCAATATAGAATGGGTGGACCTTGTTATGGAGGTAAGCAACGGCAGGATGGGCCGGATCGTCGGCTCCGAAGACTTGAACGGCCTCTTTGACGCGGTCGGGCTGATAAATGTCCTCGACTTTAGATGGGGGGTTAGATTTGAACAGAGCTGGGGGAGGTATTCTTCTAACCAGTTATAATGGCAAGAGCTTCGTCATCACGAGGATCGCGTAGTGCTATGCGTGTGCCTGGCACAATGGAAAGTGCATCGATTTTGTCTTGAGTGACATCGAGTGTGATTGGTATTGGGAACAGGACACCATCCGCCAGACGGAGATCATCGACAACACTGTTCAACTTGACTTATTACATAAGTTTGGACGGGTAGACACGCACCTTTTGTAATCGGCCTCATTCATGAATCCTTCAAGAGGACTGAACCCGCCATTTGTGAGCAGTTCAAGATCGCACAATTGCCGCTAGGGAATAGTTAGGAGATCACTATGGCCATACTAAGACAGCTTGCCTCAGTCAAGACAATGTCTGGCAGTTTCTCTGCTTCTTCCCGTAGTTCATCAGCAATGGCTTCATCGCGCGCGAGCAGATCTTTGAGGGAACCACCATACGGAGGGTTGTCTGCACGAGAGGAGCTCATTGTGGACCAAAGTAAGCTTGGTTTCTGAGAATTCCATGCCCCATAATCACGTCTTCAGCCAAGATGCCATGATCACGACATCGATGAGGTGGTAGTACAAAGAAGTATACACAAAACTAGACCGTGCTCTACATTAATGTCGAAAGTGATAAGTAAAAATTCAAGTTCCTAACTGGAGCACTATGGGACTCAGTGAGGAGACAGCAGTCACCTTTCCATCCGAACTCGGATTTGGATCAGTAGGCCGCATGCCCCATCCAGCCCAACCCCGCACTGTCGAGGTCGAATTGGTGTCGGTATAAACATGCCAGTCTGAGGGCATGTGTGGATGTTTGATCCGTACCGCCGCCAACTTTGAACGCAGGTCGTATGCCCCCGAAAATCTCGAGTCGAGCGAGATTTTGGTGGGGGCCTGATTATTCGTGACCTGGAGTTGTACTACTGCTGGCGGCGTCGAATTTTCGTGTGTCATCGTTACGGCCAACGAACCGTTGAACGTTCGTAAGTTGCTATTGTAATGCGGAGTCCGCCCGCTAGACGTGCTGGCCATGGTAATATTGACATTCAAATCACTGTACTCACGGTCAGAGTTCCTCATGATAGAAACCAGTCCAAGTCGACGCACCTATTACCAGTGTCAGCCTTGATATAGGTGGCCAGCCCAGACGTTGGATCATTGACGAGCGTCACATTCGTGTAGATGGGACTAAGTACCACGATAAGTCTAGTTATTATTAGACAAATGAGACACTGTACCCTTCAATGTTGTCCAACGCCAGGGATTGGGATACACTGAACGTTCCCTTTATTGCCGCGAAAGAGGTCTTCACAGCAATTTTATCTGCTTGGAGATTCTGAAAAGGTGTCAGTCCATGTCAAATTCAAGACAAGAACCGACATCGCAATCAATATCGACACCAGCGCCTGCTATGTTAATGTTGGCTATCCTGACGTGGGGACTGAGAGGCCCTATGACCTGGTGGAACATGGGAAGGTAGGTAATCATATCCGTGGGCGTGAGGAGTTGGGAAGATTGGGGGAACAGTACGCGGATGTCAAACGCCAGATAGTCCGAGAGAGGTATATTTTGGGGCATCTGGTTTAAGTTAATCCAAGTTTCCTCGTGAAGACGAGAAGCACTCACGTAGATTGAATAGCCCCTGTTAGTACCTGTTGGCGAAAAACAAAAATGCGCCGCCTTTCGGAGTTGCAAGCTGGACGCTGAGAGAGTCAAGTCCATCAGGACATGCGTCTCGGAGGCATCAGCATTGACAGCAACCGTCAAATTGTGACTACCACCAGCCCGAGGTAGAACCTCGTCCGTCGCATTGGAACGGACTGAGAACAGCCCAGTCGGACTCAGACTGCGTCGCACACTACAGGGGTTGGCTTAGGGATAAATTCGGGGGAAAGGAAAAAAACAAACACTCACGAAGCAGTGAAGAGCCCATTGCTGAATCCCGTCGAATCCCAGGCATCACATTGTATCGATGAAGCAGCCATGACCATGTTGTCTGAGCCAAAGAGGAAGGGGCCGGCCGCGTCGCTGTCTTCCAGAAACAAATTCTGCAGATTTGGAGGGGCTTGCTTTTTCGGAAGAATGATTTTCTGTGGAGGGTAAAATGATAAGGCGACACTGTAAGGAAATCTCGAGCACTACGCACTGTGACTATGAGCGGGATGCCAATAACGACAGTAAGGAAGACATAAATAGCGAGAGCTACACAAGAGGTCAACGCGAAATCATCGGAAAAGAGCTTCAACGCACCGAAAAATATTGCACGCCAGAAACGGGAGCGAGAGTCAAAGTGACTAGGGAATGGAAGTTTGGAGGGATTGCGGAGGTGTGTGGCTGGGCGCTGCTGAGCCTGTGAGGTTTCGTAATCGGGAAGGGATAATGATGAACGGCCAGCGGCAGGCTCTGGAAAACGAAGCGTTGGCTGTGTCGATGGCAAGAGTTTCGACGAGTCGTCGTCGAGCAGAATCATCAGGGCATCGAGCAAGGAAGGGGATCAGATGTCACTCATGTCACTCCTCACGTTCATCTCTGCTTCTGGACTCGAATAGATTTGCACGAATTAGCTTGGCAGGAAAAAAACAAGATCAAGCGGATAATTAGTATAGATATCGCTACCGCCGACCAGCCATATACTGGTGCTGGTCCCATTCCGTCCAAGATCTACAGAGACGAATTCAGGGACACGCAATCAAGCATTTTTTTCGACGCTTACTCATCTGTTGTGGCGGTATAGGCCCAGTTTGGTGCACCTTCAGAGCCTGGAATGTCGCTCTTAATTGCAGCTCCTCAATTCAATTCGCAGCCTCACCTAATGATTTGTCCACAAGCGAAGGAAGATAATCCGATGGCAAAACCTTTGACCACCCATTGTCATCTTGGAAACCGGAGTCGGGTCCCAAGTATGACGCCAGAGCACCACTCGCCATGAATGGGTTGGCGATTTCAAATTCCCATTGCTGGGTTGGAAGACGGCCAAGTTCCGAAGAGTGGACAGGAAGTAATGTAGGCTGCAAGGGGATTGTCGAAACAGTTGGACGAGACATCTGTTCAACGAAGGGCACAATTGGTGTTTGAGGATAGTTTGAAGTGTCTGAGCCACTTGTTGGGCTTGAGTGGGACCCTGGTGATTCACCCTCAGGCTCGCGTTCGCGTTTGAGAGAAGGCGGCATGGGTTCAACTAGCAAATCACCAGCACTCAGCATGGCATATAAGGTATCCCTGTGCCATCTCATCAGTAAGCAGCAAAAAGCCACGGAGCCAATTTACCAGAGCCTGCCAGCAACTTGCCAACGTCGTTCAAAGGACTTCATAATGTTCAGACAGGTGTGAACATCATAAATCTCCTTGCTGGTATCGACTATAACACCGTTTTTCTTACCAGACCAAATGATAAGGAGGAGGATAACGGAAGAATCGAACAACGCCATCTTTCGGCAACACATTAGCTTCTATGCGTTCGGAGTGAATTCGAAAGGGTAAAACCTTGACATGGGCGAGTGGCAGTATTCCTCTGCGAGACTGGACATCCATGACATGGGCGCATGAGCGCGCGGAGTTGGCGCAGACAGCCAACGATGGGTACGATCTAAGCGCGTTTAAAATAGGCCAGATATTGAGAATGTAAAGTACTCACAACGGAGAAGATCGGCCCGGGACGGGAATGAACGGTCGGTGGATTTGTATCTTAGTCACCAGTCAGACATGCAGTAATCATTTGCGTCTTCATACCTGGACGTGGTAATACGATGCGTAGAGGGATGCGGATTGTTGGAAAAAGTGAAAGTTTTCACGGTTGGGGTCCCACTTGAGATGGTCTGGTAATGAGTCGATCCAGTTATTCTGGTAGGCAATTAAAGTCAATCGCGAGCATCACATCTGGAGCTGACCATTGCTGAACTGGGAAGGAAATTAGATCAAAGGGGAGAAATAACAACGGACGACCGACTCCAATTCGGCAACGACTTGTTGGTTCCACTGTTCCGCTTCTTTTCCTCGTTTCTTTGACCGCTTGAGAGTGTACTACATCAGTAATGTTAACACCAGCATTCCCGATACAAAGATTAAGAAGCCCAAGCACCAATGTCCGCTGTGCAAACCCTAGGATATCCAAAAGTTTGATATAGGCGTTCATGTAAGCAATCATTGAGGGCACGCCATCCGGTTGTTTGAAGCCCGCTTCCCAGTGGATGTCGTCACATTCAATCGGTAAGTCCAAGTCAAAGCTATCGTGATAACTGGTGAGGCAAAAATTCAGCCATAGGGATCATAACACACTCTTCGGCAGTCGTGGCTCGTGGTCGTCCAAATGACGCACTCAAGAGGACGTCGATACAGACTAGAACCCCTGGAAATAGTTTTGAGTCTTGAGAAAAGACCCGAATCTCGAGCACGTACAAAATCTAACACTTGTTGAGTCCAAACAGGAGATAGTGCTGCGACTTACGCCCTTGTCCAAAGCTGATCCTCGGCAGGCTTATCTCCAGTATATCGCCGCCGTCGATGAGCGCCAACATCTTGAGCGAGGCGTATCCCAATCGAGGTGAGGACCTATTATCCCACTCAGTCTCTCGAAGTACATCACATGATTTGATTACCCAACAAAGCTCAGGACAACCAGTTCCCTGGAGAAATACGACTGCGAGCTGGTAATCAGGTTAGTTTCATGTGAGAAAGTTGGGTTTAAACAGCATACACAACATATTTGGACATCATAGAGGGATGGTGTGGTGGAGAAGGACTGGCGGACCAGTCGGATTTGGCCAGCCCACTTCCAACCACAACTTAACTCTGAGTTTGTTCCTTCTAGAATCACCCGAGGGTCGTTGGAGTAGCGCGAGCCCATCGCGCAGACCAGCAGCAAAGTGGCACCAAAACGGCTATTGCGCAGATGGAGCCCATCTGCTACTGCTTTTTCGAACTGTCATTAGAGTAAGACGGGACGTCGACACGAGGACTCGAACGGACCGTTTGCCGATGCAACAGTGGGATGAACGGGTGACAATGGAAGAAATATACTGTGCCTGGATGAGAGGCGGGATGATGTAATATAAAACGGCACCCACAGCTCATCAGGCTATGTAGAAGGTCGTCTTCTGGGAAAACATATAGGTCTGGGGCTTCTGCAGGAGGCTCGTGCCATGGCTTTGCAAGCCAGTATTCAGGTCGTTTCAACGCGAGGAGGCGGTCGGCCATGCTCTGGTCCTCGCCCGTTTCCCGCTTGATGTCCATCGCTGTCTTGACGAGCATGATGTCGCTCGATTGACCGTAGAATCTGTTATGGCTGGAGTCAACCATCAGACCCTTCATCCGCTCGTTAAGATCTAGGGTGTTGAGTAGGAGCGTGGGTTAGCAACATTGGATTACCTGTCAGTACACAACCGTCAGTGGCGCTTAGTGATAGGTCGGTTGGCGTAGGAGGTCGCGTATAAGCAGTACTCGGGTCGACAATGGGTAAGTCGGGCAAAGCTGCCTCTTTGAGGACAGCAACTTCTTGTTCTAAGCTCTTTGCATATGCGGCAACATCCACCAGAATACGCAGGGCAGCGGCAGGGTCTTGTGGTAGAGTGTAAGTTGCTTTAGTTGACAGTATTGCGGCAATCTGGTTTTGAATGGGGGTTCGAGCTTTCTCTTCGGCGCGAGGGCGAGAAGTCTTGGTGCTCGTTCGTTTCTGGCGAGACAGACGTTAGTTATGTGACTAAACGACGAGCCAAAGTCCGCTAACATTGGATGAAGAAGCAAAGTGAGTGCAATCTGAGCCAAATGAGATACAGTTGGAACATATGTTGTTGGGCATTCTAGCACTGTCGCATCGAACTGGACGAGTTAGTTACCAGATACCTACCCCAGCCAGACTTACTTTTCTTGCTACCTTTCGTGTAGGCAGAGCTTATGGGTAAAGACGCGAGCTGGTTGCAAATGACGCACGACATATATCGCAGGCGCCCTTCACTTGGTGTTAGAGGTAATCAGCTTGTAGTAGCGGTATGAATACCTGGAGACGACGCTTCTTCGAGTTGGGTATCGGTAACTCTGGCTCATGGGAGCCTGAAGGAAAAGACATCGCTGGACCGCAGCGTCGTGAACGCGAGAATGAGAACAAATATGCCGATCAAATTGATCAAACTTGAAAGAAGCTTGACACTTACTCCCAACTTCAACCATTTAATGGATGACTCGCTTGAACAACCAGATGCAAAACCACCTGTGGTAAATGTCAACACAGATGCACATGAAGAAGGTGGAGATGACTCGGATGATGACGGAGATGTCGTTCTTGACTGGACAAAACTTGTGTGCGTTGCTTTCCAAACTTTCATGCACCGACTCAAAACAGTACAAGCACAGCGCGTCCCGTTATACCACGCCGCGGAGAAAAGGAATTTGAGCCTCAACCCGGCGGAGGATCAGGACTGCAAGTTCATGTTCTCGATCGAGCGAGAAATGCTATGTTCGATGCCATTCGCGCAACGAGAACGATATCTAGGTGTGTGTGTTTTTTCGTATATTCACGCCCAGCTCACTTTTAGCAGCAAAGTGGTCAGCTACACGATGTGGCATCCCCAAATATCGAGGGCTCACGTAGTTCTTGCACGCGGAACCCATTATAACACCCTTGGCCATTCCGTTCCGCGTCCCATCCAAACTGATGACGGGATCCAGAAGACACAAAAAAGACTAGAACTTCTTCCCGAAGAGGCTCTTTATCTTATTGAAAGAGGCTCTGCATTTTGTTGGAAAGAAACCGACTTGGATGTCACCGAGGTCGATGGTGCCGAACCCGTCTTGGGCGCTCCAATGAGCGTTCATCAGGCATATACCGAAATGATTGGCTCTCAAGACCTCACTTTGGAGCGGTATCAAGTGTACGCCTATCTCAAGCGACTAGGTTATGTGGTCACACGCACTACGCCCCCCAACCCTGAATATCCCATCCCTCCTCCCTTCGATTTATCTCCTCTAAACAAGAAAATAATGCCAATCTGGGACAGAATTCGCGCCTTTTGTCCTTCTTGGATCACGCGCTTGTTTGTTGGCCAATTCGACTGGTGGAGACCACTTCGCCTGAGCAAATGGTCCTTCAGTGGCCGAAACTATAGTCCGTGTGCGCAACTTGTGGACTTCTGACTGGATAACATCTTCTATAGGCACAATGTTCGATGGCTTGCGTTTCTTAAGATCGGGGCATAGCATTCCACTCCTCGTACCTAAAACTGCTCCTGCAATTGGCTTACCAACACGATCCTCGCCATACCACATATTTTTCAACGTCCACAAACCCGCAACTTCATACCGAAAAACATCTCCCTGTCCTCCAGACTACCAAATTGTGGTCGTCAAGTAAGTCGGTAAGCATATTTGAACTGAGATTGTCTGATTCTCTGTCTCAGTGCACGAACAACACCAATGCCGAGCCTGCGCGAACTTACCGAGTTATTTGATGTGTCTCCCGAGCTACCGCCACCACTTCCGCGGCAACGACGTCCTGGCAAAGCTACCTTCCAGCCAGGGCCAGTTGCTCCTCCTCCTTCGTGGACCAAACGATTGCAAGATTGGTTACGAAACAAGCCGCCAAAATACGTACCACCTCCAAGGAAACCTCACCCATTTATGGTGATGAAATCGGGAAAAAAGACGGTCATCGTTGCAGTTGTGGATGCAGGTAATATTGGCTTTTTCCGCTTTGGACAGGGCGCCTTCGAAGAGATGCCGCTGGTATAGGACATGTTGTGGATCATGCTCTAGTTACATCAATGCGAAGCAAATACAGAATAATGCTCTACACTAGACCGTCCTCATCGTCGCTCCAAACCAAATCGTCCTCGTCATCACTGGGAAGTCCAAGATTCCTTGAATGAGCTGTACTGGGTAGAATGTGGTGCCTACGCGACGTCAAACAACGTGGATGAGAATGAAAGACATTACCGATCCAGCAAATTGTCGATGCCAGCTTGTCCAGCTTCCCAGTCGACTCTGACCCAATTGTGGACCAGTTCACCATCACGATACACCAGCATTGTTGGTAGCATATCCAAGTCAACGTCTTCATCGTAGTTGCCCTCCTCCTCTTCTCCGTCTGAATCAGTGATGTCTTTTTCATAGTAAGGGTCGTCCTCGTCGTCTTCCTGCACCTGACGGGCTGCACGAGTGAACTGAGGAGCACTTGTCTTTCCAGAAGAAGTAAATCCAAGGGCTGAAGCTCGAGCTCGAAGAAATTTGGTATCAGGGTATGTCCGAGCGAGCTGTGCTAATCTATCATCCAGTTTATAGCATCGATCTAACGACTGCAACCTCGTGAGGAATGGGCAAAGTAAGCACGATGGACATACTGGCTCATAAAGGTGAACAACAATCCACGTCCCCTTACTCTCTCCTTCAACGGCTGGCAAGAAGCCCTTCACTCCGACCTCGCGTAAATGACCGAACTTCCCTTGACGGGCATGTCCAAATACATTCCTTCGTTCTTCTATACGTTCGCGCTCTCGGAGTACCAGCTCGTCAGCATCATCTCCCTTTTCCCTTTCCTCTTCGAGATAAGTTTTTCCTCCAAGATTTGCTTTCTCCATTTGTTGTGCCAAAGCTGATGACTGCTGAGCCATCTTCTGCCGTTTGAGGAGTTCTGCTTCGTCGCGATCTCTTATGACACCTTTCACACCAGTCCTTCCTGGCCCCATGCCGATAGACTCGTTCTTCTCGTTTAGTTGTTGTTCAAAAGCTGCTCGACGAGCCGAATCGGAATCATCGTCTGAGAGTTCGAGCTGATCATCATGCCAGCCGGCATCTGGCGAGGGAGAACGCTCTGGCGAGGAGGAGCGGGAGGTGCTGAAGAGTTTCCCAGAGAGAACGAGTTGTTCAAGGTCAGCCATGAAGCGGGTCACGCCCCTGTCACGGCTCTCTGTCAAACGCGTCAATGGCAACACACCTCGCAGTTCTTCCCGACGCGCTACCCCTTGAGGAAACGCGTTTTCTTCGACTGCTTCACCCCAGGACAGGTCATTGACGCGTGGAATCGTGATTGCCTCCCTGACACCGTTGCTAGAGTTGCCTACCCTCTTCCTGGCTCATCCCGACTCCATTCTCGAAGTCCAATCCGTCTCGCCAACCAATGAAAGGTCGTGGTTTATAGACCAAACTATTGTCTCTGGTTTGACTCTGGTGCCACCCGCTGCTCATAGTTTCATATTTTCCATTAGATGGAAAACTCTTACTGTTCACGCCAGTTGACCTCGCATTTCTGTTGATACCAGTGTTGCAGTCAGTATATTCAGTGAGTTATGACACTTCGGCTTGTTTCTTCAATGAGCTTTTCACAGGAAAACTTCCCTGGGATGTTCAGGCCAGCAGACGAAATATTCGAAGATGCTGCCACCATCCTTGAACAACCGGCTGACACGTCGAATTCGATCTCTAGGGAGGATATGACATATTTCACCTCAATCAAAGGCTGCACACGTGCACTACGGTGTGTCTGCGATGTACAAGGTAACATGCCCAGCCAACATCTTCCCCCGCTGATTGCATTGACATAGAAATTTCTGAGGACATCGTGGTCTATCGTTACTCGCGGGAAAAGGTGGTTCAATATGTGCGGAACAAAGTAGAGCGTCTATCGAGACCAGAAATTACCGAAATTTCCCGAACTCTGATACGAAACCTTGCAAAAGACGGATTATTGGAGGACGGAAGAGAGGAGTTGTTAAAGTGTGAGCTTTTTCCATGCCAACACAGTCTCCGACACTTAGACATCCTCTAGTGGGTCGAATACGTGCGGCTTGTGATCTTGTGTGCCAATACCTCCCCTCCAACTTGCGAACCTTGTTACTGGCGTCCTATGAGTGAGTATGCCCATCGACCTCGATTGTGCTGACGATATTATCTAGCTTTTCGGCGCTTGAGGCCCATGTGAGGTCATTGGAAGAGGAGAGAGCCTCGCTTGTTGTGCAAAAGCCATCGAAGTCGAAAGCCGCTCCAACTCCAGTCGAGAAAAAAAGAAAGGATACTTCACAAGGAGTGGAGAAACTGAAAAAAGCCAAGACGACTGGAATGGCAAAGCTTTCCACATTTTTCTCCAAAAAAGAAACCAAGTGAGCGACGAGGCTTACTTATCTGTACGTATCTAGATTTTGTTGGAATGTAAGGACAATGGGCACATGATTTTGTTTATGTCACGCGTCACACATTGCTCTCTTCAATCCCGCTTTCATCCCCTTATCGCAGGCGCGTCCAAAGGATGGAGGCGGCCTCTCTAGCCATAAATCCTAGCTATGTTGATCGCGCCGTACAAACAGACTTGCATCTTGACTCGTTGGTCAAGTCTGCTCCAGCCACTCCCCCGAAAGACGACTCCAATTCTGTTGTCCAGCACCGTGTATCAGGTCCAACACGCTCTCCAAACTCTCGCAAACACCACCAGCTACCTTATAGTCGTCCCTCCACCCAAAATCATAACTCTTCCCCGCGTGTCTCCTCGCTGCCTGAAACCTTACCATCCTACCCAACCGTGATTCCACGCGAATTTCGTGGTGCCTCTCTTTCTGAACGTCCACGAGTTTCACTCTCATTCTCCGACAACACGCCGGAAAGCTCGTCTTCTGCAGAGACCTCCTTCCGTTCAGAAACCAGATCTGGCTCTTCTCGTGCCCGCCGTTCGCTTCCTTCGTCTGACACACCCCATACTCCCTCACCACCTTCTTCTCCCGGTAAATATGGCTTTTTTATACTCTCATAGGACTTTTAACAACTCTTTCATTAGAATCTGTCATGATCATCGGTAATAACATGCAAGTACCCATGGCTTTCTTGCGCCAACAAGCCAAGTCAGAATACGATGAAGAAGCAGGCAAGTCCACCTCAACTTTGCCTTCTTCAATGAACCACTTACATGTCTCCAGGTTGGATCTCATGGGCTAGTTCTCCTCCTAAACCCATTCCTGCACTTCATGGACCATTGTCCCTTCCGTATGCTCGTTGCCCCTCGTCAGTGCGATACATCCTAGACGCTCACTAACTAATTTTCTCATAGTGGTGCCGAAGGTACCATCGTTGAAGGCGAAGATTTGTCTCGTATGATCTGGGGATTGGGCCTTGAAGACAGCCAGCCGACTAATACTCCGAATATCCCACAAAAGTCAACATCTTTTGCGCCTCGTTCTCGCCCACAGCGGGATGCCCAATATCAACGTAGTATTTCTTTCGCTCGCCAATCACACGAGCGCGATGTTTCACGTGAATCAGTCGAGTCTCGCGTGGGCGCGTTCTCCCAGCATCCCGATTCTTGGCGCGACTCGTTGGGTCTCGGCGATGATATTCTGGACGAGTTCGAAGATGACTTTCGTGTTTATGACGGCCAGCGAGGTTTGGGTCTCGATTGGCAGGAAACCCTCAAGCATCGGCAATCCACAGCCAAAGCCAAGATCGACTCCCTCAAGCCGTCCGCTGCTGTGTTCGTCCCCGCAAGTCAACAAGTGACATCGCAATTTCCGCGTATTTTTGTCGAGCCTCGTCACACCGTTCTTCCTTCGCCTCGTTTGTCAGCGTTTGAAATCGCTCAGCAATATCGTGCCAACAAGCGGCCACAGGACTTTCTGCCTACTCCTCCCTCGTCGTCTTCGCCTGAATGGATCTCGCAGCAACAGCAACAGCATTACATCGATCCATTTCCACCTCTAGATCTGCACACTCTCGTCTCTCCACCTCAATCCCAATCCAACTTCGAACTCTCGCAGGAGCTGCGCAAGTTCGTGTTTGAACGTATGCAGAACCCCAATGATACTCGCTCCGTTGAGCTGCCCCGCGAACAATTCAACCCGTCTCGTATTCCTCAAACTCGTCGACCTTCGATTGATGCATCTCCCTCGCTTCCTGGACCACCTCCCAACAGTCCCCTTCCTCCCATACCGTCATATGCAAATCACTCTCGTGTTCATTTCGGAATCACCCCCGCATCGCCAACTTCTCCTGATACTCTGGCGCCCCTCCGTCAGTCGAGCAAGCATCCACGTTCAATTCCATTTGCGCGATTGCTACAGCGTCGGTTATCTGCTGTTCCTGAAGAAGAGACAACCCCCTACGAAATGCATTCCCCTCCTCCGTCACCCCCCACCAAACATTCAACCGCTATTCCCATGCGTGCACCACGCGTCCCATCGTCCTCTCAAACGGAAGGTTTTCGGTCGCGGACTCGATCAAGTTCGGGAGGTCGTATTGGGCTTCCTAGTCCTGCTCTAAGCGCAATCGGATCTCCTGCAATGCCCGCTGATGATAAGTCTTCTCATTGGCGCCTTCCTGCCCAAACATACGCAGGCCGTGTCAAGACTTCCGTTAACATGAACAACAATTCTATCAATCATTGGGATGGATCTACAGGCCGAGAGAACTCGAATCTGTGGGAGAAAGAAAATACCAAGTCAAAGAAGACCCGTGGTGGACATGGTGGTAAAAAGACTCAAGGCGCAAGCGATTGGGAGACGACATCGGCCGAACCCTCACCTTGGCTGGCAGCGAGTGTGGCGCCGGAAGCGTGGCTTTGAAAGCTTTTTTTGCTCGCATCATTGAACTGTGGTCCAAGTTTTCTTTTACTTTCGCATCGCATTTTGTACCATCAAGATGGACACAACAGCATATTAGATTTTTCCCTCTCCAGCATCCACAGCCTGTACCAACTCAAGTCGCATTTGTAGCCACTTCCTTGTACCTGAATGTAGTAGCAATGGGCCAGTGCCCTTTAATCATATAAACTGTTGTCGGGAGGATTCCCAAATAACCCTTGTTTCCAACTTGACGGCTCCTTGAAACCAGCGACTTGTAGGCCCAGAATTGCAACCACAACGCTCGCAAGAATGGCTGCATCTGCACGGTTATCTCCTTCTAATACGAACTGGAGAACACCAGCTATTGCGACTTTGGACTCGGATGGCGATTGAGAAATCGTCTGAAAGAAACGACGAGTCAGGCTGCCCCCTGGGATAAAAGGAATCTCAATAGCCGAGGGGCTTTGGGGTTCGGCATTATTTGGGTATTGTGATACCGGGGACGTATATGGCGGAATAGGAAGCTGAAGTAAACGTGCGAGTGGCGTTGACGAGAGAGTACTAGTATTAGAAATGGGAAGGAGGTGATATGTCGGTGTTCTACGGACAGGTAATTAGATCGGTCGTCAGCAGACGAGGCTCTGGAGAGCTCACAGCATTTGAGAGTCGGTCCGATTCGATTGGTCTACTCCGGAGAGAAACAGGGCAGCCGCGACGCCAGAGTTGTTGATGAAATCCAGCAATGCGTCGACGAAGTTTTGTTTCTGAGACTACGATGCATCAGAATCCGTCGAGGAGTGGAGTTAGAGCCCACTTTTAATGCGGGAGACCTTTGCTGGATGATGACTACATCCAAACCCGCCTTCCCATACACTATAGTAGCATTTAGTTCGCCAGTTCAATGTGGGGCTACGCTGTACATTCAAGTGGAGTGCTTACGCCGGGTCCGTTTTCACGGGCTCCAAGGGCAGGCACAAGATATGATGAGTCAAATCTGCCGATTGGAACAAGGGATAAAGTTGCGATGAGCAGGTCCGCTGCCAATTGGGAGACATTGGCTGTTGAGACGATGGGCTAACGTCGTGTCAAGATCAAGGTGGGCTCCTTCCGAGGCAGGATGACTGACGACGACGAGTGTTTTCCCCGTGAGTGGGATGGTAGGCTCAGTTGGGTAAAAGAACATGAGTGGATGATTCAGACGCAGTCACTATGGCACGATCATGATAAGATAACAGTTGGCTCAGATTACACGATGACTATGTACTTGCTTCAAGTCAATAATGCCAAAGCTCTCTTCGCTTCATCCTCGGGGGTCGTTGAGGTGAGAAAGGCCCACTGGTTTGAGATAGCTGGGCCCAGAACCTCCAGCTTCTGATACGAGCTATTGAACTCAAACATCTTCCCTGCCTCGTCAGAGAGCTCTAACACGCGATTTGCTTGAGACAGGCGGATAGCCTCGTATGCCATGAGTGCAGAGTCTAGACTGTGTGAATCGCATTTGGCTAGCAGAGTTTCCAGAATGAAAGCATCCTGGGGCATGTTGCTTTTAGATTTTAGCGTATCTGACCACAAACCTCGATAGCGTTTGTTGCACCGACGCCGAGGTGGGGAGTCATTGCGTGAAGCTGTAGAAGTAGAGTTCAGATGATGTTTTGGTAACGACAAAGCCTCACCGCATCACCCATCAAGACCACTCGTTTCTCCATGGCTTGAGGAAGAGGAGACAGCCGATGTATATTCCATTTAGTGGGTGTTTCGATGTTCTTGTTTCTCAGTTGAGCGGTGGCAAGATCAGTTATTGAAGCCACTCGTACCTCGAGTAACACAAAGGCGTCGCGTTCCCAACCAGAAAACGCCTGCATGACAATCAAATTTCCCGTTTGGAGTCGAGTCTTTTGTCCACACTTGCAACATTTCTTGTTGATCGCATGCCACAACCCAGTCGGAACTGTCTGGTGTGGTATTTTCCTTCCCAAGGTCAGTCACATACGCAACAACGTTGACCATCTCCCCTCGTGATATAGCGTAGGCGACGATATGCTATCATAAGGGTTAGGTGCTGATAGCCAGAATAGGGAGAGACGACGGCACTTTATTCTTTCCACAATACTTCTACACCGTCAGAACTTGATTGCACCTGGTGACACAAATCCACGCACCATCATGGGTGAGTCCAATGTCCTATGTCTTTGCCCGTCGAGGCCTATCAGCTTAGTGGCCGGGACAAGCCCGCGATAGGCGATTGTACCAGTCCAGATGGGCTTGATCAGGCCCAGAAGCCCGTTGTTTCCTTGACTCTGTGCTTTGGCCCTCAGCATCTGCTTGCGAACAGTCGACTTGATTCCGTCGCATCCTACAAGTAGATCGCAACTTGCAGTCGTACCATCCGTAAACCGGAGTTTTATCTCGCCCTCTAGTTGCTCCTCATATGTTTCAAGACGCTTTCCAAAATGGGCGACACCTGGCGGTAGATGTTCCACAAACACATCAAGAAAATGCGCACGATGGAAGGTCCGGCAGCCATCTACAACGCTCGTCAGAGTCAATTCGTGTCCAAGTCGGTAACACATACAAGGGAAAGGAACGAAATGCCAGTCAAACCCATCCGGCCAAATGTCAGACCTCCGATAATGATACCCTGCCGATGGCTCTGGTTTTGTGTGGGTTGCAGAGGTAAAACTGGACGACAGGCCAAGCAATTCGAAGATACGCCATGTGCGAGAGAATACCATCAATCCAGCTCCTAGCTCTTTGAACCGCTCAGTTGCTTCCCAGATATCGACCTGGAGATGGTCATGTCGAGAAAGTGCGACGGCCAAACAGAGTCCACTGATGCCCCCACCGCTAGGTAATGTTTGCTTCTATACTCCTCCACATGAGCAGATAAGACACACCAGATGGCAACTCGAAGCTTTCTAGCCTCAGCAGACATGAGTCCCAAGAGAGAGAGAGGGAAATTCCACCATCCATCAAATTCTCAAGGAGAAGCTACTTACAATCACGACCGACTCATGAACGCGCTCCCACCAGTGCCTCCAATGCCGCACCCCCTGCAATCTGAAACTCTGAAACACCACTGGTCATCATGATGCCGCCCTTTTTGGACAAACGACCCTGCGCCCGCACAACCTTCTGCATTCGCTGTTCGGCATCACCAGTATGGTCCGCTTCCCACTCCCGCTTTGAGCGTTTCTTCGAGGGTGACGATTCCTCAGATTTGGGTTTGGATTTGGATTTCTTCTGTGGGGGTTTGTCTTTATGCGATGGTGCACCAGAAGAGACGGCTTTGGGCGCATCACGGAGGGCAAATGATTTGGCAAGATGGCCAAGATGAAGATGGCGGACATGGAAAATGTGCTTTTCGCTGGTCGGATGGGTCGCATAAGCACGCATATGAGAAAGATACGCTTTGCGCGCAAGACTGGCATTCTAGAAATATGTAAGAAGCTATCAATTGGTAGAAAAAATGAAGGCGTACATCTTTCTTCCTGAGGACCCATCGCTCAAAGGAGAGCTGGACCTCCGTTGCACGACCCTCGTATTCGCTCCCTTTTCCGCCGAACCCATCACGAAGCACACTCTCGACAGAGACACTAGACAAGGAGATATTGTGATTCTCGTTGTCCGAAGCATTGTCTCCCCGCATCTTGCCCTCAACCCATTTCACCCACTCAGTTTCGCTGGGCGAGACTATGCTCCATGCCTCTCCTCCCTTTCCTGCACGAGCTGTACGACCAACGCGATGAACATACTCAGTTGCCCCTCCTTCTGTCGGTAAGTCGTATTGGACAACAGCACGAACCAATGGTAAATCCAGTCCACGTGATGCAACGGATGTGCAAAGCAATACAGCAGACGACGAAACAGTGGATTTATTGCTGCCAGCGAAGCCACGAAGAGAGGCGAGACGCGTGGGAGTTGGTAATGAGCCATGTAGGCGGAATATAGAAATATCTGGAAGTAGTGGTGATTTGACGTCAACTTGGTCGTGGATAGGTTGAGACTCTGGTTCGCTATCACCGTCCTCGGAGTTCGTCTCATCTGCGGGTTCATTATTCTCACTTCCCATAGAAGCGCCTCCTAGAAGGCTCCAATGAAAGTCCACCGAATCCGTGCAGCTCAGAAACACGATTATTTTTGTGCCGCGTCGAGCTTGGGACTGAGAAATGAGATTGCGCAACAAGGCAATCAAGGCCACCAGTCGCAGCTTCAAGGGAACGAGAACGTATTTTTGTGAAAGCTGAGAGGGAGGCGTAAATTTGTCACTTTCTGTATGTGCGGTCTCCGTCAATTCCTTCGTCGGCTCCGCTTCTGTTGCTTTCACCATCATTGGGTTGCTCAAAGCTTTTCCGGCGAGCTTTTGAACATCTTCGCGAATTGTAGCTGAGCAGAGGAGAGTTCTTCGTCGTCGTTCCCAGTCCCATCCGCCGACTTCCATGCTTTTCCCTGCTTCAACGGCTTGGAGTGCTAGGTTCCTTCTGCCATCTAAGCCCTGGAGAATCCCAGTGATGGTCTCCTCAAAGCCAAGCTCCATAAGTCTGTCTGCTTCGTCTAACACCAACCAACGACACTTTCCAACATTGAAAGAAGATGTATTTTGGAGATGATCCAACAGTCGACCCGGTGTAGCAACGATGATGGGCAAGCCCTTACGCAGGCGTGCTTTTTCATGAGAACGAGTCCCTCCGCCGGTAAGCAGACCAGAAACAAGCCAACGAGTGAGCCTTGGCGCTGAGGCATCTTGATCGTCAGGGGATTCGTCTTCAGAACGGAGCCGGAGTTGCAACAAGGCTTCCAGAACGTCTGATATTTGCTTAGCAAGTTCACGGGTCGGAGCGATTATAATAGCAAGGGTGCCAATCGTTCTGTCAATGTACGAAAGTGAGCTAAGTGGGAGGAGGTCGTGGATAATGGGAAGTAGGAAAGATAGAGTTTTCCCGGAGCCGGTTTGAGACTGGATAAAGACATCTCGAGCAGTCGATTCGGATGAGGTTACTGCAGGAATAACTGCCCTCTGGATAGCGGTCGGTGTGGTTATGTTCATCTTGTTGGTCAAGTGTGAAGATATTAGTTGGTCAAGACCCAGTCCTGAGAAACTCGACGAGTCATTAAGCGGTGCATTGCTTGGACGCTTGAAAGATTTCGGAGCGGGTGAATCAACGGGACTATCGATTTTTGGATTGTAGGAAAAGAGTGAGGAGATGATCTGGGTGGGTGGTCGTTTCACAACAGTCTGCTCAACTGCATCGTTGGGTTTTGTTTTCGGTAGTGACTCGCCACTAAGCCTTGGGCGTTTAGCAGGTCGTACATCGTCTGAGGTCTGCTTTGATGATTGGGGTTTTGCTTTGCGTTTTTCAACGCGTTTGGCTTTTAGCCTACATTCTCTAAGCTTTTCTTTGCAAACCTCTACAGTGACTCTCACCTTTCAGTCCATCTACCACCCTTGGAAGATGTTGAATGCTTGGAGGGCCCAATGTCGGGAGCGATGTTGAGCACAAGATCGTCGTCCATTCCGAGTTTGTGCCGCAAAAATATTTGATGTCTCCAACAAATTGACACGTATCCAAACTCTCTTTCTTCTCTTCCACCATGTTTGCTCGTCTCTCCCTTGCCTTCGTGGTCGTATCTATTGCAGCGCTGTTCTGCGTTCAGACGGAAGCTGCCAAGGGCCCCCGAATTACTCACAAGGTGTACTTTGACATGAAGCACGGCGACAAGGACCTTGGTCGAAGTATGTTGTCTTACTACCTCATTATATAACTGTTGACAGTTTACTAGTCGTCATGGGTCTCTATGGTGGCGTCCGTGTAGTTTCTATCTCGATTCCTTATGCTGAAAGTCTGCTAGACGGTTCCCAAGACCGTCGAGAACTTCCGTGCTTTGGCCACTGGCAAAAGAAAGGATGGCACCGAGCTTGGCTTTGGTTACAAGGGCTCTAAATTCCACCGCGTCATCAAAGATTTCATGTGCGTCTGCGCTCCTAGTTGTCACTAATGTACCTCACAATTTTCAACAGGATCCAGGGCGGTGACTTCAGTAAGTGCGCTGAATAATACTATCTTCAGCCTCTCATCAATACGAAAGCTCGGGGCGACGGCACTGGCGGCAAGGTAGCTCTCAGTTGTTATTTCAGCAACGACAGGACTTACTCTGTTCATAGTCTATCTACGGCGACCGCTTTGCGGATGAGAACTTGTGAGCTTGGCTTTCTGGTGCAACTTGAAGGTATTCATTCCCTTTTCAGCAAACTTCGCCATACCGGCGCTGGTACTCTTTCAATGGCTAATGCCGGCAAGGACACCAATGGTTCTCAATTCGTGAGTACCATCTTTTAAGACATCACCATCATCCTCATATCGAAATAGTTTATCTGCACTGTCGTCACGAGCTGGTTAGATGGTAAACACGTATGCAGTTGGTCAACTTGCTGTAAATCCACACTGACCTGACCTGCAGGTTGTGTTTGGCAAAGTCATTGAAGGCATGGAGATCGTCCACGCCATTGGTATGCTCTGTTCGTGTTGTGTACCTGTCGTTAACACCAATTCAGAGGACGTTCCTAAGGGGTCTGGTGACAAGCCCAGTCTTGATGTGGTTATCGCTGATTCTGGAGAGGTAAGGACACTTGTTACGCGCTGTTTCTTTACCTTCAACGCATTCTCTAGCTCCCTGTTGAACCGGAGGTTGCTGCGGAAGAGAAAGAGCAGGTACCTGTCCACGCTGAGCTCTAATTGCTCAATTCTGTCTATAAAAACGATGCGAATAAAATGTGGTTGTTTGTCCACAGGACCATCATACTGGTGTTGCCTCATTGCAAAAGGCCCCATCCTCAAGCGCCGCCACGAAAGTGGATTCAACCGCTGCCTCCCCCGTTTACACGGGTCCAAGCTCAACCATCGAAGAAGAGGAACAGCCCGAAGAGATCGAGCAAGAAACCACTTCTTATTTCATGCCCATCCTGGCCGCGTTCGTAGTGTTTGGCGCTGGCAGTGCGTTTTTTGTCTGGGTTGGTGGCTTGAGATACCTGCGACGCATGATGAGTGGCAGGGACCTCACAGGCTATCGTCAAGTAGGAGAAGAAGATCCAGAGAAGTGAGAGCTCTGTTTGTTTGGTACCCTTCGACCAACTTTATCCAGGCGTCTCGCATAACCTGAACCTTTGTACATTAAGCATCTTCTCACACACATGACATGATCAGCATGACTTTCACTCACTTGGCATTGTTCGTTCCGATCCAGAGCCGTGATTAAACCAGTGATAATCTACGGCAATGTCATTTTTGCCGACGGGACAATTTGCCGAATGACAGACTCATCACTAATGACATAGTAGTTGGCCCAATTTGAATGGTCGTGTGCCGAGTCGGCCTTGTTCTCTTCCTCTCTTCCGCCACCCACCATGTCATTCGGCGCCTTTGCAGAACCAGCTGTAGTGGTCAGTATTCTCGTCGCGGGAGTTGTCTTGAATCGTAGGAAAGACTCAGATGCATGGGCACCTCTTTCTCCAACAAGCGAACCTCTCCTGGCCACTGGAGATGCTCCATATCGCGAACGCCAAGTATTTGGCTACACCGTCCGCTCTCGAAATACCGCTGTTCACCGAAACTCGTTTGCTTCTCGAATCCTTAGACGATTCCCTTTCCTCGTGGAAGTTTGGTACTGGTTATTGGTCTATTGGACATACCAACTAGCGAGGGCGTTCACTGCAGTCACGCTCAAGGACGATACCCTTGCAGTATCTCGCGAACATGCTCTTTCCCTAATTCACCTCGAGCAACGACTGGGTTTATTCATCGAACCTGACGTTCAAGCGTATACGCTTGCCCGACCAGCGCTAATGGGGGCCCTTAACCGCATCTATTCGTTCATCCACATTCCTGGGACCATATCTTTCCTCGCTTGGCTTTATGCCGCCGCTCCACAAACTCGTATGCTCCCCTCGTGTTTTTTCTGCTGCCTGCTGATTCAATTTCAGTCTTCGAGGCTCGCCGTCGAACCTTGGCAGTTAGCAATCTGATGGCATTCGTTGTCTTCACGTTGTGGCCATGCATGCCTCCCCGTCTCCTCCCGGCCTCAGATGGTTTCGGCTTCATTGACACCGTACATAAGGGTGAAGTTGCGAGCGTGTGGACGACGAACAAGTTTTGTAACCAACTTGCCGCGATGCCATCTCTCCACTTTGGATACAGCTTCGTAATCGGGCTTACCATCGCAACACTGCCATCTCACGGCCACTCTCGCTTCCTCACTCTCGCGAAGTGGATTGGTGGCATGTCATACCCTGCTTTAATCCTCGTTGCCATCGTCTCCACAGCCAACCATTATGTCTTGGATGCTTGCGCTGGATTCGTCGTCGCTAGCATCGCGTGGAACATCAACGGTGTGCTCAAAAGTCTGCTCGTTATCGAAGACTCGTTCTTCTACCTCTTGCGAGTCCATAAACCCCGTGGAGCTGATGAAGACACTCAAGGCAAATTATTCAGCCCCGTTCTGGAAATGAGCGAGGAAGCTGGTTGGCGGAGGGCTTAGATGTAACTTGTAGCACCTCCGAGTTGTAATGTGACCTTCTACGATTAGCCAACGCTATGTACGACGGGAAGCGAAATGCAAGCGAATTGGAAGCTGGTCAAAGACGGATACGGCGACCCAATATTTGAACGATCGTTACCCAACGTCGGCGCTGATGCCATTCCGTTGCGCTTGGCGAGCTATGGTGAGGGAAGTTTTCCATGGTCGCGAACTGGGTCTGAGAATAAAGGATGCTCGAGAAGAGGAAAGAGTAGTATTTGTTCCGTGTCAAGAAAAAGAAGAAGGAAAGCCGAAAATAGTTCCGTGATGGCTCCAAAGGATCGACCCTGACAAAACACGTTGCCGAATCTCGTCCTTCACTCTCTTCATTACCACCATGTCCTTGTTCGCTTCAAAAACTACGACTACTACAGATAAAACACCACCATCCACACCCAAGCGCAAGTCGCGCGTTCTACATTTTCGCTCAAAGAGCGACTCGTCCAAGACAAGTCCTTCACCTCCCACATCACCAACAACTGAGGTCGCTGTAACACAACCTTCGTCACCGACAAAGCGGACTCCACTTGGAATTGCTGAAGTTGCCAATATATTTGTCCGAATGCGACGAGCAAGCGACAAAGCCAAGAATAATAAGTCGTGGCATATCCAAAGCTCCTCTGGGCCAGCGCAGTCTCACCCTGGCGTTCTTGAAGGCGCTTCAGAGCTGCGAGAAATTGTCACACATAGGGACGTTTACATCTGCAATGATGGGGTCAACGTTGGTCAACTGCTTAGAGCAACGAGGAATGCCCTTATGGAGGATGCCGAGTTCATTGGCGCTAATGCTCTTGTCGATGAACAGTGCGTACCTGACTCCTATTCTGCGGCTCGCTACAATCATTCAATCAGGTGGGATTGCACCATCTGTGGCCCCCGACACAGACGCAGTGGCTCGTTCAAAGTCGAGGTCAGCCCTTCTTTGTTTCTTATAATAAACCTTGCAACTTTCTTTTTTCGTTAGATATCCTACAGCGCTGCCGCCACACGTTCTGAACGCGCGGATCCACACAAGCCAATCGCTATTGACAAGGCTAAAGGGGTCCCAGGTCTAATGACCGTCATCAAGCGCGTGTAGCACGCACCACAACTCAAATTTTGTATCTGTACTCCGAAACTGACCTCATTGTAACACTGCGTCGCATACCACGGACATTCTTTAGCCTCTCAATCCATCCTCAATACTCTTGATCGGTACTGGTCAAAATTCTTTGAATAAAGCCATGACTTACGCTTGGCTTCTAGAATCCACTTGGAATCCACTAATCGTCGTCACGCTAGTGTAGCGTATACTCCATTCGTTGCGTATCTTTCCTCCAAAATTGTCCTATCCACTATCAAGTCTGATAAGTTATGACTACGATTTTGCTGTAAGCATGGGCAGTGGTCCGCATGGAGCCACAGCCCAAAGCCCGACGTCGGTGACTGGGTACGCTTGGATAGGATCCGATGGCTGTATCGGGAAAGGATTGGCACCGTCAAAAGGGCTCGGTGTGACTTCGCTGTCACATTGTACTGCTTTTACTTCGGTCAACTTACCCATGCTCGCCACAGTCCGGCTATAAATTGACTGCTTTTCTCTTTCCATAACCCAACCACCACCACCCAACAAACCTCCCATCTCCGACACCCATCCCGACCCACCAATATGATGTCCTCAAAGCGAATTCAGTTTCATAGTGCGTTTGTTGGTCACTAGATTCCTTCGCTTTTGCTAAATGCTGTATAGTCGACGCCGCGACTGCCCTTCCTTTCCACAAAAACTCGAGCCGGCCTTTTGTCACTGTCAAAATCGACAATGCCAACGAGACAAACGAAAAGGAGCAACTCTTGCGAACCAGCACTGCTCGCTGCGATAGTGAACATGACCCTAGCTGGCAACAGAACCTGACTGCGTGCGTTCTTTTTGCCACTGCTTCGTCCCAGTCTACTTAAAGACTCTGATCAGCAGCACAATGAGCCCTACATGTCAAGTCACGTTCGAGGTTCTCCAACGTTCGCCTGTGTGGGCACCCGGCAAACCAAACAAGCTGGCCGTCACCGATGCTTACCCGCTTTCAACACTTCTCGATATGCAGGGAGGGAATATGTTCGGAACGAGTGCGTTGTTCTGATATTATTATCCCGTCTAATTTTGAGTAACACTGCTCCTTGTAGACATTGAACTCCCTCTTCACCCCACCACTTCTGATGGCAATGGCAACACGCCGTCCGCTCGTCTTTCCGTCAATATCCGAGAGCTAGCTTCACGCGAGACCGCCAATCTGGCCGTTCGTTTGTCAGCAGAGCGACGCAAGAGCCAAGAAGCTAGTCTCTCTCCAGTACTCCGCGCTCCGTCCCCCACCCACGTTTCTTTTGCGACCCCGGCCACCTTAGAGGTTTAGCATCCATCATCATCTGTATCATTAGGGCTCTTTCTTGTAGCATTTGGCATTGGTGGCTCTTAGTTGTATTTGTTGTAATTTCTTCTGCCTTATTGGGGGCTTATTCTTGTCGCTAATACTTGTCGTGCAAATATTTGATCCAAGTTAAGTTTGCCGCCATCCGGACTGCAAACGGAGCGAGACGTCATACGCTGAAGTACGAAGTTGATGGACAGAGCAGGGAATTACAGGCTTATCCTCGACCCAGGCAGTTGTTTTGCTGGATGGCCGCACCCAGGATTCGAGTCGCAATCTGGTACGAGTGTTACTAGCCTTCAACCTCAAATTCCCATCAAGCATCCAGTGGAGGTGGTATTGGCGGCTTGTGCTTGGCTGTGGCACTCTCCGCGTATTCCCATATCCAAGTCGACGTTTACGAGGCAGCTGGTCGGTTCAGCGAGATCGGTGCGGGGGTGATGATATGGCATCGGACATACGATATTCTACAGCAACTCTCTCTGGCGTCTCAGTTCTCCACGATTACAGACTTTGAACCGGTGCCAGACATGGGTACGTTTTGCCTTCCTCTGTCTTCGTTCGGTCGGAAAGCACGCAGATGAACGGTTTCTCATCAGGAGTAGGTTTTGAATACCGCCGTTCTGATCGAGCTGAGGGCTTTAACTGGCACTTTGTCGAAATGCCTTGTAAGCATTTAGTGCACCAGCGTGGGAGTTTGACGCCGTTTGTAGATGGTTGCATCCGCTTTCATCGAGCTCATTTTTTGGATGTCTTCGTGAAGAATCTTCCTGAAAGCGTTGCTCATTTTGGGAAACGACTTGCGTCATACAATCAGGTACGAGACGGTATCCAACTAGAGTTTTCGGATGGGACGAGCGCAATATGCGACCTCCTAGTTGGGTGCGATGGAATCAAATCGACAGTTCGAAAGCAAATGCTGAATAGCACGGGGAGAATTGAGCTTGAGGAGCACATAGAGCCAAGATGGAGTGGCAGTATTGCCTATCGCGGTCTCATTCCAGTTGCGAAGCTTCCAGAAGGCCAACACAGAGCGTTGCAGTATCCTGTGATGGTGAGCAAAATTTGAGTTGGCGGCGAAACAGAGTCACGGTCTGACCGGCAGCAGTACTGTGGCAAAGACAAGCATGTTGTTGTCTATTCGATTTCTAAAGGCACGGTGGTAAACGTTGTTGCCTTTGCATCAGATTCGGATAAGGAGAACACATGTTACGGGGACGAATGGGTGACGTCTTGTTCGAAGGAGGAGATGCAGGAGGTCAGTTTATGCTTGTTAACGCCAGATTGTCTCTCAGAATGGCACAGTGCTTTGCAGGATGGGAACCGGAGGTCTCCGTCCTTCTCGATGTGCGTTCATATGCTTGATGTTTTGTTTTGGCTTACCTTCAGATAGCGTATTGAGAGCCCTACGAAATGGGGAATCCATCATCTAGCCCCACTTCCTCTATATGTGACTGGCAGGGTCGCTTTGCTAGGAGATGCGGTACGCCGTGTCCTGTAGAAAGTCATCAGAATGACGGTTATGTAGGCCCACGCCATGACACCCCATCTTGGTTCAGGAGCCGGCCAGGCAATTGAGGTATGTATCACCTTTCCAGGCTGATCACCAAAATGTCTAATTATGTCGAGGACGCATATATTCTTGCGAAGGTTTTGGGTGCTGCCACGTTGAACACGCTTGATGCGGCCCTCGAAGCTTACGAAACGACGCGTCTTCCGATGGCAAACCATGTTTTGCGGGCTTCCGCAGTTGCTGGGAAGATGTTTGAGTTCAATAATGAGCTTGGGGAGCGATACCAAGTGTTAGGCCCAGCAATTGGTGCGCAGTGGAATTATCTAGACGAGACTACGCCAGAGGGTGAGAGTATGCGTGCGGTTGAAAGGATGCGAGAGGCATTGAACAAGAGGGTAGTCATCGCCTGAATCAACTTGCTTGGACTTGAAAGTCGCGGAAAGAAGTTGTCAGACTCATCAACGCTATCATCAAGAAATGGTTTGCTTCGAAACGGTCACGAGCGTAGAGCCCTCCTTGCCATCATGTTGCTCCTCGCCTCGCTGGCAGCGGTCTTCACCGTAGGGCACGCTATCGACGTCGTGCCCAACGTTACAGTGTCTGGCCCTACTCGGCCACCTACCCTCACCCCGTTTGCTTACGCATTTCCTAACTGCAAAAGCGGACCTCTCAAGGATAATGCTGTTTGCGACCGTTCCAAGGACCCCGTAACGAGGGCAGAAGCACTCATCCAACTCTGGACCGTCCCAGAGCTTATTGCGAATAGTGTCCACCAGGCCCCTGGTGTTTCTCGTCTGGGTATCCCACCATATCAGTGGTGGTCAGAGGCTTCGCATGGGATAAGCTGGTTTGTGCTCCCTATGGTCTATCGGAATATCATTTTTTTACTAGTCGCGCAATAGGACTGGACCTGGAGTCATTTTTGCGCCGGACGGCGACTTCTCATACGCCACATCTTTCCCCTCACCCATTAATCTCGGAGCTTCTTTCGATGACCCACTAGTTTTCCAAGTGGGTACGGTCATTTCTACGGAGGGCCGTGCTTTCAACTCAGCTCAACGCGCTGGTTTGGACTACTTCGCTCCTAACATCAATCCCTGGTGCGTCAACTTGACCATAGCAACGTCGGTGTATGAACATCACAACCACAGGAGGGACCCACGTTGGGGAAGAGGTCAAGAAACTCCCGGAGAGTCAGCTCTCCACTCTGCGAATTATGTTTACCAACTGGTCAACGGCTTCCAAGGCGGTATTGACCCTTCACCTTACATCAAAGTTATCGCCACGTGCAAGGTAGAGACCACCATTTGGCGTGGAATAGCCTTCTCAAGTTCGTCATAGCATTACGCTGCGTACGACTTGGATCAAGTTGGAGATGTGATTCAAAGAAATTTTTCTGCCGAAGTCACCACCCAGGAATTCGCCGAATACTATCTCCCACCTTTCCAAACATGCGTTAGAGATGCAAAAGTGAAAAGCGTTATGTGCGCATATAACGCCGTTAATGGTGTGCCAGCGTGTTCTGATCCCTACATTCTCCAAAGTAAGGTCTCTATATGGGAACCACACTTTGAGTCTAATATTTCCAAGCTGTTCTTCGTGATTATTATGGGTTCCCCGATGATGGCTACGTCGTTTCTGACTGCGATGCTGTTCAAAGCATATACGAAAATCACAAATTTGTCAACTCGTATCAAGCAGCAGCGGCCGTTGCGTTAAATGCAGGCACGGACCTCAACTGTGGCTCCATTTATGGACTTTTCCTCCAGCAGGCACTTGATCAAAACTTGACTGCCACCGCCAACATCCAGAAAGCTCTAGTCCGACAATATGCGTCCTTGGTTCGGTAAGTATTTTGCCTATGTTTTGTTTCACGAGTTGAAGTTTTTGCGAAGTTTGGGCTACTTTGATCCTCCCGAGCTGCAGCCGTATCGTCAATTTACCTTCGCTGATGTTGGAACGCCAGCTGCGGAGAAAATGGCCTACGATGTTGCCGTTGAAGGCATGGTCCTCTTGAAGAATGATGGTACACTTCCTCTCAAGAAGAGTCTCAAGAAAATGGCACTCATAGGCCCCTGGGCTCAAGCGACAGAACAAATGCAAGGTACGTTTGCGATACATTGTCAACATATTCTTAAACGGTGAAAGGCAACTACTATGGGACCGCGCCGTTCCTGATCAGCCCTCAAATGGGTGCAGTCACCGCTGGCTTTAACGTGACTTTCGTTGAAGGCACCGGAATTCAAGACGGAGATACCAGTAGCTTTAGTGATGCCCTTGAAGCGGCAGCACAAGCAGATGTGATTGTCTTTGCAGGAGGTATTGATAACGATGTGGAAGCTGAAGTATGCGTTTTTTGTTCAGTTTCTTTCGATCCTAAACGTCAACAGGGTTTGGATCGCACGGACATTAGCTGGCCTGGGGCTCAGCTCCAGCTGATCCAGAAACTCGCTTCCGTCGGTAAACCATTCGTCGTTGTCCAATTTGGTGCTGGTCAAGTGGACGATTCCTGGTTGCTGAAGAGCAAAGACGTCAATGCTATTCTCTGGGCCGGATATCCTGGCCAAAGTGGTGGTACTGCCGTCGCTGACGTTCTCACCGGAAAAGTTGCTCCTGCTGGTCGTCTGCCACTAATGCAATATCCAGCCGATTACGTCAACCAAGTTTCGATGCTTGATATGAACTTGCGGCCAAACAAAACTTCAGGCAACCCTGGAAGGACGTATCAATGGTATACAGGCAAGCCTGTGATCGACTACGGCTTCGGTTTACACTATACCACCTTCTCCTTACAATGGCAAGGTCTTCCTGCCCTAGCATACGACATTCAAGCCCTCGTTGCAAAGGCTCATAGCGCCGCACATCTCGATCTTGGCTCATTCGACACATTTGGCGTTACAGTCCGCAATATCGGACATGTTACGTCCGATTTCGTGTCGCTTCTTTTTGTGAAAACCACTGCTGGACCGGCCCCCCATCCGAACAAGGTTTTAATTGGCTACTCACGAGTTCACAGTGTGAATCCAGGAGCGGCAGCCATTGCTCGAATCGGGGTTAAGCTCGGAGATATTGCACGCGTAGACCACAACGGTAGGTTTAAAGTTTGCCAGCAAATCTGGAGCTGAAAATAACTTCAGGAAATGCCTGGGTTTATCCTGGGTTGTACACCTTGAGCTTAGACGTCCCTGAACGACTCACACACTCGTTTGTGCTTGTCGGACATGCGGCTCAGCTTAGCGACTTCCCCGCTCCTCCTGCTTCGTGAATACTCGTCTATTCGTTTTTTAAGGGATGAAATGATTGATAATGTGTGCGAACAGTTGGACGGTCGGTGCCGATAAGCAGAAGCACTCTGCCAGCAAGCCCGCTGCGATATGGGACGAGCATACCCACGATGAACAACAAGTGCTTCGGGAACTACGTTAAAGGTGGTGTGCAACCGAAGCGTATCTTTGTTGTCTTCCCACTAACTACTTCTTACGACAGACAAACTGCCCTCGAAAGAGGTCTGGTGACAAGACAACCTCTGCAAAGGTGACGCAGAAATAGTCGAACAACACACTGCACCACATGGTGGATGGAGCAAGCTGTCTTCTGAAGTGACTGTACATATCATTATTGTATTTTATCTACACTTGAACGAGTCCTGTTCGAAGAAGAACGCGATAAGCCTGGTGAAATTAATAGCAACTTGACGTGTCTGAAGTTTGTTCGTTTGTAAGAAGTTGTGACCGTACCCACCGACGTCAACAAAGACAACCACCGAAAAATGTACCCAACTAAGTATACGACCACTTTCTCGTCCACGACGAATTGACTGGGCCCTCACCTCCTCTTCCCATCGCGTATTTCAACGTTTTCCAAAAGAAATGTGTGCGGCTCAGAAAGGGAGTCAACAACTGCGGGTGTCTGGAACAAAAATAAAAGTGGGCCAATTGCTTCTCTATATGCAAATTCTATGTTAGCTACTGGAAAGCAAACGGCGCCAGCTGCGTTAACGAAGATTAATCGGATTGTAGCCGTATTCTCAGGCTATGCGTCAAGATATGGCTTTGCCTCGTTCGTCAAGATACCCGCTAATTCCTCAACGTGACTCAAGAATGGGCTGTGTCCACACTCTATCTGGTACGTTTTCCACGAATCCGCGTCGCCACCGCTCGCCTTGGCCCTCTCTACCATGTTCTGCTGTGCCGCAAACAAGAATGCGCGGTCGTTCTTGGAAAAGATGAAGACTTTTCCAACTTCGAGGCCCCAACAAACCCCACTTGCGGGCGTGCTGAAGATGTGGAGCGACATTGGCTCAAGTTGCTGCGCCCAGTATAATGCCTTCTCGCTGCTGAGATCATGATACAAGAACTCCTCCGCGTCCTTGAGCTCTCCGGCGAATGTGGTTTCGCTGATGGGCTACGACATACTCAGCGCACGATTCAGAAGAGCAAATGCAATGTTTCCATACCACAAACCACACGCCTTTGTCTGACTGAACTTTTGTGTTCGTGACGGAAAACGCGTCCGCCACGGTCTCGCCCTCGAGGGCAAGGATCGCACTCACAAATACGATCTTGACTACTCCACCCTTGTGGCCAGCTTTGCTTCTCGCGCTTTTTTCTAAGCCGGCAACTGCCTGGCTTGCTGGGACGCCACCATACGAGTGACTTATCAGGACAACATCTTGTTCTTGCTTGAGCACGAGCTCCTCCAAGGCTTGACGGACACTGTGGGCGTCCGCATTTGGCGGAGCTGAACTGGCGAGTTTGCCCACTGTTGGAAGTGCTACTCCCTGTGCTGGATATCCTTTTGCCTGCAGGGCGTCGAGGAGTGGTTGTGCATGGGCGAGCGTATGGCAGGCGCCAGGGACGAATACGAAAGTGGGACGAGTGTTCGACATGCTATGGGCTGAATCCTTCACGACTAACGCGACCTTTAAAGCATCGCTCTGTCAGCCTTGTTTTCGTTATAAACCAGTGATGAATCAGGAATCGGCGGTTCGAGGGTTCCGGATATATTCATTCGGGTCACATAATCAGCGAGCAGCTAACCGCGGACTTGACTGAGGGTTCCAACTTGAAGTTGGCCGCTTTTAATTCCACAAGGACAAACAATACACAGTCTATGAGTTATAAAGATAGCATGCTTCTATGTTCGGCGGTTGATGGTGGAGGAGGTCAATCTTGGGTCAAAATTTGTGGCCCAATGAACATGTTCACCGATTGATGGTTTGACCTTGGAGGATATATACTGGTCCCAGTCTTGGAAGTTTCCGCTCGCGCCTGGTAGACCAGACCACATGGCAAGCAAATCGTCGTCTTGCATCATGTTGGCCAATGCTGTTGTGTCGCTCCATTCTTCGAGGCTTTGGGTCAGGCCAGTGGAGTCGTCGTAGAGCGCCGTTGTGGTCATCAGCTGCTCCATGCTCACCCCAGCCTGTCGTTCCATCGACATCGAGCCTGCGCCATTGGGGGTCGGCATGGCCTCGCTCCATAAATCCATAGGAAGGATATGCTGGGGCGTTGGTGCGACTTGTATCGGCGCGTTGTCCGTGACCTGCATGTGCTGTGTGTTGTGCGGATTACGATCATGTGAGCCAGTGAAGACCGATACTTCAGTGTCTGGTTCTCCGAGCTGACTTTTTGTTGGACACATATCAGCGGGGTCCAATTGCTCAGCTTGTTTTCCCGCCTTTCTTGTGGGTGGTGGGGCCTCCCATGCCTGCAGCTCTTGCAGCAACTCCCAGAGACGGCCCGCTGTCTGCCATCTCGCCTCCATGAATTTGAGGATACGCATCGAAGTGCTAACATGTGCGAGTTCCTTGGCAATGTCGATAGGTAAACCCGCCCGTTTAACGCCGAAAAGGTTCAGAAGCAATACAACACCAGAAATAAATATGGCCGTCTGGTGACATAATCAGGATATTAGCAGACAGTAACAAGGCTAATACTGACTTGGACCGAAGGGAATGCTACACGTTGCACTCGTGTCAGCCAAACATCGACAACATGGATGGCGGATCGAGCAGCGCTGGTACAAATTGCGAGGGAAGGGAAAGCGAGGACAGTGGGTTGGTGGATATAGGGACGATGAATCTGATGCTTATTCAACACTTCAACGGCAACCAAGACATGGAAGGACATACCGTGATCTGGAGCCAGTAGTACATCGTATGTAGCGTTGCAGATTGGTCGAAGAAGACCCCAGTTCGATTAGGGTCCCATCGCACTAGATGTCATGACTGAGTTAGAGTGTCTCAAGAAGCTAATGGGACCCACAATGTGCTGGGAGAGAGCCTAGGAATTCGTTCATAGCACTGTCAAGCTCGCTAACAGCGCGCTGTTCCCAGTCGGTGCCATGAAGGCCCATCAATACCCGTGCCTTATTTGACGCATACAATCGGCGCAGAGTTGACCCCAGAATTTCGCAAAGTCGGATATGGCAGACGAAGTATGTGACAAGAGAAGGCTTTCCAGGAGGTTGCTGAAAGGCTTGTTGGGGGTCTGGAGTTTCCCAATATTCATCATCGACCTCAATCGGCAACTCCACATCGTAGCTGATACGTAGTGAGGGGACTGAAGACGAGGAGAGGTAACAGCGTACTCTTCGACATGTATTGCAGTTGGCCTCCCCAGGAAAGAGCACACAGTACGATCTAGTGTGAGTAGACACCTATTGAGCTGGTCAGAAAGACTTCTCCCGAGTAGAAGACACAGACCAGAATGCACGTTTCCACATTTCATGCACAGGACTGAAGGTTGTGCCATCGCGTTTTCGTCGATGTTCTCCTCGCTCTTGGATAAAACGGATGCCGAGACCCTGCATTAAGGTTGGGGCTAAATAAACCCTTGAAGTCAGCTGAATGCGGCTCACGAGATATAACCACGATGCTTGAGGCGAGGAAGTCCCCAGGGTATATAATGAGATCAACTGGGGGAACAGGATTTAGCGGGAATATTGGGTGAAGATTGGTTGTTACACTTACGCAATATAGCTGGACTTCATAAATGGAAGGCTCGTCGAACAAGGATTTGCGAACGATCTGCACTTGCTTAAAGAAATTCCAACCAGAAGACAGCGTCGACTTGGCCTCCGGAACGAAGACACGTGGATCATCGGAATACCGGGAAGCAATGGCTAAGACAGCGAGGACTAATCCACCGAACCGAAAATCATTCAAATGAAGGTCTTGCGCAACCGATCGCTCGAATGTCGGACGATGTAGTAAGGGCAGACCTGTAGAGGACTGAGTAAAAACAAAAAGGAAGGTCAACCAACTGACAAGGGTGGACGTTAGCAAAATATAAGTCCAGGAGCGACCTCATCAGATTATGCTCTGGGAAAACATACTGAGGTCGCTCGTCGTTAGCACTAAGCTCCCACTACAGTATGATGAGCACAGGTCTGGAGTGAAGTTAAGACATACCGGTCGTTGGTTCCAGAATTCAGGTCGACGGAACTGGGTCACTATAGGACGACCCAGGTATTCCTCCTTGACTGCAATTGCGTTTTTGACGAGCATGAAACCGCTGGACGAGCCAAAGAAACGATGCTAATGCGCGTCAGGAATGGAAATCTCTCTCTAGGATACGAACAAACCTTGAGCGCGCTCAGATTAAACTGTCGGAATCGTTCCGACAGTTCGTCATGAGAAAGGTCCTCCTAAACAACCGTTCAGGAATCAACGGAGCTGGATTGAATGCATAATCTACCTCAGGTAATGTAGCAACTGGGGATGGTGAAGCATCGTTGGGCGGCGAAGGGTACTTGAAAACTGATGTTGAAGGTAGATTGGAGGGTGGAGAGGCGTCGGGCTGGACAGTTCTTAACTTGGCTTCGAGGACAGAAACTTGCTGCTTCAACTCCTCTACGTGCCTAGAAGGATCGAGTTCAAGGAAAGCCTTCAATATGCTCGGACTCACTTGTTTTTGGGCCCCCTTTTGCGTGTCGGTTCCGCATGGGTGCACTCAGCATTGAATGATTTGCAATGGGAGCAGATTCCATCCGGCTGGGTTGCACTATCGCATCGAATTTTCCTCTTCCTACAAGAGTCGCAAGAGCGTTGGAGACGTCTACGCTTGATTTTGACTGGGGCTGCATCGAATTCGTCGTCGTCCGACATGATGAGTACTAATAAGTGATCGTCGGCGACTGCAACGCGAATCGCCTGCCGCTGATGTTTTGTGACCGGTATGTTGTTTGAATGCCAAATGAATTTATAATTATAAAAATGAAATATCAGTAAATAAATAGCAGATTTCGTGAAATACCATCTGATTTTCCTCGGATTTGCTTTCTTACTGTAAAATCAGGTTTTGTGTTGGCAACCTGAAACATTGGGTGTCAACGTCGGATATGTCACGCTATTGTCACAGCGTTACATCCTTGTCGCTTCCCACTACTCTCTCCCTCGAGTACCACGTTCCTTAAAACCCGTCCAAGACGGCGTCCTGTGCATTCTGCACCTCCACTATCCGATTTTCCGATACCCTCTCTAATACCAAATGGGATTTGAGCATTTTCGTGTAGGCTATGCTGGTGCTGGTATGCACTCTGGCGGCAAAAACAAGCATATCAAGCGTGCTGACCCCAAGCCTGCTGATGCCAGTATGTTTTTATTTTGGTGCAAAACCCTGGGCCGTTAGCTGACCCGATTCAAGGCTGCGCTACCGGTGCTTTCTATCAAGCCCCTTCGCTCGGTTCGACAATTGATGCCATGACCCCGCTCAATATCGCCTGGAAGCCATCGCTCAACTGTCTTCAGCCTCCCCCCGACCTTGTTGACATTTACCTCGACAATCCAGGTGCCGCTTCCCCTCGTCTCCATCTATGGCAGGGTGTCCCATATGCTGATGGCAACTACACCGTGACATTGCTTCCTCGTTGGTGGAATGCGACCGCTGCTACCAACCTGCAGATCATGGTAGTCCCCAATGGCTTACCGGCTTTCCTTTCCACTATCCCTGCTGGCCCTGTTTTCAAGGCCACCTATACGTCCAACGGAACTACACCTGCTGCTGCCGACACTTCGATCGTTAAGAGTGATTCGACGACTGTTGTAACCCCCTACCGTCGTTTCGGGTGTCTCCTCCCACCAGATGAGCCCTGGAAAGAAGGCTGCTGCTGTTCTGCTCCCCTTGCTCTTCGTTCTCCTTCTTGCCTTGGCCTACGTGAAGGTCTCTCGCGCTCGTGGTGCGGCCAAGCGCACAGAGTGGTCCGAGAAACTCGACAAGCGGATGTCTACCATCAGCACTGGCTGGAAGAGCATCACGCCTGCCGGAGCCACAGAGGCTGTTCGTCATTCTATGGCTCAACGCAACTCGTCCGCATTCTCATTTGGCTCAATCAATACTCCCAACATCGAAGGCGACCCCGTTGTTATGGGTGAAAAGCCCCGTGGGAGTCTAGATGTCAGCGAGAAGGATTTGCCTCGAACCAGCCTTGGCACTGGTGTTGGTGTTCGTCGTCCCCGTAACGCAAGCAACGCAAGCCCTCCGGATCGTGCCTCTCGTGCTATCTCCTTTGCGGACACTGCTCATCCTCGTCCTTCCGTAAGCTCTGCTTACTCACGAGGCAGTCGTGCTTTCCATGTCGGCTCCACTTACGGTGATCTCAATGGCGAGGACGCTCCTCCAGTCCCCGCTCTGCCTTCTCCTTCTCGCGCAAGTGCTTACGGTGAAGCTCAGCCAAGAAAGAGCACCAGTAGCAACAACGGAAACCGGGTGGCTTCTATCTATACTCATCACAACGGCAGTGCTTGGAGCAGCGGCGAGCGAGTTGTCGGAGTTGACGGCGGATTTGGCGCTCGCAGTGTCTCCCCCACTGGCCGTGTCCACACAATCAACTATCCATCTGCCCTCTCCATGGGTGCTTCTGTTGGTCTTTCTTCTCCTGTCCAATCAGATTTCTTAAAATTCTTTAGAATGATCACAATAACGGCTTTGCGTATGGCGAACAGGACAGTGCTGGCAGCTACTTCAGCCCTGTTACCCCGACACCATCGGCCAACGCTTTCAGCGCTGTATATGCCGAAGACCCCAGTGCGGACAGTGCTTATGGTGCTACGACTTTCGATGCTCCTCCTGAGATGACCAGCCCACGGCAAACAGCAGGACCGGTCAGTGGTAATTTCCTCTTTGATCCGGACTACTAACACATGAAGATAGCTTACACTTACTCCTGAGGATATTCGTCACCGCATGATAACACACAACGGTCCAAATGGTGACGGTGCCTGGCGACAAAGTGTCGATGAGGTGTTTGGTGCCCTAAGCAGTCAGTTTTCCTCTCGTTTTTGACCCTCCCTACCATTCATCTTGGTATTGTAGTGATGCGTACCGGTGGACCTGCCTCTCCTGACGCTGAGGATGAAACAGGCGACTATCTGTTTGCTCCCATGCCTGAAACTGTCTTTGCCTACCCCGGAACTCCTGCTGCCAGCAGCTTCAACAGTACGTTCATCAAACTCTTTCCTACTAGTCTTAAAAACATTTATAAAGGTACCGCTCCTGTCTCAGCTGCTCCCTCGTCACCTTTCGCAATGCCCATGTCTACTGAGCCGATGGCCAACTCGCCTGACGCGATGCTTCGTGCTTATGCCTCCAAGCATACCTCGGGTTCTGCCCCATCACCTCTTTCCAACAACACCGGGGGAGCTGAAGTTGTAACCTCTCTGCGCAACACTGGAATGCGTGTCTTGTATGAGGGCGGATCTCAGGGCCAAGCCCAGCCTTTGCGCAAGACGACGCTCATTCGTGCTGGTAAGGGTGCCCGTCTGTCAAAGTAAACAAACAGGGTTTTCCTTCTCGTGTACTTTTTATACTGTCATGCGCAGAGCGCCTCTTTCCATGGTACATAGCGTCGTTCTAGTTCGCTGGCTTTATACCCTACATTCGGGGAGAAGACCAGTCTGGTCATTTCCCTTTTTTTATTCTTAAATGTTTGTGTCTCTATAGTGTTGGGAAAATACCATCGTATTTGACTGTCTATGACGGGATTCAGAGAGTATTTAATGTGGGAATCTGATCACACACGTGACAGAACTTCTTTCGCCGGACCTCAATGCTCTTCTCGAGAACACTGCGAGGTGTAATCCCAACTCGCAGTCTTGCACGTCCCGCGACATCCTTCCGACGTCTTTCTCCTACTCTGTCACCGCGTTTCATGTCTCACCACGCTGGGGAATCGACTCTTCGACCGGAACCGGACAAAGTCTTGCAGGACATTGCAGACTACGTTCACAACTACAAAATCGACTCCCCGCTTGCATACGAGACTGCCCGGCTCTGTCTCATTGACACAATTGGTTGCGGACTCGAGGGTTTACGCTTCCCCGAATGCGCAAAACTTCTTGGTCCGGTAGTTGAAGGCACCGTTGTTCCGAATGGTAAGACTTGTTGTCGACCCGCACTTTTCCGTCTCGCTGACTCTCAAGCTAGGAACCAAGGTGCCGGGGACGAATTACCAGCTTGATCCTATTCGTGGTGCATTCAACATTGGGACTATCATTCGTTGGCTGGACTTCAACGACTGCTTCTTGGCTGCTGAATGTGAATTTAGCGGCTCTTCCGTGTTGGATCATTTATTTATCTGATAACCTATTTCAAGGGGGTCATCCATCGGACAATCTCGGCGCTATTCTCGCTGTTGCCGACCACCTCGCAAGGCAAGGGCAGTCCCTGACTGTGAAAGACGTTCTCGAAGGCATGATTAAGGCACATGAAATCCAGGGATCTCTTGCGCTGCTTAATTCGTACAACCGCGTTGGTCTCGACCATGTTGTCCTCGTCAAAGTCGCGTCAACGGCTGTGGTCTCGAAGCTGCTGGGTCTGACACGTGACCAAACCGTGGATGCAGTCTCTCAAGCGTGGGTTGACGGCCAATCGCTCAGGACATACCGTCATGCGCCGAATACTGGTCCCCGTAAGTCATGGGCTGCCGGTGACGCCTGCTCGCGGGCAGTCAATCTCGCTCTTTTGGTCAAGAAGGGCGAAAAGGGCTTGCCTTCCGTACTTACCGCCAAAACCTGGGGCTTTTATGATGTTTTGTTCAAGGTTGGCATCTTTTTGCTCTACTCTCTGTGGTTGCTTAGATGTTTTTAGGGCAAACCTTTCGAATTCCAGCGTCCTTATGGCTCGTATATCATGGAGAATGTTCTATTCAAGATCTCCTACCCAGCAGAATTCCATGCTCAAACTGCCGTTGAGGCTGCCCATATCGTCCACAAAAAACTCAAGGGCCTGGGCAAAACTGCCGAAGATATCAAGAGTGTCCGCATTCGCACACAAGAGGCGGCGGTTCGCATCATTGACAAGCAGGGACCTCTCGACAACTTCGCCGACAGGGACCACGCCATTAACTATATGGTCGCTTACCCACTTATCTTTGGTGAATTGACATCCGAGAGCTAGTACGTTTTCTCCTCTACATCATCAAAAATTGTCTTAGCCAGCTCTAGCACCGACGCATCTGCTGCTGATCCTCGTATTGATGCTTTGCGGGCCAAAATCTACTGCGTTGAAGAACCTCGCTTCAGTGTTGACTACCACGACCCTGAGAAACGGTCAATTGGCAATGCGCTCTTGGTCGAACTCAACGACGGAACGATGCTCGAGGAAGTTGAGGTCGAGTATCCCGTTGGCCACAAGCGGAGACGTGAAGAGGGTACCCCGTTGTTGATGAACAAGTTCCGCAGGCATATCTCCCACCATTTCGAGGAGGCACACCAGAACAAGCGGGTCCATTTTTCAGTCGGTTATCAACCTTACTAATTACCCCTTCCACAGGTTATTGGAGATCGTCTCGGACGCTTCGTCGTTATCGAAGATGCCGGTCGACAAGTTTACCGACTTGTTCGTCAAGCCTTGAATAGGGTAGCAAATGTTATTCGGACCCAACCAAATACAGACGGTATAACACCAAGCGCGAACTTAAGATAGCAGGGGGTATATCATGTTGTGGGACCTCAATTGCCATGTCGTCCAAGGGATGCAGCGGTGCGACTGACATCGTTAGCGACTGCCTGCTTGGCTTTGGCTCGCTTGTGTCTGTGGAAATCAACATGAGCCTCATATGATTTTTAGCTATTGAAGGAATGCTTACTCTTCTGCGGCCTCTCGTTCCAAAATGCGAACGTGTTCTTTTGCCTCGCGTACCATCGTTCTGGCAGCGGACAAGGCTCGGTCAGCTTCAACCTCCGCCTTTTCAGCGAGTCCAACTTTGGCTTTTGCGGCCATAATTTTGGGGTCTCTATGGACTGCATCGAGGTGGTTGTTGTTTCGATTGAAGAAACTGCCACTCCCACCACTCCGAACGCTGCCGCCACGAGCTAAGAAACGGTCGCTCCCTGAACTGCGGCCATCCAGACTGGAGTCTTCGGAAGATCGGCGACGGCTGAAGAAGCCACGGTGAGTATTGGTGGTTGCGGGTGGGGGAGGAGTCGGTGAGCGGTTGCGAGAGAATAGACCGCCTTTTTGAGGGGCCGGGGCAGGCTCTGGTTGGGCAGGCTGTGATTTGAAGAGAGGCATCTGACTGTTCGTGTAGCAAGCAAGGGACTCCACCATGCTCGATTTATAGTCGAAACCATGAGGATGACGTCCATACACTGGTCTGCCACTGAAGTCATCGTTGGGTGGAGTGGTCCTCGGACCGGCATTACCGGCAGATCGCCATCATGATGGTTGCAATGATGAGGGCGTGACGGACTGACGTGGGGCCTTATAAAGCGCTACTCTTGCGTCTTGCCCCCATTGCGGCGCGTCTTCGCCGCTGAAATGTCGAATAAAATTGTGGTGAGCCGCGCCTAGGTCTATAAACCAGCGTTGCATTAGTAACACTCTTTTGTTTTCTCTTTTTTTGAGCCCGGGATTTACCGGGCGGTTATTGACGAGGTCGTTGCTGCATGCAAACCCGAGTTTGAGGAGTACGGCGTTTCAGAGGAGGTCTTGAATGATCTTCAAAAGGTGGGAGAATGTCCTTGGAATAATCTGAACCATTTTTATTGAAGATAAACACCTTCAGAGATGGGAAGCCAAAGTAATCGCGTCGCGTGTCGCTGAATTTGATCCGCCCCCGCAAGTCGTGGTGCCCCAATACCCACCCCAGCCAGTACCACATTATCCACCTCCAGCTCATCATACTGCCAGTTATATTCAGCCTCCACCACTTCCACCACCACCAATTAAAGCTGAACATATGATCAAATCGGAACCACTGGACAGCCGCTATGCACTCAGTGCGCCACCTTATACCCTTCCACCGCTTCCTGGGCCAAAGCTGAATCTGCCACCACCAAGACAACCTCCTTCCAGTGGACAGCTGAACGTATTGTCGTTCCCTACTGGACCCCAGTCGCGTTTACCGTCGATTCCTCAAGTTGATGGGCCTTCGCATTCAGATGACTCTGATGACGAATCTCCACCGCCGCCCTCATTCGCGCCGCCTCGAGCGCTGCATCCGTCATTACCTCAGCCAGTTGCTTCTACTTCGACGTCAACAGTTGAAGACTCGGAAGCAATTAACAGCGATTTGGATGACTCTGATGAAGACGATGATCTGGAGGACGGGGCTGCGAACGTTGACATCCTATTTTGTACCTATGATAAGGTAGGTTTTGCCTTGGACCTATTTTTGGCGCCCACTTATCGCAAACCAAGGTCGCTCGTGTAAAAAGCAAGTGGAAGTGTGTTCTGAAGGAGGGTATGGTGCATGCCAACGGCAAAGACTACCTCTTCCAACGCTGTACTTGGTGAGCTCTCTTCATATTGATCTTGCGCTCTTTGACACTGTAACAGCGAGTTCAACTTCGAATTTTAACCCTGCTTTCCGATCTGCTGTGCTGTCCGACTACTTGTTGTACCATGTATTCATGTTGTGTTTTCTATTAGACGCTATTTCCACCCTCGATATATTTGTGAGCGAGCCCTAACATCCATACCGTGAAAGTCAGCTTGAACAATGGGTAGTTGATCGTGCATGTTGTGTTGAAAATTCCTTCGACTGCTTCCTGAGCCCATGAACCATCCTGACGACGGTTGAGATTAGAAGCAGCCACATAAGAAGTACTCGCCGGTAGCTGTCGCGCTCTAACCAGAGCGACTGCGCGTTTGAGGGGCTCTACATCAGGGTACCGTGCATAGATGAGAGCCAGTGCCGCCCAACTCGTTTGTACCACTTGACTCTGCTCGTGATGAATATACGTCCTCTCGATGCATGACTTGAAGTATGATTTAGTCGTCAAGATCAGTAAAACCAAGGACACGCTACCCGATAGCTTTCCCCCCACCCTCCATCCGTCATTTGCTTCGAGATGAGAAACTCACAAGCACGTTTAACTGATGCGCTATTCGCATATGTTTCGCCACCGAGTGCAAGACTCTCTAGTGCGAACATCATGGCGTAGGTAAAGCAAATTCCCCATGAACCGTACCATGACCCGTCAGGCCGTTGTTGGGTGTGCAAATATTGGATCGCAAGGGCTGTTGTACGGCTGTGGAAAGTCGGTTAGCGGTATCCGAACACCAAAGGATTAGGACGACTCACTCAATATCTTTCTTGCGATACTCGGGATGATGCTTTTGAAAAATGCGTAGAGCAGTTATTACGGAGGTGGTACATTCAACATAGGTGTGTTCAGTCATCGTGTTGCCTTGGAAAACAAGTTCAAAGATGTTAATGAGGGTGGTTGGAAATACGAACCGAAAACCTCTGTCGCGTTCAGAGATTCTAGGACCTGTGGTGCGCGGATGAGTTCGTAGCTTGCAAATCCACCATCACTGTTCTGCATTCCGAGCATGAGGTCAACCGCGTCGAAGAGTCGCGCGTCTGAGACTAGTTTGGGTGCATCCCTGACCATGGTTATCAGATCAGTAATTCGGTTTGGTAAAGAGGCACTGTACCTCCAGCTATTTTGCATATACAGAACAGCCTTCAAGCCCTCGCCGGTGCAGTCGGTTAACGTGTAACCTTGCTCTTTGGTACTAAACGACCACGCGCCCTTGGTCGGATGCCGATATGCAGTCTTGAAATGCTTCGGGTTGTGTCGGATTTGGGCTTCATCGAGCCAGTTGAGCATCTTTAATGCTGACTCTTGATTTTCTTCCTCGTTGATGAGACCAGTTTCCGCCAGTGCCTGAGCGATGAATGCCGTGTCCCAAAGCTGACTCCCGTTGGTGCCTGAGGCAAGCATACCATCCGGTGTGACCCACATCACATCCCCTCGAGATGCAATGTGTTGTGCGACAGCTGTGCTCTCTCTTCCCTCTGCGTGGAATCGACAAACGAGATGCAGCATTTTCGAGACCGGAGCGATGTCTTGGAAGTTCTACTGGCATGTGAGTATATTCTTCTCAAGTCTTAAGTGAACTAACTGTGTTTTCGTCTTCCATGCAGATGAGCTGGTAAACACGATCAAGAGCCCGTCGTTGAAGAGGTCGGATTGTGAATGTTTCGACAGTTGCACTCAAACAGAGGTTCATGAAGCGTAACAAAAGCGTTCGTGGCGCATGTAAGTCTCCTGGCGCAATGTTGTCGCGCTGGGCAGGCCAGAAGATGGAATTGTAAGGCTCCATGTATAATTCCTGCTATGGTTGAACAGGTGATGACGGTTTGAGGAGGTGAATGACCTTGCGCAAAGCAGATGTGAGGGGTGTGAGGGTAGCTTTGAACCGCACGCGGTATAGATACGTCATGGGTAAGAATACTGAGCGATTCTGGACCCACCAACGGCTGGGGTGAAAAGGTAGCCAGTCCGGCAGTAACCTACGATGGGGTTCATATTGGGAGAAAGGGTGACTATCCTCGCACCATAACTCTGGAGGCATGGGATTAACGCCTTCCCATTCATAACAGCCCAGAAGACAAAGCCAAACTTTACCCCAGGTAGGACACGCAGCGGCTCCGCCTGAGCTAGTTGTTAACTCGAGTGAACAGTCTGAAGGAAGAACATCAACCAAGTTCATGGAGCGTTTTGCGTGCCTTTACAGCAGTTGGTTGTTGGGCATCTACTCCAAGTAGTCGTAGTGAGACGTAGTTCAAAGCAGTTCCAAGCATGGTAGAAGGACCTCCGACGTGCCTGGAACATGAGTAAGTATTATGGATCAGACTTTGCGAAAAACAAGACGTCTCACAAACCCCAGCCCCCATCCACAGGATGTGCAGTATTCTGCAGATACCGAATCATTTCAAGGCGTTCGGGCTCCATGAATGGAGCTTCGACAATATAGCTTGCAATGACAAGACCAGGTAGAATGAACATAGGCCCTCCATACTCTCCTTTATGACGAATTCAGAGTGTTATCCTCGGAAACTTTGACTTTTTACCTGGGAAGTGACCATCAGGGGCCTGTAGATGTTTGAGGAAGTGGTAGCCGTTGCGCGCAGAGTCCAGCGCATTTTTTGGCGGAGTGAGAGATGGTAGATTCTGGAGAGTATGTCAATCCAATAGCCGAAGATTTTTCCTGAGCTCTTACCAGAGGGATTCCGAGCCAATAACGATCGATTTCGTTTTGTGGACGCCGTAGACTCTCTTCCTCTGATAAGTAATCCCATGCATGACTCCCTCCAGCTCCTAGTTTGATTCTCCAGCGACCGAGCTCCGTCATAGCGCGATAGAGTGGTATGGGAATAAGAAAGTGGAACGATTTTTGGTTGCGCCATCATAAAGTGTAACCGACAATGCCGATGGGGGGTGAAAGCCTGAATTTGAAGGCGGCGTTCCGACTTTAGTAGGAATATTCGAGGAGGTTTACAAGATCTACCATCGCGGTAGCAGTGAAAGCAGGACAAAACCGGAGGTTCCCGTGACCGTGCCTGCCGATTTTCACCGTTGTGGCGTGAGTCAACCAAGAGCAAAGGGACGACTGCAACCTCTAGCTCGCCCTTTTCATGTCCCCTTCCAACAATGCTTCTGAGGAAGTCGTCTTGGGACCCCCTCCCATCACGCCAGGTGGCACCTATACTTTGCAGGTTGATTTTTCTCTTTTAGTTCCTTGTCACTCCCACCGCCCTTGCTCACACACACACTTAGACTGTCTCTGTAGGCTGCAAAATCTTTATTCGACGACCAGGGCCCGATGGCGAAACTGAAGAACGACTTGCTGAGATACTGTCAATTCGGGACCGAGCTGCAAATCCATCTGCCCGCAACAAGGAGGTGAAACAAGAGGACCCGGCAGACAAGTGGGAGTTCTTTGTACACTGGGATACTTTCAACAAGCGGCTTGACGAGTGGGTTGCTGGCTCGCGCCTAATCCTCTCCCGTGATCTCGAGTGGCCTCGCCCCAAGGTGATCCAGCCTAAAAAGCAACCACCAGCGGCCAAGGACACCAATAAGAAGGTCCCCAGTAAAGCACCGAAGAATCAGCTGCTCAGAAAGGCGACAACAAAGGCGGCATCCATATCCAAATCTCCCCTCCCTATCACACCTAGTTTCTCTGCTTCCCCTTCACCACGACCACTGAAACGGAAACTTGAGGAGGAAGAAGAGGAGTTTGACGGAGATGAAGATGCCGACGCAGAAGGAGAAATGGATGTTGACGCCGAGTTTGACCTCAGTTTATCTGAGCCAGCGCCTAGTACAGAGCCACCCGACACATTCAGCAAAGAACAAGAAATCGAGAAATTGCGGACGTCAGGCTCGATGACCCAGTCTGTTTCTGAAATCGCACGAGTCAAAAACCTGAATCGCATCCAAATCGGCAAGCATGAGGTTGATGCGTGGTATTTCTCGCCTTATCCCAAGGAATACGCCCATCTTCCGGTGCTTTACATCTGCGAATTTTGTCTTTGCTTCTTTCCCTCCGAATTCATGCTTTCGCGACACCGCACCCGATGCACTCTTCTCCACCCGCCTGGTAACGAAATCTACCGATGCGACGACATTTCCTTCTATGAGATCGACGGCAAACGCCAACTGACTTGGTGTCGAAACCTCAGTTTACTGTCCAAATGTTTTCTTGATCAGTGCGTTCCCAACAACACTTGCTTGGTTGTGATTAACAAATTGAACAGCAAAACTCTGTATTACGATGTAACTCCCTTCATGTATTATGTGATGGTGCGTCTCTTTGTCTTACTCTCTCTCTCTTTCCCTCTACTAAATGTCTGCCAAGGTCCAACGGGACTCTGCCGGCTGCCATGTTATTGGCTACTTTTCGAAAGAAAAGGAATCAGCAGAGAACTACAATGTGGCCTGTATTCTTACCCTACCTCAACACCAACGATATGGCTACGGAAAGCTCTTGATCGAATTCTCCTACGAGCTCAGCAAGAAAGAAGGCAAGCTGGGAAGTCCCGAGAAGCCGTTGAGTGACCTTGGGTTGCTCGGCTATCGGTCTTATTGGGCCGACACGATCTTGGAACTCCTCATGAAACACACGGATGGTGACATGAGTATTGACGATATCGCCCAGAAAACCTCCATTACGCATGCTGACATAACCAACACGTATATGCCCTCTTTCCTCGTCCAAGTCGCAAATACTGATAGCCAACCTAGGTGTGCGACATTGGGTTTGTTCAAGCACTACAAAGGCACACACATCATCTGCCTCAGTGATGCCGTCGTCGAGCGCTACGAGAAATCCAAAGCAAAGCGAAAACGGCGCATAGACCCTGAATGCTTGCGTTGGAAGCCACCAGTTTTTACGAGAGATCAACTACGGTTTGGGTTTTAGCGTATATCTACTTAGGTTCGTCTGTACAGTAATGTTTTGTCGCCTCGTTTATTGGCGCTCGTCTTCGTCATGACCCTGGGGCTTACGCGTGGCCCGCTTTCTAAACACAATGCCCTCTTCCTCGTCGAGATCGACCAGCTTCTCGTCTGGCGGCAAACTTTTTCGGGTGATCGTTGGCGAAGGCGGACGCGAGGCGGCTGGAGAGAAGAGACCAACACCGGACAACTTCAAGCTGTTTGGCTCTGAGGTGAAATATGCTTCCTGGGAGGGGCTCGCGTTTTCCATGTTCAGTGGGGGGAGCGTATCGAGGGGGCTTATGTCGCATTGGAGTGCAGGCCGACCCTCTGTCTTGGTCACCGTGGTCATAGCGTCAGGCGAAGACGGCATGATCTGCACAACTGGAACCCGGCCTTTGCCCTTGCCAGTGCCGTGGATTGTCTTGTTGTCGCTTGTCGATGCATCGGTGAGATCGATGACCCCAAGGGTTCGCGCTATTCCGTACGAGACAATGTCCTACAAGACATGACAAGGTTTCTTCGCCTTTAAGACTACTACTACTCACCACAAGAATGAGGAGAAGGAAAGGGATGATGAGCAAAATCGCAAGAATGCGGCAGACATATGCAGTGTGGGAGATCCATGATGTTGGCTGGTCCGTCCACCGCCACAAGGAGTCGACATATAGTCTCCAGACGATGTTTGGAGCAGACGACAGTGAGAGGGACATGAATAAAGTTCGGCGTTTCCTATCTAGGGCACTCGTCACGGGATCACACTTTTTTGTTCCCTCTCAGTGGACGGGTATAGCATTAATACAAGCAAGGTCGACACAATGGCAGTAAAAAGTACACAGTCTATACGGAACACCCCTTCCCCACTCCTCTCGCCATCCGTCCGAGTTGAAAACATACAGGTAGTCGATAAAGCACGGCAGCAAACGGGGAAAGCACATAACAAAGACATAACAAGCATGCAAACACTGCCCAATTAAGGATAGTAGACGTTCGAGGGGAAAACAACACCGTCGGAACGGATGAGGATCAGGGGTCGTCGTTTTTGCGAGCCTTGTTCAGGCGGAAGACAGCCCAATACCTCGTTGCACCGAATCTCCACATATGGTGAAGGATCAGCACCGAAGAAAACAGACACTGGGTCTGTCTTTGAGAAGTTTTCCCCATACACAGTGAGCAGTTTTGACGCATGAGGGTTTGGCTTGGTCAAAACATTTCTGGCTCCGGCATTGTGGTGTTTGGGTGCCTCTGCTGCCCGATCTGGGGGAAGATACTTGACAAGAGCAGGGAATGGGGTAATAGGCTTCGATGGAACAGCATATGACCCTGAGGCGCTTTGGCTGTCGAGCAGCACCGGTGGGATATAGAAGTTGTACCGAACTTGGTCTGGGAAATGTCATTAAACAGGAGAAAAAAGCACGCGGCCATGTGAGAGCTTACCGGTTCCAACGATCGTCCACACGCTTGTCTCCCCAATATCGACTTGCCAAAGTGCTCCTGATGACGCACCGCCATCACTGGAAGACCCACGTCTCGTTGAAGTGACTGATCCAGCAGAACTCGGGCGACGGCGACCTTTCGGTCCGTTCTTGTTGATGGGACTGATGCCGCCAGCACTCGTCGAGCCACGCTTCTTCTTCACTCGCCCGCCATCATTGGACAAGAAGTCAGGTGACGCGGAAGGTGAAGTAGGGGCGCTGCTCCCGGTGGCTGAGTGAGGGAAATACTCGCTGCCAGCCGCCGAAGCAGGTCCGGACGACAATGGCGAGGCGGGCATGGGAGGTGAGTTCGTGCCATTCGAAATACCATTCCATTGTCGCCCATCGATAGGGCGGTAAGTGTTGACCTTCTCGCCCATGCAAGACAAGAAGGCCCCCGAAGTACCCGGAGTACCGGGCTCAGGCATTCCCCGAGCGGGATCATAAACCTCGAAGGCAATTTTGTGAAGCTGGGAAACCGGGTCTCCACAAACTTCTCCCGGCGCACAATAATGGTCGGCAACTCCTTTGGCGCCTTCCACTAGGCCACCACCAACAACAGTAGTTTGGTGGTCAACCTTACGAATAATCAGGACTGGGCTGACAACGCCAGATGTAAGGCATTGTAAGACCACAGTCTGATTGTAGTAGATGGGGATTTGAGACCCATTGTTTGCGAAGGGGACAGCGTTGGGTGGGGGTGAGGGGTAATCTAATTGTGGAGGTGGAGGCGGTGGGGCATCGATACCGCCCGCCGGTTTGTTGATGTCCACGATGTACATTACGAACGGATCTGAACAGATGAGAGTTAGCAATTTATTATTATTCTTGTCATGTCGTTACGAACCCCAACTGGCGGTCCGGGCAATGAAGGAAGGGGTGTTGGTCCGTGTGCGGTGGTCGAGACCAGTTAAAGGGGCTCCATCGGAACCCTTGAAGGATGAACCTGAGCCAGACACGCAGAGGTACTTGGTCGACACCGTTTGTGAACGCAGACGGTGGAAGAGAGAGATTGTTGACCCATGATTGATGCAAACTGGCCAAAGTCATAAGCGACAGCGGAACCAAATTAAAATAGATATATATACGTTCGAGATTCTTGGCACTTTGACGTTTTTTGCTAGGCTTGCTGATGACCTTGATGGGTCGGCTTGGGAACGTGCCAATGACCCTCTCAGGTTCTTCGTCCGTGGCTGGTGCGGTAATCCTCACCAGCGCTTCCACCTTTTTCTTCTTCTCGTCGACGTCGGAGATGAAGAGCTGCTTGCCAACACATCGACCAGTATAGGTCGTTCCAGTAGGAGGATCTGAGATATCAAAAGATTTCCCAGATGCACTGGTCCATTCAATAGAGCCTTCTTGCGGTGCTGGCTCCCCAGAGATGGAGATGAGAACTCGAGGAGGACATAATTTTGGCTCGTCCCCGCGACGAATGACCTCGTTCCACCACGAGTTGCCGATCATGATAGCGGTCGGCGGTGGACAAAGGAATCTGGTCACTTTTGTCAACGCCATGTGTTGTGCCTTGCTGACTGGGTAACGCACCGTTTTTCCGTACCATACGATTTCTGGGCAACCTTACTAGACATGACGATGAGGGTCCGCTCGCCAAAGGCGAGTCGGTTGGGGGTCCGAACATATTGTTCGAGATATGGTCTGACCAACAATTAGTTTGAATAAAGAAATGATGGAAGACGGCATGCCGAATGAAAGTGAGGATATCACCAGAGCCACCCATAGGTCGGGGTTGTAGGTTCATTTGGCGAAGGGTGTCGTCGATGGCACGGGCACCATTCAGCTCAGGGTTTGACATATAGTGTGGCATATCGTCGTATGGCGGCTGCCTGAAGTCACCGCGAATGGCATTGGGAGCCACACCAACCATGTCAGAGCCGTGCATTGGTGGCGGGGCCGGATTAAAGCGATGGTCGGGAGGGAAACGTGGAGGGAGTCTGTCAGGGAATTGTGACCCTGCAAACGGCATATACTCGTCGGGAAAGTCGGCTTGGTAATTGTTGGAACCAAGGCGGCGGTCAGAACCAAGATCGGGATAGTTGGGAGGGTAGTCCTTGAATGAAGGCGTCAATGGAGAAACCTTGCCACTGTTGTAGCTGGGAAGTGACCCCAGGTCGGGGTAGGTACCATTACTCGATTGGTAGGACGCGTCTGGGAACGATGGAGGATAAATTTGGTCGACATAGCGAGGAGGAGCGAGGGACGATGAAGAAGAGGAGTTGGTGCGGTAATTAGAGTCAAAAGGATGGCCTGGGAGGGTGATTGAGACATAGTTTGGGCGACTTAACCGAGCACAGACCTTCTGGGTTGTCGAAGTGGTGGGCGTCTGGGCAAAAGGTTAGTAGTGGTCGATCGTTACGAAGTGTTTTATTAGAGCTTACCATGTGGTGGATAGTCGAGCGCGGACATTTTTGGGTCGCGCGAAGTGGGATTTAGGATGCCTTGAAGGTCCCAGGAGGAGGAAGAGGTCGAGGTCATCCGTCACAGCGTGACTTTATTCTTTACTCTGTCTTTATAACAAGTCTCTTAACGCCTCGGCTTCTCTGTTCGGCTGGATAGATCTCAAGATTCCAACCCAACGGCTAACCCCGTTGTAGCATTCCCCAGTTTTCCCTCGCTCGATTGTATCGGCAACATTTCTTCCCACCAATCTGCTCCATTGCGCCCTCCTACTCACTCGCTGGTTCACTTAGACTGCTCAATACTGACTCGATACCAATGGCAGAATGACGTTACCCCACTGATACATAGCGCCAAGGAACCATCTTCTTGAAAAAAGATGCAGTAAAGTAATATGGATATGGAGTAGCCTGTAGAGGTCGCCGTGAACCGGAGCCAGTGCTCTATCCAATACTGCGGAAGTCTTGATGTTTTCGTAACTTGTCTGATTCGAAGGCTTTCCACCAATTGACCCCGACGTTACCTCTCTCGCGCCTTCATAATTGTGGTCATTGTCCTCGTGGGGAAGGGGCTACTTACGAGCGCTGAGCGTCGACAAGACCACTGCCTGATGAATTTTGAGACAAAAAATTCAAGCTTGATATATGCTGTGTAATCAAGCTGCGGTCAGCCGTGTGACGGCCCGCCGTCGTAACACTTTTGGTCGGCTTGTTTCGCACCACTATCACCCAGCTCAACCAGAATCATCGCCGTATACAGTGGGGAGCGACGAGGCCTTCCACTCTCCCTTTTTCCTTTATCTCTGTTGTGACAACAGCACGCGCAACCGTGACATCGGCTCCCTTGTCCGACCATGGCCTCCTACCGTCTGGAGGCACCAAGGGCCCGACTCCCTCCGCTCCAGGTTGACAAGCCATCGTCATACTCATCGTCGGAGCCCCTACTCTACAATTTACCTGTCGCTCATTCAACATCACCGCCAACATCTCGTCCAACAAGTCCTCGCTCCCCCAAGTCAAGGCTTACTTCTCCTACCTCCCCCACATTTGCACGCTCAAGAACACCCATAAGTGCTCGCCCAACTCCTTCCCCAACCGCACGCACTCGTTCCGCTACACCGATAGGTGTCAGTTCCAGCGAGTTGGATCAATTTGCCGAATATTGTCGCGCTTGGTGTGTCACTCGTTAATTAACAATGTTTCCTTTTTAATCCCAACTTCTTCCAGGTATTTCGACCAAGACGATAGCGCCGGTCGGTTGATGACCCAAACTCTTGCCAATCTTCCGTCTTCCCAGCGTGCTCCGTACTCCCGACTGCAAGCTTCTATCCGCTCGGCTTTCCATCGCTCCGTCAACGCCAGAAAAACTGCTGAATTTCGCGCTACTCTAAGCGCAACACTTCCCGGTGCAAGCCTGACACCTCATGCCCGAGCGAACCCTAACGGAAACGTGGCCAAGAAAGGTGCGGTCTGTGCACATGCGCGCTTATCGAGCTAAATTCAACCTAGAACGCTACGAACGATTTGAAAGATTCGTTCGAACCTGGTGCTCCATGGGTATGCCAGGGCCACAGCCCTTCTTTCAAAGTCGTACGTTGCGTGAATCTGGCTTTCGAACTCTTTCTTTAACTTTGTTTTCTACCAGTTTGGGCCATTATGCGGCTACAGATTGTACCAGAGACTATTGGTGGTGCAGGTCAGAACGTTATCATGTGGGAATTCAACGACGCCGTCTTTCGAGAGAGCGCTGGTCGGGACTTTATGCTTGATGCCATCGACGTCCTGAAGGGTGTGCTGGCATTTCAAGAAACTTCTTCTTCCAGGCGTGTTTCGGGCCTGCCTAATGACTATCAAGCCCCAACCATTCACGCTCGTTCACAATCACAACCCATATCCTCGATCTCCCCGAATGTTCAGCCGAAACGCGCTCGCGCCCCAAGTGACCCGTTTTTGGATACGCCGACAGTCACCCAGTCGCTTTCCTCTTCTCCTTCGTCGAATACCTCCGCTCTTCTCAGTAACCAGACGACACCTGAAGACCTCATGCCCCAGCTGTCTTCTAACATGACAGACGATGCCGAAGATCCGATAGACGACGTTGACGAGGAGTATCTTCGAATATGGACTTCACCAGATCTGACCAACCCGGAATTCGTGGACCTTTTAAAGGTGTTTCCCGCTTTCATCACGCGTCGCACCCTACCCCGATTCCCGGTCACAATGGCCTCCAAGGATGTTGAACAAGGCCTGAATGAGCTGGAGGGCAAGACACTTCAATTTGGCACTGGGACTATGTGGGTGAGCTCCATACCGCGGAGCGAGGGTTACCAAGGGGGGTTTTGGGCCCGGTTTATTTTATGGTGGAAGCAGGTCTTCTGCTAATGGACGTTCAACTGCACTGTATCTCCCATTCCATTCCACCGATCTGAACTATTCGCATCTGCATACCAATTGTACCACTCCCGATATCAAGTTTGAATAAATCGAACTAGAGTCGTCGTGTGAAAACACTGCATATTTTTGGAAATCAGTCGTTTTGGGTCACGCGAGACCTTCTCAATTCACCGCAATCCAGTCCCATGGATGTTGCAGTTGTGCCACTGATTCGGACAGGCTCAACTCATTCCGTTTCCGCCGATCTGACCTCTCGCGGGCCTCCGTCCACTCAAAGATAACCTGTCCATTGATTGGCTGGGAAGGAGCTCGCCAAGGCTATTCGCCATGAGCTATGAAAAGACTTTTACTGGACCATCGAACCGCTTGCCAATCCACTGGTTCTCCGCCTCTGATAGTGGGCCAATGGAATAGACTGGTATCCTTATCCGGCGCCCTTAAATGCTGCACAATCATGCTGACGCAAACTGACGAGGCTTAATTCACCTTGATCTCACGCCCCCGCTGGGATTTGCCATTATGCAACGACCGGCGAGCAGGCGTCTTGCGCGAGTGTCGCTGGTCAAAGTTCGAGGCTTCTCGTCGGAAAGCGGCTTGAAGTTCATCAGGTATCGACTGAGCATCAACCATAAGCAATGTGCTCCAAGCCCATGTCGAGTGTACCCCAACTGTACCCCCTGAGAAATGCTGCCTGCATAGTATTGGTCTTGATGCCGCAGCACGTTGCAAGTGTCTGTTTGACGGGTGTTATTTCGGTTTTAAACCTGTCGATCCTCTCAGGGCACTCAAGTGAGAATATCATGCCGAATGTGGGTCGATGCAAAGTAAGCTGGGTACCTGGGAGAGTTGGTGCCACATGGAAAGTAAGCCCACGACGAGGTTATTGGCTGTCTTTCAATCAGATCGAACCGCGAAAACAAGCGGACCAACCGGATGAGCTCAGGCCCAAAAGGTACCCGAGTGCCCTGGGGAGCCGTACGCTGAGAATTCCGCCTGCATCAGACCATCGTAACAAGTCAACAAGCTTTGTCGCATCCTTGATCACGTCTTGACCCCCCTGGAAAGATTCAAAGAATTCGGAACGTCGTAGGAGTTAGATAGAACTATCTGATTACACATTATGGACCTTCTCCTAGTCGCTGCTTGAGCCTAGAGAACCGTTGTTGTAAGCAATCGCAGTGGCACACAGCTTGCTAGTGGATGCCTTACTCTGCGATTTCCTCCTTTAGACATTGGATGTTGAACAAATATGCTTCGTTCAACATTTCCGCCGCTTTGAGACTTCTTTCGAGAGACCGGATGTGTGTAGCTGTCATCAAGCTGGAATCGTCGGTAGATGAGCGCTTTGTAACCGTGAACGACGCCACTAGCTCAGAACTGTCGGACGCAATATCACTCCCCGACGGCACCAAGTCTTCCTAACGACGAGCAGAAAACCGACTTGTAGGCGGAACAGACTCTCGAAGGATGAGTGTGACGTACCATAATTGTCTCGGAATAGTTGCCGCGGCTTCGACCAGATTCTGCTTCCGAAAAGTCAGATTCAGGCTGGTGAGGCGACACATTAGCACTATTTCCTTCCGTGCGGGGTACCGTGGGAGATGACATAGACTGAGAGCGGGGAGGAACCCAGCTTGGTAGAGTGTTGTTGTTGGGAGCAGGACTAGGTGATAGCGCTGAATGGGGGTCACTGGCAGTCTGATGGCCGGTCGCGCGCATTATGGCGTCGCGACGAGCTTGAGCGGCCGGAGAACGAATTGAAGACTGCCGTTTAGCCGGAGGTCCCAACTCCGACTCGGCAACTCTTTTCCGACTGGGTGTTGTTGGTGGAGACATATTTTGGGAGGATGTATTCTGTGAAGAAAAAGGAGAGCCTAGACCAACTATTTCATCCTCCCATTCTGTTTAGCGATGAATACTTCAGTATTGATAGTTCTGAAAGACCCACTAAAGAATTTACAAGGGTCGATGGCGCATTTGTAGTATGCACTAAGCAGGATATAGATTGAATATTTATGATCAAATGTCTTACCGATCTGGGTTCTTGACTGATTTGCTGACACGTCTGGGTAGCTGGGTTTCTGAACGAGGATAAGATTTGAGTAGTTGACAGAGACATATATAAGTACCAGGGTGTGTGCTACATCGCACTTCTATTGTTGACGACATCGTTGTTCAAGGAAAGCTTTAACCGGCGTGACGTCACACTAATGAGCTGTTCCCTCGAGCCGCGAAGCCTTTCGGTCCAACATATTCGATGGCTACCTCAAAGGCTGTTGCATTAACGGCCAAGGAATCAGGCCCCTATATAAACCTCTGTGATGAATGAACATCGTTTCACTGCTGCACTCCATCATGAACAACTTTGAAGCCAAACTTACGGATGCTACGGCTGGAGATAACCCGAGCCTGCTTGCTGCGATAGGCCTTGTCGTTGACTCCAATGGTGAGACGATCAATTTTCTTGGTAAACACCGTACCAACTTGCAGGCAACACTTTGTATCATCATGCTGCTGGTCGGCAGTCACTTGGCCCAGAAGCTTTACCAGTGAACCCAGCCAGTGTCATCTCTCTAGGCTCTGCCGGAAAGTTTGTCACACACGTCTCTGCCTTGCAATGCGTCGAACGTGGGCTTATCGGACTCGACGACCCGATCGACGCCCATCTTCCTGAATTGGCAAAAATGGATGTTATCTCTCATGGAGACCCATTCACTTTACGTCGTCCCAACAAACCCATCACACTCCGCCACTTGCTCACTCATTCGAGTGGAATATCATATCCGGGCCATCCACTGGTTCAACAGTGGAAAAAGACCGCCGAGCCTGTGCCAGAGTCTGCTCACACCATAGTGAAGATGTGTTCGATGCCATTGTTATACGACCCAGGCGAGAAACTCGTTTCCTTAAGTGTTAAGTATGCTGATCCGATTAACAGGTGAAGGGTGGTCGTATGGATCAAGTATTGAATGGACCTCCCTCCTTATCTCACGTCTAACTGGGCAGAAACTCGCTACCTTCATTCAAAAAAACATTTTTGATCCACTCGACATGACTTGGTCCTCATTTCAACCCCACATGGATGCCAGTATATCGAGCAAGATGTTGCAGATGGTGCAAAGAGAAGGCGATGAACTAGTTCCTGCACCATCAACAGCAGTGCAAGGTCTGGCATGTAGTGTAGCTGATATGCGCAAAATCCTCGTCGATCTTATTTCCCCGTCATCCAACCTCCTTCCCCAAACGAGTACCGATCTCTTTTTCCAGCCTGGTTTGGGACCTTTGGCTAAGGCTGCGTTGCAAGGCGACACAGAAGATTACGCAGCACCTTCTGGTATTCCCATTGATTTGCAGAAGCCCCCAGTTACCTACAACGTTCTTGGGTTATACGTCGAAGACGAATTGCCGCTTTCGCACTTTCCCGCAGGAACAGTCACTTGGAATGGAATGCCGAATGTCATCTGGGCCATGAACAGAGAGAAGGGTGTTGCGCTTCTGTTTGCCACGCAACTCTTGCCGGTGGATGACGAGAAAACGATGGAGATTGCGATGGAATTTTTGAAGGGGGCGTGGGCCAAGTTTACTTGATGTACAGACCATGCTTTTGTGACGTTTTGATAGCTAAACGGCCATGACCGAAATATCGATCCAAAGAAGATTTTTGGCGGGAAGAGATGAGTCGCAGCGTGGACTGGTTGTCGAGACAACCCTGTTGAAGGGGACGTGCATGTTTTGGGTCGGACCATGCGGGAGTGAAGAAGAGATGGAAAGTGCTGTGGAACAAGGTCGCTTGGCAAGAGACTGGGCTTGCGCGATGCCACCGCTGGCGGTGTGTGCTTCGAGGAGTGCTTTATCGGATAATACTGATTCAAGATGGGTAGAATGGAGAAGCAAGTGGTACATCGTTGTTTAGAAATGCAGCGAACGATGCCGCGTTATCGATGGCCATGAGACTTGGTTGGTACTGTTTTCCAGAGGTTCTGACGAAGAACTAATGAATACCAGCGAGGCGTCTACAGAAACAGGTCTTTGTAGGGTTAGATGTGGAGGGACTTGAAGCAGTCCGAGCTGAAAGGGCGATAATTAGTGAACAAGTGAACCGAGTGTGATTGTGTGTGACCTTGGCCTGTGTTTCGCTCGATTGCTCGTCGATATGGAGGACGACTTTGATTTACCTCGGTGGACAACACAAGCTGACCCACTGCCTTCATCGGCGGCAGCAGCTCAGTCAGCCTACTACCCACACAACGGAGTAACTCGGTCGCAAAGCATGTCTACTGGTCGGAGACGACATCACAACCAAGACGAGCTTGACCCGTTTTACTACGACCAATACAACAACTACAATCCACCCCGGTCTCCTCTCAGAACTGGACAGGACCAATACCAATATCCATATGCACACTCACGCCAGTATTCGAAGCACGAGTCGCCATACCCCTCCCCGAATCCATACATGGACCGCTCAGCCCCATCGACGCCACTTTCCTACCTTCATCCAGCACAAACACCGTCTTCATTTTATTCGCCAGACTCACAAATGGCAGTCGATTCTCCTCCCCAGAAACGACGAGCGTCTGGTTTCCGCAGAGTCCGCACAGCCCATGACCTCCAACCCAGACTCGACCTCCCAGTGGGCGGCAGACGGATGGGAGCAGACGGTGTCTATTTGTCTCCCTTGCGCCAACTGACGACCAACCTTCTCGATACTTTTCATATTTGCAACCCACAATTCCGCTACGAGGCCACCCACAATCCCAGGCGTGTCCTTACCAAGCCAAGTAAACCTGCACACAACGAGGGGTACGACAACGAGGATTATGACTATATACTTTATGTCAACGACTGGCTCGGGGCAGAGGACGGTCATAAGTGCGTGCTATCTTTAATTGTTCCAAAGAAACTTAGCTAACAACGGCAACTAGATACCTTATTCTCGATATTCTGGGTCAGGGCACTTTTGGTCAGGTTGTCAAGTGCCAGAATATGAAAACGCACGAGATCGTTGCGGTCAAAGTCGTGAAGAACAAGCCTGCCTACTTCAACCAGAGTATGATGGAAGTGACCATCCTGGAAATGGTCCGTGCCGTTCTCTTGCGGAATCGAATCCTCGTTTATTGATCGCAACAGCTGAACAAAAGCTCGGATCCCAACGACGAACACCACATTCTTCGACTACGCGACTCTTTCATTCATCGGTCCCATCTATGTCTGGTCTTCGAGTTGCTCAGCTCGAACTTGTACGAGTTAATCAAGCAGAACCAATTCCAGGGTTTGTCAACGCAACTTGTCAAAGTGTTTATGGCCCAACTTCTCGATGCCATGACTATCTTGAAAGACGCCCGACTAATACATTGCGACCTGAAGCCAGAAAATATTCTGCTCAAATCTCTTCAATCACCACAAATCAAAGTCATCGACTTTGGGTCCGCCTGCCACGAGCGACAGACGGTCTATACCTATATTCAATCACGGTTTTACCGAAGCCCAGAGGTTTTGTTAGGTATGACCTATACCGCGGCCATCGACATGTGGAGTTTGGGCTGCATTGCCGTCGAGCTTTTCCTCGGTCTGCCCTTATTCCCGGGAACCAGCGAGTACAACCAGCTTACTCGGATTGTTGAGATGCTTGGTCTACCGCCCCAAAGCATGCTTAATACCGGCAAGCAAACTGCTCAGTTTTTCGACTCCTACGAAGTGTACAATCCACACACGAACCAAAACGAGAAGAAGCACAGATTAAAGAGTATCGAGCAATACTCGCGAGAGCACAACACTAATGAGCAACCTGGGAAACAGTATTTCAAGGCGACGTCGTTACCTGAAATCATCAACACAGCGCCAATGCCTCAGAGCAAGACTGCACGACAAGGGCACGAAGTTGAAAAAGGTCTGTCTGTTCTTTCTCTACTGGTTAGTCAGTGTAGCATTAACAATTATTTCGTTCAGAACTCAACAATCGTTCCTCATTCATCGACTTTTGTCAAGGACTACTCGATATGAATCCTGTCACAAGGTGGACGCCACAACAAGCACGGTTGCACCCGTTCATCACAGGCGAGAAATTTACCAAACCATTCGTGCCGGACAGCATCAACGCCAATGCCCCGCCCCAAGCAACACCCCCTGTGGATCCTAAGCGGCCATATGGTGGACTTGTGCCTTCCCAACCCAAAGGGACCCGGGCTTACACTGACGCTGCGAGCTACAATCACCATTTGGGTCAGCATCAGGCTTATACCGCCTCGCAAGCACAACAGTCGCAAGCTGCTGGGGCATTCAGGAATCCATATATCCAGCCCCCACAACAGCAGCAGCAGCAGCCACAGCAGCAGCAACCACCACCGCCACAGCAACAACAACAGTCTTCGACACCGAATGCGTATCCAACACCACCAGAGAATGCTTACGCGCCGCAACAACAGGCAGCCTACGCACCTCCCATCAGCCATCGCACTCTTTCGCACCAGAGCTCAGCTGGCCAGTTGAACACTAATTATACTCCTCCATCTAGTGGGGCAGCATCGGCTTCTTTAAGCCAGTCCACGTCTTCCACGCATCTTGTTCCTTCATCGTCCTACTACCCTAATGCTAATGCACGGAATCGGGCAAATACCATCAACCAGATGGACCCGGTCCCGCCGGCACTTGCTCGTCTACAACAAATGAACCAAGACGTGATTCAAGGCAGAAATGCGTTGACACCCGTGCTCAACCGTGACGATGCGATGCGTGAATGGGAGAGAAGGCAATCCGGGAAGAGCGCTGCTGCTGTCCCGTATCCACAGCTCGAGTATCTACAACAACAAGCTGAGCTTGCCGCTGGGACTGGAGTGACCAATTGGGCGAGGTATCAACCACCACCATCGAAACTGGCGCACAGCTACCATCCACCCGCCAATCTTCTCAATGATGAGAGGGATGAGGCGAGTATTCGAAGAGATGTTGTCATGTCCAATGTGCGGTCGGCTGCTGCTGCTGGAAGAAACGACACAAGCGCATACTCCAACTCGAATGTTATCCCAAGTCCTGCCCAAGCATATAGCAGCAACTCATCAACCTCAGCAAGCCGTTATGCTACCAGCTACTCTCAGGGTCCTCCGTCTCAAACACAACAACAACAGGTTTTCGAAGGCGCAAGGCCCGAAATTCCGAGTTTGTTTGTGCCAATGCAGCCGGATCCTTATGCGTCTTATTCGAGTGGTCCTCCAAGTGCGGGTGGCGCGAGGCATGTAGCTCCTCCTCCGCCATCTTTCTACGGGCCAGGTGGACGAAATCCATTCTCTGGCAATCCCGATCAACCACCTCTCAGTGCGGGTCCGAAGAGCGCTCAGGAACCGCGGAGGGGAAGCAATGGCATGGACGCTTGGCCGCGATAAGCAACTCACTGTACTCACTGGCATCTCATCTTTCTCCACTAACCGACACCCGCATGTTGGCGCGTTGAAAAATACATATTTCTGTTTTTTTTTTCTCTCTCTTTCCGTGTTTACGTACTGTCATGACTATGAGCGAGACTCATTTGCGTCGCTTCTATGTATTCCGCTGCGCAATCTACATATCTAGGCGTTTGCAAGAGTCTGGAAAATCTCTTCGACCTCCCAAGCCCCTGTCCAATATTTCACCTCACATTGCAAGCCACCTTCCTTGGCAATGCGTTTGTGAAGCCCGCCAAAGGAGCGGCAAAGAAGGAGATCTTGACTGATATCATGTTAAGCCTGAAAGGAAGTGACAGAAGACAGAAATCCACACGCACGTCCTCAAACGAAGGGCAGGACAGAAATCGTTTGATCCATCACCGACATAGACGACACGGTCGTACATGGGAAGATGACGTGTAAAGAACGCTTCCAGCTCGTCGCCTGCATCCAGAATTAACAAAAAAGAACATCAAATAGTAACAAAAGCACCTTTACACATATTTGCGCTGCAACCTATCTTGCAGGAATGCTGGGGCCCTTCTGGATCAACGCGTCGACGGACAACTAAAAGTCCTGAGGGGTCCCAGTGTGCAGGATTGGTCACTATTTCAGTAAACATCATATCGAGACCTTTTTCCTTGAGGATGACCGAGATGTAGACCGAGTTGGCATTTGAGAGACAGAAAAACGTTGTGCTACCGGTTGCTTTGAGATTGATAATCGCACGAACCATTGCGGGGTGCTGAGTCGAATGTCACAGAGAGAGTTACCATGGAATATTAGACATACGAAGGGCATAACGCGGAGGGCATCTTCGAGCTGTTGGCGAGTTACTCCTTGAGCGTGTGCATCACGAAGGGCTTTTGCACTTTTAAGTGGGTTCGCTGGTGAATCGAGTGTCTGGCGAGAGTAGCCCTACATCATGTCGGTGAACTGCATCGATCCAGCTGTCTCAGTCTCCTCCATCCACCGTCGGATATTTGGCGCGTTCACTTCAAATACCCAGCGATCGGTGTCTTGGTCAGCCATAGACCTGCCCATTCTTCATTTAGAATTCCAATGTAAACGCATAAACAGAGAGCGACTACCAGTCGAAGTCGTAGACGACGAGTTGTCGGTTGATGGGAGGCATTCTGGCAGCTATTCTGGTTGCAGACAATTTACAAACGAAATCGTCACGGTCACGGTCACGCTGGCGTGACGATTTCACCACGATGAGCTCTGAACCCACGAATTTCTCCGGGGCATTGGCCACATGGAAGGGTAATAATTGCATTCATTCCCTCGGACTATCTGGTGACAATCCTCCCCAGAAATAAATCTTTCTGAACTCCAGAAAACTCTTGACGCGCAAGGGATACAACTTGTCGACAACCAGAAGGAGAGTGTTGTCGGGCGCAAGGCTTTGGCCGACAAAACCAAGGGTTGACTTATCTGGAACTTCTAACGCGCGACGCTAAGCCACGGACAGAGTTCAAGAAAATACCGGACAGCGAGAAGCTCGAGGCGTTCAAGGGTTTGCTGAAAGGTGCGGAACCATCTATGCGAGAATGGCTTGTGCTGAAACTATTCACGCGCCATAGCCTACCAAACAGAGATAGACAGTCTCACCAAACGATCCAAGGCCTCTGAGAATGCATTCCTCGATGTGTACAAGGTGCTTGCGGAAGCGCCGGACCCATATCCGTTGCTGGAAGCCGCTGTTGTAATGCCATCGCTCTGTTGGCTTTGCATTTCGACTGAGCAGTCTCGTAGGACCAAACAGTCAAAGTTGCCGAAGCACGCGACTTTGAAGCGGAGCTAAAACGGCTGCGGGAAGAAAACGTGGACCTACGGAAACGCGTCAGTGACTTTGCCTCAACCGAAGCCGCCAAGAAGAAGTCCGAGCAGAAAGTCGAGCAGCTCGAGCAGAAGGTGAGCTTGCTTTTCTAGAGCGATTCAAGTCATTGACCCTGTTCAAGATGGAGGAAATGATCCAGGAGAAAGTTGCTCAGAAGGAGAACGAACTGAATGCCACTTATGACGAAAAACTGCGCAACTACGAAGAGAGGGAGCAAGACCTGCAAAAGCAAGTCGCATTAACGAAAAATCAATTGCTGGATTTGCGCATGTCAAATGAATCGAACCAAGCGAAACTCATGGATCAAGGCCAAAAACAAGGTTAATCAACTGCACGCATCGTCTTAGAATCGGGATTGTGCTAACAGCGATCAGACAAAGAAGTTGTAGCCAAGTTGGCGGAACTTGACATGGTCGTCGCCGATTTGGAGCGTGCCAATAGTCGTGTGGTCACAGTTGAACGCCGTAACGTGTGTTGTTCTGTTCCTCAGGTTCTACAGATGACTTCAACTCTTATGATTTAGGAGATACTGCGAGCGGAGATAGAAACTATTCGTACTGGCTCGGAGAGTTCAGACCGGTGTGTACATCAGACCCATTCTAATCTCCGCTCATTTTTCAAGGGTCAAATCTTTGCAGTCTCAAATCGCTGATTTGGAAGCTGAATCCGAGCGTTTGTCTCGCGTGCTAGAGTCGCAAAAGCAAGTCTCCTCCGAGGCGACAGTTGCCGCTCAGAAGCGGATAGATGACCTTTCGCGCGACATTCAGATTAAGGTAGAACAATATTTGATTGTTTTTGTCTACTTATCTTTGCTTAGGCGAGCGAGATTGACCAGCTCAAGAGCAAACTTAAACAATATGGAGACTATGACGAGATCAAACGTGAACTAGAAATTATGAAGGTATTCTCTTCTTAACTACAAGAACCACACTCATAAGCCATCTCAGTATGTTGAATTCGCGGGCCTTGATGACGCAGACGATGAGGAAGGAGATCACGACACTAAACCCGACTCTGGGTTGCAATTGCCAAATCCAAATGCTCAGAAAGCCAATGCCCATCGCGGAAAGACGCTGGAAGCTCTTTTGGCCACGAAGAACAAGAAGTTGCTGGAAGAACTCACCAAGTTTAGAGTCAGTACTTGTTTATGGTTTCTCGTTCGCCAAAGCCTGAGACTCTCCCAAGATCATTCACACAGAACTCGAGGCCTCATTAGCATCCGCCGAAGAACAACTGTTTACAACAAAGGCCGAACTAGAGAAGCAGAAGGACCTCAACGAGAAGTTAGAAACTGATCTACTGTCTATGAATTCCCACAAGCCCAACGGCGACCTCGATGCTTCCGAAACGGATACAGGAGATGTTTTGGCTGGACTAGATCTCGGTCGCAAAGCTGTGAGTAGTAGTTTTCTAGGTTGGGTATGGTCTGTCTAACTTACTCAGGACCCATCAGTGAGAAGCACTCCAATACCATTCTCCTCTTCCGCCGACACAACCATTCTTCCTATTGTTACGAGCCAGAGGGACCGATTTCGGCAACGGAATGCTGAATTGGAGGAGGTACGTATGCTCATCAATATTCTTAAGCGACAAGTGCCGACGGGGGCTCCAGGAACTGCGCAAACAATTCCAGATTATTTCCGAGCTACGGGCTGAGATCAAGAACCTGCAAGCAGATAACCTCAAGCTCTATGAGAAAGTGCGATATATGCAGAGCTACCGAGAAGAGGCCGGGTCGCGTCCGGTCACTTCGCAACTCGATCCTCTGCCTGCCTCACAATCTAGCTCATCACGTGTTGACGACATGAGCAAGTATCGGGCAAGATATGAGGAGGCGATGAATCCCTTTGAGGCCTTCCGGGGACGGGTTAGTCAAAGCCTATCGATGACGTTCATTCTGATTTGTCCCTAGGAAGCGACAAGGGCATACCAAAACCTGAACCCAATTGAACGTGGTGTGCTCATTCTGACTCGCGGTATCCTAGGAAATCGACGGACTCGGGCGTTCTTCATCGTCTACGCGATAGCGCTGCACTTGTTAGTCATGTTTTCGACCTACGAATGCACTGCGACATCTGGTGGAGACTATCAAAGACAGCCAGGCCCGCGGTAATAGTCTAAGACAAGTTGCATTACTTTACAGGTGGACCATATAAGTGTGTAATTAGCTAATACAATGTTGTTCAATGTCCTAGCCGCGGGCAGCGGGCTTTGTAGTCTTCGTCTGATGATATCCAATAGCACGATTCACAGCCGTCATGATGGGTTTCAGAGCCTAAACAAAATGGTCAAACAAATCCACAGTGCGTCTTCCCGTTCGACTCACAATTTCTACCCGTTTTGGATCCACATTGTACTGAATAGACATGTGCACTAGAGCGTCAACCTTGTCCTGTGTCTTCGAAAGAAAGCTGATCATTTTTGCAGCCTTTGCCGCTCTTTGTTGGGGCGTGGGCAGCGCAACAACTTGCACCTCGGTCGCAGGTGGATGCATCGATGACCAAAACTGGCGCAAAAACTCATTCGCCGCCGCCTGGCAGATTGTCATTTGTCGGAAAAACGCATCAGGGATGTCATCTCCAACCGCGATCAGCAAAGGCACTAAGCCAAGAAAGAGTAGAGTGGACCGACTTTTCCGCATCTTGACTTCTAATCGAGCCGAGACGTTCTGTGTCATGGAGCTGAATGCCGCATCGCCGGCCGGACGCTCGATTTTCAGCTTCATATCAGCTTAGCAAAAAAAAAAAAAACTTGAGTAAAGGCAAGAGCGAACCTGAGATAACTTGGCCTCCCATCCATCCATGTTCTGCTTCGCATTTCGTATTAGGCTTTTCATGTCGCGAGGCTGGAATAAATCTCTTAACCAAGAAGAGAGCCGGTGGGGTCACAAGGAGACAAACCTTGTCTGCTTCCGTAGACGAGCCATTCGCTACACCTCCTTCGAAGTAACGTTGACGATCTTGCATTTCAAGAACAATGCCGGCGGCGGACTCGGCGTCGTGCAAATCGTCCAGATCTATTTGTCCATAATCACCCTTTCAGGTTTCGTTAGTCAGCAAGAACTTGATACCACCAACATGTACATACATCGGCGTTAAGTTTTTGTCGCTTGGAAGCAGGAATATCGCCGCTAGTAACGTCAGCATTTGAATCCGGAAGAAGATGAGAGGACAAACAGCGCAGAATTCAGGAGTCGCTCCGAATGTTCGTTGAATTTTCTGATCAGAGGTAGTGCCCCGCGCTGCCTTCCTGCAAGCATGGTGACGTCTTTTTCATTTCCCGTCTGGACCGAATCAGCTGAACGCATATGCTGCGAGGAATGACGAGCATACTTCAACATGGTCTTCTGATGTTGCTGCTAAGTCCACAAACAATTCTACCCGTTCTGATCGCTGCCGTCGGGGTTCAAGTTCTATTACCAAGTGTCCGTTAGTTGGAGAATATAAGTGTTCAGCCATGGTCCAAACCATCGTCAATCCTTTCGAGGTACTTGTCGAGTATAGGGTCATCTTGAACGACATGTTGAACTGCAGTTGAACGAATGGATGCCCGATGTGCATGGTATAGCTTCGACTTGAAATATCGCGTCCAAAACTCGCCCTCGGACAACTGGATTGTGCGGATTTGAATTTATGCAGAACAAGACATATTGGGAGAGTCATACTTTGCTGGGGACGTTTTCTCTATGGGCTTTTGCGATCACAGGATATTCCTCGAAGATTTCCTGGATCATCTGGGGGGTCATGACGATTTTGATTTCACCCTCTACGGTCTCCGGGCGCGGGTCGACGATAGGGCCAGGCTTTCCCTTTCGCTGGTTCTCAGAGGCGGCGAGGGAGAGAAGGAGATGCTAGTGGCATTGCAGAGATAATTGAATGGTACGAATTATGCGCAAATGGGGTGGAATTTACTTCTCGGCCTTCCCAAAACTCTACTTCGGACAGTTGACCGGTCATTGCAACGAGCTCACGATGCAGAGCGCCAAGCTCAGTATCGCTCTTGAGGACTTCCTTGCGCAGACGAACATCGGTAGCGTAGTCATTTCCTGGGATGATTATAAGGTTTCGTGGGTCACTTGAAGAGACAGAAGCTGCGCGAGACGGGGTATGCGAAATGGATGGACGTTGAGGAAGCGTGGCGGGAGGCGGTGGTGCTTGTATCGGGGAGGGCTTTGGAGGAGCGGGAGCACGGGCAGCAGCTTCAGCACTTGCTCGATTCCGACCAACAATGGCGGTGAGTTCTGTCTTGAAGTTCTCGCGTTCATGTTGGGCTTTTGGGGATGTGAAAGCGAAACTATGGCCATTCTCGTCGTTGAAGAGGGCCACCTTGAGTCTGACCTGCTGTGCGCCTTCTTTGCTGCAGAAAAGAGCTGTCGGCGTGGTGAGCGTAGTAACAAAGCAAACTCTGCCCACAAACCAGACACATCTGCTAATGGAACGCGTACAGAGGGTTGTTTTCCGTCTTGAGCCCATTGGAGGTGCGCTTCAGTGAGTTCCAGCAGCCCAGGGAGCTTTTTATACGATGCTTTTGCCGCACACACGAAAGAAGGCATTCAGAGTCATAACGTCACGCGATCACAACGCTTTCTCTTTTGAACATCAACGTGCAACTGGAAGGTGTTTCACTCGAAGACTCAGCGGAATCGATATTCGTGTTACAATGGCAAATTCAAGTCCTTTACACTCAAGAATTTCTCCGTTTTGAAGCTCTCGTTCGCCAACAGCCCAACCACCAAAGCCATGGCTCCATCCCTTTCGTTTGCACTCTGCTTTGCCGCGTCACCAGTCTCCGGTTCAGCCCCAACCAACGGTCCAAACAATACGCTCAACATTCTCGCATCCCCTCCTCCATGCCCAGCGTGGTCATAAATAACCGGAAGATTGACCGGTTTCTGCCACAAGTTGTGCAGAACCACGGTTGCATCTCCTGCGTTGGGAAGTGCGGAAATGCCATGAACAAGTCCATCGGCTGTGTTTGGTACACGGAACTGCGACTCGACAACATTTAACTCAAGTCGACCTTGAGAGCCATTGAACATGACGCGATAGCCCTCCCATGGCGAGTATGCTGTCAAATGGTAGGTCATCGTCACTCCGTTCACATAACGGACCTAAAAGTCGAATTAGAACTTGTCAAAGCATTCAACCTATGTTCCATACCATAACAGACATATCGTCCTCAATCCCGATGCCTGGCGCGAAGACGTTCTGGTCTCGATGGTAGCCGTCTTCACCCTCTGCGTCAGCGTAAAGCCCTTTCAATTCCGGGTCAGCCTCTATGTTGATTGCAAATGGGTCATCTCTGGCTTGGTCGCTTCCGCGTGCTCGTTCATAGTCTCTTGCCCAACCATGTTCTTTCCCTGCTTTGTCGCCATAAAACGCAAGCTTTCCGAAACCTGCGACTGTCTCGGGTTCAGAGTCGATCCACCAGTTTACGAGATCGAAGTGGTGGCCGCTTTTGTGGACCATCAGTCCTCCCGAGTTTGCTTTGGACCGATGCCATCTGGAGTACTTCTGAGCAGATAACAAAAATACCGTTGTAATCGCTCACCTTCTGAAATAATCCGCTCCGTGTACCGTGTCCAGCAGCCATTCAAAATGGACCGAAAGAACTGGTTGACCTTTTCTGAGTGTTCGGCTGAGAGTAACGCTAGAACACACCTTTTCCGATCTTACCCTCAGCAATCGTGCGCTTAACTAGCTCATGCACTGGGTTGTAACGATAATTGAAGGTGACGGTCAAGTGCTGCCCCGTTCGCTGAATAGTTTCCAAAATCTGGCGGCACTTGTCGATGTCGGTGGTCATTGGCTTTTCAGTCAAGACCCGGACTGGCCGTAAGTGTGCGTGTAAGCTCAAATGAGGATATTAGCAAATACCAACCTCCTGCTTCGAGCGCGGGAACGATGTATTCGTTGTGTAGATGGTCAGGGCAAGTCACCACGATTGTCTCTACTTGTTCCTTTTGAAGCATGTCCTTGAACTCTTGGGGCTTGTAAACGGGGACCGCTTGGGCGCCAAGTTCGGTGAGAAGCTTGTTGTAGCTTGCCGCGCGAATGCGGTTGGGCTCGCAGATGGCGACTACAACGCTCGATGGGCGGGCGACTATCCCACGGACGAACATCGCAGCGCGGTGGCCAGTCCCCACAATTGCAACTCGTCCGCCCAGGGTTGTCGACATGGTTCAAAAGCAAGTGGGATTCCGCGATCTCTAAATAGGTATGGCGGATCTCATGGGTATTTCGGGCCGGCGAAGGTTTATTTCAAAAGGGGTGGTCCGCCAACGGGCCGACGACTCGGAATGGCATCACCAAAAATTGGGGTTGGCAAATAGCAAGGCAAATAGCGTTGTTACATAGTAGTACATTCGCACACAGCTCCAGAGTCTCAGAGATTTATCCCACTTCGCTGTTGAAAGTGGATCAACCAACAGCAAAAACAACACATAGAAAGGCCAACCAATTGTTCGATAGCAGCCCGTTCTTGTGGCGAGAGACCCGCTAATTGTGCTGGGGTTAGATTCATAAGGATCGATAGTGCGTGCTATGATTTGCCGTCAAAAACGAGTTGGCGGGCGATGTTAACAATCACCTGTTGCTCAGCGTTTCCACTATTTGGGAAGGGGACTAAAACTGGCGGTGGTTGGCCTGGCAAATGTGTTGGAGGCTGGCTATATTGTTGGGCTGGAGCTGGTAAGTAAGGAAACGGCTGCGAGAGGGAATCTCTCACGATAGAGGGGCACATTGGTGTATACAGGCATTGGCGGTGGCGGGCCCGGGGTTGGCTGAAAGATTACAGAATGAGGTGGAATCGGAGGTTGAGTGATGGGAGGAGGTAGTGAATATGCATTGAACGCAGAAGCCGGTGGTCCAGTTGATGAAAAGGCAGTTGGAGGTGATGGAGCATAGGTTTCACGGGCAATGGCAGTATCAAGAAGCTGTTGCAGTAAATCTGGGGGAATAACCCCACTAGCAGCAAAACCAGTGAAGACAGCAAAAGCAATCTGAGGGTGATGCCGGAGAAGGACCAATGCATGTTTTGGATGGGTGAATACGAAAGCCTGAGAAGAAAGATCAGATTGGCTCTGAGACTTTGAGTGCCAACTACCTTCATTTGAGCGAGGATCTCTTGCAGCTCGACGGAGCTACGCTCATGGATGAATTGTCTAATGGTGTCCACTGCTTGTTGACCAGGTAGCAGTGGCTTGCCCGAGGGTACGGCGGAGAGAATCTCTTCTCCGTTGCTCTGACCACTGTCATTGCCATTCCAACCATCTTCACTCTCGATAATTTCCCCGCCTTTGGTCGTCTTGCCTTGCAACAATGGATCACTTTCTATAGTCAAAAGAGTGAGTAACATCAACAATGCAACCACAAGCAACAAACCCGCTAGATCAATCCGTAACAAACGACCGCCAACTTCGATATTGTTGAGGTTGCGAGCAGCAGATAGAGCAGTGGCATGGTCTTGCAATTAAGTTGAATATAGACATGGGATGAGGTAATAACAAGTGCACCAGCAAACTCGCAGAAACCATAACCTTTGGGTTTTCCGGTGTCTCGGTCGAAGACCAGTCTGTTTGTCGATAGCTCATCAGATACCTCGATCGAAGCGTCGGGGGATACGACGAAAAGAAATAGAAAGGAATAGAGACCTGAAGGCGACAACTGGGCCCACAGAGTTGAAGACGTCGATCAATGCATCTTCACTGGTCTTGAACGGGATATTACCCACTGGTAGAGGATGATTTGGAAGGCTACCGGCGAGCACAAAACACACCAAACACAACCTTACTCATTAGTGGGTGACAAGCGTGGACAAACTTTCGCACGCTCACATGCGTCTCAAAATACAATGCTCTCAACCACCGCTCAAATTTTGGTTTGCACCTGGGGATCACGAATGCTGCACAACCATCGGTGACCTCAAATCCGCGTTGACGAAACTGTTGGACGAAGTCAAGCCACTCAAACTGGCCCTCGATGGTTTCGAACTTTTGGATAGAAGCCAAATAACCCATGTTCTGCGCGATGGAGATCTGGTGGTTGTAGCTAGTAGTGGTATGTGGCCTGGTCATCGTTACATTGGTTTGACTGGCGTAATAAAAAAGGTCGGAGCGGAACGAAACGGAAAAGAAGCAATTCTACGTCGTCGTCATCGTCGTCGTCCGACTCGAGTTCCTCTGAGTCTGAGTCTGACTCTGACTCTGACTCGAGTTCGAGCAGTTCTTCTGCCTCTTCCTCTCCAGCCAAACCACCTCCAATATCTTCATCCAAACCTAATGTTCCGCCTGGTCAAGGCAAACCATCGACGCGTTCACGCAATGCTCGTCGAAAACTAAAAGCACTGGCTCTCAAGACCGCGACTGCCACTCTCCCCGCCTTCCTTTCCGCCACAAACTCAACGCCCATTGCGCCTGTTGAAGTTTCGATTCCCTTGCAGAGTGAAGCCGAAGAGACTCTGAGGGTGCAGATGATGTCCATGCTCCCAAAATCGAAAAACAAGAACAAAAGCCGGAGGAATTTCGATCGAACAGATGCACAGGCGCGTAAAATTGTCTTTGATCAAGAGGAGACGGCGTCCCGCCCTGCTTTCATACCGCCATCAGCATTACCGCCGGAACGCATCCCGCCCAACGTATTCATCACCTCCATTGATGTCGAGGAGGGGATCAGACGCCGTCCAAGACAATCACAAAGACCAAAGCAGGAATATATGCAAGATGTGCAAACTGTGCTTGATGAGAAGGTAGTTGGATTGGACTGGGACAATTCCCCAATAATCGACTCGCATTCTCAGCTTGCGGCGAACCAGATCATTGGATTCTCCGTTCGTCATCCTTGCGGTGTCGGTTAAGCCACTCACGTCGTGCAAGGGACTAATCATTGACATGACAACAATGTCGCCAGTCATAGGAAAACGACTGGGACGAGTTCAATCATGGACTGACGAATTCATAGTCGTCACGCGGGGGATCGAAGGCCCACATGGATTTGAGGACGAGGAGGTAGAAGAGGAGCTAGACTGGAGCGAGGTCCAGGGTCAATGGAAAATTTTACAGGCTTGATCTTCAAGAAAATACTATCCATACTACTGCAACGGACTACTAGACTGGTTCAGCTTCTCCAAATCGCTCCTGCGGCGCTGCTTCTCTTCCTTGCTCTTCTTCTCCTTCCTCGGGAATTCGCTGTCTGGTCCAACCAACACCAGAGCTGGATGGGATGCATTCAGCAGTAGAAGCGCTAGAAACATCGGCAGCGCCTCGGTCGTGTAAAATGGTGCTTCTGTCATGGTGATGGGCGAAAAGAGTCCAGATGAAAATTCGATAAGGCGAAAGATGATGCGAATCTGTGGTCGTGAGCATGCGGTCAAGGTCGTGAGCCCGGCGCACCGTAATTAGGACTATGCATGCGTATATGGTGTACAGTGAGCGTTTCCAGCCCTGGTCATTCGATTCATCGATTTCTTGCATCCGGAAATGGTAGCGGACGACGAGGCCTGTGAAGAGAAGAACAAAGAATTGCTGGAAGCCGATCCCACCCATGTAGACGTGGATTCCGATGAGCATGAGTTTCGCAGAATTGTCAGGATTGATCAGCGACCCTCCTCCTGCCTGAACAAGGAACGCTCTACAAGCCCATTAAAGTGATGTCTTTTATCCTATCAATGCACTCACATTATATCCAGAAGAACAAAGATCACGGAGAGGCGCTGAGCACGAATACCCAATAAACGCTTCTCGGGAACGAAAAGGTAGATCAGACGCGCCATGACGACGTACAAGAAAGCATTGATCCACAGTGGCGAGAGCAAAATTAAGAGCTGTGACGGGACACCATATGCCCCAGAGGTGGTGTGAAGTACCGACAACACACGAAGGACAAATCCTCCCGTTTCCCAGGCAGCACCCATGATGACGACCCAGCAGAAGCGCTTCCGGTAATAGACGGCTTGAATCAAGTGCACGATTAGGCTGAGCCCAAATAGGGCGGAGAAGAGAACTGCAGCTGGAAACGAGGGACAATACAGAAAGTTATAATTTTCGTTTGTGCGAGGGTCTGGTGAAGTAAGAAACCAGCAGGCATCATGGGGCCAGCAGCGTACCCATGCATTGCACGTGGACCATCGTAGAAGTCGAACGCTGAACGGTGCGATGCCAGAGAGAGAATGAAAGTTGAAATTGAACGGGAATTGGTACATTCGTTATTTCTGGCGATTTATATAGCTCATCAGATTGAGGGCGAGGCCATAGCTGTACAGCAGCCCGCAAGGAGTTGGCCTCCTCGTGTGGAGGTGGGAATGGAGACTGTTCGATATTTCTAGAATCTGTCTTGACCGCAGCACGCAGTAGGTGATTTCTCCAGATCCGTCGGTGTGTCTGCATAGCGTACATTCATACCGCTGAGCTAGAGATGCCGGGGACAATTTATCTAATCTTGACTGGAGATCTTTTCATCGAATATCGTTTCAACTTGAAGAAGATGCGAGTGCAAAGCTGTGAGATCCGTGAGGAATCGGCGTCGCCAGAGCCTATATACTAGTGCAGCTTCTGCTTCGTGTGGGGGGATAGCAAAGCCAGAAATAGTGTTCTGTACGCAGGATAACCTCTTGGGATGTTCAAAGCAAGTGTCGAGCTATCTGATGGCAGTGATTGATATGTGTGATGGCGTCACAGCGATCTGGTTTGTTGACGAATCATCATGTTGGCGTGTCCGCAGTCTTCGTTTTCTGCAGCCGGCGCCGCACTACACGTCTCTGGGTACGTGTCTTCCCGCAGCATCCTATCGTATTTATACCTTGCAGGGGTCATGACGTCCTGTCAAAATGAATCGCCCCAACCACTTGCGCGAAACGATCAGCAGGCAGGGTCCAGATAATCGGAGTGTTTGGTTAACTAACTCAAAATATTAGATTTGAGAATGTCTACGTCAAACCGATGAAGGAGTACGTGAAAGAGGCGTATACCCAATCTCCATTCACAACGGTGCGATAAAAAATTTCTTGTGTTCACTGTTGATGGGTAATCAGACTGTCCTGGTCATATTCGCGGCTTCCAGTATTACTCCAATCGTTTCAGCCGTGTATGTACCGACTGGTGTGTGCAATATCGGTTCTAACTGGCTTCGATAGAGCTTTAGCATTTTTTGCTCTGTGTCTCTCTCTTGCTGTTTGCTCGCTGGCCATTCTTGGCATTGGTGAGCACCGTTGTAGATTCATCCCAAATCTCACAGGCTGGTAGCGCTATCCTTGGCTATTGTCCTTTCCACGACATTAGTCTCATCAACTGCCTTGGCTCTCGTCGGTCTCGCCATTGCGCGCCGCAAGTCCATCTTTGCGGCGCGTGATACTAATAATAGAGGACAAGATAGCGAGGCTATCGATAGTGACTCTACCCCAGAAGCAGTCAAGCCCCGGCCTAGATCATTTGCCCATATCTTCGCCCGTCTTCGACCGCGTGCAGTTCACCCTCAACGGCGCAAACTGCGTTTGCTCTTGTTTATCGCCGGCTGCGAAGTCATCTCGCGTCTCCATTTTCCTCGTATTATCCGGTACAGTTTCCTGTATCGAACTTTCCTGGGCCCAACTCTCTTTGGACCTTGGGGTCAGCGTGGCCATCCTTTACAACGCTTACTCTCGCTTCCATTTTTCCTCACTCGCCGCTCTGTCCGCATTCTTTTCCCTTTACTCTGGTCAAAACCCCTCATATTTTTTACCCTGGGCGCCTTCATTCTCTCTGGAAAACTTCGGCGCAATTTGATACGATTCACAATCCGACTCGGACGCACATCCTATGCGCGGTTCCAACAATCAGAACTGGCAGATGCGTTGGGTAGCGTCCCGTGGAAGGAATATGCTGCCACTGGTCTCGAGCATGGCGAAGCAATGGGTCGTGCCATGATCGCCTCTCTCGTTGCATTGCTTCGGGCGTTGGACGATGCGACAGCTGAATCACGTGCTGGGAACGCACAAGATGGACCAACGGCGACCAGCCAAGTGTCAGGTCCCCAGGATAACGACTCGACGGAAAGCTATGAAATGGTCCCACCAGCCGCAGAGCAGACAACCTCCACTTTGAGAGCTCGCAACACCGTCCAGGCAGATGGAGAGGAATACTAGGACAATGGGAGATCCCCGAATTATACGATTCAAAAAGGTTGCTAGCTTGTCAAAATTCTAGGTTATGTACATTGAATCGACAAATTCAGTTTTGTCACAAGTATACTGCCAATTTCAGCTCGTCGCGATGATGTTCCAATCTCCGTTTTCGTTGGATTCGATCGTTTTTTCAGCCTCCAATCCAGTAACTGTTGTTCGTAGGGGCATGAAATGAGAACAAGTGATCCACATCTTTCCAGTCCAATCGGACGATTCCTGACGAATCATAACAAGGATCGTAGATTGAGAGTGACTCGGCATTGCCGGGCCGGAGCGGCCCACATGAGCCGACTAACATCAAGCAGGCGGCTGTCAGGGATCGGCGCTGATTAGATCATCATATTGTGACAGTGATTGCCCAAGGTGCCAAGGCCCTTTGATGGCAGAGGCCTCTGGGGCCCTTGGCCAGGGCCCTTGGGCTCCGAGCTGCCAGACTCAAGGGCCTTGCAAGGCCCTTGTGATTGGATCATGATCGCATCAGTCAGTATAATCTGTATCACGTCAACGTGTTGATCCCATACAGCAAGATGAGATTGATGAGCAGGCGGAGGTACAGCACCAAAACGATCTGGCTGATGCCAAAGCTGATGCAATCCCCAATGATGGCGCTTTGTACCTTTTGGATGACAATGATTATGTCCAGAGTCTAGGAGGCCCTTGGGGGCCCTTTTGATCGCGATCATCAATTTGATCGTGATCATCAATTTTTTACTTCTCTCCCTTCCAAGGCCCCTGGGTTCCCGCTGCCAGCCAAAGAGGCCTCTTGGGCGATCACTGTATTGTGACGAGTCAAGCACTTACTCGTCAAAACTTCCAATGTCGCAAAATCCCAAGTGCCACCATATTCAACGCCGAAAGAGTGAACGATCAGAGCTGTGCGCGCTGACCTATTAGCTCACACGTTGACGTCAACTGGTTTACAATGAGAACAGACCCAGCTCTGCAAACTCGGGAGGGATGTTGGCTTGTCAATGCGGTGATGTTCTTGCAGCGCTAGCCGCTCGACTTCTCTTCAGGAAACATTTGGAAATTCGAGGGATAGCGACAACTGCAAAGGCCGGGCCGGTGCAGGGCCGACCTCGTCAGGCGCTCCATTCTCCGAAGAGCTCATATAGCTCATGGGTTGACTGACGATACTTTCTTCTTAGGACGCCCACCGTCATGGCTACGAACGACAAAGCTGACGAAGAACGCATCGAGAAGGGGTCCGGTCTCATCTCGCCCCCACAACACGGTGATGCTGCACTCGAAATCCTGGGCGACGGAGCTACTCGCCATGAAATTACTGACGAGCAAAGTGCGGCCGTCTTGCGCAAGATTGACAGATATGTTCTGCCTGTTATGCTCATGGTTTACTTTCTGCAACAGTTGGACAAGTTCGTATCCTTTCTTCAGGTTAAGTAGTTCGCTGCTCAACCCTGGCCGCCAGATCTTCACTGAGCTACACGTCCGTCTTCGGCATCGTGGCAGAGACGGGGCTTGTTGGGACGCAATACAGCTGGCTCAACAGCATTGTCTATGTCGCGCAACTCATCTGGCAGCCGTGCTCATCATATTTCCTCGTCCGACTGCCTCTATCCAAATACCTGTTCGTCAACGTGTTCATGTGGGGAGCCGTAGTCGCCGCAACCTCTGCAGCAAAGAACTTTGGTGGGCTACTAGCTGCGCGCTTCTTCTTGGGTCTCTTCGAAGCGACCGTGGGTAGGGCACTTTTCTCATCCTATATATATCGTTGATTGACACTCGAAAAAAGCACCATGTTTCATAACGATAACCCAAATGGTATGTCGACCATGCTCCCTCGAAGAGTCGGCCATCGAGCAATTCAACTTGTAGTGGTGGAGGCGCCGAGAGCAAACTCTGCGTCTGTCTTACTGGTTCGCAATGAATGGATGCACTGGCATGGTGAAAGGTTCAACTTGGGAACTAGCAAATGGAAATCTCAACTAGTTCAGGTCGGGTCTCTGCTGACTTACGGACTTGGCCATATCCATGGCCGGCTCCATTCATATCAAGTATGTGCTTTTATGACGTTTTCTTCAAAGCTAAGCTAGTCAGGTCATCTTCCTCTTTATCGGACTTTTGACGGTCGTCTGTTCGCCGGTTGTATAGTGAGTTCAAGTTTCAGGCGCAAAATTTCGACCATTGAACGCCGCGAAAGCTTTGCGCTTCCCGATTCACCCACCAAAGCCCGATTCCTCAATCATGAAGAGAAAGTAGTTGCGATAGAGAGGTTACGAGCCAATAACCAGGTATTTCCTTCCATTGGTTTGCAACTATTTTTCAAGCTTTCCTGCAGGGCACTGAAACGAAGGTCTGGAAATGGGACCAAGTACTCGAGGTGTTTTTGGACATCAAGACATATCTCTGGTTTTCCTTGCTGTTTCTTTGCGCTGTACCTAGTGGTGGTATCGGATCTTTTGGGCCACTTATCATCCGTGTGTGATATGTTTCTTCTTCTTACGCCGACTTAATTCGTGGCAGAGGGTTTCGGGTTCAGCAAATTCAATACGTGCGTTTTCTTTTTTCAAGCATCCATATCGTTGATGAGTCTATAGAATTTTGTTTAATATCCCGTTTGCTGCGTTGCAAATTGTTCTTACCATTTCCGGCGCAACAATTTCGACCAAGATCAAACTGAAGTGGCCTGTGATCTTTGGATTTGCTCTCCCTCCAATTGCCGGGGCGTCAGCGCTGATGGTTCTGGGGAGGGGGGCAGAGTTGCGAAACAAACTCCTTGCCTGTTACTATGTGGTCAGTGGACGACATATATGAAACTTGTCAGCACTGACTCAAGATTCATTGTGCAGCTTTCTTTCTTCTCTGTGCTGCGTGAGTAGAGCATAATTCAGCACTAACACGGTTGTTCAATCTTCCCTAGAGCCATTGCTATACACATGGAGTTCGCAGAATGTCGCGGGGCATACGAAGAAGACATGCAACACTGGTCTCGTGTTTGTGGCCCAGTGTGCCGGGAATGTGAGCAGTCTGGGAGTTCATTGTTGTTTGGCACTGAGCAGACCACAGATTCTCGGCCCATTGGTGTACAAGACAGAAGAAAAGCCGTATTATAGGTCGGGCCTGATCTGCGAGTAAGTGGTGTTTCTTTGCTTCCTGCTGAGCCTTCTGACAAAATACACCTAGTTTGATTTGCTGGATTGCGCTTGCTGTTCTTGTTTTGTGCGTAAATTCCATGCTTTGCTAGAGTTTAAGGCTCACCATAAGCAGGATTACCGCGGCATATCTCCACTACCTCAACGGTCGGCATGCGAAACGACGTGTTGCATTGGGAAAGACGAAAAAGGTTGTTGATACGTCTCTGGAGAGCGCTAGTGAGGTGAAACGACGCGCAGCGGCCAATGAAGGAGAGGCCGATAATTTGCAGTCATTCGACGACTTGACTGACTTGAGAAACGAGGACTTCATCTACGTTTTGTAAATTGTGCTGGAGTTGAGAAGAATTCTTATGGCATCAACGTGACATGTGACCGTGATCTATTTTTCTGCTTGTATGTTTCGCGCTGTGCGGACTGGCCTTGTCGCACAGTTACGGCGGCCAGTATTTCAGCCTCCACGACGGCATTTTGCGCCCAGACCGCACTTTATTCCTCCTTCCCAGCTGGATGTTACGCGGTGGGATGGGAACATAAATGACCCAGAGGCATTTATTATGGACGAGGATTTGGAGGAGAATAGAGCTGTGAGAGAAGAAGATTTTGAAGAGGAACAAGAATTTGAAGATGAAGAAGAAGGAGAAGAAACTGCTGAACTAGAGGAAATGGTAGAAGAAGAAGAAGAGCCTGAGGCGGCCAAGGGAGACGGCAAGCGGATACCACTACCGCCCAAGAAGCCACCGACATCTCCCAGTTTCTACTCTGGCCGGGCCGCCTTCTACGACCAGCTATCCCAAATAGAAAGTGCCGTCCAGCATACTCGGTCAGCCCTCCAAATGCTCCAGCTGCTCCCCCTTCCCGACTTCGCCCGTCGCAGTCTGCCTGTCCGTCACGCGATATGGAAGAGCCCACGCGAAATTGCGGGTGACTTGGGCGTCACGATGTCCAGCTCCCGCTATCGAATACTCACCCGTCAACTTGGCCAGTTGAACGAATACCTCCGCATCGCCGAGGCCGCTGGTTGCGACGACCTGGCGGAACGCACGCGTATGCTTCTCAACCTTTTCGAGAGTGCCTCGAAAGAGGCGGCACTGACGCGTGGAAAGCGAAAACGCCTCTACACCGACCAGCTCGGCCGCTCCTACACTTTTGGCAAGCGGAAAACAAGCACGGCACGTGTGTGGATGGTCCCCGTGATCGTAAAACCACAGGAACTCGATGTTGTCGACCTGGAGAAGATCCAGTCGCTCGACGAGGCGGCTGCACTCGTGACCTCGCAGCCTGATCGATTCTACGAGCCGCAGGTCGTGCCCAACAGCACAATCCTCATCAACAATATCCCATTGGGCGAATTCTTCCCTGTTCTTGCTGACCGTGAACGGGTGGTCAGGCCGCTCAAGATTGCTGGTCTGCTCAGCGCTTATAATATCTTCACGCTTGTCCGCGGGGGTGGGACGACAGGCCAGTCCGGTGCACTTGCCCATGGTATTGCGAAAGGTTTGATCGTCCACGAGCCGTCCTTGGAAACTCTCATGCGGAGAAGTAAGTTTCCTCCCTTAGAATATTGGCGTTTTACTTACTTGACATCTCAGCAAAATTACTGCGTCGCGATCCTCGTATGGTGGAACGCAAGAAGCCTGGCCTGGCCAAAGCCCGCAAAGGAGTCAGTCCACAGTCCTTGCTCCTCTCCCCATCTAATCTTTGCGCAGTACACTTGGGTCAAGCGTTAGATTGGTTCATTTGTTTTGTGGCGGCGGGAAAGGATCTGGTAATTGCATCTGCTGTAGTAGGGATGCATTTTATAATACGCTTGAAGAATGGAAACAACTCCGTTTGGCTAATGACCAGCAGGACAGTTGTTGCTAATGGGAGTTCAGAGTTGCTGTCTTCGTCCACTTTGTCGTCCTATTCTCTGTCTCGCAGCTGCTTCGATCATATCTGAATCAACTCCTATAGCGAAGAAGACTCAGCTACAACGGCAATGGATCTCCTCGCCCCAGAAATACAGACAAGCGGTATGTAGCCCGCTCGACTGCCCATGCTGACAATGATGGCTTCGTAGTTGAGGATCAATATGCTAGCCGTAAACTAGAGCTCGAAACTGCCATTAAAGAGCTACTGGGGGAAGCCTACATCGTCGATGTCGACCTGTGTGCCGTCTGGCCATATGCAGAGCGAAATGGGGGCTCAAATTTTGGTGCTACCATCACTGGGTCATTTTCTTCTTCGCATATGTTGCAGTAATTGATTTTTTTTTACAGGTATTTCGAAGGATTCATCGCCGCATTGAAACGTTACGTGAGGATATACGGAGAGCCAGGCAAGCTTTGCTTCAATCGTGTGGTCACAGAACGCACCATCGAGCTCAAGGTTGGTGCCGTTCTTTGCTAATTACAGCCGCCAACCTGTAGTTTGCATAGGTCAATCCACTGGGCGAGGAGTATTCGTCCGCTATATCGGCATCGATAACCCACGGCGTGTACGCTATTCTATTTCATCCCCGTTGGTTTGGCACACCAATGTGTGTCCCTCCCCGCGACCACGGCTTCGAGGTCATCCGGCGCGAAGTCGACCGTCTGCAGGTGCCCATGAATCTGCTCGGCCATTCCTTCACGCTTGTTGCCCAGCACTCGGTGGAAAAGCTATTCGATTCGGAGTCGGCGCGTCTGCAAACTGGATTCAGCCGGCTCCTCGGGGTCCCGGTCGTGCTCGATCCGAACTGGGGCGAGGTCTACGCCGCCCTACAAGCAACGCGCCGCTCACATGACTCGGATAACGGCCTCGGCCAATATGCTTTTCGCTGCTTTGAAGACCTTTACGATCGACTCGAAATACTACCAGGTCAGCCAGCCGCTATTCACTTGCGAGCGCTATAACATGAAGCTACCAGAACTACGAGACCCCGCAACGCAGCAGCAGATTCGAAGCCGCCTGTCCGAGTCGACTTTCACCATCCGCCTTCAGGTCCTGCTTCAGAAAGAATCGGACATTGATCTTGTAGTTGTCCAATCGGGCGTAGCTCTGATCCAGGTGGGTATTTCATTTCTTTGTGCCCCACTGTCAGCTGGCTGAATAAACTTTGCTGCAAGTTCACTCCATCTCTCTTTCTTCACGGTGATGGGTATCGTGACAAGGGGGCCTGGCTACTCAAAGATATTCTCCAACTCGAGTAAAGGCAGAAAAAGACTTAGTATTACTATCAAGACTAAGTAGGGATGCACTTATAATACACTCGAAGGAGCAGAAAAATAATGTTAAGCAGTGATAAGGTTATTGAAGGAAAATCTGGCCGACTTCTTCCTTGGCAAATGGCTGATTGCAAGCAGGACACTTGCGTTGTCGAGTCGACAGTCGTGAATCGATGCACGATTTGCAGAACGCTAAGAGCCAATTAGATCAAAGAGGAACGGATAGTCAGTCACGTCTCACTATGGCCACACTTGGTAATGACGGTGTCCCGGAAACCGATACCTTTGCACGTACTGCATTTTAGAACGCTCTGGAGAGAGACGTCAGGTTCTGCCGTCGATGACCCAGACGAGGACTTACCATAGCTTTCTTCAGTTCATTCTGAAGATCCTCTTCTCGCGCTGAAGTCGAACTGGAACTCAGTTCCCGTACTTTGGTCGCGTGTTTGTCGCTTTCACGCCTTGAAAGTGCGAGCTCTTCTCCTAGCTTGTGCAACTCGGTTCGCTTCTCCGTGAGTTCCTTCTCTCGCTCAGTGAGTAGATTAAAAGACTGAGGGCAGTTAGATGACAGAACGCCAGCTAGAAAAGGTTGCGCTTGCCTCGAGGGCTTTTTTGGTATCGACGTCCCTCAAGCCTTTCAGCTCCCGAATCTCTGTCTTCAAACTAAGGGATTCAAGGTGACTGGATTCAACCACTCGACGAAGCTGGGAGATGTCTTTTTCAAAATTTGCCTGTGATACTCAATTCGCCGATGCGAGGAACTAAAGCAAAGCACATACCAGTTGGTTATTCAGGATCTTGTCCGATTCCTTGTATCGCTCAACAACCTGCAGCTGCTTCTCCAGATTGCGCTTTTGGTTCTTGCGCTCGATCTCCACCGCCTCTTTCTCACGCATGATCGCAAAGAATTTGTTGTCCGACTTGGCTTTCTAACCGAGCATCAGCAGAACATCCACACAGAATACTTTGGACAAACCTCAAGACCACTCTTGGAAAGGCGATCTTCGAGGTCTTTGAGATCGAACACTTTGCTCTTCAGTTGTCGTTCAAGCGCTTCCCATGCAGTTGATAATTGATCGATTTCGCTATACACCGGCGTTTTTTCCTGGAGGGATCAGGATAAAGTGTGATGGCTCTAATGATTTACCTGTTCATGTTGTTCGTTGAGTAGCCGTAGTTTCACGAGCTCTTCTTCTTGTTCTCGGAGTTTTGCGGTCAACAGAGCGATATCCAGGGGTAAATCGCCGAATAACCGCTCATAGTCATCCAATTTAATCGAAGCAGCGGCAAGTTTCTTGAGTGCATCAGCTTCCGCCTGCATATGTTGCACGACATTGGGATGGTCATCTTGGAAGATGGAGAGTGTTTGGTTCACGGCTGCTTCTCGTTGTTCTGCCGCTCTAAACAAGTGTCAACCATGGGCCGTCGAGAAAATTAACCACGCACGCAACCCGGTTCTTCATCTCCTCAACATAAGCAATGCTTTCCAACTGCCCAGAAAAGAAAAACTCCATCAACTCCCTGCTTCCCGCATTGGCTGCTAGCTTGGCTTTGTAACGGCCTAATTGAGACTCAAGCACCTGAATACGCGCCTGGGCATGTTCAATATACTATCACAGGAGTGTTGGGAGCATACCGAACGAGCTTCAGCCAATGCGACAAGCTCCTTGGCGGAAGCTGTTTTGACACTGTCTTTTTGTCTCCGCTCAACGAGTTCGGCTTGTTGTTGGTCGCGCTGATCCCGTAGCCGAGCATTTTCTGCATCCCGTTTGTGCAACATGACCTTCAATTCTTCGGCTGTTTGATTTGCAGTAGTCTATTTCTTCGTCAATTCAATTGGTTGCTTAGTTAGATTGCTGCGCACCTTCGCCGCCTCTAACCATTTTGAGTGCCCCTCATGTACTTCTTGCAGCTCGTTTGTTAGTCTGCGAACTTCTTGCTGGGTCTCGGAAAGTGCGTGGGTTAGATATGCGGTATGTTCCATGAGAACTTTGTAATGAGGAGATTCTGTGACGAGTTCTGGTGGAGGCACCTTGGACTAAAAACATGAAAAGTAAGTAGTAGACGTGTGAGGGAATGAATCACAGACGTTCAACACAAGTTGCGAGTTTGCGGATGTGAGGGCGGCGATTTCGTCTCTGAGCTTTGCGATTTCTTTCTCTCGTAGCTCTACGAGAAATAGCTGGTTCTCGTGCTCGGGAGAAGAGGTATGACCATTCGCAGCATGCTGTGACGAGGCTGAAGGCTGGTCGCAAATTAGAGGGAGAAGATATCAGAATTGTCAAGCCTCTTACTAATTAACCAGACCACTCACTGCAGGAGAGGACGGCTTTTTCTGCTCCTCCACACCTTCACCCACATGCTCCTTTTCCAACCGCGCCTTCTGTATCACAATGGTTTTGCTGCGAAGTCGGTCTACTGCTGTCTCTGCTGCTTGAAGTTGCTCATGGTAGCGGAGTTTCAAAGCTTCTGATTCACGAAGTTTGCCGGCCATCACTTGCATCTCAGAACGCAGGGCAGCACACTTTTTTAGATTAAGTGACAATAGAGCAAGGTGGGAATGACCACGTACCTCAGTTTGTGCTTGTTGGCACTTGAGGTATGCATCACCACCAGATGACGGGGTAAGGTTGGCAACTCTGGACACGATATTGCGCGTGACGGCCATGTTATCTTGCAAAGCTGATACCAATTCCGGCGCGTCGTCTTCTGAAATCCTTGACGAAATATCGAAAATATCTATGTCAAGGGTCACATATAGCTTGGAAGACAAGGAAGGAACAGAGAACGAACCACGACTCAATGGCGTATTCGCCACATCTTCAGATTTGGCAACAAGACGGATAGTCTCAAGAAGCTTTCAACGCGTTAGGAATCGCTATAGGAGATTGGGGGATGTATAAGCACCTGTGACCAGCAAGCCGCCATAGCAGCCAAGCCCGCTTCACAGGCAGTCTTACGTCTTTCTAGGGCTGCGAGGTGGTCCTGACTACGATCGTATTCGCGTGAATAATGCCTCATTCGACGGAATATTGCTTCCTTGCGGAAGAGCTGGGGTATTGTTAAGAGGGTGGCAACGGATTACACAGCGCGTAGCTTACCTCAAGATTGTCTAGGTCGGATGGCTCTTCGAGGTCGGGGGTGGACCCATTGACATACGGAGTGCCATTCGGACCTGACAGAATGCGTTTTTTGGAGACAGACGCGTCTGGTTCGTGAGTGTGTGGCCGCTTTTTGCTGGACTCCATGGCTGAAGAGGTCAAGAGATGATGTGTGACACGTCCGTTACAGGGTTGGTATCCTAAGCCAAACTCGTTCCTCCAGCTCGATGATTTCACAGTCCGCTGAGCTCCCATCCCCAATCTGGGTCTCCACGCAAGTAAAATCCATTGGCTGGGGCTTTTTGTCAGCGAGACAGGCTCTTGGTAAGAACACCTCGGCCACTGACCTTGTTCAGAACCGTCATGGGTTGATCTTTTTCTCATGTTAGCTCAAACGCGAAGCATTATAGAAGACTTACGCCAAACCGCCGTGTTGTAGACTATTCCCTGGGCAGCAGTCGCCAGAAATGCCCTTACCGTGCTTATATCTGGGAGACTATCTTTCCCATTCTGCGCTACGACGACCAAATACGAATTTCCTGAGTCTGGCAAGCCCTCCCCTTGACCACTTCCCATTGGAATGAATGCTTGGTTCGTGAAAGGGTGCCGCTCCAGGACACTCAGGACGGTCATGCCGTCTTGAGAAATATCCTTCAAGGGATTGCAACGATATACCGACAAGCCCGCAGTTGCATTCACGTCGATTGGATACGAAGAAGCGAGAAGTGAAAGTTTGTGGAACTTGCTTGCAGTACCCTGGTTTGCCGGGGTGATTTTAGTTCCCTTAGGGGCTGCTGCGTGGTCGCCGTACGCTTGCACAACTTGACCGAACGGAGCAAAAGCTTCAGGAGTCAAAGGCAATACTGGTACAACCAAACCCGCCGTTTTCTGTTCGACAATCAGCGGTGCATGGTCACTTGGAAATTGTTCTGGCTCTGTTGCTGTTGACGGTAGTCCTTTCGTCCCAATAACACGAACTCTCTTGATTCCGCCGTCGGGATGAATTGTAATCTTGATATGCGTGAAGAGCTTCCCATCGACATTCTCCAGCTGGAAGTAATGCTGTCGATGAGGGCCAAGCTTAGTACGAGGCAGAATGAGTGACCACTCCTCAGTCTCTCCTTTACTAGTCGACCAATCTATGTTCCCCGGGCCTTCACCGACAAGGGCGTGAATCTCGCAGCTTTCGGGAAAATTCCCTTACGAACGTCAATGGAATGAATTCTGTATTGAGAATTACCTTTGAAGTGAGCCGTGTCTATCTCAACTTGTTCAAGTGCGCCAGGAGCTCCTCTTTGTGCCCCATAGGGTGAGTTCCCCAAAACGAATAGCCCCAACAAACACTCACAGCTTTATTATAGCCCAGTCCTTGTGCCCTTTTTGTCTGGACCGTTTCGTCTCCCATCCATCTCCCATATCTTTTCCACGACCAGGCAGAATAAGGTTGGACCCGACCCCAAAATGCTGATCAGACGTAAATTCGACGCGTCCACCAGCAAATACATGAGCAAGATCAAATGCTTCATAGGCGTTGTCAGGGTGAACAGGGTTCACCTGTCCGTATACTCGAAAACGAGCCTGACGGTCATAAGAAGGTGGTCTTGCTGCAAATGCTACCAGACGTACAATGCCTCCATCTGGATACATGTTGAGCTTGACGAAATTGACTCCATCGGTGGGCGGTATGCGGAATAGATGGCGAGAATTTGGGCCCAAAGGGACTTTGGGGAGGACTTGCAACCACTTCCATACCGTGAATCCACCTAATAGATCTGTGGATAAGACGGAGACTTACTCTCGGATCATTATTTACGGGTTCCTCCGTGGCCAGGCCGGAGAGCACGCTAACAGAAACCTCTGGAGCCTCGTTGCCTTATCTCAATATCAGCAATGTGTCCTCTTGGCTATGGGGTTTGGTTACTGACCATTAAAATGGGATGTATCGATGTCGAAACCCGACACACAGCCCGATGTGCCCAACCTGATAATGCACCTGCAAGAGATTAGAAAAATCTAGCACAGATTGAGTCAGCGTACCAGTCGTAGGCAGGATTATGGCGTCGGCTCTCCCAGCCGCTGTAAAGAGCACCATTAGGACCAAATTGGCCCTTCAAACTAGGTGCCGGCTGCGACAATTGACTAAGAGACTTGTGTGCGCTAGTTATATATCTATACCTCGACCAGAAGAAGATGGAAAGCCTCGGCAAAGAATTGATCGGAGACAGAGACCACACGACCGCCCAAAGCAACACTCGAAAGCTCTTTTATTTGACTTAGCACAAGCGCCACGCTGGGTAATACCAAGGAACAGACCAGTGACGGAGGAAAACTGTTGCGTGAACTCTTCGAGGGGGATCTTTTCGAAAGACATCGATGGCAGACAACAACGAGGTTATGTACAAAGTGATCGGGATCATATACGATATCAGCGTGTTAATTTTTGCAGAAAGTAAGTAAGTAATGCTAGCGAATGAAGAAGCTACAGTAGTTCGAATTGGTCATTATTAATGCTCCGCATTAGACTAGAAAAATAAGATCAAGTTAAAAAGGTATTATTGGTCTAAGTAATATCGAAAGCAGACCTTCATGCCCTCTCCAAGCAGCTGGATGAATCGGGTTTTGTCAGGTCCGTCCATGTCGTGAAATAGATGAAGGTCGACGTCTACGCGATCTAAGCGCGCTATTCCTCGAACCCGAGCTCGCCAGCGGGATTCGATCATATCCAAAAGCAGCCCATTTGGGCAGGTCCAGCACCCTTTACCCAAATGAAGTGCTCGAAGCGAAGGGAGAAGGTGGTTGGTAGCGTCAGAGGCATCAGGCGGTAGAGTAAGCATTTGAACCAGCTGCGGTGTTACAGGGGGTTCCCAAGTCCAATCCCGGTTGTCATGCATGACGAGATTAGAGATCGTTGGAAGATTTTGTAGGCATTCCAAGAATTGGGAGGGTGATATTCCAGTGTCGTGAAGTTCTAGGCGTGTCAGAACACACTGCGAACGTGATAAACACGAGAGGAACGAGTCCTGTGGCCATAGGGCAGGCTGATCGAAAGCATCCTGAACATGCAACATAAAGCTTTCGAGCGCAGGGAAGACGGCAAGATCGAGGAGGGAGGCTAGTTCTCCCGCGGGAATATGGAGCTCGAGGGACGTAAGGGAAGGTAGAGTAGTAGGCAAGACTGGAAGCGGTCCTTGTTGGGGGTCAACCACCAGATGACAGCTTTCTAATAAGGGGCAAGCTTGCATAATCGAGAGGCAAGTGCTGACTGAGGGGATAAATCCCAGGTCCAAGCGAGTCAATTGGGTCCATGGAATGGCGACAGTACTGTTGGGAGCGACGTTCAAGTCACTCAAACGCGAGACGGAGAAGCTGGACAATCTCGGTGCGCCTTCAAGCATTTTAAGTAAATCTTGCATAATTTCTTCGTTTCGTGTCAGTCGCCAGCAAGTGGTTAGATGGAATGTTTCGAGCCAAGGTGCAGAAAGAGTGCCGATAGGTTGTAGTGACCGACCGTACGTGGGGTTAGCGACATCAAGGCGTACATCACGCCAGCGATTGAGATGACGGATGAACAGAGCCAACATTTCATCAGCAAGCTCCTGATTCCCTTCAGCTTCGTTCATCTGGCTTAATGAAAGACGCAAGGGAAGACTACCCGTCCTTGCCAGCCAGTTGGTGGCGGTGGAAAGGGGCGGTCGTGCTACACCTCCGCGGACAACGACAGACATCGTTGTCCATAGATGCGGAAATGTGAGGGCTACTGTTCTCCAAGCCTTGCACACAGATAGCAAAGGGAGTGCAGTTGTTGAAGATGATGTGGGTATTATATCCTCGTATGAGGGGAGACACCATAGAAAAATTTCTTCCCAGATCTCCCGAGGCACACGACCCGCCAAGTAAGAGTAATGGCTGAGGTCCTTGCGACGGGCTCTTCGACGGATGCTTTGAGGGTAGGTGTTGCTTCGAGGCCGCGAAAAATCGGCGGCTCGGACGACTGACGCCATGGATGGCAAGAAGAAGGGGATATGAAAGCACAGGAGTTTAGGGCGGACCCATTTATGTGCTCCCCTAAGTCAGACCAAGATCCTCGATCATCCGAAATGGAGCCATCAATGCTCTTCAATGCTCCAGGACAACTGTCCTATTCTTGTTCCATGGGTCGGTCCAAATCGTAGAGTTGAGGTGAGAAACAGTGCGGAAGATAGTTTGCACTTGCTCAGCCTGGTCGTGGCCAACCTCAACCGCCACTACAGCACTCGGACTGAGAAAGCCATCGGTCGATATCAGTCGCGCAATAGCATGATAGAAATCGAGCCCTTCCGGTCCGCCAAACAAAGCTGTCGGGTCTTCGTAGTCGCGGACGGAGTTAGGGAGACTGAGATATTCTTGCCACGAGATATAGGGTGGATTGGATGTGACTACATCAAACGGTGGGGCAAGGCCAAGATGTGGCTGAGGGAAAAGAGGATCGAGGAAGGACGCCTGAATAGCTTGGAAGGTATTGCCGCGTCTTTCGGATTCAGTGACAGCGGCATTCTCTTGTGCAAGTTGAACGGCCGTCGGAGAGTGGTCAATACCGAAGGCCGTGATGGTACCAGCGGGAAGCAAGGCGCACAGTAATAAAGGGATGCAACCTGACCCAGTGCCCAGATCCAAAACTTTTTTTGCCGAGTTTGTTTTTTGTAAAAGCTCGGCTAGTCGTATTGTCCAATGTTCAGTTTCAGGGCGTGGGATAAGGGTGGGTGGCTTCGTTTTCAGGATCAATGACCCAAACGGTTGTGTTTCTGTGGCAAAATGCGAGTTGACGCGAGAAACCTCGGAGTAGAGCTGGAAACATACCAAGAATATATTGGAGAGGTTCCCCGACCACTCGACGCGCAAGCATCTCCTCTAACGGCTGCTTTTGACTTGCTGCTTTCATCCATTTTAGTTCAAGAGCAGCTTGACGCCTACCAAGCCTGGCGACCAGTTGGGAGAACGTCATACCGTGTGTGACTGTGGATGTCACACGGCTCTTCGGTCCTTCCTTCAGTGCTTTAACCTAGTTCCGCCTGTTGTAGCAATATGGCTGCGGCGCGACCTTCGTCGTTTCCCATCCAGGTAGCATATTTCCGCTCTCGATCTTTATTTTTATACTCAGGTGAACATAATTTATCCAGAGCGTCGTTGAAGATGGGCCAGAAGAGCTTTCACAGACAGTACCTGGACGTACGAGGGGGCGTGATGGACCCAAGAAGAAAAAAGCCAGTCGTGCCTGTGTGCATTGTCAAAAGGCTCATCTTACATGCGACGACTGTATGATTTGGGTTCATCCAGTTCGATATAACCCATTTACTTCTATTCAGCTCGTCCATGTCAACGTTGTGTGAAGCGCGGTATGGCAGACAGCTGCACTGAAGGACATCGCAAAAAAGCAAAATATCTGCTTAACGATGAAGAACTCGGTTCGCAGCATCTCTTGCTCAGAGTGATTTTATTTCCTAACATTTATGCAGCCCAAACCAAGGGCTTCCGCGAGAAATCGTCCGTTCCAGAGACCAACCTTGAACCTTTACCTCCGCCTCCATTACCTTCTGCCCGTGAGCATATGAATACGGTCATGTGTTTCGGTGGGTCTGTAACGCTCACGGCCAAGTAGAACAACCTCCCTTTGACCCAAGCGAGGGAGTTTTCGACACTGTTCCCTTCGACCCCACCTTTCCCTTTGGCTCTGAAGCTGCCAATCTCGAATACTCTATTCTCTCCGCTATTCTCGGTAACCCGAGTCCCCCTGATTCCACGAGCACCCCTTCGGCAGCACCTTATGCCTCTTGGACGTCAGAAGACTCTATGGACATGGCTGCATCACGCAACTTCTCTGAACAATCGCTAGCCGTCCAACCGTCTGACACAACAATGGCCTCGCCAACCACCACCTTCCTCTCATATCCATATCCACAACCACCCGAGCCAGCGCCAGCCCAATATCCTTCGCAGTTCCAGCAACCGCAAGAATTGCACCCGCTTCAACCGCGATTCCCACTCGACGGTCGGCCGCGCTCACCGCCATTCTCCGACAAGTCTCCTCGAGCAATGGTTGCGGCTTCCTTTAATCAAGGAGGTTCTCAGTTGCAGAACATCAATGACCGTGTTACCATGCCCTACGACTATACTGAAGGTTACCACTTTCTCATGAAACATCTTCCCAGCAAGTAAGTATACGATCTTTTATCTCCACTCTTATATTCTCATCCCTTGGCAAGGTTCGAGAAGAATGACATTCTCCGCATCGTGCGCGCATTGGCGATATTTCGGCCCTCTCTTATCGCTCTCCAAATGCCGCTCTCTTTCGACGACGAGGTCTTCGTAGAAAAATGTTTTCAGAGGATGCTGCTTGTGGGTCCAATTTCCTTCTCTGGCTGAAAACGTAATACAAATTGGATCCAGGAACTTGATAAACTAATTTCCTTCAGCGGCACGCCCACTGTGGTCTGGCGCAGAACGGGCGAAATTTGTCTGGCGGCACCTGAATTTTGCATGCTGACGGAATGGTCGGTGGAAGAGCTAGTGGGTCGGAAAAAATACATCTACGAGGTGTGTCGTGCTTTCGCTTGCTTTAGCTAATAATAATAATGAATGAAGCTTTTTGAAAACCAATCCGTGGTCGAATACTGGGAGAACTTTGCGTCACATGCCTTTGAGAACACGACACAGTCTGTCTACTCGCATTGTGTGCTGCTGAAACCAACCGGTGCACCAGTGCCTTGTACGTTCTGTTTCTCGATACGGCGCGACCTATTCGATCTCCCCAGCGTAGTGATTGGTGAGCCACAGCAAAAAGTCCCAATTTGGTATATTCCTGACCAGAAACAGGACAATGGCTTCCCCTCCTGTAGTTTATTCATATTATCCTGCTATCGCATCCTCATTGTATTGCTTTCATCAATCTGTACTAGGCAAAAAGTATATAAAACAGACATCCTCTAGTGTCCCGATTAGGCTACAAATTATTAGACTTGGCCTTCCACCGCTGCATACTCGCTCTCGACGCCAGGCTCAATCATACACGCGTGGCCGATGATTATTATTCCCGACGCTCCGACGACCCAGAAGACCGTGCCGAGCGGACCGGAGAAGAAGAGCAAGGGGATTCCAACGCAGAACAACACAGTGTACAGCGACTTTTGGGTGACAACGTAGTCTCCAACTTGCGTCGGTTCTGGGGCTACAGCAAGACATGAGACCACGCCTAGGGAGTAGGAAGGATGTCGCACCGAATTTATTGATCAGGGCGAAGCCTCCAACAAGGAATATGAGTGCGAAGAAGAGCCAGAGGTTGGTCAACCTGAAGACGCGTCAGTGTCAAGTCCTTTTAAATTGCTGTGGGAGAGCGTACAAGGCGTAGACTGCGAGAATTGCGACGATAAGGCCATAGTTGCCTGCACCAATCGTTGTGGGTATGCTGCGCAAAAGCTACGTGTCGGACATACCAGAAAAGTATCGCGTGTTGTAGGAGATTCGCTGCAGGTAAAATGAGCATCAGGAACTCTAAATCGACTCCATGGAGACGTACTGAGACGGCCGTGTTCATGTCGGCGGGGCGGGAGATGCGTTGGACATCGAAGAATTCGGTCGGGGAGCGGAGGGCTGAGAGTTTTGCTTCCTGTTAGCAAACAAATGGTGAGCTGGGCCTATGGGCTGGCGGCGAGGTGTTGTTTTTACTCTGAAGTTGCGGACGGTATCGGTAACACGAAGAAAGGCTTCCATAATGGGTGCAGGGAGGGCGTAGGGTGAGGAAAGAAAGAGTTGATGTGACGCCTCATTATAACCGTGTCCCAAACCTCCATTGCCGCTGCGACGCGCAGTCTTTAACCGCAGCCCACAATGATTCGCCGCAACCCGACTCTCATAAACATGACCGATTTTGATGTTCAGGACGTTCGTGATATGCTCGCCAAACAAAAGGCAGACGCGTCGCTCTTGTCCAAAATGAAGCAGATGGCGGAGAATTCCTCAATGCAAGCAGCAGATATGGAAATGCTCAACCAACTCAAAACAAAATTCGTCGACATAGGCAAAGATGTACAGTCGAGAAGTATGTCTGTGAATGCCATAACTTGGACCCATATTTATCAGACTATCCAGATGTCGATGGACCGAGTAATAGGCAATAAGACGACAACAAGTGTACACTACAGCTCATCCTCTGAAACTCTTGCGGTAACCTTGACAAAGAATCAGCAGACAGTCATTTGGCGAGGGCCTCATACCATCTAAATCTCTGGCGTCACACAATATTGCGAGGTCGGGCCGCTGTAGATTCATAGACACAGTCCGGAGACTGTCCCAGAGGGCCGTATTTGTCACTCCACCGCTAGCATCCATCGAAGATGCCACACCGTCACTTTCCTGTAAACCCAATGCGTCCAGAATATGATGAGCGGCATCGTCAAACCGCTGTAAAGCGGAATCAGCAACACATAACACCACAAGCCAAGTTTTGCCTACTCGAAGATTGATGCAGGAAATCCCCAGGTTGAACCTAGCGCGAATGTAAAGTGGGTTGAGCTCAAGAGCGCGGTTGTAATATTCCAACGCTTCTTCCGCTCGACCACTGTTGGCCATAGTCGCTCCAACCCGGTTGTACAATAACCAGTCCTGCAGTGATTTGAGTATTACCCATCAAATAAACTACCACAAACATACATCTGGCCGAACAGCCAACGCCGTCCGGAAACAGTCCTGAGCTTTTTCATAGTCCTGGCAAGCTCTTGTTAGTGGCTGGAGAACTGGAAGGCGAGAATAGCTTGCTTCATTGCTGTTCAGCAGAACTGCCAGTGCTATTTGGATATCAGCATCAATCTCTCCAGATGTATCGCTCCGCGCCATCGCTATGAGGCACTGGATGAGGTTCCCAAAACGCTCTTGCATTGGTGCATCCGCTCGTTCTGTGGTATTTGCCCTGAATTGCTGAACTGCGTCTCGATATCTATCATTCCGGTCCACCCATTGTCGAATGGCTGCTGCGGTTTCCGTGCGATCGCCGTTGTTGGTATGCGAGACGGCAAGAGCAAGCCAAGAGGGAAGGTGAGTCGGGTCCAGGTCCACAGCTCGTTGGAGGGCTTGTAGTGCTTGGTGTTCGCGCTCGTTTGCTTGTTGCTTCACTCCGAGGTCATACCAGGCAGATGCATCATTCATGTTGCGTTGGACAACGGCTTCGAGCTCGAGAACGCTCTAAAAGTCCTGTCAAATACGGACGACCGGTTCAAATAAAACCTCTCTACTTCAAGAAACGCCTCTCTTCCATGGTGGGCGAGATGATGCCGGGTTGTTGCAGATGAAGAGAGGTAAGGATTGTTGGGTTGGAATCGATATCGGTCTACCGGCACGATACCAGCATTCGTTGCCTCAAAGTTATCCCAATCTTGCTGCAGATGTTCCCATTCATTTTGTTGTGACGTAGAAGCTTGCTTGGCTCGGGCCGCATTCGCTTCTGCCCAATAGTACTGATATTCGATGTTTTCCTGGCGAAAATATGCCTCGTTTGGATCTTCTTCCTCCACTTTCAAACCCTCCACAGGCCGTTGTTGCTGTTCTAGTTGCTGATATCTGAATGGCATCGAGCTTGATGGGTCGACGACGGGTAGATTCACTGCCCGACCTTTGCCCTTGACATCGATAGATGTTTGCCCGGTATTCTTGACCATATCATTTCCCTCGACAACAATGTCGCGGTCTCGTAATCCACGCATGAGACCCATGAACTCGCTATTCTTGAATTTGGGATTTGCGACTTCGCCCACAGTTTCCAATAATATTCCAGCAGTTCTCGCCAACTCATCTGCATCCTGAGTGATTTGTTTCATGTCTTGAACTTGCGGCGCCTCCTGTAACATTGCGGCATCAAACTCGCGATCCCAGATTATCTCTACCAAGAGGAATGAGCTGTAGGAAGTATGAAACCAATATGTTGGCACGCACGATCATGCTGGGTAGAAGGTTGCGAGTGCGACACTGGTTGCATGGCCATTGCGGAGTTAAACATTGGCATGGGGTACTGCGAAAACCTCGGACCCCATTGCTGCTGTTGTTGTGGCTGCTGCTGCCCACCTGGAGTTGAGTCAGAGTCACACCATAGCAGACGTTCAACGCTCTAACCCCGGGACTGAAGCATTGTTGTGGGTGTTGCGATTTCGCGTGGCGTGTTGATTTGGGGGGTTACCGTCAGCATGAAGTCAGACGCCCATGCTGCTGGAGCGTGGGCCTGAGACTGTTGTGGAAGCGAAGCATGGAGAGCAGACAAGTCAAACGCGTTGGGGTGCGTTAGTTGCGTTGGTAGTTGTGGACCAAAGAATCGTGCGGCATCTTGTGCTATATCGGACTGAACGGATTGCTGAGTTCTGAAGGTCTACAATGTGGTTTGAGAAAGAGATGAACTGAGCGTGCAAGTGGTTCAATGACTTCTCGTGAAGAGCCAGCCCGGTTTGCTGCGAAATGGTCCTGCTGAATGCCTCTGTCTTGATCGAAACGTTTCGAAAGTCCTTGGAGTGGATTGGAAGGCCCACAGTCGGCATTGTTCACGAGGAGAGGAAGAGCCATGACGGAGGAAGGAAGAAATAATACACCCGGCTATACAAATTCACATGCGGTACTACAGGTCGATATTACGTGCTTTACATTTGTCCAAAAACTCGGCAACCTACTCCGCCTTGGGTTCTTCAGCAACCCCTTGCATCATCTGGTCTCGTACTGCACGGCACTCAGCGCCGCCGTCAGAGCGCACTGGGTTAACAGAAAAATTAAAACAGGCTTAAGAATTGACCAATGACCCACTATGTCTCTACACAAATAAATGAGCAACAGTCAGACAAAAAGAGTAAACACCCACATTGAGAGCATCCAGTCGACTAAACGTTTTCTTACACCCCACGCAGACGTTGGTTTGTGTTTTTGCCGTATGAAGCGCCTGGTGCCGTCTCAAAACATAATGAGACATTGCTTGAATCACTGCCGAACAAGCTTACTTGCAGTCGTGCTGGCGAGCAAAGCCTTTCTTGCAGTTCGGCCACTCGCATATATAGGGACGCTCTTCCGTATGCGAACGAAGATGACCTCGAATTACTGGTGAGTGGAAACTATCCAGGTGGTGAAAGACTAACACACCTCTGAGGTTGAAACGACGCGTGAAGGTGCTCCCACAACCCGGGACTGGACAGATGAAATGTGCTTCGTTGCGTCTTCTACTAGCACTAGCTAACTGGGTGGCTGATGTTGTGACCTGCTGCTTCTCGACCTGAAGTATACGAGGAAGACTGAGGGCGCCATTCACGGAAGGGTAGTGGTTGAGTCCAGGACCGCCAGGCAGAAGAGCGTCAGCGCCGGGTGATGCAGGGGGTCCATGTTGGGTGCTTTGGTAAAGTTCTGCAGCGGTTGGGTGGTAGTATTGGGATGGTGGTGGCTCAGCGGCTGTAGATGGGCCGGCATCAGGGCCGAATGGATGGGTGGCGGGCGAGGTTTCAGGAGGGAAGCTCATGGCAACGTAGGTAGTCATAACGGAGAAGGTGGGCGATCTCGAGCAGCTGTGAAAGTCAAAAGGAAGCGGGGGGCTGTGGCATCTGATGCCGGCTGCCAATCATGATGGCAGTGTTGCTGTGCAAGTCTACTCGCTTACATACATAGACTTCACAATAATTAGGAAATTAAGACTACAAGTACAGCTGTGCTCATGATTATTCGAAGATATGTGCGTCCAGCAACCTCCTTCGTTGGATTAATTCGTTCTCCGTAATAGCAAGTCCACCAGCTCGTGTTCGCTGACCAGCAGCGGTATCCGTTTCACTTGTCCCACGGCCGTGTCCATTCTCTATAGGCGAAGGTGACCTCCTTCCATTTAACGATGAAGGCGGAGATCTTCTTCGGGGCACAAAAGTGATTCCACTGTCGTCCGTTTCCGTCTCTGATGTTACAGCGCGCTCTGCTTTCTTCGCTGGGCTTTCTCCTCGTCGGCGACTAATCGGTAATACGGTCTTGGAACTGTATCGTTCAAAAGCACCATCGATCCATTCCGCTAACTCTTCAATGACTTGTGTCGCTTCAGACATCAATGCCACCATTTGCAGGTACCCATGCGACCACTCGGACCAAATGACAAGCTGGACCCAGTCTTCTTCGGTTTGTCGAGCGAGTCGGTCTCGCTCTCGCTTTAAAGCACCGAGATCGACAGGTGCCTCGTTTGCGCTCATCCGCAAACTCTCTCCAAATCTAGCACTCTTTCCGGAGACTGCAAGGTCCAGTTCAGCCTTGCGCGCTCGTTTCGCCTCTCTGACTCGTCCTGCAAAAATCAGGGTGTCGTCCACTAATGGATCTTTCTCTCCACATTGCATTAATATTGGAGGAAATTGCGCCAACAGTTTGCTGGGTGCCAAGATAGGTGATAAATGATAGTCGGTCGCAAAATCGGGGTTGCGGTATGGCCCGATGTAGAGGATAGCCATAGCGCGCATCTGCAAGGACCAGTTTCAGGGACGTTTATTATGATAGGAGATAAAGACAGACCATGCTAGGCGTTATAATTCGGTCTTGGAAATATCCAGTTCGAGAGGTCATCGTCAGTCTGGTCCCAATAGGCTCTTTCTGGCCAAACTGTTGTGTCGCTTTGGAGTCGGCTTGCTGAACGGCCATCGACAACTCTTCTTGTTGCTTGACGAGAGCCGAATTACTTCGCGGAAGAACAGTCTTAGGATGCGACGAATCCTTGTAGACATATCGTACTCGTGCCTGGATGGGGCGTTCTTCTTCACGATACTGGTCGTAGTCCTGATCTTCAGAGTCCGAGTCGGTGTCTACGTCCGTCGGCGAATCGTTCTGCCGCGGTTCAAGAAAAGTGCTGCGACGACTGCTAGGTGTCCTCAGAGCACTGGATGAACGACGTTTCTTAGGTTCTTTACTCGACTCTTCTGCCTTCTCCCCAGCAGCCGTTAGTCCGCGGATGGTATCTTTCCAGCTGGTCTGCCTTTTCAAAGGTTTACGCCGACGAGTGGGTCGCTTGTCGCCAACCATACTGAGGGGACTCTGTTGTTGACAGTTAGTCCAAGTATGTCAGTGTAGACGAACACTAACGATATGGTTCAGATGATCCTTCTGGGCTGCAAGCTCTTTGATACCTGGAAGACTGCCAGATGATTCTTCCGTCCGAAGAACTCGCAGATGATCAGGCGTCATCCAGGAAGTAAAGTTGAAATCCAGCGCTGGATAGTTGAAAACGAGGGCAATAGGTTGAGGCAAAGGAGGAGAAACGCGATTGTCAGAACTTTCGTTGTGCTCGATGATCTTCAACACGACGTTAACTGCGATGTTGGCCCCCGCTGAGTCACCGGATATCAGGATGTTCAGTTTCTTGCCAGACATTCCAATCAGAGTACCAGCTGCAACGATAGTTCATCTTCTCCTGCATTCGCGAACAAATAAACTTGAACGCACTTGATTCAACCAGCAACTTGTATGTTTCGAATGCTTCGTCGATAGCGAATGGGTAAGGGTATTCGGGGGCTTTCCCATAATCTATAGCTAACACTGGTTTTCCCGTCGAGATTGCCCACATTCGTAGACGTTCCTACATCCTATATTAGTCGAGGAAGAAAATCCAAATTATGCTGACCTCGTGATGCTCTGGAGACATCGCTACAAAGCCTCCGCCAGGGAAATCGAGAATCAGGTCGGTAGCTTTGCCAAGTTGTTTCTCAGGGAGGGCAAAGAAAAGATATGCAGTGATGGGTCGTTCGTAAGTGGACGAGGATGGTCGGGAAAATAGGATTTTGCGACGAATGGTAACGGATGGTAGGTGAGTAAGTGCACGAATCTTAAGATCGAGTTAGCAACCAAAAGTGCAGGGAAGACGATCAACGTGCGTATGGGTTGCTCGTTTTCTCCCAACAGACTCGAAGAAGCTCTGTAGTTGGGATAGCGCGGTAACGTCGAAGCTGTATGATCGAGTTAAGATCTTGTTAACTAAAGCTATATTTTTACGAACCTTCTCATCTGCCTCGTTCGGATAAAGAATGTAATAGACGGAGAATAGAATTGAAGCCAAGTCGCGTAGCCACTTGGTGCGGATAGACAAAGCCGTAGAGAATCCAGCATCGAGACCGGTGTTGATCCATGTTGCTCGGTAGTAGGAAGACGAATACTATTTATCAAATGGATTAGATCAATATTATCAACTCTGGGTCTGACGCACCAACCGAGCCAGAGGCTCCGGAGACTGGAGTTTGAGAAGTTTGTCGAAATTCCTGATGATATAAACCCCAGTGAGGGTGCTGGCAATGAGCTGCCACGGAGAGAATCGTGAGAGCTTGCGATTGAGTGGGCGCAGATAGAGAAATGGGAGGCCGCGCTTGTTGCCGCTCACGATCCGCCATAGCCAGAATAAGATGACAAGGAAGACCTGGTCATATTATTTGAGTATCATTCAGAGTGAGAAATAGACGAATGACCTGTGTCCGCTTCCAAGAAGGAGATGGGCGACCAACTAGATGATCCAGCATAACGACAAGTCAAGAACAATTAACTTCCAAGGCGAAAGTTGGTGGTCCGTCGCCGTAGCTAGTTATCAGTCGATGCGGCCAAGTCGCCAGAGCGCTGCGCAGCTGGATATGTGAGGGTCGCGAGGTGCCTCGTCTGTTCGTGGTGGTTTAGAGTAGCAAGAAGCAGGTGATTGTTGAGAGAAAGATATCGTAATCACATGATGGCAGCCTGGGAATCACCTGCCAAATTTGGACTTCTCTCATTTTTGCTATGGCTCCAACTGCTCTTGTGTCTATCTTGACCGATCCACTCAGGATCGTGAACCAACTATTACTTCCTCATACAACCGAATACGTTCAAATCGACACAATCGAGCAAGCTCATGAGGCAATACGCTCGATGAAGATTCGGGGAGCCCCCGCCATAGCATCGCTGGCAGCACTTGCTTTCGCCGCTCATATTTCTCGCGGTACTGATGCGTCTGCGTCCTTTACATCTTCACCCGATGCAGTAAGAGCGGAAGTAGAGTCCATCTTGGCTTTTCTTTATACTGCGCGACCAACTGCTGTGAATCTGGGTGCGGCAACTCGTCGGTTGACTGCAACCCTCAATGCTTCACATGCCTCTGGGAAAGATGCGCGAACAATTTGTGAAGATCTTGTGGCAGAAGCTCACAAGGTTGCGGATGAAGATGTTGGCCGAAACAAAGCAATGGCCAAGTGGGGTGGAGATTGGCTTTTGGGGCGGCACGGAGGGGAGAATAACCTCAATGTGCTGACCGTCTGCAACACAGGATCTCTCGCTACTTCGGTACGACGTGAATAATTTGTCAGGCTGCCTCGTTGACTCTTTTACAGGGATATGGCAGGGCACCATATATGTCCATGTCCTGGGCTTATCTGTAGTAGGAACGGCCCTTGGCCTTATCACCTACCTCCATGAAACACAAAAGCTAGGAATGGCATATTATACGCAGACTGCACCATACCATCAAGGATCTCGGTTAGTCCACATGATGTTTTTCTCTCTCTTTCGTAGCTTCAACCTGATTTGCCTTCAGCCTTACCGCGCTGGAACTTCAAACCCTTGAAATCCCTTCCACAATGATCTGCGACACAATGGTGGGCTCTCTGTTCCAACATTACAAGATCCATGCTGTCGGTTAGTCTGGCACTCGATTGGACCTTTTCTTGCCTATAACAAGACACAGCTGTTGGAGCAGATCGGATTGCGAAAAACGGCGACACAGCCAACAAGGTCAGGCTTGATAGTTACGAGGATTCACGACTAATTCAACTGTCCATACCAGATCGGCACTTATAATGCGGCCGTCCTTGCAGCACGCCATAACATCCCCTTCATTGTCGTTGCACCTATCAGTACTGTTGATCTTAGTCTCGCGGACGGCTCAGGGTAAATCTCATCAGTGGTTTCCATGTATGAATGGCTGGACTTCCTAGCAGGATACCCATTGAGCAACGCCCTCCGATAGAGGCTTGTCTTGTCCGTGGCGCCATCTATCCTGCAGATGCAAACTCGAGCCAGGCAACAGTCATGATTACTCCGCCTGGTTTGACTGGCATTTACAACCCCTCTTTCGATGTAACTCCAGCAGAGTTGATAACTGCGATCGTGACTGAGAAGGGCGTCGCAACAAGGCAGCCGGGAGAATTGACATTTGACCTATCCACTGTGGTATAGGTCTTCTATAGTGCGAATGCAGTCACAAACACTCGTGCGTGGTCGTTGGGACGAGATTCGATTGCCTTTGGTCGCCGTAAAATATAGGACTGTTTATTTCCATTAGAAGAAGAAAACAACACCATTCAAGTTTCAACCTCTGGACGCGATCTCGGTGATGCAAATGCTATGGCAAAGCTCGGGGTTGTAAATCCACACCAAAGTCGACCTGCAGCCATTTTCAGAAACGAGATGCCAAGCAACGGTGAGCGACCTTTCTCTTGGCCTTCCTCATCTTTCTCCGTGGTTAGTACAATGACTCCAGCGCTTGGATCTGGATTAGACGCATTCCTACTGGGTACTGTAGTCGAATAAGCACTGGACGAAGAAATGGTGCATGTCATACCCCAGAAATCGTGTACCAACACACGCTCAATAATTGCATGAACGTCGGGGTCTGAATGATCGCTCAAAGCAGCGCCGAAATGGCGGGCCAGGCTCGTTTTGATTATATACTCCCCCGTTCCTGAAGACTTTTTAGCCCACGAATATTTGAACTGGTTGCATTAACCTGAGACACTACAAGCCATCCTGACCCCTCCTTCACGAGTCTGCGCCCAGCAACCTGCTCCAAATACTGCTGCCTATCGCATGTAGTAAGCTCAGTGGCGTGAAATAAATGCCCAGTCGTACCTCACCGATTCTGCCGGAGTACTTGAGAAGGATCCCGCCACTTGACACACCGCTTGCAATTTCGCCGGAGATCTCGTTCCAGGCTATAGCCCCCACCGTATCTTGCATTGCGTGATCTGGGTTGCTCATGGTTTCAAGACGATCCTTCCAAATCTTCCATTGCTTTCTAGCGCGAGGAGTCACCATGGATTCTTCCTCAACTATAAGATGTGTCGCCGACTGACGAGCAAAAGCATGAGCGCCAACTGAAACCAAAGTTATAGGTGGGATGCGGCCGACGGGGTCCGGCTTTCGTGAACGTTCAAGAATAAGTCGAGAAACAGTGATTGGATTCTTTACAGCTGGACATGAATGTTCACAAGCATGGTTCGAATTGTAGATCACCGACCAGACACAGCACCAACACTTCCGAAGTCGCCAGTAAGGCCATCCATTATGGCAGCATCACATTCAACAGTCCCATCTATAGTCAGATTCGAGCCAGAGCCTGCCACTTTTGAGTTGAGTCAACAGAGAGTTCATGGCCAACCAGCATTAAGGACAGTGGAATCTTCCAAGAATGCGATAGCTGTTTCAACGGCGTCGAGAGCAGACAAGGAGTTCGCCGCGCTGTCACACGCCCCGAGAAGAGCGGCTTTAACCTCTGGTTCGGAGCCTACACTGTGTATTCCAGCACCACCATGAACAACCCGGATTATCAGCATCGATGTTGCAGTTCAAGTACTAGTAAAGTCACGGTCACGTCACCACTCGTGACCTGGGTCACAAACGCGTTCTTGTAGTGACCCTCAGTAATGGAAGAAGAAACGAAAGCCTCCCATCTATCTGTCGTTGTCGATATATCCCCTTCAAACTGGGACTTGTCTGCTCGTGGAGCTCCCCACAACACGTACCCATTGACGCTGGCCTCGTTCTTATCCCAGCTGCTCGCTTTCTTAAACGCTCACATTGCTTGCCGAGATGAGAATACGCTGGCTGTGTTTGGTGCTTTCCCCAAGAAAAGGTGGGAATACTGGGGTCATTTATATGTATATTGACTACCCAGTGTCATGTTATATGCCTCAACAGAATCTGCTTCAGATTGGGTGTCAACAGATTCAACTGGCAATGCCTACCCGCCCTTTAATGCATTGGACTCGATGGTCGTGCAAAGAATATCAGCAGAGCTCCAACTAATAGAGAATTCTATGGAGGAGGAAGGTGCGCCGCGTCAACCACTCAGAAGCTCACGTTCACCTTTCTCGCAAGCACCATCATCATTGGTCGGTGCTCTCACTAAGGCTCTATGTTGTAAGCCCGATTCGACGAGGACGTTTCGGATAATTTTCACTGGTGTCCAGACGTCAACAGGATTTCCCTTCCCCCAAACCCAAACTCCAAGGCCCAGGCAAATGGTTTTCACCCTGGTGTACTTCCAGATCCCAGAATTCTCATACTTTCGGTTTCGCCCGATCTTTCCACGTCATATATTCCGATAATGAACTCGATATTCTCAGCACAAAAACTGGTATGTAGCCTTGCTTCATACGACATCAAGTTTATTTGCATGCTCAGAAAACGACCATCGACGTGTGCCAAGTTTATGGCCACGACAGCGTTTTCTTGCAACAAGCGGCACATCTCACGGGCGGGTCATACATCTTCCTTGAGCGACGGGATGCGTTACTGCAATACCTAATGGCGAGCCTTCTTCGTGCAGTAGTGGCGGAACTCACTTAGCATTCTGGCAGATGTCCTTTCTCCCGCCACCCTCCATCCGAAAAACGCTTTCTGTGCCAACGCAAGAGCAAGTGGATTTTCGTGCAGCGTGCTTCTGCCATAAGAAGATCGTGGATATAGGCTTTGTTTGTTCGGTCTGCCTTTCAAGTGCGTGTCACTCTAAAGCGAATGCTACTCATGGAGCGAGAGAAACGTATAGTATATTGTCAACCGTTGCCTGTTTGCACGACGTGCAGGTGGGTATTTTCGGGTATCGATGGGTTTGAGGAAGTTACTGATGGGCGACGGCGTAGGACGAAATTCCCCATGAAAACGTTGACTCGGCTGAACGCTGCTCGACCACTGCTGGGAAATAAAGGAGGAAGCTCGGGTGCAGTGACTAATAACGGGAGCGGAGGAAATAAGGCGACGAACTTGGGGCGGTGACAGGCTAGAGCGACTGGCGATGAATCAGGTGGTTTGGAGAGCGGGTTGGATGGATGATCACGGCAATGGGTGGCACGTTGTTGTTGACGACGTTAGCTGTCACGACAGCCAGGAGATCATGTTAGACGATGTGTGACCTGGGCCAGAGGCATTTGGCGGGAGCAGCAGAAAAAAGGGAGCAGGGTCGAGAGGGTATTGGGTAGGGTCGTGGTTGGAAAGCAAAATGATAGATGTCGTAGTAGAATTCGATGGAATGACAATGAAGAGCGGCCCAACCGGTGCCTAGCACATCGTCCAAGCCGTCGTGTTCCCACGGCCTTTCCCTTCCCCCCGCCGCCATGCAGGCCAGCTACCCACCCTACAACGAAGACAGCGACATGGAGGTCGACCCTCTTGGCGACAACGAGTACTTGCCCGTCACTGGCCATGGCAATGACGACCTTGACATACATTCGGTGAGCAATACCCGTCCTCCCTCACCAACCCCTGCTTATTCTCCCCTCCTTCCAAGCCGAACGACTCTGTGAGCTACTTGTCAACGTTCCTTTGTCCGCTGACATCGTCTAGGGCTATGAAGACCAGGGTGAAGATGAGGCTGACGATGACTTTGACGCTACGTATGGCGCCAACAAGAAGCGCTCACACAAAAAGAAACGTCTTTCGTCCGCCGCTCCCCGCTCAAAACGTAGGCCCTCTGCTCCATTGTCGCTCTCCAACCGCTGACCACCGTCAGCTCCAACCCACAACTCTGACTCAGACTCTGATTATGGGAGCTCAAAGAAGAAGAAAAAGTCTAGAGCATTTCACGACGAGGTTCGAGTGTCCAGTCGAGGTGTTACTGCTCCAAATTATATCGACGATGTTCCTGGTTTCGAACATTTTGACGACGATGACGAGGCGCCAGTCCCTCCCGGCCCACTCATCTCCGCCCCCACCGACGACGAAATCGAATTTGTGCTGAACCATTGTCGCGAAGATGGTCATGAAAGCGACTCTCAAGACCTGTGGTTTGAAAACATTGTTTGTCTTCTACTATTTGCGACAAACACTCAAATGCTGACATCTTATAGCGATACCACATCAAATGGAAAGGTTTTTCACATATGCACAATACCGACGAGACATACGAGTTCTTGAAGAACTACAAAGGCTTCAAACGGGTGGACAACTACATCAAATCATACAAGCAGTGGCACGCACGCGTTTCGGATCCGAATATCTCTCCAGAAGACCGAGAGGCCTTGCAAATCGATCGCGACCGTCAAATTGAGGAGTTGGATGTTTATCGAGTGGTCGAGAAAATCATCACTCAACGCCCCTCTCACACTTCTGGGAACGAGGTCGATTATTTCTGCAAATGGTCGGGGCTCAACTACGATAACTGCACATGGGAGCCTTCAGGGGACCTGGGTCCAGCTAACGAGGGCGCAATTGAAGCATACCGGGAGCGTAAGCGGCAAGCACGGTATCCGTACAAAAGCTCCACCTGGCCACGAAATGCACGACCCCATTTCCAGAAAATCCACAAAGACCCGGACTACATCGCTGAGACGGGGAATGAGCTGAAAGACTTCCAGCTTACCGGACTTAATTGGCTGGCTTATTTGTGGAGTAAGGGAGAAAACGGTATTCTGGCGGATGAAATGGGTCTAGGAAAGGCAAGTGACTTTGTGCAATGTCGAGGGCCATAACTTACTCATAACATCATCTAGACTGTTCAGACTGTCTCTTTCTTGTCATACCTGTTTCATCAAATGGAGCAGTACGGACCTTTCTTGGTCATCGTGCCACTCTCGACGATTACCGCCTGGCAATCGCAGTTCGCTTCTTGGGCTCCAGACATCAATGTCATCACCTACATCGGGACCTCCCACGCTCGCGCAGTCATCCGCGAGTTTGAATTTGGCAAGCCCAAGAAGAACAAGATGAACGTACTCCTCACCACCTACGAGCTGGTGTTGCGTGATGCGAAAGAGCTGTGCGAGATCAAGTGGCAAGCGCTTGCGGTGGATGAGGTACACAAACCATTCAGCTCGACTCTACGGATTAATGTCTTTTAGGCACATCGGCTTAAGAATTCTGAAAGCCAGCTGTATGAAGCTCTTCGATCTTTCTCTGCGCAATCGAAACTCTTGATTACTGGCACTCCTCTACAAAATAACGTCAAAGGTAATCCATATTCAAAAAACTTTGAAGCGAGATTGACGCTTTTGTAGAACTTCTTGCACTGATGCACTTCCTGATGCCTGAGAAATGTTGGTCTTTTTTTTTGTTTCAATCACCTCATCTCACTTCTTGTTTAGTCGCTCTTACCAACGAGTTCGACCTGAATGACGCCGACCATGAGACCAAGATCAAGGAGCTTCACCAACAACTCGAGGAGCTGATGCTACGGCGGTTGAAGAAAGATGTTCTCACCTCCCTGCCAACCAAGAGTGAACGTATCTTGCGAGTTGAAATGAGCGCCCTTCAAACTCACTTCTATAAGAATATCTTGACCAAGGTGATATCATTCAGTATTTTCCAGTGTCGCTAACTCACCTTGTTTGTTCAAGAATTTCCAAGCCCTAGTCAAAAGTGCCAACGGAAATAATAACATCAGTCTGCTCAACATCGGTATGTTCTGTTCCCATTGGACATGTTACCGGGGGTTGACTTGGCATTAGCGATGGAGCTAAAGAAGGCGGCTAACCATCCCTATCTGTTCGATGGTGCCGAAAACCGCGTCAACAACAACGAAGAGACACTCAAAGGTCTGGTCATGAGCAGCGGCAAGATGGTGTTGCTAGACAAGTTGCTTGCCCGCTTGAAACAGGATGGACATCGTGTCCTCATCTTCAGCCAAATGGTTCGAATGCTCGACATTCTCAGCGACTACATGAGCCTGCGAGGCTATATTCACCAACGACTTGATGGCATGGTTGCATCTGATGCCAGGAAGAAGTCGATTGCGCATTTCAATGCGCCCAACTCGCCGGACTTCGCCTTCCTCCTATCCACGCGTGCCGGTGGGCTTGGTATCAACCTTGAAACTGCGGACACTGTCATCATTTTTGATGTACGTCGTTGACTCGTTGTGAGGGCGGCTATGCCTAAAACTGATGACGCTCTAGAGCGACTGGAATCCACAGAACGACCTCCAGGCGATGGCACGCGCGCACCGCATTGGTCAAAAGTCTCACGTCAACGTCTACCGGTTCGTCAGCAAGGACACCATGGAGGAGGATGTACTAGAGCGAGCAAAGAAGAAAATGGTGTTGGAGTATGCTAGTACGTGCTGGGAGCTCGTCGCCGAGGCTTTTCGTTAACAGCATCTAGTCATCAACCAGATGGACACCTCACAAGCTCATCTCAGCTCCAAAGCCTCCACAAAAGACCCTTCCAAACCCGACAACCTCAGCAAGGACGAGCTGACTGCCGTCCTCAAATACGGAGCTCAGAAAATGTTTGCCCTTTCAAGGCGTCCTATTACTCCAGTTTATTCACAATGCCTAGGTTCGACAAAGACGACTCTCAACAAAGCCAAAAGCTCGACGAGATGGATCTTGACGACATTCTCAACCGTGCCGAGGACCATGAGACAATGGCTGTGAACGGCGATGGTGGGACCTCTCTGGGTGGCGAAGGATTTTTGGCGCAGTTTGCTGGTGTTACGGACATCAAGAACGACATGAGCTGGGAAGACATTATTCCGCTTGACCAGCGGCAAAAAATGGAGGAAGACGAGGAGCGCAAAGCCGACGAGCTGGCCTCGGGCGATTCGCGTAAGCGGTCTCATGCTCAAGTCTCCTATGAAGGCATGGATGTCGATCAACCCAGCGGCTCATCAGCGCCCAAAAAAACCAAGGCACCGGCTGCGATGCGGAAGTCGGCAAGCCAAAAGTCGATGGAGTTGAAGGAGAGAGATGTCCGGGTTTTGATCCGAAGTCTGCAACGATGGGGAGACATTCGTCAGCGATACGACGTTATCGTGCGTGGGCTAATCTATTCTGACTGAATGACAACTCACCTTGCGAGTATAGGTTACCGAGTCGAAACTGCAGGACAAGAATAGGGGGATGATCATGGATGTTGCGGACGATATTCTCGACGTTTGCAACAAAGCCATTCGAGAGCACGAGGATCAGAAGCGCAACCGTTCCACCACTGGAGAGCCTCTAACCAACGCTCAGAAGAGCAAAGCTGTTTTGGTCACATGCAGAAATGTCGCAAACATCAACGCAGAAACCGTCGTCTCCAGACATCGCGACCTTCGTATTCTCTACAGCGTTTTGGCGGAGTGCGAGGATCCTTACAAATGGACCATACCTATTGACAATATTCGACCTACTCTAAACTGGTCTGGCCGATGGGGACCCCAAGACGACTCGATGCTGCTTGTTGGAGCTTTCCTATATGGGTTTGGTAACTGGGAAGCCATGGCCAAGGACACCAAGCTTGGGCTGGAGGGCAAATTCTTCCTTGAGGAGGGCAAGAAGGGCGAAGACTCAGCAAACAAACCTATTCCCAATGCCATCCACTTGGTACGGCGTGGCGACTTCCTACTGGGTCTTTTGCGAGAACACGACGAGAAGCTCCGTTCATACGAATCTTCTCTCCGCACCAAGAGTAACAACAACAAACATTCCGCGTCCCCGCCTCCGATGGCCTCCACATCTTCTGGCTCTGGTTATGGGTCAAATATGAAACGGCGAGCTGAGAGTGAGGCGGTTGCGTCTGTTGATGACCCAAGCTCCCGGAAACGCAAGCGACGACCAACTCCAACATTCACTGATTCGGAATCCTCTGACGAATGGTAAGTTTGAGATCCCGATCCTTTTTTTTTTGACACTGAGACAATCTGCTAGTCCATCGATGGACGAGGCCTCAACGAAAGAGGAGCTACGGCCTGTGAAGAAACAGCTGAAGCAGCTGAAACTTTCTGGGGAGGACATGCCTCGGGACGATAAAGTTGCGATCCTCAAGGACTCGTTGGCGGCCATTGGTCGTCGAATAGAAGTGGTGCTTAACGCCAAAGCACAAGCTGGAGAGGATCGTGAACGCTGGCGGCGGCATTTATGGACGTGAGTAACTGTCTCTTCCTGTTTTTAGTGCAAAACTAAGTGTTTTGACTAGATTCGTCACGTTGTTCTGGCCGAAGAAAGTCAAAGCCTCCAAGCTGGAAGAGATACACGCGAAGATGGTGGTCAAGCTAAGCTCAGACACACCAAAAAACGGGACAGAGAGCTCTTCGAAGAAGGCGAGGTTAAGTGGACCAAATGGATCAACATCGTCGCATTCACCCAAGACCAATGGAAAGTCGCATCGGTGACCTCAGGGACATACCTCACTTCGTTTATAATTGATCGTCTTTATCTTACTTGCAACGTTGTATTACGTCTCTACTGTGTACATAGAAATGAAACGCTTGTGGAAATCTGACAAAGTTGTTGTTTGTGCCACGTGGCCGTGTATGTCTGGAGCCATCACCTCTCTAGCGTTGCTGGTGGGGCTTGGTGGTCGAATCCTCCTCGACCTCCTCACTAGGACAGGCGAATCGACTCTGCGGGAGTCGATTGTACTCGCCATGTGGCTAGGAAGTGGGCTCCACTATGTTTCAACGGTGAACAAGGAGCTGCTACTCCCAGCAGGGGCCATCGTCGGTGTCAAGGTCTTCAGCGACTGTGTCTTTCGCGAGGCAACACGTGGCTTCATCTCGATTGCGTGTGTTGGGGTCGGATTCTGCTTTGCGGACCTGTTATGGAGCTGGATGGACACTGGTGGCCAAGCTTCCCGGCCCAGCAGTCGCACAAGAGAGCGCGAAAAACACGTTCCCTCCTCTTCCCGCCAACGCTCTCATACGAGGAAGAGCGAGGGAGATGAACGACGCTCAGTTCGTCGTCAAACTTCCCGAAGAGCCGTCTCCGACATCACCTCCGTCGATGCCAACTCATTTCTCAATGAACGAGACTCCGCTACACTTCGGACACCTTTGGATCGCGAAATTGCTGCTCTGCGGGCTAGAGCATCGCTGGCGGATAGTGAACGGAGGCGGTATAAAGAGGAACGGAAATGGGCCCTTGAAGAAGGCAACGAGGCCCGCGCAAAAGAGGTGCGTTCCTTTTTTTTTTTTTAACTCCATCGATCTCTCACTCGAATTCTGCCCTAGATGAGCTGGCAGTACAAACGCTATTCTGCCCTCATGAAAAGCTTCAATCGCGAAGCTGAAGAACTCCAGATGCGAGGTATGATACTTGCCATTGTTGTTAGTGCCATTGTTCTCAATCTGCCTTCTAGTCTCCGCTGCATCCCGCCCCGAACGCTCGGAGCCCAACATAGACGAGTATACCCGCCGAGTCGATACCCCGCCCAGCAATGGCGAGCGACGGTCCAAACGGCGATAGCACGTGATCCACGACTGCTCTCGTTCTTCCCATGACATTCCCAACGGAGGTCGCTGAGCTCGTCATCGATGCATGCGATAACTCTTCTACTCTCGCCAGCTGTGCATCAGTTTCTCGAGCCTGGCACAATCGCGCCGTTTTCCGTTTGTTCGAAAGACAAACCATCCACGTCGTTGGCCTCACAGCGTTAGAGGCATTTTTATCAACTATCAGCCACCCTTTGTGTACCATACACTCCTCAATCCGCTCAATCTCTATCAGCTCGGTAACCTCACTCAATGGGTTTATTCCCATTCTTGCGGGCATCCCCAACCTAACCTCTCTTCAACTAACCGGCGACACCTTACTCAATGATGCAGCCCAAACGACCTTCAAGCAAAGCCTGTATGACCTCCGTCATCTGTCATTGGACATAACATTTCCTACCTCCACCGCCGCGATTTCCCTTGTGTGTTCCCTTCCGTTACTGGAAAGCCTCAGTCTGCATGGACGCTGGGTTGGTGCTCTATCACCCCCACCATTAGATCTACCCGCAACGATCCATACGATCTCACTGGGAGGAATGCTCGATGATATACTCCTTTGGTTACTCTCCCGACCCCCACCACCCGCCCTATCTTTTCTCCAATTCCGCGATGTTGGAACTAGGCAGTCGTTGCGATCGGTCTTGGAGTACCTACCACAGGTATCCAAAACGGTCACAGTATTTCGATTCAGCATCGCCGACATAGGGACGGAAAGTGAGTTTCGTAAAGCTCGACTTGATCAACCAGTATATTGAGGCCAGCCAGATCACTTTACTCACGGGATTCCTGAATCCCTGCATTTCCGCGTATTGCACACGCTTTCTATAGACAAACACTACGCGAACCCGCCACGGCTGCTCATCCTCTTCCTGATGCTGCTCGATGCCCCCAACCTCGAATTTGTCTCGATAAACAGCCTGGGGATGACGGTCATTTACTCGCACGCATGGACTCACGTCGGGGTCCAGCTGTTAGAGCACCCCAAACTGTGCAAGTTCACGGTCAGAACAAATGCGCAACACCACCCAGGGCTTAGGCAGGCGTTGCGGGCCCTTGACGTGCGGGACATGCTCGAATTACTTGATACCGTAGACTAATGAATACACACGAGTTTTCACGATGAGTCTTGGACTCCAATCTTGGTTTTTTGTTCTGACGTAGTGCTACTAGACGACAGGTGACTGCGACGTCACAACAACCCTTTGTACTATGAGTGCGCCTCAATGTCACCCCGGTCTCTTCGAAACAGAGAAGGAATGGGTCGAACATCAGCCATTTCTTTTGCAGCAAGGATATTTGCTTCGCCCGCGGTACAATCCTCAATGGCTGTCACTACACAAGAATACTAGCAAATGGAAACGATGGGGCCTTTTCACTTCTGCAAAAAGTACAAGAGAGGATGATGTCCGCACCTTCGTGGTTCGCACACTGCTAGTCTGCGGACACATCGCTGAAGCCGTTTGAAAGTACACCGCCATGGACGCTACTCGTGTATCAGACAACAAGAAGGTCGTGCTCAAACGCTTTCTTACTACCAACAGCCGCGAAGTAACCATCCACCGATACCTGGACTCGCCACAGCTGCGGGTAGACCCCAGAAACCACACCATCCCACTGCTCGATGTAATCGTCATGCCTGATACTCCTTGGAGTTTCCTCGTTACCCCCTATTCGCGCGAAATCGACTATCCGCCCTTTCATTGCCGTCTAGAGTTTGTTGAGTGCATGACACAGTTTATAGAAGTGAAACTCACTGCTGTGATTTTTTCCCACTCATGTGCGTTGTAGGGCTTGGAGTTCATGCACGAACATAACATTGCGCATCTGTATGACTGCTTCTATTTTGCCAACTGGGCTCATGAATTCGTAAAGGGACATAGCGCGGAAGAACATGCTTATGGATGAATCTCGTGTTGTCCCTCAAGGTTCACATTTTGGTGACTACAGAAGTCATACGGGTATCCCTGGAGTATTCCGTTGGCGAGACCGGTGCTCAGTCGGGCCTGTGCCATACTACTACATCGACTTTGGCTTATCTCACCACTTTCCAAACGGCAAAGACACGGCGAGCGTCAAAGGAAAGCTTCGCACATTTCCAGACATTCCCGAGCTGTCCGACGATGTGCCATACAACCCATTCCCCGTCGACATCTACCAGCTTGGTTTGACCATTCATAAAATCATTTATGTTTGTTCTCCATTCAATCGATTTCTATGCTATTTACCAGTTATCAGTGCTACCCCGACTTGGAAATCTTCCGTCCAGTGGCTGACGGAATGACTGTGGCCGACCCCACACTGCGAACATCACCCACACAGGCTTTAGCATGTCTCCGTGGGATTACTGAAGCAATACCTCCCCAGCAACTGCGCGAACAAATCTGGGACACCGCCGCCACTCCCAAGCTCAAACGAGACCGCAAAAAGCTGGGCGGGTATCGCTTTGACTGGAGTGTGAGTGTTGCTCGGCTTGCTCCATTCATGCATAGTACTAACTAAGCAGTACATACGCGATGATGCCTTATATGGAGTGAACCAATGGGAGTTGCCGTCGTCGACGTTCATGAAGAAGCGAGAAGAGTCTCTCGGCAGTGCCGAGTATTTTAAGGACGTGCAATAGCGCGCAATTATTGGCAGAGCTAAAAGGGGCGTCGTAAGCTACGTGAGGTGGGCCAGGTTGCTCGACTCTCTTGGAGTAGCTGCCCATTAGAGAAGTCATCCCACATTGGCAGCTGTTTGCTGTGATGAAGCCACCAAGTTGCGTTTGTCAGCTACTCCCAGCTGGAATTACTTGATACAGTAGACTAGTAAATACACGACTGTTATAGTTCGGTGTCGACGTAGTTGGCCATTGGGTCCTCTGTCATCCTACGAGTCATTCGGTAGGCCTCGAGCTCTTCTTCGGTAACCTCATGACTGCTTGATGCAACGCCCTTGCGTTTCTTGCCAAACCGGTCGCTGTCGTTGTCCTCTCCCTTTCGTTTCTTTTCTTCCTTCAGGGCACGCGCTAACCGGTCTTCGTCGAGCTGCACATCCCCCTCGCCCATCCGCTTCTTCCCAAAGTTCTGCTCCATCCGTTCTGACGTTTCCGGTGGGGGTCGCGTGTCTTCTTGCGGAGGTGGTGTGGCAGGCCGTGCTAGCAGATTTTGGGCACTGGAAGCTTGTGCAGCTGCAATACCCGCTTGGCCAGCACAATACGACAAGTGGACACTTGAATGACAACATCCATACCCCCAGGTGCTTGTCGCGGGGTCGTACCACGAGCCCCATACTTGAGTGTGGTTGTTGACGTAGACTAAACAGGTGTTAAAATAGACACCAGCAGAAAAAGAACAGAAATATACCATCTTCGGGGTATTTTGAGCGTGCTTTTACCCGTTCCCGACCCTTTATCAGCTGACCACCGCGAGAATACTCGACATACTCCTCCGTCTGGCCCTGCAAAAGTTCTTTCGGGGCCGTTTGCAGATATTTGGCGCCGCCATACTTGGCCAAGATGCTGATTTTAGACGTGTCCCGCAGCTCCTCCTTCTTCTGCTTGAACTCGTGGTGCAAGAGCTCTCCCTGTGTGGGGTTGGCGTTCAGGTGTACATCGTTGCCGCGGGATGCAGACTGCCACGCAAATAATTGGAGTTGCTGCATGTCATTGGCTTCTCCAGACGCCCGCAGGAAGTTGTCGCCTGCGAATTTGGCCTGTAAACGTGGTGAAATTCGAGTCAAATGGAGAGAAAAAAAATCCTTACATCCTCTGGGGCGACATTCTTGACTGGTGCATCACGCATAGACCGAGTTTTGGGGTCGTAGTATGCGCTTTCAGGGTCCAAGTTGATGAGATATTTGGCCGTGTCTTCTCGTATACGAAGATTTCTGACTGTGATTCGTGTTTTTGTGTCGAGTTTCTGGCCCACTGCGTCTGCTGTATCGGCGTATTTGTCTTCGTCAGCATCCTCCTCATCACTCGACCCAAACTCGGCATCCGCATCGGTCTTTTCCTTGCCCGCCTTTGCCACCTTCCTCACCGCTGCCAGGTCCGTTGTCGTCTGGTTGTCAATCTCCTCCTCCCTCTGCTTCTGCCTCGCACTGTCAATTGCTGCATACTCCTCATACACCCGCTTGTGGTCCGCCGCATCATAGCCATTCCACCGATCCCGCTTCGCATCGTAGCCAGACGCAACTTCCTGGATCACCTCGTCAGCCTGGATGTCCTTGTTCGTAAACTTGGCCCCCCGCCGTCGCGGTCGCTCGAGACAGTCTTGCTTTTTGTGGGTCATCGCCCCGCAGTTCTCACAAGCTCCTTTCCGATACTTTTTGGCGGCAGGCCCAGCTTTCAAGCCTCGGTCATACCAATTGTCAATGGTCTTGGGTTCATCCGCGGGTCGCCTTTGATGACTCAGAGACGGTGCACCGGTGTCCAGGTACCATGGGGCTTGGGATATATATTCTAACAATATGTGTAAGCACGGAGGTGAACCAAAGACAACAACCAACGCACGTGGAATATGAGGATTTATAGGCTTCCCCTCCTCGTCTAGCGCGGGCGCCGCTGTTCCAGCTTTTCGTGCAGCATCGAGGTCCTTCTGCTTTCGGAATTCCTCTCGGGACAACTTGTTGGCGGCAGAGATTGAAGCCATCACGAGTCACGTGTCAGCACTTTCGAAAAAGAGTCGACATTGTCAAGTAGTACATCTACCATCCTCTCATACGCGAGATTGTATCTAACACGCTATCCCCACCAGCACCTTCGGCCTTCCTTCGCTTACCCTCCTCGTCATCCAGCTCCGAATACTCTTTCCATCTCTCCAAATCCTCGTATTCCACGTTCAATGCCCGCACTATCGTAGAAAGATAACCCAAGTCAGATGCTAATTGGGCGGTACCAGAAGCCGAAAGTGTGGAGATTGCGGGTAACACTGTTGTAGTGAAATGTCTGAGCAGGCTATGTCCAAGCGACGACAGCCAGGCAGAAGAAACCACCTCCGGATCAAGTGGCGCTGGTGGTTTGGGGTTTGCAGCAAGCGATTGTCTTCGCCGATGACCGGGTGACGAATGAACGTCTACATGCACCGCCAGTTCAGAAAGCGTGGCAAGAATTTCAGGGTCAAGATGGGGCAATGTGTGGAGCGAAAACGAGAGTGCATCGTCATCAGCGTAGTTGTCGAAGAGACGAGGCAAATCCAGCAATCGGTCGCAGACTTGACGAATTGTCTCGCTCGGCGATAGCGAAAAGGTAGGGACATGTAACTCGTTGGCTCCGCCAGACCGTTTTGCTTTTGGATCCCCAGGTGTTGCCCAGATAGGTAGTGACGCGTATGGAGCCAGATGCATTCGCAGAGGAGACAGAATAGCCTCTTGAAGAGACAATTGACAAGCCTTCGCAAACGAATAAACACCCTCCCGCGTCCCATTAAGTAACGGCGGCGATGGCATTGGCGATGGATTTGCCCTGAGATGTGCCGACTCGGGGTCGACACGCTCCAGCAAGGCATGAAGCTCCGCCGAATTGAGGGTTGATTGTTCTAGAAGCTGACTTTCACCCTTGGAATTGGCGATGACAAAGTTGGTTGGATCATTTCTAGCCAGTCGGAATGTAGTTGCGATCTGAACAAGACTCGCACGCAATTTGGTCTCGAAGGCCATCAGACGGTCAAACATAGCCCGTGCTGACGACAAGAGATGCAACAGCAGCTGAATATCCGCCCAGTCTTTCGCGGAGTAGTCCAAATCGGCCATTTCCGTTGAGTGTTGGAAACCTGACGACGAACCAGAGCCAGCACGGACTTCGGCGGTCCACATGTCAATGAATGACTGGAAAAACCCATCCAAAGCTCGCACAAGCCCGACTGCGCCATATCCGTGGGTAAAGGCCAAACAACGTGATACACTTTCTTCTGTTACGCTGAACACATCGACTGTTCGCTCTCTTAACAGCCTTGCTCGGTCCACATCAGCAATAGTTTCCCGTGTATCGCTGGAGATGATTTCGCGGAGAGCATGGTCCAACAATCGTCGCTCCAACGTGCTGTAATCGACTTGGAAATCAAGGAATGGCTGGAATAACTCCTGCTCCCATTCTAACTCATCAGCAATACTAAGTGTTGACTTGGACGCAATTAGGCCACTTGAAGTAGACCGGGACGGTGCAGTTCGCCAGGACATGGACAGCCGGGAAGAGCGTCTTCTATGAACCATAGGATTCTCGGGACTGGGGCTTTCCATTGGAGACAGAACATTCGAGTACCGGATCTTCTCCATGACATGGTCAACACCGGCGGCGAATTCCTCTGTCGAACGGAACACTGTGATGAGCTCTTTGAGTGCAGAATCACCGTAGTGCTCTGAGATCGAGGCTAAGCGTTGCGAGAATGTTGGCTGTAGGGTGGAGAGCACAGAGTTAATCATGTTTGACAAGGTAGGTGCTGGGTCAGGGAAGATGGATGGGATGGACGTTCGCTCGACGTTGAGGAGGGCAAGGAAATTCGCGTAGAACTTTGGCATAAATTGAGCCAAAGTTGGGGAATTACTTTCTGGAGGGATATCGCAGTCGCTGACTTGTGTCTCCTGCCACTGTTGCACAACCTTGGCGCGTCTTGAACCAAAATAATAGTTGCGAAACTCGGATTCGCGTTGGATGTTGGTAAAGATGGAAAAGTAGTTGCGACACGCTGCAAGGTCATGGATATTTATCGCAGCGACAAGAGCTGAGCTAAGTGCGGCCTCAAGCTGATTTTGAAGGTTGACCATGAGCGTTTTCCGTGGATCATATTCTGGCGTGTTTTGGAAGACAGCCATACTCTTGTTGGCTTCGGAGAGTCTTTCAGCGGCCTTGGCATAACTTTTCTCGGTCAACAGCGACGTGACTTCCAGTTCCAAAGTACTCCAACTCTCAGCTTCTCGCAAGACATCCCGCGCGGCTTCCATCCGCGTTTTGACCAGGTCCAGCATTTGTAACCTGTCGAGCGCTGCCTTGGTCGATTCTGGAACGGCCTCTCGTGAGCGCAGCGTTACATGTGCGAGGACGGACTGGAGTGAAAGCGCGCCATCCTTCATGAAATGAAGGTCGTAGGTAAGTCTTGGTACTCCTCGAGACACCTCGTCGATTGTGCGCTCTAACTCCAACGAAGTGTCTTCTGCCGCAAGGTCCAGTGTTGAGATAAGCTGGTTGAGCTGTTGCTCAAGGTCGGTAAGAAGAGGTGAGTCGGATGGGGGAAGGGTGTCGTTAATCCATGAGACGATGTCAGTAGACTCTTCTAGCGACTCGATGAGCTCGGAAGAGAGCGCCATGGCTGTGGGCGTTGAGCGTTGTAGTTGTAGCAAGCAAACGAAACGCGCCGCACATGATGGTGGGTCGAAGCAAGAATTTACATGATTGGTACATAGAATTGACATAATCACCACCACCCTAACTCATATGGGGGGAGCTTGACGGCCACGACTTTACTGTCTCCAGAAGGTCCCATCGACTCCCAGCAAGTCTCACATAGAAAACACGGGCTCTCTCCCAGTCTCTCGTCGTCTACAATAGACCACACCGCCGGGAACTTGTTGCAAGCCCGGCAGTTGTCGATTGAAGGGAAAGTTATTTGTGTGGTTATCGGGTACCCAGACTGCACGTCCGACGGGTGTTGTAGCCTGTAACAAGTTCAGTCTAACAAGGATCGTAAGAAGAATATGCACCTGATTTGTTCAACCACAATTACATGCTCGCAGTTTCCGTGGTGAAGAAGCCAGTAGGGCTCCCCGATACGAAGGACCAGTGAGCTGAGAGGTGTGTCATGCATTGCGGTGGGTGCTTTTTTCACTGACACGGTAGTCTCTTTCTGCACAGCTTGAAGATGCTGGATGAGTTTGCTGCATGTTCTCAGTCCAGTTGAGGAAGAGAAAAAGTGGGCTTACTCTGCATAATCAGTTTCGCTTTCACCGTCTCCATACGCCATGCCTTCGACACATACCACACATCCAGGACGTGTTGGGGGCCCATCGCTCTTATAGCCAACAACCCGATCATCCTCGAGAATTTCTTCCCGCAGTTCTGTTGAAGGGCAATGGATTGCGTCAAACAAGTCACCCAGGGTTTGCGACGAGAGTATTAGATGTCGCGTAGACCGTGCTACCTGAGACTGCCGCCAGCTGAGTCGATTGTGGACAGTAACAGTCAGGACAGCTTGTTGCTCGTTGTCTCCCAGTTTCCCGTCCTCAGTTCTAGTCGGTTTCTGTCTGGTATCACATGACAGACACCAAGAAATGGTGAACTACAAACGTTGTTGAACAAGATGTTTTGGTCCGTTGTGCGGACAGGCCGGATGAAAATCGTTGAAGTTGACTGCAATCTGAGGAAGGTGTCAAAAGACTTCCAGTTGGATAATAGTAACAGCATAGACCCACTTCCAACTTTCCAGTGGAATTTTATCAAGCTCCGCTTGAAGTTTAGCGACAGCAGTGTCGTCGACAGTCGCCTCTGGTGCAGCTGCAGGCCGTTTCTTGCCAACGCGCTTTCCTTTGGACGATTGACTATGAAAAGCAGAGACAAGCGAGTCGTGCGAGTTGACAAGGTGTGTCATGAGCTCAACATCGTCCCAAATGGCATTCAGCGAGTCACGGATGTCAGAGACACTGTTGCTGGAATGAGGATTTGTCGGGTTGGTCGAAAGGAAATACGAACTTGCATTGCTCTGCTATCTCTGAGGGTAGTGGAGAAAGCTCTAGTGTTGAAGGACGAAGGGTTGCAAATGATTCAACAGTGAGGGGCTCGGATGGCGGCCCAAACTGGTTTTCGAGGTAGTTGGCTTTGGTCACGTTCATCACATACAACGCCCAACGCCAAATCGGGCAAATTTTATAGGATGCGGTGTACAATCACAAAATAACCAATAATTTAGCCATTAAATACACAGTACAGTCCCGAGTACAATGAGAGTTAGTAAGGTCAGAGAGGGCATCAGCAGGCGGTAAGCAGAAGCTACTGTCGTCGAGGTGTCGGGTCTGTTGCCTGGATTAACCGGAGGGTCAAACCCAAATGAACACATACGGTATCCCATTAGCATCCGAGAAAGATGGGCAGGTATCATTGGAGCCACCCGTGGGGTTTGCTGGACAGCATACGCTGGTTCCTAAATTGGTCACACTACCGAGTGCGGCAGCATCTTTCCAGCCTGCCCAATGGGAGCAAGAAACGACCTCATAGGTGATATTCCAGACACCAAAGTCTAATAATATGGGGTTAAAGCATCTTCAGGGAATATGATTAGTCAAGGTCACCTTTATACCCATAGTATGACTCGTTGGAAGGGAAAAAGTCGGCAGGTATGCTGGAGCTCGGGTACGCCAGATCAAAGTTTATATTTTGACCCCCACTGCAGGAGCCAAGTCAACAATCAAAACATAATAAAGTAGCTGACCACTCACGGATTCTTCTTTTCTGCGGTCCCAGCACACCAGCCATACGTCGAAAGCGGACATAAGTCGGTCACCTTGACCACGATGCTTTTCACAACATTGGGAAAGAACGGTGGAGTTCCCGTATATGAGTTTAACAGTGTAAGATTGAAGCAGTACCCGCAAGCCTTGCCGAAAGCATTGCTGGAACCTAGTAACGAATTAGAGTCTATGAAAGCATCGACCGGTGGCGACATACCATACGCCATTTGCGACATCGCGGCGGTGGGGTGTCTGTTAAACCAATCAATGAAGATACAGTGGAGGAGTAAGAGTTGAAACGTACTTTGTACTAGCCCCAGTGCAACCACAGGACGCGATATAGCCATCCGGTATTTCTGGCATTAGACTGAGCCATGGATATCACCGAGGGAGGCGACGGATAGACCGACCATAATGTGTCATGGTGGCCGTCCCACGAGTACCAAAGTCTATCCAGGGACCTGTCGAGTTTGGGGGTGTCGAAACAGAAATGTCTACCGCAGCATCGAAATTCGCGAAGGAAGAGTCTACTGAGGCAACCAGCCCCACGAAGGCGGAGAGTAATAGAATAGCGATGTGCATGGGAGAATGAGCGTGGAGATCAGGGCATAAGCAGACCGTAAATTTTGTGACATCGGAGGTCACACTTTTCCATGAAATACTTGTACCCCGCTTCGCATGACCTCGACTCGCTCTCTGACCAGCAACTCTCGCTGAAGATTGCGCGCCATTGTACTTGCAGCTCATGCGGCTGCTTTGGGCTGCATCCTGATTCTGGTTGGAACGTGGTCCTCGACTCTGATGACCTCGACAACAACTCCGACCAATCCTTGCCTGATTTGGACCAGTATGCCTCTGACGATGAAGACGGCCCTCCAAGCTATCTCGAAATGTGTGCCTGTGGTCATGATATGTACGACCATGGTGCGGATCAACCCCAACTCGGTCGCGACGAGTTTGTTCGCAAGGCACGGGTCGCCATTCGCGCTGACGAGATCCTGCAAGTGTGTGTAGCTTTGTTTCCGCTGCATAACAGCTGAATAGAGCGTATAGGATGTGAATAAATTGCTCGATTTCACGTATGTCGATGGAGATGTCCTTTCGCTGCGAAAACAGATGGTGCCGTTCTCAGCAGGTTCAGGTGTGTTGTGTCGCTTACTGTAGTATATTTAACTCAACTCATTAGAACGTAATTCTTCTCCCCAACTCTCCAGTCCACCTTCATCCGCCTCGTCTGTACTAAGCGATGACCCGGACTCCCCTCCTCCACCCAAGAAACGCCGCGTATCATATACCTCATCCTCTGCACTAAGCTCTGACGATGAATCTGAGCAGCCATTGGCTGCCAGAGTCGGTGCAAAGTCAAAATCAACAACAACACGATTAGATAAGGGTACACGGCCACCGGCGTCCAAGGGTCAGAGAGGCGGGAAGAAAGGACCAGGGATAAAGACAAAGACAACGGGCCAGATGGCCCCAACATCTCTTCCGCCACCAACAGGGTTAGAGCAGGCGTTAATGAACGGAACCGTATCAGCGCAACCTCAAATCAAAGTCGAGGACAAGTTGGATGAGCAACAGCTTTCGAGGCTTACTACGGGTGTAACAGTGGACTCAAAAGAGGGCGTGGCAACAGTAAGCAAATTTGAAAACAATTATTTGTGTTTTTGACTGTCCTAGACAACAGCCAAGCCAGAGAAAGCCGCAGTGGGTGAACTCCGGAGGGGAATCATTGTCATAAATCCCGTCGAAAATGACGGAGAGCCGCGCTCACTCATCATCCTCACTGGCTTGAAGACCCTTTTTCAAAAGCAGCTGCCCAAGATGCCCCGAGAATATATTGCGCGTTTAGTCTACGACAATAGTTCCAAGGGTGTAGCGATTGTCAAACGTGGACTCAAAGTCGTAGGCGGCATATGCTATCGACCGTTCCCCCACCGCGGCTTTGCTGAAATTGTATTTTTTGCCACTGCGTCTGTTGATCAAGTGAAGGTAAGGTCCACCATTGTACCAACAGAAACATGTTGAAAACGAGAACCTAGGGTTACGGCGCGATGCTAATGGACCACTTCAAAGCACACATCCGCAAGACCTATCCTGATATGATGTACTTCCTCACTTACGCGGACAACTATGCCGTTGGATACTTTGAAAAGCAGGGCTTCTCCAAAGACATAACGCTAGACCGGTCAGTTTGGGCCGGCTACATCAAAGACTACGAGGGCGGAACGATTATGCAATGTACCATGCTACGCAAAGTGGACTATCTGGACAAGCCAGGTCTACTCAAGATTCAGACAGAGGCGGTTATGCAGAAGATACGCGAGATGTCTCGCTCGCATGTCGTCTACCCGGGTCTGCCGCAGTTCCAAAACGCAGAGGGCGAGGTTAGCGTTGACTATCGAGACGTTCCTGGACTTAGTGAGGATCTCTTTAAAGCTAATTGTGTATCTAACGATGTGCACAAGGGGATAGTGGTTGGTCGCCTAATATGTCAAATGCGTACGGTTTTTTTCGGCTGGAGTTAGCTCTTCTTTACTCACAATCGTCCAGCCCTGTTCGTATAATCTCGCGAAACTCGGATCTCTACTGGATGCAGAAAACGATGAGGGAGCTGAAAGAGCACTCTGCTGCTTGGGCATTCCTCCAGCCGGTGAATGGTAACGAAGTTGTTGACTACTACGATGTGATCAAGGAGCCCATGGGTATGTGTTTTCTACCCACAAGGCAATCGTCTTACGGTTTAATCATTAGATTTTTCTACAATGAGCGAAAAGCTGGAGAAGAACGAATACCCGACTGTCGAGGCATTCATCTCCGACGCGCAGCTCGTGTTCGACAACTGTCGCAAGTACAATGTTGAGAGCTCCAACTACGCTAAAAATGCCACCAAGATGGAAAAGTTCCTCAACGAGCGAGTGGCGGAGCGAGGGAAGAAAGACTAGGTGCGATTGGACTCGTTTGTATTCATACATATTGTACATGATAATAAAACATTGTCCCTGAATCAGCGCTGACCGTCTGCAGGGGGGTGTGAGGGTCATGTGATAGTCAAGGAGAAAAGCAACCCACAAGCTTTGGTCTCGTACTTGCCCAAACCGACGATGATGTTCTGCGGCTCTTGGGGCTTGCCCGTCAGGTAGTTCTCCAGAATTGAGCGGGCACCAGACTAGCAAAAGGCACGGTGAGGTCCAAAAGAGGTGCGTGGGGCGGGAAGCGAAACGTACAGCATAACGCGCCTGGGCATCGAGAGTGGTACCAGAGTAATGGGGCACCATGCCGTTTCCACCGCCCAGAGGGTTCTTCGCCGTGCGCCATACATGGTCCTTGGGAGCGGGCTAAAACACTCGTCAGCCAAACTGAAACATGTTGAGAAAGAAAAAATGGGTTCTAACCTGGACGTTCCAGACGTCACCAGCATAGCCCGAAAGCTGACCAGAGGCGAGAGCGCGAGCGACAGCATCCTTGTCGCAAATGGCACCACGGGCAGTGTTGACGAGCCAAGCACCCTTCTTGAAGTGCTTGAGCAGATCGTCGTTGACCAGTCCACGGGTGCCTTCGTGCAGCGGGCAGTTGACGGTTACGACGTCGCACTATTTTTGGTGAGCGACCGGAGCAGACATAGAAGCAGCAAATGTACCTTCGAGACGAGATCCTGAGTAGATTGTCAGTTCTTCTATCCAAACAATCATTTCTTTACTCACTTTGAGGTCGTCGACACGGACGGCGCCAACCGATTTCGCGGCGGCTAGCCAGAGTCAATATCTCATTACGCGTGAAGAGTGTTTTTTCTACACACCTTCAGGGAGAGGAGCATAGTCGTAGTACAGCAGCTCCTTGCAATCGAAGCTGCATAAGCACGCGTGAGAAAACAAGCTATCAGAGATAATCGATGAATGACGTACGGAACAAGTCTTTGGAGGACACGGTAGCCAATGCGGCCCGCGCCAATGGTCCCGACGACCTTGCCCTCGAGATCGAAAGCGTTTCGGGCAACATCGGAGACCTGCCAGTCGCCCCGCTCGATCATCTCGTGGGCCGGAACAAAGTTGCGGACAAGGAGGAGGATGGACATGACGACATGCTCGGCAACGGAGACGACGTTGGAGCCGGACACTTCCAAGACCTGAATTTTGTGGTCGACGGCGGCATTGAGCTGGTGTGAGGTTCTGTCAGCAAGACCGACAAGGGAGTAATGGCGCATTACGTACGTCAATGTGGTCGGAGCCAACACCGGCAGTGATGCAGAGCTTCAGGTTCTTGGCCTTCTCGACAAGCTCACGGGTCAGATATCCGGGGTGGAACGGGGTGGTGATGAGGACTTCAGCGTCGACGATGTGCTTCTGGAAATCGCTGTCCGGGCCCTCTTTGCTGCTCGAAACCTAGACATTGATGAGCCTCTTGTTCAAGAAAAACGGCCAATATAAACGCACTGAAATTACAACGTCAGCGGGCGGATGAAATAAGAAATTCGAATTGTCAAGTACCGATGAACTCGTGCCCCTCGGCCGCCAGCCAGTCTGCGATACCAAGCTATTGTTCGCGTTGAGGTTCTGGGCCATTTCGAGGACGCTGGCGTACCTTGTTCTCGGTGGTTCCAAGCAGACGGGGCTCCTCAAGCGCAGCCTTGTGTCCGTCGTACAGAATAGCAAGGACCTTCATGGTTGGAGTAGGCGATGGAGAGTAGTAAGAGTGGGAGTGGGAGAGAGCAAAGGGATAAATTGAAGCTAGAGATGTCAGTGATTTTTATATCCGCGCCCAGGGAAATGCATAACGTTCACCCACGGGGGTCAGATGAGCTAGTCGGGAGAGGCCGGCGGCGGGCATCTGGCATCACATGGGGGCTTGGGAGAGAGCTTGGTGAGAGAACGGGAAGGAGTACTACGGACCTTCCTAATTAGGGTTCTCAACCTAAACCCTCCGATTGGACATCGGAAGGAGCCCATCTGCTCGCTATTCAACACGCCTTCAATGTCCTCAGCTGGCAGAAAAATCAGGAATTGAGTTGTGCTTGATATCATTCACTGTGGGCGGTGAGCGGCTCATCGACGGTAGATTAATTTTAGCGCGAGGAATCGAGTTATCTTGGAGGACCGAAAGGAGTTCTGCGGAGGACAACAGAAGCGACGCTTCAGCGGTGTCAGATAACATAAATCTGCCTCCTCGGAGCCGCATTTAGACATGTGGGTCCAGCTTTCTGTAAAAAGCCCTCGGAAAGAGCAGGATCACTGTGCCAGTTTAGGAAACAGGGCCAAGATGCCGGAAGCACAGTCAGCAGAACTTCTCGGTACTTCTCGGGACAGACAACTTCTGTTGGGTTCAAAGTGTGCTGACGTATCGCACAAAGTGGCTTGGAAGTGCTCTTCATTCGGAACAGGACGGACATCCGTAACGTCATGCTCTACAACATTATATCGTCTAGAGAACAGAATTGAGGCAAGTCTTGGGAGCAAAGGATCACGAGAAGCACGCACCAGTCTATGGCATAATTATAATTAAACCCTCGTCTCGTCAGCTGTTCGAGGCACCATCTCATAATCTTCTCCTTCGTCGCCACTGAAATCCTCCAGAAGAACATCTCTTCTCGGTCCGAGCTGAGCCCTTTTAATCACCTCCCACTCGACCCGCACAAATACCCACAGCCACCGCCGCAACAGCTCTGCCATCTCGAGCCAGAAAATGGTAACGCTGCCCTCCGATTTCGAATGCAAGTGGCTCGATAGTTTGATCGACCATGTCATCCGCAGCACAAGATTGAGAAACACCACGAGCGGGTAGACAGGCAGCGGGAACAGCAGAGGGGACCGGAGGCCGAATGGGTAAGGCTGTCGCTGGTGATTGGTGGCGGGGGTCATATGTTCTTCCGATGCAGTTGACCGGTGCGCTAATAGCAGGGGCCGTGGTGGGGGTGGTTTCTCTCGAGAAGTGTCGTGGGGACGGAGCAGAGATAGACCCCAATCATTGGTTACATCCCACCAAAATGAATACAACGAATTCACAACCGCTGCCAACAGCCTGGAAAGTACTGTCAGGCTCGTGCCGACCCCGCCGAGACAAAAGGGCTTACCACAGTCTAAACAGCGGGTGCTGCCCGTGCCACGCTTCGCCATCTCCCTTCTCCTTCATCACCAATCGCTGGGCCGCAGACAGATAGATGACGGGGAAGGAGGTTGCGTATTTCAATGCATTGAATAGCGGGCGGCGACTGTCGTTGGAAGGCAGCGAGTACTCGACAAGACACTGTTTGAAGCGGACCAGGTATGGCAAGCTACAATGAATCAGAATTCGAAGGGGGTGGGCTAAGACACGAGACTCGCCTCATGATCGTCGGCATTATCCATCTGGACCACGGTCCGTCGTCAGGAGTGCGAAACAGAGTGCTTCCAGGCAAAAGCATGCGCGCTGACAGCCAGACATCCCCCAGAACCTTGGCAAACGACGTGAAAACATCCGCAAACACCACGTCCGCAAAGTATATCGGCGCGTCCATCGAGCTAAAAAGGCACCTCCGGATCGACCTGGGAAATTAGAGGCAGTATTGGCAGTAGAAGCACACGCACTGGAGAAACTTGTCCCGTTCGCGTTTGTACAAAATGTCGATTGGAGAAACCAGCGCCATCAACACGACGAGTGCCGCAATGGCCGGGATATAGCCAAAGGCGTCTACGAGCGCCATGTCGCCCCATGTGAGGTAGCGGAAGACGCCCCAGCACAAGAAACACCACACTGCGTAGGCGGCAAAGAGGCGGTACACGGCGTGGTAGATGACGGATGGGTGGGAGGGCGGCTTCGGGCCGGTGGTGAGGTGGGCGGGCAAATGGGAGTTGAGGTTTGCCTCCACACGCAGGTCCATTGCGGAGACGGCATCGACGCCAAGGAGGTCGAGGCCATGGAGGTTGGTGGCCCACCCGACGATCCCAAGGCCAGCCAGGACCAGGACTCGGAAGGGCAGCGGGAAGTCGACGATAACAGGAATCTCGGACATGCTGCCTGCCCACAGTGAACAACGGCAGTCGCAGTCGCGATCAAAAGCATACAGAGGATTTCCCGAAACGGGAAGCGGCACGTGATGCCACACCTCTTGACCTCTGACGATGAGCGCAAGCAATGCCGCTGACACGGACTTCCGCAAGAAGTGGGACAAGGAGGAATATGCGGAGCGCGCAAGGAAGAAAGACGTCGAAGAGCGTGAGCGAATGCAGGATAATGAGGAGAGGATGCGACAGGGTATGTCATAGTACACAGAGTTCAATTTTCTAAGAGGCTATAGGAAAACGACCCAGAAAGGGACCAAGGAAAGAAGATATGCCAAAGCCGACAGAACTCATGAAACAACGCGACGCACCTCTTGAGCTCGACAAGAACTTGAACAAAACTATGGTCGTCCAAAATCCTGGCGGAAAAGGACCCGGCCAGCCCGGCTTCTTTTGCGAGACATGCAGCAGGAACTATAAAGACAGTATCGGCTATCTGGACCACTTGAACAGTCGAGCGCGTGCGTCTGCCCTCCGTGTCGTGCTTATACTCTTATCTGGCTTGCAGACTTGCGTGCTATTGGACAAACAACGAAACTGGAGCGGTCGACGTTGGCGCAGGTGCAAGCTCGCATCGCGCTTTTGCGAGAGAAGACCAAGGATGCCACGACCGCAAAGGCTTACGACTTCGACAAACGATTAGCGGAGGTCAAGGCGATCGAGTTGAAGAAGCGGGAAGACAAGAAAGCCGCTAAACAAGCGGAGAAGGAAAAGATTCGACTGGAAATGGTCAAGGATTCGGAGCAAGACGACGAGATGCAGCGCATGATGGGGTTTGGAGGTTTTGGCTCAACCAAGAAGTAGGAGGACTTGTATTACCAGTGTGTATCTGCTATGGTGTATTACTAAACTGACTATTCAAACTGCTATGTTGTTAATGTTCAGATTCTACTTTGTGTAAGTCGATTCTCCAGCCTTTACTCTCCGATTCCGAAGCTGGAGGTCGTCTCTTATCCACTCTACATGCCATCGAAGCGCTGAAAGAGCTACAGGCTCAGAATGTCGCCTCGCGTGCGCATCATGAAGACGAGAACTAGTAATCCTCAAATGGTTCTGTGAAATTGGCACCTTATGATTCAAGGACAAAAACACGCCCTTGCGACTGCAGGCCTTGCTAGCCTCCCATACGAAACGGTATCATCGTGTTATTTCAGGAGCCAGCAGCATAAACACACACACGCAAATGACGAAGAGACCCCATCAATAGAAAGCTACGCCAGACAAAGTGAACGTTGCCCGCCAGCGCAGTGGTTGCAGACCGCAATTAGCTTCATTATACTATTCACGATAATATGCCGATGGTTTATTGAGCACAACTCGATGCCGCGCGAAACCAACTGGCGCGCTTTCATTTCGGAGCACGTGATCGCGCGCGGAGGGTTTTCTGCCTGGAGTATCATCTTCTGTGTGGCGTTTGTGAGCATATACCGCCAAGTGCAGCAGTCCTGCGGCGGCGCAGCATGACGTAATACCGTAATACTCTTGCCTCCTGCATCGATGAGCGGAGCCGAGGCGCAAGACGCGCTGTTCAAATCGGAGCCTGTTCCGTCGTCGCTCACGCGGGCCAACACCCGTCTGCAGTTCCCGCCGAGCTATGTTGTCGTAGGGTGCTATCGGCTATTCACCGACAAGGTAAAGTATCCTCGAAATAACCGCTGTTCACGTTTACAGTTGCGTAGCTGCTGTACGTGCCTGCATGGAAGAAGTGCCAGCACGGCACCCAGCGCGGGGCGGTCGTCGGTCTGGTGTGTCCCTTGCTTTTGCCTTTCTACTCCGAAGTACTGACTACCCAGATCTGGGCCTTCCTGACCTTCGGCCTGCAGAAAAAGTTCATCGAGGTCTTCCTCGCCAAGTGGGTCCCCTCCTTTCTGGGTGGTAGCCCCCGCTTACGTGTGCAGCTCGCCGCGCGTGACGGGCTTGTCGACGGACACGGTGTTTGGCTGCAAAGTGCCGTTCTCGGTGCACACGTACGCGGCGGCGCTGCTGCTCGGCAGCCAGGTGACGTGGATCCTCCGCTTCTTCCTGGCGCGCAACATCCGCGTTGCAAGGGAGCGCGCGTGGGAGCAGACCGTGGCGTCCAGAGGGAAGAGCGCCGACTTTTGGTGGGTCCTTGTTTATCTGAGTTATTTGGCTGGGCTGATGCTTGTAGGATTCCTTATGTCGAAGTGCGACCTCCCCGGGCTGATATTCTGCCATTTATGCGTTGCAGGAATGGCAGCACCCGCCGCGCGTCGTCGTCGACACGTGGACCGGGCGCATGCAGAAGCAGTGGCTGGGCTACGCAGTCGTCTTTGCAATCAAGCACAGTATGCTGCCTTTCCAAGCTCACTCATGTAGCTCACCCCCGCCAGTCCTCCTTCTCCCATTCAACCTGTACCCCGGCATCGGCATCGTCGTCGCCGCGTGGTTCAAGGGCCTCGGCACCGCGCACAAACTCCACCGCCAGGCGCGTCTGCCTCTCATCCATTCCGTGATCTCACCCGGCTCTGTGTAGTACTTTGCAGCGAAGAAGATGACCGACGAGCAGGTCGCGGTGTTCATGGAAGAGCGCAAGTGGGACTACCGCGGCACGGGTTTTCTTTTTCTTTTACCCCGCCGCCGCTCACCCGCCGCCAGCATTCGGCTTCGCCGCGGCGCTCCTCGAGGGCCTCCCGATCGTCGGGCTCGTGTTCACCGTGTCGAACCGCGTCGGCGCGGCGATGTGGGCGCACGGTAGGTCGCGTCCTTGTGTCGTGAGGTGTCTGACGAGAGTATAGATCTGGAGAAGCGGCAGCATTATGTGGCGGCGCAGCAGGTCGCGAAGGGGAAGTAACTAGGTGGCCGGCCGGCCCGAGTGCGCCGGCGGCAAAGGAGGTATAACGTATTCCGCTGCCCTTGTACTTGTTTCTTGTCCCAAGCACAGTATATACCGCCCGGAAGCAGACGTGATGCATACTGCCACACAGCTGTGGCGCTATTAATACACCCTTAAAAGGCCGTGCTGGCGCTCAGTCTCGTCTTCTTCCATGACCTTCTTCGCCAACGCGTCCAACTTCCAGATCACCGGTCTGTCCCCTCCCCTTTGTCCCCTTACCTACGCTGAAGCAAGCGCTAGGGGGCACGTTCCAGGTGATCCACGGGGACCTCACGCAGCGGCTCGACCTGCGCAGCACGCACGTGCGCGACAGCTACAACACCGGGCCCTTCGACGCCGGGCCCCGCCCCCGGCCCCGCGCGGGCGGGCCAGAGAAGCGCGGAAAACGTGACCGGCGGCGATGACGACGACGAGGAGGGAAGGCGCTATTACGGCCCGGCGCAGGGGTATGCGCGGCCGGGGCCGGGGCCGGGGCCGGGGCCGGGGCCGGGGCCGGGGCCGGGCCAGGCGAATGCGGGTGGGGGGAGGCGGGCGCGCAGGCGGGAGAGGGAGCGGGAAAGGGAAAGACAGATGCAGACGGCCGTGGCCGGCGATCCCGTGACCGAGCCGGAGCAGGAGGAATACAGCGTCGAGCAGCCCGATATCGCCGCGGTGGGGGAGTCGTCAGGTAGAGCGGTTCACTACCTGGTATGCAAGCTTACATATTCGCAGTAGCAGCGGTGACGGCCGACATCGTGGTCGTCGTCGAAGAGGAGGAAGACGTGCCGATGCCCGACGCGCCGCCGGAGATCATCCCGGATCAGATCGCGCCTGATGCGCCCTCGCTGGAGGGCATGCGCGCAAAGATGGCGCAGCTGGACATCGAGAGCGCGACCCCCGGGGCGACGTCGGCGATCGCGGCGGCAGAGAGCCCAATGCCCACGGCGCCGGCCAAGCCCAAGCGCGGGTTCAAGATGTTTGCGTTCCTGCGCTGACACTGTACATACTCTCTACTGTACTCTAATACCCCACCGCGTTCGTGTTCACCTACACCTATCAGCCGCAGCCAAGCAACACTAAGCAAGCACTCACATACGAGCCATTCAGCTCCCTAACGTCCCGCACCCCCATCAGCTGCATGCTCGTGCCGAGCTCCCGCGCAAGCAGCGCCGCCATCCTGCTGACGCCCGCCTCGCCCCACACGTTCGCGAACATCGGCCTACAGTAGACGCCATCAGCATCAGACGCGGTCACCTGACCAGAAGCACGCACGGGCGCCCGAGCCCCACCGCGCGCGCGCCGAGGGCGAGCAGGATCAGCGCGTCGGTGCCGCGGCGCACGCCGCCGTCCGCGTACACCTCCATGCCGGCGAACACCTCCGGCGCGTGCTTCTGGATGTCGACGAGGACCTCGACCGCGGTGGGCGCGCCGTCGAGCACGCGCCCGCCGTGGTTCGAGACGTACACGGCCCGGAAGCCGAGGCGCAGGCACGTGCGCGCGTCCTGCCACGTCTTGATGCCCTTGGGCACGATGGGCAGCGTGGTCAGGTTGCGGAAGGCCGCGAGGGCGTGGAGCTGGTATTGGTTAGCCCTAGTAGGCGGAAAGAGGAGGGGTTACGTCGAAGTTGGCAGCGTGTCCGGTACTTGAACATGTTAACAGTACTGTGAAGCCTAGTATGCACTCACTCGGACCCAGGGGTATACCGCATCGAGCGCGTCCTGACCCCGGCGATCCCGGTGTTGTCCACGGTGACGAAGAGCGCCTTGAACCCCGCGGCCTCGATGCGCGCGAGCTCGTCGACGACGCGGCTGTGGTTCGCCCAGACGTACATCTGGTGGAACATCACCTGCCCCGCCCGGCCCGCCGCCGCGATCGCCTCGATGGGGAGCGTCGACGAGATGCTCGGCTGAGGGTGTGGGTCACGTGACTGATAAGGAAGATGGCGGCGTACGACGTAGAGGATCCCGGCGCTGCCCGCCGCCGCGCGCGAGGGCCGCTTCGGCGGTCGGGTGCGCGTGACCTGCCTGCGCGGCCGGCGCGATGAAGAACGGCTGCGAAAAGGTGTGGCCCAGGATTGTTGTCCTAGCAGGGCTCTTAAGTGTGGGCCTGGGTAAGTAGTGACTCACGATGTAGACACATTGCTGACGTCCCGGAAGCTGAACCCGTTCAGCCGCACCTTGGCGTACACCTCCAGATTCGCCCTATACGCTGTCCCCTCATCAGCGTGGCACCTCTTCACAATTTAGCACGCACTGTACTCGTTCAGCGCGCCGGTCCGGTACGACGCTGCCCCATCAGCGCCCGCCACTAAACAGAAGATACCACACACCGTAGTACTTCGCCGGGAGGACGTTCTTCGCGGCGAGCTGCATGTCGTTCAGGTCGAACATGTCCGCCAGCGGGGGCAGCGCGCCCTTCGTCCAGCCGGACGTGTCGAGTCCCGTGTCGGGGAGGCCCTCCGTGTCGAGCGTGACGCCGAGCGCGACGTTGGCAGTAAAGAGGAGGAGGAGCGGGTGCATGGTTGAGGAAAGGGAAGAGAAGCTGGTTTTACGTGTGTGGTGGGGCCGTCGCTGATGGTCGCATCCGCGGATGAGCGTACCGCAGGGTCCTGGTTCCAGTCGTTGCACGACCATCCGTCAACATGCACGTGACGATCTCAGACGGCGTCTCCGATCTAAAACCATGTCTCGGGGTGTCTCGGCGCCACGCGCGCACCCGCCATCCGCCTCTGACTCGCCAATGAGACACCCGGTGGCGGGTCTCACCTGCCTTTTTGGTATAAAAGCCCACCCGCCACAGAGTAGCTACCCAAGCTCGGGAACCAACCCCCCACTCTTCTAACCAAAAACTCTAACACTCTACTAAAAAAAAACGATGTACACGACGCTCTACTCCGCGTCGCTTGCTGTGTTCTTTGCGTCGCAGGCCGCGCCGGTGTCCGCCGTGCCGAATGTGTGGGCGCGGGCGACGGCGTGCCAGCCGGGGAGCTACTTCAACACGACCATCCGGGCCGGCGGCGCGTGCACCACGTGCGAGGCCGGCAACTACTGCGCCGGCGGGTCAGCCGCAAAGCAGCAGTGCAACAGCGGCACCTTCCAGCCCGCTGCCGGCCAGACCGCGTGTGTCCCCGCCACCGCGGGCAGCTACGTCGCTGCTAACGGTGCTACGGCGCAAATGCCTTGTGGGCTTGGGACGTACCAGCCACGTGAGTTTTGCTTTTCTTCTCTTTACATTAATTAAACCCATTTGCCAGGCCCCGGTCAAAACTTCTGCTTTGGCGCGCCTGCAGGACGGTTCGCGGGGCAGACGGGGATGAAGGGGGTGTGCGGCGCGTGCTGTGGCTGGGTGACGACGCAGAGCACGAACAACGCGGGCGTGACCCGGTGCCCGGCCGCGACGCCGTTCTCGGGCCGGGCCTCCGGGTCGGGCTGCAGCGCCACACGCCAGGGGTGCGACCCCGTCGCGAGCTGCCAGCAGGCCCCCAACGGCGCGTGCCCCGACCAGTCGTTCGATTTCGTCGACCCCCCGCCGGCGTACCCGTCTTCGTCAGCAGTGCCGTCCAGCTCGGTTCGGTCCAGCTCGGCGGTGGTCAGCAGCTCGTCCGCCGTCGGGCCCAGCTCGTCCTCTATTCGGCCGTCGAGCAGCGCGTCCGCCGTCGCCGCCAGCTCGTCTTCGGTCCGCGGCGGCGGCTTCCTCCCGCCCCTCCCGTCGTCATCTTCGGTCCGCCCGTCTGCATCGGGGTCCGGCTCCGTCTCCGGCTCGGTTCAGCCTTCTGGTTCGGTCGTCCCTTCTGGTTCGGTCGTCCCTTCGGGGTCCGGCTCGGTCGTCCCTTCGGGCTCCGTCTCTGGCTCTGGCTCGGTTGTGCCCTCTAGCTCAATCGTCCCGTCCGGCTCCGTCTCCGTCTCTGGCTCGGTTGTGCCCTCTAGCTCAGTCGTCCCGTCCGGCTCCGTCTCCGTCTCTGGTTCGGTTGTGCCCTCTAGCTCAGTCGTCCCATCCGGCTCTGTTTCTGTTTCGGGCTCCGTCGTCCCCTCTGCGTCTGCCTCTGTTTCGGGCTCGGGCTCGATAGTCCCGTCCATCTCGGCCTCTGCTTCGCTGTCCGCCTCGCTGTCCGCCTCGCTGTCCGCCTCGCTGTCCGCCTCGTCGTCCTCCGCCGCACCCAGCGCCTCGCCCTCGCCGCCGCCTACCTACCAGTGCGTTTCCTCCTGTCTTAAACTTTACTCGATCTAACAGTCTTGCCAGGGTCGCCGCCAACATCGAGGTGCTGGACCTGACCAACACGCCGATCGGGTACCTTGCCCTCACCGGCTCGCAACAGCGGTACACCGTCTCGCCCAACCTCAGCGGCGCGAGCGTGTTCATCGCGACGGTCACGGAGGGCTCCAACTCGGGCCTGCTCGTCCAGGACGCTGTGAGTTGTTTGTGTTTGTTTGTTTGCTGAAAGCTGACGCGATGCATAGGTCGCCTCTGCTGCGCACCAGTTCCTTGCGGGCCTGCTGCCCAGCACGACGGTCGTGCTCGACTCGACGACGAACAACGTCGCCATTCTCGGTGACTCTGTTGCGAGTAAGTCACCCCTCTCCCCCGCTTTGACCCGTGCTTACCCATCACCCAGCGAACCCCGGCGACACCCCGCAAACCGGCGACTCGGCGTCGATCCCCGGGTCGGCGTACGAGTCTGCGATCTGGGCGTACGACACGGTGTCGGGCAACCTCGCGCCGACGTGGGTGAACCCGGACAACAGCCGCCCGCCGATCGCGCTCCTGTACGACAGCGCCGCCGACTCGCTCTACATCACCGCCAACCCGGTTGGGATAACTAACGCCAACCCCAATGCGCAGCCGGTGTTCCTTGTTATGGCGCAGTAGGAAGTAGTAATGTAATGTTGTGGAATTGCTTTGAATGTATTTTGCTGTGAACTCGAGAGTAAAAGGCCGTTGACAGGCGGCGCGTGAAATCTCTGCCGGACCGGAGCTTACTTGCTCGCGTGACGTGACATCCTTCCCTTCTCTTCTCTCCTCTCATGAAAGAGCGGCCGCTGTCCGAGACGCAATACTACCTGCGCTCCGCCGTCGCGGGCGGGTTCGCAGGCGGGCTGGTGGGTGTCGTTGTCCGGTTGATCGTGGGGCCGCGCTGACTAAACGGCCGCAAGGGCAGGCCAAGACCGCGGTCGCGCCGCTCGAGCGCGTCAAGATCCTGCTGCAGACGCACGACAAGGACTTTCGGCGGTTTTCGGGTGCGTCGTCGTGGCTATCCCCTTTTCAAGGCGCAAACGGCTGACTGGGTAAAAAAGGCACGTGGCGCGGGCCGGTGTATGCGCTGCAGCACATCGCGACGAGCCAGGGTGTCCGGGGGCTCTTCCAGGGCCACACGCTGACGCTCGCGCGCGCGGTGCCCCATGCGGCGATCGGGTACACGGTGTACGACCGCGTGAAGCTGTGGCTGATGCCTACGCCCGCGCAGAACACGTCGCTCCGGCGGGTGCTCGCGGGGGCCATCACGGGCATCTCGGCGATGCCGTTTACGTACCCGTTCGAGCTCGTGCGGGTGCGCATGGCGGTCGAGGGCCACGTGCGCCCGACGCCGTGGGGCGCCGTCCGCGGGATATACGCCGAGGGCCGCGGACGCCTCCCCGTGCTCCACTTCTACCGCGGCTTCGCGGTGAGCCTCCTCGGCACCGTGCCCTACCGCGGCGGCATATTCCTCGTGTGGGAGACGCTCCACGCCGAGGCGAAGGCCCGGGTTGATCCGGCCACCCTCCAGCTGCACAAGACCGGTATCGACCTCGCGATGGGCGCGGCCGCGGGGACACTCGCGCAGGTGGTCACGTACCCGCTCGAGGTGATCCGGCGGACGCAGCAGGCGAGCGGAAGGGGGTCCCCGGATCGGATGGTCGGGTTTAGGGAGACGGTGGGGAGCGTGTGGGCGGTCAATGGCTGGCGCAGCTTCTTCACGGGCATGGGCATCGGCCTGTTTAAGCAGGTGCCCATGACCGCGATATCGCTGGCCACGTGGCAGTTGGCGAAGAAGGTGTGTTTCCCCAGGAGGACCAAATTGCAAAGCTGACCGTTGGAAAAGACACTGGATCTCCCGAATTGACGTTATAGCTTACATTAATTGTACATACACATCGCATGTTAGACTGCATCCTCGTTCATCGCTACGTTTTAGCCAGTAGTTTCGCCTTTCCGGAATACTGTCCGACGTGAACGACAGAACAATTGAAGGCGTCGAATCATCTGTCACATGATCGCGAGTCATATCGAAAGCTTTTTTTGTTCTCGACCCCGTCATTGTGCGCTGCATGTTTACGCGTCTTCTCCACAACCACCCATGAGCCCCTTCTCGCTGTCTGCGACGAAGCTCGCCGAGTACCACCACTTTAACTGCGACCTGTACCTGCATGACGCATTCCACCGCGACACACGTGGTCCGCCTGGGGGCGTGGTCTCAGAAACGGCACAAGCCAACTTTCAGCGGGGAGTGGACTGGGAGCGCGCGTGTCTTTTTCCGTACTTGGGTGAGTGCACAATGGGCCACTCGTATCCACATTGTTGATTCAGATTCAACTTGAATTCAGATCGGGAAAACCTTCTGTTGACCATCCCCCCACGCCCGATAGACAGCGCCGTGCTGGCGGCGAACATCGAGGCCGATGACAGGGCGCACTTCTTTGTGTCGGGCGTCGAATTCTGGCCGCCCATGGACAAGCTGCGGGCGCGTTTCTCGAAAGCGGGGACAGACCCCGTCCAGTTCGGGCTCGCGAAGCCTGACCTGATCGAGATTACGCGCGAGCCTGGCGGGCACGTCGTGTGGCGCGTCATCGACGCCAAAGCGTCCAAAGCGGTCAAGGTGGCGCATCATTCTCCCGCTGCATATAATCGTCCGTCTGAAGTCATTGGCAGACGTCGCACCACGTGCAGATATACTTCTACCACCTCTGTCTGAGCCTCCTCCTGCCTGGCCCGCTGTTCGAGCCCGCAGATGATGCCGCGATATGGCTCCCGCCCGCAGAGGGCTTTGATGAGGAGACGTGTCCTTCCATGGACGACCTGCATAGCATCGACATTAACCTCCTCGCGCCGTCGCTCGACGACTTTCTTTTCCGGAAGCTGCCACGAATCGTCTCCCAGCCGCGGGAAGAGATCCCGTGGCATTTAAATCCGCTGTGTCGCGGCTGCCCATTTGAGGCGGGCTGCACGCAGCGCACCGTAGACGAAGGGCGGCTCGGCGTCATGCCGAATATTTCGCTCGCCCAGGTAGAAGTCCTCCGGACTATGCTGGGTGTCTCCTCTTCGGGTGGCAGCGGAACGACCGATATTGAGGATCTCCACCGTCTCTTGGGTGATAGCAACGAGATGCGGAAGCTGGAGCTGTCGCATCCCAGCACGGCGAGGAAGGCAAAGCGCATACTTGCCATGCGGAAATCGGCGGCGACCAGCCCGGCTTTGGAGGCAGCCAGAACACGTGCAGTACAGGTGTGTCAAATGGTCCTATCAATGTCTGTTTTTTAAAATAACGATAGGTTATACCGCGACGCAACTTCACCTTCCCGCGACGAGAAGATGTTTCAGTAGTAATCTCTGTTGTCATCGACCCATCGTCCTCCAAACAACGGATTGCCACCTTTTGCATCTCCGTCTTCTCCTGCATTCCGACTCTCGCGTGGGAGCCTGTCAGCGGCCCTGAATCCGCTTTTATCGAGACGCTGAGCTCCCTGCTCAATAATATTCTGTCTCTTAACGAATACGTGAAGCCCACGCCACTCACGCAGATATATGTCTTCTCGAGCAGCGAGGAGGCGGCGATCAGGGCGCATCTGATTGAGGCGGCGCTGACCTCGTCGTCGGTGTCAGACGGCAATTTGCGGCTGTGTCTGGGGACCCTCGTTGACGGCGCGGCCCTGCTGCAGACCAACTTCCAGCCGCTGGTGCTTTCTGTAGCTCTTCTTTCGTTCAACAAGAGTCAGTTCAAGCGACATGCGCTTCAGATCTTACTAGAGCGCATGGACCTGCCAATCACCGGCACCATCGACGAGATGCGCGCAAGAATTGAGGCAAAGATTCAGGAGCTCCAGACACAGGGCGGGAGCGACGACAAGCGCACGGAGATGGGTCAGTTGCCGCGCGTTGTGGTGCTCAAGAAGGAAATAGAGAGCCTCCTGGCGCTGCCCGTTCCCGGCTACTGGGACCTCGCTGAATGCGCACACGTGCTTCTGCCGGCAGGGTCATGTGACCGCGCGTGTCCGACTGAGGAAGATATTCTTGCAATATACCGGCGTGAGACGAAGGCAGATACCCTCGTTGAGCGTTTGGAGCAGCGTAACGCGAGTATTTATGCGGTTTTGCAAGAGACGCGGCGACGTGTTGTAGGGTTTAAAGGCACGATGCTGGTGAACGTTGCGAAGCCGCTTAAGGCAGAGTTTCTGGATATCTGCCATGAGCCGAATCTGCGCAAGCTGTTCTTTATGCAGCAGTTCGAGGTGCTCGCGAAGCTGTCGGATCTGTGGAAATCGCGCATCGACGGGTGTCCGGATGCGCCTGTGCTCGAGTATCACGGGACGACGGCGCAGGGGACACACGCGTTTTATCTTATCTCGGGTAACATCGACATCAGCGGATCAAAGGAGCGATCATTCTACGACTACCTGCTGGTGGAGGACGAGACGGACGTGACGGGTGTCCCGCCCGAGGCGCTGTTCGACGACCTGAGCCTCGCGGGGTGTCTGTTCCCCGTGACCCACGCGGTGCGGGCGCAGCGCTGGGACACGCAGAGTGCGGTTGTGGTGGCGAAGGTGGCTGTTGCGGATGTCTGCGATGTGCTTCTGGTGCAGGCACGGACACGGGTGGTGCTTAAGATATGGGGCAAGTCGCCCTCCGCTTTCCTCCGGCGGGGCGCGCACTACCGGCTCTCGCCGAGACTGGTCGACTTCAACACGAGCAAGGTGCTGTCGACGCTGCTCGAGCTGGACGTGAAAGCGAGCACGCACTTCGAGCTGTCCAGCGTGCCATTTCTGCAGCTCGTCGTCGACCCCCGCTCGTTTGCGAGCGATACCAGGGGGAAGGAGCTCGTCAAGAAGGAGGCGGGGATACAGAGCGCGTTCCGGCAATTACGCGATCTGGGCACCGGGCCGGACGATCCGGCCGGCGCGCTCGTGCTCAAGGCGAGCCAGCACCGCGCGGTACAGCGCATCCTGTCTAACCGCCGTAAGTTGTTTTTTGCTTTCTTATAAGCGTGACTGAGAACATTTGCAAGTGGCCGTGCTGTGGGGCCCGCCCGGGACGGGCAAGACGTATACGATTGCACTGGCCCTGCTGCGGCTGCTCGAGGCGTACCACCGGCTGGGCGACAAGCGCCAGCATATTGTGTTCATCACGGCCATGACGCATGCCGCGATTGATGCGGTGGAGAAGAAGCTGGTTCATTTGATTGCATGCTACAAGGCTATCGACGGGCTCCCTGTAGAGTGGCTTGACCACCTGCGCCTCGAACGCGTTCTGAAAGGCAACGAACAAGCCCCGCCGCCTGCGAGCGGTAGCGTATTCTACCTGGGGACCGTTTACCAGCTCTACAACTTCTCGAAGCGCTATAATTTCCAAGTCGACATGTGCGTGATCGACGAGGCGGGCCAGCTCGCGCTGAGCTCGGCCGCGCTGGTGCTCCGGAGCCTCGCGCCGGCGGGCCGGATCGTGGTGGCGGGCGACTCGCAGCAGCTCGCGCCGATCCTGACGGGGACATACCCGAACCGGTTCCTTTTCGGGTCCATCCTCGACGGGCTGATGCAGCTCTCCAAGCTGCCTGTTTCCGGCCACCACCCGCTGCCGTCGTCGCCCACGGCCAGCGACTACTCGGCGTCGCAAGACACGATCGTGCAGCTGACGGAGAACTTCCGGCTGAACCCGGACCTGGGCGAGTTTGTCGCGACGATCTACGCGCGCGCGTTCAAGCCGCAGAAGGCGCAGACGCGGCTGCTTGCGGCGCAGCTCGCGCGGCTTGAAGAGGCGGCGGCGGAGGAGGACGGCCCGGCCGGTCCGGTCCGGCGCGACGTGCAGGTATACCTGCTCGCGCTGTCGGCGGTGATGCGCCGGCGGCGGCAGATAGCGCTGCAGGCCCCGCGAATAAAAACAGCGCAGAGGCGTGTTGCGGGGGACGAGAGTGTGCCGCATGCGGTGTCGCTTGCGCTGATTAGGCTGCAGACGACCAGTCGGAGGCCGGAGGGAGTGGGGTATGAGGCGCATGTAAGGGGAGAGGCGGTGCTGGCGGCTGCGGTTGTGGCTGCGCTGCAGCGATGTTGTCCTTTGGAGGACATTTTCGTGGCGACGCCCCACCGGATCCAGCGACAGGCGGTCAAGGCTGCGTTACGGGAGCAGCAGCAGGTCGACGATCTTGCAGAGCAGATGGAGGGGCTCGGGCTGAGTGAAGAGGCGTCGTCGGGCACGCGCGGGACGGTCACGGTAGACACCGTCGAGCGGCTGCAGGGCTCCGAGGCGGGCTTTGTCATCTGCCTCTTCTCGCTCCCGCCGTCTGCCACGCCCGACCTCGCCTTCTTGCTTGAGCGGAGACGGCTGAATGTGGCCATCAGCCGCGCCAAGACGCTGTGCATTCTCGTGTCCTCGGCGACGGTGCTGCGCCCGCCGGTGGGCGTACTTGCAAATGTGGGGACTGCGCAGGGGTATGCGTTCTTGAGGTGTGTAGTCTTTTTTTTGCAATTGGATGTGGCTGAATGGGGCATAGAGCGTTTGAGGACCGGGCGTGGGCGGGTAAAATCGAGGTGGATGTGGACGCCTTGTAGATAGTAACGATGGCGTATACTTACTATAGAATTACAGTGTTATAATAGTAGGTTGTTCCGATTTCGGGTCTATATAGCAGTGGTTGAGCTGTCAAGCCCGGTGTAGGCCGTCAGCGAAGCCGAGGAGCACGTGTCAGTGGATGTTCAACGATCTGGAGAGTAACTGAAGAGGATCAGTGGATCCTGATGGTCACGCGTAACGCTGCTTTTAGTCCGCTTTTCTCTCTTCAAATCAACGACGTCAAGTTTCAACGGCATTCGACCAAGTGCAAACCGTCCTTGCATCATTACCGGACTTGTACAACAGCCAACCATACCTGTTAAACTTTACGCGGCATGTTTCGGGGACCCTCTAGCCTAAATAGCCTCATTTCATTCAAGTTACGTGTCTCTGGATTCCTCACGTCCTCATTCGGCGCCTGCCAGTGCTCGTAGCAATTGTTTTCACTTGGATCACCAACCTGCTCAAGGACTCGCAGCTCTGCCTCCTGGTTCTGAACGCTGCAACGCCCTTCTCCTCGGGCTTTAGGCTTTTAAGCTTCAAACTTTGCTCGATTAGTACTTATTGTCAATGGTGTTTCCTCCTGCCGTGGACGCTCTAGCCGCACCTGCTCGATAGGCTTCTGCTGCGGCACACGCCTACTGCACTCTTTTCCTTCTGCCCACCATGAGCACTGACTTCAGACTCCCCCTTCTCCATGCACGCGGCGGTGAAAGTGTTGACGACTGGCTTGCCCGGGCCCAGGAACAGCTTCGCGCCTTTAGCATACCCGCGCGGCGCTGGGTGATGGTCACACTCTGTTTCCTGGCTGAAGAACTGGAAACGACGCTCGATGAATTCGCCACGTCGATGGGGCACGAGTCTTTTGCGGAATGGGAGCTGGACTGGGCGCAGTTCACGTGGATGCTCAAGCTGGCCGTCGCAGGTAAACAGCACTCTGGCTACTATCGAACACGTGCTCACCCATTCCAACAGCCAACAGCCCTAATAGAGAGCCCACTGGTGCGCTTCTCACCTACACAGTGATGTCAAGTTGGCTGACAACTGCATTAAGCACCTCCAGCTGCTGGTCCCCGCAAGGGCAATTCAGGACGAGTGCTCAAAATCGCTGGGCTGGCCGCTGCCGGCGCGATCGCCGCCCCGTTCATCATGATCGGCCTGCTCAACTTTATCGGCTTCAGCGCCGCCGGCGTCGGCTTTGGTCCGTTGATTGTTTGCATTTGTTTTGCTTCCCGCTCAAGTTATATATTCCTACTTAGGAACCATTGCTGCAGCATGGCAGTCGCTCTATGGCGGCTCCGTCGCTGCTGGCTCTCTCTTCGCCATTTGTCAATCGATCGGCGCGGGTGGGGCAGTGTGACGTCGCCGGCTTCTTGTCGATAGCGATAAGATGTTCGGCGATAACACGAGAGTCAGTCTTGATATCGAGTGTTGGGTTAGGCTGAGTAATCAGTCGGAGTTGCGTAGGTAGGTCTTCGATTCAAGGTCAACTAACTACTACTATTATTCTAGCTACTATATATACTGTTGGTGAAAGGAGTAGCGCAGTACCGCAGTACTGCGCGACCACGGCGCAGCGTCTAAGTTATGTAAGCCGGCGTCGGCCTCCGGCCTCCGTTACATTCGCCCTCCGAGGCTTACTTGGAAGCCTCTATATCGCCGGCTCTAATAATTTGCCATGTCCATGCCGCTATCTGCGCGGTCCTCCTCGCTATTCCAGCGCCCATCTGCCACCTCTGTGCCATCCACTGGCATCTCCTCGTATGCCGGAGGTGCCTCCTCCTCGGCCTGCTCTACCCCTCCAAGTTCGTCGCCAAAAAGTTCGTCTAGCTCGTCCATCTCATTAGCCGAACCATCTGTGGCCGTAATGCTCGCCTGTCGGACCGCTTCAACACTCTCATCCCCTTCGCGTGTCCCTGATCGCTGGTTCTGGCTCGCGCGACGCCTCGCATTTCGTCCACGCCTTCTCTCCTTCCTATTCGACACTCGGATCGCATTCATCCGCGCCAACAATGGTTTCTGCCCGTTTGACGGCTTCTGCTTGGCCTGCCATCCACGCGGCCCCGTCGGAGGCTTTCGGTTCACTTGGCCGCGAACAGTTTGGAATCCGCTTGGCCCCCGATAACCTACCGGCTTTCGGCCCGGGCAGTACGTCCCGTGCTGATGATTGTGCCCATACTCGGCGCACAGTGGTTGGTTAACGTATCTCCCCGGCCACGGCGCTCCCATTCCAGGCCTTTCTCCCGTTGTTGCTGCCGTCGTCTGCGTCAGCGCTCCAAGCACTGCCGCCAAAACCTGGGAAGTCATCGTGATTTCATTCCCACGGACCAGCCCCGCAACCCGTGATTGTTCCTCTGCCGCTTCCGCACGTCTCGCCAACTCCCGCTGCCTTCTACCCGCGAACTGCTCTGGCAAGGGCGCGTGCGCGTGCTCGCGCATGTACCTCTCCCGGTACAGGAACGGTGTCTCATCCCCTGGATACGGCCCTCCCTCGGCCAACCAGCTGTTCATTGCGACGTGGTATTCGATGCAAGCCAGCTTGACAGCTGCGGTATACATGCTGGGGTTGATGGGCTGATTGTTGTGGACCATGTTGTCAGTCAGGATAGATTTATGGGCGAAGTTGGTTGATTGTCTGGAAGTGAGGTTCGTCTCTCGATGTCCCACCACTCTCCTTCCTTCGCTTTTTATCTCCCTCTCTAACCTGACCACTGCCACAGCAACCCGCACCCTTTGTTCTTCTTCAAGCTCTTGCCTGGTCCCCTTTACAGGCAAGTTTTTTGGGATGTTTGACCCCCATCGCCTCGCAATATTCATCCATTGCTGTCAGATGTTTCACCTCCACATATGGCGACCAAGTCACATCTCCTGTTGCCCAACGCACTTCAAACGTCGCATCCGTGCCTTTCCCTGTGTGAGATATGATCTTTTCCACCGCCCATTCCTTTGGATTAACACCAAACCCAGGGACCTGATGCATCTGTCGTCCAGGAAATCGTCGGTCATCACTCGGGTAATGTGGTCGGAGTAATGAGGCATGGAAAACGTCATGTATTCCCCTCATCCTCAGCTCTTTAGACAATTCAAGCTTATATGACGCCCCTGGGGAAATCACTTCCACAATCTTGAATGGTCCTAGATACTTTGGGACTAGCTTTCGTGCTCGTTTCTTTGGTAGCCTGATGTTCTTCGTTGACAGATATACCAGCTCCCCAATTGCCCAGCCCGACTTCCGTCGATGTTTATTCGCTTGATCTGTCTGCTGAACGCGCGCGCCAATAATCGCGTCGTGTGCTCTCATCAGCGCTTCCTTCATCTTTGATGCAAATCTCTGCACACCCGGAAACTCTGTCTTCTGCTCCCAGATCATTGGTCTTGGCGAACGCGCATAGTTTAGAAAAAATGGTGAGAATCCCGTCGTCTCATTCCTCGCCAGATTCATAGCGAACTCGATCGCAGGTAGTTTCTCCGCCCAATCCTTTTGGTCCGGTGTCACACATTGCCGCAGCATCTGAGTCATCGTGCGATTTGCACGTTCAGTCATACCGTCCGTCTGCGGATGGTATGCTGTTGACATTCTTAGTTCAATGCCTAACAATTCATTCAGCCTCGCCCAAAATTCACTAGTAAACCATTTATCACGGTCACTTATGATCCTCTCTGGCAGACCATGCAACTTGTACACTGAATCAAATACGACTTCTGCGATTTGCCGCGCACCATACTTGTTCCTTGTGGGTATCAAGTGTACCATTGAAGTCAAGTGATCAATTACCACGCAGATCATGTCGAACGACCCGGATCGGGTGCTTGACTCTGGCAACGGGCCCACGAAGTCTATCCCGACATACTGCCAAGGTCTCTTTGGAACCGGCAACGTCTTCAGCAACCCCGCAGGTTTCTGGTTGTTTGGCTTGCTTGTCGCACAAGTAACACAGGATTTGCAATATAACTCCACATCCGTTACCATGGTTTTCCACCAGACCTCCTCCCGAAGAAAGTCTAGCGTCTTTCGGGCCCCTAGGTGCGCGAGAACAGAATGTGCATGTGTCATTATAATCTCTCTCGCGCTCCTCTCCTTGATCTTCACATCAGGAATGCACAACACCTCCATTCCTTCCCTTTTCTTGAATACAAGGCCATCTCTCTCCTTGAAGTCGTTGTAATCTCCAGGAGTGGTCAATATATTCCTAAAAAATGAATCCTCATGGTAGCGGTGCCTAAGGACTCCTGGAAAGTCTATTCCCAGTTCCCCCGCGGTTAATACTCCGGGTAATTCGAGCATTTGCGTTTCCTGCTTGGCCTCGGGTGTCTCGGTGATTGTAGTCACTGCCGGCCCGATGACATCGGCTCCACCCGCCTCGTGGTGCGAAATCTTCCCACCACGCTTCTCCTCTTTCCTCGACCTTTGCTTTCGTCCTTGGCTATCCGGTGGTGTCTCCTCGTCCTCGTCCTTATCAGACGCATCGCTCTCCTCGTAAGTCTTCCTCTGCTTGCCCGCTAATCGTGCAGATCGTCTCAATCCGCCTTCCAGGACCGCCGTTGCCCCCGTGAATACTGGAGTTGTCAACGGGCTTTCCGCCTCCCCAGACTCATCCCCAGTTCGGGCTGACGGTCTCATCTCATACAACCCCTCGTCCCCCACATATTCGCTTGGCGCCCTCCGAGTCCCCAGCGGCTCGTCACTGTATATTCGCGATAGTGCATCCGCGAGCTCGTTTGTCTCGCCTGGGATATACCTTATGGTGAAGTCAAACTCGTTCAACACGTCTAACCATCGATGCTGACGCGGTGACAGGTTTTTCTGAGCCATCAAGTGCTCCAAGGACCGATGGTCAGTCGAGATCCTAAATCTCGCTCCGTGTAGTAACCCACGAAATCGTTTCAGTGACTCGACTATCGCCAGCAACTCCTGTTCATGAACTGGGTAATTTTGCTGCGCCGAGTTGAATTTTCCCGACCAAAACGCGACAACCTTCGCCGTTTTTAGATCCTCTCC